GACACCGCGTGAAGGTGTGAATTCATCGTCCCGCAGGCGCGTAGCCTGCGCTCTGCGTGCTCGCGGAGGGCTTAATCGTGCCCTCGCACTCTGAAGAAGAATGACGAAGAGACATACTCTGAAAGCCAAGGCGTGGTGAATACTAAGGGTCTACTGTAGGAGCAACCTCAGATTTGGAGCACTCGGAGAGTATACCGCTCACCGTACCGCGTTCCAGGGGCTGTTCAGGCCTCCAATTGCTTGAAAGGCACACAAAACTGCGATTTGCATCTGGAGTAGCCTTAACATCAATTTATTGACGCAATGGGAGTAGAAGCAAGCTCATTGGCCTCAAGTTAATAGATATCATGTATGGGGAGATCTTGGGAGACCAACACGGTCGGTTTGCCCCCATTCGAGGGCCAATCCTTCGAAACAAATGTAACCCCGCCTTAGGCAGCATCAGCTGAGATAAGGACTACCTTGGCGGCTGAAGTTGACTGCCGGTCTAGCGTATCAGAATCGACATTATATGTGCAAGTCGCCCTGCCTAGAACATCGACCGTCCCACCTCGGTCATTCTTCAACATGGGTTTACTACTATTCTTGCCGCCGGCTGTGGCAGCAATTTTCACAATCTACTGTGTAGTTGCACACATAAGACAGGCAGCGAAGGCGAAATCTTTCGGTTGCCAGCCAGCACCACTCTTTCGACCTTGGGATGTATTTGGCGTGCAGAATTTCAAGATTGAGATGAATGGAATGAAGACAAACCGCTTATCTTATGCCTTCTCAGATCGCAAGAAAGAAATGAGCGCAAAGATGGGACGAGACTGCAAAACATTTCGAATAAAATATCCACCTGGAGAGACGTGGTTCTACACCTTCGACCCGAAGAATCTGCAGGCTGCGCTAGCGACTCAGTTTCAAGATTTTCAGCAGCCAGCGGCCAGAGTGGCAGCGTTCGAGGCGCTTCTCGGTCTCGGTATTGTACGTTTTGCGACTTAAACCGTACGCAGAGCTAATTCCAACAGTTCTCAGCGAACGGACCTAAATGGGAACACTCTCGAGCTCTTCTAAGACCGCAATTCATGCGTGAACAGATAGCTGATCTGGGGCTCTTCGAAACACATGTCAAAGATCTCTTTGATGCCCTCCCACGTGCCGTGGAGCCTGGTGACTGGACCCCAACTTTCGATATGCAACCGCTATTGGAGCGTTTTACAATGGATACTGCCACAGAGTTTCTCTTTGGCGAAAGCGTGCACAGCCAGAAAGATGATAGTACAGATACGAGTACTTTGTTCTCTAAGAGGGAGATGATGCAGTTCGTAGAGGCCTTCTTCGGCGCAGAGAAGACAACGGCGAAATCTATAATATACGGCGACCTGTTCTGGCTAACGCACGATCGCAAGTTCAAGGAACAGTGTAAAGCTGTTCATAACTTCGTCGATACGTATGTCCAGCGCCATTTGAAGGACGGTGGCTCGGATAAAAAGCCAGGGACGGGAAAGTATGTCGTTCTGGATGCTATTGTCGCTGACGTGAAGGATCCGCAGGAGCTCCGCGCCCAGCTCTTGAACATCCTTCTGGCAGGCAGCGACACCATCTCGGGAACTCTTGGCTTCCTTTTGGCCTCACTGGCGCAATATCCTCATATTTTCAAGAAGCTTCGCAACATCATCATAGACGACTTTGGATCCTTCGATCGACCGAAGCAGATCACGCTCAGCGGGCTCAAGAACTGTTCATACCTTCAGTGGTGCTTGAACGAAGTTCTTCGAGTCTACCCTTCGGTTCCGGTCAACTCCCGTGAGGCCGTTAGAGACACAACACTGCCCGTGGGTGGTGGCTCCGATGGGACTTCACCAGTATTTATACCTAAAGGTCACCTTGTTGCTTGGGAGGTACGTCTTTGCGTCTTGTCATCACTATTGTGCCTCTGGCTTCTTCTCCGTGCTGACACCTCTTCCGCGTAGCTTTGGACAATGCACTCAGACCCAGAACTTTGGGGCCCTGATGCTGACTGCTTCAATCCGGAACGATGGGAGGGGCGCAAATTTGGATTCAACTACCTCCCATTCAACGCTGGCCCTCGAATATGTATCGGACAACAATTCGCCCTTGCTGAGATTGCCTATGTCACAGTCAGGCTCCTGCAAAAGTTCGACTCAATTGATGGATCAGCCTTGCCGAAAGGACGACTGCCCTGTGATTGGAAATTAGTAGATAAAGTGGCCGGGGGTGTGAAAATAAAGCTTCACAGCGCAAACAACCATTTGCGATAGCATCATCGACTCATCTTTGCCGGCTGAAGATCTGCTTTCGAAAATAGTACAAAGTAACTTAGCTTTGCTATGGCTATGACAGTCCTGGCCGTGTTCGCCGGTCGCGCTGCTCGACGTGCCCATGACCGTCGAGGCTCCTCACGCCGGAGCCTGCATACAGGTATGCGGGAGCGTCGTCTCGACTAGGGATCCTTGATCAACCCGACAGGAAGTATGGATGGAGTTGGCGATGATGCATGACCCGTGGCGCCAGGGCGGCTACAATGCTGACAGTGACTTCTCAGCACCGTGGGGGGAGTTATCTTGGCGGAATCTATTGCAAGGAAGATCACGATAACCGCACCTTCTAGCTGCCATTTATTAAGTTCCCACATCCTTCTTCCCAGGAAGACACGGCTCTATGTTCGATACTAGCTATTGTCGATAATAACGCAGGAACCCGACGAGGGCTCGGCCCTCGGCCTGGTAGACTGATATGCCCTGTATCAAGAGACAAAGCAATAACACGGTCGGATGTTATATAGGGCCGTGATCAAATCTCCACTGCTTCACTGACATCCACGATTCGAATTTTGAGATTGAAAATGGTCATATTTACCACGCGCTTAGTGCCGGAAGTCAGTACTGCTTTCTGGTCGTCATGTTAACGGAGATTAACAGTCACTGCTTCCAGAATATACCCTGCCCAATGACGAGGTAATGCTTCGTCTTTCGTGTCCCTTCGCTTCAGTGTGCTCTTGCTGATCCGTCTCACGCCAGGAAGAAAAGGAAAGAGCTGGGTAAGGTCAAATCATCTATTGTAGAAATGGAAAAGTCCCCAATCTGACCAAGATAATGGCGATAGATATACAAAACGAACACTTCTTAACCACCTTTGGAGGCCGTGCCCACTTTGCACGGGGAACAGAGACGGCTCAACGAGTCCTTGATGTCGGTACTGGAACAGGCATCTGGGCAATCCAATATAGTATTGCTCTTGTGCACCCGCTCCTCAAGCACTTGCTGATGGCTGTTGCAGCTGATGCACACCCCACAGCACAGGTATGAGGATCCTAGCGATCCAGCTGGCCAACTTCGCAATGTACTGACTGTCATCGCTTTGGAAGTCATCGGCGTCGATTTAAGCCCGATACAGCCTACATAGTGAGTGAGAGAAGGTCGGGAAGTATCTCAGTGACGGCTGACGACAACTTAGTGTTCCACCGAATTGCTCATCTGAGATTGATGATCTCGAAAACGAATGGACATGGTCGTTCCCTTTCGATTACATTTCAGTAGAATGATGGTGGGAAGTTTTGCTGACCGGCCCAATTTTATCGGCCAAGCTTATGAGTATGTTCATCTCCTGCTCGACAATCCTCCCCTTGGAGTCTATTTGACCTGACACCTGCCCTCCGCCTCCTTCCACTGGAGTTTTGAGGTCCATGATACTGACAAAGTGTCCCTCTTTTGCACGTGAAGGAATTTAACCCTGGCGGCTGGTTGGAGCTACAAAATTGCATTTTCCCTCTCGGGACCGACGACGGGACGTTTCACAAGGGGCAGACAATTTAGGAATGGAGCTCTCTACTGCTGGAAGCCAGTGAGAAGTTGGGACGGTCACTAGGTGCCACCATACACCACCGCGACCGCATGATAGCAGCTGGCTTCACAAACGTAACCGTAAGGCACTTCAAGTGGCCTACGAATCGTTGACCAAAAGAGCAGAAGCACAAGCTCGTCGGGTTATTGGGTGTTGGCGAATATCGGTAATGGCCTAGAAGGCTTGAGCATGGCCCTGTTGTCGCGAGGACACGGGAACAGGTACTGGTATATCTCCCCACCGTACGGAAAGACTTACAAGATACGAGGATTCATGCACATTAGCCTATGTGAGTGGTGTTCGAGTTCGGTTCGAACCTATCTCTTGGAAACTTACAGTCCTTGCAGAATTGTCGTTTGCGGCCAGAAGCCGAAGCCTGCTTCTCCAGCTCGGCAATAGCGAGAATACGTGAGCGCGAACGCGATGGACTAGGTGAGACTGCATAACAGGTCATTTAGAGATCTCGCGAAACGCCATCTCGAAGGGAGGAGTCAATCAACAGGTGAATTCAGGCATCATTACAAAATCCGGAGTACGAGATGTACTTTGAAACACTTTGGATAGTTTCATTTTATTTCACCCACGGAGCAACCTCCTGGGTTTTCCTGGCACCTACAAGTTTAACAGAGGTTGCAGGGAAATTTTCCCGCCGAATTTGGCGGTCAGTGCCGCCGCTTTGGGAGGGTGTCTTCCCTCGATGGCGGGATCGCTACCCCGGTCCTTTCCCACATCAACCCCCACCTCGATCGTCTCCCAGATTGACTTATCTCCCTATGCACCACGCAACCATCTCCGGGGACCAGAAAGCCCCACTTCAGAAACAGTAAGGGATCGAAAGCGACGGGCGCCTTTGACTACACTACCCCTGGCTATGACGCCTCGAGGACCTGGGGGGACGGTCCCTCTGGATTTCTTCACACTGCCACAGAAAGAGAGAGCTATTCTGTTTTGTGACATCCGTCAAGCAGGCTTTCCTGCTGATCACTAGCGCTGCGATGAACACGGTAGCCTAGTACTGATACTTTGTTGGGCATACCTGTAGACTACACATTCAAGTGTACCATCTAGAGCGATGGCTCGGAAAAGATGACATATCTGCTTTTACGACAGTCTGGGGTTGTCCTTGACCCCATGAGTTCTCCGGTACATCATTAGTCAATCGGTCGAACGCGGCACAGAGTGTCGGTTAAGTGTGAGCGAACTTGCTCTTCGCTCCCAAAGTCGGCCCGAACTTGTAGAAGACGAATCTGAACGTAGTCAGCAATATGCTTCGCGAAAGGTTTCGAGCTGGCACATACGGCCATGGCGCCATGGCCAAGGTCAAAAAGCAACCAAGGACGAAGCCCATTGGTAGCCGAGGTTGTTATACACTACCATCCGGTTAGCGCAGCTCGATATTTTCTTGTTGAGGGCAACTTACTCTGAACCGTGAACAGCGGGTAGTGGTGTTGACAGCCATGACACTGGCGGCATGCTTGGGGTATGCAGCAACCAGGAACGTCCAAATACCCTGGAAGAGGAAAAAGAAGCTATTTGACCGAGTCAGTGAGTCTCTCATCTGCCAGCAAACGATTGAGGGACCTACGCAGTGCTGAAGAACAGAGTCGCGATGATGGGCACGATCCAGTGCACGGACGAGTAAGTCATCCAGGCGAACCAGAACAGCGCTGCTGTTAGCATGGGGCCTCCTACAATGGCAGGCGGGAGTCTCAACTCAGGCTGAGGCTTGTACTCCGCCCCGTGCTTGGGCTTCTCTTTTGCGATCGATCCCATCCACTGCTTGTGCCAGAACGGGTTGCACAAGCAAGCAATCACGTTTCCCACCGCGAGGCCGAGGAAAGACAGACCGATCTGCCAGAGATTGAATCCGTGGTTGTTGCCGAAGACCAGGCCGAAGGCTGAGAAACACATGTACAGGACTGCCTGCAGCAGAGAGGAGTAGTACTCGTTGTTGCCGGTGTCTTTGCGGAGCTTGGCCGCTTTCCTGCTGAGGAGGACCGGGTGGAAGGTCTCTGGAGTGATGAGCACGCAGAGGAAGATGACGGCAGCCCAGATGATCTGAACATAGAAGCACCAGCGCCTAATTAATGTTAACAGGTTCGAGTTACGAGCATTGGAGGCTCCTACCAGTCCGTGAACGAGTTGATGAAACCACCCATGACGGGACCAAGAGCTGGACCGACGAAAGGAGCTCCAGTGAAGGCCGTCATTGGGACCAGGAGTTGCTGAGGGATGAACATATCGACGACAGTTCCGGCCGCGACACCAAGGAATGCGCTTCCGGAAAGACCACCAGGAAACGCGCTACCAGGAGAGTCTGGATGTTCTGGGCGACGGCGCACGGAATCAACCAGATAAGGAGGAAAAAAGTCGAGGTAATGTAGATTGGGCGCCGTCCGCAGAACTGATATTGAAGTTAGCAAAAGCTCAAAGCAGCTTGAAAGTAGGACCTCTACTTCTGACATTGGGCTGAAGAGAAGAGGTCCCAGGGCCAGGCCAATCATGTACAGCGACAGTCCAAGGTTGCAGATTTCGAGAGAGCAACCAAACTCGTCCATAAGCTGGTCGTAGGTCATGGTGTACAGAGAAGAGGTGCAAGTCCTATCTGCTGTTAGTATGCTCGGAGGTAAGTAGACGTCGAAGCACTTACACCAAGAGAGAACCCATGGCCACTACAGCCACGTAGAACCATTTCCTCAAGGCCGAAAAAGTACGCCATCCCATTCCACGAGAAACGATTGAGGAGCTACCTGGGCCTTCTCCACATCACTGACACGCCCTGATGGACTCGTGCTGTCTGGTGAGGATTTCGGCTCGTGCTCCTCGTCATGGGTCGACATCGTGGTGAGCTGGATTCCCTAAGTCGAAGACCTCATTGACGTGGATGGAGGTAGCTTGTGACGAGGCTACGTTTCGGGGCCGTTGAGTTGATTGAGCCCCTTCGTTGAAGTGTTGTCGGTATCTTATAAGGTGTGGAAGAGAGAAGCACACGCAAGGGAGAGCGACTATACTAGGACACTGCAGGAAAGCTATCATGTTGTCGCAGCATCTGATCCTAGTGGACATACTTGTCGCATGATGTCGATCAACTGTCCGAGATTGAAGATCGACAGGAACGACTAGAAAGCACGGTTAGAAAGGTGTTTGTGATTTCTGGCAACAACATGCGAGGATGTCACCAATGCAGGGGGCATTCTCATAGTCGTGGCTACTTCCTCCGGTTGACCAGTTAGAGAGACGGGACGACACGGCCTCGGGACATCCCGTAGGCCTTGCGTTCTCGGAGGCCGTGTGCTTACATAAGAGCTCCGTGTTTTCGACCGCCCCAGTCGTTTCGTCGCTACTTGCTCCGTCCGCCGCGTTGTCTGCTACTGCAGAGAGGTGCCGCTTGCATGTGCCTGCAGTAATGAATGCTGGGAACAATGAAAAGCTTCTTGAATGGCATAGCTTTTGTGTGGCCGGAAGTCCGCGATGACGTGTGCCGTAGCTCCGTGAATCGACGCGAAGTCGTGCTTGAGCATATGAACCTGCTCCGCAAAGTCTCAGAGCGCAGAAGCCCATGCTTTGCCTCAAGGCTCAGACTTTAGCACGACAGATTGTCAGATCCTCTCAAATCCGCCGAACAATGGCAGCAGCGGCAGTCCAAAGACATGATGTTCCGACGACACTCAACTTTTACAAGCCAAATGCGGATGGATCGCCGCCCAAGCCAGCTTACCTAGCGCGACCAGAAACATTCGAGCGTCCCCCGGAGAGCCATCAAGTGACCGTTCATGATGTGTCCGGAGACGAGAACACATACACGTTGGACAGCCACGGATTCCAATTTGTCACGTCTCCTAGCAAAGAGAGAGACTTCATGGATGCGGACCGAATCGAGGACGTATATTACAAGGAAGTTGAACAGCTCTTGAAAGAAGTGTGCGCCCCGCCCGTGAAAGCGAAATCGACTGTCGTCATGAAAAATGGTAGAAACAGACACTGACTTGACGTGGTAGAACTGGCGCCGCGCGCGTGCACATCTTCGATCATACGATTCGAAGGCCGTCCCAGAAGCAAGCAAATGAGACCAGGGGTAACGGAGCAGTAGTACACGACGCAGAGAAGCATGATCCGCCTCCTCCCTCACACGTAGCATTCCATTTGCCTAAAGATGCCGAAAAGCTTCTCAAAGGCCGTGTGCAGCTCATCAACGTCTGGCGGCCCATCAAAACGGTCAGGCGAGATCTCCTAGCCGTGTCGCCATCGCAGTGCTTCTCCGAGGATGATGTCGTCGTGGTTCCCGTCATCTACCCTCATGGCAACCGCACCGGCGCGATACTGTCAGTCAAGTACACTGACCGCCAGCGGTGGTACTACAAAGGACATCAGACTCCGGAGGAAGTGCTGATATTCAAGTATTTCGACAATCGTGTGGGTACGCAGAGTGCGAAGAAGTATGAGAATCGTGCGAAGCGGGTGCCTCATTCTGCGTTCGAGATTCCGGGGGCCGAAAGGGAGGAAGACCGCGAGAGTATCGAGGTGTGATGCTTGGCGTTTCACGAGATGATGCCGAGGAAGATTGATCACGTCGAACCTGCTAAGGCACGTCTGAAAAAGACTGTTATAGTCCCTGACAATGCAATAAGCCTTTTTTTGGCGACCATCTTGAAATTGTTGACCACCTTGACTGTTATTGCGTGCCGCGCCGCAGAATCATGCCGACCTCAAAGCCCGGCGGAGGCAAAGGCACGCACAGCTGCCGGGAGTGCAAGCGGCGGAAGATGAAATGTGTCTTGGAATCGGCCGCAAACGCCACTGCTTGCTATGGCTGTCGGCGAAGAGGCTCTCCGTGTCTCAGCCAGGAGTTCCCGGAAGACAGCGCGATAGACATGGAGATGATCGCGAAACTGAATAACGCTGCTGGCAGAGCAGAGACGGTGTCAACTCTCTCGAGCGAAAACACACCTCCGTCAGATAAGCCTCTTACACCTACGTCCATGACTTCGGAGCCTCTACGACAGCTGGCATTCCACAAATCTGAGAGCCTGTCTCGATTCCTGCACGGATCGCTGCCTTCTCGTGAAGATACCGAAAGGATATATAACGCGATTCCTCAACGGCCTGTGCTTGCTCATGAAATGATGACGATGCCGTACACTTGCCTCTCCCAGAACGACCGAATCCAATCCGGAAACTCCTTCGAGATCCCGGACCCGAAAATGCATCCAGTACTGATTGCAAGGCATATGCTCCTGCTCGCCAGCCTCCTACAACATCTTCACCCTGAGGTCCATGCCGACATCAAAGGTCTTTCAGAAACACCACGAGTCATGTCGGAACCGGTAGCCAACCTCGCCATCAGCTACGTTACGACTAAGGACGAACTGCTTGGCAGTATCGAAGGCCTCGGCTGCATCATGATTGAGAGCGTATATCAAGCGAACATCGGAAACCTCCGACGAAGCTGGGTAGCGGGTCGAAGAGCTGTCAGCGTTGCGCAACTTATGGGTCTCAACCGCTCGAATAACCGCGCACAGTACGAAGTACTAGACTCTAGGACGAAATACGACCCACGCGTCATGTGGTCTCGGATCGTCTTCCTGGGCCGCTTCCTTTGTCTTATGCTCGGCCTCCCACAAGGCTTGTACTGAGAAAGCCATGGGTTCCGAAGCGATGCTTACAGCAGGTCTTCCCATGGAACGGCTTGAACGAATACACTGCGTAGTTGCTTCCCGAGTTCTCGAGCGGAATGAATTCGAGCCGAGCGCTCATGACCTGGCCGTCACTTGAACGTTGGACCGGGAACTACAGAAGGCCGCCAGGAGCATCCCCAGCAAGTGGTGGTTGACACCGAAGCTGGGCGGTACGGGAACGGACCCGCGGGCTCTGTTCTGGAACACAGGGCGGTTGTTTGCGCAAGTGCTGCATTACAACATCCTCAATCAGCTGCATCTACTTTACATGCTCCGTTCTTCAATGGCCGATCGAAAGTACGAATTTTCCCGAATCACCTGCGTAAATGCCTCGCGGGAAGTCCTTACGCGCTTTATTACCCTTCGTACCTTTAACGGTATCGCCTCCAGCTGTCGAATTATTGACTTCCTTGCCCTAATGGCTGCTATAACTTTATTGCTAGCCCACCTGGACAGCCACCACCGGGGGACAGAGAACCTCCTGGCTCACCAGTATCATAGTGATCGTACTATGATCGAACAAGTACAAGAGAATTTCCGAGATGTCAACAGTTTAAACTCAGACGCTCTTAGCGCCCACAGCGCCGATCTGCTACGGAGATTGCTCGCCATCGAGGCCGATAGCACACATGGCTTTTCACAATGTGCCGGAAGGGTGAGCGTGCACAAAGCGGGAACTGAGTCGGTGCAAGCGGATCTAAATGATGAAGGCGCCGTGAGCGTACACATCCCTTACTTTGGCATTATCCAGATCACCCGCGAGGGCTTGAGCACGATACCACTCGAGCCACAATCCGCTATGGGAAGGGCCAGTCAGCCAGCTCAGTTACAAGCCGTGAATATGTTCAATGAGAATAGCCCACGAAGCAGTCATGCGGATCCTCAAATGTGGGCACCCAGCTTCGACGGTCCTCAGGGAGCTCCCGATGCCCAGAGCATGGCGATGGTTGATACTGGTAACGGTCATGTCGAAGCACCTGTGATGATGCCTGAGATCTATACAGCGACTCAGGTGCAACCCAGCGCATCGTCAATGCCGACATCTGGCGCAGATTACTCTGTTACGCACTTCGCACCGCAGCACATGGACGACTTGGCTGATCCTCTACTGCGACATGGAAAATACCCTGGATTAGTTGCCGGGACGGAAGACTGGGCGTTCCAGGGCGTCGACCTGGCTTTCTTTGACAGCTTGATGAGAACCATGGGGAATGACGGGAATGGTATTGCGGATTGGACCATAGTGGGAGAGCAGAGCATGTTTCACGAGCACACTAGGCTTAGTGGGGAGTGGCCCATTAGCAACTGCACTTATTGTTTCCCCCCCGAGATCTGGTCGATCAACTCTGAATATTTGCTTGTCTCCGCGAAAAGTTTGACGATTCTCCCGTACACCCAATCTTCCCTCTGGTCGTACGTGTACCTTGCTCCTACATATCCATATCTGATAATAACATGACTGTGGATATTCAAGCCTCAAGCGGTGCAGTTGAACAGAGGGCTACTGTGTATGGACCCTACAGCTGAAACATTGGTGAGAAGTTTCCATAGACGACGTTACTGATGGTTGATCTGCGTAACGACGTAGTATTCGCATGTCTATAAAGGGAGCCTTAGCACCTCGACAAGTAGATAGAGAGCACAGAGCATTCGATACATTTCGAGTTGCATCCAGTTTGACAAGTGCCCTCGCCATTTTCCCCAAAAAATTCATGAGGAGAGCCAGAGCACTCTTTCAATCCACGAAGTTCAACAGCAGCTCGAGCCAAATTCGGCTAACTGTCGAGCCAATCACGTAAGCCTATGGCTTTGCGTTGTCACGTGAACACGAGGCCACTCCCTTGCCGCCCCGTCATCGGATCCAACCCGTGGACCGTGTGGCGGGTAGGGCTTGGGACAGTGTATGGTGCCGGCCTCGATATCTGTTGAACAAATGGTGACCTATAATAGTTCATAACAGACCAACTCATTCTGCAACACTCACTACGCAGAATCACCGTCAACTGGCAACAATGATGACGTACGCTCGTTAATAGTGTATAGGTGATGAACGGTTTAGCACTTGAGTGCCTGTCATGCAGGGAGGATGTCGTCGCCAAAGCTGTTGAGCAACTACACACACCAAGCTCTAATTACAAGAAAGGCTCAATGCTCTCGCCATCCCCACCCATGTTTGCTTGCCCCTTACATAAGCCATGCACGTAACGCCCCGCTACAGTAGGAGGTGATGTTGGTCTGTATGAGAGGTGGTGCCTGCGACTGCAGATGGTGATACCCACGGCCTATAGCCGAGCCCCAGTCCACTATGTCGCCTAACGTTGCGGTTGTCTTATAAAGAGTGCTTTTAGTTTTCCAAGGCTCGACCTGCACTCACGGTCTAAGTAGAGATTGGGAGAGCTGATGTCAAGTACATCTCGAGAGCGCGTATGTCTGGCGCCGCGGTAAGTAAACAGCCTGTAAGTACGGCGGCAATCTTATGAGGAAGGAATTTGGCAGCATATTGTAGAATGCTCGGCCAGGATGAACGTCGCCCCCGGGGGGGGGAGGGGGGAGGGGCGGGCCAGATCGTTGGCATGTGTAATGGAGAAAAACCCGCTCGGAGCTTCCCGTGTGACTCGCCACATCCGTGCCGGTAAGATAACTAATCCAACCTAGACACGTTCTCCTGGCAAACGTTCACACCAGCATCAATACTCTATTGTACACTTTTCAAGACCCTCTAAAGGCGAAGGATGGAACTTCCTACCTGATAGCCTCGACGGCGTACTCGTTACCCAATACTCCAGACCCAGACTTGCCTCTTGAAGGCAGCAAGATCAGACGCAACGAGCCGCTAGTCCTCACGTTCAACATTGGCTGGATCGACGGCGCCGTCCTTCCCGGAATGGTAGGCGGACCAATACTCGGCGTCAAAAACCACAACATTGCTCCTATATCTCGTGCTACAATAAGGTAGATATCTTGTGCTCGTCGAGACATGCTTCTAGTCCCAACCTCACGCCGGCGAAATCTTGCACCTTTCGTCTCCGCTTCCAACCCAAGGCGTCGTTTCCAAGTTCATGGCTGCGACGCCCTATTTCTGCTTCTTCAAATACAATGTCTGCGCATTGCAGAACGCTTTCAGACCCTCTTGCGACCATTCAAAGTGAAGACCACTGGATTTATGGCCACCAAAGGGGGCATTAGGCGAAAGTTCGAGATGTGCGTTCCTGCCACGCAAGTCAACATTGATCAGAGGCAAGCGTATGCGCGCGAGAGCGAGAGGTACGGGATCAGCGACGATTGCACTTACACCCAGACAGACCCTGCTTCTAATTGTTTGGCGATTTCAGCAGCATGCTCGATATCTTTGGACCATACACTGGCACCGAGACCTAGCTCAGAGGCGTTGGCTCTGGCGATCACTTCGTCCTCCTCTCTCCACGACATGACCGGGACAATGGGTCCGAAAGGTTCCTCGATGGCTAATCTTGAGTCGTCCGTTGGTCTATCAATCACCGTCGGCATGATGAAATATCCCGGTTTCTCCGAGTCAATGTGGTTGGAGCCTCCAATGGCGACCTTGGCTCCGGATTTCTCGACATCGGCGAAGAATCCTTTGACCTTTTCGAACTGCATGGAATTTTGAAGGGGACCGAGAAAGTTGCCCTCTACGGAGCCGTTACCGACCTTGAGGGTCTTGGTGAACTCGACCATGGTTTGTAGGAAGGGCTCGTAGATGTCCTCGTGAACGTATATCCTCTTGATGGCAAGGCAGATTTGACCCGAGTTCAAGAAGGCAAGCGTGGCAATCTTCGGCGCGACCGCCTCGATGTCGACGTCCTTGCAAACGATAGTCGGGTCCTTGCCGCCGAGTTCGAGAGTGACGCGTTTGAGTGTTTTCGAGGCCGACTCCATAACCTTCTTGCCTGTAGCCGACGAGCCAGTAAAAGAAATCTTTTCAATGCCCGGGTGTGCCGTGAGCCAAGGGCCTAGATTGTCGTCTCCCGAGAGAACCTGAAACACGCCTGGCGGAAAGAATTGCTGTGCGAGCTCACCCATCTTCAAGCCGCAGTAAGGAGTGAAGGGCGACGGCTTGATGATGATCGGATTTCCAGTTATCAAAGCCGGGGTGAATTTACCCGCTGCCAAGTGAACAGGATAGTTCCAGGGCACGATACCGACAGCAGCCCCGAGCGGAGTGTAACGAACGACGACCTTCCTCTCATCATCTTCCTCGACGATCTCTTCGGGGATTCGGAATCGGCCCAGCGTTCGAATCCATTTGACAGCGCTCGCTACCTCATCTCTCGCAAACATAAGCTGCATTGTATGGCATTAGTATTGTTGAGGTCTCTCACACGCAAACGATCTCTATATCACGTACCGGCTTGCCTTGCTCCTGCGTCAGGAGCTTCGCAAAGTCCTCACCATGAGCTTCGAAAGCCTCCGCAAAGTCGAGCAGTGCCTTCTGTCGCTCCTCATACGGTGTCTTCGACCATGTCTTAAAAGCTCGTTTGCCGGCGTCGACAGCAGCGTCTACATCTTTTGGCGTGCAGACAGGAACCTCTGGATTTGGCTTGCCGGTCGCTGGGTTGATACCATGGCGAGTCGATGAGGTACCCCACAGCTTGCCGTCTATGGTATTCAGATACTTCCCAAAAACGTCGAACTTCTTGTCAGGGCCTGCGGATCCCATTTTTGCAGGGCTTTTCTTGAGATGCTCAATGTGGTTGTTGCTGCGATGTTCAGGACGAGACAGATCCTGCGGGAACGAAGCGACTACCTATCCAATTCCGATCAGGTCTGGTACATACTGTCTTCTTAAATCCTGCGGTAGGCTGCGGCAGCAAGAGACTGGCTTTCGCCAACGCTAAAAAGTCCGACATTTCCGCTGTGAAAGCATCGCGGCACATTTCAGCACCCGTTCCGCGACTCCCCCTTGACGCTGACACATATTCAAGATGAATCCAAGCTCCTGTCGAGCGCTAGAAGAAGGTTATTCATCTCTATCCAACAATGCCTTTCCTACCTCGGGACTCTCGAAGAAGGAGCCCGGCATTGCATCTCCGTGTGCGGAATTGTGCAACGGAGAATGTTACCAGTCTGTTACCAATGACGTTCCAGACCAGGCAACTGCCGAGCTCCAAAATTCGGGTATGTGACGGAAGAATCAGCATGGTGGGTAAAATATAATCCTTCCTCTACTAATGCTTTGAACGGAGAAAATATACTGTATCACAGAAGACCTAAATCTGTGTTGGAGGCACTCCCTTTGGCTCCTGTTGACATGAAATTTGCTAAATCTGTGCTTCCAACCATGGAATGGTTTGAGCATTACCATTGGATCAACAAGGCCATCTCTCAGCTCGATCCGGAGACGCAGTATGAAGAGATTTTCAGGCTCATGTCGAGTTACCGACTATCAGATTTCATGAACAATCTGATCTACGCCGTCACCTTTCCCAACTTCATTTTGGATGAGTGGGGGTCCGAGGCAGTTTGGCGAGAGGATGGGGGTAAGATGATTGAGAAGGCTACCAGGAGGCTGGAAGAGACGGAGAACAACAATATGGTCTGGTGGTATTATGGTCCGAGTCACGAAAGGACTAAGAAGTCGGTGGAAGACATCAACAAACGCCACGAGTTCTGGGCCTCGAAGTACCCCGGAAATTTCAGTCACAACGACGACTACATTTACGTCTTGGCTTTCAGTGCGGTGTTGATGGATCGCTTCCTGCGGCGTCTCGGTCTCCATGGATTCTCCGAAAAGGAGAAGATCGCGGCGCACCACTTTTGGCGAGACATGATGCCTCTGTTCTACGCAGAAGGCCGTACGCCTTTGTACGGCTTTCCAGCAGATTGGGATGAGATGATGAAGTTATGTATCGAGTACGAGCAGACGCCCAAGAAGTTTCCCCCTAAAGGTCGAGCAATTGCAATGTCCATCTACGAAGAGTTTGCATTTCGATATTTCCCACCGGGCTTTCGATGGTTGGGCCGACGAATCCCACTGGCTCTGTCTCTCGACTCCACGTTGGCCACGCTACATATTGAAGCCCCAAATGTAATCCTGAGTTGGTTGATAACCATCTTCTTCAGCTGGATGATGTGGTTCACGGGAACGTTCCTCCCTGAACCTAAAAAAGCTTTCATCGTCGAATTGGAGGGGGCCAGTCCGGCAGAGAAAAAGGCCAGACGGGAGCATTTGATCAAAACAGACAAGAGCTACAGTTCTTACATTGCTCGACAATACGGTGGCTCCTTTTCGGGCTGCCCCATCAACAGAATGAGGTCAACTCCTGAATTGCCTCCTGGTATGGAGAAATTCTCATGAAACGTCGACCCAGGGGAAAGTTGTATTTAAGTCGGCAAGCGAAAGTTGTCCAGTACTGTAACAATACGTACTGAAGAGAAAAACAGTAAAGAAATGTGAATACCGTACTTGGCAATGTTGTAGCCTTCATTCCTGTCTAGCCTGGGTACCTGCCCTACTGCCATACGAACTTATTTGCTAACCCCCCGAACCCATCAAGCTCCACAGACACGAAATCCCCGTCTTGGATGAACCCTTTGGGTTTTATGAACATTCCTATTCCGGTCGGCGTACCCGTCATGATCACAGTTCCCTGCCTGAGAGTCGTACCTCTGCTCAAGTGCTCAATAATTTCTGCGACAGTCCAGTTCATATCCTCCGTGCTCGTGGTCTGGCGGACAATTCCATTTACTTTCGTCGTGAAGCTCAGTTTCTGTGGATCAGGGATTGCAGCAGTCGTGATGATCGCCGGTCCGATCGGTGCAAATCCGTCGAAGCACTTTCCGCTTGTATCGGGGAGTGAGAAGTTGCGAGCACTAACATCGTTGCCTATAGTAAAGCCCAAGACATAATTCAGGGCCTGATTTGCAGGGACATCCTTTGCATCCCGAGCCATGACAACGACGAACTCGCCTTCGTAATCCATCATTTCTTGCACCTCGGAGCGGACTAGAACGTCGTCGTATGGCCCTGTCGCCATGAGCTGAGTCAGTTAATTAATTATTCTGGAAGAACTGGGCGACAGCTGACGAATATTCGGGGCAAGTCAGTACCATTCAATGTATCAGCTGGTTTGAAGAAGATCTTGGGGAAAGGGCCAAGCTCAAGGCCTGCTTCTCGTGCATGCGTTTTATAATTCAGGCCAGTACAGGCCACCACAGGTGTACGCTCCAATGGACACAAGATCTGTTTCATTGATTTAGCACAATCAGACGCAACGTTTCGTCCAGTCCCGTCTATGTATTGATCGGTTGGAATGGCACTGAAACGCAAGGGGCAATTGGCGTACATACCTTGCTAACCACCTTCACATCATTAGTAGGGATAAATCCCGAGAAAGGATCCCCTCGCAGGACCTTCACGGACTGACCCGTTAGATCGGCCTGCAACTGAATCTTCGTGATCGCACCATAATTCGTCTGAGCACAGTCGTCGAGAAAACGAACGAAGCCATCCATATTCATTGCGAATTGAGAGCTGACTCTATTGTCTGGCAGTGAGTGACCAACGGATTAAATATTTTGTCCACACCCATTCCATCATTATAAGTAAAGAGGCTGATACATATCTCTGCGGAAGTCCGAAAGATCATTTTCTGCGATTCTTCGGCATCCGAACCAAAGGCCTGCTCGCGAACAGAGATTTGCGTCGTCCCGGTGGTGTGGGTGGAGACATGATTTACCCGTCAGATACGACCGCTCCATTAAACACGGAGAAGGAGAACATTCTGCACCTACTTCACCCGAACGCTGAGGTCGTATATCACCATCTGTATTCTCACGTAAAGAAAAGTTCAGTCAGTATGAGGTAGCTGGGACAACAAAAACATCATCTGCATTACAGGAAACGACAATAAAGCGAGCTTCTGATTTCTTCCCACTGCATTAATTCTGCCATTTCCACGATGGAATGGCTCGTTCACATCCCCGATCTTCCAAATACCGTCGCACGACGCCTTGCCGTGCGACAACAACACCTCGACGAACTCGAGCCTTTCATCAAAGACGGCACCGTCGTCTTCGGCGGGGCGACCTTGTCTAAACACCCCAACAAGCATGAGAAGCTCGACCTGACAGGCAGTCTCATGGTCGTCAAGGCGGACAGCGAGGAGAAGCTGATGGAGTTTCTGAAGAGAGACATTTATTCTAGAAATGGCAATTGGGATTGGTCCAAGGCACAGATCACGCCGTTCGTGTCGGCGGGACAGACACCTGTCCTCTAAGAACTAATGCATCTCATGATGCATCTCGAATTTTCAATTCTCAGAACAGCTTCAGACAAAATCATGATCGTCATTGGGAGAGGGAACAGAAACGTGCATCCCGTCGTTGCAACGCACTCGTCATCCCTGCGGAGACAGCTACATGAGCAAATAGTTCATTGAGCAGATACAACGAGACCCTTTTGCTTTGTGCAGTGATCCAATGCTCATGCCTCCAGCCGTCGAGTTCTCACTCGTAAATACTCCTGAATAACATCGAAATGCGTTTTCACTTAGTCGCGGATACCGTAAACGTAGAATCCGCTTCGCTGAATCAAAGGAAGGGTAAGTATGGTGTACGACTTCAGTGATTATCGATCTTGTGGTCTGGATTACCCTTTCGCTAGTGAAACCACTAGCCATAGATGCGTCTCAACTGAAAATTGTATATTGACTCACGCCTCATGTTTGTTGCTGTAGCATTTCTCCGTCTCCGTAATGTGAAACTGGAGTAGAATAGGAGACGGAGATCAATATCCGTGACGGAACACGCACAAGTGGAGCCCGAGATTGGATCTCCGTACCCGGACTGCCGAGGTTGGGCCTAGACCGGGGTAGAAGCTACGAGGCGAGGTATCCCCTACACCGTACAGTTCTAGAGATGACCGCAGACAAGACAAGCAGAACCACTTCTGCGAGATTATGTCTCCCGGTGGGGGTGAATGTTGGCTAGCTCCCCGGGTTTCTTGGTTCTAGAGGATCGAATATGGTAACTCACTAAAGCATACAAGGACCGCGTACGTCTTGTTTGGACGAGACAAATTTCAACCAGATTCAGACTGATTAATCTTTGTCCTGCGAGTTAGGCAACTACCAATTCAATTTTCTTGCCTATATACATACGGCTCAAGAGGTTTCAAATTGTGAATGATGGAGAGTAACCTTGATATCCTGGTCAAGCCAAATGTTGAGAGTGCGCACGAGGAGTATCTCGAAAAAAGCCTAACGGTCGACACTGTCCACAACGATCAAGGTTTAGAAGTCATCGCCCATTATGACGGCGAGAAAGCATGGGATCCCGAGGAAGAGAAGAAGCTCGTTCATCGCATCGATTTGAGGTTGCTGCCGATTCTCTGTGTCACTTACGGCATTCAATACTATGACAAGTCGACCATTTCTCAAGCGGTAAGTGCTTTGCAAAGAGGGGTTGATGCACTTTGAAATCTCATCTTATAGATTTGACTGAGTCGTGCTGATCAAATGGCCATGTTTCTAGGCAATCTTCGGACTGACAAAGGACCTACACCTCACCGGGAATCGATACTCTATGTCAGCTTCCATTTTCTATATTGGTTTCATCGCCGGAGTCGCTCCCATCATGTTGTTGGCCCAGCGCTACCCACTTCAATACATCGCGGCGGGAACCGTTGGCGTTTGGGGTGTTACTCTGATGGCTACGGCAGGCTGCACCACTTTCCAAGGTCTCTACACGCAGCGATTTTTCCTTGGCTTTCTCGAAGCGGGAATCTCGCCCATGTTCATGTTGATCGTGGGAAGCTGGTACAAGAAGAATGAACAAGCTCTCCGGATGGGGGCATGGCTTTCTTGTACAGGTATGTGGAGATCATCTCGCATGTCTAAAGAACCCGATTCGAGCGGAAGTGCTGACATGATTTCGTGACACTATAGGATACGTCGCCCTATTTGCTCCACTAATCAACTATGGGCTCGGACACATCACCGGTACCGCGCTGCATTCCTGGCAATACATGTTCCTGGTTGCTGGTGGCATGACTGTTCTCTGGTCTTTGGTAATCTTGTTCCTCCTGCCAGCGGAGCCGACACATGCAAAATGCCTCGACGAGCGACAAAAATATATTGCTGTTTCTCGGCTGCAGACTAACAATACCGGAGTTCGAAACGTCCATTTCAAACCCGCGCAGATTGTGGAATGCCTACTCGACATCAAATTCTGGCTCATCTTCTTCTTTTCATTCTTCACGCAGATTGCGAACGGACCGGTCAGCACTTTCAGCCCCATCATCATTCACGGATTCGGATACAGTACACTGAATACGCTGCTGCTGAACATGCCACCGGGCTTCATATTGGGCACCGTGGACCTCATCGCATGCTATGTGGCATGCCGTGTTCCCGGGGTTCGAACATACATCATCCTTGTCTGCCACAGCATTTCGGTGGCCGGTGCACTCATGCTGTGGCTCTTACCTCTACACGCCAAAGGAGCATTGGTCGTCGCGACCTGCCTTCTCCCCGTCTACGGTGGCAGCATAGCTATCGCCGTCGGACTACAGATTGCCAATACGGCAGGCTATACCAAACGTACTGTATCGTCCGCGGGCATCTATATCGGCTACTGCTTGGGAAACATCACAGGGCCTTTATTTTTCAAGCCACAAGACGCTCCACGCTACCAACCGGCATTTATCACCGTCACGATTACTACCATTGCCGCTGCACTGACGGCTCTTGCTTATCGGCTTACTTGCATCTACCAGAACAAGCAGAGGGACCGTGCAGGTACGATGGAAGCATTTGACCATGCTTTTGAGGACGACGTCACGGATCGGAAGGTAAGTAAGAGTTTTTAATAGCCCCTTTCTCTCGCTTGGGGCACTCTCTTAACGCAGATTGACTAATTTCTGTGTCTACAGAATCCACAATTCCGGTACATCTACTGATTAAAGGAGCTGGTGCCACTGGCGGTTGTCAAGGATACATGATCGAAGCAACTGGCAGGGTCATGTTCTACTCATATCAATGTACCTATGTTTGCCTTGTTTCTACTTGATCTATAAGTGTATGGTCAGTAGGTGGTTAGTCTCTTACTATTAAAAGCCAGGAAAGTATACATGACTCAGATGCCATTCAATTGTACCGACAATATTTGCCAGTCGTTTGAATTCTCGGAAAAGCGGTGCCTTAGCCTTAGACTTCATGGATTGTCGAAGCCAACTGAAGGCTTCCCTGGCAGATATGCGGATTCGAATTTACGGTCTGTCTCCGAAATCCCGAGAGCGGGCAGGTGACATTTTCTCAGACGCCCAATGGAGGATCGTTGCCATGTAGCATCGAAGAACTTGTAAGAAGTCTGTTGACCCAATCTCCTATTGACTTCAGGGGCTGAGTCTCGTCCAGAAGTCAAATGATCCGCAGGTAGAGATACTGACCGCGAAGGATTTTGAGCACGTGGGGAAAAGGGAAGTGCTCGAGCAAAGCCAAGGCCGGCAACGAAGTCGAAGCGTAGCCAATTCGCGCAGGTCCACAACCAGAACAGAGCCTCAGCAAAAAGGAGAGAGAAGAAGGTTTTCCTTCACAACACTTCTTTGCCAGGCCCGCCATCCTTTGAAGCTCTCAGTCCGAGGGACAAAAGATTCCCATTCAACATGGAGTAACACAAGTTGAATCTCGTGGAGTTCGGGCTACTGGAGGAGCTAAATCTAAATATGGCCCCATAGGCATCAAGCAACTGACATTATTTCCGGAGATCTTTACAAATCTGCTATTGTCCTGTCCTGCGTTCTGAGCCATTAGTAATTTAGCATCGTGCACAGACCCGTAAACTATATGCTCAACGTTCAGCATAAATCGTGCTGGCTTGGTGAACTGCTACGGAACGCCAGTCATTGGTGCAGTTCAGTCTTAGTTTCTATCTACCGAAAGCCTACGTGAGTTGCTACTCTTCTCAAATCAGTCACATTGTCGGAAACGATCGGTCGAGAAGTACTAGTGTATAGGTGATGAACGGTTTAGCACTTGAGTGCCTGTCATGCAGGGAGGATGTCGTCGCCAAAGCTGTTGAGCAACTACACACACCAAGCTCTAATTACAAGAAAGGCTCAATGCTCTCGCCATCTTTCTACCCACCCATGTTTGCTTGCCCCTTACATAAGCCATGCACGTAGCGCCCCGCTACACTAGGGGAAAACCCAACCTTGGTCGACCGCGAACAGTGCCGTGCCACCATTTGTCAAAGTCACCACAGTCCGAGGCACTTAGTGAGCATACCTTTCATGAGTATCGCCAGCTAAATCCAAGGAGCTAGGTGACTAGTTTCTCACGGTTAGCAGCGGTTGAGTGACCCGTGGTGTCCTGCCCATCCGTCAACTGACCTCGTCAAGATTCTCGATACGACTGATCTCCCGAGCATGGCCCCTTCGGTACAATCCTTATTCCGGGGATGGCATGAGGGGGGCGGATCGGACGGAGACTGCTGTCTGTTTTCCATCCCGTGGCTATCTTTACGTAAAAACCCTTCCCTACCAAGGCGTTCTCGGGCTCTTTAACGTATCTCCGCCCTCCATTCTCCGTGACCTACTAGCGCTTTACGGAGTTTGTGATCACCATGGGCCACTCGTGTTGCACGTATTTGATCCCCGAAACAATGAAGACGAAGCCACCAAATCGTGGCCTCGAAAGGCGTATGGGAGCTGCTTTGTGTCCTGTCCTGTGTGTACCTAACGGGTAGGGTGCATACAACTCCGGACGTGACAAATGCTCCTAGTAGCTTCCAAGGAAACTCAATTTATCTCTGACATGTCTTCATTTACCTCAGGTTGCTCGATTTCGTGCATTACATATCAAGGCTAGGTCTATTGTTGAAGAGATCTGATCCATATCATAGGACCATCTGCATACCTGTCCCAGGCATATGTGAGACCCGGCGTCGAGTAATCACATTGCTTATCTAGTTAAAATTCTTAAGCCGGCGGTGTCGTCGCACCGGGGGAATACAGAGAGCACTAGCCGAAAATGTACGTTCTTGTTGATTCAAATTTTTTTGAGGGACATGTAGGCGGTTCGCGGAGATTATGGCTGAGCTTTCACTTTGCAGCCCCCTTTGTAGGTACTGTACCGACTGACGAGAATTTTGGGGGGTGATATTAGGAGCTATACAGCGTCGGATGCGTTCTTTGACGCTCTTTGGGAGGTATGTAGTACTCAGTTCCTCGCATGAATCAGTGTTTATCAGGGACTTCAAGCGATTTCCATTATATGCGCTGATGATCTGATCAAATCTCTTCGCAGGCGGGCGTCAGTTATGTGTTTGTCAATTTGGGCTCCGACCATCCTGCGATCATGGAAGCGATCGCTCGAGGTCGCAAACATAGGCCAAATCATTTCCCTTCAATAATCACCTGCCCGAACGAGGTAGGGGTTTCCTTGCTCCGTGGTCACGTCGCGATCAGGGCGGAAGAACTGACAAAAAGCACTGCGTAGATGGTGGCGCTTTCAATGGCCGATGGATACGCACGCCTAACAGGGAAAGCTCAGTGCGTCATTGTCCACGTCGACGTGGGCACTCAAGCACTCGGTGCCGCCGTCCACAATGCGTCCTGCGGACGTTGCCCAGTTCTCATCTTTGCCGGTTTGTCGCCGTACACTATCGAAGGGGAGATCTTAGGCTCAAGGACTGAATTCATTCACTGGATCCAGGATGTGCCGGAGCAAAGACAGATCGTGGCTCAGTACTGTCGATATACTGCAGAGCTGAAAACAGGCAAGAACATAAAGCAGATGGTCAACCGGGCTATTCAATTTGCTACGAGCGATCCCGCGGGTCCAGTTTATCTCGTTGCTGCCCGCGAAGTGATGGAAGAAGTGATCAATCCCTACCCTGTGCGTCAAGATGTTTGGAAGCCAGTCAAGTCTGGTGCTCTACCACAACACGCTGTGGAGCTGATCGCATCCAACTTGGTACATGCGAAAGAGCCACTATTGATCACAGGTTACTCAGGTCGCAATCACGACACAGTCAAGGAGCTCGTCAAGCTGGCAGATGCGGTTCCTGGTCTTGGCGTCGTCGACATGGCTGGAACCGACGTATGCTTCCCCTTTTCCCACCGCAGCTCGCTAGGACTAGGCTTCAGCAACCACGAATCCGTCAGAACAGCCGACGTGATCATTGTCGTTAATTGTGACGTCCCTTGGATACCAACTCAGTGCACACCACGCTCGGATGCCAAGATAATCCATATCGACGTCGACCCCCTGAAGCAGATGATGCCCGTCTTCTACATTGCAGCCACACATCGCTACCGAGCTGATGCTGAGACAGCTCTCTACCAGCTACACACCTACATTGCTCGAGATGAGACTTGTCGCGAGATTCTCCAATCTGAGGCGAGTAGTCACAAGTGGCAGGCACTCGCAGATTCACACGCCAAACAACTCGCAATCTTCAGAGATTTCGCCAGATCGCCCGTTGACACCAATCACGCGCCAAGTGCATCGTACCTTTGTGACCAACTACGCAGAACTTGCCCTCAAGACACCATCTGGTGTGTAGAGGCCGTCACAAACTCTCACTGGGTGTCCCAGCAATTGCAAGTCGACATCCCGGGGCACTGGATCAACTGTGGAGGAGGTGGTCTGGGATGGTCAGGTGGCGCCAGTCTGGGGATCAAGCTCGCTTCCGACGCATTGCACGGCGGTCGAGGGAAAGGCAAATTTGTTTGTCAGATCGTGGGGGATGGATCATACATGTTCACGGTCCCCAGTAGCGTCTACTGGATAGCTGAGAAATACGAGATCCCCACGCTCACGATCGTGCTTAACAACAAAGGTGAAGTGACGCCTCCTTGGCTCCTGACGTTCTTTCTTTTTTTCCCTCAACGTCTTGACTGATTTCTTCGGCAGGTTGGAACTCTCCACGTCGGTCCATGCTCCTTGTGCATCCTAACGGCTCGGGATCTAAAGCAACAAACGAAGAATTGGCTATCTCATTCGATCCATCGCCAGATTACGCCGGCATTGCTTGGGCAGCCTCGGGACACAAATGTTGGGCCGGTTGTGTAAAGAGCGTCAAAGAATTGGCAAAGCTTCTGCCTGAAGCAATATCCAGTGTAAAGGCTGGGATCGGCGCGGTTTTGGAGGTGCGGCTGGTCGATGCATTTCCATCAGAGCCACAAGGAAGAGAACACCTTACCAACGGCGCATGAAGGGGAGGCTGTCTAGAGCACCACAGCACCTAGAATCGTCTCAGGACTGCCTCCTTACCCGCCAATGTCCTGGATCAAGATCGCTCAACTCATGCCTTAGTATCTAATCCGAGTACTGCAGTTGTAGGAAGTGAATACATAATATTAGATAGCTAGCCTTAGTGTGAGATACTCTCTTTCGGACGTTCTAATACCTCGATGAGGCCGAATACCCGCTTTTCTGACCAATGAATGAAAATGACTCTAGCAAATCGTCTAACCCCAAGTGCTGCTCCAGTGGCAAAGTCCGGAGAAAATGGCGGGGAAAAGCACGATGATGAACTTGAACCCCTCCCTCACTTTGATAGCACAAATCAACTGGAGTGCCACGAGCTGGAGTCCCTTATCCCAAACTTCAGCTGAGTCTGCGACTATGCCTCGAGCTCAAATGGCGGCTCAGGAATTAGCCAGGAACCACACAAGACGCAGAAATGCGGATGGAACGGCTAAGTGCAAAGCATGCGTCAGATGTCGCGTCAGGAAGGTCGGTTCCCTCCGTTTCCCCCAAGCAACCACTCTTGCCAGCCAGCTTGAATCAATCTTAATCGCTAATCATGATAAGATATTCAGATTAAATGCGATAGTCAGCACCCGGCCTGTACTTTGTGCAGGAAAGCATCGACGCCATGCATCTATAGCGACGATAGAAGACGAATGGCTCGCAGTACTGTTGACAGTAATGTCAGTACTCGGCCCCCAGGGCCTGCAATGCTGCCCGACCACTCGGCAAACTACTCTGTACAACTGTCGTCTTCTTCTTTATCCTTTGCATCTCCGTATTCTCCTTCTGTGCATAAGACAGATCGAGTTCAACTTCCGGTGGAGCAAGCATCAACTATTCCTGTTGTGCATGTCCCACCCTCGACTCAGGTGGGCACTTGGACTATTCAAGGCCTGGGTGCAGATCTTGCCAGTATCATAGGTCCTGCACCTGCCCAACCTGATCCGGGACAGCAACGATACGATCTGGAGTCGGCACGCGGATTCGACCGGAACAGCGAAACTACAGAACGAGCTGCACTATTGGGAGTCCAGGCGGCCACAATGGCACAGGCGAAGAAGGCAGTACATCTCATTGTCCAAGGTCAAGACACCGTCTCGGTCCACGGACCGACGTCGGTTTTCCATTTTTATGGAGACTCGTCTCCCTCGTCCTGTCCTACACAGCGGCCTACTCCCGACGACGGCACCCAAGCTCGTTCCACAGACAGACAGACGGGCCAAGTTGAGGAGGAGCGTCAGATCCAACTCCAGCTGGTGGCCGAGGCCGCTCTGGCGCGACAGCAGGAACATGAGACTTTGTTGCGAGGTCAAGTTGACTTTGACGGGGTCGACGTCGACACGGCCAGACATCTCCTCGACATCCACTGGAACAGACATCACTGCGTGTATCCCATGACGTACCGGCCGCTCATGATGCGCGATCTCTCTGGAGACGGGCCTTATGCAAACAAGTTGTTGTGGAATGCCATCTTCTACACCTCGTCGCTGCACTCCGATCGACCCGAAGTCAACGGAGGTGCTAGTCGTGATGGCGGCGGTAGCAGCGGCGGCAATCTTCAGCACAGGTTCTACCAGCGGTTCAAAACGCTCTTGGTCGACGAGATGGAACGATCCAGCGTCGCCACCGTGGTCGCATTGCTGTTCATGGGGACAAGTCTGGTGTGTCGCGGCCACCAGACCGCTGGATGGCTGTACTGCGGAATAGGCTATCGCATGGTCATCGACTTGGGCCTGCATCTGGACTCGAGTCAGATGGTGCCTTCGGAAACCCTGTCCAACACGAACTCGAATGCTCTCACTGCGCAGGAACTGGAGATGCGTCGCCGAGTGTTCTGGACAGCCTACGTGCTTGACAAGTTCCAGTCTCTGTTCCTCGGTCGTCCCGCTGCGCTTCCGACCACAGGCGTCGAGCCGCGTCAAATATTTCTCGACACTTTCGAGGAAAAAGAGCTCTGGACTTCGTACAACGACCCGAAGAGACCGAAATCGTCCTCAGACTCTTTCTCTCCTTGGCCATCTTACACCATGGCCAACTTCAAAGCCCTCATTCGACTGGCAGAGTTATCATCCGATATCGTGAGGACCTTGTACGCGCCCCGATCTATCCTGCCCTCGGCGACATTTTTGAAGCGGTTCGTCTTCGATGTTCAAGCAAAGCTGCAAGCCTGGTCCGACAGTCTGCCCGCACACCTGCAGCTGAGCACGAGCCCCGATAGTCAGCCAAAGGCATTACCACCACACCACCTAACGACGCACGCGACCTTCTACACACTTCAAATCCTTCTGCACCGACCCTTCATGTCCGACGGACATCTCGGCCACGTGACGATCGACGGCGTAGATTTTCGGAGAAAGTGCTCCGCGGCCGCGGTCTCCATTCACCATATCGCATGTATGTACGAATCGGCCCACACGTTCGAGCACGCACCCTATCTGTTCTCATACGCCGTATTCTGCGCCGCGACCGTAATCCCGCGCGCCGCCGACCAGAAGGAGATGATCGGCTTCTTCTGCAACGCGCTCCTGACCCTGCAAAGGGGGTCGTTGGTCGGTCTGAAGAAGCCCATCATCGTTATCTACCAGGCATTTGCGAAAGCGGGAATCGATGTGAATGCTGTCGTGAACTCGACTTCGGCGGTTTCAAACCGGCGTATGATCCCGGTGCCTGTCCCTGACCCGGTGCCGACACCGGCGATAACGACAGCGCTCATTCCGCCTGCAGTCCTTGCTCCTGCACCTGCGAGTGCTGCCGCGCAGCATTCGGTCACGATCGGGTCCCAAGCTGGGGAAATCAATCTAGATGGTATGTCGTTGGGCGACTTGGAACATTTTACAAATCAGGAAGCATGGCCAGAGTTCTGGGGTCAGTCTATGGAGTGGTTTTCCAATCCGGCCAACATGACATCTGACATGCTGTTTGGTCTCTTCGAGTAGGGATGTTGGAGGTAGCTAGCAAAGATATCGTCTCAGTCTAAATGGTGAGGCCTTCTTTGGGCACTTGCTGCCAACAGTTGAGGAACCGAGCACGATACTCAGAGATGCAGTCCTCAGTGACCAGAACCTCAGTCGAGGAGTAAAATGTGCAAAGTAGAAGGTCGAAGAGGCGAGGCCACAGCTCTGCAGATCATCGGGAAACTATTTCTACCTCAAGACATCCTAAAGTTCGCTTCTTTCCCGTCAATGTCGACTTTCGACCTCGTCCTTACCGAGTCGTGATCAGGCTCGATTTTGATTCGCTAAATAAGCGATCGATACCGTATCGATTCTTGTTGCCGGGGTATCGATTCTTATCGATTCTATGGTGCGATCTGCAGAGGAATCCGCCACCTTCCTTACTTGCTTCATCGTTCCATAACCACTTTTATTAAGAAGGGTCTCTATTAAGATAATAAATTAACACCGTAAGGGGAGTACTTGTTGGCAGTCTATATTGGGACTAGCCTAGTCACGTGCACTACAATCTTCGTGGCCTTTTTCTAGCTTGCGCCTCGGTCAGAAAGATTCAATCAATCTTCTCTCGGCCCAATAGTACTCTCGTAAGGACGGTAAAAGAGAGTATACACCGTTTTTGCGAGTAGTCGTAAAGAGTCTAAGGAGATTAAATAATCGTGTATATCTCAAGAGCCTCTAGTATACGCCCAAAGTCGTCGAATGATTATATACGCAAATAAAAAAATACTAAGAAAATAAACAACCCCCCTCCTATAGTCCATCTCTAACGAACTTATAGATGGGGCGCCGCAGCCAGTGAAAGCTTCAGCCACACAAGTTCAACTACAGAAGAGTTTGAATCAGTGACCTCCCAACGTATGAACAAGACGACATCGTCAACAATCACTGGCTGGAGCATTACGTTTACCCATCTAGGGCACCTAGAAAGCTAGGCCGGACAACCCTCTTACCTTACCTATGATCGAACACTAGTAAGGCCCCTCAATTCTATCGGTTCGACTGCAAGCCGAGTGTTTTACCACTCGGCCACGTCCTTGATAGGTCAACCACGATTTGGTGTCAATTTTGAAGCAATTTTTGGCATTATAAAATATAAACTTGTTTTTTTTTTTTTTTTTTAAATTTTGGAATCGTCTGGTTAGGGCTTGGCGTTGTGCGGCAGCGCCAAGAGCGGCGAGCCGGCCAATCACGTAAGCATGTGGCTTGGCGTTATCACGTAACTATTTTCCGGGATCACGTGCTAAACCCCCGAGGGGCGCCCTCGTCGCCCATCGGATCCAGTCTGTGGAACGCCCAATCCTCAACGGATTAACCATTTTCCGAGATCACGTGCCACGAGGGACCCTTCAACTCGATATGATCCATGGATGGGATCCGATGAAATCCCCTTTTTCACGGATTAACCTTTTTCCGGGATCACGTGCTAAACCCCCGAGGGGGCGCCCTCGTCGCCCATCGGATCCAGTCTATGAACCACTCAACACTCAACGGATTAACTATTTTCCGGGATCACGTGCTCCCCCCCAGGGGGCACCCTCTCAACTCGATATGATCCATGGATTGGATCCGATGAAATCCTCCTCTCGTCGCCCATCGGATCCGGTCTATGGACCGCCCGACCTTTAACGGATTAACCATTTTCCGGGATCACGTGCCTCGGGGGCCCATGCGCTGTGATATGTGGCGACGCCAAGGCTTGTAAAGACCTTCGGAAGCGTTGTACGCTTCGTACACGCTTCGAAAGTATATAGTCTGACGGTCCCCTGGACCCTTCGAAATAGGACAAGTCCTCCGTAAAATCACATACTCGATAGATATCGATATCCTCGATATCGAGATGATCCACGCATCGGATCCAGTCTGTGGACCACCTCAGACAAGCTCTACTAGTCACACTCGAGATGGTTCCGAGCGTGAACGGGTAAGCCTCGACGTCGAGATGATCCATGGATTGGATCCGATGAGTCGTGGTATCTCATCGGATCTAGTCTGCAAACCACCCAGAGAAGTTCTATTAATCACACTCAAGATGGTTCGTAACCGAACGTGAACGGACAAGTCTTGACGTCGAGATTGGATCCGATGGGTTGTGGTATTTCATCGGATCCAATCTGTGGACCACCTAAGACGAGCTCTTACTGATCATACTCGAAATGGCTCGTAACGGGGCGTGAACGGACGAGTCTCGATATCGAGATAATCCATGGATCGGATCTGATGAAATGCTACCGCAATCGGATCCAATCCGTGGACCATGTGGCCGGGGAGCATCCTACTCGATAGAGGTCGACGTCCTGATATACCACCGCCATCGGATTCAATCCATGAACTATGTGGCGGGGAGTATCCTACTTGAGAGAAGTCAATCTCTTCGATAAATTCGTCTTATTTAATCTAGCCCGCAAATCTACGCAACGTACCACGAACGTAGAAAAATTAGTAGAGGACTTCCCAATTGACAACCTCTAGGTGAGTTATCAAGTATAATACCGTTACGAGGTCGATTTTGGAAGTTAGAGATTAATGTTACCGGGTGGTCCTAATGCTCCGCGTTAATCCGGTGGAAAAGATGACGGTGAGCCCCCTCAAGATTAGATATCTCTAATATCTTATTTCAGCCTTGTTTTGAATCCACGTGATTTAATAAGGCTAGCTAAAAGACTCGTACTAACCGCGCCATAGATCTCATGGTGTCGAACTTGTGGTACAACTTGAGTTGAAGGAGTGCTCTGTTCTCTATCAAGTTGAGGTCCTGCCTCGCATGTTTATATAGACAAAGATTGTCGCCATCTTTCGGTGTCTCCGTATTCAGCTTGTAGTCGAAACCCTTGTCCAGCTGAACATTCATTGCCACGCTGAAATCATTGTCCCATACTGTCTCACAGTTCAACAGCTATTGTCCAACACTAGGGTTATCTAGCCCAAGATGTCTTTATATATCCCGACTCCCGGTCGAGCCGGCAAGAATTGAACATATGTCGTCGCTGGCGTTGATCGATAAAACACTCTCACGAGTGGCGAGTCTGGCTTTGGGTTGGAATTTTGACAGACAGACGTATCGGGGGGATCTTTATTGAGCGCCACACAGAATTCCCTATATTTTCAGGGTCAGTCTCGTCGAACATTATCGAGTCCCTCTGAAAAAGGAGGGGGGGGGGGTCTCCTAGTAGCGAGAAGGGAATACTTACGCATTAGATTTGAAACGAATTTGAAAATCTTCACCATTGTTAACCTGGGCCCTATCGAATTCCGCATTTAATCGTCCTCCTTGCCCTACACACCACCACCGCTACCGTTAGCCCGGAGATCTCAGGTCTCGGAATCATATCTGTGGGGATCATCGAGTCAACTTACGCAGTTGTGCGACACGCTCAACTCCTCCGACCACCGCCCACTGTATTTGAGGCGTGTTGTCATTATTCGGATTACCAGAGCCTCCTTGATCCGTAGCCGCGAATGGGAACTCTTCTGCACTAATGGTGCTATCGTTCAAACGGGTTACTCCTCGGCTAGCGAGAGCTAGCGAATTTCCCGAAAATGGTGTGACATTCGCTCCACTCATTTGGCGGTTATGCCTTTTCCCATTTGAGTTACGGGTTCTATCCAGATAGGGGTTAGCGTAAGATAGTAATTGACAGTGTAGATCGTTCGGCTAGACCTACAGAGTCGAGGGCTTCTTGAGGCAGAGGATCGCATAGCAGTCCATATTACAGATGTCCTCAATGTCGCCACCACTAGAGGTAGAGGTACAGTCAATCTCCACGACCGGCGGGGCCTGGCGTGGCTGGACAACATCCTCCTTGATTGAGAGGCCAGTTAAGACATCTGTTATCTGGTCCAGGCTATGAAGAGGACGACCGAAGGAGACACTCAGGTAGGTCAGAAAGGTCCAGACAACGAGGCCGAGGAGATGAGAAGGATACATGTCGCTGAATCGTGCAGTGGTCTGTGGGCGCGAGATTAATAGTAGATAGAACAGGAGAAAGGCAGAGGAGAAATTGCTGATCAGTGGCGGTAGAGAAAAATGACAATGTCCACATTAAAGGTAGCCCTCTCGGAACCATTTTTGCTTTTATATTATGATTAGTCTCCTTCTCGGAGGATAAAATTGGTTGCTTTTAGGCTTCGTCACTACGCCTCATGCGCTTGTCATAGATCGACTAATGGAACAATGAGCGTCTCATCGAGTAGAGATACGGCATGCCTTTCCCTCCTTAATTGGCTTTGGAGATGTACGTAGCATCTCTGATTTACACCTTTGGCTCCAGAGGCAAAGCTGTGGCCGGAAAAGAGGTCAAAGTTGCCGCCAGGCTAAGACCAGGCCAACGAAATGGTCTGTTATAGTAGGCTTATATCTCATCGTTAATGGTGGAACAACATCTAAAACTTAATTATTTTTGGACGCGCCTCATCTAGCTCTGGCCGAAGCATACGTTCCCAATATTGAAGTTAGTACACCAGAAGTTCGAGTGCTGTCTGCCTTGGAGGATTCAGCCCAGGAGCCCTCTGACTATGGCAAGGTCGGCGCGTCCTGGAACACCGTCTCGATCCTTCTGCGACCGGTGTTCGAGAATAAGATGACTTATCGAACGTTCCTGAAGACTGGATAATGAGCACGTAAGGCATACACGCAGATAGAGAGACGTTGTCTTTTGTTGACCGAGGGCCATAGGATATTAGGCAAAGAGTTAACCATCAATATATATATTGAGCAGGTTACCCTCGAGACGAGATATCTCCATAGTAATTTTCTCCCTTATCTCTTCACCTACTTTCCTAGTATACATATCTTGAAACTATAGAGAGAGTACAACACTATCCTCGATTCTCAAATCGCAAACACGTGGCTAAACCGGTTTCGAGATGAATGTTTTTCTCTTCGCCTCCCTTCTTTTGGTTACCTCGTTCGCGAGGGCATGGCCTACCATCGTTCAACGTACTCCAACCCTCGGGGGGCCGCCACCGGAACTTCTTCGATATCTTGAGGCCACTGACGATAGTACCGGGTCGAACAGTAGACGGAGTATCGGGCCTCAGATCGGTGGATATCATGACCTTCCGGAGGAGCTACGACATACTTTCAGTACCCTGGATAAACGTGATCACCGGCAGAACTGTGGACCAAATCGAGACGGCAACGTGATGACTTGGGTACCCGTGGAGACCTGGATCACTACTGCGGCGACATTCTGTAACGAGGCTGCCGGCCCCGATACAGTTATCCCGGTGGAGAGAGACTCGTGCTCCGACGACAACAACCCTGAGTGTCATCAGGGATGGTTTTGGAAGTCATACGACGTTACCTTGACCGCGCAGGACGAGCGATCCCAAGGCGACCCTGGGCATGTGAACTGTAAGAGGGACCTTTGATTATCTCTCCTTTCCCTGGGGCACTTTCCTAACTAGAACATGGCAGTCTTTATCCGCAATACTAAGCGAAGCCCCGCCGGCGGTCTCAGTTTCGAGGACTGTATGCTCTACCAGAGAAAGCAGTCCAACGGGCCTGACGTGGGCGCGTCTAGGTGCTGGGGCTCGAAGAACAACGACACTAGGGGTGGTGCGTGGAGCGTCGATTCGTTTGGGCAGGTCGGAGGATACATTTACAGCGGTCATGTCACTCAGGCGTTCTAACGGAGAGTGCACGGCGTTGAACAGGAGAGAAAAGACCTCTCGGTATGTCTCGAGGCTAAGTCCCTTTATCTAACGGTACCCTGGATGGTCTTTGGTGATGACGGGGTTAGGATCTTGATAAGGATTCTGTTGAATAATTGGTGACCTGTCGTTCACAACGGATCGACTCGTTCTGCAACACTCGCTCACTAGACTGTATCACCATAGATAGGCAACAGCGTTGACGTACACTATGTAGATAGATATATAGATGGACTCTATCGGACACTCATTAGAAGAGCCAGAGCACTCCTTCAATTCAGGTTGCACACAAGAAGTTTGACAACACATAAGTATCTTATTATCCCTTGATTAATTAACAAGGGTTAGAGACAATATCTAGAATGGACTCGGGAGATCCCATACATCATCTTCAACCTTACACAGATCCCTCCCTATCTCATCGAAAAAACACCAAGGGCGTTCCGGCACCATCGCGCACGCGTAAAGAGCCTTTTCAAATTTCACACGCATGGTCTGCCAGGCATCAAGCTCGGCTTCTGCGGCATCCAGCGGGCTGAGGCTCAGAGCCTCTTGTGGCAGCCACGAATGTCGTTGAACGAACAGTAAAGTCCGGTCTCGAGCGGATCTCTCGTCGAGAACCCCGAATGAGGATTTCTGAAAGTCTGGCATTTTATCGCCGGCCAACTCTGCCTCGTAGCATCGCACGGCGATATGGTTACCTAAGGTAGCGACGGATGCTGACATGAAACCGGTTTTGAATGGCGCCACCGGCGGCGTCGTCGGCTCTCGCGAGGTAGGCTGGTCAGGTGTACGGATTAAGATCCATTTGACGTGATAGACACCTGGCTTATCGGAGGCTGTTTTTAAGAAATCATCAATCACCTGTTATAGTTTTAGCTATAAAGACAATTTATGTGATCTCCTTAAGCGCACCTCGGTCGAGAGATCGGCGGTACAAAATAAAAAGAATCGATTCATCTTCGTGTATGTACGATATCCTGGTTTATCAGAGATCAAATTGAGAGTTTTCCGGTCGTTGTAGGGAAGACTCGTTAAGTTGATCACCTTACATGAACCGGCTCAGAGATAAAATAATAGGCCGGCTTCTTTGCCAAGATGGCCTCATGTCCCCAAGTCACGTCATCGTGCCTCTACAGGTCGTTAACCGCTCACGTTCCCCTCCCCAATAATATGGGAATATTTCGGGGCAGAGTCTCTTGGCAGAGAGTTGCCTAAACACCAATTGAGCCTAGTTGTGCGACGGTCGTCCGCATGAGGGAAAGGTACCTCAAATCCCTAGTAAAATGGGGTGGGGGGGGGGGGGGTTCAGGTACCTTTCCATCCACTTTGCCTCGCTTGCATAGTTGGCCATTTTCGGTGCTCTTTTTGAACGGCGGCGTTGAGGCCTTTCGGCGGAGCTATTGGCGCTCAATTTTGGTGTTGTGTGTCAGGCTCTCTCGGCCGCCTATGTAGTCTGTCTGTAGCCGGGCCCTCCTTCCCCTCTTGCCTCCTGGCCGCGCTGTGGACCTCCATCAGGCCCATCCTGGCGCCCAAGGAGCCTCATGCGAGTCTCATGCGAGTCTCAAATGATCACCTGCTCCTTTGCCTGGCTGTATCTTGCAGTGTGATTGCGCCTCCTCTTACCTCTTCCAAATGCCGCTAGCGCTGTTGACGCAGGTAGGTCTATACAAAGTGTGAATCGAGCAACAATGAGGTTAAAGAGCTCGCCAATGGCCTGTGTGTGTGAGTGCTCGAAGTCGATGTTCGGCACCTCAATTTGTGTGCCGATTTCCTAATTAGGGATTTGAGGGATCTCGCTATCTTGTGGGCCACCCCGCACAGCTAGGCTCAATTAGTGCTTAGACCTACTACTCATGGTACGCAACTCTGCCAAGAGACTCCTCCCCGATACATTCCCAACAGTATTAGATATAGTCCGAAAAGGGAAGGTTAGGTAGAAAGATGGCCCCTTCGTTTCTCCTTCGCCACTAAATAAGGCCGCGGCCACCTAAAGGTAGCATGTTCACCTAGACAATATCTCTTTATGGAGACTAGAAGGTCTCGTTATCATGGCCCGGCGCCTAACCAGAGGTTCAGGCGTTTAACGACGAGGTGGGCGAGGTGGCACATCTCTTCCGACCAGCACCACGGCCCTCGAACGGGTGACAGCCCAGTCTCACCATTTCTGGTAGCGAGGCTATAGCCATTACCCATCCCTCAATATTACGCGCTTTATGCCCTTAAATTCGTTCGACGTTACGTAGCCGCCAAGGCATACTGCGAAGTGAGTCAAGAATGTAATAGTACCATACAGTGCCAGGTATATGAAACAAATTACCTGAATCACCAGGTGAGTAGATCTAGGCTGAGTGAGATATCCCTAGGCCCACATCGATGGAGTATATTCATCGTCCCTCGCGGCCGGCGGCTAGCCATACCGTAGGCTACATGCCTCACCTGCGACGAGATATCTCGACGAGATATCATGACCCAACATGTCTGCACTCAACTCGAGGCCACCGTGAATACCTTTTCGCAAAGATCTTGCTCCTCCACCCTGATATTTTACTCTGTTAACCTCCGTATAGTGGCAGGTTCAGAGATCATCGTTCTTATTACGACCATATCTAACCCTCTCGCTCTATCATTTAAAATATGCCAGGCGGCGTGGAGGACGTTAGAGAAGATACGGGGCTCCTTACGTTGACAAAGAGTGGTATTGTTCGACGACTTACCCGACCCCGGCTATGGGTTCTCCTCGGCGCCCTTCTCTGCTTTGGGGCCTTCAGTTCCATGTTTGTCTAACCGATATCATCCTCCTCCCTCTCCCTTTCTATCTCTTCGATTCTCGGGCCTCACCACTAATCTTAGTCCCAGGTGCTGGTTTTTTCTCGTGCTCTGGCTGCGGCAGCGGCTCTCCCCAGCGTTCCCGAACAGCGGATACGGACAGATCCTCGAACAATGGAAGGCCCCATCGCCGAAGGGGCCCTGGCTTCCCACATTGCCCCAGGAGCTCGGCGGTGATATTATACCGGTCCCCTGTCATAGCCACAACGACTACTGGCGTCCTGTCCCGTTATATGGAGCGCTTGCCGTGGGCTACACCAGCGTCGAAGCGGACATCTGGCTGGATTCGGACACGAATCGATCGAGCGACCTCTTAGTAGGGCACTCTCGAGGGGCGTTGACCCCGGAGTGCACGCTATCTAGCCTCTATATCACCCCTCTCGTCCAAATCCTCGACCATCAGAACGAAGGACAGGACGCCGTGGCGCCTCGGGTCGGGGTGTACAACCTTGAGCCAAACGCCACCCTCGTGCTCCTCCTCGATTTCAAGGAGAGGGGGGCGGACCTGTGGGAGCTGGCACACGAACAAACAGAGCCACTGCGCCAGAAGGGCTATCTCCGCCACTGGAACGGGACCGACCTGGTCCCTGGCCCGATTACCATCGTCGCGAGCGGAGAGGCCGCTTTCGACCTCGTCGTCTCCAACACCACATACCGCGATATTTTCTTTGACGCCCCCCTCGAGAAACTCGTTGTTGACGATCGCTACAACTGGACCAATTCGTACTACGCTAGTTCGTCCCTCGCTCGGGCGGTCGGAACTCCGTGGCTCGGTCGGCTAAGCACATCACAGCGGTCAACCGTCGAGCTCCAAGTGCAGGCGGCCCGCCAAAGAGGACTACTGGCGAGGTACTGGGGCACCCCTTCCTGGCCAGTCTCAACTAGGACGGCGATGTGGAGAACTCTGGTTAGCCTTGGAGTTGGTGTTTTGAACGTCGACGACCTAATCCCGGCCGGCCTGTGGAACTGGGACTGGTGTGTTGTGGCCGGTGTTTCTCTTTGCGGTTAAGACGAATAGGCCTTGGATTCTGTTGAAGAGTAGCTAGTGCTCCGTTCTTGGGAAAAGAGGTTACCGTTCCTATTCAGGACATAGGGTAGGAAAAGGAGTAGAAAAGGGGTCAACCAAGCGCGTATATATACTAGCAATCGAGGAGGATCAGTCGGCAAAGAGACAGAGCATTCCATACATCTTATTTGCACCCTTCAATTTTGACATCTTGATATTGTATTGAACACGTTCGACACTCTATGCTTTGATATCTATTTCTCACTAACTTCCACTATGGTCCTGCCCTTCATGATCATATGGTCATACCTGCCTCAGGTCTACCGCCCCGTTAGTCGTGGCTCGACATTCGGCATCGCCCGCAGTTATGTCCCTTTCAATTACCCGTTCACCGCTACACGGTTCACAGCCATCCTATTACTGTCCTGATTTCACTGCCCCGTGCTCAAATTCATTCGGAACCGCGAGCTAAAAGACCTTGATGGTTATGGTGCTCTGGGCCTTGGTCAAATCGCGACGCAGTGGCTTGGGTCAGCCTTTACATAAGTTTCTGCTATCCTCCAGGACGAAGCCAATGCTAGCCACCCTGCAGAGTTATTCTATTCTTCTATATCCGAACACTACCAATCATCACCTTGCCGAACCTCTCCCAAGACAACGCTTGTTACTATAACAACAACCATCCCACTATGAACAAAACCAGCACCCAATTCGGGGAAAGCTGATTGCTTCTCTCTACATCGGCCACGGTCTGGTCTGAGTACTCCCTGCTTTCTGGATAGCATTGTAACCAGACTCGTAATTTTCGTAGGGGCCTAGCCATGTTCGTGGGACTTTGCGGTATGATCTGCACTATCGTCCTGATCATGTCGCAGTTCCCTTCTCGGAATCAACTGGATGTATCGCCTAGAACCCCGAGGCAAGGGATAGAACAGAGCCCCTGGAATCGTTGACCCATTCACATGGTACCATATTTCCTCTTGGCCGTATATTAATAACGATATTTTCGGTGTTGGCCAAGGAGATCTCTTCCTTATTTACGTATTCCAGATGTTCAGGACCAATCAGGAGGTTCTTCCATTTCCACCATCACCATCAACGAAAGGGCTGGCCTCCTGGCATGATCCGGCATACGTCGAGGCGGAAAATGTTTCCTAGACCACCACTTTCAGCGCGTGACTGCGAACGGCCTTTTGCCCATCCCATTGAAGAGACAGTCGAGATCAAGGAGAACCATGAAAGACAGTCGCGTGAAGATTTGATGCTATTTGTCAAATTGAGAGAGTCCGCTGGCCCTGCGATTGAAGGAGTCTTGCCAGATTGTTGGTGGTTACCAAGAAGTGAAATTGAGTATTGTGAGTCAACTGGTGTTGCTCATTGGAGCAAGTAAGGTCCGGTTTATGGACATCATCGTGTATGGTCCGGTACAGGGTCGGCTTATCACGGGACTATGCTACAACATGCTCGAGTCATTCCAGTGACACAGCAGGTAGAACACCATCCCTACCTCGCGCCGCCAAGTCTCATCAAACTGGTCAAGGAAAATGGCATCGCTGTGACTGAGTATTCTTTTCTTGGATCAGCTGTCTTTCCGAGAACGGGGACATCCAAGCTACTGCTCAAGCTGCATTTCCATTAGCTTGAGGACGGCGAAAATGAAAAGGATTAGCGAGAAGAATGGCAAGACAGTGTCTCAGTGTCTCAGGTTCTCTTGATAGATGAGCAACTTAACGAAGGTATTGCTGTGATTCCAAAGAACAAACAGCCCAGAGAGGACTGGTTCAAAATCTGGACTGTTGCTCCTCCGATTTGGATTCAAACGACATGGCATCACTGAATTGTTTGGATAAGGGAGTTTGTTGGTTGGGATTCAATGATCCTCTGCATGTAAATGTTCCAGTCTCCAGTCGTTCGGACCGAATTGCTAAGCATTATTCGGAGCCGGTTCATATATTCCAATCTTGGCTAGATGCAATGAAACTGGATATCATTGATCATGGACAACGATTGAAAATCCCGTAGGAGAATAGAAACAAAGATCGAGGATTGAAAAACCAAAATTTTTTGAATCTCACACCCCGGAGATCCAGCTGACACCGATCAATGAATGATGGATACCATCAGGCTTATTTTTCGTTTGGCCCGAAATGTCGGACTATTCATTATGACGTGAAGCACATATTTCTCCAGACAACGTGCAATTCAGTTCTTCACAATTGAAAGGATAGATATCTATCATTAGAGGTGTTCTCGCAAATGCCGATACTTCGCTGGCCAGATTCCTTGTTTTCCAGGCGAAAGAATACCCCGTGGGTCAACCGTATCCTGTTTCCCGTTTTGTCAGTTTTAAGTTGAAGCCAAAAAATGGTTGGGAGCATGAAACCTTTAATCTTTCGACAAATCTTCGGTAGGCATGATCATTGAAATCGTATGCATCCGCAACAAGATCTGAAAGATTTCCAATCAGCAATGGCGCCATCATCGCGTGAGAGCGCTAAAACGTTACCCATATAGTTGACATGTGATCGGTATTTGCTGAAGCCTCTTTGACGGCCTTCCTTGTACAGGCTGCGGAATATGGTATCAACCGCCTTCCGATGCTCAGGGTTGGCCTTGTCGAATACCATCATGTTGACGAAGATGACATGCCGCTCGTGCATGAAGAAGTCACAGAACAGATCAAATTTCTGGGCCTCACAAATCCGTCGGGCCGTTCGCACCCATTCCAAAACCGTCTTCCCGGAAGAAGGGATGATCGGAGAGTAATCAGCATGAGCACCAATGCCAGTTTTCTCCTTTGGAAGCCGATATTGGGCCATTGGCAAGCTCCACAAGCTGGGCACACCGACGAAGAAACCGCCATGGTTGCCGGGAACGGACGTGGCCTCTAGCAGCTCGTCGTCACTCTCCCCAGAAAAGATGTGACCCCGAAGCCGATGCGCCGAATCTGGTACTTTCTTGCCGATGATTCTTTTGAGCTCGTCAAAGTGCGCTTGGACCACCGCTTGTGCTCCATACAGCCCGAATTTGACATTCCAGTATCCAAGGTCCAGCTGCTTTTGAAGCTCACGAAGACGTTGGTCAGGAATTGGGCCTTCTTCTGGCCACAGCTCCGCGCGTTTACCGGTCATACCCAACCACTCGACAATGTTCGAAACATATACCGTATTCGGTAGCAGCCCATCTCTTCGCCAGGCTCCGAAAATCTCCACAATGACCTCGACGTCCTCGAAGTCGGGCATGTCAAATGAGCAAGACATGTAGGCTTGCGGCTGTGGATGAAGCCAAATACCCATTTTCGTGACAATTCCAAGGTTGCTCTGCAAGAAGAGACCTTCAATGGATGGACCAAACGAGAACTTCGATAAGTGCGCTGATGCAGAGTTGGAAATGGCAAACTGTCCTGTTCTGACGATATCGCCGTCGGCAAGCATGACTTCCAATCCACAGATATGCTGATGATGTGTTGCTGTCGGTGTGAAGCCTGTACCACGATCTACTGTCTAGAGAATTCCATTAGTTGAACTTGTTTCGGCAAAAGCATGTGTCTGAACTTGCGTTGCCAATCACACTCCCCCAACCCAGCGACGGCACACTTGGCCAGACACGGAGCTTATTCTTCGCACAGTACAAGTAAAGATCGGTAAAGGTCACGCCAGGTTCGACCACCGCATATGAGAATTTGTCGTTCACTTCGATGATCTTATTCATTCGATGAAGGTCAAGGGCAATCGAGCCATTTAATCTTGGTGCTGGTCCACCATACCTGCACCAAGTCAGCTTCGCCAATGTCCTTTTTGGTGGGGGGATGATTGATCATCATTTTATTACCCCAAGTTTTTGCCACGAGAGAAGGTCCATACTGGAATCCCGAACTTGTTGGCAATTGTCAAAACTCCACGAAGCTCTTCTGTCGAGCACGGACTGGATTTGTTAGTAATTTTGTGAGCTCAACTGGAATTCCCATGCTCACCACACCGCAGCACTGGGCATTTTCCTTTTCCCTTCCTGTTCCCAGAGTTCGTACGGATCCACATACTCCTCCAGTGCATTTCCAACAAAGACATTCTCTTTGCCGACTATCTTCTCAAACTCGGCGATGGAAAGGCTGAAATCTGCTTGATTTACGCTAGGGGGAAGCACATTCTCCAGCGGACACAGAAGCGTTCCGGAGAAGAGTTTCTGGTGATGAGACTGGTATTCTGGATCTTCGTATCGAACCGGGAATTTCAAGTTGCTAGAGCCCATTGCTCACAACCCACTCGCTATACGAGCGTACCGAACTGACTCTCTGGGGGGAAGGGGTCCTGGTTAATTCGGTGATTGATGGGTGAAATTTGTAATGTGTCCTACTTTGAAGTAATTAATTTATCTGCCCATCAGCCGAGACATCCCTTCCCCACGATCACTACTCCAACTGGGGTATTTGCATCGCTACCCCGACCCCACATTAGCGTCGAACCCCACTATCTGCCGTTGGCGAGAAAACTCGGTATGTGACCGAGTTGTCTGCAGTCATCAAAAGAAGGGCACGGGCTTTGATAGAAGACATCAACGAAGCCGCTCACGATGTTATCATCACCATGCGTGACGACGGTACAGTTCAGATCTGCTGGAGGCAAGAGCGTAGCGATGTATTCAATGCCATTTCCCGGGGCGCGGGCAGAATTCAGGGCATGTCTAGGCGCGGGTGGTTTTTGCGGGCCCCGTCCAAGATATATGTGCGCGAGCCCGATCAACGGTCCATCTAGGGTCTTCGAAAATCGGTGCTGATCGCCATAATAGTATCTCCCTATAGCGAGGATGGCCTGACTTTCACGTCCCGGGTACCCTGATCCGGTCACAAGCTCTCATGACCATAACAAACAAAGCCGCGTATTCTATGATTTTAGGGAAGACTTGTTCTACTTCGAGGGTCGAGGGCGCTGTCCTCTTCGTACGCGCTTCGAAGCCATATATCTCAGAACTTTCCTCGGCGGCTAGCGTTCGCTGCCGTGGCCTCGTAGATCACTATTTGTGGTGCAGTGAATAACACACCCTTCAACCGGCCGGCAGCCGCCTTTTTGTCGGCCGTATTCTCTGATGATTCGCAAAGGAGAGCGATGTAGAAACATGCAAAGCGAGGAGAAATAAAACGTCAGACTTCTTGTGCAACTCGAATTGAAAGATTGCGCTCTGGCTCTCCAAATGAATCCGGATAGGGCCCATCTATATACCTAGCCTGTGTTGTAGCCTGTCAATGGTGATGTATCCTAGCATACAACCACCCCACAGCATGCGGCAGCTAGGCGCTAACAATGGTCAACAAAAAAGTTATCTGCGTAGAAAGTGGCGGCACGGCGCTGTTTAATCGAAATCAACCACTTTGGTCAAGATCCATCCTCATCATCACTTTCTCTTTCCAAAGATATGGATGTAATATTTGTTCCAAAGTAGATTCCTTGACACATTCCTTCGGGGTTCCGGCCTTTCACAAGTCGAACCATGGACTTGTACAATTTTCAGTCAAAGCCTTCATTCACGGCGAAATCAATGATGCACAGGAAACCTTGCGGGTGGAGCAATGCCCCAGAAAAAGTTCCATATCCTCAGAGCAATCATTCATCTACCGTAGATACGCTTGTGTTTCCTGCCTCAGCAGGTTGACTGGACACACGAAAGGAGGTGTCAACCGGAGTACGCCATCACGGCGTGGCCTGACATGTGGTTGTTTCAGGCGTTTCAACATCAGGGAATCTCTCGCATCCGGTTACAGGTTTGTAACAAGGGCAAGGGAGCAGACTTCTCAATAATCAATCAATCGATAAGCTTATCAATAAATATGGGCTTAACAATCAATACATATTGATTACTGAGAATTCTGGCAGGGAGGTGTTGACTGGTACCCAACACCTATACAGACGTCAACAGCCTGTAGACGGCAGGAGAGAGGAGGACAAAGTTGAAAACACGACAACATATAGCGTATACTTGTGTAACGGGAGGATCTACAAGCATGCCAGGGTAGAAGAATGTGTTTTTTGGGTGGGGGATGCCTTTTGCGTGGATGAATACATTTCATGAACCAAGTCATATCGAGTATCAGGACACAATCTAAGTAAAAACACAAGAAAAATCCAAACCCAGGGCAATTCAAATACTCAACAAGATCCCGTGAACAAACAAACCAATAGCTCCAACAGCGAAAACACCAAGGGCAGTCCTGCTGAGGCTCGTCTCTTCCACAACGCGGTGAATCCTGGTAACGCAGTGATTTCGGCTCAAGGCATCGATCTCATGGCTTGCAGTCCCAAAGGCAATGTAATCTGCCCATTCAACAGTAGTAAGGTTTTTCTGATAATCAATGGCAGTTCCTGCCCAATTATTGGTGATGATCCCGTCATCACGTTTCCACCAACTATTGCAGTTGGGGTCTGAAAAGGAAGTCTTCTGCAAAGCCATTTGTAGGCTTGAAAAGTAATTCAAGGTTTGCTCTTCTGATGGACACAAAGCTAAGCTTTGTCCCTCCCGTCTAGCTTTGAGAACTTGATCGATTAGAACCGAGATGTACTTGGTTTGAGCTTCGATCACCAGGATCAGAGAATTGTGCGAGAGATTGGTGTTTGGGCCATACAGCATGCCAAAATTTGGAAGATCAGGCACAGTGACTCCTTTGTAGGCATGAGAAGCGTTTGCCCATATCTCTTTCAAAGGTCTTCCGTTTCGACCGGTGATTTCCATTGGTGAGAGAAAAGAAAAGGTGTCAAATCCGGTGGCCAAAACTATCAAGTCAAACTTGTCCGCTGAACTATGGCCAACAAACTTAATACCATCATCAGTAAATCGCTCGATCTTGTCCGTCTCCAGCTTGACATTCTTTCTAGCAAGTGTTGGGTAGTAGTCATCACTGATGACGGTTCTCTTGCATCCGGGATGGTAATTCGGAGATAGTTTTCCCCAGAGATCAGGACGGTCAGGGAGTTGTTGTCGTATTAGATTGTGGTTCATGGACCTCATCAGGTCGGCGTAAGGGGAGTCGGACTTGGTGACTGCAGAATGAAACGATTCTCGAAAGTCCATCGCTTCTGCACGACCTCGCCAACGAGCAGGAGGAAGATACGTATAGATCCAACGCTTCCATTGCGGGATCTCGGAATCATGTCGAGGAATGACCCAGGCAGGAGTTCTTTGGCAAATGGTTAGCTGTGAGGCAACCTTTGCCACCTCCGGGGCTATCTGAGCCGTCGTTGCGCCTGAATCGATTTTAGTATGTGAAAGAGGTAGGGGGGAAGGGGGAGAGATGAGCAAATTATATTTACCAGTTCCAATGATTGCAATGCGTTTACCTGACATATCATAGCTCCAATCCCACCGGGCAGAATGCATGATCTTTCCTTGAAAGTCCTGGTAACCTGGAACATCAATGCCTTTGGGTTTGTTCAATTGACCGGTTCCAGTAACTAAAAAGTCGCTGGTGATTTTGTACGAGGACGAGAACTCTGACTCCTTCCCTCCACCGATTGTGACGGAAATTTCCCACTTGAATGTCTTGTCATTCCAGGCGGCAGCTTCAACAATGGTGTGGAATCGTGCATATTTGTATAGACCATACTTCTGTGCAACATCTGTCAAGTATTCCTAGCTCGAGATCAGTCATGTATGTTGACCAGAAGGACCCCAAAACTCAACCTTACCAAGATTTCTTCCTGGCCAGGGTATCGGCGGGACCATTGAGGATTTTGGGCGAAAGAGTAGGAGTAAAGGACACTGAAGACATCACAACAGCAGCCAGGAAATTTGTTGTCTCGCCTAGTATTTTGTTAGCCCTTCTACAAAACCCTTCTCCCAGGTCCCAGCGCGAGAGTAAACTTACCAAGTTCCACCAAAACCACCACTTTTCTCTAAAATGACAAAATTCTTTATATTCCGATTCACCAACAAGTCAATTGCAGCGCACATTCCAGATATACCACCACCAATAATGACAACTGCCGTGTTGGTGAGGTTCTGATTGCTGACAGGGATTTCGGGCCATTTGGAAGTGTCGGCATTCTTATTGGTAGGAAGACGATATGAAGGCAAATAGCCTGACTTGGAGGACATTCTTCTTGTAGTTGCCGTTCTGGAAGATGGGTGCTGGTCCAAAAAAAGAGAAATGAACAATAGCAGGAAAAAAAATTTCAACTTGAATGAGTTCAGATTGTAACCTCAGACATATATGGAGGCGAATGTTGCATGGCTTCCAGGCTCAAGTACCGAGCCTTTCGATATATGAACTGTCTCTTCATGACCCTTCATACTCTCGTCAGATTTCATTTCAGCATCTCAGGGGAGACAAATTGAAGTAATACGCAATGCGGTAGCTCTTCTTGACGACTAACCCAAGTATCGGCATCGGTAGATGTTTGACTTTGACATTGGTGCCAGAATTGGAAGTATGGTAGTCGGCCTGTTCGGTCATCGATGGCAACATGACAGAGGAATGTTTGATGTCATATCGAAAGAACGATTGTTCAGGAAAAGCGAACATTCCAATTGGTGTTCGCGAACAGTTCCTGAAACAGAGTCGACGTCCAATCGGTGGATTCGCCCGGACGTTTAATACCCAGCCCAAACACGCCAGTCCCAAAAGAGTAGTTGACCATGGTATGCACCCAACATGAATCCGAGGTCCGGGCTCCGACTCCTCTTGGTCTATGATGAGATGTTATCGCCTATGTCAGCAAAGAGGAGACTCCATAAGCAAAACGTTTTCGATGGATGCCCAACCTTACACCCAGGTACTTTCAACTAGCCGCTAAACTCATCCCCCAGGAAACTTCGTTATTCAGGCGGTGCCCATCATATACGATGAGCATTGGATGAGATATTGTGCCCCATAAACTTGGGCTACGAGAACAAGAGTACTCATTCTGGAGAACAGCGGGAACACAAAATGATAAGTTCGGTACAAATTCTCGCGTATTGAACCACTTTCGCACTAGTTTGCTCAAGAGAAAAACCCATGTGGAGTCTTCAAAAGTCTTTTTCCATACTGCTCTTGTTCGATGGACTAAAAAATGTAGCATACCCTTGAAAGCCAGATATGCGAAAACAAAGGTAGCGAGTGTCAAAGACGCATGGCCATGTCGGCTGTTCGATATTCTCGTGCACACTGTAAAGGAGTCCTTTTTTTTTTTTTTTTCTTCTCCTTTTTCCCCTCTGGTTCATGGGAGTGGTGTGATCAGCTTTCAGTCCCGATCATAACCTGGGCATTGGCATAAAGAAGGATGATAGGGTGATTTGGTGGTATGTTTGGGTCCCTTCTTCTAGAAAGGCGCCAATCCCTCGACCGTACTTGACGTTTGGCAGGCCCACCGGGCTTCCAGGAGACGCTTTCTCCTTCGGAGTTCTTAACGCCTTGATTGGGAGTTGGACAGAGGCTTGCTTTATTTCTGCTCCTAACGATGGATCATACGGCCAGCTGACAAAGAATATTTGAATTTCTCCACTTTCCCAGTACTGATGATCTTCCCAAATACGAAGTCGTCGTCCTTCTGGAACGTCGCTAGCTGATGTGACATTAAGATTTTCCTCCTCAAGTTCCATCAAGGTTTGTAAAATGGTACTGCCTGTGGAACCTTGGAGGTCACCTTCTGTTCTGTTTGTCTTATCGAGCAATTCGATAGCTAACCGACGAATCATTGGATCTCGACATCTTCCAGCGACGAAAACCAAGGTGTCAATAACACCGGAATCAATTCCAAATGAGACATTTCGGAAAGTTCGGGTTGGGTTGTCAACAGCTTCCCTGTACAATTCAATGATCTCGGCGAATTTCTCGACATGGACATCGTAACTACATTCTGTAAGCGTCCCCAGGGTGTCGAGGAGAATTGATGCAACAAGGGCAGCAGCTTTGAGAAGTTTTTTGGAGGTAATCAGGGCTTCGTATCGTTCCAGCGCTGTTATTCCAGTTCCATCGAGAGCTACAATCCAGGTTGACAGCAATGTGTGTACCTGTGATCGGTCATCACCGGTCGAAATTGATGGGTCAATGTTTTCTTGCGCCCACTCGACAATCTCTTCAAGTTTGTTGCGGGCCTCGAGCAAATTGCTAAAGCAATGAGGTATCTCTGGTAACGACAAACGGTGTTCTATTCTGCTTCGTTTAATGCTTGCGCTTAGGGCGAGAGCGGAAGGGGCATCGACAATGCTGCAAAACCTCATGCGCAACCTCTCAATGATGGGGCGAAGGAAATTGTTCAATACTGTCTTTTCACTGTCAGCCAGAATTAAATCCCCAGAGTGAAGTCTTTCGTCGATGTCGGTGATTAAACTGTGGCCAGATCTGAGTAATTGGTAGGCAGTGTGACTGTCTTGCAAATTCTGCAAGCATATAAAGATGATGCAGGAGATTAGAGTGGCTATATCGGAGACAGCAGTCTCAAAAGCCATTCGAGACGCTTTGCTGCTTTGATGCAAAGCCAATTGTTGCAGATGGGATCGTTCGTCCGACTCTCCGTCTACCTCTGAGGATTCATGGAGTGCACCCAAGGCAACTACCCCATGGAGGACGGAACGGTTCAGGTGACAGGCTTGGAGGATGAGTTTGTTCCAGAATGATGCATCTTTCCAGCCCGACCATTCTGGGGCGGTTCTCTGACAGAAAAAGACTAAGCTTCTCAATTCTTGAGGATCCAATCCTGGAAAGGTGCTGATGGCTTGAAGAAATCGACCTGAATGACCAGTTGGAGATGCGGACGCAGAGAGCAAGGCACGTTGTTGATGACCAGCTTCGTCTGCTTGTGGATCTCGTACATTGGTGTCCAGTCGAAGACCATGCTGCCTTGCTGTGATAGGCTTCAAATTCTGTTCAGGTGAAGAGTCTTTCTCTTTGCGATTGGATTTGCCCTGGTTTCCAGAAGATTTGGCAGCGGCTTCTTGCGCAGCTTTCGCTTTCAATTGGCGTTCATGCTGGACATGTTTACGAATCTGTCTGGTTTCGGCCTTTGAGCTTCGCGAAAGAACCGTGGAGCCCGAGTCCTTATTAATCCAAAGCAAGGATTCTGGCATTATTCGCAACTAGTGGCCATGTGAAAAATAAATAAAAATAAAAAAAAGAAAGAAAAGAAAAAAGGAATTCGGTCAAAGCTAGCTTTCAGGGACCCTATCCACTAGAAAAATTGTGGTAGTTAAACAATGGCAAGATAGGGAATCAATTGGTCTTGGATGAGAATGAAAAAATGATGGAGAACTGCTTCAAATGGGATGTTGGGCATTTGTGCGGCATCGTAATCTCTCTTTGGAGGAGTAAGTGGTTGAAAACCAACTAGACGCCCATTCTGAGTGCACGAGTTCGTGGGTTAACAATCGAGGTTGCGTATTATCGGCCCATCGGGGAGAGCATGGGCCGTTTCAATTTGCTGCAACCCATTCCATAGTTTGACTTGGCTTGCAGTGTTCTCTCGGATTTTGGTCGCCTTGTTGACGAAAGCTCATCAAGCGAGAGGCGGGTTGCGGGAGTGGGGTTTATCGCCGCGATCAACCTTGGAAAAAGAGATGGTCCGAGACGGTCCAGATTCGGAGCTAGAGAATCACATACTCCCCCCTCTCATTGCAAAGTGATATTTTGATGGCGCAAGTTGCTCGATCAATGGGACTAATCTCTGGCGCCGCGGCTGGGGGACAGCGGAAAGCTATTCATTTCGCGCATTCACAGTAATCATGGAGAAAATATCTTCTAATACTCCACTTTCATCTTGGGGAAAAAGCCGGGGGGTTTTATCAGAAGAGTTGTTCGGATGCAGAGGAAGGGGGGGAGGGGCGGCGACTTATTCCCTAGGCAAAGAACGACATAAACATTACTTATTCTTATTGGGTGGTACCGAGTCCGGGGGGATCATGATTTGAGTGCGGCTGCCTCCATCTCCTTGTTCTTTCCACTACCATCATCCGCGGATTGTCCCTCCAGAATTTCAGTACCTTCGTGGGTAAATTGGATATTGATCTTGGGACCCTTGAACCATTTCCTTCCACTGATAGCGTACCAGGTCATCGCAATGGACATGGTACCCCCGTAGATAAGACATGTCCAATTCATGGTCTTGGGAGTCAAGTCTTTTCCTTTAACAGCAGGGAAGCATAAAGCCGGAACGATCAAACACCACCAAGCACAGGCAATAGCCCCCAAGGGGCTCGACCATCGCCCAAGGCTCCATGGGCCTATAAAAGAATCAGTGGAACTTGTCATGCCAAAAAAAAAAAAAACGCACCGGGTTTGAATCGGCCCTTGTCAAAGAACAGCTTCAAGGCAATAGGAGCAGTAAAAGACGTGTACTGAGCAATGGCGCCAATGCTGAATACTGCACCGATGGCAACAGGACTTGCAAACATCAACAAACCCAGTAAAGCTGAAACCATCAGAACTCCCCACGTCGCATAGACTGGAGTCTTTGTTCTCGGGTGAACTTGTTTCCACCACCTCGAACCGGGAATAGCACCATCGCGAGAATAGGCAAAAACAACACGAGTTGCCGTGATGGTGCAGCCTTCGCCGACGAAGAATTGGGCGACAATGTTGAGGGAAAACATGGCGAGACCGGCATTCTTCCCGAGTACTTGTAGGCATAGACTTCCAAATGGTTGTCCATACTGGCCAGCAACGACGTCGGTGATATCTTTGACGGTATAAACTATCACGAAGATAATCGCCCAGCCCAACCATAGCCCAGATTGCGCTGTCATGACAATGGCTCGTGGCGAGGCGATATTTGCATTGCTGCATTCCTCCGAAAGATGGAATGGTGCATCATAACCCGACATAGTCCAAATAGTCGTCAAAAACCCCATGATGGTGGCCCAGCCGATGGGCCACTCGGTTCCATTTTGAAATTCTGTCCAGACGGCGTGACTGTCGTTGGTTTTGGGGTGGTTGACGGAGCCAACCGGGAACCAGATGATGAAGATGATCAATACCGCAAGGTTCCAGATGGTGCCAATTTTGTTTAGCCAGCCGATGAACCAGGTTGACTGCATAGTAAGGACGCCGTTGAGGATGAGAAGTGCCAGCAAGGTGAGATAGACATGCCATGTCTCCGGGGTGTAGTCGGGATACGCAATCATGCCGCAGGTAATCAGCATGGAAGCCAGCGCGTAGTTGACCGAGCAAGGTCCAGTCACGAATCCGCAAAAATTCGACCAGCCAACAAACCAAGAACAGACAGGACCCCATCCTTCAGGTGCAAGAACGGCGGCAGCATAATACAACCCGCCTGCGGTTGGCATACTGGAGCACAATTCAGCCATGCAGAAGGCGGTTGATTGAATGATCAATGCAGCCACAAGCCATCCCCAAATGGCACCACCAGTACCTGAATAGCCTAAACTGTAGGCGATGGTGGAGGCAACCGATGGCAGAAGTCCCAGAACCGAGAATGACACCGAGAATGACTCCCAGATTGTGAAATCTCTGCGCCTGAATCAGCACGAGATCCTCATGCAAGCGGCCCCAGTTCACACAAAACTAACCTCTTGAACTCCTGTTTATAACCCAATGCACCCAAGGTCACCTCATCCTTGGTGGCACCTTCTTGTAGGACAGCATGGTCGCCGCGCTTGGTAAATACGGATGTGACACCGACAGTATTTTCATCAACAACTGTGATGGAGCCTTTCCTAGTGGTCGCCATAGTTGTCAAGGATTGAATAGAGTGATGAGAATGGGTGCCGTTCCTTGCGAAGTAGCGAACGAAGGTCGAAAGAGAGGAGGGGGCCCCAGCAAAGACCTTAAAAAAACCCACCTCCTCAATCCCTTTCACCTTCTTGTCGACAATTAGGCGAACCCGATAAGGTGGTGGTGTCGTTCGGACAAAGACGCAGGATTCGATGCGTCCACGATAAAATGTGTAGAGGGGGCACTATTCCCCAATGTAGCAGGAGAGTTGAAAGATGGGACATTTTGACTCGTTGTTGGAAAGCGGCTTGGACTCCAAATGATCGTTATCATCTGGGTGATTGGTGGACAATGATTGAGGGTTATCAGTACCAAGCTTAGACCCCTTCACCTTGACGTTTTCTTGTACAGTACGTGCTTTCTAGTTTAGTCTTGGGTCAAGGCCGTACCCATCTTGCTTAACGGATGCTTGGTTGAACCTTGTGCGAGTGGCTTGCCCTCATTCGGTCGCCGTAATTCTTTTTGAATCGCTTTATCAGTCGACCGCTAGAGAAATTTGGCGAGTCTTCCACGTGGCAAATTGATACCATTCTCCGTGTGCATGCTGAAATGTATTCCTACGTGGCTTAGGGGTTTGGGCGATATGCGCTGTGATGGGTAGACCCCCGAGACTCAAGGCCACCAGGTTCAAGCACCTGGAGTGGGATTTTGTGTCATATGTGGAACGTCAAGAGTACTGAATGAAAACGAGGGGATGCCTGTTAACTCCTACGTCAACATGGAAGCATTCCCATTGTTCCTGGATACTGGAGCGAACCCTGAAATCTAGCAAACGGAGCAAATTCTGAGTGGTACTCACGAGACTAGTACCTGCTGCAGCTTGCTGCGGAATTGGACGAAAATTCGTTTCGAGGTTCTAGACCCAATGCCAGAGGACAATGGGTATGCTTCAAGGAGAGAAGACTCAGTTTGACGAGAAAAATGGAGCTATCATCAGAATGTTCCCTGCCATCATCACCTGAAATTGCAAACTACGATGAAGCCCTACACGACGCCGTAAGCTTATACACTCAGAGATCAATTTCGAACCGATGAATCTCTCTCACACAAGCAACGTGAAATGTAAAGAACTGTCGTAGCAATGCTTTCACGATGTCGACCGGGGCGGGTTTGCGAGTGTAGATGAGAAATGTTAACACAAGCCATAGATGGCGGTTCGAACAGCATTTATGCATCAAAGCAACCCAACCCAATCGAAGTGATCAGCGTGCTGTTTTCACAACAGCTTCATATCTCTGGGCCTTAGGAGAGAGTATGCAATGATTAAGCAAAACTCATAACGCGAACATTGGATATGGCCTTTCCACAGAATGCAGTAGAAAACAAGTATGAAATATATGGGAATTTAACCATTGTTTCGTCCCAGAGAGGAGAAACGTCGGAGACGGCAGTTGAAAGGAAAACTCGCTTTTGCTTGCGCAAAAGTTCAACACCAAACAGATTCATATCTTGGGAACGAAATCGACGGCGACACACTTCAGGGTGGTGCCAATGTGTTTGGAGGAATCACAGGTTTGCGGGAACACGTGGCGTGATGCTCGGATTCTGGAAGAGGGTTAGGGCAGTGAGATACCATATGCCTGCGTGAGAAGGATCAGTCTCCATTATTGTTATCTCCTGCAGTAATTCAGCGAGTATGAGACAAGGGAGAAGAACAAACCTGAAACAGTTGGGGGGATGGGTCAGGAGAAAAATGGAGAAGGCAGAGTCGCAGGCGAATTCCCATGGCAGCAGTCAGATCGGGTTTGTGACCAACGAACGAAGGGATGTTTGATGTTAGGAACTGGTCCGGCTGAAAAGGGGGCGTACAGAATAATGCTGCGTCACCTTTTTTTTGGGAGAGGGGCAGAGGAGATGTTCCCCTCCCGGGAGGAACCCCTGATAAGGAATATCCTGGGTGGCTGGTGGCTGGTGGCAGGGGCCAGAAATCGTAATGAGTGGGGCTTGTGACTTAGGTGAGTATCCATAAAGTCCAGCCAAAAGCCCCAACAACCAGTTGACGACCCAGGCCCAGCGATCACCCTTGTCCGCCGTCTCGAAAGCCCTCAGGATATCTTGATTCCCCTAGTTTTTTGCGGTCCTGTCAGCCAACCTTTTTCCAACTTTCTGTCCAATGGTCAGGCGCTAAGCAAGCCACAGCTGCGTCAGTATTGGACGATCCTCACAAATCGTCGCAGTCCGTAAACTTTCCCCATCGTCTTATGCGTGCTTGAAACGATTGAGCCATCTGAAGTGTTTCTAACAAACTCGAGTATTCTGTTCTTACTCTGTCTCGATTTCAACGGCCTCATCTACCAGTTGACTTACCCTCCCTCGTTTGCAGTGGGGTGTCGCCTTTGTTCATACGATATTATACCAAACACCTGCCACCTTACCTGCGAACCTTCCCTTTGCCTTCGATTTCACCTGCGCTAAGAGAGCTACTCGACATCTCGATCACACCTCACAAGAGCCAAAACTTACGACAAATATCTGAACTCCTCCGGACGACCAATTCGCTATCATACACTGAATAAAAAGGTCGGGAATCGCAGTAATAAAAATTACTTCCCCCATGGAAAACAACCTATAGACCCTGATCTCGCTTCTACAAAGCCGCCACGCTGGCGCTCCTTATCGTTTCTTTACACCATGGACACTATTCCTCCCCAGTTATGGACAGTTGCTCATACGCTGGTGACTCGCAATGAAACGAGTACGAATTCAACCGCCTCCGATTCAACCACCGAGTCCAGTCGGCCACCTGTGTACAAAGCGATCGGCATCACTCTTGCTGTCCTGTCAGGTCTGTTCATCGGTGTATCCTTCGTTTTGAAGAAGGTCGGACTTCTGAAGGCCAACGTAAAATTCAATGAGGAAGCGGGCGAAGGTTATGGCTACCTGAAAAACTGGTATTGGTGGGGTGGAATGACCCTCATGATCATTGGCGAAATATGCAACTTTGTTGCCTATGCCTTCGTGGATGCCATCCTTGTCACACCTCTCGGTGCGCTGAGCGTTGTAGTTACAACAATTCTCTCCGCCATCTTTCTGAAGGAGCGTCTGAGTTTTGTTGGCAAAGTGGGCTGTTTCAACTGTATCATTGGGAGCATTGTTATCGTTCTCAATGCTCCTGAGCAAAGCGCCGTTGCAGACATTCAAGAAATGCAGGATTTCGTCATCTCACCGGGCTTTCTGACCTATGCTGGTGTCATCATTGTTGCGTGTACCTTTGTGGCTCTTTGGGCTGGCCCAAGGTATGGGAAGAAGAGCATGCTAGTATACCTCAGTATATGCAGCTTGATTGGCGGTTTGAGCGTCGTTGCCACTCAAGGCCTTGGGAGCGCAGTGGTTGCTCAAGCTTCTGGTGAACCCCAATTCAATCAGTGGTTCCTCTACGTCCTCTTGGTCTTTGTCGTTGCGACGCTATTGACCGAAATCATATACCTGAACGTGAGTTGTTTACATCTGATGCGATCGGAAGGAACGCACGCACACACGCTAACATTTTCGCAGAAAGCCTTGAACATCTTCAATGCGGCCCTGGTAACCCCGACCTATTATGTCATCTTCACAAGCGCCACAATCATCACATCTACCGTTCTCTTCCGAGGATTCAAGGGGACCGCTGTCACGATTACAACCGTCATCATGGGCTTTCTGCAAATATGTGCTGGTGTCGTGCTCTTGCAAATGTCCAAGTCAGCCAAAGATGTGCCCGATGCCGCTGTCTTCAGGGGGGATCTGAACCAGGTCAGGGAGATCGCGGAGGTTGAACAGCCGGAGAGTGAGCCGAAGGCCGATGCCATTCGTGGCACAGCAGCCTTGATCAGGAGAATATCTGTTTCACGGCAGAAGATGGAACAAGAGGAGGCCAGAAGGTTCCGTGAAGACAAGATGAAAGATCAGCTGGAGCCTCTTCGCGAAAATGAAATTGTGGAATGGGATGGCCTTCGACGAAGAAAAACAGTCATTGGTCAACCAGGTTCACCGGCTGCGCGGAGGAAGACTGTACATCCTCCCTTGGGAATGTCGCATTTTCCTGACCCGAACGAAGAGGACAACGAACAAGGAACACCGGGACTCTTCGAAAGCCTGCGCAACCGTGCACAAAGCGTCATCCGTCATTCAACTCCCCACCCTCCACATGATGCGCCAGCTGATGGTGTACGAAGTCCTGTACATCCTCTTGCCTTGACCGATATCAAAGTTCATGCCTCCAAGGCTGAATCACCTATCGTGCCTTACGGCCCTGGAAGCCTTGAGGATGCTCAGGAACGGATCTACGGCCTCCCTCCTGGAAAACGGAAGGAAGAGGACAGAAAGGTGGGAGTTGCGGCCGCTCAACCCTCGCCCAGATCAAAGCCTCTACCAGCAAAACCATCTCTGTCGCCGTGGTTAAAACCACCCCGAGAAGCTAGACGACAGTTCTCCTTCACTAATTTCCTCCGCCCGAGCTCCCGCACCCCCGACATCGATCACAACAACGCTTCTAGACCAATTCCCCAGGGCAGAACAAGCAGTGCCAGTCATGAGCAAAAGCGTGCGATGAAAAATGCTTCGGAGGAGGAAAGATTGGGTCTTGTCAAGGGTGATTCCCACCTTGCATTGCTGCAGCGTGAATCGTCTCGTTCTCCTGAGCGCCCACATGAGCCCGCACCTAATATCCACCCGAGTTCGCATTCGCAATCTACTTCCTTTTCTAGCGTTGATGATTACTATCGTCACCAACACCCTTCTCCTTCTCGACGTTCTCAGTCAGATTCTGACGAGGATGATGGTTGGCAGATGACGAGCCCGCCGAACGAAGCAATGTCGGATTCACCGATTCGAGATCCGGCACCCGTGACAGTAAGCAGTCGACGAAGGCCCAGTCCCCCGAGGATATACGAGCCTCCTTCAGTCACGAGGAATCCGCCCCTGAGCCAGAACGCGTTTCCTGGCACGATGGTGGGAGGAGGACTGACACAGGCCAGAGCCACGCCAGTAGCGTGGGACCATTCCCCGAATTCATCGACGAACCAGCTCCAGAGCCGCAATCAGAATCCAGGCCCTGGTTCGCGCCAGGAAGGTGGAGGGCGTCACCAAGTTCAAGCCTCGACGGACGCAGAACTGATGGACAATGAGACGGTTCATTCAATAACGCAGACAGAAGGTCTAGAGGAGTACGAATCAAGCCGCAAACGCTTTGAAGAGCAAAGTAAAAGAGAAAGGGAAGAGAGGAGGCTCAGAGCCACAGGTCGACGCCAGAGTTGGAAGCCCGATGCTCCAGAAGGAGGTGGAGGCAGTTTTATCTGAAATTTTTTTTTTTTTTTTCCCCCTCCATGTTTTTGGAATCTTTGACTGTACATCTACGTCTGTTTGGAAGCGATGACATACCTACGACTTTGAACGCATGGGAAGCAAATAAGGGCTCCCAACTCTTTGATAGAGAGAAACGACAACGCTTCTTGATGCACGTGCAGAGTGTTTTCGAGTAATGGACGAGAAGGACCCACCACCATGGCCTCACCTGTACATAAGAAATGCCACAGTGGTTCTGTATGTAATCGTAAAGATGAAACCGATTGGATTTCTCTCCACGTCATATTTGCGACATTTTAGGGTGGGACAAAAGGGTTCGATCGTCCTGCTTCTTGAGGCTACTACCATCACTCGGCTGTAATGGAATTCCGACTTTCCGCAACTTGCTCGGGTCCGGACGAGCATGGGAAACTCGTAATTTTAGGGCCTGTGAGTGCCCTATTTATCATCCATTTTCAGTCGCGATTGCAGTCATCAGCTTGTCCCGGGGAAGAAAGACTGAACTGCTGATACCTTTTGCCCTTTCCAGCGACCGCAACCAGACTAATATGGCCGACTCACCGGCATCCGAAGCGTCGCAGGAGTCTGCAGAAGAGTCCAACGCACCACAACCACCTACCAAAACGCCCGCGGTCAAGGACAAAGAGTGCCAGTACTGCCACCAACACTTCACTTCCTCCTCCCTCGGCCGGCATCTCGATCAATTCATCTCGAAAAAGAAGCCTGATGGTATACATGACGTTGAAGAAATCCGAAGACTGCGGGGCGGAATCACGAGGCGCACAGCAAGAAGCTCGAAGCGAGACAGAGAGAAAGACCACGATGACACACGCTCATCACAGACATCCCCAGGCCCGAGGCTGCAGCCGGGGACATTGACATCTGCTGCAAGCGAATTGAACCGTGTGCCTCCTGGCGGGTACCACGTCCGATTGAATAGGCTGAACTGGCAGGCAACCGGCGTCATTACCGATCCAGCGACACTCGATTCACCAGTGGCCCCCCCTCCTCCAACACCTGCAGTGGTTTCCAGCCCGTCGGGCATGAAACGTAACTTTTCGGTCTTTGCGCAGGACGTCAATCCAACCGCAAATGCAGAGACTACCCGGGCTCTCGAACTCGCCCTTCGCGAAGTCCTGGACTCTCTCCGAGCGGCAACCAAGCATGCCTCCCCAAAGCCCTCGCCCTTCACGTTCGATGTCCCATCGCAAACGTTCCCTTCTCTGTGTCTAAAGGTGCTTCCTGCGCCAGCGACATTGTTCCAAGCATCTCCCTTCTCGACTCCGCAATCCATACCCATCTCCCCGCCCGGACCAGACCAGCTTCAACCGCTCCGACAGAAGCTCACCTCCACAATCGATTATTGGAAATGGCAGGCTTTACGGCTGGCTCAACCTACGACCTCGAACATCGCAGAGGAGGCCGATTTCCTCACTCGGAGCGCGGCGCAATGGACCGAGACGACTCTCAACCACCTGGAAACAAGTTACCAGAATTGGATGGCTCACCCGATTGAAATACGGAATTTGTTGTGGCAAGTGGAGCTATTGAGGTCCTATCACTCGGAACAGCAGAAAGTGTCGGAGATGGAAGAGAAGCTGGAGGCTCTGCAGCAAGAAGCAAATCAATTACAGCAACAAGTGGAATACTTATCGCGGTGCCAATGGCCAAGAGAGATGGCATTGTGGCCACCCGAACGCCGAACGTTTGGGACATCGATGCGCGAAGAAATTCGGCTGATGAATCTAAACAAGGTCCCTGGTGGCGAGTACGAGGACATGGCGTCTCTTCCGGACAATCTGAATACGAGGGGGGACAAGTGGGATTTCGACAAGTTGGTCAATAAATGGAAGGCTCATGTGAAGGAGGATAGAAACAGGAGGGTGCCACAGATCCAGTCGTCAGTGGAGAGCGGAGCAAAGGTTGCGGAACTCAAAAATTCACAAAGCGAGTCTGGTGTTGTGAATGGGCTATCAAACGGGCAGTCGCCAAATAGTGAAGGCCGGCGAAAGAGCACAAGGAATCAGAAGGGAAATATCAGTATAATTTCAGACTTGTAATTGATATCATCATTATCACAGGTGGGAAAGCCATCCTGACAAGAACTTCCCAGGCATATGAGATGCACATCATCTTCAAAATAATTTCCGTTTCTCCCATCCTCAACATCGTTATGTTCATGTCCCATATTCCCATGCATTAGGGGAAATTAAAAAAGGGTACATTATAATATCGAAACCAGAAATCGCTAGTTATCTTTCCCCCGTTCTATCGTGTCCAAAGTTTTCAAAACCAAGTATCGCTTTCGTCCTCAAGCTGTAGCATGCCGGAAATCGATCTTGCGGATGATGTCTTCTCCGGAGGCATATGTGGCGTGTTGTGATCAAGTTGAAATCGAACACTGTGTGTTATTCTTCTTCGTCCAGCTCTTTTTCCCTCTTCGCAAAAACGCTCACTCTGTTCTGGATGGCATAGATGGCGTATCCCACAATTGCCAATACCACAAACAGGCAGATCACGATGATCGCTATCACATAGTTTCTTTGAACCATGATTTATGGTGTCGCTGAGCTGAGATGTGGTGGTGGGTAGAGGAGGGGAAGAATATGTTCGTGTATGGCGCACGTTGCGTGATGGACTTGGAGCAATGGCTTGATGTGAGATTGGCTCGCTCTGAGTGCGTTGATGGAACGAGTTCAACAGGCGGAAGCGAGCAGGAGGTGGTGGGCTTAAGCCCGGGCCACAGAGGAGAGAAGAGCTGTCTGGGAGTTCTTTGATGGGGATAGGATGTGATTCGTAGATCCGGGGAGACACTGTTCGCGATGAATGGGGAGGGGAGGAGTCGAAAACAAAAACACCAGTTTCAGGCGCCGGTGGATCAATTTTGATCAATCTTGGGTGAAATCGTCTCTCGAAAGGCAGAAGTGGTATATGAATGTTAGCCAAACGATTTGAGACAAGGGTTGCCCCGTGGTTAGTAGTTCGTTACCAAATCAAAGAGTTGGAGTGGATGGTTGTGAGGAAGGAATACAGGTTAGCATACAATGAGCATAGCAGTGAGTACATGTAGGAATTCGTAAATTGGAAATCCAACCTCATGATGGGCATTGTGCACGAATCTGATGGCTGGATCGTGGTTGGAGATGGTTGGGCAACAAAATACGGTGGCAGGGTAAGCAAGCGAGGGCGAGGCTGGATATCTTGGCACGCTCCCCTGGCCCGAAAAAATTTCAGCGTCTGACACTTGTGCTCTCCCAGTTCGGAATGTGTAGACCCCCTTTCTTTCAGTTGTCAGACAAGAGCTTCCGCATGCGGCCCCGCGCCTCGCGGTCTGCCTAGGTCCCTTCTCTTTGCAATTCGCGCGCGAAACTGTCACCTCTCTCCCGAATTGTAAACTCATTCATCAGCTTAAGTGTGAATTTTCTTCGACCCTCATCGAAAACAGTTCTGCAATGAGTTGTGCTCTCCTCCAGTCGGGCTAAAATGGCGATGTTCCTCAAACCATCTACTCTACGAGCCTCGTCAAACGAATACATATGTACTACTCAGGATCAACCATGTCCTGGATCAAGGGTTGGAAAATCCGTCGAACTGCAACCAGCAAAATGTGACAAGTCACGCTAAACCATGTGCAATCAGATATGGAACTCCCTTCCTCTGTGTCCAGCGAAATTGAACACAATTGACAAAACTCTTCGGTACCAATTCGGAATATATATCGACCAAACCTCGGAAACACGCTCGTTCGTATTTACCCATGATTCCCCATGCGACTATTCCTGGCGGAAAGACCTGGCATGAGAACGCTCCTTTGTCTCTTTGCAAAGATTGTCTCGCGGCTGTATCGGGATTAGCACCTGACAACAAAGAAAACTGCAGCTTGAGTCCCCGGGTTAATTGATCTATTTTGGTCATCATTATTTCAACCAGGACAAAGCGTCACGGATTACAATCTTCCTCCTAGACCGAATATTTTCCTCAATTTTGTCCGTGAAACATCCGTGTCTCACTTCTGATGGCCTCTCTAACTCTCTGCAAAATGAGTCATGAGGCCACCAAAATTGCGAGGACGAATTTCGGGCGCAAAACTTGACACATCACATACCAGTTTTAATGTCGACAAGGGAATTCGATCTCCACGAACTCCCACTTATCATCCAGATACTCCATCAACAAATTCGACGACACCATTTGATTACGACAAGTTACTCCACAAGTCAACATCCGAGCTTGAAAATCGAAATCCTGCACCTCCGCCTCCAGAACGGCCAATGGTTTGGATTTGGATATGTCATCTATGTCATTCACGATATCCTCTTGGTGTGACTCGTCGCTGTCTAGTCGATGGTCATTATTACTGTTCGGGCGTGACTGATCGCCCGAGTCTCAGGAAGAAGAAAAAGAATAAGAGTTGTTCCAGTGAATTTGACTACACGGGATGGAGAGATTGGGGAGAATGGCGCCGAAAAGCTCTCGAGACAATGGAAAGCCCAAGAGTGCTGAAGGACTGCGAGCAATGCGACTTCCCCAGTCAATGCCGGTACTCCATCGAGTCTCATCCAATCAATCGTCCAAGTACTAAAACTCAGTCCGGGATTGGCCCTAAACAAGAGTGACCCGAATGAATCGGAAGGCCGAAAAGAAGCGAGGAAAAACAACCCGTGCAACGAAAATGTTAGGTTCGGCCAGATATTGAAAATATCTCTGCTGATGATAAGACAATCAAGCGTTGATGCCGTCGCTAGAGGAGGAAATGGCTAGAGAAACGGAGAAACTACGTAAGCTAGTGGGTCTGGATCTTGGGAGTAATTTGGAAGATGTTGAATTGGAAAAGGTAAAGCAGGAATTATTCGGGAGGGAGAGAAGGAGTTCGAGACAATCCCAACAAGTTGATCTTTCCGTCAACATGTCTTGAGAAAACGACAGGTGGCTTGCTGGTCTGGATTTCTTTATAGACTTCTCGCTCTTCTGCACACCGCTGGCTGACACTGGTACTCTATTTCCCAAGCAATGTTCCAACATAATCCGCAATTGCAAGCATTTTCTCTTCGGTGTATCTTCTTCCGACGATCTGAACGCTGACATGCGCTCCGTCGTAAATTTCCGCATCATAATCCTCGAATGTCTTCTTGTCCAGATCACTTATCGGCGCATATCCTTCCTCATATTTGTCCTTCGTCTTGTCGGAGAAGGTGACCGGGACCACCACGCTAGTGTAATCCAGCCCATTCACCCACGCACTATAACCATAGTAAGAATACTTCTCCGGTCTTGCTGCTGGATATGGGGCCACGGCACAGATAATGCCGTCCACCGGTTGGCCTGTCCCAGTTTCCTGAGCCGTGCTATTCCAGTAATCCATATATTCCTTTTGGAACTGGCGCTTTGCCACGTTGTTCGCCGCAATCTGTGATGCCGTGAATTCATTTATCGGTTTGTCACCATAGCTCATTTTGATCTGCGGAGAGATGGGTTCCCCCGACAAGGCAAATGCACCATGAACATCTTTTCCGCCATCATATATCCACGTCTTGAATGCGATTTCGAGCAACTTGGGATGGGACGGCGGCTTCCACTCAATAATTTTGTGTCCAGCCCTGCTGAGGGCCTCAGTGACCGTGGAAATGGCTCTTGCTACGGGTGGTTGGGGATTGACAATGCCATCAGACTTCAACACGGCAAAGCTTAGCCGCTCTTTGGAAGAAGATGATTTCACGATGTCATAGATGGCTTGTTCCTGAGCATCTCGCCAAGGCATGTCGACCACCAGAGGGTCATTAAGCCACGGATTCTGAGACAGAATTGATTTCGTAAGCAGTCTGACGGCCCGAGCGGTAGTAGCAAGCGGACCAACAACCGACAAAATGCTGTTCTGGCCGTCCATGCTGTTTGCCATGCCTTCATATGGCAGTCTTCCCGATGTCGGCCGGATGCCGTACAGGCCGTTGAATGCAGCGGGAATTCGAATTGATCCTCCAATGTCCGTGCCAAATCCTCCAGGCGAGCCCTTGAGACTAATCAGTGCACCCTCTCCGCCAGAACTTCCGCCAGAGCAGAGGTTGCGGTTCTTTGGATTCCAGGTGTATCCAATGATATTGTTGACCGTCTCACCACTCATGAGTGTATGCGGAACACTGGTCTTGCAATAGAGAACGGCCCCAAGGTTTCTCAACTCGCGAACCATCTCGCTCTCATACTTGCCTTTGCGAGGATCATCCGCAACGCCTTCAAAAGTTCCAATCCAGCCAACATAGCCCATCGTGGTCTCGACATTCTCCACATGAAACTGATCTTTCAGCGAAACCGGGACTCCATGAAGTGGCCCTTTAGTCCTTTTGTGCTGTGCATAATATTCGTCCAGTGCCTTTGCTGAATCAAGGGCCGCGTCAAAAAAGGTCTCATGGAGACAATTGACCAATTGATGGGCCAACGATGCTCGGTGGCAGAATGCTTCTGTGACCTCGACCGCAGACCATGACCCGGAGGCAACCTTTTCAGCCAGTCCGACAGAGTCAGTCTCTGTGATCTCAATTTCCTTCTCGCTCAAGAACTGCTGGATGTAAGTGCCCGTGACATCTTTCTGTTCTTCACATGAAGGGATCTTTGAAAGGCGCCACTTTTCAGGAATCGAATTCAGAATGGCATCTCTCTTCGCTTTCGCCAGGGTCTGCCAATCGGTGACCATCCTGCTGAGATCGAGGCGAATCAAAATTCGAGAAATGGAGTTGAACCTGAAGTCCGTGGAGATACTTTCCAATGAATTTACGTCGATACGAACATTCCCCTCCGGGGAGAACTCAGTCTTATATAGGCGGGGTATATGATCACGCACATCTCCACAAGATGATAAGTCGGGGGAGTCGTGACAATTCTCCTGCCTTTTTGGTCACCCTCCATGATACCGTGTTGAGATGCTTCTGATCTATGAACGGTAAGAAGAGCAACTAGCTAGTTTCTCCTAATAGCAAATGGGGTTCCAGAGATACCGCCATAGTTCAGGATTAATGGCATCGCAAACTTCCGTCAAGGTTATTTAGATTCTCTCCCCACCGCCGAGCTCAATGGAAAATATAATACCCAATATGTTATGGACCATCGAGCCGCCAAACAGGCAATTGAACGTAAGAAATGTCAGGTATTTGAGCCAGAGAAACTAGGAAAACTCGTTTGCTGGTTTACTCTCAGCCGAGGCAGAGACTTGAACTGCAGCAGCATCAGGTCTCGCCCCCGTTTTCTTCATGAAAATGTATCCCCAAGATGTGCGCCTCTTTTTGGCACCAGTCAAATTACATTCGGTTTCCTGGTGAAGACGCGCACCTGGAACTCGCATGGTAAATGACATATCCAATCTTTTGCGCCGGTCCAAGTTTGGGCCGGATAACAATATCAGTTTTCAGCATCTGACGTCAATCACCGGCGTACTGCGAGCCCGATAGCTGAGACATTAGGATGGTAGTCGAGGTTAACGAATTTGCTTCCTCAATGGCTGTTACAAAGTGGAAGCCGCTCGCTAATATATAACGTGTCTTCCGTGTGCGCATGGAGCGTACGACAGGAGCACAGGACGCCATACTGCTCGAACGGCTGACTATGGGTCATCACCCTCGGACTTAGTTGGATTCTCTGAGGGTGGTTGCACGATTCCACGATGCCGGTCCGGCCCGTAGATCAAAGCAAAGGATGGGGGATAATTAAGTGGAGCCGCGGAGGCCAGCCGGAACCGACTCTCAAATATTTCATGAGAGCGGTGCCATGGGCTTGATTGGCGGGCTTTTTCGACAACAAGAATTGAAAGGAATTTGCACCTGAATGTAGTCAGGGTAAATGATGTTTGTAGTTGTGTACCGGGACCGCAATGCCAGAGCCAAGCCAAACAATTAAATGGTGGTTTCGCTGGCAGACCTCCCGAGTTGACCCCAATTAGGGGTAATCCAGTTTGAAGAGTCCATGTAAGATTCCGAAAGGTGAGCATCTCAAGGCCGCTTTAAAGTAACGTCTGTCATTTGCCGAACGTTGAGGTTAATTCGCTTGTTGGCCATCCATCCTTCCCATCCTTCATATCGTTGCCCCTTTGGAATGTTGGGCCAGTCTCGCAACCACTCCGGACAAGTATTTGGCAATATCTTTGGAACACCATGCCAGGCATATCTCGACTCCCCTGACATCAGAACGACATCTCCAGACCTCAAGCGTAAGGTGGCTAAATGAGTGCCGTCCTCGTTTCCAGCAATGAAAACTCCGTCACAACCCAAGCTGATACTAATGAGACCGTTGTTGCATTCCTCACTCACATCTCGGTGCACACTGAGAGTATCTCCGGGGCTGTAAAAGTTAACAATAGCAGCTTGCGCATCCACGGTCGGGAACAGGCTTTTGAGAAAGGTCGCGATGTCCGGTGGAAAAGTTGGTGGAATCTCGTCAGGGTAGACCTTATTGGTCCAATCGTACTGTCCGCCCAGAGTCATCCACCGTAGTTTGCTTTCGAGCATTTGAGCGTAGGTGATGGGTTTGTGCATGGCAGAGTCCTTCGGATGAAGAATGGAACCTTGATCGGCTCCAAAAAAGGAAGAACTCGAGTCGTTGTGGTGTCCATCGAGCCCATTATTCAACTTTGGATGTGAAATGTCATAGTGAAGATGAAGATTAGTTGCGTGCACGGGATTTGACAAATCGCGATGTAACAGCTTTTCCAGCAAAGCAATCTGAAATTGAGGTGTGAGGAGGAAAGGGAACACATATAGACCTACGGAAATTAGTATCTTCGTCACCAATAGAAATCAAGAACGTGGGTACCAGGGAGCACTCTTATTTCGAAAGCAGGTCGTAGCGGTGATATGGTGCCTGGTGGTTCAGCTAGATCCTGAACAGTGGTACTTTCAAGGAAACTAGTTGCGAGGCGTTCTAAATCATGCCCTTGATGATCGGTTGCTCCTTGTATAAACAACACCTTACTTGCATCTGGTTGGGAAGGATCAATGATATCCCGGTCGTCGTCAACTGTCTGCGGAGGTCGCTTTCGCCAGGCTTTGAAGAGGCCTCGGATGGAGTCGGGGGGTCTGGCATGGACATCATGCATCTCAGACACTGCTGCAATTCGAACTTTGGGAGACAAGGTCGACTATATACTAGCGATCTTTCCAATTTGGCGTCTTGCAGAAGGGGACATTGACTTGAGAGTTGAAATATTTTCCAGAAGCAGTTTTCCACGCGGTGGTTACCTACGCTGTTCATGCGGTGGCAGATACGGTTTGCATTGAAGGGATTTCAAATTGGGAACTCCGCGTACTCGTCCAATTCAATTAAAAGCCCAAAAATTTGTTCGGCAAGCCGGTAGGAGTTGATATCCGGATCAACATTTGTCCAAGCCGCCCGACCCAAGTGAACGCTCCCCCGTAGTACGATAAGGGACTGCAGTTGGGTATGACAGTTCAGAGCGCGTCAAGTTCCTCGAGATGAAGGTTTTTATGTAGACATGACTACCATATTTCATCCTGTGGCAGTCTTGCCATTGACTGCCTTCAACTGAGCAAAACATGACTGCGGAGTCAAACGAGAACTTCGACCTGAATCCTCGAGCGAGTGTAAGCAAGCAAAGAACCGGATTTCTGAACATTCAGCTCACTCGACAACCGTATAGCTACGACATTCCTCTTACATTGACCCTTCCACCGGCGCCCGACTGAGCAAAACCTTTACTTTACACAGCTACGATGCGGACAATGGATTCCAAGCGGATGATCATGTGGACGACAGGACGCCTCTCCTCGCAGGAGGCCAGACCCCCGAGGAAGATGCTTCATGGGGAGACGATGGCGGACTCATATCCAAGAGTAGGGATTATGCGAAGCGGATTCGAGTCTTCGTGCTCTCTGATACGGGCAAAGCAATTTTCAAATGCGCTTTGGCATATCTCCTGGGCAGCCTGGCCACCTTCGTTCCACCGTTGAGTCAATTGTTTGGTCGGCAAGATTCTAAGCACACCGTAGCCACCATTACAGTTTACTTTCATCCTGCCAGATCGTTTGGAAGTATGCTCGATGCCTTGATCCTTGCCACATTGGCCTTCCTCTACACCGCTGTTGTTTCGCTCCTGAGTATGGCTGTATCCGTCTTCTTCGCAGACACTGTCCATCTTATTAAGTTGGGACATGCAATTGTTCTGATTGTTTTCGTCGGGGGTGGCTTGGGTTTCGTGGGCTGGATCAAGCTTAGAAGGAATGATCCGTTGGTGAACATTGCGTGTTCGCTCACATCCTTGGGCTTGATTACAATCCTTACCAAAGAGGGAGCTGTTCAGGCTGGGGACTATTCAATGGCGAAAATCTCCCAGATTCTCAAAATGATCATCGCCGGGGTCATAGCAACAATGCTGGTGTCATTTTTCATCTTTCCGATATCTGCCAGGGCCAAACTGAAAAAGAATCTCCTCGACGTTACCGATTCACTGGCTGACATGCTTGCCCTGATTACGAGCAGTTTCTTGTCCGGTGATGAAGAAGAACTGGAGAATAGTGTTTTCTCAGGAATCAGCGAGCGGCACAAAAAGTTCTCTTCCACGATCACTCAGAATTTGAAAGAATCAAAATACGAACATTACCTGCTAGGTACCGAAAGGCAAGCTTTGATTGAAGGCCGACTTGCGCATTGTATTCTGCGAATTTCACAAAGCATTGGCGGTCTACGAAGCGCTGCCGCCATGCAATTCGTCGTTACCAAGCAACCTCCTTTCTCTTCCTCTTTGCATTCGCCGATGTTGTATGGTTCGATGGCACCCTTCGGCACAAATTCCATGGTGAGCTCAAAATCTAGGACCGATGACAGGACTTTATTCAACCACTCCAATCCCCCGTCACCTTATCAGCTACCAATGCAAGGAATGCCCGAACAAATTCAGCAACAACCTTTTCGGACTCCCGCCCAAATATTTGAACTGTTTATTCAGAACCTTGGCCCTTCGATGAGATCCTTGGCGTTCACAATGAAAGAGATTTTGGATGATTTTCCCTTTGACACATCAAAGAATTATGCCATCACCACGAACCCAAAATTCAAGATGAGTCTCGACCGTGCCTTGGATTTGTACAAGGAAACGCGCCGAAAGTCCCTCGCCATCGTCTACGGCCAGAAAGATATGGATCGTTCCCGACCGGTGCCAGTACAAGCCGATTGGGAAGATGCTGCAGCATGCTGTGGGCACTTCTCGTTCTCGCTGGTAGAGGTGGCCGAATCCATCAAGGAATATCTGGTCGTGTTAGACGAGCTTCAACTTGAGGTTGATGAAGTGCCATTTGGCCAGAGCTGGGATTGGTTGAAATTCTGGCGATCAGCAGATTATCAAACGGACCTTGACAGCAGCGATCCTGACATTGTCGAGCTGATCAAGAGGGCCAACGAGCTTGATCTACATCTGGATGGAAGGCCACTCAGGACGGCCCGTCCGCAGGATGTCCCCTCGTGGCCCGATCGACTACCTATCAAACAGATGCTGTTTCGGAAGATTTATGATGCAACAACCTTCTTCCGACGCGACGATATCAAATTTGCGATCAAGGTTGGATTGGGCGCCATGCTGTACGCATTGCCGAGCTTCATCCCCTCAACACGGCCATTCTATGCACACTGGCGAGGAGAATGGGGATTGCTTTCATACATGCTTGTCTGCAGCATGACCATTGGTGCATCGAACACCACTGGCTACTCACGTGTACTGGGAACATGCTTGGGGGCCGGACTTGCAGTGGCGGCGTGGGAGATATCCAACGAAAATCCCTTCGTCCTGGCATTTTTGGGATTTTGCATGGCATATTGGACAGCATATATCATCATTGGCAAGGGAAAGGGACCCATGGGGCGTTTCATCATGCTGACCTATAACCTCAGCGCACTATATGCGTACAGCCTCAGTGCTCGTGATGACGACGACGGAAGAGACGAAGAGGACCCAGGAAAGAATCCTTTGATTATCCAAATCGCTTGGCATCGAGTGGCCGCTGTGATTTCTGGCTGCATTTGGGGCCTGCTCGTCACGCGTGCCATCTGGCCTATATCTGCGCGGCAAAGGCTGAAAGACGGTCTTTCACTCCTCTGGCTTCGTATGGGACTGATCTGGAAAAGAGATCCCCTGGCTACGTTGACCGACGGAATTCATTCGGAAAGATACATGAATCTCCAGGAAGAGTTCCACCTGCAAAGATTCCTGGCTAAGCTTCAGGGTCTTGCAGAGGCATCAAAGAACGAATTTGAGCTGAGAAGACCATTTCCCCGTGCGACCTATGCCCGGATTCTTAAGAGCACAGAACAAATGCTGGACGCCTTTCATGCCATGAATGAAGTGATTCGAAAAGATCTCCATACATCGCCCGGGGAGGAGGCACTGCTCAAGGCCACGGTCAATGAACGAGCCCAACTGTGTGGTCGAATCAGCCACTTATTCAGCGTTCTTGCAAGTTCGATGAAGCTCGAATATTCAATCGCCATTGATGCCTTGCCTAGTATCGAACATACCCGAGACCGACTGCTGGCAAAGATCTTTGCATATCGGAGAAGCGATGCCCAGGATCAAATGACCAGTGACGAAGATTATAGTCTGTTTTACACATATGCACTTGTCACTGGGCAATTGAGCCAGGGAATCCAGAATGTGTTAAAGGAGGTGGAGAGTCTGTTCGGCGTTTTGGATGAAGAAGCACTGAGACTTGAATAACGAGGAAGCGATGAGTTCGCACGTTGCAGAACGAGCATTGATACTCATAAGACACAACCCCATCTTCCATTCGATATTTTTTTACGGAGTACTTCAAAGCAAAGCCTACCTAAGAAACTCCAAAAGCTCTTTGGTGATTCGGAAAGGGTCGTGCTCGTGACTCCGCAAACGGCTTGCTCTGATTGGTTAGAAAATTGGTAAAATTCTAGGTATGCCTCTGCCCCTTGCTATGATGGCAACGCCGTATTTATCACCTCGACAATTCCGCAGACAACGAGGCCTCTAGATGAGTCCAGACTAGTATTCAACGTGCTTAAACACACAATGAGGAGTCGGTTACGGCGGCACTCAGAACACTTACCGTAATAAGATCCATTTGACATCAGAAGTCTTCAGATGGGAGAGGGAAGATCACTTAGGGTAAGGATGTGTATGGCACACATACATTCCGCAGGTCCAAGCCGTTGGCGTCATCCTTTTCGTGCCACCTCCCGATTTTTGCGGAACCTTTTTACTGTTGCGAGTGTCGCCCAAAATGACGGAGTCTTCTCAAATCGAGACCTACGCGGTGGTGGCAGTGGCGACAGGGGTGAATTGGAGCCTGTGTGGGTGTACTCGCCGGAAGCAATACCAGCACACCACCAACCATCATGACTTCAATAGCCTGAGAAAGAACAGACCTCTTTGGCAGTGCTCGATGAGGTTTGCAAACAACGATATGATTAATCCTCTCTTCAGAACCTGTCAGACCATTGTCTTTTTTTCCGTGCTCAGCATGTTCTACGAAACGCAAGGCATTTCGAAATTCAAAGCGATGTGATGTGGATGGTAAGGTGGTATCATATGTACTACCGTGGCATAGAAGGGGAGTCCGACTCTCCTGGGGACCCCGTCATCTTTCAGCAAGCCTTTGGATGACGCCATTGCTGATGGTCCCCTTTTAGTGGACGTGAGAGGATCTCAAGGTACTGATCTAGCAAGCTTCAAGGCTCAGTTTTCCGCATGCAAGAAGAAAATTTATCCTACAAGACCTGTCGGCGACGATAGACAACATCAAAGAACTGTATGACTATATTATGCGGATGAAGCACGACGTCTTTGCTTCTCAGCCAATCCAAGGTGAGGGAAACGAACCCCCCCCCTCCCTTTTTTTTTTCCTTTTTTCCCTTCTTCCAAAGCCAACTTTCTTGAGGAATACTGTATGTCCAGGCTAACACCAAGCAGGCGCTCGAGCATATTTTTTTCAACAGGTTTTCCATGATTGGTCCGACTGGGAGTGTCGAGAGATCTTGAAAAGCCTTCGATCAGCCATGAAGAAAGGGTATTCCAAGTTACTGATCAACGACTCCATCATCCCCGATCGGGGCGTATTGCTTTTACCCTGTGCTTGATACCGTGATGATGACTCTTTTTTTGGCCATGGAGCGAACAGAATCGCAGTGGCGGGATCTTCTAGTACAATAGCACCTGCTCTTTTCTTTTTTTTTTTTCCTTTTCTCTTCTACGCCTGACGAGCATAACATCTTGCACCTTGGGCTTTTTTGGGGGGTGGGAGAAAAGCCCGGCTCATAGCAGGATCCCATGACACGGTTGTCGATTAATTGTTTGGCCCCAGCTCGACTTAATCGAATTGAATTGTATCAGCTCCAGCAACGTGGACGCTATAATCCTCTGACCACCTTCTACCGCTCATAGCTACGTCTGGAATGCCAGTGACAATCATAGAATTGGGGATATGTCGCCAGGGCAATGCCCGTAATCATGGTACGCTGCTCCGTGAAGCAGCCATTCCATTTTGCAAAGAGTCGGCAGGACCCAAGACTTGAATGCCTTTGCTGAGGACTTGTACATAATCCCCCGTAAAAGCTTTCAATGCAAGTCGCCCAAGGCCTCTAAATTGTTTTGAGTCGGTAAGACAACGAGCTCCTTTCCTGTGGATTTGAAGCCGGGAAATGTCAGAATCCTGCTTTTTCCAGTAAATTTTTCCTTTGCGATTTACATGACTATGTTCATATATGCGCAATCTCGTAAAATTACCTAGGTACACAGTAACAACGTAGAGCCATGCCGGCACTCCGAGTCGCTCACTGATGCAAAAGAGATGGGACAGCGGGGAAGATAGGCGGTGTTAAGCACTACATCCCGGTCAAACTGTAGCACCAGAATATCTTGAACTAGGCTCAAGGCTCGGTCTCGAGCCCTATCCCGAAATCGCAATGTGGACACTTGCCATACGCAGGGTTGAAAGAGACGATTTCCGAATATTCTAGGTTTGATTTTCGCATATCAACCTCTGATAGCTACACCATTGTGTCTTTCTTGCGCCGGAAGATTATGAACAGCTTTCTCGGCCTATTCCCAAAATCTTTCTGTCTGCTCGTAATGCCCAAATCACGAACCGTCTCGTGAGTTTACCTGGCCAACGTATATGGACGGACTAGCAGATCTTCACATGTCATATCTAGACCGCGACTCGGAATGGAGCCATTGCGGCAGCCCCGAGGTCAAAAAAAAGGCCCCTGAGCACTTCTTTGCTATAGACGAATACAAGTACTCTTCAACCCCCACCATCACCTGTCGCCTGTCATCCACGCATCATCATTGCATTCCATTCAAACATGTCTCCTACCGCAATAGAACATCCCTCAACTGAGGTTGAGTCACATTCGACGTCTGAAAAGCTCTATCGCAATGAATTGAAGAGTAAACCAGCGGTTGAGATGCCCAAAGTTGCAGAACTAGGAGTCCCTTCTTTCGATGATCCACTTAAAGCTCGAGAATATATGAGGGGCCGCCTTGCTCTAGCGTTCCGTGTTTTTGCAAAGTTTGGCTTTGATGACGGCGTAGCCGGACATATCACTCTGAGGGCAAGTTGGATATCAATGCTCCGACTTGAGACTCTTTGTGTCGAATTGGCGCGGCTGACAATTTGTTACAGGATCCAGTCGAGCCGACGAGCTTTTGGGTCAATCCCTTTGGAGTGTCATGGCCTAGAATGACTGCGAATGACCTCATTCTGGTAAACAAAGACGGAAAGGTAGTAGATGGAGGTCCCGTTCGTCTCCTCAACGCCGCAGGTGAGATGTTCCTGATCTTCATGGCCCCCCGTGTGACCTCCACAATCTGACAATTAGTAGCATATGCGATTCATCATGAAATCCACGTTGCAAGGCCAGAGATTAATTGTGTCGCGCACTCGCACTCTATCTACGGCAAGGCCTTCAGTGCGCTTGGTCGCAACCTAGATATCATCACACAGGATTCCTGCGCCTTCTATAACGATATCGTCTTATACACCTCCAATGGAATCGTCCTGGACTCAGAAGAAGGTCGTGCCATTGCTCAAGCATTAGGAAACAAGAAAGCCGCAATCCTCCAAAATCATGGGCTGATTACGTGCGGCAAGACTGTTGAAAGCAGCATTTTCTGGTACTTGTCGTTGGAAAAATGTTGTCAGGCTCAATTGCTGGCTGATGCAGCTGCAGCGGGCCGAGGTGGCCACACAGTCAAAATAACGGAACAGGATGCTGCGTATACCTATAAGACCGTGGGGTCGGAGATTGCCGGATGGTTCAGTGCCAAACCTGTTTTCGATTTGATGGAATTCGAGTCTCACGCAGGTGTTACCGGTTGACCCCTGAGCAGTCCATGGGACCCGGAAGTGAAGGTTGGGCGAAGGCCAGTCATTGGATGGAGTTTCATGGGATAAGGATAGGTCACGTCCAAGGCACGTACACGCCCCGAAAACTATGTAGTGTGATGGTCCCCTGGACCCCTGCGAAATAGGACAAGTCCATCGTAAAATCACAAAGGTTATGCACTGACGCATTGATGTGATAGGAGCAGAGCAACAATGCAGAAATGCACGCGGATTCATCGCAGAAGGAAAATCAGAGACAGCTCTATTAACACGCTCGCTTCCTGGATACTCGACATAGTCAGCTTCGTCTTCAATAGTACCCCTACTTGTCGATACGTTGACTCACCCCGTACTAAACCTCTCCACAGAGTTCCTTTTTCATACTATAGCCCGCATTGGTAGGGAAACCCACGTGACAATCTATGAGTGTAATACGTGACAGCAGACTTGAAAGGCCATTCTGTGACTACGAAGTCGTGATAGACCTCATTTTGTAATGCGGATCCACTGGCAATGTTTCCATGCCAAAGCCTAAATCTTATTGGGAATTATCCAGCCTTGCATCCGTAGAAAACGAGCAGTAGAAGCATATCTTATTAAAGTTCTACATATCTCAAGCAAAAAGGTGAATACTCTCGTCTTCGTTGATGTATATCATGGCATGGATTCTCCGACAAGGATCCGCTAGGCAGGGCCACCTAGTCCCTTAGTCCCCGAGACATCAATTGATACGGGATATGCTAATAGTGTATATAGGTCCCACTTTTCGCTGCGAGTTACTCGTTGCGGGGAGTCTGGGGTTAATGTGGGGGACAAACCTAGTCTCTAGCTCAATCAGCCCATCAGGTGCACCATAGAATCTTTTAGAAATCAGGCAGATCCCTGCGCAAACATAATGGCATAGCTTGACCGTACTGAGGTTAATACGACACCGGAGAATATTGCTCGATATGTGCTAGAGCGACATGGACAGAATCCATGGCTAAGGCTCTCCATTGGGATGGGGTGAATTCCAAGATCAATATTCCGATAGCTATAGTATGTACAGTGCCTGACATGATGGTTGCGATACAACGCCATCGTGCGTAGACGATCCACTTCCGTACATTCGCTCCCACGGAAATACATTTTGAAGTCAATCAAGTCAGCCGAGTCAGTCGAATGAGTCAAATGAGTCAAGTCACGAAGGGGAAGGCTCCTTTTCAACCTTGGAACACAAACCAGAGCTGCAGATCTTTGAACGTTCAAAATACGTCGAGTTCCCTACATGTCGGGGCCTAGCCATTAAGTTATAAACACCCTCCCAAACTATTTAACAGGCCCCCGCTCAGGAATTCGTCGTGATCTACGGGCGGCCCCAAAACCTTCCCGATCAGTCCTGTTGCGATGAACGGTGTGATGAAAAAGCTGCTGATACCGCACATGCTTTATATAGTGCATGAGTTGTTCGTATCGAATTTGTCGCAGCTATAGCCGACATCAATTGCGCGGATGGTCCAAAGGAACCATCTCCATTGACCGGAGGCAAGAAGGGCCGGCCAACTCCTGTGGTGAAGCTATATGATACACGGTGCGGCGTTGTCGTCATCTCCTATCAAACTAGGGGTGCAATCGAGAAGTATTGGATGCTCTGTCTCTTTGGCAACTGGTCCTGCCAGATTGCCAGTATACATACACGTTTGCTTGACCCTTCTCTACTCCTATTCCTCCCTACACCCTGCATATGGGTGATAACCCTTTTCCAAGTAAAGGGGTATTGCCTACTGTTCACATCTCCACCAGTGTCGCACAACACAATCCAGCTAGACCCTCATGACCCATGCCAAAGTCACTCCTAAGCCATTCCGAGTTTCTTGCGAGCATTTGGACAAGGGAAACGAAGAGAAGTGGGTGTTGTTCTCATGCGGACTTCCTGCTGTATTCTGACATACAATGGGATGAGAATTCCGTGTTCCTTGCCGACATAATGTCAACGTGACCCCGGAAGAGGTTATCTGATACACGAAATATTGCGCTAGGCCGACCACCAATATTACACACCGGATAAAATATTGCCACAAATCCTGAAGACCTTTGCACCGGAATTGGAAGCCATAGGTGGGCAATACCATCTCATTTGCATAGAATCGGTCCGAACGAACTAGGGAGCGATCGCGTTGACGCCCTGACTTCGCTTCGCAATTCAGAATACGGCCGCTTGTCTCAAGTCCTGATCGATGACGCATCAACGACGGTGGTTTACGCTAGCCAACGCCGTTCCCAATCACTATCTCAAGAAACGCATTGGCACGTCCGCGGAGGTCACCATTGTTCCACTCTTCTGACAGGGGATTCAGCTAGACGAGGCGAATCTGCGGCTTCATCGTGGCGGCACCCCTGAGTCTAGGCTGTGCCGTCATCAAACCACGTCTACAACGAAGCAGTTTCTCCGTGAATCCAGCATCATTCTGCCGGCCGGCCTATTCGATCACGCTCCTCGACGCCTTCTCTGTCGTCTGGGACATGGGAAAGGTTTGTCGGATAATGAAGCAAAGTGCACGGGCCGCCGTACTCTCCTTCCTCCTTCTATTGAGTACTTTAATGTTTCCGGTCTTTCGCATTCAAGTCACACCAATAGTCAAGTTTGCCATCTCCTTCTCCTCCCTAGTTAGTACAGGCAGTGCAATCAGAAGACTTGAGGGTGAAGGAGGAAAAAAATGTTAGCCCTTAGCCTGTGGCAGATATGAACCCAGTTGGGGAAGCACTTGGAAAAGACGATTGGTAGGATACGGAGGAGTACAGGATAAACGGCAAAAATTACTTCGAACGGCTGCTACGTGCTCCAAGTATAGGCTAGCATGAACGAAACCCCCCAAATAATCAAGAGTCCGATCCGCGGTTCGTGACTCGTTCTCGCTCAAGACTCTCGCTGTTGGTAAAGACTTTTTTTGGCCCTAAGTCCTCAGGGTAGGTCATCTTGTACCCCGGAATTCTCTGGCCGCAGAAGGACACAATAATCATGAACAACCGACTGACCAGTGTCGTTGGTCTTTTTTGGGGGTGCGTGGGCAACGGGAGTGGCGTGTCAGCGCTGTATAGAAAATCCATCAATTGGAAAAGTCCCAGTGTGACCCCGTGGATCTTGCAGTAATTCAAATATGCAAAAAAGTGTTGAAGAAGCGCACATTGTTGTCGTAGTCCTCCGGGTCGAGTTGGATATCAATGATGAGGGGTTTGTTCGTGAGAGCGATCTCGAACCGATGGTTGACCCGGAGGGGCATCCCGGCGGACGGCTTCTGTGTGCGGACGGCCCTTGCCACGGAGAAAGGTAGGCATTGTGCGGTAGTCAGATTGAGACGCCGTTTGGGTCCGGACTCATCAAGGTATTTTGTCTTCAAAAACTGTGGTGATGGTTTGAACTTCAAAGCCCTTTCTGTTCATTCAGGTCAAGTTGGTGCCAGAGGTAAAGAGAATATAAAAGCGATTCTGCGGAAATGGAAGGCGAGGACCTCTACTAATAACGTGAGGCGGGGATCTCTTTCGGTTCGAAATCCGTCTCCTAGGCGGGCAAAACCCTCGTTCCGGAAAATAGACCCATCACTTAAGTGGAGCTATCACGTTGAACTCGTCGCGCGGTGCTATTCCTCAGATCAGCCAATCAGGTACCAAAATCCACAGCCTTACCACTCAGCACTGCCCACTGAAAATTCGGCAAAAAGGGGAGGCTCCAATTGCAGAGACTTTCGCTCCTTGCATAACTATTGGTCAACACGGTCGCCGATGAGATGCAGCCGGGATCATCTCGTGTCAAACTAGGAGTGCCAAGAGAATATGAATTGAACGCTCTCCTGTTCAGCAACTGGTCCTGCCAGGTTGCTAGTATTTATACACATTTGACTGACCCCTTTTCTTCTCCTATTCCTACCCCTATTCAATCTGACCCAAACTGCCACGAACCGGGTTTTGACAAGTATATAAGCTAAGAGGTCCACGTTTCTGTCATGAAATGGCAGGATTCTTAGTCTTTTTGGGGCTGTGGACCTCTTCCTGAGACAAACGGCACGAAAGCCAATACATCAACTTCAACGAATCGTAGTCAAGAGGGAAATGGTTCAGTCCGACATGGCAACGCTACAGTGTCACATGTCGCGGGATTTTCCCCCAATGAATGTTCCCGCTGACGAGAGAGAGATCACGAACAGGAAGATTGCGTTCAAGAGTATTCGGGAGTCTAGGGTTCGTGTCCAGTATTTGAGATTTTCCTTCTCACAAAGCGATACTAGCATTACCAAAAGAGGGATACGGATACTTAAATGCGAGAGCCCACCTTGCATCTAATCAATCAAGATGATTCTGAAGACCATGAAGACATTGGACGCTCGCTAGAGCCAATGAATATGAAGATCTGACGGAGTTGCCAAAGTTCCAACGTGCTAGGATAGCTCTAGACCACCCAACTAGAAGGCTAAAACTAGAGTCGGACAGAAACGCGGATGAAGAGATTCTCTTACCTCAGGACTGCTGGGAAATGCTACAAAGTTGATAATCACAGAGGATTCTTAGCCCCCCACCGTGACTCCATTCGGTAGCTCCAGGCCAATCGGCAATCCATGCAGGAATTTGTCTGTGAAGGCCGTGCCTCGTCGAAAAGCGAGCTTTTCCTCAATATCCTTGTACATGTCGTAGCTATACACTTTTGTTAGAAAAGGGGAGGGTTATCGGATAACATCAGCTCGATGGCTCTTGACGTACGCATTCATTTCCTCTATTGTCAGCTTCGCTCTCTCATCTTCCACTTTATATGTTGCCAAATCTTTGTTGTTTGAAAAACCTGTAATTATCTGTTAGTCTTCTTCTTGTCTCTTGTTGACGACCAGCTTTACCGATCCGTTCGTTGATATTGTAGGCAGCCTTTGCAGCCGCCGACTGGACTCTTGTGACCCTTGGGAGTCGAACTTGCTCGTACACGGTGAGGGCCTCCGCGATATCTCCGCTAAAATAATTCCGATTGAAAAGGATTCCCAGAGCGGCAGCATCCTCAATTGCCATGCAAGCACCTTGGCTTTGATGGGGCATCATCTATGTCCTATTAGCACCTGGTGACCCGTCACTTGATAATAAGGATTGGACGTACCGGATGGCCAGCGTCACCTAACAGGCAGGTCATGCTGCGGTGAAGATATGGATAAGGGTTGCTGCGATGTCCAGGTTAGGACAACATTGCCGTAACTAAGCCACGGTGCAGGCAAAGAGAGTGGTTGTTGAACAGGGGGTTAATCTTACTGTACCCATAGGCGCCACGGTTGGATCTCTCTACCGATGGCGAGATGCGCCTTCACCTGGGGATCCAATTCAGGGTACGGTGACAGTAGTTCCTCAACAGGGCGATCCTCGCCGCCCCACGTATGGTTGGTGTAATCCCCTTTTTCCCGAGGGAAAAAGCAGTAGTATGAGAGCAGTTTACCGCCATTGCATGGCGATAGCACAATCTTGTCCCACTTACCCTCCTGGCCGCCCCAGTACTCCAGAGCGCTGTTTTGGGAGTAGTCGAAAAGCCCAGCCTTGACAGCTTCCTCTGTGAGGACGTTGGCGTGCAGGCAGCTTGAGTCAGCGGGCTTCTTCTCTGGGCGGATACCTATAATTTCTCGTACTACCGAGCCAATTCCGTCTGCACCAATGATCAAGTCATGCCGTGCAGAAGTACCATTTTTGAAAGAGATGACACCGCTTTGCAAATCAATATCTCGACACTAAAGGGAGGATAATAGTACTACAGTCAACAGGGTTGCAACAAAATCTCAAAGCTAGCTTGGGAAATTAACTTACTTGATGATTAACAAGAAGCTTCACCGGAGTACCCTCGCCGTCCTTCTTCATGGCCGTGTCCATCAACATCGCATGCATATACTGGCGATGAAACATGTTGTAGACGTACCCCCATCGTTCTTCATAGTCGTCCAGATCGTAAACGCTCACGGGCCCTCCAGTCCTCCAATCATGGTTGATAAGCTTCTTGAGTACGACAGGGTCTCCCATTGCAACATCAACACCCCATTCGTGTAGCCATCGGGTACCATTGGCGGCGCAGGACACTGAAGCGCCGACTTCACCAGCAAAATCATGTCGCTCGTAGATTGTTACGTCGTGGCCAGCACGACGTAGAGCAATCGCAGCGGACAGACCGCCAATGCCACCGCCTACCACGCCGATACTGAGTTTTCTCCAGTCCTGAGAATGTGAAGAAGCCATTCTACACGATTTGCGTCACCTCGCCACAAGGCTTGGGTTTTAAACGTAGGATAATCGATCAAAAATTTCATAACAGATGACTTACTGCTATCAAGCATCTAGCGTCGCGTTTATCAATTAAAATGAGATGTTGAGATCATGTGGTAAAAGGATCTCTCGTCGGCTGATATACCACCTTTTTCGGCATCACTCTGTGCATTATCCGCCAGGAGGCGGTTGAGTGAACAGAGCAAATAGCCCTAGTTCTCCTGCTTCCACATGATAAGAATGCGCGGGCCGCTAGAATTCGTTAATGAGGGAGGAGAACCTAAGGCCAGGACGAATAGGGAAAGGCCTAGGACTCTGAGCTCCAAGCTTCCCTCCGAAAACCGGGTATCTGGACCTCGTTGATTGGCCAGAAGGCAATGATGCAAGCCGCAAACACAAGACCGTCATGGCAGGAAAACTCATTTGCTGATTGGGCAAACGTCCACTTCTCCCTCGGCCGGACGGAGGTAGCGGGCCGGTGCCAACTCCCCGGATCTCTAGTATAAGAAAGCCACGGTCAAGTTATAAGTTATCAGGGCCCGAACCTCCTCGGAAGGAACGGCTCCAAATACCTGTGGGACGCAATCCTGGGACTCATTCTCAACGATTCCTTGGCCACAGCTGTCTGGAAACCCATGAGGGAGCGCTGTTGACGATTACCGGACGGGCGACATTAAAAAAGTACGGCAGCCTTTCTAAAGCAGCTAAAGGAGGGAGGCTCCTCGAGGGTTGGCCATTCTTCTTGAAGCTCCGTTTTGAGTTCCTGATACATGTGGGTTCTGGTCAAAGTGTATTTGACGAGACGAGCTTGAAATCTTCGACCCAACTCTGCACCAGTGCTCACAGAGCAGCTCTCCTTCGACTGTTTCGACGTGGATATCGAGGCGTGTACGACCCCCAGCCTCGTCTGAGAGAAGGCCGCCGAAGACGGCAGCATTATTGCTGCTGATGGTTTCATCACGCGAGATGGCAATGGCAAGAGACCATCCAAATCCGGTTTCAGGGGAAGTCCAGTCCCATTTCTTCAGGTGCTTAAGACAGAAAATTCCAGTTTGGAGGGCCTGAAGAGAACGGGCGATTATAGGGGACCAGGTAACGAAGCGGTTATCCGAATTTCGAGAGCGTACGAAGGTCTCATCGATACAGGGCAAAGCTCAATCTCGATTGTTACTTGTGCTGGAGGCAAGTTGTTTCGAGGACAAGAGCAGCATCATTTATCTATCGATTGACCTTATTCCATAAAATCATCTGTCAGGCCAGATCTAACGCATATTTTTGCACTTCCTGGAACGTATTCTGAACAACATCCGATCCAAACATGGTAAGACCAAGACGTTGAGTATTTTCCGGTGTCGTTGCAGCATTAAAGACCCCCCTTCGGGACACCTGCGCGCCCATTCAGCACGGCGAGGGCATTTGAGAAAAAGGGTGTCGGCCCATTCAACCTGGGTACCGTGGAACGTCCTGCCGCTATCACTCCGGCAACTTCACGAGCACCCATTGCCATAGGGAATTCCCCTGGAACGATGATACCGTATATGCGGACAAGCTCCTTAGTCTTTGCCACCTCCGTCATGTTGAACAACACCTTCATAGGTTTGGGCCGCAATTTTCTACAGAAGCATTGGGAAAAGATGCCAAAAATGGTACCCCAGCTTCGGCTTTAGACTCTCCGTTCTCAGCAGCAAGAAATTTGGCAAGGTCTTCTTTGTTCTCGAGCACTATATCGCTAAGTCGTTGCAGAATTTGCGCTCGGTGTTGGCCAGACAGTGACATCCCATCCTGGGAATGCTTTGGATGCAGCTTGGACAGCATCTTTTAGGTCGTCTGTGGTCGATTCGGGGCATGTTCCGATGAGTGTGTCGGAAAATTTCTCTCGGATTTCAAATGTTCTCTACGACTTTGATGACATCCATCGACCATTGATATAAACCTTCTCAACGAAAAGGCTGGGATCTTTCAGGGAGGAGACAAATGATGGTTCCTTTGTATGACAGCTGTTCGTCAAATGCGAATACTTCAATGACAAGTTGATTGAAAACAGTGTCCAAGTCGCATTTTTTGATTTACACCATATCGGTACTCTAATTTGAGCTTAACCTGACATCTCCCTTATTGACCCGGCTCTAGGATTGCGGGCTGACACCTGGAAGCTATGACCAGCAGGACAGAACTGGACTTGTAGTACACAGCACAACTCATAGCAGAAGCTACAACATTACTATCTCTAGATAGAGGACAGCGTCAGAAGCTACTAGACCAGCTCTTCAAGGCCTTCGGTTGTGGCGACCAAGTACCTCAACCGGGAACATAGCCATATACGCAGCGAGTGCAAATGAAGCAACGCACTGAAAGGGAAGTCATATCTATGGGCCTAGGTCCTCATGGAATTCCCAGAGCTGGATGCGACAAGCTTTGTTGACTTTGGGAAAGGGTCAGCTTTTACATACCGGGACTTGCGCTTCAGTCTGACAACCTGATGACGCAGATCATTACACCAATGCGAAGGGTGCTATCAGCCGCTGATTGATCACCTAGACGATGTGGAGTTTTAGGAAGACATGCTTCGGCATTGAGTTCCTTCACTTGAGCAGGAGGAACACCAACCGTCCATGTCGAGGTGGATTCGACGATAACAAGAATACGCAAAACGGGAACGGCCAGAAGCCGCAAGCTACATCAGAGGCCCCCCTATGAGAGCGCCTATATACGTTTTGAAAGGGGTGCCAAATTGTATGAATGAAAGAGCGGTTATTAATGGAGCTTCGCCTTGGCTCGAAGGGTTTTTCACTTCCATTTCCTTTACAATTTCAAGTCAACTACTCCAATCTCAATCTGATCCAGTTTCTGATAGCTGCCTCTTGACACGCGTCTCCCAGCTTGTCCAACTCACCGTCCGATTTTGGTGTCAATGGAGCATCATGCACCTCTCTCGTCCCCTTGACCAGCTTCAACACGTCATCACCTCTTCCTTCTTTGAACTTGTCGGCCCAGCTGATAATTGCATCACGCAGCGCTTCCTGCTCACCCGCGGTGGCCAAAAAAGAGGTCACCTTGGACTCCGACCACCAACTCGCCGGGGCCAGTTCTGGAACAATATAATAGTCATCTTTCACGTCCTTCTTTCGGCCCTTGTATACGTCAATCCAGTAATTTGAGCACTTCGAATTGACAATGTCGCGATTCGAGAATTCTTTCATCGACTTAAATTTAGTCTCGTCCGATGACACCCAAGGCGCAATCGCTAGGGCGCCATGCAGATTCTCAGAAAGCTGGAGGGGTTTCACAAGAGTTGAGCTGGGATGCGCGTGACCGGAGACGTGGCTGAGGATGGCTAGGACAAGATTTCCGCCCGCAGAGTCGCCTCCTAAAAGCGTGGTCGCAGGCGTCCGCCCAGGTAGAGAGAGGACATATCGTAGCGCTTCGACACACTCTCCGATTTGAAGAGGGTACACTCCCTCAGGGGCCAATGTGTAAGCGTTGCAGAAGATTGCTAACTTGCCGTTCGACCATTGCACGCAGCGGAACAGCAGGTCCAAATGCGGGGGGATGCCGGGCATCACAAACCCTCCGCCGTGGCAGTACAGCATGACATACTTGGCCGAATCCTTGCTGCCGATCCAGAAGCCCTTTGTGTTCGTATTGGGAATATCCACGATCTCGGGTTGGAGTTTTTGCTGTTTGCACCATTTCCGGTAGCTATCTAGGAACGGGGCCAGAATAAGTCTAGTTCTTGATCAGTTCGTCTTATCTTGATGTCGCAAGGTGCCCGTTCGTTCTAGCGGGCAAGACTTTTGACTCACTGCAATTGACCGGCGGTGAAATGTACAAACATACTGCGATACGCACTAGTCATGACATGTTCTTGGATAGTTGGTGCACCATCCCGTCCTCGTAAGGGACTCGTAAGCAGCGAAAGAACGGTCTTGGTGAGCACCAAAGAAAGTGCTGGGGCCAACAGGACCTTGTCACTGAGTGTAGCCGGCATATCTGTTGTCTTTCGTTGTGGCGTGGACTTTTACCTGGAAACTTCTCCGCAGAACAAGTCACATAAGATAACAAGCGATGCGTCTTTTATACAGAAATCGTCGTCGACTTTCAATACTTCTTCGTTACCCCACTTCCAATTTGAGGGGGAGCTGGCGGCCTTACCCAGTTGCATTACCATATGAAGTTTAGGGCACAGTCAGCTCGAGCCGCCAAGTTTCACCCACCAACGTAATCCACCTAAGAAATCCGAGCGCCAACCCCACTATCTATTCTTACAGATCCGGGCATTGTAATCCAAGGCACCACAGATACTGCACTTGGGAGGTGCTCGGCGGTGTTTTTGGCAAGTCTGACTGGCCTGGGCCTGGCTGACCCTGTCTGCCACCGTAAGAGCCGGCCAGAGATCCTTGGGTGGCCTACGTTGTAGACATTTGCAACTTGTCGAATATTCTTGAATTTGTCCTATTGATAGCTTTCAACGGCCAGCTGGGTCCGCTCCTCTAGAGAAAGTAATCGGCTATGTTCTTCCGCCGTTGTCGTGGGCCGTAGAGTAGGTGTCCTCGCGTGTAAGACGTGGATTACGTTACACTCCCGTACACGTAACTTTTCTCTCCTCTCCGGTCGATTCAGGACATATAGGAGGAATACAACGGCAACAGAGTTTGGGAATATATCAGGGCAAAGGGTGGAGGAATGTATCGGGGCAGAGTCTCTTGGCGAGATTGTCGGGTCTCTTGTTGAAGCTTAGAGGTGTTTGAGGGCGTAAGCACTTGTCGCAGGCTTTGACGTCGTCCGCGGCGGTGGAGGACATGCGAAAGTTCCAGTGGCGCAAATTCAAGTGTATTCATCACGGTCATAGGTCTCTGAATACTTGTGGCCTTGATAATCGAGATTCCAGCATCTACGGCATCTCCAGCACTGGCAGGAGGTAGAGGCAAGAGAATGCGCACCCACACTGCGATATACAACCAGGCAAAAGAGCAGGGATTCATTCAGGATTCGCAGGAAGCTCACAGGGCGTCAGGAAGGCGCTCTCTACCACTTCGTAGCACCGAACCGGCAACCCCTTGGCATCTACACCGCCAAACGAGAGTCTCACAAGCCCACATCTCTGCACATTCCAAAATGGTTGATTAACCGAAGTGGAAAAGCCTCTGAGTAGTTGCTCTGGTAAAACCCATCTTCGCTTTTGCTAGAGGCCCGTTTATTATCGTAGCAGCAAAAATATCTGGTTCCGGAATGAGACCGACGCTGCCATGGGGAAGATTCAATTTCGAAATGGTCTTGCATGAAACATCAGGATCCCTATCTCTGAACAGTCCAGCATCCTCGTTAGGAGCGGCGCTTGCTGCGAGGTTCTGCAAGCCACGAATGTCAAACATCGTGCATTTGTTTCGCCTCTCTCATCCAATTAGCCTTGCCTGCTGGCGTTCTGGATTATGCATAGAGTCGATCTGAGTGACATTCTTTCAAGGCCTGACTTGCGGGACCGAAAGGGTTAATGACTTGTCCAATGCATGCAGGGCACACGATACTGTAGCCATCGTGTAGCTTAAAATTTTCAACCGGCACCTCGTTCGGTTGCTTATTTCCCAGCAGTAGCTCAACGCGACGTACGCTTCGGGTAGCCCTACCATGCCTTTGTTGGCACGTACGCGCCGAACAGTCTGTCCACTCTCCTGGTGTTCAATCTAAAGTAGCCGTGTAGGGATCCATCGAACGAGATGGGATTGCTGCGGCGGCGAGGTATTGGACATTCCACAAATAGTGTGAGTGCACATTAACCACCGGGCCGCCAGTTTTCTGCAGAGCGCAGAGTCCGTATTTTCACCAAACTTGTAGCCCTGTGTGTTGCCCCCCGAGATACGTCTGGACTTGCCTTCCCAGTGATCAAGAGCTCCACAAATCGAACGAAAGCTAATACACACCTTCCTCCCCGAATGGGTGAGATAGCAAGGCTTTTGCCGTCCCCAGGGATATTTTAACTGCCTCTCATGTGCTGTTTGGACGCCAATTCGGATGTATGAAGTGATAGGCCGTCCGGAAGATACATTTGCAATGGGACATCGCCATACTTGTCGAAACCACGATGACGTAGGCGCAGGACTAACGCAATATATTTGCATACTCCGCATCTGAAGGTTGGCGTACACTTTCACCGGCCTTGTGGTGTTATGCAGGTAATATTGAATGACAATGTCCTGACGACCCTTTCCAGAGGCGGCTCAGACAAACTTGCACACACGTCGTACGTATCTGTGCTGTGCGGCCTCGTAGAGAAGAGCATAGGAGCAAGTCGAGGAGTATATATCCCAAAGTTTAAGATCCAACCCAAGTCTAGGTGCCCCCCCGGCAATGTTTGGTGAAGCCCGTGGGTGCTACCGGACTACATTGCGGCTGTGGCTCATGCGCCAACGTCAATAAAACGCGTCACCTGTCCAGGCGCCAGACCTTCCCAAGGCCTAGCAGAAAGACCGTGGCCTGGCTCTGTATGTCAACACTGCAGCTTCGTGGCTGTGTTCCAAAGTCAAGCCGCTTGCTGATGAAGTAGAGAGTCAAGGTGAATGTCTTGCACCTCACTTCACTCTTTATGAACGACCGCGCGCCCGCTTAGCCAAGCGAGTTGTTTCTCAGACTCTTCTCCAAACCACGACATTCCGGAAGCAAAATGCTGGATGAGAATCTCCCTAGTGGGTATAACACCTCTACCTCGTGGCATCTTTGTTGACGATTACAGCCTTCGTGCTTAAAGCCTCCAAGGACAAACCAAAGCAGAATTCGACCTTTCTCTTCTCTCAACACGGTGCCGACTTCGAGCCGGCATACACCCTCCGCCATTTGGATCCCGAACAGCACGCCTCGAAGAACAGATATGCTGCCGCGCTCTACGATGCCTTTAGTCCCGAAGTCTTGTATGCCGAGGTCTTGCTCATTCCTGAATGGACGCAGCCCGCTCCTCTCTCAGAACAAGCCAAATTAAATGGAGCTGTCCCACCCCCTCCAGAGCCGATTCTCCCGTCCGAGTTTGCAATCCAGTTGTACAATCCCGACCAACAGGTCACTGTGAGGCACAAGGCTGCCAGTTGGAATAGTGCTGCGGCATGGGAATTCGAGATGCCGCAGCAAACCTTCCGCACGCCGTCCATCTCTGCGCTGGACCGAGGTCAACATGATCCCGCCGCCTCAGAGGTCACACCCAAGATCGGATTCAAATGGAAGAAGGATAGCAAGTTTTCAAAAGATTTGGCATGTTTCCTGTCAGGCAAGAGCACAGGTATCGAAGGCAGCAAGACCAAAAATAAAGAGCCCGATATCACAGTCTCAATATTCAAAGGGTTGAAAGAGATCACTTTATACGAGCCGAATCTGCAAAGAGTCGACATAGAGGACCTGAAAGGCTTTGAAGTGGTTCTTCTACTGGGTGCTGTGGTTATTCGTGATGTGTACTTCGGTTCTCTCAAAGAAACCTTTAACATCTCGGTAACAGGGAGAAAATCCAATCCTGCGAGCCCCTCCACTGGACCGGCGGCCTTGAATACGGATGCGCTTCCTCAGTCCACCTCACCATCAAATCGGGGAGGGTCAGCCCACCCAAAGCCCATCCGCGACCCTCGAGTGCCTCCCACAGATCCTCGAAGTCAATGGGAGATTGATGCAGAAACTGCCCGACTCCGCAGGCAGGCGGCAGAGGAAGAGCGAGTGAGGAAACGGCGAGAAGAGGAGGAAGAACGTAAGACTAGGATATTGTTAGAGAATGAAGAAAAGGAACAGCGTCGGAGGCGGCAAGCTGAAATCGATCGAGAGACTGAGCGCCTCAAACAATTGTACGGACAGGAAGATGCGTCGGCCCGCCCACAAGTTCCTCCTCGACAGCAGAGACATCATTCTGAGTCAAGACAATCGGCATATCTCCAGTCCCAACAGGGCCAAAACCAGACATTTTCTTACCCGAACGCGTGGGGTGGCTATCCTGCTAGCAGTGGTCCTGGACCCTACATGTCAGGTGCTGCTTCACAGTCGAGTTTCTTGAGTCCTTACCGTCCGCCACAACCAAATCTCAAACAAAAATCTAGTATTTTCAGCTTCCGACGTCGCAGCGACCACGATGCCAACAAGTTGCAGCGGAAGCGAAGTGCCGTCTTCTGATCACCGGGAGCGGGCTTCCCGTGACCCTGCACGTGATCGGTCAATTCCCGGGGTCAAGAACGTGTCATCACTCTCGAGACTTCCAGGTCCGATTGTATTTCTACATATTTTCGCATCAATTTCGCAGCGGCCTCTTTTTCTCTGGCGCACCAGTCCAAAACATGGCATCCTCTCCAGGAAAACGGGTTGTTTTCACAGGAGGCTCTGGAAAGGCCGGACGTCACTGTATACCATACCTCCTAGACAAGGGACATCAAGTCCTTAATTTGGATCTGATCGACTTTCCGAAAGACCATATACCTGCTGGCAAGAACGTGTACACCATGAAGTGTGATCTGACCGACGGGGCCCAAACATTCAACGCCTTGTCCTCGCTCTTTTCGATGGAGGAGTACGCTCTTCCAAAACACCCCGGTCCGCCCGATGCCGTCATTCATTTTGCAGCATACGCTCGGAACATGATCGTACCTGACAGCGAGACTTTTCGCGGCAATGTGATGAGCACTTATAACGTGATTGAGTCAGCTTGCAAACTGGGCGTGAAGAAAATCGTCATTGCCAGCAGCGAAACAACATATGGTGTTTGCTTCAGTCAGGGTGATGACGATTACCACTCATTCCCCCTGGACGAAGATACCTATGATCGCAATCCCATGGACACATATGCTTGCAGCAAGCTGACGGGAGAGCGCATCGCACGCACTTTTGCCCGCAGATTTGGAACTGATATTTATGCATTGATCATCGGCAATGTGATTGAACCACATGAGTACGAAAGGGACTTTCCGCGACACGTCGGGAAGCCGGAAACGAGGAAAAGGAATGCTTGGAGTTATATCGATGCCCGAGATCTGGGCCAGATTTGCGACTTGTGCATTACAAAGAACGGATTGGGCTTTCAAGCATTCAACGCCACAAATGACACCATTACCACCACGAACCCGACAGAGGAATTTTTGAAGAAGGCATGCCCCAATACTCCGATCGTGCGAAAGATGGGTGAGTGGGAGGCGCCCCTGTCAAACAAGAAGATTCGAGATGTTCTAGGATACAAGGACGTCCATAACTGGCGCAAGTACTATACTCATAAAGAGTCAGGCTAGATCTCGTAGCGCATCTATATCGTTCTGAACTACACCACTATTTTCTTCGAGGCTATTGCCGCCTTGAGTAGGAGTCGATGACGGCCAGAAAGGAAAAGCGTATACATGTCAGAGAACAAAAACTGGTGAAAGGCGATAGCCAATCTAAAGTGCGTATGTAGACTTTTATGTAAAAGAGACGTGAGGGGAACTGCTAGTGTACCGTGACCCCTGTCAAGCTGAATGCCCACCTACCAGGAGCAGACCCTTCTCGAGGGAATTCATCTGCTGTCCTCAGATATTAGTCAAATGATATGTTTTATGGAGAGCCTGCGAGAGCTGCAGCATAGGAAATAGAATATCGCTTTTCGTCAACTCGCATCCCTAGTCTCCGCTCACGGCTCTCTATCGAAGAACGCAGGTTAGCCGGAGTCAGGCGATGGTGGCAATTTTCTCTGCTGGAGGCAAATCTCGGAGGGTGTGTCCTAGGCCCCAGCCACTCACATCTCAGCGACACAAACATTTTTGAAGATCACTGCCAGCAAAGCACTCACCAACCTGACAGTGCACCCGCATCTTTTCCCCGTGGAGGACGCCCTGGTATTCATTTCATTGACCATTGAATTTCGACGTTGAACTCATCACAATATGATACCACGATTCATTACTACATTCGCATCACGAATCAAAACGGATTAATCCCGCTCGTCCACGACGCCTCAGCGGTCCGCGAACCTGTCACCTCATCTCGCCCGCGTCATGGATAAGTCCAGCTCGGGTCGGCACAGAGCCGGTTCTGAAGCATCCTCCAAGTCCGAGCGACGCCGGAATGGCGAAGGAGCCTTTTCAGTGGGACGCGCCGTTACAGAGTCAGCGACTTCCTCCTCTAGACGCAAGCCCAGCCAGCGCGACGATTATGATGGTGGGGCCGCTGCCGGAGCCGCAGATGATACGTCCCGTCCTCTGCGAACAAAGGCATATCCATCAGCGGAATCCAGTTACGCCCCGGCCCTCACAGCTGAACCATCAGAGATTTCTGTCCAATACCCAGATGAACCGACGAGGGGAAGCGAGCTCGATCGTGCATACAAAGAGGCCCGGAGATTGGCCCGCAAGAGTGATAGGAATTCGAGACACGAAATGAGAAGCATCGATAACGATCCTAGGAAAGCAGGAAGGAAAGACAGCGAGCGAAGTCGCCGTGACTCGCGCAAATCCAGCAGGTCGGATAGAAAGGGAAGCACGCGCACATATAGCAATGATGAGGCTTCCCTGCCCCAGAATCAGTTTCCAGGAGAGGTCCCAAACACGTATACACGGCCCTATCGGCCCGCTGGGCTGGCGTCAGACTATTACGGCGATCAGGGAGAGTCAGTCGCTTTTCAGCCTGGCGTTCGGCCCAATCCCCCCAGCATTGTCACCAGTGCCGAACAGGCACATCTCATGGAGCCAACGATTGAAGCCAAACCTCCACCAGAGCCGAGCAGTCTGGGCCAAGTCGGGGCCGCAGCAACCTATTTTGGTGGCGGTGGTTACAGCAGTGATTCTGGATTACCGTCTACGCCTTCTAAACCTTCCCAGAAGCCGAACTTGAAGCCCAACAAGCCCAACGTCCACAGCACTCACGATGCAAGTCCGAGAACAAGCCCCGGACTAGAAGGGAATGTCATGATGCCGCAAATCCAAGGAGCTAGCGGAGGAAACGCCTTCACGACGCCTGCGACGACAGCGGCGGTTGGCGCAGCGGCTGAATACTATTCAGGCTCGGGCGGTGCAATGGCAGGAAGTACTCAATATCAGACCCCAATACGGCCACCAGCTTCAGCCTACTCGAATTCGACTCCATACTCAGCGCCGGCTGGAATTGGAGGCTCCCACGAGCATTCTAACACAGCCCTATATAGCGGAGCTGCCCTAGCTGGCGCCGCCGCCGGTGTCCACATGTCCGCTCACTCCCACAATGAACCATCGCAAGGTCAATATCACGGCTCGGCCACAGCATTTTACCCATCCTCGCAAACAACCCAGATGAGCCATACCCACCGCCGCAAACGCAAGGGCCCGATTTCCAAACTCGTTGATTGGTTCCGAGATCCCGAAGGAGTCGCACAGTTTGAACGCTACACTGAAGCCATTGGAGTTTGCAAGTACTGCTTTGACCCAATGAGCACGCCAGCAGATGCTCCACGAAAACACCATTACCGTCGTCGGAGACCTTCATCGGGAAGTCGACATGGAAGCGCCAACCGTGTTGACAAAACGTATAGATATTCCTCTGACGAAGAGCGTTGGAAACGATCAGCGCTGAAGAAAGGAGCTGTCGCTGGCTTGGCTGGCTATGGTGCCGCCAAAATGGGAAATGCGTATATCAAAAGCAAGTACGACTTCGATGACGCCTACTCCGTCAAGTCTGGTCGACCAGCCAACGGAACACGGGTTGGTTTCCGAGGTGATGATAAAGAATACGAACGCAACGAGTGGCGCTATTCATCAAGTCAAGACGTACGACTGACAAAGGGCGAAAGTGGTCGAGGAAACACGACCAGTGTTCGTTCTAAAGAGAAAAAACGCCGTCCTCGCAGGTCTGGTTCCTCGTCGTCGTCTTCCTCCTCCCGTGGCATCTCTCGTGGCGCCGCGATAAGTGCTGGCGTCGGCCTTGCTGGACTAGCCTTGGGAAGCGAAGCCATCGACAAGATGCGACGTACCAGCGGGAGTCGGTCGCCCTCGTCGAGGAAGAAGTATTCTTCAGACCGGATTCCTCCCGACAATTCATATGAGAACCTGTCAACAACGAATTCTGGAGGTGGCCTGTTAGACTTCTTCACAAGTCCTTCCGCCAACGAAAGAAAGGGCAAGAAGCCAAAAGGACTTTTCACTTGGGGAAATGGTTCTAGCTCGTCATCTGATGCGGATCTTGCCTTCGAATCACGCCCTGTACGCCGCAAGATTTCACACGGACGTCTCAAAAAGGGTGGTGCCCGACGATATCGCTTCGACTCGACGACCGAGCTGAAGCAACTTCTGGCTGATGGTCAAAGACTGGCTGATGAGGGTGACCGAAGAACGAGGAAAGGTAAGGGAAGATACGATGCTAACGTAAATACAGGCCGGCCAAGTTATTCGGGTTCGTACGGAGATCCAATACTCGATAATGAGCCTTCCAAACATGGCCACGAAGATGAATGGTACGATACCGGAGACGACGAACTGGACTTGGCCTATGGTGGAGGAATTTCTGCAATGCAAAGCCAAGAGACCCTTGTTCAAGAGAAGAGATCATCCAGAAGAACGTTGACTTTTGAAGAGCCTCCTCCTTCAGCGTCTTCAAGACCAATGACAGAAATTGGAAGTCTTCCGGTTTCGAATGGTGCTTCACATGAGCGAAGATTCCCAATGAATCACGACGATCTACCACCTATGCAAGAAATAGAACCCAGGCCAATTTCAGATCCCAAATATCCTGATAAAAGGGGAAGATCACGAGGCAAAGATCCCGGAGATGCCAGCTCTCTATCTCACGGTCGGAAATCGTCCGCATCGGTGCCCCTAGAGCAGCCACAGCCAATACTTCCCGTCACCCCATTCCTCCAAGGCGCTTCGTACAATACAGTGGACTCAGGCCGACCCTATCCAGGGTTTCAACAGAATGACTCTAACCTCGACTCACTTGAAAATTCCCAGGCCCAACCAGCCGAGCGAAAGACGGGTCACAGACCTGCCATCGAGATCAGTGGCAGCACACGCCCAAGAAGAAGAGACTCCAGTCCAGCCAAATTACCCTTCCGGAATGCTCGAAACAACGTTAGTTTCAATCTCACCGATGAGCAGCTCGAAAACGAAAAACGGAACAGACACGAAACGGGAAGGCCAAAAGCCGAAGGTGGCAAGAGCCGTCGACGGAAGTCTGCCGATGCTGCACTCATCATGGGGGGGGCTGCCACCCTTGGAGCTGAGATCCTTCGGGAAGACAGTGAGCCGGCATCAGAAGGGCGTTCCGCTAAAACCAAACGAACCTCTCCAGATGCATCCGACGATCAACTGGCTAAGATCGAGCAAGAGCTACAACGGCTCTACGCAGAACGGCGACGGTTGAAAGAACGATCTCCCAAGCAGAATGAGGAAGGCTCTAACGGCGTCAGCGCTTCCGCCCCCGCCAGTACCGAGACCACTGTTGTCAAAGACAAAGTGAGTACCATAAGTGATGATACAGCCACTCCCCGCCGGAAGTCAAGCCTGAAGAAGACGGCTGAAAGGGACAATTCCCCTCATGCTGAGTCCCAGCAAGAACGAATTGCTCGGATGGCGGCCCAGCGAGTCAAGTCAACATCCTCTCCAGTCTACGAAGACTATGGCGCTTTCTTTGTGCCGACAGAACTCAAGGAACACCTCAAGGAACATAATGACAAAGCCGAACACCGAGATGACATTGAAGCAAATATAGTTGAAATTGTTCCGGGAGCGGCAAAGTCAAGACGTCAACATCCGTTTGACCCCTTCACCTATCGTCCCTTTGGCTTAGCGCTAGATGATGACCCCGGTTTGCATCCATGGCCTGTTCCTATGCTTGAATTGATTGAGCCCACTCCGCCCGGCAGTGAGTCACACAGTGTTCAGGGCGATGCGAGTCCTATTATCACGCCAAAGTCAACCGAGGCATCTACCGACATGGGCGAACCACTTGAGCGAAAAGTCAGCTCGGGATCCAAAGTAACTTGGGGTGATCACGATACCTACGTGTACGAAGTCCAGACACCTGATGACGAGCGATCAGAATACATACCTCATTCAGGGTTTCAGAAAGTCGATCATTTCGAAGCTCCGTCCCCCGGCGAGGCCGCCAGAAGGGATGTTCCTTATCAAGATGAGGAATCCCTTCCCACTATCAGCCGTGTCTGGACCCTAGACGATGGGGAAGCAGAGAAGCTTGAACATGAGGTTCCAGTGCTTGATGATAGACCTCAGATAAGCCGTACTTGGACTGTCGATGATATTGAAGCCGATCAAATCGAACACGAACCTCCGCGGGATAAGCCAGGCGACGGATCCGAAGTCAAGATACAACCTAAAATTGTTGAAGTACAACCCAAATCTTCCCCGTCCCCGAATCCACTACCGGTGTCCACTGAACGTGAAGAATTATCTCAAGAGCCCTCAGTACCTGAACCCGACGAGGGGGGACGAAGACAAGCGTTCTACAACAGTCCATCTGTGGAGACTCCTGGCCAAAGCTCCCTTACTGAGGACGGAGCTGACAATCTCAAACATCCATCTGCAGCAGATCCGCAGAAGCCGACCGATCAGCAGCATTTTGAACAAAGACAGAATGATTTCCAAGCTATTAACCAAGAATCGCTGGAAGGCAATACTGCCGATCGAGAAATTCCTGACACCTCGCCCGCTGTTCGAGTTAGCAAAAGTGAGAAGCGTCGTCTGGAACGCGCAAGTTCTTCTGGTGAGGCAGTGGACCCCTACTTGTCTCAACACACCTCGCAGGACCTTGGAAAAGAGTCAGTGGCTCCGCCGTCCGTACCAGGTAGTGAAAGTGTTTTCGACTATCTGAAGGACAACGAGGGAGACTCGGCTCCCTCGGCGTCCATATTAGGATTAGGCGCCTCTACCATTCTTCCAGCCGACCAATTAACAAGAGACACAGCCCAACCCAGCAATGCAATATCATCCAAAGAGGCCGAAGATGTTGATCTCCCTTCAAAACCAAAAAGATCCAGTACTTTCGACGACTCGAGGACGCATCGCTCACGATCGAACTCAAAAACGGACTATCGATCAGACCCTGAGGATTGGGAACGTTCACGAGATTCCAAGAAACTCAAGAAATCAAAGCGTGGTTCTCGAAGTGACGCTGGCACGAGTTCAAAATCCAGCAAGTCCAGGGATCAAGGAGAGGCAGATGAAGCAAGCTTCCGGAAACTTCGCAGATCTCGATCAAAGGATGATATGCTTGATGGTGACGATTCTCGATCGTTTTCGTTTAATGGTGCATCATCAAACGTTGATTCGGAAACAAGTTCAAAGCGGAGCACACGAGCCAAAGATGAGGAGAGAAGACCTCGAAAGCACAAAAATCGTGACTCTGATATTCTCGGGAATGATGATTCGCATTCTATTGCTAGTAGCCCTAGCGACCTCGAGAAGAGAAGCAAAGAAAAAAAGTCCGACAGCTTTATTGGCAGGCTTTTCTCCGGCAACAAGAGTGATGTCAGCACCTCCAGCAAGAAGAGCTCGAGATCTCCAGAGTCCGAAGGCCGAGCAGATCAAGACCGCGACATTGAACAAGAAAAGCGAAAGAAACGGAAGTCAAAGGAGAAGGATTTGGGCGATGCCACATCCGAGCCTGCTAGAAGAACCCGACGAAATTCAGATCCTTCACTCGAACCGACAAGCTACAGAACGGTGTCTAGAGATCAGAGCGTCGATGACGGTTTCGTTTCTGCTGAAGAAATCCCCGAAACGCCGCTTAAACCTGAGGATATCGAGCCTTTTTTAGGGACGAGCCCCGAAATGCCACCACCAACGGTGATAAGTACACCAATGGGTATTGATGGTGTCTCGGGGCTAGCATCCGAGAGAGAACCATCAAACCCGCCCAGTGCCGCTTTGGATACTCATCTCGACACCCCAACAAATGCTCTCAGCGAAGATAACCTCCCCTCCAAGAGACTCTCACACGAGATTGATGAATTGGAAGAAAGTTCCAAGCCAGGGACTTCAACCAATTATCCTGCCTCTCGCCGGCTCTCCGCTATACGGACAACCGATGGCCCCTCCAGCCCTATCGTCCATAGCTCTCCAACTGCCGTCCCTTTGAACTTCCGCCGTCCGCCTCTTTCACCAACCAATCCACGATTTTCCATGAGCTCACCCATGGCATCTCCAAGTTCCCCGTTGACAACGCCCCGAACTCGTCAAGGACGCCCGAAGTCAACTGAATTCCGTTCAAGCAAGGAATTTCGCCCCCTCTATCTTGTGGAAAGACAAAACTTCGCAAAAGCCTCAACGCCCGAAGCCATGGAAGAATATCCATCTCTGCCCTCGAGCAAAACAAGTTCGGCACATCCTTCTATGGAAGACCTTCGAGCTGAAGCACAGGCACGAGAGCATCCAGACGAATTTACTCCTTCTCGCTTCAATGCCGAGATGTTCCGTGATCGCGGCAGGCGACACAGCTACTCCTATTGGCATGACAATGACACGCGACGAGAATCTCCAGATTATTTGGATTCGAGGTCGGCCACTCCAGTTCCAGGAGAAGCACAGAGAGCATGGGAGAGAGAGAAGAAACCCAAACCGAAATACGAGTTTCATTCGCCAAGCGAGCTGCTGCAAGATCCTGCTTTACTTCGCGAGGTTCCGGCAATGGATGACGGAGCTAGACCCGCTAGCCCTCTTCCTAGCGTTGTCAGCACAGATCTGGATCAGGAATATATGAGTGCTCGCAGCAGAAGTTTGTCTCCAAGAAGATCCCGGAGCTTAAGCAGGGGCCGAAGGGGTACTTCGCGGTCCAGATCCACGTCCTCTATTTGGCAAGATGCCGTAACAACTGCGGCAACTGGATCAGCGCTCGGCATTGCTGCATATGAGATGTCCAAGGGAGCGCACGACGATCAACCAAATGAAGATGTCGTAACGCCCACAAAATCCCAATTTGTCGTGGATATGACTACAGAAGCACCTAAACAACCTGAAAGCCGACCCGACGACGTTATCTTGGAAGAAGAGGTTTTGGTTCGACAGTCGCCACCAAACGTTGATCAAACACTAGACTCAGCTCGGTCACAACCTCAACCAGACCCTCCTATCACAGGCGAGACACCGCAAAGTGCTGGAGTTGATGAAACTGGCTCTTCAGAGGCTCGAAAGCGAAGCAATGAGTCTGACAGTACCGCAGATGTAGCCACGGCATCGCCTGAAGCCAATGAAAAGGCGGGCGACAATGAAAATGCAGGCGATACCACTTCTCTCCTACAAGAGCCATTGAAACAGAACAGCGACTCTTCAAAAGAAACCATGATTTCAAGAGAAATTGGAAACGGTGAACTAGCAGAATCAAATACGAGTCTCCACGATCCGACCCCGTCAACCCAGGGCGATGTGACGGCCGATGCTCCTGAGGATGATAAGACACAGCCGTCAGCTACCAAAGCGAAGAAGCTCAAGAAGTCTAAAATAGCGAGAAAGAAGAAACGCAATACATTATCCTTCGACGAAGAACTTCCAGCCACACCTGAAAGCAGCTTAACAGCTAGTGATACTCCCGCTAATACTCTCGACAAACAGGAGACCGCACCAGCTGCTAGCTTTTCTGCCACTCCTCTCATCAGTGAAGATCCTTTGATAGTGGATGACAAACCGCACAAGGGCTATAAGGAACCTATTGACGAACCAATGGACACTGCGCTATCGAAGGAGGCAGACACATCTGCACAGTCTGAACCTGGGCAAGGCCCTTCTGGTTATTTCGAAGCGGGAAACAAGTTGGAAGCTGATCCGGCCGCGCCGCATCTCATCAAATTTGATAACCAATTGACCGATGCATCATATGGAGACCGAAATCTTGCTCCTGAAGTCACGGTTGCGCCGGCTTCCAACCAGTTACCCATACCTAGCAACAATTCACCTGAAACCCTACATGCGGATATGGCGAAAGAGACTGAATTGAGCCCATTCGAGCAAGCATTGGAAGCGGCTGTCCAAGCAAGAGGTTTGAGCGAAGGCTCGACTGTAGAAGCAGCCCATCAAGCGTTTCAGCAGGAGACCGACGAACGGCAAGTCATTGGCGACACCTCTTTGACTACGGTCATGGAAGAAAATGAAGTTCCAACAACTGCAGTTGAGAAAGAGACCAGATGGGTTGAAGACGAACCAACTGACAGGAGTAAATCCTCTAAAAAGGCGAGACGGAATGCAAAACGAGCCTCGAAGAAGTCGTCACGTTCCAACGATCAGCTTGAATCACAGGCCGCTACTGACCAGCCAGTTCTGGAAAATGCTGCTGAGATCGTAGAGCAGGGCGCTAGGCCTGAACAAAACCCCACAGAACCGTTCCTTTCTAACATCGATGTTTCTCACCGTATGATCGAGCACTTCAAAGAGCCTCCAAATCCATTCGGTGACGACTTTGAAATTCAAAAGGGCGAATCTGCTCTGCCAACTCCGGCAGCCGTGCCTCAACCGAGTCTTTCCAACATCGACACGACATCGATGGAGAACGAGCCGGCTGAGCCCCAGCCTGTTGCACTTGTCGAACCCGCAAAACCAGAGGCTGAAGATGATGACCGGTATTCTAGTCCCAAAAGATCGAAGAAAAAGAAAAATAAAGATAAAAAGAATAAGGGGGCGTCATTTGATTGGGGAGACGCCGGGGCAGAGAGGAGCGATTCCATCGCAGAATCTCGACCGAGTCTCGTACCAAGTGACAGTGTACCAGACATCCGGGAAGACCCGAGCGAATCCATTTCTACGGAAGAATTCATCGGTCAGACGGCTCCTTTGACTGGTGAAAACGTCGAAACTTCTGCTGGACAAGAAAATATTCTAGCTTCAGCCGATACCCGGCATCAGGACTCGGGAGATTTGTGGAGGATGGACTCAAGGAAAACAAAGAAAAGGCCCCACAAGAAGAAGAGCATTGCTTGGGTTGATGAAGACGTGGGTGCGCCAACGACAGACGAGCAGATGAATGTTGCTGCTCCTGAAAGCCAGTCCACTGAGGACTCGCGAGACAAGCCATCAAATGCCTTGACTGTGAGCAGTAATACAGTCTCCCGGGACCAAAGTGTTGATGAGCAAGAACCCAACATGCAGCATGAGGATCTCCAAGAAAAGCACAACTTAGCACCAGCTTTGGAGACTAACGAAAATGCTCCCGATCGTGTTCTTACCTCTAAAGACATGAACAGTTCGTATGGAGTGATGTTGCCAGATGCCCAGGCAAATAAGAACCAACAAGAGCAGGATCAAGAAACGGCACGGGAAGGCTCAGGAGAAGTCGTTATAAAGGAGCTCAGTACCAAGTCGAAGAAGGAAAAGAATAGGAATGACGCCACAGATATCGCCACTGTTACTGGTGCTGCTGGAGCTCTCCTGACTCTGGATGGCCAGAATGAGGGTTCCGCCCAAATACCTACAACAGAAAGACAGGTTGATGTCGGAAATCGAGAAGGTCAATCAAACTTTGCAATCGACAGCGCATCTGGAGAGGAAGTTCAGACCCACAATGAGAGCGAAACCACAGAACCTCTTCCTGAATCAGAGACTGTTCGTCACATCGACTCGCTTGAGCGCCGCGAACAAATTCCAAGAAGCGCTCTGGCCGTGAGTGATGATGTAAAACATGAAACTAGCGACCAAACCGATCTTCCTGTTCCCTCGGAAGCTCCGCAGCTTATCGAGGAAGGATTTACAGATCACCAGATCGTGTCCGAGCCTCTCGAAGTAGGAGAATTGGAAGGTGCAGCTAGAAAAGAAACAACCGCTCGGGATTTCTTCCTTCCGACATCAAAGAAGAAAACCAGGAACAAGAAACCGAAACGGTCTTCTACCTTCGATGAGGCTTCCTCCGATGCGAAGGACAAAAGACTCGGTTATGATGGTACCACAAAACGAAGCTCCGCAGGTCCAGAATCGGCAGAGTCGGATTCTCAAAAGGTGCCAGAGGTCCCCCAGGAGACAGCTCTAGATGATGCACAGGAGTTTGGTTTCAAAGTTAAGCCCAAACGCAAGAAGAGCAAGACTAAGCGGACAAGTTTCAGCCATGATCTTGTATCCACTCCCGAAGATTCCGCCGACCAACGCGAAAAGGAGGATGAATCACCGCCAGCAATAGCTGAGGAGGTGGCTCCAACGCCTCACTCCAGTGCTCAACCTAAAATCGCAAACGAGGAATCTGAAGATACCGCATATGTCTCGCATGAGCCAGCTCAGGCAACCATGGAATCTGAGATCCTTCCAACTGAGAAGCCAATACTAGACGATCAAACCACCCATGAGTCCACCTTTGTTGAAGGGGCCCCTGAGCCACAGGCAATTTCTGTCCCGACCGATGAACCAAGAACAGACGAGGGTCCTTCTCCTGAAGACATTCAAATCAGTGATGGACGTGAATTTTCTGTACCAAAGACTCAACCAATGGATACTTCCGCTGTTACAACTTCCACCGCTGAAGACAGGGCTCTCAATTTCCCGGGCACCTTCGACAACAGCCGTGAGGAAGACCGGATCCTTCCGTCAACAGAGCCTGCAGAGGAGAAGAGTCGGTCAATATTCAGTGAAGGTCTTTCTGAATCCCAAGTGCAGGGACAGATCATGGACGAACCGGGCAAAAGTCCGCAGCCTGTTTCAGAAGAGCCTGAAATGAGCACGGAGCGCACCAATCCCCCAGTCAGTTTGCCAACACCTGGAGGCGTGTCTGGCGATATCGCTGAGGAAGAGTGGGAATCAAGATCCAAGAAGAATACCAAAAATGCTCAACCAACGGATGAGATAAATATGCCAGACATCCCAGCTCAACCCGAGCTGACTGAAGAACCTAGCGGAGGTTCAAACGTTCCTGAACTTGATGTTCAACGGAAGCAAGCTGAAGCAGAGCTTGACGACAATTGGGTCGCCAAGCCCAATAAATCAAGGGAAGAGAAGAAGAAACGCAAACCGAAAACAAAGGAAGTCAGCACCTTTGCAGAGGAGGATCAAGATGTGATCAAAAATACTGAACTCGAGCAAACTGAAGGCTTTGAAAGCAGAAGTGAGAATTCTGCCCCGAAAGAAATCCTTGATTTTCATGAAAATCGAGAAAAGCACGACCCTGTCACCCAGGAAGCCACCTCTTCTCCGGAACTCGATCGGGAACCTGCCAATGTCCAATTGCCAACGCAGGCGGAGCCGTCTCGAACAGACAAAGATAGAGGAATCGAGGCGCCTGATGACAGGGGCGAACGCATGGCGACGAAAAAAGAATCAAACTTTTTGGACACTGACGATCATCCACAACCCCGAGCCACCGAATCACCTCCAGAGAATGAAGGACAAGGAGCTCAGCCTATTTCTGGGCCAATTGAAGCAGACTCGGAATCACGAGGCGATGATGACAAGGGTTCCAACACCAAGAGCTCCATAATGGATACGAAGAATAAGCGTTCATCCACCGTCGGCGATAGTGTCTCTGATCCGGCCTCCAAAAGGGCTGAAATTGAGTCGAGTGTTACGTCTTATGCCGCAATGGATACTTCTACGGAAAGAATTGATGCCATCGACGAGGCGAATCAAGCACCAACTGAACCTATTGCGGAAAAAGAATGGGGAACGTCTACAACGCTGGCAAAGGAAAGGAAGAAAATTACGAAGACAAATACGAAGAAGAATAAGAAGCGCGCGACAATTCCATTACAAGGTGCCCAAGAGTCCAGTGGCACCCAGTCCTTAGCAGAGGACTCTGCAACACTCAATGTAGATTGGCCAAGCCCCTCATCAACGAAAACGAAGAAGAAAAACAAGAAGAAACGGCCTACCTTAGATGAAGGAGTGGTTCAGCCACCCGAGGCTTCAATGCAAATTGCAGGAAAGGACGAACTTGATTTTAAACAGCCTGACGCTGTGATGGCGGAAACCAGTGTTGCAAACAGTGAATCAACGCCTGCCAATGTTTCTTCCAAGGACGAATCGGATTCTACACCAACACTCAAGGATTCGGAAATGAGCAAGCCTTCGGCAACCGGCGACGACGACGTCGAAATGGAGATCACTGAAGCGAGGTCGACTGATCGAAATGACTTGCCTGCTAGCCAGACTCACTTCAGTCGAACTGCGTCCCCAGAGCCGATGGAAGCTCTGGACGCGGGAGAAGAAACCCCGATTATCAAGCCTGATGTTACCCCCGGACATCATTTGGCACCGGAGAAGCCAAAAGTCAAGAGAAATGAGTCGACGAAGGACAAGAAGGTGTCGAAGAAAGAAAAAAGGAAGTCGGTTCTACCTTGGGAATCCACTGATCAGGAAACAAGTGAAACTGCCGAAAGATCAGGAACTCAAACAGAAGAAAATGCGTCTCATTTTACACATACACAAGATGCTCAAGGAATATCAACTCCTCTCAAAGAACCTGTCACGTCAATTCAGGATGAGCCTCAAGTCGACCCAATTTCACGTGAAATGCCGACTATGCCGACGTACTCTGACCAAAATATCATCGCCGAGGAACCTGCCAATGAGATGGAGATAACCATGTCAACAGCGCCTCCAGACGATATCGTGATGGCTGAGGACCATGGAAAAACATCTATGCCTTTGACGGAACATCCTGGGATCACCCCATCTCAAGAGGAGCCAACAGATTTCACTGCTCAGCCGATAGAGGATATTTCTGGCGGAATGACAATCACTGATCGCCAAGATATACCAGACGAACGAGGCCTTGCAGACAATGACACAGATGTCGCAATGAAAGACAATGGTCCCCCCAAGCGCAAGGAGAGCAAAAACAAAAAAAGGAGCAAGAAAGAAAGGAGAATCTTCGAGTTCAACGGCACTGAGGAGGTAGCTCCTCTAACTCTCGAGGCAACAGGTACGCAACAAGTTGAAACTGCGAATACGATGCCTGAGGAGTCCATGGATGTCTTCAACCAACCGTTGCAAGTACCAGAAACCGATCAGCCGACGGACGATGTCGAAAATATGTCTGATGTGAGCGCCAGCACTCGCGAAAGGCGAAAGAGGCGGCGATCCCCCCTCGCGTGGTCAGGAGAGGAGCCTGCAGATCTCCCAAAAGATCGGTCGCTGACTCCACCTCCCGATCACGACGACATCATGGACACCGCTCTAGGTGTCGCAGCTGGGCTTGGTTTCGGGTCTGGCGAACACGATCCTACCAGAGAGTCTCGTCCAAAATCGGTATCACCAGCTCGGCAGCCATCTGCAGGTTGGTCCTTTGCCAAATTCGGACCTGTCGGCGGGCTCGCACAGTCAGACCTCAATCGAGATAGTGGTGTCCAGTTTGAGTCACCACTTCTGCCGGGTGGTCAGTTTGCGTCCCAAAGAGACAGTGGCTTCATTCCTGGGCATGTCGATGACAATACTGGAGTTAGCGGATCGACAGATGTGGACAACAGAGCAGACATCTTGCTGCGGCCGACACGACCTCAATCACCTACAAGCTCGACTGAGGACGTTTCCAGGTCCTCCCCGAGCAGATCGCACCAGGAAGAAGTAGCAGTTCTCGAGACACCAAGACGAAAACCTTCACCCGTCGAGTCAACCTCGAAGGATCCATCCTCCGTCTTGTTCAATTCGTCACCAGCGGACCCAACCCCGACGATCAACACTGTCTCAGCCCGGAGCCCGGAGCCTATTTTAAGCCCTCTGCGACGGAGCCCAAGCGTCCATGGCCGTCACCACAACCGGGATGAATTGCGGCAAAAAGCCAAAGCCATCCTTGAGCCCCAGCGCAGCGATCAGCTTGCATCCAATTTGATTGACCGTGCCGCAGCGGCTGAGGTGAGCCGCTCAACATTTGAGCCCCCTGCTCATGACACCATGAACCCAGTGTTCTCTCCGACCAGGAATCCACTCAATCCCATCCGTGAGGACACGATCGAAGCATCTTCCACTGTTCGAGAGGCATCTCCATTCTCCGAGCCACCTGCAAAGGACGACAACGGCACTGCTGGCCTGGTAGCGGCCATTGGGGCAGCCGGATCGGTAGGCGCGAGCCTGTCGGGTCTCTCACGTGACTCCACGGGCGCTAAATCGCTTGGCAGAAGCATGTCGAGAACCTCGTTGCGCAACCTGCGCGGCACCAACTTGATCTCACCCTACGATCCAGCCAATTTCGCCTCGGGGTCATCGCAGATGCCCGTCAATGATAAAGATCCAGGAGAATCCGTCACCCGCGGAAGGGATATGGCGGAAGTCTATGTAAGTTCGATGCTCACCGACCCCGCCTCGGGTCGACAACGCGTCCCATGCTAACAACTTTGTGCGCAGGACGGATATGGATCCTACCCCGGTAGCCCCAGGTCGCCGACACGACCGCCCAGTGTTCGGCGTCGACAAAGTATGCAGCAAATCAAGGACCTAGAGGCCCGGCTGGACCAGCTTGCCAGCGAGAATCGTGCTCTTGCGGAAGCCAAAATGATGGCAGAGCAACATCTCGAACAGGCACATTTCGAACGCAATCGATCCGAAAATTCCGCCGAGGCGTTGCGCACCACTGCTGCGCACCTTCAAGAGCGTGATGCCGAAATTGCCCGTCTCAAGGAAGAGATAGCATCTTTGATCGCCACACACGAAAGCCTGAAGAAAGAGCACGAACAAAACCTCTTAGCCATCCGACAAGAGCATGAGCAGGCACGATCACAATGGGAAGAGTCTTCCAGAGAATTGGATACTCTTCGATCGCGTCATACCGAGCTCTCAACCGGGATGGAGTCCATTGTGAAACACGAAATCGACACGGCCCTCGTGGAGAAGAATGCCGAGATCGAAAGACTTCGAGAGGAACTGGAGACAGCGAGAGAAAATATTCGAGAGCTGCAGTCCAAGATTCTGGAGAAGGGTGTGGACGGTGTCGTCGTTTTCCGCGATGAAGATTACTTCGATTCTGCCTGTCAGAAACTGTGCCAACAGGTTCAAGCCTGGGTTCTACGCTTTTCCAAGTACAGCGACACCAGGATTTGCCGAACCACAAATGAAGTTCGGGACGACAAGATTGTTGATCGGTTTGACAATGCGATTCTGGATGGATCAGACGTGGACGTCTACCTGGCGGACCGGGTCAAACGACGAGATGTGTTCATGTCTGTTGTGATGAGCATGATCTGGGAGTACGTCTTTACTCGATATCTCTTCGGGATGGATCGAGAGCAACGACAGAAGCTGAAACAACTGGAGAAGAACCTCGGTGAGGTGGGCCCAGCAAGTGCTGTCCGTCAGTGGCGGGCTCTCACCCTCACCCTGCTTTGCAAGCGAGAAAGTTTCAAGGCTCAACGAGAGAGTGACACTGAGGCGGTGGCCATCGAAATCTTTGCCACGTTGTCGAAGTTCCTCCCTCCACCGCACAATCTAGAGCAACAAATTGTGGGTTCTTTGCGCAATGTCATGCACGCAGCGGTGGATCTTTCCATCGAGATGCGTACTCAACGAGCCGAGTACGTAATGCTGCCACCCTTGCAGCCAGAATATGACACCAACGGAGACCTTGTACGCAAGGTCTACTTCAATGCAAGTTTGATGAATGAGAGAAGTGGTGAAACCACAAGTAATGAAGAATTGGAGCAAAACCAGGCAGTTGTGCGAATGGTGCTCTTCCCACTCGTCGTCAAGAAGGGCGATGACAATGGGTTTGGGGATGAAGAAATCGTGGTATGCCCTGCGCAGGTGTTGATTGCCCGTCCAGACAAAGGCAAGAAGGTCAAGGCCTCGACTCGTGTTGCCAGTGGTGGCAGCCAGGTTGACCGAATGAGTGTGGACACCCGCAGTCTTCGAGCTCCCAGCACTCACAGTCTGGGTGCAGTGAGCGGCATTGATATGAACGACAACGTGTTTTAGAGGATGTAATGTGCATGGATATTAGGGTTGGTTTGCATGGCGAAGTCAGGGGGAGGTGTTTTTTTTTTTCTCCTGGGTCGCTGACACGAACGACGACACGAATTTCTTTTATATAGTGTATAATTATGAATGAGTTTAAATGCTCTGCGGACTATTAATTCATAGGCCAGTAGCTTGCCTGGTTTTTCTGCGTCGAATGCTGTGGAGGCCACACCCGTCAACAGCTTGACATCTCCAAAAGGATTGAAGCTTCTCTCACGTCATAGGCTGCAGCAATGCGGATGGTCCTTCGATTTCTACTGGACAGGATCGTCGATAGGCGAAGACCCATTGAATCAGATCTCAGAGGCTGAAGTTGCGTTTTGTCAGAGAAAAAAGTCTCCCGCGCTCTGCGGTGACTGTACCTCTGTGTTCTCTATAAACCAGCTGCATTTGTTCTGCCTTCTTTTCTAATGAATTTTTATCTTCGATCTTGTTCATAGTCAGCACGCTTCATATCTTATCCAGCTATCTCCCTCGGCCTCCGCAGCATTGAATTCAGCCTTCTACTTCAGATGCATCCACTTCCACCCCCCAGCAGAGGCCAGTCCTCCAGGTCTCCCGAGTCACACAATCAGGATCAGGCCCGGATTCACCCTCGATCGACAGATCAGACCTCTATTTCTGCCTCGACCGTGCAAGCCCAAGGTTCCACAACCTCCACCGCAGCACAAGATGGCAAAAAGAAAAGAAAACACCGTGGGGGCAAGAAGAGGAGGAATCGCCGCCAGTCTTTTGCTGCCCCCTCTGACACGTCAGCTCTACAGAGTGTGGAAGAAGGACCGGGCCATGAAACCCCCCCGATTGAGGAAGCCCGTGAGCCATCGTCCGTGCGGCAGTCCTTTTACAGGAGCAATAAAGGCAATCTCAGTGGTGAAAGTTTGGATAGTGAAGCGCTCCTCGATCATCGAGATCAGCCCATATTGCGATCTCGACGCGACAGCCGCCTGATTCCAAATGTCTTTGCGGCGCCGCATCGAAGTAACACTTCTCTTAGGCTTGATACCGGCGGTCGACGGAGGCATCGCAGCCAGCAAGATATTCCAAGTCCTACGGGGTCTGGTTGTGAAGACGCCACGGACCGTACACCCTTGATTTCTGGCGCGCCTCAACGCAAAAACTCCGTCGATGCTGGATATGGACTTTTTCGAGTGAAGTCTAGTTCTTCCACGCTATCTTCCCACTCGAAACCACAGAGGAAGTGGACACTTGGAACCGTCCATTCCTTCCCCAAATCCGATCAGGACTACGATGTCAACAACCCTCCCTCGGTGCCTCCAAGCCCCAGCGTCGGAGCTCAGTATGACGATGTCATGGTTGACGACGGCGATTTTCTTACCAGATCGCCAGACAGCCGAAGGAACCTCCAGGTAACCAACAAGGACACTTTGATTGCTATTGACGATGATGGAACCAATGAGCCTCCATTAGCGGGCGATAACCCCAAACTTCGGCCAGAAGGTATTCAACGGCATCGTGCCATGACACACGCTGCAGAAGGCGATGTTTGCTTCCCTGGGGATGATGTTTCCGTAGCTGGCGAGGAGTATTTCGACAGGTCCCAGTCACAAGGTACCTACCTGAGCGGCACACGGCGGAGACGTCGGGATCGTGAATGGCCTCAACTGTGGGTTCTGGACGAATGGAGCCGTGAGGAGAAGGAGGAACGGGCGGGTGAACGACGGGCAAAGAAAATCAGTGAACCCGTCTTCGTTGAAGGAAGACTACGGCCCTCCAAGAATGCATGGCATCGTGTTGAAGAAGACGTTCAATATCGATACACTTACTTCAATGAAGAATTCGAGAGTACCATTCACGCTCAGACGATATCGGAATTAGTGCAACCAGGAGGGACTTTTCGCGAATTGTTTATCCCAGATCCCCCTGAGCTGATTGACTCCAGTAGCAGTGAGGACGAGGAAGGAGTGGACACCAGCCAGAATGCGGAAAACCTAAGTGCCGTTCAAAGCCCCAAAAGCCAAGTCAACGCAGATGGACACGGCAGGATGCCTGAACTCACAGAATCGATGAGATTGAAGTTTGACTCCAATGGCAAGGGCTCGGAAAGGAACTCCGGTGCCGCTACGCCATACCGGAAGACTTCTCCACCGTGTACTCCCAAAGTGAAGAAATATGGTCCTCGCCCGACGTTCTGGCTTGACGTGACGTGCCCGACCGATCAAGAAATGCGCGTTCTCTGCAAAACTTTCGGCATTCACGCCCTCACATCTGAGGATATCATGATGCAAGAAGCCCGAGAAAAGGTCGAACTATTTCGAAACTATTATTTTATCAACTATCGGACGTTCGAACAAGACACGCACAGCGAAGACTATCTTAAACCCATCAACGTGTATGTTTGTGTATTCAGGCATGGCATTCTCACGTTCCGTTTCTCTCAAATCCCTCATCCAGCAAATGTTCGACGACGCATTCGACAGCTCTCGGACTACCTTATTCTCAGCGCCGATTGGATTTCCTATGCGATTATAGACGATATCACGGATGTCTATCAGCCCTTGATCACTCATATTGAGGAAGAAGTCGATCAAATTGATGATCTCATTCTCAAGGCATTCCAGAACACCGATGAACTGACTGGTAACCATGGTCGGAAACACAAGGAAAAGCGGTCGGATGTTGGCGAGCCTGAAATCTCTGGCATCGATATGCTGCTGCGCATAGGCGAGTGTCGCAAGAAAGTCATGTCACTTTATCGATTACTGGGAAACAAGGCCGATGTCATCAAAGGATTCGCGAAGCGCTGTAACGAGCAGTGGGAGGTCGCCCCCCGGTCCGAGATTGGCCTTTACCTAGGAGATATCCAAGATCACATCTTGACCATGACTGGAAACCTTTCACACTACGAAACTCTTCTTTCGCGCGCTCACGGCAATTATCTGGCTCAAGTTAGCATCCACATGAATGAGAGACAGGAGAATGTCAGTGGTCCCTTCCTCATTCCGCCAGCTGTCCAATGTTCAACGCTTTTGCTTTCCTGCTGACTCCTATTTAGACAGCCGATGTTTTAGGTCGCTTGACTGTACTTGGTACCATCGTTTTACCTCTGAATCTGGTCACGGGCAAGTCCAGAAAATTCTTTTCTATCCGCTCCCAAACAGCCTTTCCTTGCAGAAGTCCTAACTAACTTCCGCGTTACAGGTATGTTTGGCGCCAATTTCAAAGTTCCTGGCCAAGACGTCGACAATCTCAATTGGTTTTGGGCCACTACTCTCGGGCTCTTCCTGTTCGGAGTGGCAGCATTCTACTGGTGTAAGAAGGTGTACAAGATTGTGTGAACCCAAAGACTTCAAGTGCCCGGACCAAACAAACAACCGCTTCGATTTATTCGTTATACTGTCAATCTAATCATTGTCATCCCTTTTGCAATGGCATCCTCGTCGAAGTCGTCTCGGAACACCACGGAGTGGACATAGCCCAGCAACAAGAGGCGCAGGAGGCTCATCCGAAATTGGATAGCGGGATCTTTTCAAAGGCAAGATATCTATCATATCTTGCCATGGGTTCATTTGAAATCACCTCTCTAGAGGATGTATGAATGCATGATCACGAAGACACGGTAATCGAGAGGCGTCGTTCTGATTTTTGCTATCGACTAGCAGGTGGAACCTCCTGCCACGTGTTTTGTGGCAGTCATATGACGAAGATCATACGGGATATAGCAGTGTTTAATACACATAGCACACAGTGTATATGTCGAATGAATAGAAGAGTCGTTGCAGGATGTGGTTGTTATCTATTAAGACAAGCGCTGTGCTCACTACAATGTAGAATTTTTGAGCAAACAGCATTGGACGAGTCGAGCATCCCCAAAGGGGTCTCTAGTGCAAATGAACATCATCTACGCAGAAGACAAAAAGCTGGCTGCGAGTATATCCAGTTTCATGCTGGCATTCGCCGGACGGATGAGGTCATTTAAAACTGGAGAAAGTATAATTACCGTGTTCTCGTGAATCGCTCACCACAGGGTGTGAGCTCTGCACATGTGCAGCTATATTGCAGACCCTGCGTGGAATGTAATGCTTCTCATAGAGAACAATTATCAGCCCGTAGCAAGTCTCAGCAAGAAGGCTGTTTCTCGAGTCGATGTCATTGAATCGGGCAGTGTATGAGAGGCCAGGTTAGGTCGGTTCAACACCCGAGGCTGCGTCTCCGCATTTGTCATAAATTAATTCACGTTACACACATCTCATCATCTCATGTCTTTCCTACGAAATAGGATTCTTCTATAGCTATCGATTCATTCAATCTACGTATCAAGACGACTTGTATCTCACTTCAAGATGGCCGAATTCCCCCCGCCCGCGCTCAAGGCGGCTGCGGAAGACGTGGCTGATTTGCTGCGGCAACGCAAGGAAACCATCTCTGTGGCGGAGACCGCAGCTGGCGGCCTCGTGTCGGCGGCGTTGCTGTCCACCCCAGGGGCGTCTAGGATTTACAAAGGCGGACTGACCCTGTACACGCTTGAGTCGAGAATTGCATTCGCGGGTTGGACCCAAGCAAACATCGACAACTATGAAGGGCCAACCCCCCAACTTGTGGCGGGACTAGCAACCCATGTGCGCCAGACGCTGAAGTCCACTTACTGTGTTGGAGAGGTTCGATGCTTTCCCAAAACAAGACCTTGTTCTCACCGTTTGAATCACAGAGTGGTACCGCAGGACCAACGGCTAGCGGCCAGACTCTCAACCGGCAACCGTAAGTCGTGACTGTTATCCATTTGAAGGCGACCCAAAACAACTGACCTACCGGAACCAAGGGGCTACGTCGCACTGGCAGTGGTAGGAGAGAACGGTGCCATGAGCAAGGACATGGAAACTAGTTGTGGAAGTGATCGACAGGCCAACATGGTGGCTTTCGCAGTTGAGGCGCTCAACCTGGTCAAAGAGTACATATCCACAAACGGCAATCCCAGTGAGAAGATGTGAGAGGAAATCTGCGGCAAGGAGTTGTAGCTTGTAGGTCGAGAATAAAAATGCACAGGAGGCGGTAATCAGTGCAATCCTTCCAGCACCTTTTGGATCATGTTCGGTGGTGTATTGCGGGTTCCCTTTCAGCCAAGGCGCTGTTCGCACATGACCAGTCCAACTTCGTGTCGACGTTGCAGTGAGAGAGGCTTGAGACAGGATCCGAATCCGAATCCGACATCGCCATCAAAGGTATGTTGTTCGTTTGGAAGTTCAAGCCTCTCCGAATCCAGCAGGTTGGATCCGATGTTCGGATCGCGGTTCGCCCTCCGACGTCCTGTCAAAAGAAAAGAGAATTTAAACAGACTGACAGGCCACCAGGCTGTACAGGGGGGCTGGTGCACGGGACTTTCTCCGATCTCTCAACGTTCAATATCTGGAAGGTATAAAACCGGTAGCATTACGATGTGCCGCATTTATCTGTGAAAGAGGTGGCCATGTTCAACCACTGTTCAGGGTGTGAGACAGTCCCCGACACAACCAAATAAACCTTCGCCTGACCGTAGAGGTTCGCCCCGGGGGGAAAATGAGCGCTCCCGGCTTCGTATATTTGCTTTGCCAGACCGAAAACGTCGAGCAAATCATGCAATGTACTTTGAACGGCGACCCCCCGGGAGAGGGATGTTGCGAGATCGATGCGCTCTGATATTATCTCGAGACAGAACACCCACAAAGGGATGCCTATCACATATTAGTCTCGTGCGTCAGATGCGGTACGGAAGCAACGGCCACGATGAACAAACGCTCAAGGGGGTTGACAGGTCAAAGCAAGGCAGTATCGTGCTGAAATGAAACCCCATGATTGGGATAGTCGCAAAATGAGGCGGTGGAAAGCATGAACAAACCGCTAGATGTGTGGTCATGGTATTGCCGGGGGCAATTTCGTCGTCGGAGTTTCGTCTTTGGACAATTCGTCGCTGTGATTCAATCGATCATCTATTTCTATCACTTTCGAAGAGTGAGCTTTGTCACTCACCATTGCCTCAAGCTTCAGTCCCGCCGAGTCGCTCCCCTTGAGGGGTCCTCTTCGCCGTCGATGGCTGTGTTTTACGTCCTTCGTACCACCTAGGTAGTTAGACTTTCGGGGTATCCCTGGATCTTCGATCCTTCGGATGGATTCCGTGCCTCGGGGAAGCTGAACATCCAATTAAACATCCGCACCCCTTGCCGTGATGGTCCGCCGTTTGATCGCCCTCACCATAAGAGGACTTCAAAAGACCCAAGTGGCCAGTCAGAAGGCCGCAATGTCCCCGAAAGCACCTCTGGGGCTGGCCAGGTTTTTTTTTAACAGTGAGGCTCATCTGCAGGCGGGATGATCATCGCCCTGCTCCGGCCTTGAGACTTCTGAGTTTTCAATGGTTTTGGTTATATGGTATTGACTGCGGGAAGATGTTCTATCAAAGAAATCGAAGGTCCTTGTAAGCCACCCTCTTTCAATCTATTTAGGCTACGCTCCCATTGTAAGTGCCGTAGTGCCGCAGAACACCAGCCAGCTCCCGTTTGTTCGATCCACGTGGCAGTACTGTGGATGAGGTAGAACGAGAGGAGTCGGTAGGGGAAGAGAGTAGCAAGCCTGGACACCGCTGTGAGAGTGGATATGGTCAGGGATCGGATCGGGTGATCAAAGAATGGGCTTCGGCTGGAGAGAGTTTGCAGGATGAGGGAAAGTTATTCCATGTCCTGCCGGTTTTCGCGAAAGGATACGAGGATTGGGGGGGGATCGAGTTTCTTTGGACCTCAAATGCGTTTGATGTCGTGGGGTTTCATCTCCACCTATTTGTACTCGACTTTCTAGGACCGTCGTTTTCGAATGGTCTTTCCGGGTGAGCAATCACAATTCACTAATTATCACCGTGTTTCAACTTTCACCCCCATCGAACAGCCAAAGCGGGGATGATTCCGACCCGAAGAGCCCTCGGACTCATGCAATAGTCACCTGCCCCGTTCCGCTTAGGATAGTAAGAAGCTCTTTAGCTGCAGGGTGAATTTCCCCTTGCGGTCTGTGGCTAATGATAAGCCCCCACTGTCACCAGCTTCCCATGGGCCAAGGTCCCCGGCTAGCCTCCCATCCCCCTCGTGGACGGTGGCGCTGATAGCACGGTGACCTGTCTCTCCTGCCATAATCATCCAACACAAAACAGTGCGTCACTGCGACAGCATTCAAACCCCATATACTGGCTGGTATCGACCACAGCTGCTCAGAGAAGACTGGGGCAAGTTGGACACGAGAATGTGCGTGATCGGCTCCCTCAGGCTCTGACATTGTGGAATTCTGACGTCTTGCCGGCTACTGCTGGAACTCGACTGAAACGATGCAATCTGCAATCATCGCCTTTGAAATGACAGGCACGGAGGCATTGGTGGTACATGGGGAATCCCCTTCACAAATACCAAACACTGCCTCCTGGGAGCATGTAATGGTCAGATCTGTTGCGTATTCGTTGTGGCCAATAAAACTTGGTTTGCACCCTTACCGTCGATCATGCTTGTTTTGGTCAAATTGTGTGTGCCCAACCTCCAGTTGCCGAGAAGAGGATTAAGATCGGCCTTTCAGGAACGCGAATCGGTCGGAACTGGAACAACGCCCAACAGTCCGACCTCGTGAAGTCGCCCGGAACAAAAGTCTGCAACCTTGTGATAAAATTGGCACGGTCACATCGTTTCCAGCAGGGGCCTTTCATCTCAGAAGGATCTCCTGCTTTTGGAGAGAAGATTTATGCAGCCCCTTGTGTCTCAGCGGGCCGCATTCGTGTACATAATCACATTTTGTGTATCGTCCCGACGTGGAGGTGGGGCATGTTTGACCCCCCCGGACAGAGGACCTACTCCTGGGCCAGTCGGTGACCTGCTCTGTTACAAACCATCTCTTCATTGGCTCCAAAGTGCCGAAATCGCCCTCTCTTCTGGAAAACACCTAGGGAGAAACATCGTGGTAGGACAAAGGTGGAGCATTGGTAATGGTTCTGGAATGGACTTTGCCTTTGACCAGGACAGGTGATCAAAAAAGGTTAACAGGGTCGAGAGGGTCGTTTCCAGAGCCTGACACCACCAGCCCCATCCGAAAACCCCTTGGAATGACCGAAATATCCTTTACAAGAATTTTGACCGTTTCTTCGGCCCAAAAATGCGTACATCACTGACGGAAAGCCTGCGACACTGGCTGCGCATTTCCCGTACGCCTCGGCCCTTGGCGCTTGCTACTTTTTGAGAATTCGAGTTCAAAGTTAATTGAGCACACTTGAAAGTTGCCGCCTCGGCCATGTGGTCGAAGCGAACGAAGACTCCGAAGATGCTATGCAGTGACATGCATATGTGACAATTTTTGGCCTGACAATTGACTCGGTGAAAAAAATGCCTGACTTTATGGCCACAAAAAAAAAAAAAAAAAAAAAAAAATCTCCCAACGATGGTGGCTTGCGGAGCATAACCCGAAACGGGACGAGGTCCCGTTGGAGAGTCCCCCTGGACGGACCAGCCAGTCGCATGTTGGCTACCATCTGGGACCCAAGTTCTTAGTAGCCGTAGTGATTCCCGTAGCCGGACTTTGTCCCGTTCTTTCGGGTCTTTCCACCACGTGGCGGCAGAGGCGCGGAAGACGGGGGACGAGCAGTTTCTGTTCAGAAGGCCGTGCCAGGCACTGTTAGCAACACCAGTAAGATTTCTGGAAGGCCACTACTTCGTCTTGTTGGTAGACACCAGACAAAGTTTCTCAGATTCCTCCCTAAGCCGATAAATTTCTCAAGGGCAGATCACTGTCGCACTGCAACCTTGTTTTCACGGCAACGCTTTTGGCCTAGTCGAGGTGGTCCATGCGCCCTGCTGACGCGCAAACCTGACTCGCAGAGGGTCTGAATCCAGGAGGACCAGAGATGATCACCGCCGGGAGAGGATCAGTTAGGCATTATCGGGGGAGCTGTTCAGGAACTATGGTCTCGTGTTATTATTTGGGATCTTTCATGTCATCAATGATCGATTTGGGCGGGGTACACCGACCCCACCAAGTAAAAGGCTGGGAGCTCGGTCCAAGGGGAAGGTGTAACAAAAGCCAGACTCACGCCTTGGACGCAATCCCGCTCGGTCTTTTCGTCTACCAACACAGCTGAGGGGATTAGCAAGGGCGAGGAACTTTTTTCCTTTGTATCGTAGCCAGTTCGCAGTCCGAATGCGGACGAGCTCATTCCTGCTGCTTCCTTTGCCTGCCACAGGTGGGTGGGCAGGTATCTAGTCTGATCTTCAATCGTTAGGCCCCGGTGGTCCGTGTAGGCTCACCAATCTTTGGGCAGTCCGGCTGAGTGGGCATTGGTTGAAGTTCAGCTCCGGGACCCAGGTAGCTACCGAGAGAGGGCCACTCTCGAATACTTTAGCTCGATGGACCCTTTGCATCATCGGTGTTCGAGATGGTATCTTTCCCTTGCCTGAAGCGGCGGACCTTTATATCTGGTTTGACCTGGCCGGCACCTGGCAATGAACACTGCCTTCGATTTACCGGTACAAGCCGCGGTTATTTCAGGTTGGCCTACATACCGGTCGGTGATGAGCAGTCCAAGCGACCCAGATTGAAAATATGCTTGAGCAAGGTCCCGAGCCAGACCGGGAAGGCCATTGTCATCAGATCCGTGTTTCAGAATGCGCCGGTATAGTTTACGATATTTCGGCCAATAGCCCGTCTGGCTGCGAGCTGAGCTTCCAATGCGAATAATTTTGGTTCTGATGGGCGGCGGCCGAGTGGAAACATGGACGCGCGCCAGCATTTGTTTCCAAGAAGGGATATTCGCGCCAGGCATTGGTTACTGGTCGGAAGATTTTGAATCTGCATGGTCGGAGAATATGTTACAGGGTCGAAAGCTCGTCGATGTTGCACAAAATCCCTAATACCTAATCTAGCAGAGGATCCGGTGGATCGACCGGACCAGGCCGCCGAGCCATCGAAGATGGTTACTTTGGGAAACGGATCTTGTTGCGAAGCATGATGTGAAGCCATTGGATGAGGAGCCCTGACTTCAAGAGACGCTTGTTGGTAGGCAGTAGACCGTCCGGGATATTCGGGGGAGGAGTGCAAGCCAAAGGGACCGTCTGCAGGCGAAACCCCTGCGGATGGGAATGACACTGGGGACCCTGGGCGCAGACCTTTGCGAGGATGACGACCCAGGACTCGAATAGTGGGACAGTTGCTAGTCAGTTAGTGGCCGTCGTAACGGAGACGACGGGCGGGCGGCGGTGACGAGAGTTAAGAATGGGCGACAGGGTTCGCTTCCGAGCAGGAAGACACCCGAGGAGCATGGGGGAAAAGTCTGGTGAAGCACAAAAGGGCCACCCATTCACCCACTTGTGATCCAGGAAGTTTGTGAGGGGAAGATATGAGCAGCCAGCGCCAGGGCAGCAGACCAGGAAAAAAAAAAAAAAGACAGAATCTGTTCAGTGATGGTCGAGCCAGTGAATTATTTCTCCCCCTCTTTCTTGATTTATTTTCCTATCTAGGCAACCGGAATGGCATTAAAATAAACGATAGCAGACTGACAAACCCAAATTCGGAGTGACCCACTGCCCTGGGGGAATTTCAATCAGACGCGCTGGCTGGTTCACCGTTCAATTATTGAGGCATCGGTACAAGTACCTAGGGAGACATGGACTGCTTGACTGCATGTCTGGTACCAGTTACTCCGAGCTTACCCCTCTTCTCGTATTGGTGCTTCTAAGGCACTTGCAGCGAAAAATGCCTCTGGCGCTTTCCGGCCCTCTCCCCGGCCTTGTTCGTAGCTATCTTAGTGACCACAGCTAATATCTCCTTACCGACTAGTTTAAGTTACCTAGTGACTTTCAGACAAAATCCCACTTCCCACTTTCTCGCTCATTCTGCTGGCCGCCAGGCTTCTCCCACTTTCGCCCACTTCAAATTGGTGCTAAGTAATTCTGTCCCACTGTCCACGACTCGTAACTGTCCAATGGAACATGCCAGGTACAGGACCATGATACCATTCCGGCCTCGCTCGTAGGCTCCTGCTTGCTTCAACCTCTGCCCCCCCATTTGCCTGAATCCTTCTACCAGACTGGACAACCCCAAATTACTATGTTGCTCGGCATTCCCACTATCCTGAGCAATGTCACCAGAATCAGCATCTCATCATCAGCTGTTGTAGCTGCGGCACACTACCAGGACCCAAATACCCAAGTACCACTCGTAACTCCGTGGACGACGACGAACGACCACCTGCTAGTCAATCCCGAGTCAAACCCCTTCGCCCTCGTCGAATGTCGCAGATTGTTCTTTCCACTTCTGCTTCTGCTACTCCCCAATCCGCCATCTCTTTCTTCCGTCAACGTCTTCTCGCCTCATCCAGCTTTTCGTCTTTATCCCCCCTCGCCCACTCCGTAGATCCACTGCCCATTGCCTCACCATCCAACTAGTTCGCCTGGTCATTCCGAGCCCATCCTCGCCTTCCTTCTCGTTCGCATAACGCCGCACGGTAGCCACTGGGCCTCCCCCAGCTCCAACGGGCTCTCGGGCTTGACGTCCTCCTCACTCCGTTACTGGATACCGTCCTCTCGGTTTGCCGACCCGCACTAAAGAGAAGGAACCACAGGGACAAAAGGGCGCATTTCAACAGGAACTCAGTTACCTTCTCCGTCCTCACCTCGTTGAGGCCCTTTTCCCTTTTCTGCCTCTGCCACCAGCCCAGCTCGTTTGCCTCACTATTACTGGCTTTCTGGTACTCTGGGACTGCCTGGCACTCTTCTCCTCCCCCGTCAAATCTGTCATTTGGCCATCTTCAAATTCTAGCCCAGCCGTCTCGTTGCCGATCGACGTATAGCAAGGCAACTATCTCAACCGACCGACCGACCGACCGGCTGGTCGTCACCTCCAACTTGAACCTCCCTTTCGACCCTTCCCTTCTTTTTCTTTTCCGTGTGTGATCGGCAACCAGCAAACCTTTTCTTTTCTATTCTCCAAAACCTCCCCTTGCGCTCTTCTCATCATCATCCGATCACTGTCCGGCGGTGATCTCATCCCAAAGAAGCCGCCTCAAACCCGTTGCTTCAGGCCTCCATTTCGCCGCCTCGAGTTCTACCCCTCGGTTTCTACTCCACCGCATCTCCGGACGGCCACCAATTAATCACAATTTCGAACATAGCCTCCTGGCACTACCGTTGCTGCCCAAAAACTCTACTCGACGTCGCGACCATCGCACTGTTTACACCCAGGCACATGAAACCGGGGGCATTGAGGATTTTCGCTACGACTCAACCAGAACCCCCATCCTGGACCTACAGATTCAACATACCTCGCTCTTCAAAAATCTGCCATCAATTCTGATCTCAACTCACTTCTCTCCGAACTTCGGCCTCGGACTTGTGCCATTTTTTATTTTTCTTTTTGGCTCTCTGGGTGGGTGGCTCTGTTTGCTTTGTTAGTTACGAGGCGACGACAAGCACCACCACCACCACCAACGGCCTGTTGGACTTATCCACCACCGGATTGTAATCGGACCCGCCTAATCGACTCTGGTTGCGCTGCGTCCTTGCGGGTTTGCTGTCCGGAACGAGATTTTGCGGATGTAGTAAACCCCGCGATTGTGCCCACCAACCGGACCTCTCCTGGTCGGCCTGCGCGGAGTTTTGGAGGTGCAACAACAGGAATTTCATGCAGCCTGGCGAATGCGTCGTATAACGATTTGCCATGAGCCTTCCTGTTGATCGCCCATCCCGCTTCGCTTGTGTATAGGTCATGCCGCATTTGTTGTACCACGTTCCCTTGGGTATAGAGACGTGGGAGGTATAGGCTTGGTTGCTGGGGAAAGGCTCTCAGGTCGAAAATGGATGGAGCGAGTGACGTGGATTTGAGGCACGATCGATCCAATCCTTACGGACCACCACCACCACCACCACCACCATCATCATCAAATCCAAACCAACGGATGCTGCCATCCGAGACGCCTCCGTTGCACAACTATCCTCCGCCTCAAGGCACAGGTATGCCGCCACCGGCCCCGGCGTGGAACCCTACGCCTTCACCATACAATGAATCCTCTGAGCATCGGCCACCGCCCCCGGAGATGGCCCACCAACCATCATATCCCCCTCCGCCTCAGCCGTATCCTCCTCCCGGTCGAGACACCCCCGGATACCCTCCGGATTCAGGATACGGACGCCCAGGAAGTGTTTCTGGCCCCTCCAGGTCTCCCGCGGATGTTCAGCAGCAACAGCAACAGCACCCTCAATATCACCCTGTGAGTAGCACTCCCGTCGAATCCCCATATTATCCTCCAGCCCCGGCGGACTACAGAACGCGACATGCGTATTCTGCCCCAGAGACCCAGTCAAACGGAACTCACCAACAGCCTCCTCTTCACGTCGTCACAGCTCATGAGATGATGCCTGCCCAGCCTTCTGGCCCCCCTCCCCAGTATGGCCCTCCCTCAGCAGGGCCGCCTCCAGGACCGACCGGCTACTATTACGATGCCTACGCTGCCGGTCAAAGACGAAAACCGGTGCGAGCGGCACAGGCGTGCGACTCGTGCCGCCAGCGAAAGGCAAAGTGTGATGAAGGAAGACCCGAATGTCAACATTGTAAAGACAATGGTTTGAAATGCTCCTATAGAGAGATACCCCCACAGAAGGCTGAAAAACAGGTTCTTGCCATTACCGCTCAGTTGGAATCTCTGAGCGAAGATGTCAAGATGTTGGTCCAGAACTCTAAGGCGCAAGAGGAGAAGATCAACCTCCTTCTCAGTAATTTTCAGAAGCAAAGCTCGGATCCGGCGACGGCGGTGGGAGGTGCAACACCAGATGAGCAAAAGGAAAACGTTCTCCGGTCGCAGAAAAGACCGAGTCCGAACCAGTCCACATCAATGGGCTTCCGTAGGGAAGACAGCTCAGAGGTCAGATCCCTTCCTCGAACCCAGACCCAGCCCTCAACATCTCTGAAAGCGAAGAACACCGAAGCCGAAACCTTCGAACTTTCTCTCCCCGCCAAGCATACAACCGCGGCGCAGAATCTCGTGACGTGGCCATCGATTCAGGCTCTCATTCCACGAGGCATAACTCCATCATATGTGATGGACGAGGAAACTGGGAGAGGTTTGTTGCGACTGTACGGGTGTGGTGAGGGAGAGGACAAAGGTGATGGTCATGAAGGCGCTCCGAGTCCCGCGGGTAGTTCATCATCAGACGGACGCCGCATGGACGAGGAAATGTCTTCTTCACCACACGGAGTTTGGGGCAGTGGACAGTTCCACGCTCCGGTGACGTCGACCCAGAGCCATTCCGCACGTGAACATCCGGGTGGCGTGAGCCCCCATGGTGGTCTCATGCTCGATTCCGAGGCGGTGGACCGCTACTTTCGGAGCTTTATGGACAACATCCACATCCTACACCCTTTCCTCGAGCCTAAAGTGCTGCGCAATATGGTCCACACCTTCAAACGCAAATACAGCTGGGATTACCGAGCCACCCAGCCGGCGGCGGCAGCGATAGGCACCAAAAGAAAGCGCGAAATAACCGACTCTCCCACGTCTGTGGACGAACACAATACACCGGGAGGGCAGACGGCTAATCGGAGTCATACACGAACATACACCTCTTCCGTTGCTCCCATCGAGCACTCGGTGGCCAATGCCATAGTGCTGCTTGTCATAGCCCTGGGTAAGGTTACCGCACACCGGGACCCTTTGCCGGGCCCAGCGACCACTACCACAATGCGGACTTCAACGCCACATAGTGCATTGTACACCGATTTACCTATGCCGATGTCGGCACCTACTTCACCATTCAACAACCAGGTCAACCTGAATGGCACCAACAACATCACGGTCTCAAGCCCCGCAAACCCTCAGGGCAAGAATATGGACGCCATCCCCGGACTTGCGTACTTTGCCAAAGCTGCGGACATTCTGGGAGAGCTACCGGGCGGCACGGACGTGTCGCATATTCAGGCCAACCTTCTGGCCGGATTGTACATGGGACAACTGGCCCGCATTCTCCCGAGCTACTTTTACATCAACAAGGCTTGCATAGCTGCTCAGATACTGATTGAGTCGACGCCCTACGTGACAAATACGATGAAGCTTGCGCGAAGAAATCTGATCAACTTTGCATTTTGGTCGTGTTTGCAGCTGGAAAGTGACATTGCCGCCGAGCTGGACCTGCCTTTGAGTGGAATCACCCGGTACGAAAGTAACCAGCACAAGGAAATGCCGACGGGAGTCACTTTGGAGAGGATTCCCGAGTTTAACATGGACGATGACATTTTGCGATATTATTCGTACCAGATCCAATTGCGAATGACGATGAATAGCATTCACTCCACGTTGTATCGTTCCTCGAAGGATCCGCATACGAGACCGAGTATCTCTCTCATGGCCATTCTGGATGAGAATTTGGAAGATTGGAGAAAGATGCTGAATGACTGGGACTGGGATGATAATGACCACGAAAGCTCCAACATCAACATTGCCCGAATGCGGGGAAAATACTATGGGGCCAAATACATCATCTGGCGACCAGCGGTGCAATATGCCCTTTCACAGGTTGGAGGCCCGACCGGGAACGACCAGACGTCCGAGTCGCCTGCAGGATACGGACAAGGCTCCGAACTCACCTCGCCGTCTGTGTCGAACCTTATCGCACCGGGACGTTCAACAAAGGAAGCACCGCCGATCAGTCAACAGCTGTTGGACGCTGCCAAAATTTGCATCCAGGCCGCCATCCGCAGCACTACGGTGTTTGACAAAGTCCCTCGACGTCTGGTTACTACCAACATCTTTGGCACGGCTCACGCGTAAGTCATCGACGTCCGAGCGAAATATGAGAGCTCAACTGACCCCTTGAATCATAGACAATTCGGTAACATGCTCGTCCTCTACGCTACGTACACTTCACCTCATCCTGGCTTGAGTTCGCTGGTGGACGAAAGAATACTGAGGCGATTACATGATCGGACAGTCAGCATTCTTCGGGAAAATGAGGCCATCTCGCCGATTCTTGCCAAGGATCTGAAGATCCTGGAGCATGTGCGAACAAAAGTTTTTCCGTCTGCAGCATCTTATCCAACCGGCAGCACCACCTCCAGCTTCTCGAGTCGATAGAGAGAAGCAGGAATTTGTCTTTATCTTGGAATATTGGATTCAAGTTTCGTTTGTAAAAACTGATATCCCGGATGTGCCCCCTGCCAACATTATGGCAGGCCCATTCTCATCTGGCGGCATTGTCGAAGCGTTCAGTAACCATCTAGCATCACCAAATAAACCATGGAGTTCATGAACTTGAAACGGCCGATTGGGAGGGTTATTGTTGTGTTGCCCCATGAAGGAAGATTGATCTGTCGTTTCCTTCTTGAAAGGGTTCCCACCATTCTCAACACGCCATGGAGCTATGTTGAGACTAATTGGTGGGTGGCCAGGGTTTTCTATCATCTAAGAGAGGGAGTTTTCGAAGAAGAACAGAAGGGAGGTATCCAAGCACAGCAATGTCACAGAGGAACACGGCACTGCATGGTTGGGCCCAATCTCTGATTTTGACGACTCGAGAGCACCTTTTTCTGTGAGTGGAAGCAGCTTTTTATTTCTTTTTCATAAACTATACTTAGTGAATGGGAGCGCAGAAAGAGGTGGACAGATTGTGTTGGGTGTTTTCTTGACCCGGGTTCTCTAATGGAATATTCTGTATATTATTAAATATAGGCGATCGGAGACGTCTAGGGCTCTGTGTGTAACTAAGATTGAACCATCGAATTGTTTCGAATTGTCAGTGATTTGGCTTGCTCGACATAACTCTGACAAAGGGAAGCTGTCATAGAAGCTCGGAAGACGGAAATGAACTCAATAGTCTGATGGTATCAATGTTGGCGCCACGACTCGGTCCTTATGTCGTCCACCTGTCCAATGATAATTCGACTTGCTTGAGCCTGCTCAGCCACAGAAAACATACCCAGCTGAGGGAGGTACTCCAAGGGAGCCAGCGGCAAAAGTGTTGGGTTGACAGGGTGAGCATCTGTATCGCTGCTGCCGGCGGTGTTCACGTCAGTTTGGCCCAGTTTTCCTGACCACCAGCGTACGATCCTTACTTGACAAAGTCCGTCCAGCCTTGTGAACGAGCAGTCATTGGTTCGGTGTCCCCTAGTTGAAACAAGGATCATGTCCAACTTTGGAAAGGAAAAAAAAAGGATGCCTGCTGGACCTTGTTTATATTCCCAATACTCAAGGAGGTAAGAGTGGAGGCATTGAGACGGGAATCCGATATTTCCGCTCGATGTGGCGGTGCGGGATCTCCTTCGTATACCAGCTAGAACCTGATTCTCGAGTCGCAAGAACCCCGACAACGATCAACTGCGTGTTCGAAGGCAAGGTAGATCGCTCCCTTTGGAACGTCAAGTCGGGTGGACGACGAATTGGATTAATCAATCGGAATCCTCGATGGTGGCTCAAAATTTGCAAGGTATACCAACAAAAGAGCAAAGCTTTACTCCTTAGGCAGCTGCCTGGAAGAGCATGTCAAATGTGTGTAGGTTAGATCAAATCGGCCTGTTGTCATTTTCAGCGTTTGTTCGGTATTTATGGGTTATGAGTGCTGTCTCATCCATCGACGCACAACTGAATATTGCTAGAAGCTGGGGAGAAGAGTGCCGATCATCTGGCGTTGATAGAAGTACGACCGGAGCCATCTCCAGTCTTGTTGAATCATGCAAATTGAAATGGACTTGGATAGGCCCTCTCGATGGGTCAAAGAGACATGAGGCTTTTTCGAAGTATTCTAAATTTCGTCATTGTACACCTGGTGAAGTCCACGGCAAGTTGGGCGGCTCGAGTCCATTCTATGTCGAATTGCAGGCAGACGGGGGCTTGGACTTGGGGATAACAGTCAATCCTGGCGTTGTTGATGATGGTCAAGGCAGGGTTCTGCCGCAAAGGAGCTTATACCCTTCTCTTCACAGCCTGATGCCGTCTTCATCTACGCCCGCATCTCAACATCGACGTCGTCAACGTGTCTTCGGAGGCTGTGAAGAAAGACTGCAAACATGCCGATATCCGAGTGGCTTGTCGGGCCAAAGTAAAGGCGGAGCGGTCCTCGTGGAAATATCGCAGGGAGACGTGAAGAATCAGATTGGGAAAGAAGTTGAATACTTGGAACCGAGCAAGGAGAACCTGATCGGCCATCTATTACCAATGGTGAATAGATCTCGAGTCCGAGTCGGTTAGAGCAAACGAGGCCAGGAACCACGTCACAAAGCCATCTCAAAGTCTGGGAGACGGCAGCCTGCGGTTCATGCAGGATGACCAGCCCCCCCTGAAGCGAGCGCATGCAGCATGATGAATATTACTGGCATTTGCCCCTCTGAAAGTTTGCACCACGCCCACGTATGCGCAGAGGCTTGACCTCACTTGGCGCCTAACTTCGACAAGTTCAAGTTGAACGCTACCTCCATCATTCTCGAATCTGGTTTCTCTTCTTTCTGAAATTCAGATTCAATCAACTTGTCGTCGAGGATGGATCAAACTAACTTACGGCGAAAAGACACCACCAAGGGCCCGCCCATCCGCGTCCTCTCCCTGGGTAAGGCGAAACGAACACATCAGTTTCCAATCAATATACTGACTCATGCAACAGACGGCGGCGGCGTGCGCGGCTACTCCATGCTCATCATCCTTCAAGAACTCATGCACCGCGTATACGTCGAGACACATGGCAAGCCTCCAAGTAGAGATGCCACTCCCAAACCCTGCGATTATTTCGACCTGATCGGCGGCACCGGCACGGGAGGGCTCATCGCCATCATGTTGGGTCGCCTTCGTATGGACCTGGAAACTTGCATGGATGTTTACGTGAAAATGACACGAAAAGTCTTCGAGACCGACAAGACATTCGCCGGAATTCCTTACAAACACACCCTGTTTAAGGCCTCCAAGCTGGAAGAGGCAATAAAGTTGTGTGTCCGAGAACACACCATTTTTGAAGACGAGGGGAACGACGGAACCGCAACAGGTGGGAGAGAATTTCAAGATCTTACCAGCCCGGCCAGTGTCACGAGCACCGCTGCAATGAGGAGGTCTATGAGCGTTCGGAGTTCCGGTTCGGTGTCGAGTCCCACCACCATCAGGAACTCCACCGTCTCACCATCCTTCCCAGCATGGGGAAACGCAAATGCAAGTCTGTATGATGGGCGCGAAAATCGAACAAAGACGTGAGTTCCTCCCCTTATTCGACTCATTGAGAGGCATGGCTGACCCAGGCAGTGCCGTCACCGCAGTGTACCAAGGGACCAACCCGCGCACCGGCTCCTCCATCCTTCTGAGAAGTTACGATTCAAGAAAAGAACCCCCTCCAGAATTCAACTGCACGATATGGCAAGCAGGCAGAGCAACATGCGCCGTGGGCCTGGCCTTCAAACCGATTCAGATTGGCCAAAGTATCTTCATTGATGAAGGTGCCGGGAAATACAATCCCGCCGAGCAGTTGCTGGAAGAAGCAGCAGTCAACGAATGGCCAGGCAGGGAAGTGGGTGTCTTTGTCAGTGTTGGCACTGGGAAACGCCCGGCAAACTCGGCCCCTCAGCATCATGAATGGTGGGAAGATTTCTTGGGTGGCACCATGGGAGCGTTCGCTGAGGCTCGACGACGGCTTCTTTCCAAGATGGAGGACTGTGAGACCGTACATCAGGAAATGCTCAAGACCGGACTGGCAAAACGTGGGGTTGACGCTAATAATTACTATCGCCTCAATGTGGATGTCGGCCTGGCGGAACTGGTTGCCATGAATGAATGGAGCGAACTCAATGTTGTCACGACAAATACAAGGAAATACCTGAAGGAATCGAATACTCAGAAAATGCTGGTTGATGCGGCGGTGAAGATGGCCAAAATCGAACTGATGAAGCGGCGACAAGATCAGCGGACCGATGCACACAGTCGAGAGTCCAGCTGGTCATACAGACAGCCGAATTTACCCTCGACGCCTCCTGTCCATCCGGGAGCCGTGGAGCTTCCGGCAGAAGATACAATTCAACAGACACCACCTCAGCATTACAGAAGACCCGGAAATCCACCATATCCCGACGACGCATCATTCTCTTCATCACAAGACAAATTCGTGCTCGTTCCAGGAGAAACAACTCCACCACGAGTGTCAGCCGATCTGCCATACCGGAGCAGGGATGATAAGATTGCGTACCAACCACCACCTCAACCTTCAACATACAATTCTTCAGAACCACCACCGAGACCACCAAAGACTCCGATCAATGAACCAGGATATCCCGCCCATCATCCTCAACATGCGCCCTCTGCGAGACTGAATGGAGCACCCCGGCCGCCGTACCCTGACTACGGTGATGGACCCCCGCCAATTGTCTCCAAGCTGAGAAAGCCTGAATATACTCCAAGATGAGGCTGACAGTAATGATCTTTCTCTCATGTGATATATTTTCGGGTTGAATTGGTTATTTCGGTTGACATTGGAAGAATACGAAATTTCAAAATGACGACACGATTTTCACGACTCTTTCTCGCGACGAACAGATACCCCAGATAATGAGCATACGGAGGATTTGCAACACAGGGCTCTGTCACACATATGGCCGGTGGTGGGATGGCAAATAGCATCGATGGTAGTGTCTCAGCTTGTACTAGGTATAAAGCGAGTAATCTTCATCGTTGATTCCCACATCACTTCAATTCTATGAAATTATTCTCCTCGAAAGGTGTCATTGTTTCCTGGCGAATGGGAGCATTTATCGTTGCTATTGCATGACCGCTTTCAAATTCGCAGATACATCTTGCGAAGAAGGACAAACACAATCGTCAATGTCACGGGTTCGGTGGGACTCGTCCTGTCATGGCTGCTAAGCCTTTAGGAGAGCAAGCTGCGTAATCTTGCTACTCGCACTCTCATCTCTTGACCGCTCTCCAGTCGATATCAACAGACTAGTCAATTCAGTTGATTCCATCTCCAATGCCTCGGCATCACTCTTGCCTATCCACCAATTAGCCAGCCTAATACATCCATTGTCAAAGACGATGCCTGTTGGAAGAACCAGGTACAAGTTCGCGCGATAGTTCATAGTCAACATCTCAACAGGCCAGTTTTCGTTCGGTATCTTCTCAGATGTGAAGCCCGTTTCCCTTATTTTCTTGCCGAAAAGCTTCCCTGTCGTGCGGGATCCGCCAACCATCATCCTGCCTTGAGTTGTGGCTGGAACAGCCAGCAAACAGCATCAAGATTTCGCGATGGCGAGCAACTGCTGCTTCATCGATGATTCAGAACTTGGAAAATCAGTTCCTCGTTAGCTATTTGAGACTAGCTGTAGCACATATGCTGAAAGGGCCCGAAGACTATCAAGTGCTTGCTTTGCGGCTTTTGTCCCGCTTCTCCAGATAAGTTTTCCGACTAATTCTGTGCATGATGTAGCCTCTCTCCCTGATGGCGTTGTAGCCATTGACGTATAACTCCATCTTGGCGGGGAAATTGTGTGCTCATTGTGACATCATAGCAATTGGTCTGTGGATGAAACAAATCATTAAGAGGGTGGTTTGGTTGATTGTGAAGAATGTTCCCGCCATTATGGAAGGGCAAGAATCTTGTATGCTTGAATTCGAAACCTGTCTCGCGTTGGCGGACCCACATCTTGAGAGCGAGTTCGTCTGCCGCCCTGTTCGAAGTTGCATAGAGCATTATTTTCTTCTCAAGTATTTCCCTAGAATAGCCTCGTAGGTGAAAATAACGCCGGCTGTTTGACACAGCACGAAGATCCACACACACATGCGGCGAGATGCTCATGACACTCCATGGTGCACTTTGTGGAAGACTTGAAGTCGATTCGTGATCAGGTACTGCCGGTGGAGCAATTTTTGACTTTGCCAGTATCGAGAAACATAAAGCTGATCTGAGTGCAGTTTTGAAAGGTGGGATGGATGAATTTTCGTGAAGGTTGATGATAGAATGAGAATGGTCGAATCATGTCAATGCCGTGATCTTTCGACAGTGAAATAGTCCCTTCGCATCCTAATGGTGGCGCGTCCGATGAACAGCCACTGGAGTTGCGACCAACAGCATGAACGGTTACATGATTCAAATCTTTGCTCGGTTTCGAATTGATCAGGGTGGCTATCGTAACATCGACCTTTTTGGATTTCTCAAATTCGCGTGTGTTCAAACGTCGATGGTACACGTATGCCGCCCGCGAGAACCTGATCGAATGCCATTGAGAGGCATTCCGGCAGCGCAAATTGATGGTGTCAGTATTTTCAGAGATGGATGGCTTGATGGTCAGTCAGATGATAGCTGAATATGTATATGAAAACTGCTGAGATATCGTGGCCATCATGAGCCACGAAGGCCCGAGTCCATAAGGCCATGGGAAAATGGGAGAAAGGGAAATGTACGCTAACATGGAATGTCGATGTAAAACGACTGGATTGAATTTCATCCCTCGCAATCAAATGGGTAGTTTGAGGTGAATGGATGGAAGATGTGTTTCGAGAATGATGGGAAGCGTTACGAACTCACCCTCAGACTCTCGAGTTTGCAGCGATAGTGGCTTCAACGTAACAAATTGATGTCACGTGATGAGTTGGAAACATCCATTGAAGTTGGTGGGAGAGAACCACTTGGGAATGATTAACGGGAATGGCGAGGCTGAGGGTCATTCTCAGTATTGCGGCACTGAGACAAAAAGTCTGCCATACAGAAACGGCGGAGTATTATGACACCTCCCGCCGATACCTCCTCCCTCCTATTGGTGCCTGTTTCACTTCAGGCTCTCATTACCGTTTTTACCTTTGCGAAACCTCAATGTCAACATGCCGGCGGCATCGTCTCAGCCGCCGGTCAAGCTCTCGCTTCCTCTGGTGAGTTCTTCCATGCGTCGTCACGTCATTCGTCGCGCCTGAAATCATTACCTTCCTCTTTCCATTGTTGATCGAACCATGGAATGATCTTCGGGCCTTGATCCTGGCTGACAATTGTTCTACAGCAATTCCAACAGGAGATCTACCATCTTCTGCGCGCAGAAGATGTCCTGGTCATTCTTGCTCGAGGGTTGGGTCTTCTCAAGATTGTGACAAATCTTCTTCACTCCTATGATGCCGCAGGTAATTCGCTCGTTATCATTGTCGGAGCAGAAGACCGTGAAAATGAGTGGATTGGAGAGGCTCTTGCAGAACACTATGCCATCTCACGAAGCCCGCTGGCCAAGGGACTTCGTGTCATCAACACTGACAAGGCCACGGTGGCAGCTCGGGAGAAAATCTATTCGGAGGGTGGCATTGTATCAGTGACCAGTCGTATCCTGATTGTCGACCTGCTCTCAAAGCTCCTGGACCCAGAGACTGTGACTGGTCTTATTATACTTCATGCGGAACGTGTGGTCGCCACCAGCAGCGAAGCATTTATTGTCCGGATCTTCAGACAATTCAACAAAATTGGATTTTTGAAAGCTTTCAGTGACTCCCCCGAGCCCCTAACATCCTCTTACGCCCCTCTGGCGAGCATGATGCGAAACTTGTTCCTCCGAAAGCCGTCACTTTGGCCCCGTTTCCACGTCTCCATCGCACAAAGCTTAGAAGGAAAGAAGAAAGCGGATGTGATTGAATTGGAGGTTCCCATGTCTGAAGCAATGCGGGCCATTCAAAATGCGGTCATGGAATGCGTGGAAGTGAGCATTTCGGAACTGAAGAAGGCCAATACTGGGCTTGAAATGGACGATTGGACACTTGACTCTGCTTTGCACCAAAACTTTGACGCTATTGTCCGCCGACAACTCGACCCGGTGTGGCACCGAGTCAGCTGGCGAACGAAACAAATCGCAAATGACCTCACAGTTCTCCGGTCAACCCTGCACTTCCTTCTCAGTTACGACTGTGTATCGCTTTTGAAGTATCTGGACACTGTGCTGGCGACGCACTCGCCTCCTCCAGGCTCGACGAGACAGAATCAATCTCCATGGCTGTTCCTGGATGCTGCTTCCACAATTTTCCAATCTGCAAGAGACCGGGTGTACAGTGGGAAAGTGGATAACAACAATGTTCTACCCTCGTCCAAATTGCCAGATTTCCTCACTCCAGTCCTGGAAGAACAGCCGAAGTGGGCTGTTCTGGCCGAGATCCTCCAGGAGATTGAAACGGATGCCTATCTGAATCCGATCCTGAAAGACGACTCAAATGATACTGTGTTGATCATGTGCAACGACCAGAGAACCTGTCGTCAAGTCCGAGAATATCTGCAGACCATGTATGTCAAGCCTCTACCCCAGGACATGAATGATGGACAAGCTCCTCACGAGGTGGAAGCCGAAGAAGAACGAGCTTCAGCGGAATTCATGATGAGAAGAAAACTCCGCCAATACCTCGGGTGGAAGAAGACCTTTGCCCAAGTCAGTGCCTCCCTCTTCGAAGAAAATCAAAAATCCCTCAACGACCTCAAGAACAACACTGCAGCTGGTCGACTCAATAGTAAAGCGCCGGCCAATAAACGCAGACGCGTAAGAGGCGGAGGATCTTCTGGTTTCAATCCGTCACGAACTGTAAATGGGGCTGTTGCCGTCATTGAAGATAAAGCGTCACATGTAGCTGGCTTGCTCGCCGAACTGCGACCCACGGAATCAGAAGCACTCCAGAGGGAAGACATCGTTATCGACGATTTGAATGATGCCGGGGAAGACTTTTTTGAGTTATACAGTCCGAACGATCAAATCGTGGTTCATCCTTATGATGGAGACCAAGATGATCAACTTCTTGAAGAAATCAGACCGAAATATATTATCATGTATTCGCCTTCTGCGGATTTCATCCGCCGAGTTGAGGTTTACCGGTCAAGCCATTCCGACAGGAGTGTACGTGCCTACTTCATGTACTATGGCGGCAGCGTTGAAGAACAACGATACCTCTCCGCGGTTCGCCGAGAAAAGGACGCATTCACCAAACTCATCCGCGAACGAGGCAGTATGGCAGTCACACTTACAGACGCCGGTAACGTCGACCCGCAGGAAGCCTTCTTGCGAACTGTCAATACTCGTATTGCAGGTGGTGGACGACTTGCAGCCACCGCTGCTCCTCCGACGGTTGTGGTGGATGTTCGAGAATTCCGATCAGCTCTCCCGAGCTTACTGCACGGTCGCAGCATGCAATTAGTTCCATGTCAACTCACCGTTGGAGACTATGTTCTATCGCCAAACATCTGTGTTGAACGAAAATCTGTCAAAGACTTAATATCTTCGTTCAAGAATGGACGGTTGTTCAATCAAGCGGAAACAATGTTGCAATACTACAAATATCCGTTCCTGCTCATCGAATTTGATCATAACAAATCGTTCACCCTTGATCCATTTGCGGATTTGACCTCCGCCTCTACGCTCAAAATGCCCGATTCTGACACGAGGGACCTGCAATCCAAACTAGTCCTTCTGACGCTGGCATTTCCAAGACTCAAGGTGATCTGGTCATCATCACCGTACCAAACGGCTGAAATCTTCGAGGAGCTAAAAAAACAACAAGAAGAGCCAGATCCACTGCGAGCAGTAGAGATAGGGTTGGCCGAAGATGAGGATCCAGAAGAGAAAACCTTCAATACCGGACCACAAGATTTGCTCAGAGCGATTCCTGGAGTGAGTGCCAAAAATGCAAGCCGATTGTATCTGGAGGCCAAGAATGTTCAGGAGATCGCAAATATGAGCCTCGAAGAGCTTGATCCTTTGGTTGGCAAAGAGGCGGGTAGACAAATCGTCAGGTTTTTCACTCGAAGTGTTTTCGACGACGAAGACCTGTGATCACGGCCGGCTTTATGTTAAGGCAAGCCTGGGAACAATACACAGCATCGAGCAGAGAGTTTCGATTTACGAATTTATGAGATCCGAGTACAGCGACCTGTTCGAGATTCACACTGGTGTATAGCTGAAACTTAGTTTCACGAACTTATGAGTCGTATAGTACATGGGCAGAAACTTTTGCTATCGACTAGTTCCAGAGCTGGCACTAGGCACTTGGGAATTTCTTTGGCCTCGATTGCCCAGCACTGCACGAAACGTGTTATAGGAAACAGGCGGCGCAGTCCGATTGCCGAGTCTGTAAGCTCGCATCTAGCGTTATCAACAGCTAAGCGGAGCCCCGGCCAACTTGATCGACCTTTTTTGAACGCGCTGATCCCTTGAGAAGTTTTCCATGGGATTCGCTATACGAGAGAGCTAAATAATGGGCAAATTCATTTATCGCTCTTGCTGATGGATATAGCCATGTACGGAACAGCTCAGCCCTCGCTTCGGCTCATGTGGATCTAGTCGCCTTGATATACTTTTCGCAAGCGAACCAGAGATTACTAGGAATTCTCCAAGCGCTCTCAAACTTTGACTGTGTCTCCTTGTTCGGGCGGTCCATACTGATAGACTATAGAGTTTAGTGAAGGAATGTGTTATTATCCTATCTGACAAGAGAGCAAGACTGAAAAGGAGGAAGGGTGCAAGTTGCAACTTTGCCAAGCTAACTTCTCACGTGACGTTGCCAAGCAACATGTCACGTGATTAGACAGCATGTAACTTCCAGACTTGGTTGCTATCGTACAGTTTAGTCTGCCTTTGCTGCAATGACGACCTTGTGCGGTATCTTACATTCCACAACTGGTCGTTGTGAGGAATCATGGACATAACGGTGTATACCTAGAGGAAGCTGATATTTTTCAGCGAGATGGTTGTACCGGAACATTGTGTCCTGGTACAATCAGTTTCGCTTTGAATCACCATTCTTGAGGACTCGCTGATCTCAATCTCCCTATATCTCATACCAGCGATGCATGCCACCCTAGTGGATAGGAGCTTGCCTGCAAGGCGAAGGCTGCTGTGGCGATGGACATGTACCGCTTGACGGAAGCGTCTGGTGCTCCAGCGGGTTGGTGCTACGTATCAAGACCACGCGGTCTGTTGCCCAGATCCGGGGATGCACCGAACTTGAGTGATCGGATGGGAGTACCTATCCGATCACAGATCGGGTTGGCAACACCCATCGTGACAGGGACTTTGGCCTCTGTTTTTGCGGGAGCCGGCTGTCTCGTCGAGGGGCATCTGCATCTACAAAAAACTTCTTCAATTGCGCCACCACCATATGCTAACACCATGTCGATGACAAAGCCAGCAAAGCCACCGGCACCAACATCGGTGACCCTGTTCGCCGTCGAGTGAAACACCCTACACCAGCGTTGGCTACAAGCACGTACGTAGTCCTATACCAACTGTGGCTTCACCCATCAAGTCCTCCAGAGCCAACAGGCCCGAGTGTAGTCATTGTTACAACCCAAGTTCATCCTGTTGTAGTTTTCAGTGAAGGCAGGGACTGGAGGGACATCAATAGTTATGCAAGGACATTCGACGACTAGGTCTAGATCGCCGTCGTTTACAATAGGGTTATTTGGCACCGCAGGTGTGGTTTTATTGGTATATCTCCAGGAAGGCGGAGGACTGGAATGACTATTGGAAGATTTCTTTTTCGCCACGACGGAGCGCGGAGTCAGAATCATACACCTGCACACAGCTGAATCAAATATAGTTTGCAAGAAGCCAAAGAATGTGTAAAACAAATATCATTTGCACGCCTTCAAGCTTGAACCAGTTCCCAAACTCCCATCATAGTCGTTTATGTGAATACCAGCAATGCAGCTCGGAGTTGATCATCACCATCGAAACGCGGATCTCCAGGCACCCATCCACGAGCACACATGTTCTTAGATATCATCAATGTCGACCTCCTTGTCCGAGTCACTGTCCCTGTCTTCGTCGAATTCGACATTGTCATCCACGCCTTCGTGACCGTACGTGTCTGTTTCGTTGATCTTTGCACTCTCGGGAAGTTCGCCGTAAGCCTTGAGTGATCTCGCCTCGTCGGCCGAGTATTTCAGAATGACATCGCCTTTCTCGTCCTGATAGTCGCGTAGCGAGAGCAGGATGATGTCGCCTTGGTTGATCCAGACCTTCTTGCGCAGCTTGCCTCGGATGTGCGCGAGACGCTTCTCACCATCAAAGCAGAGGGCTTCGAGGCGGCCGTTGCCCAGCATCTTCAAAACTTGTGCATATTCTTGTCCTTCTTCCTTGAAGGTCAGCTCGCGCTTTTCGTTGTCGTTTTCGTTCTTTCCTCGACGACGGTTCTTGCCTCCCTGTCGAGAACAAAGTCGTTAGCTTTTTTTTTTTTTTTTTTTGGTATGTGTGTGTATTTCGTGGCGAGATAGAGCACAGGATGCCCGGACTGGGCTGAGTACGGTGTGCCAGTCGCCTTCAACCCACCTTTCCCTTGTTCTTGGGCATCTTAAGTGTTGCTCAGTGGTGCAGAAGATGCTCTGATTGAGATGATTTGTATGATAGATTCGAGAACTTGTAAACAGGTGTAGTTGGAGAACAGTGTATGAATGTGTGAATGTTGTATGCAAAGACGAAATCGAAGTTGAGCAGTTGGCGTTTTGTGGTGGTGGGGCAAAATTCCGAGCAATGAGTCGAAACTTTAAGTGCTCGCTTTTATGTGGCAACCATCGAATTACTCGAGACGGTACTACCTGCACCTTGATCAACCCCTACTTCGCAATTCAACCACCAGGACGGTTTCTTCTGTACATGCTTCCTGTACCGATATTCACTTTTAATTACGCATTTTGAATCCAATTCTGGTCGTTACCCACCTCGATCGCTCACAACCTCTCTCTTGCACGTAGCGATGCATCCGCTCACCGAACCCTAGCGACATGTCATATATACCCACCCTCCATTTCCTTCGAATGCCTCGTGTCCACGGAGTCAAAGCACGATTCTCGCCTTTTCATGTTCCAAACAACTTTGACACCCGAATGCTAACGGATCGCTTTAATCCAAAACGAGATGCAGTGCTGGACAAAATGTCTAGGATTCGTCCGGATACCCTCAAATGGGCCTGCATCTCCGCAGTGAGCTCCAAGAAGGTGACCAAGTCAGTAATGCGGAATCGTCTGAAACGGAGATGGGCGAATGCTTTTGCAGACGCGTTGAGGAGCAATGGATTTCATGCGAATGGGAGGAGCCAGGAAGGACCCAAGGACGGCAAGAACTACAAACCTGGTTTGAAGGGGACTTTGGAGATCCTCATTTTTGCAGACTCCGGTCTACATCTTCCCTATAACGATCTAGTTGGAGGATCTAATACGATTGTCAAAGCCCTTCGCCAGCACATGCAGAGATTGAATTTGCCGCAGACTCAACGGGATTTAGAAAAAGAGCGGAGGAAACTGGACAAATTTCTCCAACCACGTCCATTCAGACTAAACATGAGAAACAGCGACGAGCAGGATCGCGAACTTCACGAATTTTGGGGAGCGCAAAAGACGTTATACGAGACTGTGAAATGATATCCTGTACAATATCAGATGGAATGTTTGTCTTCAGCTCTGCCAGCCGAAATCTCGTTTATTGTTCACAGAGTTTTTGATGTCAAGCCTGAAGATTGATATCTATCAAATTCATCATATCCATTGGATAACTTGCCGGGTGTGCAAATGGTCTTGGTTGGCCGAAAAACAAAAACCACGTGACCGTTCCCTTTCTGCAAAGTCGCACCGGTGAAATATACACGGTCCCATTCAAGTCGAACGCATGTGCGGAGATATAGCATCTCATCCCAGACTCGTGTCTTCTTTTCTGATCTTCTTGTCGCTCACTACTCCGACGTTCTCTTTCTTACGGGTGATCGATTATCCACGAACCACAAAGATGTTGGTTTCTCTGACCGTTGGCAAGGTCGACGCTGGTGTCGCGGTCCTCCTAACCCAGGACAAAAGACTTGTACACCGAGACTCCCAATCCAACCTCTCAGCTGGTTGTGCTGACAAGCTCCTAGATCGAGTTCCCTTCTATTCTCCTACCATCCTCTATCACATCTGGATCCATCGTCGACATCACCGTGTCTCAGAATTTTGAAGCAGAACAAAAATCGCAAGCCGCTTTCGCTGCTCTGCAAAGTCAAATCCTCAATACCTATGGCATTAACACACCGGCTACACCTGTCCTACGCTTAAGAAACGCCACACAAACATCGCTCGTTCTGGAATGGGATCCCATCCAATTGGCGACAACGACCTTACGTTCCCTTGCCCTGTACAGAAATGGAAGCAAAGCAGGAAACATTCCACGACCAATGGACATGCTGAGCACAAAGATCAGTGGACTGGCAGTTGACACCGAGTATTCGTTCTATCTGGTGCTGAGGACAAGTGGAGGCACATATACAAGCAACGTGCTCAACGTGAAAACACACGCTATGAACAACCTCACCGGCATAACGGTGACTCCGGGAATCCTCCCTCCACAATTGAGAGAGTCTCTCGAAGAGGCCGTGCAACGCATTGGCGCCAAAATTGTTGACGCCGTCAGAATTGACACGACTCATTTTGTTTGTACGGAGGGTCGAGGGCGTGATTGGGAAAAAGCAAACGAAATGAATATCCCAGTGGTAAGACCAGAGTGGGTAGAAGGGTGTGAAAGAGAAGGCAAAATTATCGGAGTTCGGGGTTATTACCTAGATGCGGACCCAAGACAGAGACAGGTCGGATCAAACCCGTCTCTCGTGGGAAGTCGTCCTTCCTCGAGCGCGCCTGCAGCCCCCGTTCCTCAACAAGCCAATGTTCCGTCCAGACCAAAAGAACCTACACCCAAGAGCCCAGACCGGGACAGCACAGTCAGCGGGGAACCAGGGCCTGAGGTGCTTCCAACTCCTCCACTTCAGACAGAAATGCACAAAGAATTGCCGCCAACGCCGGCTGATGAGGATGACGAGGAGAGTGAGGAAGAAGCTAAAGAGGCAGAAAGACCAACAGCAGAACCCAAAGGAAAGACCGAGTCATCTGAGGACGAGGAAGAAGAGTTGCCTGTCAAAACTAATAATCAACCCAAAATTGAGGATGGTGAGTCTGCGGAAATGGATGATGTCGCATTATGAAGGCGATGATGGACCGGGGACGATCAAATACCCCGAATCGAATGTTCTAGGGAAGAATGCTGTATGACTTGAGCATCGCGGGACGCTATCGCGGGTTATTCATCTTACAGACCGCCGCCTAGGATGGCAAGTTGGCCGCTTAGACGAAATCCGCATGTCATATGATCAGTCGAGAGTTCATGGCAGGCCACAACACATGCTCTGCTTCTGCCCCGGGGGTCCAATAGCGTCTCAGCCTCCGGACAGCGACGCTGACAATCCAGATGCTATTTCAAGCTCAGGCACGAAATGGGAGAGTCCTTTCCCAAGATCGGTTTCTGTCAACTGTAAACATCGACCAATCCACCGTGTGTTCCAATACTCGAGCATTTTGCAGATCTGAACCTCGATCTCCCTTTCGTGTGTGCGGAATTGAACCTCGAGACTCGCTTAGCAAAGTTTTTGAGTTACTCTTCACCATGATCCAGTTCTACGGAGGCCGAACAGATCGCACCAACAAGCATGCGACAGTCTCAGCAAGCCATGAGAAATCCTGGGTTGATGGCAAACAGCTTATCTTCTGCTGTCAGCATCTTCTTTGGAATCCCCTGCCGTAGCTTGGACCAGTCCCGACTCCCGCATTGCTACGCGAGGGGCTGCGCAAATGCAGGCCAAGCATCTTCAGGACCAAAAATAATACGAAGGGCTTCCTTAAGGCGACCAAAGCTCCGCCAACGGCAGACAGCTTTTTGCGCAAAAACTTGACCTCTTTTTTGGCTCAGACAACCCATTTTGTTTTACAGCGCTCTCAGCCGTCTGTCGGAACTATTTCCCCATCAAGACGTTCACATGGAATGTGGCATGGCGTTTCCGTGCTCATGCGTCTATAAGATCTTCTTAATACCGCCTCCCTCATATTTCCTCTCTCCATACAACCAACTGATCACACATCAACGCGCAGAGCAGACTTTCCCTTATTTTCCTCATCTCCTTTTGTCTCTCTTTGGTTTATTTCCTTGCCACATTCATTTACTAAATCTAATCAACTAACTATTCAAATTCTGCTTCGTCAGCAACTCATTCCGGTCAGGCCAATATTGTATCTTAATCTAACCCGATCAATCGCTTTTCGTATTCGCTCCAAACAAAATGGGCAAGTCATTCATGCAATCCAACATCTTTGCTGCCGTCCTCTGCGGTCTCCTCGGTACCGCTCTCGTCTGTGAGGCCGTCCCTCTCAGAACTCGCAGCCAATCGACTGGCTCTTTCACCACTGCCGTCGCCAACACAACCATGACAGCAAGCACCGCTACCAGCTCCAGCTCTAGCTCCTCTTACCGTGGTCCTCTCGCCCCATACATTCAACCCATTGCCACTGTCTTCCCCGACTACACTTCGCAATACGACTCCAAGACTGGTGCTGTCGACTTCCATACCAAGCGAGGTCTCGTGTCCCGCTCCTCCAGCAACGGCGGTGCCGACATCTCCACCCTCGTCACTTTCACCCTCGACTCCCAGTTCAGTTCCAACATGTGCCAACTGGTGTTCGACCTGAAAGACTCCAGTTCCTGGGTATCCGGCTCTAAGAAGGCGCAAGTCTTCACCTCCCTTGCTCCCGCCACTGCCGACAGCGAGTCCTGGCCCTCAGATAACTTGCGAAACCAGGAACTGGGATCCATCAACATTGTCGCCGGTGGTCGCGAGACCTGGGAAGCCGGCTCTGGCCCTGGTGCCACCGCCAATGGTTACTTCCCTTGCTCTACCATTGTCGGACACATCTATGGCGGTGAAATCGTCCCTCAAGGTGATAGCGTCGAGGTTTCTTGGCCTGCCGGTAAGGATGGTGTCAAGATTGTTGTATGGTAAAGAATCGAACTTGACAAAACTGGAAAATGGGGCAGGTCCGATTGCATTTTATTTTGCACAGCATGGGCATGGCATTGGCATGGCATTGGCATGGCATTGGCATAGCATTGCATAGCGAGTGAGATATCCAGGTAATATATATTTGAGGCATGCATCATCTTTTATCTTTTTTTTTTTTTTTTTTCTTCCCCTTTCTTTCCGGATACAAAAGTTTTGGGTTTGGTTTTGGAAATGGATACCACGGATCATGATTGTTTTGCTGCAATTTTGGGTGCGAATACGCTTGAAATGTTGCCCAGAAGCTGTTCTTGACGGAGGCCAGACTTATTACGTACATACCTAACTATATCTATCCTCTATACAACAGACACCAACGATGAAGATCCTGATTTGGATCCAAATACGCTTTCCTATTTCTCATTTGTAATTTATCTGTCTGCACCCGAATCTGACAGTTTAACCCCCAGGTGACCGACTTCCTTTTTCATTCCTTGATCTGAACTACCCTCTTATCAGCCTCAGTCCAAGCTTCCTCGGCATCTTCGGCCTTCTTCATCTCAGAGACAAACGGACTAGAAGAAAACAAGAAGTCAACTTATTCCAAAACCTTTCCGCCCGTCTGGGGACAGAGGAAGAAAACAAACGTAGTTTTCCACCAGGTTGCCACTTAAGACCCAGAGCCAGAATTTCCAACCTACATTCGCAAGACCGATAGGGTGGGCAAAGACGGTGATGAAAGAAGTCATCAGCCATTCGCCAAAGCCGGTGAAAGCATCATCAGTATGTCGATGCTCCAAGAGCGCGATTTCCGAGCGGTAGGGCCAGACGCAGCTTTTGCCGGGCATATCCGAAAACGAACAGGAAGACGAAGATGATTCTAATGCCTGCCCATTGGATAGATGTCATATGAGGCATGGCTTGGAGCGCGGTGAAGATCAGGACCAAGACGTTTATGACTATGGCGCCGTACATGAGGGTCAGCCGGCGGCCGATTCGTTCAATGGCGACGTAGAGAGGAACGCATCCAATGTCGAAAAAGTAAGCTGACAAGCGATGAGCGGACGCCTAACTCTGCTGGAGCCTGTTGATAAGGAAAGTTAGTTTTGTTCGGAGTGCACGCCTAATTCGGGATCGGAATAACGTTTGACGTACTGAAATAAGCTATCGGGCCGGATCCAATCCATTCTCTTATCATGGGTAGCCAAAAGCTTCGAATAATCTTCATGGGGGTGCGGTCAATGATGCTAGAAGTGAGAAACATTCTCCAATGAAGACTGGACTTTGCTTCATCTTCTGCCTCGATGGCTAGCAGAATTTCTCTTTTGGTGGCTTGGACCTTTTCAGAGTCGATAGGAGCGTCGTTCAGTCGCTCAAGAACGGCATCGCCCTTGGCATGACGGTTCTTCGCAATAATATCGAGGAGTGTCTGGAAGGAGGAACATGCACCCTCCAGCGATGATGGCGAAGATGCATTGAAATGTAATTGGCACTCGCCTGGAGAATTGGGTGTACGATTTTGGTGAAGCCATGATCAATCCGATAGGCCAGAGGCACACCAGCGATCAATATGATGGCAATGGCATTGAAGGTATTAGCCGGCTCTCGATCTCCAATCTCGATATCAGCAGCGACATTGCCCAAGATAAGAGTATCACATCGACCGATTTGGAATGCAAAAGTCCCCACAATCAGACAGGTAATGAACACAGACAGACTGTAGGAACTCGGTATCCAAGGTATTACCCACTCTTCCGTGGGGTTGCCGACGGCATCGAGAAAGGGTTTGTGTAGCAAAACTCCATCAAGAACATCGGCGTCATACTAGGGACAAGTTAGAGAGACTGGTTGAGAGACAAGAAGATAACCGCGTAAAACAGAGGCATGCTAATATGGAATCTTTGACAGGGATCATGCCCATGCCTCAATTATTCTGAAGGATTGAACCCACCCCGTACATCATAGAGGATGCACCACATATATGAATTGCATCGGCCTGTAGTGGCTCGGCCTCTCCGCTTGATTAAAGTATTCACCTTTGGCAGAGGAAGCTAACTTGACTTGATAACCAGTCTCGAGAGTCTTTCACGATGTTTTGGGAGGTTCTCTGTATTATAGAATTCCGATCTCTCGAGGGTATTTATCACATAACCCACAAATCCTGTGCTGATCTTCGTCACCTGGCGTGGAATGTGGCCATCTCGGAAGAAACCGAGGAAATACAATTGCGCTCTTGGAGTAAAGCGATCGTGCATAGTGCTGAATGGATGTTAATCAACGCCCAAGCTTGGAGACTCTGGATAATCAAGTGAGGAGACGGGGAAATAGTGCCAGCAGTAGAGTCTCCTGAGCAGTATGATGCTTCCTCAAAGGGAGGGTACTGTAAGTGGAGTTGTCGTGTGCAGCTTGACAAGTTACCTCATCTCGAGCGAGAACTCCTATGCTCGAAGACATGGTGGCAGGTAGCTTCAGATCTGATTTCTTCAATAATCCATCAACGAATTTGTCAGTACAACCCGCAGCGAGCTGGTGGATCTGTCCCCCAATCCCTATCCCCGCATGAGGGGGATAAAGTTCGCTACCTGGACTTCATTTTTCAAGTCGGAATTTTTTTGGCTTGGATACTAGGATTCATTTTCCATCCAGATATTGAACGGTGAAGCAGCCGATGAAATTGAACTCCCCTATGGCCACAGAACACAAGGACACAATTCGACATCTGGTATGGCCCCGGCTGCGCGAGGTCGCCAATCCTGATTCCCGGTTTCACTATGATTTTTCAAACTTCATCGCCGACTTCCAGGGCTCGGATATTGCCACAGAACGATTGGCTTCATTGCCCTGTTATGTAAATGCACGAGTGGTCTTCATCACGCCAGACAATTGCTTGGAACGCCTTCGCTTTCGAGCTCTTTGTGATGATAAGAAGGTCCTGGTCACAACGTATGGTATTCGTCGAGGATTTTGGCTCCTGGATCCCACCACCATCAAGACCCGAGAACACAGACAGCTGGCAAGTTTGTTGGATGCAATGGAAAGACCTGGTCTGGGCAAACATGTCACGCTTGCTGAGATGCAGAGTCTTGGTCTCGAAGTCGACTTGATGGTGACTGGCACTGGAGCCATCAATTATTCTGGCATCCGTTTCGGAAAAGGCCATGGATTCTTCGACCTTGAATGGGCTTTACTGACAAGCGTCCACGTCGTGAAGTTTTCTGTTCCTTGCATAGCTGTTGTTCATGACTCTCAGCTTCTCGACCATGAATTACATGCCGAAGATTTCGATACTGTCTGTGACTATATCATCACGCCTTCTAAGATCGAAGAAATCGCAGCACAAGGAGCTGTGCGAAAACCCACCTGTGGTGTATTGTGGGAGAAATTGCAACCGGGCATGTTGGAGGACATTCCTCCTCTGCAGGAGCTGAAAGTCCTCCAAGACGGAAAATGATCTCCCTCGAAGCGGGTGATTTGCAAAAGCCCCTTTCATCCAAAGAGCAGAGGGGGTTTCCTGTTCTGTATTGGAAATTTGCTCTCGCCCCTGAGTACGTCGAAAAACTAGGTGCAAATCTTGCAAATCTTGTTCAGTGAACCTGATAAATGTACGGCTCGGTGTTGCGGAGGGCGTCCCGTCCGTTCGAGGAAACGACATGGCCTTTTCTTGATGTGACTTTAGACGACGGGGCAGTCTCAGTGTCCATTAATGGGGACATCGTTGTCTAAACATGCTATCCCGGTTTGATTGGCGGCATGAGACTTAGGTGAGGCCATATGTCGATGGAACAAACTCGAAATCACTCCACATCAGGGCTGCAGTGCTGGGGATAGCATGATTCGAGACCGGAAATTGCTATATGTAGCACTTATTCAATCAATCGATTCTGATAACTCAATCTCGCATGCCGACGTATAACTTCTCATGCTATTTCATAGAGAAGTTTATGGGAGGCACGTCTTTAGTCGGTTGGAAGACTAATCTGGTTGTGACAAAAGGTTGCACCGACTTCAGTGGCCAGTTGAACACGTATCTTCTGTACGCCATCCACAGAATTGGGGTTCGATAACTACCTAATTCAGTTCAGTGTGGGTATGACATAAACACGATTTGGTGCGAAATACTGGTTGCTGCGGCGAACGCCCTCGTTCGGGGTCCAGTAATTGGCGAGTTTCTTCCGCGTGGATCGTTGTAATTGGACTTGTTGTCTACGGTTTCGGTCATGGCTTGGTGTGATCCAGACATCTGGATATGCATTGTAAATAAATACCCATTTTTGGGGCCGAACGTACGGATTTTTTGATGTCACCGTAGATACGGTATCTTACTTTGGAGAAACCAGTTGATAGGTTGGTGGCCGATCCCGTGCCCAAAGACGACAAGCAGCCTAGAAGCATCATCTTGTTGTCACTCAAGTTTGGTCCCGGCACCTTGCTATCATATTGTGTCTTGCGATATATGCAGAAACCGCCAGGTTCTAACACTCTGACCGACGCAACACTTCAAATATGCCAATTCTCAACAGTTCGGGACCGCAAACTGGGATGGGGGTTGGTTTGGAACCAGTATTTCCAGGGATGTTTCTGCTCGGTTCAAGATACCTCACGCCATTGCTCCAGAATATGCAGGTCCATTGATGTGTGGTAGCGCCAGGAAGTCACACAGATCTCGTTAATCGAAGCCAGGTCTGTCTCGACGTCAAGCTGCTGACGAGACTCCTTGGTGTGCTAATCCATGCCTTGTTGTCTGGTATCTTATACTGATTGCGGTCTGAAACACCGGTTTGGGGTTTGCTATGTGAACGTGGCTTCAAAACCGGCCGACCGTATCGAGATCCTAGGAACCAGCGAACTTGGTTATCTCGCCTTTCAATTTGTACCTAAAATGGGAATGGGGACGGTCGCGTTTTCGGGCACAGAGTCGAGGAAAGACGAGGCATTCTAACATGGGGCGTTAGAGTTCTGTGCCACCAAAGGAGTCACCAAATTCGGAGACATTGAACCAGTTGATCGCCTGCTCATCACAACTTCAGTGCTACCAGATGCCTCATTGTGAGTGGGGAACACAGTCCCGTCCGCAGAGGCACTGGTAAGGCTGAAAAGGTACCTGCCGATATTGGCGCCCTTTTGCAAGATCTTTCCACTCACTATTAGCTTCGATTTAATTCCGGTGCCAGCGCGGCCATTGGTGACCTATGACTATGGCTTTGTTGGATCAGGCAGTGCTCATCCCTAATCGGCCAAAGCTATGTTGACATTGGTGGTCAAGCATGATATCAAGGCGGTGGTTGAGGAATCCCTATGACATAAAGGGCGGTGACAGAGGCCATGGAGAAGCTGAAGGGAAGACAAGATCGGTTATAGAGGGAGCCAGTGGCATCAGGATATATTTGAGTAATGGGATGTAGGGTAGGTCAGCGGATCCCGGATGGGGAAAACCCAAGTAGAGCATAAAGCGGCGACACCATTTTTCCCCCGGAGTTTTGCTTGGCAGCTGCAGCCCCGACATCGCTTGGACTCAATTGTAGTGGCAGAAATTCCCAGCCCTAAATCTCCACTACCTTTTTAATGCTTGCTGCTCGCCTTCAACAAAATTGTGAGTCATCATGCATTTGTGAGAAGATCATATAGTTGATGAGATAGCTCTCGCTCGTCGATCCAGCGCTCTCTCAGTTGCCGCCATCATGGCAGGCAGGCGCAGTCTCCTATCTCTGGCTTCTAAAGCCTCCATCCGAGCTCTACGAGCGCGGACGGAAACTTTGTTCCTCGATTCCCTCATCCCTGCCTCTACGCGGTCCAAGAGCACAACCTCGACCTCAGCGTTGGCTTACAAGGCTCTCCATCGAAGATCACCACTTCCCCTTCCGGTCTCGGACGCCTCACCCCAGTATGGTGCCGCCGCAGCTGTGTCTTCCATTCTCTACGAAACCCCGGTAGCTTCTCAGGCGCCTCCGAAGAAACATATCCTGAACTGCTTGGTGCAGAATGAGCCGGGTGTCTTGTCTCGAGTGTCCGGTATCCTTGCTGCTAGAGGCTTTAATATCGATTCTCTGGTAGTATGCAATACCGAAGTGGAGGATCTGAGTCGAATGACCATCGTCTTGCAAGGCCAGGACGGCGTGGTCGAACAAGCTCGAAGACAGCTGGAAGACTTGGTGCCCGTTTGGGCCGTGCTTGATTATACCTCTGCTGCCCTCGTTCAGCGCGAATTACTCCTGGCTAAGATCTCAATCTTGGGCCCGGAGGTATACGAAGAACTGATGGAACACCATCGTGAGATGACGAGCCCTGAAACGGAATCGAGCGCTGGCGCTGAAAGCGCGGAGGAAAATGCAGAGAGAAGACTTCAAGAATTGGAAAAGAACCAGGCCGAAGAATCGAGCATTCTTCAACGAGCGAAAGAAATCATCGGTCAAGGCGCTAGTTACCATCCCAGCCGTTTGGCAGCTAGTCAGGCATTGCGTCACAAGCACGAGCATCTGGAAGCCATCACTCATCTGACGCACCAGTTTGGAGGAAAAGTTCTCGATATCAGCACGAATAACTGCATTGTGGAAGTGTGAGTTCTCGAACCCCACCCCTCTAGCTCATCACTATATTCTAATTCAGTGCAGCTCTGCGAAGCCAAGCAGGATTGATTCGTTCATGAAACTGATTGCACCATTTGGAATCCTCGAATCGACCAGAACGGGTCTGATGGCGCTGCCTCGGTCCCCTCTGTACGGACCTGATGAGGATCTACAACGGGATGCCGACGATGTGGTTGATGCGAGTACACTCCCTCCCGGTTAAGTGGCCCGTGTAACACTCATGTGAATTGCGTCCGGCGCATTGAAAAAAGGGCGTCCTTGATTGGGGGGTAGGTAGGCTTTTTGATATTGTACAGTTGGTAATGTAAACTGTAACATCTCAATGCGATTCTTCGGTCGCGGTGATCGCACAGTGGATTATTCGCTTGTGCCTGTCCGTCATTCTTCTCGCCCATTCAGTTCCACGGAGGAATCTTGAGCGGTTCAGAGAAGTTCATTTCCAAAATCATAACATATCATGACAATAATACATAAACTAATCTGAGGCTCTCTACGCTACCTATAGCCAAAGTAATTGTCCTGGGCCATGACGGGATATTTGGCCGTGTGAGTGACAGGTTGTATCGGGTGCGGATGTGGTGGAACCATGAACGCACCATTTCCTTGCCCGGCTCTCTTGTTCTTGAGCATTCGATATGAGAACCAAACCCCGATAGAGGTGGCAATGAAACCGAGGATGCCAACGATGATACCGACGAGCTCCCCAGTTTCAAGTCCACTGTCATTCTGGCTGTCCGCACTGTTGGAGCTTGAAGATAATGTGTCGTCTGAAGTGGGCGATGTAGGCGTTCCCGTTGTCAACGAGGTCTGGTATGGAGATGATGTTTGAAAAGCCCCGGTAGAGAGGGAACCTGGCTCAGCACAGACACCGTCAACGAGGTTGTCCCAGCAGCACAGCGAGCAAGCCTGCTAAGGCCTGTCCTACAGGCGACCGTAACGACTGTTGGCCCGAGGAGACGGTCACGGTGCGCAGGGCGGTCACCGTCACCGTGGCAGGAGGTTGCTGCGTACCTGAAGAGGTTTGAGCGGGAGCTGTTTCCTCAGCTCGGAGATAGCCAGCAGAGGTGCAATAGCTGTCATATATGCTCACTGCGCTATTGACATCGACAGTGTTTCCGTCGCACACGCCGCTCACACAGCTTTTGAGGTAGGAGTCGGCAGACGCTTGCAGATCAGGTCTGCAGAAACAGTCGTTTTCGATCGGATCGACGGGGCAGTCGAGTTCGGAAGCAAGTTGATCAGGTCCTCCGTCGACAGAGAAGCCGGCGTACCAGCAATATATAGCACAGCTTCGTTGCGATGCGTAGGCAGGTGACTCGGTCAAAGTGACTGTGGCTGCTGTCGCGACGTGTATGATAGCCAGAAAGGCCAGTAATGGCTGTTGAAATCTTGCAGACATGGCTTGGAAAAGAATTTCGACCGACATTCAAGTGTTGCTGCAATTGACAATAAAAGACTTCCACCAGAAGGGGGCTGCCATTGTCCGCAGCGCCAGATGGTAAGAGCCTTCGGAATACACGTTAACGGCTTGGCAGCACAGGCTTCACCTGGCCCGGGCTTTGAATTGGAAGGGTGTTGTGTATCATGAGACAGCCAGCTCGTATTCGTAAAGAAGAGATTGAGCGCTTGCGAAGGGTCATACAGATTAGCCTTGCGCCGCTGTTTTCAATGAGGTTGTTGTTTGACAGGCTAGTGCTTCAGAGAGTGCCGTTGGTAAAGACTGCAAGGGCAAGGTATTTGCCAAGTTGCGAGAGATATGCGTCTCCCATTGGTAGAACGATTGATTAATCTAGGACTAGCGACTGGTATTACACTACCACAGAAATGAAGAAGCTTTGGGGGCGGGTTTTGGATAAGACTGCGGAAGAAACTCGACTTGACAGTGGAGTGGAAGGCCGCCAATCAGATCCGGAACTGGCGGGAAAGACTTGCCCAGTGTAGTAACATGACACGTGATACTCTCACGTGGCTACACGTGACGGCCAACCCCTCGCGCATAGAGGGCCAACAACCCCCTTGGCTCTCCTCAGCTCCTACACCAGTGGCCTGGCGAAGTTGATCTTTTTTGTTAGGCTACAAAAGCAGCGACACATCAGCCCTTGTCCCCGTTTTATGCCACGGTCTTTAGTGGAACGACTTCTCCAGCGTGATAGTTGTTGATCTGAGTCAATATTCACTTTGGGAAAATGCCTTCTTTTATCCCAAACCTTCCTTCAATTGCGGAGTTTTTCCCTCCAACTCCACGAGCCGCCAACTTTCTCCTCAACTTTTTCAGATTATTCCCAATTGTAGGTGAAAAGGATCGTGATTCGCCAAAGGCATTCCATAACATACATTTATCTCTCTGGCCAAGGATGCTTCGTCCTGAGAAGCACCGATGCCATCAGGGCATCTTGGTCGATGTCAGCAATACAGCCATGTTCCCCCCCACCTCCAAAGACCCTGAGGAATCTACCCTCGCGCTGACAAGGTCTAATCGTAGGTGTCTATCATACAATGGTCGCCCTTCAAAGACTTGCAGGCGATGGGCAAAACATCTACAAAGTCTCGCTTCAACCTGCCTGGTCGGTATGCATGGTCTGTTGCTGAATTGACAGGCCCAATCAACTTGATCTATATCCTCTTGACACTACCATCAAAGATGTACCCTTCCCCTCATGCTTCTACAGGCTTCCTCGGGACCGGCCTTCCAGCTCAGAATGAGATACTGGCGTGCCTATTTCTCCTTCACTACGTGAACCGTGCAATTGTCAGCCCCTTGTACCTTGCCCCGAGCATGTCGCCAATTCACCCGATCATCTCGGCTCTTATGATCATATTTCAATTCACGAATTCCAGCAATATCGCCTGTTGGCTTGTCTACTCTTTATTGACGATGGATACGGAAGATCGCCCTCTCATTTCCTTTGGTTCGGTCATTGGAATTAGTATATTCCTCGCAGGGCTGGCTGGAAACATCCGAGCAGAGACGTCTCTATTTGATCTACGAGGAGGAGCAGCCAAACGGAAAGCGAAGTCGGAAGGGAAAGCCCAGATAACCTATGACAAGGTGTATGTGATTCCTCCAGCAGAAGGGGCTTTCAAGCACATTTTGTATCCCCATTATGTTCTTGAATGGATCGAATGGACAGGGTATTGGATTCTCGGAGGAGCCTGGGGTCTTGGTTGGGGGTATCAGAGCCCGGCCTTGTGGTTTGTGATTGTGGAGGTCGCAACAATGCTCCCGCGAGCGGTATCAGGACGTCAGTGGTATGAACAGAAGTTTGGCAAACGAGCTGTGGGAGGCAGAGCAGGAGCTATTCCTGGCCTGTTATGAGATTGTGCGAAAATAACGGCTAATCCATGCCTCGTCGTTTCAACCTGATGCTTGAAGGCGGCCGTTGAAGTCCAGGCTAGCTCTTTTTCTTCGAAACAGATACAATCCGTCTCGAAGCCGGCTTCCCTTTTTCGACTCTATGCAAGTTCCTCTAACTTAATGCCAAGGACGGCACTTCGGCGCCTTTCCCTAAAACGGCATGACTTGATTAATTCCGGCAGCCAGTCATAGGTAGGCAAATTTCATCGTCGTAATCTAATTACGACAGGTTCGATTGTAATAAATTCTGTAATAATTCGTAATAGTGTGCGATCCGTTCCCGCATCGTATTCAAGGTATTTCTGAAAGCGGCACGCATTTGAGTCCTGCTGTCAACCAGTAGCAAAATAGTGGAAGAAGCGCGATAGGCTGTACGCAACGACCCTCCTGGCAGGAGGCCTCTCACTGAGTAAGGGGGGTCCATCCTGCAAAGAGCCGATGCGGAATATCGTAAATTAGTACATGCGGCCATACTCTCGAGTAACCTAGATCAGAATACCACTGACTTTGCACATCTCAATCTACCTGTATAGCACATCAATCTCGGCGATGAAACAATCTTGTACAAGTCTGAGAAAAGCCTCGCAATCTGGGCAGACCCGACGATTCACCACGATAGTTGCCTTTGGCGGATGACCAATGGGTTGCATCCGCTGAAGCTCTCTGATGTCGGCGTCTCTCACCTCGTCTCCTCGGAAAAAAGTGCTGATCAGTATAGTATGTAGCCAGTTGCTTTTCTGCATGACAAGCGTCGAAAGAACCATTAAACAGACGGTCTTTGGGATGAGGTTGAAGGGCAAGACCAATTGCCGCACATAGATCCCGCATTTTGAAAGTCCGGATTCTGTTTTCTAGCGTTTGTGGATGTGGCCGACAGTGGTTGCTGCCACTCATGGCCCTTATGACGGGGAGGTGATGAGTATAGCTTAACATCCCCACAGTGCTGGTGTTGTAGTCAAGTCCATACGAAGTCGGGCGATCATACCATGCTAGATCAAGCCCAGCTTGCTGGAAAGGGCCACTTAGAAAAGTGGAAACATCTTGACCAGCGACTTGCACCGAAGAAATTGCGCAAGTGAGACTTTTAGCACTTTAGGATATCGTCCGGGAGGGGACCAATCCTGCGGGGTTATGGGGGGTCCCGTTGGCCCTGCGATCGCCGCGACTGGGCGGTGCGATTGGTTCATCCGGCGTAACCGCCGAGGCCGCTTTTTACCAGATTGGGAGAAAAATCTCTGATTGGACGGAGCTCCTGATTGGACGATATACTCGGTCATGGATAATACGATCATCATTCAGGACAGAGAACAATTCATAGATGTCCAAATTTCGCACCTGCTGTTTATAAAAGGGGAGTGCAAGTCATCTTGATATATCAGTGTAGGTTGATTTTCAGTCGACATTCCCAACCTATCCATCTTTCCTCAAGGCAAGACCATCTCTTATAAACACGCATACATCTACACACACACGAGCACACAGACACATATAAATTAGACATCATGAGTTGCGCCTTGCCAGCATAGTGGCAAAGAGCTAGTACGTCCGCCATGGCGAAATGAACTACCGAACTGGTCTCGCCCAGCGGATGCGGTAGAATAACACATGACCTTCGGTCGTCCAGCGGGACGGCACAGGAAAGCCCCAGCGTCGACAATGGCTGGGAGCCGAAGAGAGTCGGTGTTCCCGCCAAGAGCGCGAGCTCTAGGTCAGAGCGGCGAATCTTATTGCCCACCTCGGGAGTACTCGAGCATAGCGCCGCCAGGCCCTCGGGGCGCAGCCCGAGGATGCGCTTCAAACCCTGCAGGTGGATGCGGCTCTCACTGGTGGAGCCGTTGAGGTTGGCGTAGATGGCAAGTGAGAGATGTGGGCTCTTGTTACAGCCATGGCGCAGTGGAAAACTTTTAGGCTGTTAGTATAGAGGCGGAAACCTTGGGCAAAATACGGCTCTGCTCTCTTACCGCATGGATCCTCGATCACGCGCTCGAACCAAGTTGTCTCGTTTTCCTTCGGCCGCCTGCAGAAGACCCGCGGGTAGAGTTCCTTGGAGACGTTATGGTGGACTAGAAGCAGTTTCCTTGGTGAATATTCCTAAGTACTCGAACAAGAACACAAAGGCCGCCTACACTCATAGAACAAGTACCGGACTGAGGGCGTGAGAGGTACCGGGATAGCGAAGTAAGCTAACTCTGCTCCGGAGAAAGGGCTTAGGGACAAGGTGATATCGGGGCCGGGGCGTGGGCGTATGACCTTCGGCAGTAGTGGCCGCCCCTTCTCACCTTCTGCAGAGCGCTTCGGCTCGGTCATCAAGCGGTTGGGATGGATTCCGTCCTCGCGGTGCTGCCTCTTGTGCCCTCTTGCTGGAATGATCCTCCCGAGATTCTTCCCCTTCATCGCATGATTGCGAACAATCCTTTGCAAACGTCGATCCAGCGGCGCATTATTGTTTATGAAGCGGAATTCCATGACTTGGATATTGGCACTGTTCCGAAAGCCGACACAATCAGGCAGACGCGATCGGCTGTTGTGGAAATGAAAGGAAGAGGCAGAAACTCTAGATACTATACAAGTTTTAGGCAGCCATGTCTTGGTTTGAGAATAATGTGTGTCGCGCGTCCTGTTGTTGAGAACCTTGAAAGCCGACATTCTACCGAACGGCTTACGTCATAGACCTAACGTCTTGTAATTGCTTTGCTGTGTAACGAAGAAAAATGAAAATCGTCGGAGAACCCAAAGACCCTGACAGTTATTGAAGACACTATAGAAACATGTTGTCGACGCCCTTTGCTTTGCCCTGACTTTCGAGTGCCTTCTTCAGCTTTCTGTCACATTACACTGCCTGCGCACTCCAACTTCTGTGGTCAGCACAGTAGAACATTTCGATGGCCATTTTCATGTATATATGACTTGCAAGGTCATGGGCATAACAATCAGGGGAGTCAAGTTCCAAACAATTTGAGCCGTCCATCAATGCAATTACTTTAACCCACGACTTCCACCAACTCTTCGGTAATTTTGAAGTCTTCTTTGAACCCCAAGGCACTGAGCCGCATACGTACCGAATCGACTCGAATCGCCGGGGCATTTTACGCCATAGAATCTTCCCTGTCGGCCGCACCCACTGGAATAAGTAGCGAATGCAAGACGGAGGATTTTCATCGTATGTTTGGTCCAGATCCCAGTTCTCTTCTTCCATGAAAGTCAACTTTGTTGCGAATGTGTGAGCTAAATGCTCCTAGAGTTTCGTTCGGTATTGGGCTGGGTGCGATGGTGAGGCATTTGTCCTCGAACTTGTGACGCTGACTCGTGAACGCTGCGACAGTTGAGATGGCCAGTCGAAATCTAAAACGTCCGCAAAATCGTCCATTGTGTCGAGTGGTACCCGGGAGGGAATTGAGGTGACAAGTTGTCCCGAGGAAGTCGACGTTGTCAGATTCTCGGAGTCTCGGCTGCGGAGGGGAAGCCGTACACCCAAACCCTTTCCTTTGAGCTGAACATCTTTGTCGACGCTCTCCCTCGAGCACAGTAACTCTCCATTGTGCTTTTGGACAGTGCTGTATGCACAGCCATCTCTTGTAATCTAGGTTAGGGTGAAGTAACCATTGTAGGGCCGATTGTCAGTCGAGTCCTCAACATCGGTTCCAGCATTTCGTCCTCTTCTTCACCCCTTCTTTCATTAACACCACACAGAGTCAAACAGCGAGGCAGCAACACATCCGCCATCATATTTAGCACAGAACCATGCACAGCCGCCGCAAGTATCTCATCACTCCTCTTATATCATCCAGCCATTCAACCAGGTTCCAATGGAGAAATCGACTTGAGGGGGATGGAAACATCGGAACATCTTGGGCCTGTCGTCCTTGTTACATGGCCCTGTACTGATGCTATCAATCCTGAGATCGTCCACGCGCCATTCGTCATCGTGATCGGGTGAAGACCGATGGGGCAAATCCTCAGACGCGCCTGCGACAGCGAGCTCAGGATTGGTGACTTAGCCTGAGGATCGGCGACCCATCAGCATCCGTAGGTCTGCATGAGTCAGAAGAGAGAATGTGTTAATGACGTGTTCCAGCGAAAATGAACAAGACCTACTCAATGTGTCGTTGAATCTTAACGGCAGTAGACTGCGCCCATTGTTTGTGCGGCTGCAGCTTTGTCCCTCGCCCCTGACTTGGGTGGGGATCAACCGGCTAATTTGGGTGGTGTTGTCAAACTTCGCCTATGCATTGACCGTCACCACGCCTAAATCCTAGTTCCAAGCTTCCCTGATTCCACGTGGCTGTTGGGCCGCTTTGGCTTCTGGTGGATTGCTGGTGCTTTGTTTTACGGATGGATCTCGACGCATCCGCCCGACCTTGAGGCTTATGCCATTCGCGAGGCTCTGCTGTTTCGGAAACGAGACCGCGCTCCTGTCAAACCCAAGCATCCTAGCTTCTCCAGGTACTGACAAAACACCACAGCGCGGTGGAGCAAGGACTCAGATCGGCAGGATGGGAGTGTAACACGCCTATAAGTCGTTTCCCAGTTCTTGGATTGCCTTCTGCTCGAAGAGAGACAAGCACGCACTATTGATGGAGCTCGGAGCAAGAAATAAGTATCTCCGCTGGGGCTAAGTCGGTTGCCACGGTTGTGGTAGCACTGAGCAAATCTTCTGAGCATCGATTAAGGAATGGCAGTGTTGGTATCTTGCCAGCTTTTCCAGCAAGACAAGATAAGACGAATCTGGGAATCTACGATTATTTAAGGTTGCTAACATGTTTTTGTATGGTTTTGAGACCGTATTGCGATCCAAGAGTGTGGGAAAATATCCATAGACGTTGTGCGAAGCTGCGTATTAATCTAATTTACCTCTCTTTCGTTGGTCATTGGAAGAATCGCATCGACGGACCAACAAGGAGTTTCGTGCCGCTCTTAGACTACCTTCGCAGGATACGTAAGGGAACAGCCCACGCGTCATTATAGAAACCATTACGAGATTTATTACGAATGTTTGTATCGGAGGTAACAGATGCTGCCTCTCAATTATTGGCTACACGCGAAAATCTAACTATACCTTTTTTGGGTAAGCGTTCCCCAAAGCGGTCCTTAGCATTAGGTTGGAGAAACTTACAAAGGGGGAAGCCGATTTCAAGACGGACTGTATCGAAGATTTCGATAATGACGTGATGAGAAGGGTTGTCGATGCGCAGGAACAGGGTGCTTAGTGGCAGATACTCCGTGCCTAGGCATATTCGCGGCTTTCGCTACTAAGGGTCGGAGAGTGAACGGTGAATGGTTGAATAGTAAACGCGAAGCGATCTTCCGGAGCTTATACGTTGCCTTGACTAACGTCACACTAGGAAAAAGTCACGTCAAAGCTGCTGCTGTAAAATTTCCCATTCCATGCCCCTCCATTTTTCTACCATTTCTCACCGCTCTCACCGTCTCGTCTCTCTCCTTCCTCTATCAGACTGTTATTGTCTCATTTTTCTTCAGTCAACCTCTTTACAAAACTGTTGAACCATTTATTTTCTTCCTGTCACGGCCCGATACTTTCCGTGAATTAGTCAAAATGGTTCCATCGTGAGTCAACCCACCAATTCCCCCCCCCGTCGGCTTTGCTAAACATTTTTGCAGCTCAATTCTCGGCTTCCCTCGTATGGGGGTCAATCGTGATCTGAAGAAAGCCACCGAAGCATACTGGGCTAACAAGATCTCGCAAGATGAATTGCTGGCGGAAGGAAAGCGACTCCGATTGGAACACTGGAAGATTCAGAAAGATGCTGGCATCGACATTATTCCAAGCAATGACTTCGCCTTCTACGATCAAGTCTTGGACCATATCCAACTCTTCGGTGTTGTTCCTGAGCGTTATACCAAGTACAACCTGGCCCCCATTGACGAATACTTCGCAATGGGTCGGGGTCTCCAGAGGCCTGCAACCGACGGCTCTCCTGCGGTCGATGTACCCTCTCTAGTGAGTTTTGCCGTCTGTACATTGGAAGGCTTCTCTAACATAAGCAGGAAATGGTCAAATGGTTCGATTCAAACTATCACTACGTCAAGCCCACCCTCCAAGATAACCAAACCTTCAAGCTCTCTGCCGATCCTAAGCCTGTTGCTGAATTCCTCGAAGCCAAAGAGGCCGGTATCATTACACGACCTGTCATTCTCGGACCCGTCTCGTTCTTGTATCTCGGAAAGGCTGACCGTGGCCAATCCATTGATCCAATCTCTGCCCTCGATAAACTTCTCCCGCTCTATGAAGATTTGCTCAAGCAATTGAAGGAGGCTGGTGCAGAGACTGTTCAGATTGATGAGCCCGTCTTAGTTTTCGATCTGCCCAAACATGTCAAGGAGGCCTTCAAACCAGCCTACGAGAAACTGGGTGGACCTGGAAGCAGTGCCATTAAGATTGTCCTGGCTACTTACTTTGGTGATATCGTTCACAACATCGATGTCCTTGACTCCTCGAAGAACCTGTACGCCATTCACGTCGATCTCGTGCGAAACCCAGAGCAATTCGAGACCGTCGCCGCCGCATTGGGCCCTCAACAGGTTCTATCTGTCGGTGTTGTTGACGGCCGGAACATCTGGAAGACCAACATGAAGAGAGCAATTGAGATTGTGGAGACCGCCATCCAGAAACTTGGCAAGGACCGAGTCATCGTCGCCAGCTCCAGCTCTCTTCTGCACACCCCTCATACCCTTGCCAGCGAAAAGAAGTTGGATCCTGAAATTGCTGATTGGTTCAGTTTTGCCTGCGAGAAGGCTCAAGAACTTGCAGTCATCGCAAAGGCAGTCACCGAGGGCCCAGCATCCGTTCGAGATGCTCTGGAAGCCAATGCCAAGTCAATGCAATCTCGTGCCTCTTCGACCTTGACAAACGACCAAGCGGTCAAGGAACGACAGAGCAAGGTCACTCCAGATATGTACAACCGCAAGTCACCTTTCCCTATTCGAATCGCTCAGCAACAGCAGCGCCTGAAGCTGCCGATGTTCCCTACGACCACTATCGGATCTTTCCCTCAGACGAAGGAAATCCGTATCCAACGAAACAAGTTCACCAAGGGCGAGATTAGCGCCGAAGAGTACGAGAAATTCATCGAGAAAGAGATTCAAGATGTTGTGAAGATACAAGACGAGTTAGATCTTGATGTTTATGTCCATGGCGAACCCGAGCGAAACGACATGGTTCAATACTTTGGAGAACGACTCAAGGGTTACGCTTTCACCACCAATGGTTGGGTTCAGTCATATGGCTCTCGATGTGTCCGACCACCTATCGTCGTGGGTGATATATCTCGACCTTGCCCCATGACAGTCAAGGAGTCCAAGTATGCTGCCTCCATCTCTCAGAAACCAATGAAAGGCATGCTCACTGGTCCAATCACGTGCTTGAGGTGGTCTTTCCCTCGAGACGATGTTCATCAATCTGTCCAAGCACAACAATTGGCTTTGGCTCTCCGTGATGAAGTTATTGACCTTGAGAAGGCCGGTGTCTTTGTCATTCAGGTTGACGAACCCGCTCTGCGTGAAGGTCTTCCCTTGCGTGCTGGCAAGGAACGAACCGACTACTTGAAATGGGCTGTGGACTCATTCCGCCTTTCAACAGCGGGTGTTGAGGATGGCACTCAGATCCACAGCCACTTCTGCTACTCCGAATTCCAGGACTTCTTCTACGCCATCGCCGCTCTTGATGCTGATGTCCTTTCCATCGAGAACAGCAAGTCTGACGCTAAGCTTCTCAAAGTGTTTGTCGATGAAGCTTATCCACGTCACATTGGACCTGGCGTTTATGATATTCATTCTCCCCGTGTTCCTTCTGAGAAGGAAATTCACGACCGAATTGCCGAGATGTTGCAATACTTGAAGCCAGAACAGTTGTGGATTGATCCCGATTGCGGTCTCAAAACCAGACAATGGAAGGAGACCAAGGCTTCATTGACCAACATGGTCCACGCAGCAAAGAGCTTCCGTGCCCAGTACGTGAAGTAATAGCAATATTCCCTGTTTAGCATTGTGGTGGGGGGGGGGGTTCAAACGGCTCGATCAATCAACCTGATCTGAACCACGGCGTCAATGAATGAGTTAACGAACGAAAAGTGTTTTCAACATGATACCACGATAGAACAGGGGCTGGCAAAAGTCGATCTTAACATCGGCGTTTTTGGCTGGCTCTGAACCAGATGGGGACAACTTGATGATGAGCAGAGTTTATGACGTCGTGACGAGTGTCGATTTCAACAGTATTTTATGTGGGACCTGTTTGAGTATGAAGATGGTGGTCTTCCACAGCCACCAGGACTCTTCGCTGGCTTTGACCGAATTTTATGTGAATTGCCGTATTCGTAAACCACAGGCAGAATTCATCTCCGGCCTACCAGGCTCTCTTTCATGCCACCAATGCCTCTACACATATTTGTCTTCGATTTGAAATTTCTGAAATACCCTTCTCGTGGGGCTCCCTCTACGGCCCAATCACGTGATCGCGCGTTAATTGGCGTGGAAGAGGGGGTGAATTTGACATGCTCGTGTCTGTGGCCCACCGACATAAGTTTCATCACCTAGCCAACATATGAGAGATCGTTTTTGTCTCTTTCTTTGGCAAAACCTGTTTTGCGCTAAATGGATACGACACAAGTGGATCTCTTCAAGGCCATAGAAAATACCACCTCATCGCTTTCCGGTCCCCCGTCGCCACAACCGACTCGCGTGTTCTTTGACCCGTTCAACTCATCTTCCACAGGCCATCAGCGCGCTGAAAATAGGCTGACGGGAAGCACATCATGGAAAAAGTTGCGGGATTACAAACTGTCTCATCAATTTCGACACCCAAGCGGACGTGGCGGGGAGCGATATCTCTCCGATTTGGTAGGTGCTGGGAGTGAGAATTATGGCCAAGGTGGAAGGAAAGATAACCGAGATGGGGAGAAAGGCACTCCAGGATTACGAGAGAAAGGATGGCAAGATATCAGACAAATCATGAATGGGAGTCGGAAAAGATCGATAGACAGCCTGAAGGAATCGGAAGACAAAGCCAAACGACCGAGAAAAAGCCATGAATTGCCAAAACGAGGTGATGGGGGCAAGCCTTTGACGAACTCGGCTTCGGAAGATATAGAAGGTCATAAAGATGCTGTCGAGTCATCCTTCCAACCCCCACAAATCTTCCGGAACTTGAACATTTACGTCAACGGCTCAACGGCACCCGTGATATCGGACCACAAATTGAAACAACTCTTCACTCAACATGGTGGAACTTCCTCAGTCGCACTAGGTCGCAGAACCGTCACCCATGTTATCCTCGGAGACACCTGCGGAGGAGGACTCGCCTCGAGCAAGATCCAGAAAGAAGTCGCCCTGGTCGGTGGGAAGGGCATCAAATACGTCACTGTACAATGGGTTCTCGACAGCATTGACAAGATGACCCGACAGCCAGAGTCAAAGTATGTGCCTAAGAGTCTCAACGGGCGCATAGGAGGGAGTGGACAAGTGAGTGTTCGAGGAATGTTCCCACCAAAGACGAAATGAATGACTGGCGTGGATCGCAGGGTCCGCATAGGTCACGTGGAATGAAACATTGCATTCAGCATATGACACAGGCGCAAAAGGCGAACGAACATTTCCAGAGCAAACGAGACTTTATGTATGCAATTTCTGGGGGCCTAGATGGACAGGCGGGCAATAGAACGCCAAACGAAATGAAAGAGTATCAGTCAAGATCAAGATCAAGGTGCTCCCCTTATCTACACCTGGTCCATCAATTTGTGCTGAGATTTGGCCATTCTGTTACACAAACATCAGTACTATCCTCCTCAAGGTGAGTCGGGAGTTCACAGGTATTGAGACTTACCAAACCGTGTTCTTTCAGCATTTCTTCTTACAATCTTGACATCGTCGCCGACTTTGATTTCCGCTGCCTCCTTCCCCTCCGAGACTTTCGCCAGAAACCCATACCTTCCAAATACTGGACTCCATTTCGCACCCGGATCCACGCGCCTATCACTTTGCAGTTTCTTCAGGATCTTCCCCGCCTCGCCCTCGCCGACTTTGCCGGTATTATAGTCGACATTGAGACTATTGCACCGGGTGCAGTTCTGGGTGAGGATGAACTTGGCAGGGTTGTCGTCGTTTCCAATCTTCAACTCGGCCCAAAAGTCTTCTTCAAACTCCTCCTCGGCACCCTCGATGATAATATTGGGTCGGAACTTCGAAATGTCCATGACTTCGCCATCGGGTAGTCTCCTCTGAGCGTTTTCCCAGCTCTTAGTACTTATGACCAGGTAGGGCGCGACGTCGGCAAAGGATATCCCGTCGTCGATTCCCTCATACGCCTTCTCTCCAGACCCGGAGCCAACCACGGCGCCGACAAGCGAACTGGCCGTGGATGTGATATTACTTAGCCACGAGCTCCCGTTGTTTGCATTACCATTCGCTTCGACCAATCCATCCCTCTGTCTTCCCGCCACATTCGGGGGCATATTTCCCAGCACTTTCCTCTTATTGTTCCCTATGTACAGCAATTTCACTTGATACCCGAACCTGTCACTGAACCACTGGTCATATTTCTCGCCCATGTCAAATCCGAGACACGGACTCGAGTGCATGGTGACCTCGACCTCTTCGAGCCCATTCGTGTCTGGAGCGAGGGGCACCTCTAATGTTTCCGCAGATACCTTTTGCTCAGGCTTGTCGAACGCGTGGTCTTTGGCGTATGTGACTATTACCTTGTTCGGCCAGGAACCGTCATCTCCGTCAAAAGCCGTGGTGAACAGGCACATCTCGGGGAAGTATGCGACGTGCATGTTCTTGCCCTGGCCGACGTTGAATATCATGAACCGTCGGTCGTGTGGGAAGCCAGTGTACATGGCAGAGAGGCTGGGTGGAGAGATGCCTCGAAGGGACTTTATGGGATATGTATAAATCTGCTCAGACACGAGTTAGAGGCAAAGCTGGATCAAGAGTTTATCCGACTCATTGTCGAAAGAGGATCGAGATACGCAGCCATACCTGCTTCACGCGCATCTTGCTCCCCATTGAATCTGACATGCTGAACGAGACTCAATTCAAAATGACCACCCAAAAGAAATACACCAAGGCTATTGTTCCCTGCACTCAGCACACGACAAGTCTCAGAGAAGAAAGGGCTATCTATTTATCTGGACTGTTTGGTACAGCAGAGCCAAAAATGCGGAGATGTGCGAGAATGAGAAAATCAGCGGCCAGTGGCTACAGAGAGGGTACTGTTCTCTTCAACTCAATTATGTGTGACAGATCTCTTGTATGGTGTATACAAGTACAGTCTCCTGCCATAACAAAGAGGAGTTGTCACGAACCACATGGCTATAATAAATTGGATTGTCAGCGACCAAATCCCCACGGCCGTTACCCACCGTCCCCGCACCGAATTATTGTAAAGCCGAGGGAGGGCTGGGATGGAGGGACGCTCAGCCTCGCAATCAGGACATGGAAGCCATACAGAACGTCTTCACAGTTCCTTTGAAATTCGTCCACATGCACTTCAGGCGAATTGCCCATTTCTCTTTGCACCGACATCTCTCCCTGGACATTCTTTACTTCTTCAGCCAAGCCGTCCATCAAGACTCCTGGATTCGTCGGAAAAGGGGATTTCGTGCAGTGAAGCTCCGGCATCTTTTCCCATAAATCCACATCGGAATCGTGAGGACGCAGATGAAAATATGCAATCCCCCAATGATTGAGAAGACTTCAAGTGGTCCTTGCGTCGTAATCCAGTCGGAAATAAAATAATTCATGCCGAAGCTATAGATATTGCGTAGATTCAGAGACGCAAAGGCCTCTGGAGCCTTGTTCCGATGGCATTCGGTAATGTATCCGTAGATTCTGGGATGGTGAGCAAGAACGTCGCATGTTGAAACTCGACCACCACACTTACCCAATGTTCAGAAAAGACATTGAAAAATATATGATCCCGTAGAGCACCACTGGACCAGGCCACGGCGCCTGATTTTCCAAAGTAGCTCCAAATCCAAAGAATCCCACAACTCCCAAAATAAGAGTGAGAATATTGAGGAGAAGCCGAAATTCAGGTTCGTAAATGCCTTTATTCCAACGGGCCAACTTTACCACGACATAGTCATTCAACGGTCCAGCAACAAAGCCTAGTAATGAGGCGATCAGGGCGGCAACGCTGATCAAACCGACATCTGAAACGCTGAAGTTATAAGGAGGTCCGGTGAAGAGTTGTGCCAGGACACTGATCATCACCACCAACCATGACGTGGACAGCCCATAAGTGATGAAGCCATAAAGAACTTGAGGGAATAGCAGCATGCCAAATGGGCGGAAAATGATGTAGAGCAAATTTTCGTCCGACTCCACGCCACGGACGGGGCGCAGATTTTCCCAGAACGTATATGGTGGTTCGTCGGCACCGGTATAGAGGACTTCGGTACGGACCTTGCTGCCCGATTTGGTGGTCTCCAAATGCTCAGGATGTTGGTGCTTCACCTCCTGCGCGTCCAAGGTTTCAAAAGTTCGATCTGTCGTTCCCAAGTCGAGATTGTACGCCGGGTCTCTCTTGTAAATAGTCTCAGGCACAAAGAAGAAGATGAGAATGATAAAGGCCCCATACAGGCAGGCGCAGATTCCATAGGTCCAGTTCCATCCCAGATCCTGCAATTGATAAGCACCCGGCTTGCGGCAATGTTGAGAAACACACCTGAATGATGTAACCGGAAATACAACTGCCACCCCCCACACCAATACTAAGACAGAGGCCCCAGAATGCAAGACGGAGGCCTCGCTCATGGACAAAATAAATGTCGCCGATGATTGCTGTTGTAAGGACCTCGAATGGGCTCATTCCAATGGCGCCGAAAATTCTGCTGGCCAATAGAGAGTGGTAGCTGTGGGCAAAATAACCCCAGACGGATGAAATGAACAAGAAGAGATTGCCTCCGATGACGACGGGGCGGCGACCGAACTTGACGGACAGTCCGTTGGTTATAAAGCAGGAAATTCCGATCGCAAAGATGGCCCATCCCAGCCCACCGTTCAGAGTATTGTAGGACATATTCCATTCCTGTGCCATTTCTGCGAATCCAGGGGAAATCATCGGTCCCCAAGCGCCCACCACGGCCGTATCGATCGAAATTATAAGCAGGAGGAGATCTTTTTTCCATCTAGGCCAATTGAGGGGGTCGCGGGGGGATTCGCTGGGTTGAGGAACGAGGACGATGTCCTTATTCCGCCCGGTGCCATGCTTTAAACCCGACGTATCACGACCTAGCCCGTGCTTAATGAGACAAGTTTGACACAAAGGGCCTCGGGAAAACTCATACCGTGGAACTGGTGATGCTGAGCATCCAACATGTCCGCGAGGAGAGCGGTCCCTGGAACATGATCAAGATGATGATCGTCCAATATGCCAAGACCCATTTAGTTCGTATTCGTGACGAGGGATTAAGCCTTTGCTGAAGCTCACTAGGCCTGGGCGGTTTGGTTCAAGTGCGCTCGTATGAATGCTTGGGATGTCGTTCGTACTTCAGCGTCAAGTGAGAAATCGATCACATAGGTCTTTATAGATTTCCTCGAGACATCATTTCTGCGGGGCTTACGGCATTGGACAAGGATATAATTGCCGTGGCATAAATTTGGAAGACGGGCGGAGGACGCAACCAGTGTTGTATGGGTCTGGTGGAAACTAAAAAAATTTCCCCAGATACGCTTCTCCCATGCAATTGGGGTAGTGGATTAGTTGCAGCGTACTTTCGCATTTGTCTTTGCGGGGTCTTTTCACCTAGCGAAAGTAGATTAGTAAATAAATGGGATTTTTCCAACTTGTACACTTTTCTTGATCTGTTGGTCAATAGGGGCATGGATAAGGCGGAACGTCCCGCCGGCGAGGTCGCTCCAGAGAGTCCGGGCAAGTTCCAGGGGCATCTGCCATCTCCACTCATATCGGTTGCAGGCATGAAGGGGATAGAGGGAGACAAATACAATCTATCTAAGCCCATGGAGCATCCAGTGGTAAGGGACCCTTTTGGTTGGACAGGTGGCTGGGTTGGTATTGGAAAATGCAAGGCGGAGATCAACTTAAGGCGCGGAGAACAGTCACCATACCGCTTTGAGAAAATGGATTCGTCGTATCACAGAAACTGGTCCGGTCTGTTCTCCACAAGATCCCCGTTGACAGAGTCGACCTGGTCGACGGCATTCCTGAGGATTGTGATGGGACTTTTCCTAGCTCTTGCATGCAAGAAGAAGCTTTGGTGGCTCTAGCCTTCAGCCTTGCCCCAATATGAAGGTCATTGCAGCTGGGGAGAGATTATAGCCAACCATACAATCAGGAACACTTCCGTCGACTCGATCTGTTCAAGGGGGGCAGATCCCGGAATTCGGAGCTGTAGGTGATGATCCACATTGCGAGTGATTGCTTGAACCAAACGCGTGTTGATGTACGAAGAGTTGATGGCATTCGGCTCTGGAGTCTAGACTCGGGATACTGAAGACGGACAGGGCTTGGCTTGAAGAAATGAGGCAGTCATTATTGCTGATAGAACGCTCCCGAAGCATAGAGCAAGTCGTGAGAATAGGCCAAACTTTGAGATAAGGCAGGCGTCGTCGCCCGGTCAAAGTTACAGACCTATTCATTGGTAAGAACCTGCAGACAACCATATGACGAGGGAACAATGCACGCAAGAGAACGAGAGCAACGAGACTGGCGCCAAGGCTGGATCGGAAACATGCGCTGGAAGGCCGCAACGACCGGAGTGGTTCGACTCCGACTGCGACCTTTTTTTCCATCTCAAAAATTTGACCGGATTGACGAAGGTCACAACCCAAAAGCGCTGGCGTCAAGTCTGCCTTCATATCTTTCGCTTCCTGGCCTTGTAGCCTCCTGCGACAACTCATTGCCATCTCACAGGCGATGAAGACGCCAGCTGCGCCCTCCAGAAGTCTCCTGCGTTTCCTGCGATCCCAGTCCAATTCTGTCTTTGCCCACACCACTCAATCCCCCCGGTCACCAACACCAAGGACACATCTGCAGCCCTGTCGTTACTTATCTCCGTCTTCTTCCCTGCCCTCTCGAAATCAATCAAATTCACTGGACGAATCATGGCACCGATATTGTGAACCGTGCAAGGCACTACCTCCGCCGAGATGTACTCCTCCCAAGCCTCCGCAGACCCGAAATGTCAGTACCGGTCGCCATACCTCAAGTTTCTGGCGGCGTTGGTTACGCCACAGAGAGGCTGCTGTGCGTTCCAGGCTCCCGTCGGATGTGCCTCCTGGACCTTCTAGCTACGACGAGACCTCCGCTCAACTTTTCAATCTCTCCCGAACCCTTTCGAGAAGTCCGACCGGAGCAGATCTAAAACTCCGCTGTACTGAATTCGATGCGAATGGCTCTGTTACACTGGTATCAGGCGAATTCAAGAAATCAGAATTGATCGCGAAATACGGCCTTCTTCCTCGCGATCTCCGGAAGATAGATTCCTCTGTCCTCCCTCATATCCTGGTTCGACCCGCCGCAATCCTCATCAACCTCCTCCATCTTCGAGTTCTGATCCAGTCCGATAGAGTTCTTGTTTTTGATGCATATGGGAGCACAGATTCCTACACACAATCCTTGTTTATGTATGACCTGGAGGGCAAGCTGCGGCAAAAGCCAGACCCGAGGAATGGTTCAACATACCTCCCGTACGAGTTGAGAGCCCTCGAGGCTGTCCTGATCTCTGTCACGTCGGGTCTCGAAGCAGAATTCGCGCTCGTCCGAGACCCAGTCACACATATTCTTAGGGAACTTGAAGAGGACATCGATCGAGATAAGTTGAGACATTTGCTTATTCACTCTAAAAAGCTGGGTACATTCGAGCAAAAGGCTCGACTTGTTCGGGATGCCATTGACGACCTCCTTGATGCTGATGATGATCTTGCTGCCATGTACTTGACAGAACGGAAGGCCACCGGAAAACCCAGAGCGGAGAATGACCATCAGGAAGTCGAAATGTTGTTGGAAGCGTATCACAAGATTTGCGACGAAATCGTCGAGATATCCGGCAACCTGATAAGCAACATCAGGAACACCGAAGAAGTCGTCAAGGCCATCCTCGACGCCAACCGCAATCAACTCATGTTGCTCGAAATTAAATTTAGTGTTGGAACTTTGGGCCTCGCCAGTGGTACTCTTGTCGCTGGGCTCTACGGCATGAACCTGAGGAATTTCATTGAAGAATCCGACTTGGCATTTGCAGGGGTCAGTGCCCTCTGTTTCGCCCTATCTACAATCATCTGCGTTTATGGCATGCGTAAATTGCGCAAGGTCCAGAAGGTGCGCATGTGGGGCGAAGGACTGGACCATTTTGGGCACCGCGAAAGGGCAACCAGTCGGGCAAATTGGCGCAATGAGGCCGTTGAAAGCCAGGCCCAGCGGATAGCAAAATTGAAAGCTAGGGGGTATATTGGTGGAAATACCCCTTACTCGGGGCCTGTACTCTGGCCGGGTATGGATGGTTTGGGAATGCATAAGCTCAACGTCGAAGCGGAGAATGATTCGCGAAACAATGGACTCGATGCCAACAGCGACGCGGATACGATCTCTCAGTCCCCTCAAATGACGATTCATGAGGACGTGGAGAACATCGAAGCAAAGATGAAAGCAGATGCAAAGAAACCGAAAGCTCTGGCAAAGAAGGATCACATCCAGACGCATCCCCATTGGAGAAAATAAAGTTTCAGTCCACCAAGCACGATAAGTCCCACAACAACATTTTAAATCCTTTGAGAGGTACATCCGGGATAGGGTGGGGATGGGATATTCTGCGAACACATAGATTTTCGACCAAAAAACGTACGCCATGCTCCGGTTTTCTTTTTCTGAGAGTCAAACGTGTATCAGTGAACGGTCTCTTCTCTTTCAGCGTTCAAGCGGCAGGGACAGGTGAGCATTGCATGGATGGGAATATAGATGTGTACTGACTCTTGAATTTGATACACATGGATCGCCGTCCACATCTGTTCTTGCTGATGATTAGTCAATATCTAAACGGAGGAAATAGAAAATTGTTTGAAAACGTGGAGGGAAATCTGGTCTTGATTCATCTCTTTTACTTTACGGGTAAGAAGCAAGGTGCTTGGACTTTTGTATCGCCTTGTGCCTTTTCGCATCATGAGCCGCCTGGCGTCGAACTGTCGCCATCCCGTCTGTCTTCAACCAATCTCTCCCACCCCCATCCCGTTCTTTCTGGTAAAATTGGCAATGATACCTGCCACATTCGGACCCTTGAGTGGGACACAGGTCACCAATCGTCGTCATCATCCTTTTCATCGTCTATACAAAAAACAATGAGCATTAATTTTTCCCAGGGCATATATCAAGGGAAAAGTAAAACTTACCACTTCCACTAACTTTCTTCTTTCTCTGACTAAGAGCCGCTGCCAACGCTCCGGCAAGTCCTCCTTGATCAGCAGTGCCAGCTGGACTACCCGGCGCACCAGGAGGGGGAGGGGAAGCACTAGACTCTGCACCTGGTACCATGGCTGCGGAACGATCACGTTTCTCACTTTCCTTGACTTTACGTAATCCACCGCCGGCTTTACCTCCTGTACCGCGGATCGCTGCAAGAAGCTCGTCGCGGCCGTCTCCACCGACGGAAGGTAGGGGAGGAGGAGCTGGGCCTGAATTTCCGGGCATGGGCGGGGGAGGTGGTGGTCCAGAGGACGAAGGGGGTGGTGGAGGTGGGGGAGGTCCTGAAGATGAAGGAAGAGGCGGTGGAGGTGGTGGTCCAGAGGACGAAGGGAGTGGTGGTGGGGGAGGGGGTCCTGAAGATGAAGGAAGAGGCGGTGGAGGCGGTGGTCCGGGCGATGAAGGTATAGGAGGAGGTGCTGCTGCTGCTCCGGCTCCTGTTGGTGGAGGGGGAACCGCTCGAGTGTTGGGAGGTGGTAAAGGAGAGGCATTGTTCCGGCCGGGCGGTGGAGGGGGGAGTGGGGGATTGAAGACCGGTGCTGTAGAATGAGTAGGTGGCCCTGCTTTGGGCGGCAATGGCGGTGGCACGGTGTGAGTAGAAGTATCTCGACTTGGAGGCGGTGGGGGAACAGGGCCACGACTCGGGGGTGGTGGAGGTGCTGGAGATTTTCGTTCACCAGTAAATGGAGGAGGCACTTTGAACATTCCAACAGGCTCTTCGTCAATTGGTGATTTCGGCGGACGAGGTGGAGGCGGAGGACCTGGGTTGGCAAGGGAGCCTGATGAGGCCCGAGACCGGCTTGAAGGATGGACGGCCGGGCCTTCTTTGACTGCAAATTTCCCGGCGTCTGCGATGGGCGGAGGAGCGCGGAATCTTGGTTGCGCACTCGGCGCAGGAGATGGTGTCCTTGGAGGAGAAGTTGATCGAGGTGGTGATGGTGCTCTACCTCCCACTGGTCTTCGCGCCGGCGGTGGAGCTGGTGGAGGACCTCTTCTACCTGATGAAGTTGTTGTTCCAGTATTCTCCGGGCTTATTCGCGAAGGAGGTGCTGATGGGGGTGGAGGAGGAGGAGGGGCCCTCGATCTGCTCTCGGTAGCTGTAGGTAGAGTTTGTGCGATTCCGTTGGCCGTTTCCTCCGCCTGTTTCTGTTGAACGTAATTCTTGATAAAGTCTGCGTTCTGGGCGATTTGGTCCTCAGTAATACCCATCTGGATGAGTTCATCCAATATCGGCCTCCACGTTGGATCAGCCAAGTCAATCCCTCCCGCTCCAGCACTACTCTGAGGACGACTTGCACCGGCTGGGCCGTAGATAGGCGGAGGAGCGATGGACTGCGGCTGTTGCAGCTGGACCGGGCTGGAACTGTGTCTGTGGCCACGAAGAAAATTTCCCACTCTGCTATGATGTTTATGAGAACTGCCGGGTACAAATACCTGACCACCGCCGGCAACAGAGGCAAAAGGTTGTGCTTTTGTGTGCTTGCTGGCATTCTTTTCCCGCTCATCCATTTTCTTCTTGAACTGCCTCGCTTCTCTTTCGTCGACGAAGGATAGACCGGCCATACATTGTTCCAACTCGAAGGAATGGAAAAAGGTTCGATCTTGGTTGTATTGGAAGGTGTCGTAGATTTCTTGATCCCATATCACACCCCTGTTCGCAGGAGAGATATCGACCAGTTTAATCCAAAAAGTGTTTCCGACGAGGTCGTTGGACAAGACCGCGGCCCCTTGGAGACCGGTATAAGTCCATTTACTTCGGTTCGGATGGGCAATATAGAGTCGAGCGACAGCGACAGCTTGAATTTTGTTGGCAGCCTTGGGAACGGTGCGCTTGACGATCTCCTTGTCAGCCTCTGAAAGAATTGACGGCATGGTGGAAACGAGCTGCGGACTTCTGTTCAGTCTTCCAGAAAAGGGTGTGTCTCTCGACCGTAGCAGATGGACGAGGACGATCTTATTCGCTCAGAGTAAAAGATGATAGAGTAGCTAAGGTCCTGGTATGAGAGGTGATTCAGGCAAAAAGTCGAATTGAACTCTGAATAGGCCGGAGTTTTCCTTTGCCGCGTGGCTTTCGGGCACCAGTAAAAGAGAGCCAACGCCTATTTGCTCCTTTGTTCTGCGTCTCCCACTCAGCTTTCTCTTTCACTTCGTTGCTGCAAGGATCCCAGGGAATCATGCCGGTGGCTCAGATTTAAGCGGACCAGTTACTCCGGCCTCGAGCCCATCACCGTCATCTTCCTTCTGTCACCTCCGTCACCGAAATCTTCGCTCCACATTTCACGACGTCATCGTTGTGGTAATAAATGGGAAAATAAATGCAGCAGCCTAACAGCGTCTCCGTGACAGAACGCAGCTGCTACATAAACCACTCTCGTCTTACATCTGTTCCCAAAAGGTGTGATCCATATACAGTATATCTCTCACAAAGTCACAGCATTGCCCCATACAGACACGTAGACAAACTACTAGCACAAAGCCATCCTCATCATGCCTCACCATCCTTCCGAAGAGAACACCCAATCCCACGTCTTTGACCGAGTTGCCAAAGAATCCTCCAACTCGACAGCCTCTGGCCATACCCTTCACAAGGACAATGAAGGTCCATTGAAGCAAGCAACTGCCGACCATCACAAAAGCAAGGGTCCACAACTCTCAGACAGTAAGGACTCCCTTTGGGATACAGTAATGGATATGAAATAATTGACTTCACCGCAGACATGCCCGAGGCAGCAAGCAAGGACGAGTTAAGGGCAAGGGCACAAGAGATGAACAAGTAACCTTACACACACAAGGGCGACCCTCACTGGCAACAAGAAGAGCACTACGGTATTAATCAATCACAATGAAAAGGGAAGAAACAAATCAAACCATAGCAAGAAATGATCATTGAATACAGGCACATGTTCATACACAATGCCTCGAATGCGCCGTTCGAATCGTTTGTGCTAACTTTCCCTTGCCGTCGCCATGGAAAAAGATCGAGGGCAGGTCCGACAAAAAATCATATCCCTCTTGCTCTCTTCTCTGGAGGCTCCCCATCTGCTCGTTGCTCTCGATATTTGCTTACAAAGCCATCCATTTCACCTTCGATCTGCGCGGTATTTGCCTTGAGAGAAGCCTCGTTGGTAGGACTTGGCGTATCCTCTCCGTGACGCGGGCTTGGTAATGTAATCGAGAAGGAGACGAGTCTACGGCATTTTCTCTCACCGTCGTCGTTCCTGGGGTCCTTGCTTGCAGACCTCTGCGTCTCGTCTTCCTGCGCCTTCGCAGGTTCAATCTCTCTTCCATTAACTTCGACGTCTCCATTACCCAGAACCTCGTTTCTGCTGCCCTCGTTAGACTGCGCTCCTTCCTTTCTGCTCTTCTTGCCTTCGCTTTTCTTGTTTGCTTCATCCTCTGGAAGCTCGCTGTACTGCCAAAGTGCCTTCAGATCCCCTTTCACTAAAGCAGTCCCCCACAGCGAGAGCAAGACTCCAGGAACCAGATATAACAATGCAGGTTGAGCATGCTCTGCAATCTGCATCACGACAACCGTGGTGATCATTCCAGCAAGATAGCCAACGATGGTGGCGTAGAAATAGGGCTTTAGGAATTTCTTCGCCTTGATCTCCGTCGACCAGAATTTTGAACTCGTCCACAATTGTTCACCCCAGCTTCCTTTCGCGCTGACATAGACTGGCTTCGGTCTCTCCTTTTCCTGCACTTCCTTACTTGGCTTCTTTCCCGCTTCACCCAGTCGCAGATAATGGAGATACAAGTCGAACCGCAAAGCAAACGCAAGCATCATCCCGGGAACCACAATATCGCCCAGACCCAACATAGCCATCGCTCTCGTCTCTGCCAGACATTGCAGGTATTCTTCCATCGCAGATGAACCCTCGGGAGCCCCAACGGGAAAGATACACCCATCCGGTCGTGGAAAGAGCAATTTGATGGGGACATCCAATTTTGTGGCTACTGTCACCATCATAGGAGTAAAGAAAACAAAGTAGATGTCATAGAAGAAAAGAGCGCATAGGACAAGCGTGCCAGTCCACGCAGTTGTTGGTGTCATGTATTGAAGGGAGCCATAGCAAAATGAGAAGCCCAGAAAATTGGTCAAGAACCAGGGTTTCGACACAAAGCCATGATAATAGACGATGGCGCAGGAAAGAATGAGACTTGCAACGTCGAGAATTTCCACAGGACCCTTTACGGTGATCAGTCGATGAAGATGGAAATTGAATCGTGCCTTCGTGTAGAGAAGGTCCCTGAAGTTCCAAATGTGCTGCAAGACAAATGTGGGAAGTGGGACGGCTCGAAGAAATCCCGGGAATGGTGTTGCTATGCTATGGCCACTGTCCGTCTTGAAGCAGTGGTTTTGTTGATCAACTTTCCACAAGTGGCCCCTGCTTGAGTATTCAGTAGGAAACAGCAATGAACGAGCCACCGACATCACGTCTTTCAAGAACTTCACAGCAAAGAACAAGCCAATTTGAGAAAAGTAGATTCCCAAAATCCAGTTCAACCAAGCCGGGTCTTGAAGCCATTTCAGAATGAAGTAGAGGGTTGCCAAGGTCCCGCCCGCCAGGAGAGGGAACAGGATAGCATCCGAAGGAGTCAAACTCTCGATTTTCTGGGATTCATCTTCCTCGTGCTCTTCGTCACTGGTGGCAGATTTCTTGCGTTTGGGAGGAGCGGCAGAGGATGGTCTTGCCAAAGAAGCATGAGCTGCAGTGTAGATCGGGAAGATCGCTGATACCAGGAGATGGAGGTAAGTTGGAAGTAGAGGTCGCATTATTTCAAATTCATAAGCCACACGACCGAGAAACTCCATCACCGGGCCTGGCTGAGATGCCATGTCGGTCATTTTGGTGGTACAAATGAATGCGTCGAATGCGAATGATTTAAGTTCGCAGTCATCGGGAAAGTGAGAACACAGGAATTAAATGAGGAGAGTGATGTGAGGGAACAGGGTGGGAGGGAGTTGAAAAAAAAAAAGAAACTGTGGCAGATGAAGTGAGAGTTGGAGATTCAGGCACCAGGCGACGGTGATTGGTCGACTGCGCAGCCTTGTGTGAAACTCGGCGACAAAGAGAAAGTACAAGAAGTATATCATTACTAGTTCCCATATGGTATCACTTTTCCACGCCACTGTAATAAACCAGAAGACGAAGTGACCGTCCTTGAACCTTCCTCATCGCTTCTTCTGCCCATAACATTTCCGTCTTATAGCCACTGTGTAACCTCAATATCTCCATAGCAGCCTTCAACGGAGCAGCGATCGACTTTGGTCCGTGATCCAGCATATCCTCCTGTAGAAAATACTCCACCGACTGCAAGATGTTAAGCGCAGGAGTCGCAGAGTTAATACGATACTCGAGTGGCGGAAGATTGAAAGTATCTTCTCTGAGCCTTGGCCGGAGCACTGATGTTGATGATATATCGGCAATCTCATCGACTTCTACCACTCGGCCGGCTGCGGTAAGTTTGACTCGCAACTCATCCATCAGTCCATAAAGTGCAGATAGCCAATACCATAGCATTGACTGCACAGCCCAAAAGACGACAACAGTACTGGCGACAAACAGGTCTGGAAAATGGAAAGCCACTGGGAAGACCATTCCGTCCTCAGTCTTATGATCAAAGCTCGTTTGTTGTGCCAGCTCAGGCCAAAATACTGGTCCAGACTGAGTCGTCTCCAGCTCTTCATAAAGCGTGAGCAGCTCTTGGTCCATTTTCCAGCATTGGGAAATCATTTCTGTGGCTAGTTGTAACTGGGCATCCATGTTCATTCGATCGAGCATCTCCCCTCGATTTAGGAGCTCAGACGCACGGTTCAGATAGTCATAAACATGATCATACGGCCGTTTGGGCTCTTTTCGGAATGGAACCTCCTGCCACAGAGGCTCTGACAAGAATGTAGATTTTTTGTTGACCGAGGCGAGGAGTATCTCGAGACATCAGCGAAACGATCACTCTCAACAAGTACAATGACATACCCCTTGTACCCGAAACAGAACGAATATCTGATGACCCAGACCATCTGTATGCGCCTCGGGACCACGAAGTTGAACGAGTTTCTCACAGCCAGCAGCATGGCTGATGTATCCGTTCCTCGACTCGCCGGGGCATTGGCTCATCTCATAGGAAGCCAGAGCAATGCATGTCGCGAGTGTTTGGTCGTGGAACATCAAGTCTAGATCCCAGAGCGCTTTTTGAAGTTGGCGTAGTCCGTGATAATACAACTTGAGGCTTTCACGTCTCAACCCCTGATCTTGGTGAACGTCTCCTAGTTTACCCAGGCAAAGAGCCATCGTTGAGACCTCCAGCGCCGGGGTAAGATGAGTCATGGAAGGAAGACGAAGAAGCCACAGTCGTTGCTGAATCGGGCCAAGTTGACGTGTTGGCAAATGATAATGTAGATACAATTCCAGGAGCTGCTGTCGAATTTCCGGATTGGAGTTGACCTGTGCAGCCAAAGCAAACGAAGGTATCCTGGGATCGAGAATGTTTCTGTTTTCCGATGGCTTGCTCCGACCTTCCCGATATCCCACTCTGCCCTCCCGAGAGTCTAGGCTAGGCTTGATTTGACGATCCGCCTTTTTCTCAAGGGCCAGAGCATTCGAGTCACGGTCTCTCATGGCACCATGCAAGATGAAGATTGGATATCGCCGGTACCCAGTGCAAACCCGCTTCGATTTGACACATTGGGCGCAGGAGGGCTTTTCAAGGCCACACTATGATTTTGAATGAGTTAGAATGGAAACTGTCTCGATCTGCATGACGCAAACGGAGGCAAGAAATCAATCACCGCGATCTTGCGTTTCCTGCATGTTTCACACCCTCGTGCTCGTGCAATGCCAACCATTGAGTCGCGACTAAAGGTCAAGGCTGTCTTGCAGACACGTTGACGCGCCAAGTGAGCGACAATAATAAGTTGGTAGAGAGATGATGGTGGAGGACGTGAGGAAATAGAACCAAGCTCGAGTAATGCGGGATCATTTCGCGAGAAGGTCCAAACAGGCAGCGGCCTTTCTGGTCCCGGTTGAGTTCTCAAGATTCAGACTACCAATGGCCCTAATTCCGTTCAGGGCGCATGTTTGAGACTTTCTTTGGCGACTTACGACAGTCATCCTCGCATGCGATAGGTTTGAGGTTGAAGGAAGCTTGGGTGCCTCATCTCCACAAACTTCGTAGCTGTCTGTCCACTAAGCCGAAACAGGCACATTCTGCGAAAGACGAAGAAAGGCATTGGATTGGCTCATGTGTGGAGCGGTGCTCCGGCATTTATTTTGTATTTGCCGGTTCGTGACACCAGTACATTAGAGTGGTGTACATTGGACCTGCGATGTTGGAAGGATTCCTTGCAGTCGGAACAATTACATCATTCGACCAAAGAACCTTCATTTCTTCTGCGAGCTGAGTCTTCGTCGATCCAGGGTTCTCTCAAGTGTTGTCGGGATTCTTGACCGCTCTGCACCCTTAGTCAATTCCGCTGCATTGTTCTTTGCGAAAAGTCTTTTCCGAGCTGTTGGTGTCATTAAAGTCAGCTTATCTGTGAGATTCGTCTGTGGACCGACGATAGGCACCAGGAAACTTTTCGCGTCCTCGAGAATTTTTAACTGCTTGACGGGACGAGTTGCATGCTACTTCGAACGTGCTTAACTCTCTGTTGTGTAATGAGCACGCATCCCGTCTACTTCAAGGTTGGCGTCTCTGACTGTTTCATCTGTTTTCTACAAGTCTCCCTTGGTGCTCTTCAGTGTTGCAGACTTTTCTTTCAGACTGCTTTCCAAAGATGCGATTTTCTCGATCAATCCTCGCTTCTCGTTTTCTTTTCTTTTTTTTTTTTTCGAATATCTTTCAAGGTGCGTGAAGTCGGTTTTCAACGTATCGAATTTGCCTGTCCGGGTGGCATGCTGAGTGGATATTTTGATTGTATCCGAAGCTTCACCACTGATATCTTGTCTCAGCCTATCAACAGTGCGCGTTATGGAACAGGTTCCACGCCTGCATCCCGGTGTCTGTGCAAGGTATTGCCCCGGAAGTTCTGAACATTCTTGTGTTGACTTCAAGAAATTTTGAAGTCGAAAGGGCCCGATAGTGTGTTCCAAGGTAAATCCGTTAAGGACTGTATTTATTAATATCAACACATTCAATGAATCGCGAGGATGCTCAAATACTTGAGGATCCAGTGAAGCAGACGCTGATAGGAAGTCAATTTATTTGGCGCACTTGTACAGAGAAAGAGACCCAGGCCAAGGTCTTGCGCACATATACAAACCATTCTGCAATATTCATCTCTTGGCTTCCGTCTTGCGTCCTGCTATTGCACCTGATAGCTCACCAACGACAAAGTACTTTATCAATGGAATAAATCGCAAAATTGATCCAAAGAACTAAGAAGGGGATGAAGATGTTTGCCAAGGGGACCTGCATAAGTCAGTTTGTTACTGGCTGGATCAAAACTGGCCCAGAACAGTTTGCCCACGGGCTCCTCGTACGGAACAGAGGGGGATGGTTGAGAGGGGAATTCTCAATTTCAGACAGGAGATGAGGTCGGTACTTGGAGACGAGTCACCATCAGGTTTCTCTTTTCTTCCCATCAGCCTCTTCCAGTCAGGGGGCCGGGCCCGGGGGGTTGCATGCCACACCGCTTGCCTTGTTTCTTGAAGCTGCCAGTCAAACTTACCCGCAGAAATGCCACGAGTTTGCGTGTTTGGTCGGAACATGGATCTATGGATCTGGTAAAATTTGCTGCCGCTTTTGCAGGTGGCTGATTTAGCTAGTGACCCGATCTCAAAAGACAAGAAACACGGGTCTTCTAATCCAAAATTCGTCAGAATTTGAGGTCACGTGCCGGCGTGTTTGTACTGTGGCACGTTTTGGGAGATAGTGCAGTTTCCAAGCGTACCGCGCACCTTTCATCCGTCATGGCGATGACCTTGAAGCCTGCTTTATCCAGTTTCAGTGCAGTGAGAGAATCTACCAAGCGCTCAGACCAAATCTTCGACCGGCGAAATGGTACGGACGCCGTTGAAACGAACAGCTAGCATCACAGATGTCCGTTTCACCCTCCGTCGCGTGTTCGGTAAAGATTCCTTTAGACCATTACAGGAAGAGATCGTGGCCGCTGCCATTGCCGGACACGACGTGTTCCTCTGTGCCGCCACTTCTTTTGGAAAATCGCTTTGCTATCAACTACCAGCCGTGGTCTCTCTCGGAGTCACGGTCGTTATTTCTCCTCTCCTAGCTTTGATGCAAAATCAAGTCCAATCGGCACGAGAGTTGGGCATTGCGGTTGAATGCATCAATGGCTCAACTCAACGGTCTGAGAGAAAACGGATTGAAGATGACCTTCTCTGTGGTCACCCCGAAACCAAGTTGCTCTATGTCACCCCTGAGCTTTGCGCAACAAAACGTTTTCAAAACCTTATTCTCCTAGTTCACCGCCAGGGTCAACTGGTACGCGTCGCTATTGATGAGGCCCATTGTATCAGCGAATGGGGGCATGACTTTCGTCCCACCTACAAAGAGCTGGTATGGCTCAAGAAAACACTAAATTGTCCTTCTGTGCCCGTGATGGCGGTCACAGCCACAGCGACGCCGCAAGTTCGGGGAGACATCTTCAAATTTCTTGGACTCGATGAAACCAAGACGAAATGCTTCTCAACGCCGACAGCACGACCTAATATACATTACGAGGTCCAATACTTCTCTCGATCTAATCCGGAAAATGGTGAAGATGACATATTCCCCTATCTCATTTCCAGACTAGGTTTCATGCATCAAAGACGACTGATGCTTCTCCAGTATCTTTCTCAACAAGACTCCTCACCCGTGGTGGCACCTATCAGCGGGATAATCTACGTCACTCGCCGGACCGAAGCTGACGAACTGGCCTCGAAACTGACCGTAGCAGGTGTTCGAGCGCAGTCTTACCATGCTGGTCTAGATACGACCAAGCGCGAGAAGATACAAATGACTTTCGTTCGATACGCAATTGGCGATCCCCGACTATTGCAAGCTGATAATGACCGAAGTCTCACGGCCTCTTTCAACATCATATGTGCGACCACGGCTTTCGGGATGGGTATTGACGTCCCAACAATTCGATTCGTCATCCACTACGGTCTCCCAAGAGGCATGGAATCGTTCACACAAGAGTCAGGCCGTGCAGGTCGAGACAACAAGGCTGCTTCGAGCATAATACTGTACACGCGCGAAGATAAAGAACGCTGCGAATTCCATGTCAAACGCGATGCGGCGAAAGAGAAGAACAAGACCAAAACCGAATCCAGGATGCAGTCGTTGAAAAGCGTGATCGAGTTCTGTGAGAACACCGACATCTGCCGGCACAAGATTGTATCACGATATTTTGGCGGCAATGATGGAACGGCCGAATGTTTCTATGCCTGTGACGTTTGTAAGGAAGGGACAGCGAAGCTAAAAAGACGAAAAGAAAAGGGACTCGTCACCGAGGAGCAAGCGTTCAAGTTCACGCAGAGAGAAGGCATTCCGAATTATGAATTCGATTGACGAGATCGTGACGACCTGACCATGATACTGTAAAGGGGCGATAGGGAGGCCACTGACAGCTGCCCAGAGACAACAACAAAACAACACAAGACACCCCAGGGCAAGGAGGATTGATCTGAATAGACAGGAAAGAACTCAAAGAACCTGATAAGGGACCTCTAAACGCTCGATTGTCTTCAAGGGATGTCTCTTCTTACCATGGTTGAGCCGCTACTCCTGACTCTCTTTTCTGGAGTATGCCTGTCCGAAGAGTACCTGATTCCCAAGGCCCTTTAAACCTGTCCCGACGAAGTCACGTGAGTAGTCATGCCCCCTGATCACGTGCTATGCTAGAATGAAGCAACTCCCTACCCTGTAACAATACCTCGAGGAGATCTGATGGAGTACGGACTAGAGCACGATATGGTGCGAAATGGGTATAGGAATAGGTTGATATTCTTCCGTGATTCAAGCACTGACTTCAAGAAATTTCGAGGAAATTCAAAATGCTACTCCAATAACGACTGTGACGTCGAGTTCTGATCTCTTCCTTTCAATTTCCGACATCACATGATCTTTTCGATCCCTACACGGCAAAAGTCCGAATCATGCCTTAGCACGATAGTACCCGCCTGAAAAGTCAACCAGCCACGCTTTTTCCACCTTGCTAATGTCCTTGATATAGACCTTGTCTCCGGTTTCGAGCAACTCGTGAAACACCACATACTCAGCCTTGCGATTGAAGAGCAAACTCGTCGGGTGCGCGTGCATAGTCACGTTTCCGGAGACCGACTTGAACGTGCCGTCAGGCTGCATTTTGGCCGCATATGGGAAATACCCGGTCACGAGACATTTGAGGATACTTGTAGCCTTGTCTGTCTGGTTGGGTTGGGCGGTGGGGAGATACGGTGGGTTCGAAGAGGAAGAGATGAGTGACTCGTCTACTTTGACGCCTAGTCGTTCTAGGTATCGTCGGAGTTGATTCCGAATGCTGACGGCCCGTTGCATGGACTTGAAATTCAGGTGATGGTCGTGACACCATTTGGCTTCTTTCCTGCCTCGCGTCACGAAGGACTGGTAGACGTTCAACAAGGTTAGATGATCGCCTTCCTCGGCAGCGAATTTCCTCCGTGAGAGATCCATGGCTTTATTCTCGCCGCTATTGTGGAACCAGACATTCCCTTGGAGAGAGGTCATGGCTGCTATTGAGAGCATTTCGTTCTGGCAGATGAATTTGGGGTCGGAAGCTGTGAGGAGACACTTGGCCATCATTGGCGGGATCGAGAGTTCGGCCATGCGTGTGCCCAGTGGGGTGGTGAGCTTCGCGTAGTCGTCGACGGCGCCAAGAGAATATAGAAGGTCAAAAGCACGGATTAGAAGTTGGGACGGCGGTGGTGAGAGAAACTCAAAGCGGACAATGTTGTCAATTCCCAGCGCTTTGAGCTGGAGAACGATGGGCGCGAGGTTTGAGCGTTGGATTTCGGGGGTCGTCGTCGCCGGTAATGAATGGTATGACGATTGCGTATACAGACGAAAGCATTTGCCTGGTTGGGTTCGTCCTGCTCGACCTGCTCGTTGGGTCGCAGAGGCTTTGGATGTAGGAAAGGGAGTCAGGGTCTCAATGTTCGTGTTTGGATTGAAAGCACGGAGTTTGACGAACCCGCAGTCGATCACATAGACAATTCCAGATATGGTGACGGAAGCCTCTGCGATGTTTGTGCTGAGGATCACTTTTCGAGTGTTCTCTGCTGCTTCAGAGAAGACGTACATTTGATCTTCTGTGCCGAGTCCCGCGTACAGTGGAAGTGGTTGAATAGCTTGGGTTGGTGGGTGTAGTGTTGATGCCAGATCGGAAAGTATTTGCATGGCATTTTCGATTTCTTCCCGGCCCGTCAGGAAAACAAGAATGTCACCAGGGGCTTCTTGTTGGTGAATCGTGAATGCTGTCTGCGCAGCTTTTTCGACATAGTTGTCCGTGGGTTGATCCAGATACAGGATGTCGACAGGGTAAGTCCGGCCTTCGACACTGACTATTCGGCATTGGTCGTCGGATCCATCCTGATCCTTGAAGAAGTCGGCAAAGCGTTCTGCTTCGAGAGTTGCACTGCTGACGATGATTCGCAACTCTGGTCGGCGCTTCTTGATTTTCTTGAGCAACCCTAGCAGAATGTCGGAGCTCAGGGATCTTTCGTGAGCTTCATCGACCATAATGACGGAATACCTTGACAGCAGAGGGTCAACCAGTGCTTCACGCAGCAGCATACCATCGGTGAGAAATTTGATCTTGGTTCTGGCGGATGTGACGTCTTCAAATCGAATCGAATACCCGACTTGCGCACCGACCTGACATCTCATTTCTTCGGCGACTCGAGTAGCAACCGTCGTGACCGCCACTCGTCGGGGCTAGATAGACTGTCACATACATTCTGGCTCAATCAACCAAAGTTGACTAACCCACCTGTGTGACTGCAATGGATTTCCCGTTGGCACACCATCCTGCCTGCTCCAGAAATTGAGGCATCTGAGTTGTCTTGCCGCTGCCAGTCTGGCCCACGATCACCGTGACCTGGTGAGTTTCGACAGTGTATAGGAGGCTGTCTTTATGTCTAGCGATAGGCAACAAGGCTGAAGGAGTGTAGAGGGCGGGGATGAAGGAGAGGTCGAAGTCTGTCATCGTGGATACGGTACCATGTTCTGAGGATGTCTCATTGGTGTGGAGGCAGATGATTTCAATGGAAGGGTGAGATTAAACGGCATAGATATGGAGGTCGACTATTCGACAACGGATGAGATTGACACGGCCACATTACGCCACAGTGAGTTAGCCACTTGGCCACGCCAAGCCACACCGTCACTGGCTGTACGAAGTCCTAGCAGTCATTTCGGTCTCCTCCCGCAACATGTGTCGTCTCAAGAATTCCGCTGCCTGAGATTAATCACGATTTTCAGTTCCACGTTAAGTTTCCCTCATTTCTATTGTCTCATGATCCAGCCTACATACAATACAACCTCAATCGCATCGCATTCATCTCACATCATGGCTAACGACGGCACAGTAAGTTCTTCCGGCCCCTCTGCTGTGACAGTCCTGACCTCCAATATGCAGGCCTCACCCGTCTCACCACTCCAACCCTCCGACGGACCGCCCGAATCTCCCACCACTGCACGCCCGTTAGATTTCGACAGCGACCAAGAAACAGGGACTGTGACGCCAACCACATTATCCAAGACTGAAGCTTCTCTTCCCAAACCTCCTTCCAGAGATGAACCTGCTCCTCCACCAAAACCACCCCGACCAATGAGTCCCCGCGAACAAGCGGAGAACACTTTGAAAGAAGCCTTCCCCTCTGTCGATGCGAATGTCGTACGGGCAGTTCTCACAGCAAGTGGAGGAAACCTGGAGCCCGCCTTCAATGCCTTGCTAGGCATGACAGATCCTGACTCCCAACGAGAGCCCGATCCTCCTGCCAAACCTCCTCGACCTACCCAACAAGGCTCCCACACATCTGCCAAACTCAGTCAATTAGAAGCGGACGAACTGTATGCGAGGCAATTGGCTGAACATTACAGTGGTGCGGATGGACTGCAACAACGACGTCGGGGATCCGGGGGAAGATATAATGAAGGTTTACAAGGGTCAAGACCAGGCCGGCCCGGAGCCAATCCTAATCCTGATGATGTTCCATGGCGAAGTTTCATCGATGGTATGTCTGGCCAATAAATAAAATATATATATGACCCGTTCGAACTAACAGATCTTCTTGACAGACGATCTCCCCGAAATCCGCGATAACATTCGTAAGGGCTTTGTCGAGACACAAAAAACTGTGAACAGTTGGATCTCGGCGTTCAAGAAGAAAATTGACGGTGAAGATGAAGATTCGGAGTTCAACCAACAATCATCCCAAGACTACGGAGGAGGTTATTCACAATCGCAGTCAATGCCTGGTCGCCGCAGTGCCGACATGCGACGAAGCGCGGACTTGCAACGCTATGACGCCGACATGCAACCCATCGGGGATGACTTTTCGAAATTAGAACTACGAGACGGAGAGGCGCCGCCACGCACATCGAGCCGCCCGCTGGCGAACCCGAATTTGTTCCGATCAGGAGCTACGGGCCCGGAACGACGCCCATCACCGGGCACAAACCGCAAGGTGTCCTTCCAAGATGGACCACCCGAGGAGATCAAAGATATGTATTCAGCATCCCCTAAACCAGGGCCGGTGACCGCGGCCGCCGCAGCGCCAGGGAAACCCAACAAATGGCAGCCGTTGGCTACAGTTGACCCGAGCCCCGTTACGGACAATGACCCGTTCAGTCTCGGCGACAGTGACGAGGAGAAAGACGCTAAGATGATCACGCTGAAAGACGACGAGGCCAAAGATGCAGCCGACGACAAGAAAGCCAAAGTCGAAGACACAAAGGCCGACGAAGACGAGCCGGTTAAGAAAGTCACGGATCAAGCGATGAAGGAGAGTAGGGGAAGCGATTCCAAATGAAAGGGGGGCCTTGGCAGCAGGATTGCAGGAAAGCGGGGAGCTCTATCGGCAAGGATGTAAATGAAGCATTTGCTCCCGATCGACAAAAGAGATGTGAGTGGATAAATTTGTCTGGAAAGTGAAGGGATCGAAAGGAAAAAGGAAGCCAGCCTTCTAACTTACGTCTACCCTAGGTGTCTGGGTAGTCAACTAGTCTCTTTGTTCAAGAATGAAGAACGAAGACTGAGGATCAACGATTGACCAAGTCAAGCCAGCATCAATTCCATCGTGGCCTGGACCAAAGCCAGTGAAGAAACTTTTATCCACGTATGTCGTGACGATGTGCTTCTAGAATTCGTCGCTCCCGTGTTTCCCGACCTGCGTCTGCAGAAGACTTGAATAACTTTCCATGCCTCCATACGCCTACTCGAATTGTATTCGCTGAGTGCACAGATGTGTCATTTGCCATTGTATAGAAGCATATATGTGTGTATATGCATCCCCCAACACAACCTTCAGGTGCGAGAAATTCAATAGTTAAATCTTCACATCACCCGCCTTCCCCGTACTCCCCACCATATCCATCATCCACTCGATTCTTTCCTGGATCAGCGCAGTGCCCGTCTCCATGAACTCGGTCAGCGGCGTTCGGCCTGCCTTCTCCTTAGCATAGTCCTCATACTTCCACAGCACAACCTGATTGACGTTGAGACGCGTCATGCCCGCCGCGACGCACTGCTTGAAGATGTCGCCGGTGAACTCGTTGGTGCCGTGCATGACGAGCGTGACTTTGCCCAGGGAAGCGTCGCGGATGGACGCTAGACGGGGGAAATCGAGCTTGATGTTCTCGACGCCGTTGTATGGGCCGTGGACATTGCCGATGGCCGGGGCCAGGAAGTCGATGCCCGTGTTGATGAACTGCAGTGCCTCTTCAGGGGTGGTCAGGATGCCCTCGAGGTCTCCTGTGTCTTGTACACCGGCCTCCCCGCCGTTGATACGACCAGGTTCAGCCTCAGTGGCGATTCCGAGTTCGTGGCAGTATCGGACGAGCTCGGTGGTTCTGGATAAGTTCTCCTCCTTTTCATAATGGGACATGTCGACCATGATGGAGTCGAACTTGCCCGTCTTGGCTGCGCGTTTGATGGCTCCTTCGCTCTGAGCGTGGTCCAGGTGCAGAGACATGGGGACTTTGGCACTTCGACACACGTCAGCGGCCAGGTTCACGAGATTGTCGTAGGCATAGTCTTGAGCCCAGGGGAAGAGGAGGATTTGGCAAGGGGAATTTTTGGCTTCGGCGGCTTTGCGGCAGGCGACGATGGCCTCGAGGTTGTAGCACACAACGCCGGGGACGCCGTACTTGCCCGCTTCGGCAGCCTTGAGGATGCGGACGGAAATATTTTGAGAGAGGTCGGGCATTGTATAGGTCTGGGGGATGGGAGGGATGGGGATGTTTGGCTTGGTGGTGGTGGATGCTCGTCGCTTTCAATGGGAGTCTTCTTGTTCGGCTCAACGTGTGTGAAAGATGTCCAACCGTGGCCCGATATCTGGTCTTTCAATCTCTGACTCTGAAAATTTTTGTTCTCTCAGAGGGGCGAATGCGAGAGGGTAGATGGGAGAAAAGAGTGATCACCAAGTTCCCCCCCTCACATGGTTGTTACAGTTTAAGTCGCGTCACGAATCCAAGTAATTCAATTCAACATCGGCAATCCAATGCAAGGACCCGGGAAGCCTAGACTCAATCACCGTTCTGTATGCAAGTTAGCCTCCCTGTGAGAAGATTGCAGATGGCGACAATGCGATGAGGGATTGAGCATATGCACCATTTGTCGTCGGCATTTTCTCCGCGTGAGGGGACAAGCTATCGGGAGTGTTCCGTTGCCTTCAGGCGTCAAGAAAATATCTCTTTTCAATCCTTATCCCAGCAGTTCACCTTCTACACTCGCGACTAGGAAAGTCCCTCTCCGAACGAAGCAGACTCATTCGACCGGCATGGCTCTATCTTTTGCCCATCGGTAATAACGGTACTGGTACCGAAGGGAAAATTTCGCCCAGCGTAGGGAACATGCCGGGTCCACATCACCTCCGGAGACCGGCGATGACGGGGCAGTGAGCCGGTCAGGCAAGGGGAGTCAACCAAAATGCACGGCTCTGCCCATTCGCTTGAGAAGATGTCAAAAAAAAAAGAGCAGAGTTAAAGTGACAAGGCATATTCCCATTCAAAAGCATGCAAGTGCAAAGGTTTTCGAAACATCTCTTTCGTGCGCCCTTTCAAGGACCAATGCTATTCTGTCCCCTTCACCCCTTAAATCTAACTCAACTTCTCCTGCTCCTCCATAAACTCAACATACTCTCTCACGGCCTCCTCGAAGCTCGTAGGAGCCTTGAACCCCAAACTCAACGCCAGTGAATTGTCGTAATTATACGCCCAAGAGTACAGGATCCTCGCCAACGCCTCGTCGTGCTCCTCCTTGACGTATTTCAATTTATCCTCTCCGCCGACTTTGGCCAGGGCATCGAGCATTTCTTGGATCGTCACCACCAACCCCGGGGCATTGATGACTCGTTTATGCATGGGCAACGCGTCCGAAGGCAAGGTAAGCGCATAGACCAAGTTGGAGATCAACGTCTTGGGCGAACAGACGTTGGATGGGAAACTCCTATCCTTGACGGGGACCACGCACTCTTTGCCAGTCAGTGGTTCGCGAATGATGCCCGAGATGAACGCGGAGGCTGCCGGAGCAGGCTTGCCAGGTCGTACCGAGATGGTAGGGAATCGAATGCTGAAGGCATCGACCAAGCCTCGCCTCGTCATGTCGTTGATGAGGATCTCGCACATGAGTTTCTGCGCACCGTACGAGCCCTCAGGGGTAGGTAGGACGGATTCCGTGATGACATCGGGCAAGGGACGACCGTAGACGGCTTGACTGGAGGAGTAAATCACTCTCAACCCCGGTTTGACGTGTCGGATGGTTTCAAGCAATAATTTTGTGCTCTCCAGGTTGACACTCATGCCCAGATCGTAATTGGCTTCGGATCCCGCAGACATGATGCCGTGGAAGATATACACTGCATCCAGATCTGGTGTGATGACACTTCGGTCTTTGAGCAGGTCGGTCTTGATGCATGTTGCATTTTGTGGGTATTTGGCGCCCTTGGGAACGGATACGTCGACGATATCTGTCAGGACGACCTTGTGGTCTGGACTGGAGAGGAGTTCTCGAGCGAGAAATTGGCCAATGAAGCCTCCAGCGCCAGTGATGAGGATCTTCATCATACAAGACACAGAATATATATATATATACGAGGTATAATGTTGCTTTATTCCTTTTCTTCACTGATTTGTTCACCTTCGATGGCCAATCCAAAGACGAGCTTTTATATCGAAATCAATATGACGCCAAAGGGATTGAGAAAAGAACAAGAGATCAAAAGGCATGCCGCGCCCCGGATTTCCTGCCGTCCACTTCTTGCGTCTTAAAGCTGCTCCGGCTTTTTGCAACAATTCTCCATTCATCTAGTCAGCCTCCACACTGGTAAGCGTGGAGAATCACAATGGCCGGGACATCGGCCAACAGCGCCGGTGGTGGAAAAAGAATCAAGAATGGTGAAGAGGCTGCCTCGGGTCATTTCTCAGCGAACAGAAACAAAGTACGTTTATGGTATATGACACCCATCATCCCCTGGTGTTTAACATGATATCTCTTCATCCTTGTCCCATTCCTCATACATTGATCGCCGCTGCGTCAGCATAACCATGAATATCATCATCTTTCATCTTCATAAGGCAGATCCAACTGGCATCTTGCCGGAATTACTTTTCTCAGGAGCCAAACCTCTGCTCCCCATTCGCGGTAAATGCAATGTCTCATCGCTGTCACTTCTTTCCCTCGTCTGGATGCTACTCGACGTCTTGATAGTGTTCCAAGGTGGCTTTTCATATCCATATATCGACCCATCATCCGAATCGCTCGGTGATTCAAGTCTTGACCCAGACGCCAATTCATCATGCATGTGTTCAAATGATCGTGGATTCATTGGCGATGGTGCCCTCAGCCTCGCCATTGTGATACTTCCTCTCGAAGAGCTATGATGGAGTGGTCTTTCAATCTGTAGACCTACATGAATGGTTTGTTGTGAAGTTTGAGAGGGTATGTTTCGTCGGCTTGGTTGCGTTGTCGGCCCCGGACAGTTGATCGCTGGCGGCATCGGCCAGTCTTCAGTCGGTGGAGTGATGGTCGAAACTGTGCGTTCATGATCCGAAAAAGGGTTCGATCGTCGCCCGGTGCTACTCACACTTGACTTGTACACCTGCATAGGAATTATTTTGCCGTCTCGGCTGGCCCTCAATTCGTAATGTCGTGTCTCCTCGTCTTCGAGGTCCCTCATAAAACCCCTTTCTCGAGATTCGGGCTCCGTTCCGTCGTATGCAACGCCGATTCTCTCCACGTCTACAATTCCTCCGTCTTTGGAAACTTCTGAGACCCATGTTCCTTTCTGGGGCCCATCTCCCGCATTCCATCGGCTGTCGCCATGTACCCTCGAGCTTCTCGCAATACTTCCCAGGGACTCGATGAAAAATCGCTGAAAGAAAGGCTTGAGGGCAGGTGCGCTGGCGGCAAAAATGGCCACGTACAATTCAACCATCCCCCATATCCATGTCTCCCACAAGATCCACGTAAAGTCGTAATTCTTATTCAGTAAAACGTCCAACAAGACGGTTCGGACGATTCCCGCAGCAACTGCTAAGAATCCGAGAGCAAACAGGGCATACAGGGCAAACTTTTGTCTCCGAGGGAGGCCCAGGTTGTAGATGAGGAGAACCGGCAACAACGTACTGTATAAATCACCCAGAACACTGAAGCCTGCTGAGGCGGGGATGGCAATTCCTTCTTCCTGACATCTGTAGGAGTGTGAAGCGGCCCACTCAGGATCAAAACTCGTCCAATACGCATAGATCGGATTACACATGAGTAGCAAAGCCAGGCCAAAGCCTAGCCAATAGAGGATATTGTAGACAATTCCAATCCAGGTCGCAATGAGGAACGCTCGGCTGAACTTAACGCTCAGTCGGCGGTAAAACAAGAGTACACTGATTTTGACGAGAGCAGCCGCAGTCACGTAGCACCACATGCTCACCCAAACATTGAGTCGATGGGGTTTGAATGCGCTGATCGGAATATCCCACACATGTCGACCACTGTAGTAGAGCTTGTTGCCAATGATCACCAAGACGGCCAAGGCCATGGCAAATAAGAGGGCGAAGACGACAAGGAAGTCATCCAGACCGGGTGCTCGGGTCATGTATAGACGGGAATATAATCGAGCAATAACGGCGACGATTCCCAAAGCGCTGAAGATGATGCAGACATATCCCAAGGCAGGACCTCTGGTTTCCGGGTTCACATAGTTCGGCATGGGCCATGAAGCAATGACCGAGGGCGGAGCTGGTTTCAACGTTATCGCCGGCATCGTTGGACCAGGACAATCCTTCACTTACGATGCAATGTGTCAACCATATTGTGTCCTCCTCGAACGGGGCATGCGCTTCAAACACTCAATTGCGACAGGCCCACTCGGGGATATTTTCTACGTTTTTCAAAACCCAATAACGGGATGTGACGAGAGCGGTCACTAAACCATTTGCCTAAGATGCCATCTCTTGACGAATCACCCTTCTGGATACAACAGGGTTGGAGGCAACCAAAGATGCAGTCTTTGTCTTCCGAATTCAGTAACAAAGTCTGCTACCGTTGAAAAGGGCTGGGACTCAAGCAATAGAAAACAATAGACTAAGAAAGAAAGGCAAAAGTAAGGAAAGAGAAGATAAGACTTTGGATGCAAGGTGCAATGGGAGGCGTTGCAATTCCTATGGGGCCTGGAAGAGTGGGTTTGGGGTCAACATATTGATGGATGTCCCACTGTGATGTGACTATCTTTACACGATAAGTAGTTAGTCAAGGCTTTCGGCCTAGGAGGAACGAAGACCCCATTGAGGGTGCTCCGAAAGTAGGATTGATCCATTTTCTTTCTCGTTCAATTGGAGTGGATCAGGGGCAGGCAAGAACAGCGAGGACTAGCATTGGAGAGGAAGGTCTGGTATCTCTTCGGCTTTTCGCTGGCGGCTTTGTTCCTGGGACCTGCATGGGATTTAGCGTAAGAGGTAGAGCGAAAGGTGTGGGAAGGGCATGAAGAAAGGTGGGGACTCCGTATGCAGATGCGGTGGATGGGATGAGGTGATATACGTGGTAGATACACAACTGTTTTCTGTGTCCTCTCGATGCCGTGCTCCACATCTTTGAAACAATTGTCATCATGGAGTTCACTCTTCTTTCCCTTTTACAGGGCGCAAGCCAGTGCTGACACTTCCCTGTATGGAAGAGGTGTGTCGCATTGCTACAAGACGTCAATCAAATACTACTACCGTTCGGCGTACCAGTAGCTTGTTTTAGGCAACATTCATGTATGCGGGTAAGCGGACCGACAGGCTAGCACTGATTAGTTAGCGGTTCAACTGCCTTGGGAGTACTCTATTTCACTCCTTCATTTTGATTCGCGCCTATGTGCATGGCTGCCAATCTCCATCCTCGGTACGGCGGCATGAAAAGGCCAATCTTCACTCCAGGATTTCTTCGTGAGACACTCAAAACACCCTAGAAGATGAGCGCTCGACCGTAAACCTCCATCGGGTCAAACCAACTTCAGTGTAAACAGTCTCTGCCGTGGAGAATCAAGATTTGGAAAAAGATCACATGTTGTGGAAATACATCTCAAGCTGAGCATTGCATACTACTCAAAAGCATACATTTGTCGGGACACATGCGCAATAAGAACCACCCCCGGTTCCCTGTATACACTTTCAACAAAGTATCTCTTTGCGCTTTTCATGCTCTGCTTCGGGCATGCTTTGGAGGAAAGCAGTCCGATAGGATGGTTGATCGATCGTTCATCTCACTTTCCCCCCGGGTTCGCCAAAATTTTTACAACTTGGCCACGGGTTGAGAGGAGCCAACAGTGGTGATTTCGTTGTAAAGCAAGCTAAGTTAAAATCGTCAGCGAGAGAACAGTCGGCAATCAAAGCACAAGGACACACCTCGTTAGGAAATCAGCATAGTCCTCCCCAGTCACTTGGCCTTCGAAATATCTGGCAGCCAGGTGATACTTGTTACCCTTGGGAGCCTTGGATGACAGTTCCTCCGCTTGTTCCCTCAACAATTTCAGGGCATATGCTTTGTCGACAGTCTGGCCTTCGGCGGTCCTAACACCATGTCTGACCCATTGCCACAACTGTGATCGTGAGACCTCGGCCGTGGCGGCGTCCTCCATGAGGTAGTTGATGGGAACACATCCGATGCCTCGAAGCCAGCCTTCCATATATCCAAGACCGATGTTGAGGTTCCTACGAATCCCGTCTTCTGTCACGGAGCCCGGCATGTTCATGTTGAGGAGATCATTCTTGGTGACATAGACGTCTTCACGTCGCTTGAACAATTGGTTAGGAGTAGGCATATACTTGTTGAAGACGTCAGAGGCGATGGACGCAAGAGCTGGATGGGCAACCCAAGTGCCGTCGTGGCCCGCTCGAACCTCACGGAGTTTGTCCTGTCGCACATTCTCCATGGCCTTGTCATTGGCCTCTGGGTTATCTTTGATGGGAATTTGGGCGGCCATACCGCCCATGGCATGGACGCCTCGGCGATGGCAGGTCTTGATGAGAAGTCGGACATATGCATCCATGAACGGAACGGTCATGGTGACGGCGGATCGATCGGGAAGGACAAAGTTGGGATTTTGGCGGAATTTCTTGATAACGGAGAAGATATAATCCCAACGACCACAGTTGAGACCGGCGGAGTGGTCGCGGAGCTCGTAAATGATCTCATCCATTTCGAAAGCAGCAGTGATGGTCTCAATGAGCACGGTTCCTCGGATGGTGCCTCGTGGCATGCCAATATAGTCTTGGGCGAGGTTGAAGACGTCGTTCCACAATCGGGCCTCGAGATGAGACTCCATCTTGGGCAGATAGAAGTATGGGCCCGTCCCTCGCTTGACGAGTTCAAAGGCATTGTGGAAGAAATAGAGACCGAAATCGAACAGAGAACCGGAGATGGGCTCGCCATCAACGGTGAAATGCTTCTCTTCCAAATGCCAGCCTCGAGGACGAGCAATCAATGTGGGGAGGATTCGGTCGGTGCGAAGCTTGTATTCCTTCTCGCCTTGCTTAAAATCGATCTGTTTGCGGATTGCGTCGAAGAGGTTCACTTGGCCCGAGACCTGGTTGTCCCATGTAGGAGCGGTGGCATCTGGGACGTCCCCAAGTCAGCAACATTCGCTTTTGGCAACAAGCTACAACGTGGTATAGGCCTTACCTTCAAAATCAGCCATGTATGTCCAAACATTGCTGTTCAAAGCATTTACCACCATCTTCCGATCCGTTGGTCCGGTAATTTCGACACGGCGGTCGATAAGACCGGGAGCAGGAGGAGCACCTTTCCAGGCGTCATTGTCTCGAATGTGCTTCGTTTCAGGGAGAAAGTCTGGCAAATTGCCCTTGTCGAGCTCCTGTTGACGAATGACACGTCTTTGGAGCAGAGCTTTGCGAGTACCATTGAAGGTTCTGTGAAGGAGAGCGAGGAATGCGGTCGCCTCGGGGGTAAGGATCTTGCGATAGGAATCCTTGACCGGACCATTGATGGCGACACCGTCGTTAATCGATTCAATGCTGGCCATTTTGCAGATGAAAATAACTGATCTGAGAGCGAGGGAGGAAGGAAAAAAGTGTTCGGGGGACTCAAGTTGGGGAGGAAGATACCGAAGGAGGAGTTGATATTATAATACGTCAAGTACGTCAGAACCGCAGAATTGCAAGCACATGTCGATGACAACCGCGGTCGCAAGGCCGGCGCACTTCTCAGGTTCGAGAGCTGTTCATCCAATGGGCGAATTGCCATGAGCCTGCCAGCGGCGTCCCACCATGGGGATGCGGATGAGATCAGCCCATTTGCTATGTGGGGAAGTCGATGTACAGAGCATCTTTGGGTTTCCCATGTTTCCGGCCGCCCTCATTAAGTCTCTTTGCATTTAATGGTCAACAAATCGTCCTCATCATCATTCTCAAGGAGGATGTGGACGGGTCCCATGTCCGAGAGCCGCCACTCAACCCAAACCTTGAAAGGAGTGTTGGAGATGAGACAGGGTGCCAGTACATCACTGCCGAGGTCCAGATTTTTTCGCCTGTGAGCCTCAACGAAATCTTCCGGGCTCCCCGAGTTGTTCCGAGACTTGAATTTTCGTTTATTCATCGAGACCGCCACCACAAAAAGGGAGCAGTGGGCATGAGGAGGAAGCAAAGCAATAGTGTGTTCAGATTGTTCGAGTCTAGCTATGCGACAGAAATCGTCCATCTTTTGAATTATGAAGCTCCTAGCAGATATGGGCAGATATGCAGCGTAGTTCTCGGTAGGGTCAAGAGCCAATACATCAAACCCCAAGTACTACGAGATATGGCCCTCGTGGAGCTGTTGACGTTCTTCAGGCTCGCAAAGACCTGCCAGAGACCTGAATTTATGAGACAAGCCCTCAACCCTCGTGCTCCAAACGCACGGGGGCTCAAGTGTCCAGATGGTGCTCCTGGGTTTTCGTAAGATTGTGAAAGGACACGGCAGAGATCCATTAGGCATGAAAGCTGAGTGTGCTTAGGTATAGCCAATTTCGCCTTGAGGGGTAACGCATAACTGCTAGCCATCCAGGACCACTTCCTGTTTAAGATCAGTCAGAGCAGAGTTTGCATTGGGGTCAAGAGCTTACCATGCTACAGAACGAGGAGGCTAGAGTCGTCTGGAGAAGCATACACCAGGACAGCTTCACAGGGTTCCACGACGGTCATGTAAATGTCAGATCAGTAGCATCTTGACCCAAGGCATCGATCCGACTTCGATTATTTTGCCAATCGATCCATGCCAACCCCTGTAGCAGGCAATCAGCTAGGTCGTCCAATTTGAATATGTCAGGACTCGCAGCCCGCTTGCCCTTAGCTGTATTTTTCCAGGTCGAAACAAACTCATCTGTGAATGGTTTCAGATTGCCGCTTATCCTGACATTGGATTTCATGTCTTGACGATCTAACATCTTGCCAACCAAGTCAATTTTAACTTTTTTCACCTCTCTACCGGTCAACCTTTTCTTGGATGGGGACACTGATACGTTGCCGCCTTCGAGCCAGTACCTGTTCACACGAGTCGGCTGCACGGGTTCCGCATTCAGTTGAATTACTCCCTCTTCAGTCAGAGCCCGAAGTACGGAATACAGCATGCCTTCAAATACACCCACTCTGATTGTCCATTCTAGCACTGCTGCTTGGCCTCCAGAACGAAATCTTTGCCTCTCGATGACGACTTGGTTGGGTTTGTAGGCTTGAAGCATGTATTTCATCAAGCGATAGGCATGCGCAGCGTAGTCGAGTGGCTCAAATGACTCTTTTCCGTTGGGGACAATGTTACGAGCTGCCGCCTCCTCTCCATTTTGTCCTGAACCGTAAGAGAGCTCGGAAGACGAGGGGCTAGCAGCATCGTTGGAAAGCTCTGAGGCTGCCATTCGACGCCAAGCCTGGAGCGTCGGTTTGTCGTATTGTAAGTGCCTGGTTGAGTCCGCCGATCGCATGACTGGGGCTGTCAGATGGGCAAAAGCAAGGTTCTTGATGCCCATATCGATGCTGAGGAGGCTCAGACCGCCTCCCTCCCTGCCGCTGTTTGATGCGCGAGACACTGCGTCTCGGATTCCCTCTATACGTACGGCTTTCGTGCCGGAACAAGGTGACCCGATTGAGACTGCAAGTCGGTGTAATTTATCGAGAGTGAGTTCCTCCAGCCACGACAGTGGAACCTTCATCCCCTCGATCTCCTGTTCAAGAGTTACGTTTTCATTCTCTCTGAGGCTCTACCCAACTGATGTCTCGTGGGCGAAAGGCAACCAAGGCGGAAACGCGACTAAACCACGTCGTGAAAGCGAGGTCACATGATGCCCCTGATTTGTGGATTTCTGCAAACTCTGGCCTACGCTAACGTCGTCTTTAGCCACCCGCTCGGCCATCTTCCTCCAGAACAGAGGTAAGCCCACTTCCTGGATGCTCTCTGCGCTCGTATTACCTCTCATCGTGGCTTCAGACGCTCTGCCAGAGAGGCTCAGCAGTCTCAACGGCGCCTGTCAGTGCAAGAGGGGGACTCAATTAAGTGGTGTATTACCACCATGACATCCTGGGGCTCGCCAGCCAGTATCAGATACTTCAAATCTCCCCCTCTAGGCCTTCTCCAAGCTAAGGAGATTGTGAGCCACTCGGACAACACTGGTACAAAATTTTCCAGCCAGACACCTAGATTTGAAGACGGCATGGTCGAGGACTCTTGATGAATCACGAAAGGACGCTGCCGACTACGCCACCCTATGGGATCGGTTCAAACTATACCAATATGGACGAGAAAGGCTTTATGAAAGGCATTGGGGATGATGCTAAGGTGCATGTTCCAGTTACAGAAGAGGAGGCTTACTCGATACAACCAGGTAACAGAGAAGAGGTCTCTGTCATTGAGTGCATTGGTACAAATGGCTACCTCCTTTCTGCCTTCGTCATATTTTCAAGGACAACGCATTCAGGAGTCCTGGGTGGACGTTCATATGGACAAGCAAACCATTTTTTGTGTCTCCAGTAACTGCTGGACAGACCAAAGTAATGCTCTTGACTGGTTGAAGCACTTTAACCAATACGCTAAGTCTCGAACACGAGGAAAATATCGCCTTCTCATTCTAGATGGACACACCAGCCACATCTCCTTACCATTCATTCAATACTGTGAGCAACACAGTATTATCCCTTTCTGTCTACCACCTCATTCTACTCATATTCTGCAGCCTCTGGATATCGGAGTCTTCTCTCCTCTTGCTAAGGCATACAAGAGACGTATTCAGCAGCATAGTGTCTTCGGTACTGAAAAGATCACTAATGAGCAGTTCCTTACATTCTTCCAGCTTGCCAACAGGAGGCTATTTCACTTAGGAACATTGCGAGCGCTTGGAGAGCAGCTGGTTTGAATCCATTCAATCCCTCTCCTTTTACAGACCGAAGACTTCACCATTTGCGGGCTTCACCAATGATGATGGAATGCGTGTGGATATCCAGGTGAAGCCAGATGAAGCCCAGAAGATCCATGAGTTTGTACCTCAGCTGTTGAGGGTGTGTCCAACGTCGCACCAGTCTAAGGTTCACTTCATTCGGTAGAGTTGGTCTGTAGACTGGGCCCGATGGGCTCGTCTCCCGGGTAGAGTTGGTCCGTAGACTGGATCCGATGAACTGCGCCCTATCCATTGACTAACCCGAGCGGGTGCCTAATACGTTACCTAAGGCGGCCATCCCCGCAGGTAGCTTTTTGTTAGCTCATACATTAATAAATTATCAAATGGCAACAAGACAGAGAGCTATGACAACACCGAATTCAGAAAACTCCCTGTTCCCGAACCAAATATGTGATCTCCATGATGGGTCCAAGTGAATCGGCCCTTCAAATACTCTGATAACTTCCCAGTCCGTACCAAAAGAAACGGGGTATCTTCGTGGGGTATCTTCATGTTTTACACGTTCATTGAAATCCCAGTGTTTTCCCGACCGCCAGAAAATCTAATACTATCAGTTTCAGCGCCGTGTTCATGCTCAAACGTCGTGTCATGTTCAACTGCATGCTCCGAATATACTAAGTCCGCCCAGACCATCCAATGAATCACCGCAATATGCGCCAATCTTCTCGCCATATCATCCAAATCTGGCGTATTTCGCCATGGTTGTCTTTGTTGCCGAAGCTGGTACCATTGCTTTTGCGCTTCAGAAATTGCCAATGTTGACATGCCTTGAAATGTACTGGCATACTCGTGTGCTGCTTGCTCAAGCTCACTGGCTAGTGCCCTTGCCCGACTGCCATGGTGTCTCTCCGATTCAAATTCGCTCATCAGGTGCAGTGTTGTTTTGGCAACCTCTGCATCGGGAAGAGAAAACTCGGCCCGTTTATACACGTGATACGCAGCCCGGGTAAGCTCGAGGGCGATTGCACTTCCGTGTTGGAGCCAGATGTCGGGTACTGTGAGATTGGGTCCTGTATTTCCATCTGTAAGGTCCATAATCCTGCTCTGCAAAATAAGTTTCATTTCTATTATCCTAGTCTGCAGGGTTGAGTGCATGGCAGACGAATGGCGTTCTGGACCGAGGAGATGTCGAATCAGCTGGTCAAAAATTGATAAGCAGATGTTGAGATGCAGGATGTCTTGGAGCTCGTCGCGCATCGTCCGCAGCCGTGTCTTGTCGTGGTGCAGAGTAGCTGGGACGTCGAGGTTTGCTGACAGGCAGTAATCAATGAGCCCATGGATCAAGGATCCTAGGGACGCGGTCTTGCGAGTTTCACCGCTTCTCTGACAGTCTCGGTGCTTTGCAACGGCACTAGCGTACCATTGCCGACAGGGTTTCACATCGAGCTTCCCATTATTGATGCGAGTGCGAAAATAATCTTTTTGAAACGCGACGGTATCATCGATCAGCTGATACCGTAAGCTTCGAATCTGATGATTGGCGACATCAAGTTTCATAGCTTCTAAGAAAGCAAAGAGCTTTTCGACACCTGCGACCAGGGCATGGAGATCTCCTGTTTCAGTTCCGACTCGCACTTGCTCAGCCATCTCTTGAGCAGATTCGTCCCTCATGGGTGCACAGTGGCTTGTGAGAAGTTCACAGAGCCAACGGGCAAGTCGAACCACATCCAAGAGGCCGTGAGATGCCTCCTGCAGGAGCAACGAGACATCAAGGTACTGAGCAATCTGGTCTTGGTCTCGATCAGGTACCAAGATGATGAGCAGTTCCTTGAGTTTGAAAACCATTTGAGGCAGTCTGGGACCAAAAAATAACGGCCTAATCGAGTGAGGAGAAAGGGCAGAAGAGATTTCTTCGCATTCCGCACATGACACCAAGACAGCGTGTCGGTACCTTATTCGCAACTCCGCCTCAAGACTCAACCAATATTTTCTTGCTTCTTGTCTCTTCTGGTCCCCCTTCCGACCGGAGACCGGCATGAAATGCAGATCGTGGTCATAATTAATGTCGACTCTGAGGTTGATGTTGGATTGGATCCACATAAGATCCAACTCCTCCAACGATTCTTTGGTAACGGGAGGAAGAGCTGTGGCCGTGAGAAGTGCATCGACATCTTCCTTGCTTGTACAAGGAGGTATCGCCATCTTCCCACTGAGACTTTCTTGCCAACCTTGCACGCCCCCGTAGGATATCGATGGCGACGGTGTGGTCGGCGGGTCCAGTCCATCTCCCTGTGATGTTTCTTGAGCATCTTGATAGCAGGACTGACCCGACGGTGATTCTCGTCGGCGAACATAACTGTGAGACTCCTCGGATTGACTGTCCACTTGGGGGGGGACATCGCGCGTAGAGTACGTCGACGGTTCCATGGTCGACGGAGTGGACGACAACAAAGGCTCAGGAGACTCATCAAGAGATGTGGCTGCAGCTGGCTCACCAGTGCCTGATATAGAAATTCGTCTAACTCTTCCTGGGTCACTGGCAGTAGATTCCTGATCCCTGCCCATGCCGCAGTCGCTGTCTTCTGCGTCGCATTCTTCTGGATCCCTCATGTAATTCTCTTGTACAAAGAACTCATTTCAATGGTCGCATCATTTTCAAGTTTGACTTTTTTCAAGAGGGTCTGGAAAGGATTCCACAATTGATGAGATCTGCCACTGTACACGCAGGCAAGCGGGTTTGCTTGGTTTTTTTTTTTTTTTTTTTTTTTCCCCTGATTTATTTTCCCTTTCTCCTTTACGTCTCAAGAGGCGAAAAGTCCCCAGTAGGAGGCGGGTTGTACAACAGTCGGGTAAATGAAAATAAAAAACAAGTCGGACAGTAAGCGTGGTCAGATCGGAACGAACGGACAGTGGGTTTGTCAGTCCAACCACATTAATGCACGACCAGGAGCCGGAGAGCGAATGAATCTGGTTCTCGACGTGGGGGAGGCGAAAGGCCCGCAGAATGGCGAGATGTGTTGAGAGGATCAGGAGGTCGGTGGTATGAAAGAGAAGGAAGGGAGCAAAGAGCCCTCTCCTCTGCAATCAGTGGACAAACCACGGACCACAGGGACTTGAGACTTTGACAGACAGCCCTGTCACGTCGTGAAGCGCGTGTTGAGTTACTCTGTTGAAAGATGCGTATGGAGCACAGAAAAATGGCTAGGGAGCCTCATTTTGTGAGAAGTCGGGGCAGGGATCAGCATTGGGAATTGAAGACTCATACCTGGCAATTGTACTGAAGACGCTTCTCTTACTCAGATAGACCGCGTCACCGTCATTCTCCTCGGTCATCCACTGCGTCCCCTTCCAGGGGCACTTATTGACCGTAGAATGGAACGCCGGGAAATTAAAACTTGCGCCTCCATTCCCAACTGGCCGCTTCGTCCGCCGTGCCGCGTGCCAGCCAATGCGTTTAAACAGAATCATCACTTATTTGGATGTCAACCGGGGCTCCCAACGAGCCGTCACTGTCGGATAGCAATGCTCAACAGACGTCTTTCCCACAGCTTGGTCACCTTTATCGCAGCCTTGGGCGTTGAGTGGATCCGTCTGCTGCAGGCTGCGCCGTGCCTCTCAATTGGTGCTCGGACAAGCGTACAGGTGGTGCTATCCTAGTTGATCCCTAACTTGGCGCCAATAGCAGTCCAAGCATGGAGCACTTTTTGAGCAGGCTATTGTATTTGCTGCCCCAGTAGGCCACAAATCAATACAATGCCGGAACGCTTCAAGCGCCGATCGATTTCTCCTGCGAGCTTCTGGAAGAAACCCCCGTATCCCACCAATCAGACCATCCTTTACCGCCTCCCTAATAAGTCACACGGTTGGAATGGGAAAAAAAATGAGACGAATGCTTATTAAAACGGAGCTCCGATGAAGAGAAAAGATCTTCGTTCTCAACTTCAGTCTCATCTTCGTCGCAGTCGGAGGGACAAGGGTCGACCCTGAGACAAAATACATCGTACGAACGCGGATTTTCGGGCCAATTAGGGGTATCTCAAACATCCGTCGGATGCACTCCGCCGTTTGCATGTCAACAAAGTCGGTCAGGAAGTTGGCACCGCTATAAAAAAAAAAAAATAAATCTGTCGGTGAGACAGAAGCAGAGCATTGGCGAATCTCATGCCAACCGGAAAAAAATGTACGGAGTCCCGAGCAAGGGCACGTTTCCGAAATGGCTTGGATACTGCTTTCACTTGAACAATGTAACCACATTCCCAAGTTGACCACTGGTGTCCAAGGGCGGTCAAAACTATCGAAGCGGCGCAAACAGAAGAAATCACTGCCGGATGCTATTGATAGAGGGATCCGAAAGAAACTTGGGGTGTGGCTTCGGTGACATTGCTTATTCAACCTTTCGTTCTTGTCGGCAATCTTGACATTTTCTTCCTAGGTCATTCGGCCGATATACCTACTTATGGCGGCTCACAAATTGTTTCTTTCTCCCTTACGTGAACTAATGACACCGAAAGCACGGTAATTTGATTCTGTTCCCTTATCAGTGGCAAGAGGGCACGCCGTAACTATGCTTCAGGGAGAACCGACCTAAGGGGCTAACAGCCTCACTCTATCGAGCAATGAATGGATGACTTTGGTATGGGAACTACCTTAGCGACAAGATTCAACCAATATCCTTGATAACCCACCAACATGGCACTGCAAACGTCGCCGCCAATTCTGTTGAACTCAACGGGTATTCTGGAGCACTAATATTGGGCAGATTCCGTCACGCTGCAACCAGACAGTCCTCACTCATCCTGGATCTTAACTACCACTTTGCGAGATCCCCCAGCTCCAGATCGCTGGTGATGGTACGCTTTGAGAGCATCTTCGAATCCGCCTTCGCCAATCACTTCGTACTCCGCTGGGAGCAATTTTCCTTCCTTGATCAATCCCACAATCACTGGAATGTACTTTCCCATCAATTCGTTGAATTCTTTTGCTTCGGGTCTACCGATGCCGCCTAGTCGGACTAAATAGGACTTGCCTCCTTCGAAATCGGTGATGCCAGTCCAGTCATTGGTAGTCGAAAAGAATTTAGCCGTGCTTTGGCTCGCCTTGAACAACTCTTTGGGCAGGATTGGATCGTCTGCCGCGACAGCATCAAAGACCCTGGAAACCTGGCCCGACGTGATGTCCATAACGTCTTTGACTTGTTCCTCAAGCGGTTTCTTGTAGTCAAAAGGAACCGCATCGAAATCCTTGACTATAGAGGCCGACTTGGTAGAGCATGAAGCGGCCACCTTGTAACCGCACGCCTTAGCAAGCTGGATGGCGCATTTGCCGACGCTGCTTGCGCCTCCCAAGACAATCACCCATTCATCCCGAGGCCCGGGGAGATTTTGGGGGTCGGGCAATGGAATATTGAGGCCTGCAAACACCCCCAGACAAGCGGTCTCGCTCGCCACACCCAAGGTTACAGCTTCAATAAGAGAAATATTCTTTGGCTTGGGCATGGTGACGCAGGCGTCCATCAAGAAGTACTCTTGACCAGCAGAATATCCTTTCGAGCCTAGCCTAGTGCAGCCGAAGACCTCGTCGCCTGGTTTGAACCCATATTTGGACGCTGCCTCTTCTCCAGCTTCGACCACGATACCGCCTGCATCGACAGCAAGGACGAGGGGCCAGTCGACCACGAGTAAGCCATAAGCCGCCATGAAAGTGTCGCTGTGGCCTTGTCAGCTAGGAAAAGATTCTCCTTCGCACAGTGCGAATGCAGGTAGGGTGAACGGCTGGACCCGGAGAAGCGTCGTTTATGCATGATACAAAGCACGGTGATGTCTCCTGTTTGGTAGTTCTTACTTACACGGGATTGATAGCAGTCCACACAGATTTCACGAGCAGCTGATCTGGACCTGGAGATGGCTTTTCAAGGTCATCGACGACCTTCGGTTCCGCCCCAACATTGGCAAAGATAACACCTTTCATGGTTGGATTTTCGAGACAAAATGGTTGAGAGCGGAAAAGGGGTCACGAAAATAGAGAGCCTTGTGGAATTATGACATCCAACAACCCTTTGAACAGACTCTTTATAACACTACAATTGGCAGGCAGATGAGAAATCTCCTGGTAGGCAGCAAAACCGTGTTACGCACAGGGCTTTGCTGTCGAATCAACGACACTCTACCAAGACAAGAAATCAACGTTCTGCGACAACACGTGGCTTTTGTCTGCATCTGCATCGAGATATCTCCCAGAAATTATTGACAGCTGATTCGCCTGTCATGAAAGACTTTCTGCTGCGAGGGCACCCAAAGTGGAATGATTGAGGGGTCTAAGCCTGGGCACACCGGAACATATTCAAGGTGTGTACAAGCCAAGGAGTTGGAATTGAGAAATGATTTGGAACCAGAAAGCTTACATAAGGAAAATATGCCGCTATCGAGGTACTTTGGTGGGCTTCATGTCAAGTCCGAATACGAAGAGCCTAAGGAGGAGATCCGTTGTTGGTTTGGTCTGAACAAGTCAGCATGGTTGTTTACCATTTGTATCATTTAGGAGAATAGCATTGATGATTGAGATGCAGAAGACACTCCCTGGTCAAGGTTGATTGACAGGAGCGTAAAGCTGACAAAGGTTTACCTTCTGAGAAAGCCTTCGTGTCAAGATGGGCTCGAGGAGGAGTCAAAGGGCCATAGTCGAGTGGCTCCGATTAGATGCACCGAAGTCGATCTCACCGTGTTTGCGCGAGGTCTCTGAGGTATACAATGGGCATTCTTAAAGTCCCAGTCAAAATTCAGAGTGGGACTGAAGATGAAAAAGACGTGTTTGGATGTACTGACCCCCTTCGTCCAGCGCTACCGGGTGGAGGACAAGAGCGCAAGAACGGATGCCGCTCCGCCCGATAAGAATAACTTAGTCAGCCATTCGGCGAACTGGCGATTCAGCAATCCGCCCGAACTCCGTAACTTCAAGTTGCTCTGCTCAACAATTCAGCTTCTTCACGCTTCCTAGTACTCTTATTTTCCCTTGCAGCTCCTCGGCCTTTCTTTATCTTCTTCTATCACCTTCGCATCTTGAAGTCACGCCATCTACATCATGGCTGCCCGGCAGTCAGTGCGGCTGCTCGCACGCCAAATCACCTCTCAATGCTCACAACCTCCACCTCTCGCTCGACGAACATTCTCCTCAATCTCCCCCTGCCTCTCTGCGCATAATTTTGCGATGCCTGCCATGTCACCCACCATGACCGAAGGAAATATTTCAAGTTGGAGAGTCAAAGAGGGCGATTCTTTCTCGGCCGGAGACGTTCTACTAGAAATCGAGACCGACAAGGCTACCATGGACGTCGAAGCTCAAGATGATGGTGTTATGGTCAAGATCTTTGCTGAAAATGGCACAAAATCTGTCAAAGTTGGCGCAAGGATAGCTGTGTTCGGTGACCCTGGCGATGATGTGTCGAGTTTAGAAATTCCCCCCGACGACTCTAAACCAGTACAACCTGAGCCAAAGGCAGAATCCACTCCACCGAAGGAGACAAAGACCACCCCGGAAACCAAGAAACCAGCAAAAGATCAACCAAAAATTACTCCTACCGGACCAGGCCAAAACCCGAAATACCCTCTTTACCCCTCTGTCATTGCCCTCATCCATGAGAACCATATCCCGGATCAAGACGTCGCCAAAATCACCGCCACTGGTCCGAATGGTCGACTCTTGAAGGGCGACGTGCTGGCATATCTGGGCGCCATTAAATCCGACTACTCAGCCCAACAATCTAAACGAATCGAACACATGGCTCACCTAGACCTAAGCAATGTCAAGGTCATGCCAACAGCACCCAAACCGACAGCTGCTCCTACGGCTGCTCCTCCAGCGGAAGTCCCTATTCCAAAACTCAGCAGCATCAGCTTGACCGTCTCCTTAGCCGAAGTACTCAAAGTACAGAAACGAATCGAAGACACACTAGGCGTGACAGTACCACTGTCCACCTTCCTTGCCCGTGCTGTCGACCTAGCCAACGACGATCTTCCCAAACCCGAGGATACCAAACCCTCAGCCGACGACCTCTTCAATGCCGTACTCGGATTGAACTCCATTCCCACGACCTCAAGGGGCACCTATCTCCCTCAAATTGATGCGTTGCCCCACCCAACGCCTAGAAAAGCCCTCTCGCGATCCAAACCATCCATATCAAGGAAGCCGGACATCATCGACATTTTATCCGGGAAAGCTATTCCTAAACGCTCTTCCTCTTCCTCGTCGCGGGTAGCAGGACGCAACTTGACTACGGCAGACGGCGCTATAAACGTCTTCAGCCTGACAGTCCCAGCAGGTGAGGAACAACGCGCTCGCACCTTTCTCGAGCGCGTCAAGACCGTATTGCAAGTTGAACCTGGAAAATTAATCCTCTAGATTGGGGAAGAACCACGTTCCAAGCGTCGGCGCTGCGGTTGATAGTACTGGCACGCATGTATTAATGGAATGATCCTAGGAGCGGGGGAGGCGGAAAGAAAAGCAGGTGCATGAGATATCTTATGTGTGGTGCGCCTTTTATCAAAAGTCTTCTGCTTCGATATTTCCACATTCTCGAATGACACATCCCGTGTACAAAGAAACCACGTCGAGCGCTCGGAGCATGCAGTGGGAATCTTGGGAGGATTCATTTAGGTTTGCTTCACAATTTGCAAGCGTGTACAGAAATATATCTCACCCTTCTAATTGACACCCAGACATATTTCTCCCGAGCCCCTCCTGACTTCTCATCCATCCCGGAAAACCCTTCCTTGAAACATCTGCGTTCTCCCTCTAACGAGCGATTTAATACACAGCGCAATGCCCTGCAAAACCCAGTCCCGACTCTGACTTTGATTCCCAATCAGTTGATGCTCAGCAATCTGAAGCCTCTCCGTGGCGATTCCATGCCGGAATCATACCCGGACAAAGGTACACGTCCCATCCCATTTGCTTCGAATCTTTGATTACATTGTTTCGCTAAGCTAAATGCACTACGTCCAACAAGAGCAGGGGTTCTCAGAGGCAAGAGAGTTCAAACTTCGAAGACGATTGGGGCCCACACATGCAAGTGAACGAACGGTGTTACAGCATCGACGAAGCATCGACGCATTTGAGAAGCACTGTCTGAACTTCCACCGAGACCCTTCTCAGTGCCGTGTGCCGATGGTCTTGGGGCCGTCGACATGGGCTATAAAGGTTGCTTCCCAGCCTGTCTTGTTCTTTGCTCTTTTACGGAAGTATCGAGTTTCATATCGATACTTCGATTGAGTGACAAAGGTATTCTGTTGCAAGAGGTTCGGTATTCTAAGCAAGTCATTACCTAGTAACAGACTAGTCTCAACGTCTAATATCTGCCTCTACATCGACAAGAAGAAAAGCCATCTATCACCTATCCCTTTTGAGTCCTTGACCGACCGACGGAGACACAAAGACACCTTACTCGAGCAACATGCAGCATACAGAAAAGATGAAGCTCCGAGGCAACGAACCCGCCACGGAACAAACAGTCCCAGTCCTAGATCATGCTGAGACCGCAACCATTGAGCATGTGAACATCACAAGCGTTCAAGGACCACGAACTCGAACTCGAGCTCGAACATGATCCTGAACAATTCGTCATTAGCACCGGCAAAAGCCGCTTGAAGCACAAAAATCGGCCCCCACGTCCTCAGCATGATTTGTATCCTCTACATCACCTGTCATCGACCGCATCAACATGGGCAACGCCAAAGTGCTCAGCATGCGGACCGACCTGTTCACCGACACTGGTTCTCGCTTCAACGTGACTGTCAGGGTGGGGGCGTACTACAGAACGAGAGTGGAGATTCGACAATAACATTACTATCCAGTGCACTAAGACGAGAGACAAAGAACATGAAAACAGTGCGAGGCTATCCTAGATACTTATAGCCTTGTGGTGTAGTCATGCCGCAAGGCTCCCACGCAGGCACACAAGGCTACCGACAGCCACAGTGGGTCCGTGGCAGGCACCCCGCAGGCTCCGATGAGCCTGCCAGGTTGTGCCGTAACAGTGACTCTCGTCTATTTTCCCGCATACCTCGCGGCCATGAGGGTGTCGGCAAACCTCGTCGCAGTTCCAACGCACTCGTTGAACACTGTCACTACCGATGGTGGGGCGCCTTTTGGCATCGGTATTGCTCATGAATCTCGAAGGGCTTCTCGTGGTTGCGGCGGTGGCGGATGTGGGGATGTAATGCCAGGGCTAATCGAACAGTAGAGATTCCTGGAGGAATTGAATGAGGCGTTCATGCGTGGTTGGTCTCGAGTGTTGAATCTCCCTATCTACGCTGTGCGATTTTTCGGTTTGAAAAGATACAAAATTCTGCATAAAAGCCGACCCGAATCCAGGTTGCCAAAACTGATTTGCTCGACTTCGACTCGCTGATGAGAAATTCAACACTCTCATGGATGAAATGAATCTCCAGGGAGAAGAGGGTTGTAAGAATTCAACTGACTTGACATGGATGCCAATTCCAGACTCGCATCTTGAGACAGCGGGAAATCCGAGCGGTATTCTTTGTAAAGCCTTTCGGCTTCTAGTCTTGTCTCAAGGTCGGCGGTTCCGGCCCAGGCCAATACAAGACACAGACCCATGTAGCAAGAACCTAAGGGACGAAAAATGGTGGCATCTTCTGCTAGAGATACAATTTCCTTGATCAAACAGTCCGATTCTGATTCGAGGTTGACGTCATGCTCAAGGCTCAAAGAACGGAGGATGCCGTTGAGGATAGTTTGGACCAGCAGCGCTAGACCATACATGCGTTGATGCCCCCCATACAGTCTCATAACTGGAGACGAAAACATATCTTGGACAGGACTGGATTGCAAATCCCGAAACTTCTGAGCTGATTCCAGGTAATTGGCTTGTGCGACTCTCAAAGGTGCCTTGAGAGGATCATAAAGGATCTTTGTTTCCCTGCACAAGTTCCGGAGTTCATCTTCTTGTTGATCTCTCAAGGCAATTCTGCCGCGTTCCAGGATGGGAGGGACTCGAGCAAGGCTATTCATCATGTTGCCTGCACCTGTCCTTTGGTCCAGTTCGTTTTGCACAAGAGTTTCCCAGTCTTCGCGCGTGAAATGGATTCTATTATTGAAAAGCCCTTCGAAAAGCTAGGTGACCATTTGTCAGCTCTGGGCATGTTATTCGGAATGGGGGCCGATTGTTACCACAGGGCCTCGAAGGGTCAGGAGCAGTACGGATTCAAATTGGTCTTCTGGGTTGTACGGTCGGGTTCCTCTTGCTTTCAGAATCTTGGCCGCGCCTTCGCAGTGACCGGTGTAACGGGTTCCTTCCAGGCCAATAAACATCTATAAACATGTAAGAAGGGAACTTTTTTTGGATGGTCAAAGTCAGGTTTCACCCACCTGACACATCAAAAGAATCATTACCGCACACAATGTATTCGCAGAGCAAGCCTCGACGGGATCGTCTAAGCATTTTCTGAGGGCGTTAAGTGCTTGGGAGTATTTTGCAAGAGCTTGAGGAATAACATCACCCCCAGCGATAATGAGTCTTTGGTGTGCGGTGATGAGACAACTAGCAGCGGCATCGAGAGCTTCGTTTGAGCCCAAGCGTTTGGGAACCTGTAATAGAAAACCTCCATAGGCCCATATTAGGTTATATTTCAGGTTTGTCGCGGGCTGGACTCTCTCGGCGAACCCGCTGACCAGGATTGTCAGCGCGTTACTCGGAGGAGAAGAGACTCTTCCCACACTCGAGCGCCCTTCTGCGTCCGAATGCGTCGAGCTGGATCGCTCAATCTTAGCAGCCTGAAATCTGTGGGATTGGTCTTTGAATTGGAACCTCCGTTGGCCGGATCCCACACAGGGTATCCCAAGACGACTACATCGCGAACAAGGTGTCGTTTCGTCGCACTTTGATTGAGTCAGCCGCGTGATCCCTCTATTGCAGTCTTTATGCCAACCTTCTTCTTCTGTTGGCGACAGGCTTCACAGGCTCTTCCGGATGGAACTCCTGGCATGGTGTGAGTATGTCCCACTCCTGAAGTTGCTTGGAGGTCAACGTCTTCGGTTCAATCCCAGAAGGATAAACACCACATACCTCTGTATTTCGAGTAGATATTCTACGGTCGGTCGCCTGAAGAGACGAAACCAAGGAGTTGAACGCGGCTGAGGAACAGCCAAGAAGGAAAAGCGACGGGAAATGGCAGAGGCCATAGGTCAGAATCGCCCCCACTTTGGGAAGACGCGATGCCGCCAAGCATTAAAGGCCGGTAATTAGAAAAAGGGGGCCGTGAAAATGTATCCATCCGGATGAGAGGAAGGAAAGAGAAACATGGATGGGCAAGGGAAGAGTAAAGCAAAGGTAAGAAAGGTCAAAGATGAAGGAAGGGGATAGAGAGAATCTGATAAAACTGTTTCATGTCAGGGGGATATTTAGAATGCCAGCATGGTCAGCTCAACTTTCCGGCTCTTCCCGTCCACACTTCCTTCTTTCATTCCGAAGGAGCAAATTTTCAAATTTCAGGGCTCATTTAGCTCTGTCATGCCTTTCCTGTACTTGTTGAGTTCGTTGAGTTCCCTATGCCCAGATACCCGGCCAGACCTGCCTGTTCCAAAACCTGAATAACGTCCAGCTGGATAGTCATATTATGCAGTTGCAGCGCGTGCTCATAATAAGGAAGATCTTTGTCGTGGAAAACCACGCGATTCACCATGACGTCGATTGGAAATATTCCAGACTTATAGTCTGTGAAGAGCAGCTCCACGACAGCGGTTTGGTTGGTCACGGCGCGGAGGGGAACGGTGTTGTTCCCTGGTGGGAGGACTACATCCTGGAGCGTCGAGTTCCCAATGGAGAACCCCCCAACGAACATGGACATGGTGAGATTGCCCAGGGAATAGGTGGTGACGGTGGGGTTGGGGATGACAACGGTGCCGTGGGCGTTGCTGCCGTCAGGTTGAGCGGTTGTGATGAGGGCAAATTCAGTCACATTGAAGCCTTTGAGCCCGTTTAATCCTGCAGGTTCGTTAGCCTTGGACGACGGAAGGATGGTCCATGGAAAAGAAAAACACACCTTTCATCATGATTTTCTTGTTGTAGTCTACCGTGGTCTTGGGCAGCTTTCCGTACTTCAGGCCTCCCTTGCCCTTCAGGTAGATACTGTATTCTTCGCTGAGGAGAGTTGTCTCGGCGTATTTGAAGAATTCATTGTTATGCTCAATTTGAACTCCCTGGCTGATGTGAATTTGAGAGCCGTTGGCGGCTTTGATTGCCGGTACTGAGATCTGGACGAAGGGAGTGGTGGAATCCTCCAGACACAAATCTGCTTCGAAGGCGTCGAGCTTCGCCTGTAAGCTGGAGTTGGACAAGAAGAGGCTGTCAAGTTCCAAGTCCAATGAGTTTGGAGCAGGATTCAACAGGGACATTGAGGTCACTTCAAGAGCCGATTTGTCGATTGCTGATTGCGCAGCGTGAGGATAGGCAACGTAGACCCTTGTATGTTGTCAGGCATTTGAACCGCACGCTGAGCCAGGCGTCGGGGGGTGGAAATAGGAATCTTACACGGGCAACACAACGACCAAAACAACAATGATGAATACTATAGTGTATATCCACCAAAATCGTGCGCAATGTCTCTTGAACTTGGGTCTGAACCCGGGTTTCGCAGTAGGAGCACCTTCGTACTCAGCGTGTGTCGGATTCGCTTTTTCTGAATCTGCCGCCATGATTGAAAATCAATCGAGAAAAAGAACGTGCGGGTGGAATTTTGATGTCGAGACATGTTGAAACGAGTGACCAATATCAGAGAAACAACCCCACGGATGTTATTCGAGACAGGGGGCGTTTTCCATCGGCGCTGTTACCTCTTCCTGAAAGTTGAGTCTTCTATGAATAATGACAGAGGAAAATCACACACAGGCACACAGCAAGGTCCAGCATTACACGAAACAAGCCGTCCACCAACCAATACAAGGAATGATTGTTCTTTCACATGCCAATTGCCAGCCACCTTTGATATTACCGAGGAGTCGAACCAACACTTGGTTATCCTGGACGCCAACTTCGAGAGGATCAGCACCTTTGCTGATCGGGGGGATTACCATCTGGAGGTGGTGGGATGTGACTGTAATGTAGTGGGTAGCAATCAAATAGGAAAGGTTTTCGGGTACGGCAAGGCTAACCCAACTCGTTATAATTGTCCTAGATCGGCAAGCGAATCGGAGCAAGCCTGAAAGCTGCTCAAACTTTGGCGGATGAGCCTCGTCCGCTAACCCGGGGAAACCCTTCTAGCGGCATACAGTTCACGTTGAAGCATGAATGCCGCCGACTTGAAGTGTGAACATAATACAGCCCATTCAACGGCCAAATGGTCTATTCGCATAGGGACCCGTCGAGATGCGAGGTACGGACCGAGAGATCTATTTACCAATTGTTGGCACGATTCGAGATTAGATACCATTCTTTATTGGACCGGAACAATATTACCTAGATAGTGTTGGGCGCACGCTGGGGTAAAATACTATCTACCAAGTAGGATGACCCTCCGACCTGCCTCCCATGTAACATTCCGAGGTCCATTTGCTTGATCGCTGTGTCTTTGAAGAACCCCAAGCTTTTCTTCTCGCTAACGACTCTCCACTTGGCCAACACCCTGGACCGCAGTACGTATTAGGTAGTATGTCTTGCATTTGAGTTTTTTTGGTTCTTGTGCTGTACTGTCTAGATAGCACATTGCCTGCTCTGCTCCACACCGGAGATCCCATGATTGGAGCATTATTCGCAGGCATTTTCATTTGCGTACAGTGTCAAAGGTAACGAGTGCTTGGAGAGCTTGGGCTGGTCCCGTTGAAAAATCTTTACACCAGAACAAGTGGCGACGTGAAGCTCCTTCTGGCTACATCCCCTGACGCCCCTGGTAGGGAGTGACCTTTCCCACGGGGTCCCGCAAGTCACGCGCCAGCCTGGGTCTCTCAAGCCTTCCGGGGTGGACCAGGGGCCCGAGGATGTCAGTACCAAGACTCTCGCCATCTCAAGTTCTTCCGACGACTGGCGCACATCACCCCATATTCCAGCGTCCATGTGGCCAGCATGAGATGCTCATCTAGGGAAACTCCAGTACGGTTTCAATTCTTGCCGAGTGTCCCATTATTCGTACCGATACACGACATGCACTCCTCCGTCTGATTGATCACTAGTAGGATGGTCAGATCGTCGAGAATTCTTCCCGTCATATTGCAAAGAAAGCTCCCACAGTTGCCATCCTCGGACAAATTCGGAGGATGCAGGCTAGCTAGACGAGGACCAAAGCTATTGCCATTAACTAGCTCAGCATCGCTGTCAACCTTGTTCATGCTGAGAAAACCCCATGTTGATGATGGGATTTTGTGGGAAGGTGTTGTCCTCCAGCAGGGATATTATGCCATTTATCTCGCACAAGATCGGCAAAGGCCAGGCCATGAAAACCCCCCTGTACGAGCGTCCCCCCCGTCTCTAATTTCACGCTCGGCGAAAGTCAACTGGGGGGGTAATCCGGTTGTTTGAAATCGAAAAGATGCCAACTGCTCCCTCAGCTACGGACTTCTTCACCCGGACCGAGGGTCGAGAATCTTGAAGAGAAGCTTTTCATGCACTATCGAGTCTTGAGACTTGTCACAAGAAGCCCCATACCTAGGTCCGCTACATGGGGTCTGTCTTCTATCTGCATGACTCGATGGTATGTGCAATCCATTCCTCCAGGATCCGAGTGCCCGTCTGGTTTGACCCCTTACGCTACAGACATCCTTCGCGAATGCGGGACATGTGATTCCGGAAAAGAGATTACAAGATTTATGCTATCCATTATATGCTATCCAGCCATATTAACTAGGAATTTGCGTTGCATCAGCCGCCTCTTTTATCGCGATTTGTTTTGCTTGCTCTTCTGGGGCCAAGGCCTCGAATGCGGCGGTGTTGACGTCCCACTGTTTGACACACTCGGGGTCCCAGTTACACTTTTCAACCTCTCCGTACACAGGATGTTTGTACCGAGGATGTGTGGCCGGCCACCCGGACGCATGGTAATGATGCTTGACCAAAGCGGTCTTAGCATTGTGATTACCAGACTCTGAGTGTCCCTGTCCCGCTGCAAAGGCTTCCACGGTGAGAACTAGGATGCCGCCCACAAGCTTGGATTCCCCCAAGTTGTGAAAGTTCTCCCACTGAACCTCCTCACCGCTTCGACTAGCCATCTCCGCCAGCACCGCTTTCGTGAAAGCGGACGGACCCGTACCGCTGATCACCTCATCGAAGTCAAGCTGAATCTCAGACATCGGTACGCCTTGTTTCGCGGCGACTTCGTTGAGCCAGTTCAAGATGTGGTCAATGAGCTTCATCATGACGGGAAGTCTGGGTTTGCACATAAACGTCCACTGACAAAAGGACTCACATTTTCCTCCCAATATGCTGTGGTTCTTGAACTCTGGCTGGTCAACCTCGATGCCAATAACCATGTCGATGTCCTTTTCGTTGTATCGCACTGGAATGAACCGATCAATGGGCTTCAGGGCTTCGACGTCGATATCTGTGTATACGCCCCCTTCAGCATACATCACCAGGTATCGCAAGAGATCGGCCTTGACGATCTTGGCAGTAAGCGACCTGTACGTGTGAACAATATCGAGACGGTTCAACCCCCCAGGGCCGTAATGCGTTTCCACATAATACAGATCATTTTGGTCGGTCAACACTTCATATCGGTGGTTTGGATTCTTCAGCGTCCAAGTACGTGCCACTGTCAAGTCTCTTTCCTCGAAGCCCAGTGGATCGACCTTCCAAGTCTGCCATATCTTTTGCGGAAATCTCCCGGTCCCCAAAGTTGCGTGGTATGACACTTCAGCACTGAAGTCGCCGAACGAGCCAGCAGAAGATAGACATAACGTCAACAACAGTAGTATCAAGCATGTCGGTAAGATTCTGCGGATGGTTTTCGAAGAACAGAAACCAAATATAGGTGTTGTTGTTGGGGAGCCCATTGTTCCTATAGTGATCTTCTTTTGAAGTGCCACCAAGTTTGACAAGACGACAGACACCTCGGGTACTTCTGAGGCCGGACGAAAGATCTCAAGCATTATAGCAAATTTCGGAGCAAACATCATCACTCCCCATATTCACCGCTGGCGGATTTTCCCCCAGCCGCATCCTCGTAGGCTCTGGATGATTGGGGAGCTACTCTAAAAGGTCCATGAGGTTAGCGAGCAACTCGCATGAAGCTTGTTGACGTCAATCTTTTTAAACTAGTATCCAGATACATAGGATGCTGCAAGTTGGGAAAGACGATATCCTGGTAGGAATAGAACAGGTAGCTTTGCAGCAGCATTGCTGCCCATCCTATCATCCAATAGGGGAGAGAGCCTTGCCGTTCCTGAACAAGATTACTTTCCGCATTAGACCTTCAGGCTAACCATTGGAGGCCTAGGTTTGTTGTCTCCACCATCGTCATTCTTTGGCACGTAGAGGTTGAGTCGGTGGGCGATCGCACATTTCGAGGCCTAAGAAGAAAAAGTATCGGATGGTTGGACTCTACATGTTCCGGGCTAGGTATCTTCGCCGATGGCTGGTCTCTCGCTGATCCTGTACCCCAGGCCCCACTGCCTCGGCTTGAAGTCAAGGGCGAGGGGCCCCGGCCCGGCGCTTACAGGGTCATTACAGGGCACATTCACGGCATGTGGTAAAATCACATATCGGACCATGACCACTAGACCCTCAACGATCTCCGGAGAATCCTTCGATACCTCGGGAACTGGGAGCTTTTGTTTGTCGTTGCATGTGAAAAATGCTGAGCGTTGGAGCTCTTCACCGTCACTGACGTGGGACAATGATAAAGTTTACGGAGCAACAGCGGGGTTAAAGCTCATCTCACCTAGTTGTGCTGCTCGTGCTGAGCTCCTATGAGCCTTAAATCTGGTGTTGCAGCGACCACAATCGCGTACACATATATTCGTCGCCATTCGTTCTGTCCCAACCCCGCTCATAAGAATCAAAATATCCTTCAGTCCAGGTTAAGCCGCCCAAGATGCCCTCCCAACATGACAGTCTGCTGGAAAAGGGCCACCTGAATGGGCTGAAAGAAGAGACAAGCCTCCCCTTTGCCAATCAGATACAGACCTGGACTCTTAGCATTCTGAAACCGTCGTTCGACGACAAGAATCAGGTGCAAAGCGTGAACACTAGACGAACAGCATATCTGGATGGCCTGAGAGGATTCGCAGCACTCCTCGTGTACTGGGGTCATCATGAATTATGGGCTCATGACGCACTCTCGCCAGATCGGATCTTAGAGAATGCATTCGGATACGACAGGCAGTATTACTTCGTATGTCTACCAGGAATCCGGACATTTTTCTCTGGTGGTCACTTCGCAGTGACTATCTTCTTCGTTCTCTCCGGATATGTCTTGTCAGCCAAGCCCATGACGATGATCCATACCGGCGACTACAGGAGACTAGGAGACAGTTTGGCATCGGCATTATTCAGACGATGGCTTCGGCTTCATATTCCGGTCATCTGTACAACCTTCTTATACATGACATCGTGGCATGTGTTTAAGTATCGTGCAGACCCATGCCCTCTGTCAAGCTACCGTGAAGAGCTTTGGAACTGGTACTCAGAGTTCAAAAACTTCAGCTTTGTTTTCAGAACAGGCGGCGAGCCATGGTTCAGCTACAGCTTTCATGCCTGGTCTATTCCCGTCGAGTTCAGGGGTTCCATTGCTATTTACACATCACTCTTAGCGTTTTCCAGGCTGACCAGGAACGCGCGGCTGTGGTGTGAAGTGGGACTTATCATCTACTTCATGTACATCGTGGACGGCTGGTTTTGTTCTCTTTTTGTGGCGGGAATGCTTCTTTGCGATCTCGACCTACTCGAACAAGACGATAACCTGCCGCGCTTCTTTTCGAAATTGGCCCCAATTAAGAGAAGTATTTTCTCCAGTCTTCTCATCATCAGCGTGTATCTCGGCGGCGTTCCTTCTTACAACCGGGACATTCACGTGCTGAGAGAATCACCTGGCTGGTATTATTTATCACTGCTGAAACCGCAAGCCGTCTTCGATTACAAATGGTTTTACCTTTTCTGGGCCTCGACCTTTCTTGTTGCTTCGATTCAACGAATTTCATGGCTGAAATCGTTCTTCGAAACACGATTCAATCAATATCTCGGCCGCATATCATTTGCCTTCTACTTGGTCCACGGGCCTATACTTTGGTCACTCGGCGACAGGATATATGCAGCCGTCGGATGGTCAAGGGAAAGTCATGCCACAAACATCCCCAAGTGGATCAATATCCTGCAGCTACCCAAAATTGGACCTTTCGGCCTGGAATTGAGCTTTCTCCTTCCGCAGTTGATCCTCCTCCCAGCTACCTTATGGATCGCGGGAGTAGCAACTGCATTGATTGATGAACCAAGCGTGAATTTCTCGCAATGGCTATATAGTCGCGCATTGGCGCAGAAAAAGTTGTAGAAAGCGTGAGATTTGTGGCATAATCACTCGAACATCACGCCTTGCGTGCTCAACAGGGAGCTGAAGCTGGTAGAGTAATGTGTCAGTCTGTGGGATTCACCCTGGGCCGAATTCACAAGTCATCAGTGGCGGGGTGAAGAAATCCACAGCTGACGTAGACTAATGCCAGAACGAGTAGGAAATTTCAATATAATAGGAACGAATCTATTGACCCTAGCCCGTGGGCGAAGCCTCGGCACGGAGGCTGGGTGTGCTCAAGGTATAACCTGTACATATACCTAATACACACATATAATAACCTTCGCCACTGACTCCGAGGGCTTTTTCTGGCCATCGAGCATTCCGACCTTTCTTCACATATCAACCGTTCTCCCAGACAATGTTGGCCAAAGGGTTAAGACGCCTCGTCCTCATAACTGGACTACTAATCTTCGTTGCCTGTGCTTTCATGGTCGTTTACGGATATGATTTCGTAACACTGCCGCTGCTGCGAAACGGTTTTATGAAAAATGAGCCCAGCACGGCCGGGAATGACATATCCGAGACGCATCACGAAGTCTTCTCGGTTTCGACGCCGGACAGAAAGTATTTTTGGATCGAATTTGGCGAAGACGCTGCTATGAATCCCAACATATTACCACACCCGACACTGCACGACACATGGATCATTGTCGCTCAAGAAGTAAAGGGTTCGGCGACAGCGCCGTCATGGTTTACCGAGTTGGTTTGTGAAGCGAGATTCAAGAAAGGCAGGCTGGCGTGTATCAAGCCGCCGAAAATATTACCTATAGCAGCAACGACGGGTGACAAGTGTGTCGGTGACTTGTCATACTTTGGCCTGAATATTGGACCTCACGACGCAAGGGTCTTTTACGGACCAAAATCGCCGTATGTCATATATGGGTCAAATTCTGTCTATACGTGCTTTGGGCAATGGATCCAAGATTTCAGAATGCTCGTTGGCTGGCCTTCGGAAATCATTGAGGGAACTCAATACCGAATGGCGACTGAACTTCGGAGGCCGGCGCCATTTGGCCCAGTCGAGAAGAATTGGTTCATATTCTGGGACAAGGATGGTGATGCTTACGTTCATTACGACATCTTTCCGAATCGAGTGTTCGCTAAACTAGAAGAGGATGGATCTGTGGGTGAAAACCTGGCGCCTCTGGCCATGTTCAACGACCAGCAGTGCATGAACATGCACATGCCCAGAGTCGCTGAGCAATTAGAGTCGATTCACCAGGCGACCAACTCCCTTTCAATCACCCTTTGTGAACGATCGGATTTGAGCTGCGAACCCAATGACTCGAATACATATATCCTGACCATCTTCCAGCACAAAAGTTTCTATTCCTTCCACAGCGAGTACGAACCCTATGTCATGCTGTTTGAGCAAACGGCTCCTTTTGGGATTTACGGCATCTCTTCCAAACCGATCTGGATCCATGGCCGCAAAGCCGGTGAGGCCGTAAGACCAGATGGCCTAGAGCTCGAAGCATTGGACGCATGGAATCAATCAGAGATGTTTTACGTGACCTCGATAAGCTGGAAGTCGCACGGACAGGAGTATCATGGATACAGCAACGACGTCTTGTTTATCAACTTTGGGATTGAAGACGCACAGTCCGGCGGAATCGATGTCGTAGCTGGCGATTTACTGGAAGGCCTTAAACTATGTTCTTCAGTCTGATGAGCCTGACATCGAAATGTGCTGCGACGTAGCTGTTCCAACCCCATCACTGAAGGAAGGTGCAGTAAATAGTACCAAAAGGATTTCAACACAAAATTCGCTCTCTGTTCGGATACAAGAATATTCGTATGGCCCGTTCGTTGTCCCTCTCATGACAAAAGAAAATTAATACTCCTGCCTATATCACCACAGAAGTGGAAGTCTGGCCGGTTTGCAGGACTATGAACTGAACCAAAGCGAGCGTGACAATAACGACATCTTCCATGAGCTGCGGGTTTTCTACCATTTGGCCCTTAGACGTCTAGTTGTGGCAAGCGGCTGAGTCGTGGACAGAGGAATAGTTGAATGGGCCTTTGTGTTTGTTTGCTCTTCCAACCTGTGAATCCCACGTGAAAGGTGCGAGAGAGGACTTGTGCGGGCATGGCTGGACAGGATAGAGAGGACTGCCACCCGATCAAGGGTTAATGACGAAGCTATAGGCCTGGGGCGCTGGATATTTCAGATTGAAGTTGATGTCCGTGGTGTCGAAGCTCCTACTGCAGAATTTTGCATCGTTGGTCTAGCCAAGCTCTCGTCATACTAACCCGGGGAGTCGATTACAATAGGCTTAGACGGTGGGAGAATCCTTTGAGCCTTGGGGCTGAGCTGCTGCGCAGTTGTCGGTCACGGCTGGCGGGTCCCCACGTCATACAGTATTCCGCCTTTCATTGGCTATATAGCGCGACACTAACCAGATACGGGTCAATGCAGCGCTCCCAAGAGACCATTCTCTCCCTAGTGTTTGATCAACAACCGCCAGCCTTGCTCTCCAGATCGGATTTTCCAGCAATACGAACACAGGTCGCTTTGATTTTACAGTGTAGTATGTTACATAAAGACCCATCAGGAACTGTTTTCGGTCATCGATGCCGCTGCTGGTGGGCTGTGGAGTCGAGTATTTACCCTAGATCGTTTTGCCGTATTCTTTATCTTGAAACCGGGCCGTTGGATCGACAATCTCTCCCGTGGAAGCAGGTGTTGATCAAAAAGGTCATTACTGTCTATATAAACACCATTCTTAACTCGACTGACTCCATTCACTTCAAGAAAGTCTCAAACACCATACCATCCATACGCAGCACCTTCAAACATGGCTTCAGCCGACAGTCTGTACACATACAACCCAAGCCATGCCCTCCCTATTGCCTTTGCCAATGTCATCGGTGTATCACTAGTTTTACACATCCTTCAGAACTTGTAAGTCAGTTCCGCGCCCCTTTGTTCAGCCCGGCTCTAACATCCCCATCTTCAGCCGTTATGCATATTGGAGGATCACCTTCTTCATGTTCTGGGGCGGCACCGTCTTCATGACCGGATGGATTCTGCGCACCTTCTCGACCTACAACCAGGCAAATCTAGGCCTGTATATTGCACAGTCCGTCTGCATTTACGGTGGCCCTCCCATTTACTCTGCCGCCGGGTACAACATCCTCGGTCGCCTCATGCACTACCTCCCCATGCATGCACCACTCAACCCCGACCGGGTCCTCTACTTCTTCATCTATCTCGGGGTTCTCGTCGAATCGCTCACCGCTGCAGGGGCAGCACGCATTGCCGCTGCCGCGGACGACCTGTCCGTGTACAAGAGCGGGGGTACGTTGATAACCATCGGCCTCGTGCTGCAAGCCATGGTCGAGAGCATTTTTGCCGGCATGGTCGCCTGGCTCCACCGCCGCTGCGTGCGCTCAGGAACACTCCCCCGCAACGTCCGCACCATTTGCATTATGCTCTACGGCACCTCGGTGCTCGTGATTTTGCGCTGCGTCTTCCGCGCCATCGAGGCTTTCAGCACGTTCACTTCTCCGGAATCGTGCTCGTCGTTGTGCCAGGCCTTCTACGACCATGAATGGTATGTATACGCATTCGAAGCAGCGCCCATGGTTCTATACACATATTGGCTGAACATCATTCATCCTGGACGGTTCTTGCCGCGCCAAAAGAATCGGTATCTCGACATGGATGGCACGACAGAACGTTATGGGCCTGGTTGGATAGAGCAGCGAGCTACTTGGTGGACTTTCGTTGATCCATTTGATATCCGCAATCGTGTTAAGGGCGAGACCCGGCATGAGAAATTCTGGGAACAGCCTGACAAATGGCCAGCATGCGATGACGGAAGTTTTGTCGAAAAGACAGCAACGAACACTTCGACAGGGATAACGAGGGCAGAGAAAATGAATTCTTGACAGTTGTGAGAAAGGGTTTCGGGAGATATATCGGAATATGGCTCATAGAATTTGACGTATTTAGGAAGATATGGAATGCCATAATTTATATTTGATCTTCAATCTCATAATATCACAACATACCGAGAGAATTCGTCTTCATAGTTTCACATGACGTTGTCAGGGATGACTCAATCGATTTATTTTCATCGTATCACCATGACAAGGCTATAACTTATGAAGCGCCTCGGTCACAGCTCGACACTTCGAACCCGGTATCATAATAGCTAGAAGAGCTAAAAGGCATGGCCGATTCGCCGGTGAGAGCTTCTGATTGTGCATTGAGGACTTTAGCATTGTGACCTCGTGAGGCGTCTCTGTGGAGGGTTACCGGGCATTGAGGAGATGATGTACCCTGGCGGCGGCACATGTCCTCACATATCACCGTACTTTCGATATACCCAAGGTCTAGGAACCAGATATTGTGAGAAGAAAGTAGGATGCGCTCGTTGATTTGGGACGACGTCGGGCTGGGATAAGGTCGCGGACTCTGGGCAAGGTCCTCGATGATGCTGTTAAATCCCTGAAGGCGACCCTTATGCCCTTCAGCCCCGCACGGGAGGATGGTCCGTGCGAGCTATCGATAGGATTATTCGGGATTAAGAAGCCTCAGCTCGGACGAGATAACCCTGGGCATGGAGGGGAGGTGGTATCTGCGGGCCATTCCTTGTGTCTTCTCAGCCTGGAGGAGACATGGAGCCACAGTACAATGGAACCGAGATCATCCATGTGTGAACGTCTCTACCTCTTCTGGCCATCGTCCACTACATTGAGGGAATATACGCTGTTCAGGCGTTCCGTTCCGACCAAGCCGAATTTGTATTCCCGCCGAATGTTGATAACTTTCCTCATGAAAAGTTGACGAGGCTGGCGAAATCATTGTATCTTCTTCCACATCGTGGAACGCTCAATCTGCATTCAACCTCGGGAGGAAGACTCGTAGGTGATTTCGGTACGTCTGTCAGGGAGAGCGGCTTCGGGATCATTGACAAGAGTCCAATTCCTCGATCGCACTTGTCTCATGTAATGATCTTGTGCATTGGAGATGGGGACAGCGTGGGATTGGAATTCTTCGGAAGCCACCACTCTGTGCAGGGCGCCGGCGGCAGCGACTACAATCCCCGCGATGCAGATGCAGAGAAGAACGACAACGGGATCGGACAGGCCCATGGTAATTAGAGAGACCAACAGTTGAACATTGGACTTTCAACGTGTGAAGGGGATGAGGTGGTGTAGAAAAAGAGCCCTTGAGGCGGAGTCGTGTTCAGCCGAGTGTCCCTATTCAATCCGAGAGAAACCGGGAGCTGAGGGTACCAGTACCAAGGAGGCACTTGTATGTGAATCGGTACCGGATGCTGAACATATACCGAGGAACAGGTCCACTCGGATCGCCTCCCGGTGCCACACTTTATCCAGGTCAGCAGCGAGGATTCGTCACCTTGTTTCAGGTCATCCAACAAGTCCACTCATCAGTCAACTGCCTGTGCCTGTGTGCATAAAGATTGAAAAACCCCTCAGCACGAGGGAAAGAAAAAAGTAATCCACACCAAAGGAATTGCCAAAGGCTTTCGCCAAATTTGCTAACTATCAAGGGGCTGGACCTGCGACACCACAGCAATAAAGGTTGATTGACCAGTCACTCAGCGGTGCTGACGCTGACAGCCTTGCGAGAAATTCTGCGTCGAAGTCTAAACAATCAGGGTGGCTCATAAGACTTGCTGATGAATTCGATTCCGGCACAGGAGTCGACCCGCTTGCTCTCCCGTGATTGAGTTCGGGAATCTTCTAGCAGCCCGTTTCATTCCGGCGTAAACATGCTCTCCGCTACCTCCTCAATCCCCCTGGGCATTCTGCCCAACAATTTACCTAGCAACGGGTCAATTGTCGCGGTCTCGCCCTGGGATATTCCCTCATGCCAACCCGCCCAGCTCTCAATCACCCAGAACTTGTCCTCCGATACGCTTTTCTTCACGTACTTGTGATACCTTTCCGCTTCCTGCTTGCCTACAATATCGACCCCGACTTTGCGCCCCGTGTACCGTTCCACCATCATCGCGATGTCACTGATACTGGTGGCACGCGGACCAGTCAGGTTCAATGTCTGGCCTAGATATTTCTCGTACCTTTGAAGGATCTTTGCAGTGCCTTCGCCTAGGTCGTCCCACGATACCCACGATACCGGACCATCGTTGGGGATCACAAATCGGACCTCACCGTTGTCACTCTTCTTGAACGTCCGCGGCTGAAACCCGGCGTACAGCCACCAGCTCTCGGCGTAAATACCCTCTCTTACCACCACATACTGCAGCCCACTTTGCATTAGATACTTGATGGTCTTGATATGCGCTTGCTGAACCCCTGCTACGCTCTCGAGTCCTGTCCTCCCACCGAACATCAAACTGGTATAAATGACTGTTTTGATGCCGACAGATTTTGCTACGTCAATTGCAGCTTTATGGTGAAGCCATCTGTCCACACTAGGGGAAGGAAAAGACACAAGGAAAAGAGTGTCGGCGCCTCTGAACGACGAGGCTAGCGAGTCAGGGAATGTGAAATCGCCTTGTCTGATTTCTATGCCAGCGTTGCGGGCTGCAGCAGAAACTTTGTTTGGATAGCTCGAGGAAATGATAAGTTCTGATGGCGGAATGAGGTTGAGACGTAATATTGAGTCAAGGACTCGAGATCCAAGGTTTCCTGTCGTGCCTGTGAGGACGAGCATCGTTGCACCGTCCAAGCTGCCACCCTTTTTTTTTTTTTTTTTTTTTTTTTCCGTTTTGTTTTGGTGAAGGGGGAAGGAGAAGGGGGGGCGAGTTGCTAGTGGATATTTCAAGATGCTTGTGTTCCCAGCGCGGTGCAGCAGAAAGACTCCAAATTTGAAAACAACAGATGTTCTCTATATGGGATGCTCAGCATCTAGATCTTCAAGGTGCGTACGCTCTTGTTGGTGATTTCGCATGTTCGGACGAATTTAGGCTGAGATTTATAAGCGAGACAATGATAGCAAATGATAAGACAATGGCCTAGTGCCAGCGCTGGTTGTGCTGGCGAATACTCAGCTTGGACCCGTAATGGGCTGAAGGAGGGGGAAGAGGAGTAAGTGGAGGTGGAGAAAGCAAGAGTGCAAGTAAGGGAAGAGCAAGACATCACCATATCGTTGCAGAAAGCAGCGAACTTTCAGCCGGAAATCCTGCACAAGCTCTCAAGCGCTTCGATGCTTCTCGTGAAGGTGCGCGTTCTGACGGGAGGGATAAGCATAACATGGAGACCCATGAATAGCACTCAAAGGCCGTTTCTTGGAGTTATGGGGCGCTAATATGGCATTGAGGATTTTGAAGAATATCTTCTAAGTTCATGAGGTTAACCTCGCACAATTCCGAGACCACATGCTGGGATTTTGTCTTCGAGAAGGGTTGGGTCGACAGGTCTATGTCGCATATTTGACCATGGAGGGAACTACTCATCGGCAGCGGTGATAACTTCGCAGGGCCAAGCCACTGTAGATGTAAGTCCTGATTCAATGACGATACAAACTTGAGGACGATCTGGCAAAAGGATGTCAGCACATTCAACAAATGCGAAGAATACCTTGGATGATCACCAGCTTGACTTTTGAACCTCCTTCATAATGATAACGGTGCTAGGTTGAAGACTCGAAGTTGAAAGCCAGCTCCCAGCTGGGTGCAAAGTGAGGGCAGCCCTTGCCAAGCCTCAATACCACTTTACGCGTCTCGATACCTCGACGCGCCTCAGCCCTAACCGTCCACTAATTTTGAAATCTGCGCTTTTCATTTTCTTCGTGTAGCAGAGCTCATTGCGAACAAGTGTCGCAACTTGATGTCGCAATCATGTCGGGTCAGCCAGAATCGTCCTCGTCAGCAGCAAGAAAAGCTTTGAATGCCAATGCAAATGGCGCAGCCACGGACTACGAACTCCCTTGGTACTCACACTTCAATCAAATAGTATACAGTGATCGCTGACGTAGACAGGGTCGAGAAATACCGACCAGTCTATCTTGATGATGTTGTGGGAAACTCCGAGACGATTGAACGACTCAAGATCATTGCAAAAGATGGAAATATGCCTCATGTCATCATATCAGGAATGCCTGGAATCGGCAAAACCACCTCCATCCTGTGTCTTGCGCGGACTCTTCTAGGGGACGCGTACAAAGAGGCAGTTCTAGAATTGAATGCCAGTGATGAGAGAGGTATCGATGTGGTTCGAAACAGGATCAAAGGGTTTGCGCAGAAGAAGGTGACGTTGCCTCCTGGTCGGCATAAGCTGGTGATATTGGATGAAGCAGACAGGTACGAGGGTGACGACATATGCTCGAAGGCATGCACCATGTTAACGAAAATTCAGTATGACCTCGGGCGCGCAACAAGCGCTCCGAAGAACAATGGAAATCTATTCGAACACCACTCGGTTTGCATTCGCATGCAACCAATCAAACAAGATCATTGAACCGCTTCAGTCTCGATGTGCGATCCTAAGATACTCCCGGCTGACGGACGCGCAAGTGGTGCAACGACTAATGCAGATAATGGAGGCAGAAAAAGTCGAATATACCGAGGATGGTCTGGCTGCCCTCGTGTTCAGTGCCGAAGGAGATATGCGACAAGCCATCAACAACCTGCAAAGTACCTGGGCAGGATTCGGACTCGTCAGTGGCGACAATGTTTTCCGCGTGGTTGACAGTCCGCATCCAGTCAAAGTACAAGCAATGATCAAGGCTTGCTGGGAAGGCAAGATCGACAGTGCGGTGGACAGCTTGAAGGAATTGTGGTAAGTGAACCATTGGTGGAATTGTGGAAATGTCCGTGGCTACAATTGATGTGGGCCACGTCACTAACAGGATGGGCAATATACGTTAGGGATCTGGGATACTCCTCACACGACATCATAAGCACTATGTTCCGAGTGACCAAGACGATCCCCACATTGTCAGAACATTCGAAGCTCGAGTTCATCAAGGAAATTGGCTTCACGCACATGCGTATTCTAGAGGGAGTGCAAACATTTCTGCAGTTGAGCGGATGTCTGGCGAAGTTGTGCAAGATCAACATGAAGCCTGAATTGTTCGAGGGGCCAGCATAAGATGGGAGCGAGAAAAGATGGATCGGCTGAAAGTCTGAAACTCTAACAATTACGGGATATCAATTACCAAGATTGAACAGCAAAGAGGCCGATTACCGATAAGAATGGTTCGTCTACAACCTTACGGTGCCCTGTGCATGAATAACAGAATCTCCAAGCAGTTCAGTGGCAGTGGGTTCGCTTGGCAGGTGAGCGCGAGCCTTCAATCTGCGAACCAGAGGGTGGACGTCGGCTGCTCAGCCCCCGAATGTCCGACATGATGCACTCGCTGATTGTGGCCCCCCCCCCCCCCTCTTTTGGCTACTGAAATTCTCGAGCATACACTTGATCAACATCCGGTGATTAAATGACGACAAGTGATCGTCTATGATCGTTTTGATTATTGATTGCTACGTACATTTTACAGTAAAAGTGACCGGGTGACGTTATGATCAGGCATTTTCTTATTCGTAAGCGGGATAAGTACCCGACACTGTTAGACATTTGGCACAAAAGGCCAACAGACAAGAAAAGTGGCCAAGCTTGCATGGTTGGAGAGCTGGGGCCTGAACAACAGTCAGAATTCCAAGAATACAGAACCCCAGATGAAGTGCAGTGTAGCCGGTGAGCCTTGAGCTTCAGGATTGAGGCTGAGGAGGCGTTCCCCAGGTTAAGGGATGTCAAAGTCCGGCAAGTAATAATAGCTGCGAATCAGGAGCAGGAGGCTGTCCACTGTTTGCCCGCACTGGGCAAGATTTCGGCCCGTCGGGCTGCTAAGCAAGAATCTGGCCGTTTGTTCAGGCCAACCCAATGAACCCCTTTGTTTCCGCTCTAGCTCGACTGTTTCCCTTTTCTCGGTTTTTGGCTCCTGCAGGTCGTTTGACCTGCCACCAAGAAAATCGCCGGTGGCTTGCGTGACGCGTCGTTGCTCCGACCTCCGTCTCTAACGCATCTCCTCGTCATCTCATTCGACGCAGTGCTCTCTTAGCTGTTCTAGCAATCCTCCTGCGTGCTAGTGCCGTACACTAACCTTCTAACCCCGTTTACCGTCCAAGTTTCTAACTTCGGACTCCAAGCAAATGGCTTCCAGCCCATGCCGGCAAGGCTGTGCACAATGAGCGCTGGGCCGTTGGTTGCTCTGCCTGGGCCCTGCCTTTCATTTTATCCTATTGCTGACGACTGACAAACAGTGCCGTGGCCCGCCTGAATCTGGCCGTGGGTTACGACCCTACTATATCTTTCCTTTCCCGCCCCCTCTTTGTTGGCTTTTTGTTCTTCTCCAGCAATCTGCAACACAATCCATTTTAATAAACTCAGGAGACGAGACCTTGACCGGATATTTCTTGGTGAAGCGACATAACATACACCTAATCGTCAGATATGAAGTCCTTCGCATCGGCCCTGCCTTTGGCAGCAGCGTTCTTCGCTACCTCCTCTCTTGCATGGCTTCCATCTTGCACGGTATGTTTGACCGCTGTTTCAATCATACCATGCGCCGGCTGACATTTTTGCTCCTAGTGGTCTGATTGCATGGGGAGCTGGGACGGCACATCCTGCGACTCCGCGAATGGGTGGGATTGTCTCTGTTCCAATCAAACCGCTATTTCCCAATTGAACACCTGCGTCGCTACCAGCTGCACCAATACCACTGATCAAGAGGGTGAGGAGAAAATTGGACAAACATGAAGGGAGGAAGAGAATGCTGACAAATGGGATAGCCATCTACGGTGCCGTCGCACAACTTTGCGCCAATGCTGGTGTAACTGTCACCAACTCTCAGCAAGCCACCTTCAGCGCTACCTCAGGTGGCTCGGCCTGGCCTTCTCAGATCACTGCTGCTCCCGGATTCGGCCCTGGTGGCGGCTGGAACTCCGAAGCCTGGTCCAGCTGGATCTCTGCTTGCTCGACCGGTTTGCCCTCTGCTCCTTCCGGCTGGGGTGGCAGTGGTTCATGGGGTGGCCCAGGCATGTGGGGAGGCTCAGGTGGCCGTGGTGGCCCAGGAGGCTTCGGTGGTCCATGGGGAACCAAGGCTAGCGGCATCGACTGCGATTCCTGGACTACCTGGACTGCTGGATGGGGCCCTTTCTCCTCCTGGACTGGTACCTGGTCTGGCTGCAGCTCTACCACCGCCTCTCCTATCCCCGCTACCATCACTACTACCGTCACCACTGGTGGCTCGACTCAAGTCATCACCGGTACCACTTTCGGTATCCAGGCTGTTGCAGCTGCCACCACAAGCGCCGACTCCGACAGCGCTGCTCCTTCTCTCCGTGGCCTCAGCGCTTGCGGCGCTCTTGTTGCAGCCATCTTCGGCACAATGCTTGCTTTGTAAAATGAATGAGATGGATTTCAAGTCGCATTCTAATACACTGGAGTTTTTTGATACCATGCATTGGGTTGGAAGCAATTCAGCTATTCGGCAAAAGTGGACAACGAGGTTGATGATCACATTATTACAAGGATTCATGATGGATTGTATTGTTACTGGTTACTGTGGAGCTGATCCAAAATGACACGATCCGTAAAGAAATTGAATTATTGTGCCAAATTTGTTCCTTGATCTCTCTCGGTTCAGGCGTTGCGCCTGGAGAATATCTAAGCTTCGGTCAAAGGTAAATTGACGAGGGAGAGTTGCCAAGCATCTGATGTCATCGTGAGCATCCTCCCTGGGATCGATCAACTTTTGGAGTTTGCGTTGGCTTGCCGCTACTCCATGAAATGCTACGTCCAACGACTAAGTCTTGAGGATTGAGTACAGAAGAAATACTTGTTTATCAGGGCAAAGTTGCGGCTCGCCTATGGCTTCCCGGAAGGCGGAAAATCCAACGACTCCACGCCTTCCCGCGTGATTCCAACATTCACGTCCTCTCTTCTACCCTGCTATTGTATCCTCTTGTGGTCCTACATTATCATTTTTCTTCCGGTCCTAAGTAGCAATTCCTCGATATAATCATCATCATCCATCATGACACGAATCCACCACTTTCCCCTCTCGTTGGTTCTTTGTTGGCTCTCATATGCTGCCCTGTGTATGGCTCAAGACGATGTAGATCAATGCGCTGTGAGTACATTGGGTTGACTAGGGCTGGGAACATTGACCTGATCTTCCCAAAAAAAAAAAAAGCTTGTCTGTGTTGCCAACGTTGACGGCACCGGTTGTTCCCAAAGGTGGGACGAGCACAATTTGTTACATCCCTCTTGTGTGTATGGACTAATCAAACACAGCCAGTGGACATGCCTTTGCGCCAACGACATGTATATTGAACGGCTAAACAACTGCACGGCTACATCTTGTAACGCGACCGACCAACAAGGTACGTTTTCTGATCCAGCATTTCGATCAGGTCTGGACGGAAACTCACCTTTCTAGACACATATTCAGCCATCGCCGAAATTTGTGCCGTATTCAGCATTCCTATCACCATCGGTCCCGAGGCGACTGCTCTTACCTCCACATCCAATCCATTGTTCAGCACTGTAGCCATACCATCCCAATCGAGCCTACCTCCTGTGATCACAACGATCACGTCGGGCGCCACGAGCATTACGATGTCGGCATCCGAGAATGTACCGGTCTCGACGAGTCATGCTAGCACGTCGACGGTTTCGATGAATTCTTCTGGAAGTTCGGGCGGTTCCTCAACGTCTGTGCAAAGCTCGACGAGTTCCTTTGCAGGCGCAACAGCGGCATCGTCAACCCCGACCGACAATGAATCGAGTCATTTCAGCTCCCCCTCGAGAATGGCATTAATCTTGGGGGTGGGGTTGACAAGCATCATTCACTTGATTTTGGTTTAATATTGTGCATTCCAACGACAAGGAACCCCCTTCAATGGGACTACGCGAGGTTGCTCTAGAAGGTTCAATGTTCAAGAAGCGAAATCAACAATACATCATAGGCGAACATTATGCAAAACGAATTCAAGGAAGACCGGGATGAATGGTTTCATACGCACTAAGCCCGGTTGCAAGGCGGCCAATGACCAAGATGACGGTAAATGAGGCTAACGAGTCGCGACTCGGGGAACTGGGGGCGCTCACATTAGGACTTGGGTTTTGTTGGATCCCCCTGACGCATTTGGAAGGATTGTACTTTCTCCATCGCAGACAAATGACATAAGCGACCCTGAAAATCTCGAGAAGTGTTTCTCCCTCTCTCTTGAAACTGCTGTGTGCATCTGAACAAACGCAAAAGTGCTCGGAACAGACCTATCCGCTGACTAACGCAGCATCATCCGTAGAGCAGTAACACGTACATTCCGGGCAGAATCTTGAGAAAGAGACGCACAGGGAGCGGGCGGGACTGAAAGGCTTCTTCGATACTAGTTTTGGTCGTTCCCCCTTTCCTCAAAGCGATGCCTGATTGCCTGAATAGCTTCAATCTCTAGCGGAAGTTTCCCCCAGTGATTGGCACTAAACCTCATAGGACGCCCCGCCGCGACGCCTTAGAACCAGCGTGAAGGAAACAGTTCTCGGAAAAGAATTGGGTAGAAAGATCTGCAAATCTAAGACCTGTCCAGGACTAAGAATTGCTTGGAGCATGGTTCTTTCTCAACCCTAGCAAAGAGTGAGGAAAATGGGCCATGGACTAATGGGTGTGAACGACCACGGGTTGACGACCGACCACTGGCCATTGAGCAGAAGTGATTGTGTGATTTGTGTGGGTGGGTGCGGTTAAGGAGCAATTGAGGAAAATGGATCGCTTGGTGGAATGGTGCGAAGTGGCTCAAACCGAAGGGAAGCTGGTTCCGGTGATGGTGGCACCAAGGCAATATAAGTTGGTCAGCCGGAGGGCAACGCAGTCAAAATGAGAGCGTGTAGAGGGCCATCTGCTTCTCGTTTTGTAGGTCGAGAGAATGAGCCCCCTATTGTGTACAGAGGTGTCCGGTCAGAAGCAGGATGCTGCCTGAGTCGCTGGGTGCAGATGAGGGATTGCTGTACCTGCAGACTGCTAGTAGCATGCTGTACCCGTCGCTGTTACGACTGCTACTGTTTCTCTGTCTGGGGCGCGCCGCCATCCAACCGCCGCCCGCACTCTTAATCTCCTTCCTTTTCCATACAGCAGCCGCCGTCTCTGCCTCTACCACCAAAATCGAATCTCTTCCACCACGGAGTCCACTGTTACATTCAATCGCAGCCATCTATCACCGCGCGCGCTTGAAAAGCAACCTGCCAGAGATGTCTTTCCGCCAGTAGCATCTCACACGGCCCATCCTGCAGACCCATCATCCTCATTAACATTTCCTGCCCACCGACCTCCTGTCACCGAGCAGGATTCGTCCGCCCTGACGTCCACTTGTCCGAACCCGCAGGCCCAGAGGAGATCTTTCCTCGAAGCCTTGCTGGTCCGCCAAAAGAAAGTCATTCCTCCAGACAATCGTTCAGCCACGTCGCGCGTTCTCAATCCCATCAACTACGTCCCTCGACCGACCCCCGTTCGCGTGCAGCCTCAGCCGCCGCATCAACGTCAAACTTCGGCCGACATTGGCGCCGGTGAAGTCCACACCTTACTCAGTCTCCCTGAACAGCGTCGATCCCGCCAACATTCCCCTACGGATCCAATTGTCGAACACAGTCCCCGTTTAACTCCTCGAGCTGGCGATCGAACCAGCATCGGCCTCCCACCTAATCAACAACGCGGTAATCTCCCTGAATCCTCTCGAAGCGTCGGACCCATGGTTGAGTCGGAAAAGAAAGAACCTAATGGGCTGAAAGAGCCGGATCGAGCGCTCATTCCGACGTCGAAATACAATACTCGAGAACGTGATCTCGAGGCACAACAAGCATCTTCAGTATTGGGTCCGAGTTATGGAGTCAATCCTCTCGATCAACCATTACAACCCCCTCGGCGCATCACCTCCCATCGCTCTCTAAGACGTGCGCAATCCGCTGCTTCAATACACTCTTCTGCTTTCGCCAGAACGAACACAGACGGTCGACCTCCTGTCAGTGGCTCACAAGAAGAAGTTGGTCAGGAATACCCTGGAGGTGATGACGGCAGTGTCGGAGAAGAACTTGCTTGGGGACCATCTCATCCATGCTTTCCGCATCTAAATCCTCATGTCCCCCGCAATTCCCGCGAATATGCCGCCACCAGAGTTATCCGTATACGGAGAGACTGGATGGTAGCCGGTGACTTGGCTCCAACCTATTCCAACATCTATCCCGAAATCCTCGACCCATTAATGCAAGAACAAGAATTCCGCTATGTGATTGAACATATCAATCAAACTTTGTGCCAAGCATACGACCCTTTTTCGACGTGGAACTGGTTCGATGGACTGATAGGTCTTGTGACGGGCTGGTTCTGGGAAGACTTCCGACCCATGGGTATCAAGGGTCATTTGAAGGCACTTGACGAATGGTTGGAGGACTGGAATCATACAGTCGGGGCAAGAGATGGTGTGAAAATCATCCCTCTCCGGCGTACCGGTTACATGAACCTCGATATTCAGATTCCTGATCCGCAGGTTAGAGTCGTCGGTGATGGAGATGGAGAATCTCAACAATCTCCGCCCACCGCACCCCCTCCGGACACCGCCGGTACTCAAACCAAGTTGCCTTAACGGAGAAAGAAGCCAAATGGCAAAGAAAATTCTCTTATGTGTTATTATTCCTTTTCTTATCGGATTTTTAACTCGAACTGGCTATCCCTCGGTTTTTCGGTACAGGAACTCAGGCATGTGAGCGTTTCGAGCATGGCGTTATGTTGACAAAAGAGAATAGAATGCAAGCCTCAGTGGATGATACTATGGCGAGGGGAATGTATTTTATTGGATGTTCCCAACCCTCTCACATGTCAGTCTGGATTTTCAGTGATCAGATATCAGGTTCAGATTCAGGTTTTAATGCGTGTGTTCTATCGAGATTCGACTGGGGAGAACGATGGGAGTTCTGGTACTAGTAGGGAGAGATACTCAGACAGTGAGTGAGACGGACTAGAAAGGGAGGGGGGAAAGTGTAACAAGCGAGTGAGTAATACGGCCGAGCATTTCATTTCATTCTTTTGAGGCATGGTGTTCGGCGACGGCAGACAGGGAGGTACGTGGAATCGGCAGGAGAAGCAGCTGGCATGGTATGGGAGTGGGAGTGGCTGGTGGTGTGCTCTGGCGCTGGTATCTGAGAAAGGCCCTCAAAATCAAATTCATGGTTTCATTACCCTCAACGCCGCCTTCATTTCCTCAGATGTGCCTTTCTTCCACCGGTTCCTCCGTCCCATTTTATTTCCGTGCGACGTGCTTTTGCCCCGCCCCTCATCCGACTCGGCGTACACTATGCCGTCATCGACGCAAATCATCTGTTCCCTCATTCAGCCTCGTCTGCCTTTCCTCGGCTGTACCATCTCCCTATCGCGGTCACCGACATCAGCCAGATTAACATTCTTCAAGGCGCCAATCGACGTCTGGTGCGATTCACACCTCCCTTCCTCATAACTCCATATATCTCCCATCAACTTCTTTTCAACAGACTCCTTCAGGTCTAAAAATTCCTTAATCATCCGCGCGATACGGAATACGGTGGTCCTACGGTAGTCCATCAGTTCCTCCTGGAATGGGATGCACGAGCCGATTTCCTGACCTGGCTCTCTACCTCTTCCCAGTCCTTCCTTCCTGCAATTGCTGTCGCCCTCACCGTTCCCGTTCTCGGTCTCTTTGTGGAGTTTCTACCTCCGCCATTCAATGCCTAGATCCCGACAGAGAATATCGAGATAAGATTGGATTTCAATGATGGTATCTGGGCTGCTGACGCCGTGTCATCGCTCCCTCCATGCTTGGACGAGCTGAACTTCTCCGTCGGCAAGGCGCTGGAGATCATCAAGGCTGGGGCTTGAGGTCTTGTTGTGTCAAACGGGCGTCCGAGATCGCGGCTTTCAGCCTTCTCGCGTCGACGCCATCCACCAGCAGAAGCGGCATTGGAGACGTCGCGAACCGGCCCTCTTATGATGCTACTCCTCATAAAGCGCACAGCTCGCTTGTGATCGCGGTCTGGCCTGCTGATATCAGCCGCACAAACACTAGTGCACGAAGGCCGGGTTGCGAAGTATCGAGATGGGACTCTGTCTACATAAACCCCAGCAAGTGTGCGAAGGGCGTTCTTGTCCTTTCCCAGGGGATTGGTTCAATTGATTCGGGAGCAATGGGGATTTTGTAAGCCGTGGCAGCGGTGGTAATAGTCTTTTTGCACTTCTTGCTATGACTGTTGGCGCCGCTTTCATCGACGGTACTGGCGTTGAGCAGCGTAAGGGATCCCCAACTGTGTAGCCTCGTCTGGATCGAAGGAATCGAGTCTTGGCTTCCAGCTTATGCACCAGACAAATCGCATCCACAGAGAGATCTGTCCTCGTCCATACTCTTCCTCGATAATGATTTCTCCTCCTTCCAATGCCACGGGTGCCGCGCGATACACGGTGCGTTTATCCTCGTGCAGGGCCTTTAGGAAAGGATGGCCTTATCCCACGAGGCTAAAGTAAGTTGTGTCGAAGAATCTGTTTTTTCGCCATCCGCGACCATTGCGGCTTTTTCTCTTGCGGATCGCCCCAATTCAGCAGGCCACGTGCCCAGCACGGACTGGCCGGAACGTAAGAAACGATACATATCTGGTCCCAGATAATCAATAGCACGACTTGTGCCAACGGTCGCACCACTCAGTGCACACGCCTTCTGGCCCAGATCCTACAAGTAGATCGTAAATTTTGCCAGGCCCGGGTAAAGACTTGAAGTTGTCCACACGCCCGCCGGGTTGGGTTGGCCATGAGAGTTCAAGAAATAGTAGTTATTGTGAATGAAGGGTTGGTTAAACGGTGAATTGTAGAGCAGACTTAAAGCTTCCTAAACCTTGTGTAGACGTCCCGGTGGCTAGCTTCCGATGAGGTCAAATTGCAAGGCTGTGATCTGCTCGGAGTTTACGAAGGGGACTTATCTGCGCATGATTGCACGATCAGAAGCATAAAATTGCGTTTCTCTATCCATGCCAATAGAGAATCGAGCATCATCTAACGCTCTTCCCAAGTAGGAGAGCTATAGTGGCGGAAGTCGAATTTTATGTTCACGCTGACAAGAAGACCACGATAATGACCGCCTGAATATCTTTCGTCGTCGCCTTGGATGTTTCTCTCGGTATGAATCTCGTTGGATAACCCTTTTGGAAGTGATAGTTGTCATGAATGACTCTAAGACAAACACGTTGTACTCTGGACAGGTTTTTATAGAGAGAGGTCGTTTGTGACAATGAGGAGATGTTTTCGAAGCGCCTCAACGGCTTCGCTGTTTGAGGCTAACTCAAGATCCGTTCAGCGGTGGTTGAGCTAACGGATTGACAGGTGCAGGGATCCAGCCTCGAGGGCAAAGTCCGAAAGGGATCTCCCTCCGCTCATTAGCGTTGGATGCATGGAAGAACTCCGGTTCAGCAGCCTGAGACGCAGGGGTCGGGTAAGAGAAGAAACTTTGCATGACCCGTCTCTTCGAGGTATATATTTCCCTTGCTCACCCTTCCTTGTCCCAGGTTGTGTTGTTGGATCTGATTCTCATTCCCATGCTCAGCCGCAAATTACCAAGACCAGATGGAGAAAATTCTGAAGGGAGGCGGTAGAGGGTCAAAGTCGATTGATTGACCACCGGCTAGGTTTGGGTTCCAGCCTCCCGGCTGCGAGAGTGCCAAAGTCCCAGTTCGCCGCACAGTACGGAAAATACTAATTTCAACAAAAGGAAATGCGACCAACCAGTTACCATGGTGAAGCTATGCACGCCTCGGTATCCACTATGCCCGTTCATACATTCGTCTCCCATCTTCCCCCCCACCCAAAAAAAAGAACCAAAAAAAGAAACCATAAGGTTGAAAAAGGCCGAAAAGTACCAGCCAACAGGACCGCAGCTACCGTACAATGCGCGCCTCTCCATCTCTATAGAGCATTGTTCCATGCAAAAAAAGGACCACGGCAAAATACAGAAGTATCAAATATTCCACCCCGTTTTCCCGTATTTCCTTTTGACATGCTTTTTGTTGTGAGCCAGGATTTCCGGTCTCACATTTCATAATCGTACATCATGCAAAGGCAAACCCATGGGTAGTCATACAAATCATGTGTCATGCAAAATGGTATAAATCATCGAACAAATCAACCGTCGCGTACAAAGGAAATATGTTGAGTTCGTAATCTCGTCGTAGAATCATGACCAAGTCGTCGTCGTCAGGGGTATTTCTTCAACTCGTTTCGGCGCCTGCTCGGCCGGTCTGTGTTGTTGTCTCATCTTGAGGAAGAAGGTCGAGGCACACGGTGAAAATGTGTACAATCTGCTCTTCCCAGATCCCCATCTCGAAGTCGACAAGTCCATACTGCTCGAGTTGGTCGCACAAACTGACCAGTTCGTCCACCAAGGATTTTATAGTATCGGCAGAGAGAACATCTGCTGGTTGTCTCCGAGTCCTTAATGCTTCCTCAGTAATGTCTTTCTGCTTCTGGCCCAGGGCCTCCCAGCACAGGTTGAATTCTCGCCAAAGCCCAATTCGCTCTGCTTGCCTCGTCTCGTCATCGTGATGCAGTCCTAAGAAAGTTAATATCATATTCATCTCTTTCCCAATCTAGGATCGATCTTACCAAGAGCGGTAACAGAGCTCACCAACCAACGAGAGACCACGAGGATTTTCTCGCTGGCGTCGGTCACTCTGCCCGTGATGATCGCGTCAAAAGTGGACTTGAGCTGCTGCTGGTATTCCCTCAACCCCTCGTTGAGAGCTTCTTGACTGCCGCTCGGTGGGATGAGCTCTTCTGCTTCCCGCTGCTCCATTACAGAAAAGTCTACTTGTCCGGTGCTGTAAGACGCAGGTAGAGAGGGTCGTGACACGGCCACAGATCCATAGCTGCCTTGTTCCGGTTGGGATGTCACGTACTGAGAAGAACTCGATCCAACGCCGACTCCAGCATGCTCACCATGCCCCATGTATTGTGGCATGGCAAATTGATTCGCCATGACCTCAATGGCGGTCTGCCGCTGCTGAAAAGGGACGTTGTCGTAGATCGATGGAGGCCCAACTGGAGGGAGCATTGAACCCTGCGCGTATTGAGCATACTGCTGTTGATGTTGAGGCGGAGAAGCTTGCACTTGTTGCTGTCTGGAGGTACCCTGCATGTACGTCGGCGGATATTGCATTTCAACTCCTTGCAAAGGACTACCGCCCGGCATTTGAGAGCTACCATATTGCGGCTCCTGATACCCATAGCCAGGGAAACCAGGTAAATAGGGTCGCGTCATTGAAGACCGGCCAATGTCGCTCCTCGCTGGTGTTGCGGGCTGTGGATACCTCTCGCCAGACGCGGGGCCAACGGGTTGTCCTGGTAAAGGTCGCGACTGCGCTTGCGTCTGGTATGGCTGTCCATACTGCGAGCGCCGACGGTCATTGCCGTCCATTTAAGGAAAGCAGATCTCGTCCGTCGACGCCAGAGTGACGAGCACAACTGCCCACGCTCCGAACAAATTGTGTCTTGATATAATGAGTTCGGAGGGTCAGCCACCTCCTTGTACTTTGGTTCCTCTCCTTTCCCGCGCACCGAATTTTGTTCCTTCATACAATAGACACGGACGAAGAGAGGGGAGAGACTCGATATCGCCGTTACAGCGAGGGCCGAAGTTTGCTGGTGCCTGGACAAGGTCTCTGACCAATATGTAGGGCAAGAAAATGAAACGTAAAGAAATACCGACGCCACCTCTATGGCCGTGAAAAATCTGAAAAGGAATAAGAAGAGAAAGTCCGGACGTGAGAGAGAATTTCGGCCTCTCCACAGGGCTACTCTGAATGGCCTTGTCTAGCCGATCGATCGGTGGCTGGATCTTCGAACGTGATATTGGAATCTCGTCTCGAGGTTTCAAGGCGCAACTCGCTGATTGGAGGACCAATTGATAGACCGTGACTTTCACACCCTCAGATCGGTCTCGCTCAAGTAAAAAGTCCTCCAGTTCCGGCTATAAAATAGTTCCGTGTGAAATTTCGACGTGTATACAACGTCTGGTCGGAGGGTGGCGAGGGGATGATGGTGTCAAAGGATGGAAGGATGGAGATATTTAGACACGAACGCAAGGACATCGAGGAAAGGATCGTACGAAAGAAATAAAGGAGCGTTCGGTGGGCTAAGAAGAAGGAGATAACCCAGGTACCTTGGTGGTTGTGGAGTTGTCGCAACGTATACAAAGAAGCCTAAAGGTGCAGCTGCGGTGCCAGGTGGGAAATGCGCACGACACATACACTTTGACCAAGGCAACTCGATGGGGAATGGCGCAGATACAGCATGGCAGCAATAAATGGGTCGCTTGTACCTGGTACGTCAAATATCGACTCCTCCAGACGCCGACAATGTTTTCAGCAGGTTCCGTTCCAGCAAGCAAGGCGTGTGTCTAGTCGGAAGAACTTTGAATGTCTTCTCAAGTGGGCAGCGCCACAGGAGGGACAAGTGTCTGGGGGCGAATTCAAAGGGCCCAACCAGTGGTCGGCCTACCGGGCGAGTTTTTGGGCGTAAAGTTCGCAATGTAATTCATCATCAGTTGGGTTTGGGCTTGGGCGTGCTGTAGAGCTTCGGAATCAAGCTGTCCCTTTCGTCCTGAGCACTGGGGGGAACTGCCAACTCCATGGTTCATGGGTGATGAGTGATGATACCTTTCCTAGCAAGCCGTCATTAGCTTGGGAATGGGGGTGGTTCCGTAGGGAAGAAAAAGCGGGCAGAGACTGTCTGAATGGGCATGGCCGGCCCTGAGTGATTCCCTGTCGATGGATCAGTTCCATTGCTTCCAGGGCTTGCAGGAGTTTGTTCCTCTAGCCTAGAGCGACTCCAGCGGTCGCGCTCATCACCGGCAGCGAGCTGACTAGCCACTGGTCCGACACTCTAGTCGAGGGCTGCCACCATCTCCCGCCGCGCCAGGCGAGATTTAGAGTGTGGCGCCCAGGCAGGGGGAGAAGAGTATTTCTGGCTTTTAAGTCATCATCTTCCATACCGCAGGCTCGCAGCCCCAAGATTGGCCGCTTTCCCGCCACTTACCCACCCTCAGCTAAGCCGGTACGGCACATATCTTCGCCTTGTTTTTGGTTTTGGGTGTACACTAATGATGTTGCTGTTGGTGAATAAAGAGCGCCCCCGCGACCTGAGTTGAGGTTATGTGTGAGACACTTTGCCAATGGTTTGTATTGTACACCATCCATTTCGGGTGCAACCAGGCTGAACAATCCGAACATGGGACTCCGAAATAAAGATGGCCTGGCGTCTACCATTTTGTGTAATACATGCTCGGCCGTCTCTCCAAGATTTCCAGTGTCCACCTATCTGCACCAGCGTTTGTGTGGTTGTTCTGGCTGGGTCCTCAATGGCCAACTAAACTCATGCTCTCTCCGTAATGTAATCTCAGAGAAAGCAACAAGTGCGGCCAACCGGCGAAACGATCTGCTTTAGGGTGAATGATGGGATGGGGAAATAGTGCGCCAGGCAGGCCAACAAATCTCTTGTTTTCGAACCTTTCTGTTCGTAGTGATCAGTGCTCCGTACCTTTCTTCCAAAAATTGATGGCTCCTTGTGATCCCGGACAACTTAGCCGTAGTTGTGCCTTTGACGTCTTTGAGGCGCTGTCGAGCCGAGCCAGTCGGAGGGCGGCAAAGTCACTGTTCGACCAAGGTAGTTTATGTACGCAATGTCAGACATGGCTGCGTCGCAAATCCCACGCCTGGCCTGTCAGATGGCGCAGGTGGTACTCTGCTGCGCTATCCATCAACTCGTATACCCGTCGTGGGCTCGGATTCGCGATCTTTGTTGACCTCCCAACCACATAGCACTTTCCGGCCCAACTTGCCCCTGAGTTGCATGCCCTGTACACTGGCCCACGATTTGAGGTGGCCTTGATATCTTACGCCAATGATGTCTTCGGCATAATCTCATATGCATTGAAAATTCCCCGTGCGACGAGCAGCAGAGTGGGAACAAAGGAGTCCTGCAGCTGTATTTGTTTCAAGCCCGGTCCACTGTCGGCTTCGAGGGGTCTCCGCAGGGTCGGCAGAAAGCCTGGAACTTTGTGGAAGCTTGTGGATTGAATACAGTTTTGTCCGCTGGCTTTGCCAAGTTGGCCCATCACTCACGCAAGCAACAAGTACCAACGGGAATGCTTTTTGACGAGGGTGTTTGCGGCGCTTGCTAGTTAGCGCTGATGATCCTGGAGGCTCATGATTTGCTGTGGCTTAGAAGCGTGTTTCAGGTTTGTGGTGTTTGATCTGGTTTGCGCTCTCTTGCCCTAACTGAGAGGAAGTGCGAGTCGCTTTCTGGTTCCAAAATGACGATGACACTCCACCAGTCTGAGATTCGAGAAAAGTTCCCGCGATCTGGCGGCTGGGACGTTCGGTTGTGTTTCCCATGTTGGTTACTCTTGCAAGACGAATGAAAGGCTCTGCTTCTTACAGTGGTGTGGCTAAGCAGTAGAAACGCTCGCAAGAGGCAGGGATTGTTAAATCAAGGGTTTCTCATCCAGAGATTTCGTGTAGAGCTGTGGACTCCTTATTACCTGAGAAATTTGATCATTACATCAGTCAGAATGTTCCAGGATGATCTGCACGAACCGGGGGGATATTTTCCTTGCAAAATACATCACGAGAGCTCATCTTGGAATTGGTGTCCCTAGTTGGTCTACCGGCATGCCGAGTTGGGGTTGATGTATCGACGGTTTCGCTCCAATTGCCGTCAGAAGAGTACCGTCAGGATCAAAAAAGCGACGTCCTGAAAAGATCGGTTGTGCGACACGACATGCCTGAGAGAGGGACTACTTGAGGTAACTGGGCATTGCACGGCCGACATCGGGCATCAGACGGTGCAGGTGAGCATTGAGAGTCAACGCGACGAGCCTCTGCTCCTCCAGCTGACTTGTTCACCCTCACCTGTGTAACACCGCTACAGGGCTGACTTATTCCTACAAAGCCGAAGCACTACATACATAGTAAGTTAATGAGTTGGTGGCTGCTCATGCAGGATGCTGAGCCGGTGTTTGGGATGAGCTAGAAATGAATCCCGACAGCTCCGGCACCAACAATTTGTGAAGAGAGACAAACTCGAAATGCCTCAGGTTAGAAAAGCGATAACCGCTGTTGAACAGATGACAGCTAGAAACCTACAAGATGTCGCGGCGACCATCCCCACATGCGCAGGGTATCACACCTGGTACCAACTCTTGTATACAAGTAAAATTTTGATATTGATGTGCCCCGTTACAGACAAGAAGCACCACGGATGTAACTCGCCCTCTCATCGTTTGACCCAGGTAGGCCTCTTTCTTGCCTTTAGCCGGCCAGGCTTTTTTCGTTCGACACGTCTCTTATCCGATGTGACACAACCGGCTGGATTCAGAATTAGCGACGGCAATGTACACCCCTGGAATAGACTCTGCTTACCTCGTCGGAGAGCTGGTTTTAAAGCTGGCTCGTGTACCAGCAACGCCTTGGCCAGTCCCAACGTGATGGACTCGGCTTGGCCAGTAACGCCCCCGCCTGACGTGAGTACAAACACATTGTACTTATCCATCCTCTGGGTGATTTTCAACGGCCACATTGCGCTCTCCCTGTCGTGCAGCCGAGGGAACGCCTGCACAAGGCTGCGCCCATTGACCCGGACTTGTCCCGTACCTTCAACAAGATAGACTTTCGCTGACGACTCTTTTCTCCGTCCCATTCCAACTGCTCGTCCATATTCATCGATTTTTCCAGGTTTGGCTTTCTGAACCTCCTCCGCTCCTGGACGTCGGAATCGATCAAGTATTTGCTTCACCTCCTTCGGACGAACTCGTGGATGTATTTTGTTCAATCGAGACAAAAGAAGCAGGACCTTGGTGTATTTCGAGGCAGCAATTTTCTCTCCGATCGAAGTGCGGTATTGACCAAGTTTCATCCACACTGCCCGTGGAGTTTGGTCTGGCGGAGACGTAGGCAACGAACCGTGCTTCTTAACAAGCGACTGTAGAAGGAGGATGTGGTCGTTGAATTTCGGCGATGCAGTGAAATATGAAGGAGATGCAGGCAATATCCGGGCAGGTACAGACGTGGGATTCTCGAAATCTATCTCAGGCGCGGCGCGAATTTGGGTTTCTTCGGAGGACAGTTTAGACGTAGAGAAGTTTCGATGGGATATTCCATGTTGAAACGATTGAAGGCGAAGTCCAGGTTGGAGTTTGTTGTGTATTCGACACTGGCGGCAGGTCCAGGAGACAGCTGATGGCAAAGCTCCTACCGAAGACCCTGCCATTTCGAAGAAATCACAGGATGAACTGTGTTACTTATCCAGACCCCATTCTGCAAACGGAGATGGAAAATTCGTCCGTGTGAATTGGATTGTCTTCCAAATGGACCGACTCGGAGTAAAGGTTCTGAAGATTGAGCTTCCACCGCGCCAAGACTACTAACCCCTTCGGGAACGATGCGATGCCACCCTTTTATCCGGCATAACATCGGGAAATAATGTACACAAAGTGTGATATAAGCAAATTGATCTTTTAGTGATAGGATGCCGAATCGGTGTCATCTAATTTTGATCATCAGCTATTGGCGATCACCCTATACTCGAGCATTATCTATCCCTTCTTTTTCTCAGCCTTGTAGTGTCCACCAAACGGCCACAGGCAATTCAGTAACCGGATATCATCTCCTCGATCTCGTCCCAGATAGGACGGTGATTCTCCTTTTGCCGTCCCTGTTGGCACATAATTTTGTAGGTGCAGATTAAGCAGCGGCAGGATATGTTTGATGTCCTCAGTGCTCGATGAATTTGGCTTTTCGCCTGTCCGAACAAGACTTCGATTTCGACGACGAGGCATGGGCGACTTTTTGTTTTGACGGGTTTGAGGCTGTTCGACTTGGCATGGTGATAGGGTGGTGGAAAGGGGGGGGCAGCGAACATTGTCTGATGACTTTCCTTGGAAAAATAAGCTTGTAGAAGTCCAACAGCGACATGTTCAAGAGGATGTGTCTCAATGCGGTTGAGAATGTGCCGAGCGGTATGATGATTCGGACAAACTCCTCTTACCGAAACGAAACCTGGGAGAGTTGTAGAGGTCCTTTTTGAACTTTTCGCGGGGGTCTGGGGATACTCTGCATCTCACCCCCGAACGGTGGATGGTTTAGCCATGTGTTTGAAATGGATGACCAGATTATTTGCCTCGGAGCTTGTATGCACGTCTAGCAATGGCGAATCCAGCAGTGCTTGCCAGCTTAGGTCATCTAAATAGTGTAGTCACTGTAAAATAAGCACTTCACACGACTAGAAATCCAACTTGGTTTTTCGTTTGTGTATCGCAGTCTAACGATATCTCCCACTGGCGGCGATACAAACCGGGCACATTGACGTGCCTGCTCTCGGTGATCCAATATTCGGCACTCATTAAAGCCGCGAGTGGTACGAAGGAAACACCCAGGCATGTCATGAACGCAAGAAGTGACTCTGCACTTTTGACATTTTTCCATGGGACCGTGATCCAGTCAGCTATGACGGTTAGCCCACCAGCTCCACGACGGATGTTGACATATTTCGGGAAAAAAGGAGGAGAGATCATTGGCACAAGAGATAACGTCCACACTGAGATTGGTACCATTCTGCGCAATGACCTAGGATCGACGATCTGAAGCCAATATCAGCAGGCCCGTGGAGACTAGGGACACTTCATACCCAGGATAACCCGACGTGGCCACGACGGCCAGACATGAGACATTGACAACCACGGGTTCGAGCGTTAAGAACTATTTCAACACGTGCGGAGGAATTAATAGAAATGAAAACTGTACGCATCAGAAAATCAGGTGAGAGATCATCTGCTGTGCAGTAATTCCAACAGATTCAGGTACATGGCCGGGTACACAGAAATAAGAAGGCCGAATTGCCCCGATGTCCCGGGTTATTGCCCTTGAGCCGGTGTATGTTTGGATGGAGTGTCAACAGAGCCCAGATACTGCTCGAAGGGCCATAGCAAATCAAGAAAAGTAAAAGCCAAATGCTGACCTGGTAGCAATGGGAAATGGAACACGGAGGTCCGCACCCATTGCACCGTTCAGTTCAGCTAGGATAGCCGTATCAGCTGGCCAATAATGATGCCATAAACTACCGCACGCCTTCAATTCTCCTTGCGGTCCCAATCTAGTGGCCACCACAGAAAGACTCCCGCCACAATGCGAGAAAGCGTACTTGACATTGGGGTAATTTTGGAAGTGTCCCATGTATAAAACGGAGACCATTGTGTGGCAAGTTTCGAAAGTAACCTCGACGAGCAGCGTTGGTAGAACCAGAAAAGGCGGCGTACATGTGTTGACCAACTAGGACAAGGCTGGCTTTCAGGAGGCGCGACTTATAGTTGTCTCAAAACTCTCATGAAAGGGCCGAAGACCTTATCTGTCTGCTAACTTGAACAATAGAACGTGAGTCGGCTTTCAAGCAAACTGATATAGGGAAAATTGGGCAACGGTAACAGAGGGTCTGATTGCAAGCCTTTTGGCTCCACGGCAAAACATTCCTGGGGGTGTAGGAGAGCATGAGAATTGATAGAATCATGATAGAGGAGATGATAGTAAATTCAAGTACTCCGAAAGGAGACGATCGCCAAGCCTCGTGTTGCCTGCTCCCCGCCATTCCTTGTAGTCCATCAAAAATATTTGTTCGCTGTCCGCATCTCTTCTCTTGAGGACAAATACAGCGCCAACAACATAATTTTCCAGCAGTCTGATCGTTGCAAACTAATCAAAATGTCGTTCGGAAAGCTTTATGGCTTCAAGGTATGCTCGTCACCGTCGAACTCTTGAATCGTGCATCCCTTCTTTAAGACGATTGAACGCTGACTTGTATTGTAGGACAATGCTCGCTCCACTGCCCTCCTGGCCGTCGCAAAGGAGAACAAACTCGATATCGAGCTTGTTGAGACCCGTCCTCCCAACGTCGACACCGAATACCTCAAGCTGAACCCTCTTGGTCGAATTCCTACCTTCGTTGGCGCCAATGGTTTCATCTTGACTGAGAGCATTGCCATTGCCATCTACTGTGCGTATTGACTCATGCCCCCGCCTTATTATTGTTGCATCCGAAGATGAGCCATATTATCACAATCAGTTATCCCTGGCAGAACACTCCTGTTGACCACATTGAAATCTGAGGTTTTGACAAAGACATAATGGATTGGAAGTTGCGAACCTCTGAGCCCTTCGCTAACATCAAATAGTCACTTCCCAGAACGAGAAGACCACTCTTCTTGGAAAGACAAAGCAAGACTATGCTTCCATCGTCCGATGGATGTCCTTCTCCAACTGCGAAGTCCTTCCCGCTCTCAGCGGCTGGTTCCGTCCTATCATCGGAAGAGATCCATACAACAAGAAGTCGGTTGATGACTCAAAGGCCGCTGCACTCAAGGCTATCCAAGTTTTGGAGCAACATCTGCTTGTACACACTTTCCTCGTCGGAGAGCGTATTACCCTTGCGGACCTCTACACCGCTTCTCAGATTGCTCGCGGCTTCCAATACACTCTTGACAAAGCCTGGCGCGCTGAGAACCCCAACGTTACTCGATGGTACGAGACGATCACCGCACAGCCAATCTGGAAAGCCATTGTTGAATCACCAGTCATGATCGATGAGTGCATCAAGTACACTCCCCCAAAGAAGGAGCCCAAACCTGCCAAGGCACCATCGGCAAAGGCAGAAAAGAAGCCCGCTGAGGACGAAGAGGAGGATGAGCCCAAGCCAGAGGTCAAGGCCAAACACCCTCTCGAAGCACTCCCTAAACCCACTCTCATCCTCGACGACTGGAAGCGCAAGTATTCCAATGAGGACACTCGTTCGGCGGCTCTGCCATGGTTCTGGGAACACTACAAGCCAGAGGAATACTCTCTGTGGAAAGTGGACTACAAGTACAATGATGAACTCACCCTGACCTTCATGTCTTCCAACCTCATCGGTATGTCACTTGAGCTTATTTGTTGGCCGTGAGAAAAATCTTGACTAATCTTGAAACCAGGTGGCTTCTTTGCCCGTCTTGAGGCATCCAGGAAATACCTCTTTGGTTGTGCCTCAGTCTATGGTGTTTCCAACGATTCTGTCATCCAGGGCGCCTTCATGGTTCGTGGTGACGAGGCTCTTCCTGCCTTCGATGTCGCTCCAGACTATGAGAGCTACGAATTCACCAAGCTCGACCCCAGCAAGCCTGAGGACAAAGCCTTCGTTGAAGACCAGTGGTCGTGGGACAAGCCCATTGAGGTCAACGGCAAGACATACGAATGGGCCGATGGCAAGGTCTTCAAGTAGAGGACTGGACCATTCTCATCCACTTGGTTGACAATTCCCCCTGCCATTGTCACGAGATGAGATGCGATGGGGATGCGATGTGGCGCGACTCGACGAATATGACGCGATCAGGAGAGATGCCGGCCTAAGAAGTGCATGATCGATAGTAATATTTTTCCTTCTCTTCCATCGAGAGTTCGCATTTTTGATGCAGAGCAAAAGAAGAGCAGAGCAGAGCAATTGATAGAGCCTCGTCAGTGCCGTTGCTGTTCCCTCTATCCCTGAGGTCGATGGAAATGCAAAAAGAAACATGATTTCATGTACGAAAATATCCGAAATCTTTCTCGAATCTCGTATTATCTATCATTTGCCCGATGTAGTGATGGGATCACTAGAAGTGGTGGACCTCTATACTCAAATGCCGTAATTACTGTTGAGCGGCTTCAGGCGCGGCACCTGGAAAAAGGGGCGTAAAGCCTTGTCCTGCTTAATCATCGACCACAACCAACATCAACCAATTCCTGTATATCACCATGATATCTCCAACCCATAGATTGAACTTCCTAGACTTGAGGGTGTGCGTAAGTGGTCGCATGGCGTGTAGCGCTTTATAATAGCAATATTGAAGAAATGTAAACCGCTGCCTTGTAACAAGCTCTGAGACGTTGATTGTGCTGCATTACGTGGCGAGATCGAATTGACACAGCGCCGCAATGACAAAGGAAAACTTCGCAGGTTGGGCTGGCGGTTGATTGGAATGAAACTAAGGTTGTACAGAAAGAGGTCAATGAGCCTCTTTCACATCGATAGAATCGATATAATTCCAATCATGCGACTCCCCTCATTCCTTGCATTCGTAGATCCTGCAACACATCATTAATGGGGGAGATATGCCCTTGTGGACATTGTGTCCCTTCTCTATCATCAAGCAGTTTTGCTGGCGAGGAGACCATGTGGGCAGTCGCCGATTAGCACGGCACAAGTGCCGCAGGCTCAAGCTGGCCTCAAAGTAAAACCAAACCTGAAAGGGGTTCTGGGGTCTGTGACATGATGTTCATTGGAGATTGATACTGTATTTGAGAGCATGTGCACTGTCTCCGGCAGTCTCCCGGCGGAGAATCGAGAGGGAGGCCTTTCGTAGTGGATCGTGATGATAAGAATAGAGTCGTGAGGTTATTGATAGCAATATGGTGAGTCTGAGGAGGGCGACACAAGCACAATTCAGAGTATGCTAGATATCTAGCTCATCTCATCGTACTTCTCCCGCCAGTGCAGCAGCGGCCGCCACATCGCCATCAATATTCCGTACACCAGTCTCTCCTCGTCGACCTTCCCACAGCCGTACCCAAAATTCGGGAGGGTCCATAGGCCGCTGGCCCTCGTGTAGTCCTGGCCATACATCCGCGAAGAAGTAATAAACGTGGCCGACAATCACGCCAAGAATCTCATCCTTTGGGATGCTGCCGTGCATGAACATGTGGAACACCATCAGAACCCACGGCAGGTAAGGCGCAGTGAAGACCAGGACTCCGAGGAAACTGAGCCGCGTATTAGGATTTCGTCTTGACCAAATATACACAAGAGTGCTTGACAACGCGGAACCGAGGAATGGGATCGAGGTGGTAAGCGAGCTCAAGGCGAGGAGGGATGTGCAGGCGTATAAGAGCAGCCAGGAAAAAACTGCCGGTGACGGTCCCGAGCCTTCTTCTAACAATCGGGAATATCGCTGGAGGAAGAAAACATGAAATGCCAGATCTAATGACGGCGGTCCAAAGTATATGAAGGTCGTTACTAAGCGCCAGTACTAAGAAGGTCAGGAAGGGTTCCAGCGAATATTTCCAGGTGGAGCACATACCTGTGATTTATAATAAACCGCCCGGAATGAATAGAATAGCTGGAACGGTGTAATGACTTTGCATTGTAATAATATCGATGTGATGACAGTTGCCGTTGTCCAATATCGAGTACACGGTGGCATCTCAAAGAACCACTGTTCCAACGGAAACTGCCCAAGTTGACCCAGTGCCTCGTCGCCTCCTCCAAGTATTGCTGCCATCATCCAAGGTATGAGACGAAAGAATGGTGGTAGGATGGTCCGAGAGAAATCATTCAAAGAATTCGGGACTTTGGACGATAGTGTAGATAGGAGAGAGAGGATGAGTGTGTCAATATGGGAAATCGCAGGTCCGAGTAATCATGATGGAACTCGTCTGCAGGGGGGTCGGTGACAATATATGAAAGGAAAAGGTTCATGTATTTGATGGTAGGTGGCCTCTTGGGAGGGGGATCGGGGGGAAGAGAGCGACATGTAACTTTGCGTGGAATGATGTCGAAATGCGCAGGCGGGTTGACGACCCTCCGAACAAGAGGGCTGGAATTCCACTGGCCGATAGACGCGCAAGCCGGACGAATTGGAATTCGAACCAAACCACTTAAGTTAACTTGTTGTGGCCACCCGAACTCGCGGCGGTAAAGCATGGTAGACGCGCGTATGATTGTGTAGAACGCACAACGCGACCTCGATTACTGTTAACGCCAGACTACAATACTACTCACTGCAACTCACCTGCATCGCTGGTCTGGAAGATATCATACCTATCCCATGTCATGAATCAACACTCAGATACATCGTACGGATAGAATTCCCGGTCGATTGCACCTGAATCACACCTTTCAGCCACCAGGGTTGCGCCCCTCCTTCAATGTTGCGACAAACCTATACGCGAGCGAAACACATCAAACCACCTCCCCGCCTGCCTATTCACCTCTTTCATGAATAATTGATTTCCCGATAAAATTTTAACATGGCTCAGACCAAAAGTGTCATGCGTCGTCCAGGGCCTACGTCTCCCAACCGTGGACAAGGATCACGAGTAAACCCTTCGCCCAGCGGGGGTGGAAAGCGACTTCGTGCTCAGCGTAAGTGTCAACCCCATGAGAAATTTCACTGTGACTCTTCTGACTGCCAGGATCTCAGCCGGCGACCCTATACCGGTGAAGAAGCCGCGCCGATACAAGCCTGGGACCCAAGCACTCAGAGAAATCCGAAGATACCAACAGTCGACCGACCTTTTGATATTGAAACTCCCATTTGCCCGCCTCGTCAGAGAAGTCTCCGTGTACATTGGCGCGCGACCAGACCTCCGGTGGCAAAGTCAGGCCATCCAAGCCCTACAAGAGGCGAGCGAAGCATTTTTAGTACATCTGTTCGAAGATACAAATCTCTGTGCGATACATGCGAAGCGAGTCACAATCATGCAAAAGGATATTCAATTGGCAAGAAGGATAAGGGGCGCCTGGGGCGGCTTAGGATGATGTTGACATCAGACATGACCATTACTCATGAATATTGTTGGCGTCGGGGGTTTGGTCAGCCCTCATTGTCGGATACAACAGAACGTTTTGATGATGACTTCCCGATACGGAGGCTGGCGTTGCACATATTTTGTGGACCGGGACGATATTTTCATTGATACCCAGAAGCTCTTGATGACTATGAGCGCCTTTGTTGGCCAAGGAACCCTACTTGGTGACCGGTACTAAATCAAACATATGCAAAGAACAGCGCCGGCTAAATTTCCCCACAACTTTTTTGTCTTGCAACCGAACATAAATCCCAAAAACATCAACTAGGGGGTGCTAGCCATTCACACTTGAGCCAAGGACCCCTTTGGTACTCGTCACGTCTCCGCTGCCTACAGCGCCCTCGGGTCTCCTCTCACACGCTTGCCTGCAGGCAACAGCAAGGGCCTTGAAGGCGCTCTCTGCTCTATGGTGGTTGTTGTGTCCATATACACAGTTGACATGCAATGTCACACTTGCGGCTTGAGCAAAACTCTCTAACCCATGCGTGAGCATTTCCGTGCTGAGGTCACCGATTTTTTCCCTGGTGAATCCGAAGTCGATCACACTGTATGGCCGATTGGACAAATCAATGACGGCCCACGACAAAGCTTCATCAAGTGGCGCGTCGCCCCGACCAAAACGAACGAGAGAGGCCCGTTTGCCTAGTGCAGCGTTGAATGCGGACCCGAGTGCGAGAAAGACATCTTCAGTAGTATGGTGGTCGTCGATGATGAGATCTCCGGAAGCTCGAATAGCTAGAGACCAGCCTGCATGCTTTGCAAGTGCATGGAGCATATGGTCTAGAAATCCAATGCCGGTAGAAATGGCAATCTGCTGGGTGGGGGTTATTTGTGTTGCATGGTGAGATGTGGGTAATGGCACTAGAACATCTGGGTGCGTCTGTTGCTGGGCTGGAGGAATAGATGAAGAGAAATGTTGCGAGGGTTCATATGCAAGGAGCGAGCCTCCGTCCAGTGATAGGGAGACCTGAATCTTGGTTTCATTTGTGATTCGGGAAAGGGTATGCGTCCGCCGCAACGTTGAAACCGGCATGGTTCGCTCAATGGATCCCATGATGCTCTTGAATAGGGTCACGAAGAGCGCCTTTTGGTCTTATAGAGGAGTCAGATGGAAATTATGAATTCGTGCAAAATACTTGCGGGCGGTGGAGATAAATTTGGCAGAGCAGGTCGGCCGAGCTCCGAGCTCCACTGTCGTTCAACTTCAACATCAGTTCGCAGTCTTCCTGTGACTTACTCCCCTAATTCACGCCTTGTCAGGTTCTCATGTGAGAGCCAAATTTTCGCAATGGTCATAAACCCCACGTATCTAGCACAGCGGACGCGGTCCTGTATGAAAATCCCCGAGAACGCAAGGTTCCTTCGAGGAGACTGACCAATCCACAGCCATCAATTGGTCGGATGCGCGCCGTCGAGTTTTGAAGTCCTACCGAGAATGGCTCAGAGCCGTACGCGAATATCTTCCTAAGCTTGACGCGAGATAAGACATGCTGAGAAAATGGAACTAGAGCCCTGAGATCCAATCGATGTATTCCCTGAACATGCCCGTCTCCAAGATCCGAACAAAAGTCAGACAAGAGTTCGAGAAGCACAGATATGTCAACAACCTACAAGCAGTGGATGTCCTGCTCACGCAGAGCCATGCAGAATTTCAAGTGGGTGGACACCAAGATATGGCTGCTCACAAGCGTACAAATACTGACAAATGGGCGACTTATTAGGAGACATTGAACTTCTGGAAGCAGAACGCACATGTTATGAAATATTTCAGGATCGAGGAGGATGAAAATGCCAGATTACCGAAGAATTTCATGTCTGGATTTCTCGAGGTACATTTGCAAAAACCGGCACGGCCCCGATTGATATTGGTACAACGGCTAACCCATCCTTTTTTTGTCGTTTCTAGGGAAGAAACTGAGCAGTTCCTTTTCGCTTAAATCACAACCCTGTACATAGCTAGAATAAAACACCCAGCGCCATCGCAATGCATCCAGTATTCAAAGAGAGGGGGGAAGAATTTCAACAAATGGTCATGATTTGTGGGCGTCAAATTCGTCTCGTGCCTCGGTGAACTCCTCCGATATGATATCGCAAGCTTCCATTAGGTCCATCAGGCCTTTTCTGAGTGCCTCTGCTGCTGTCGTCTTGGTGTCTTCTGTTCTCTGTCAGACCTTTGCGTGAACCGAGGGAAAATCTGATCGAAAAATTTCCAACTGAACTCGAGACTTACCCCATGTCTGGATCCTGATGTTCATTTTCGTCTCAGACGGATGTGGAATGGTATAGCCACAGAATTCAACATCGGGACTGGAAGACCATAAGTCTTGAACTGAAAGGTAATGGAAGGGTCGGAATTACTTTTTGTTGACGAAGTACCGGAGAGCATTTCCCAGGGTGTGGTCTTCTTTCTCAATCTGAAACGATGCGGCATGTGAGGAGGCCCCAGGAAGCTGTGAAAAGAAGAAGCGTGAGCGCCATGATGTTCAAATTGGAGACCTTGATAGAGGATTGCAGATTTCATCAGGTTTCACAACTTACAACCACTAATTTCTTTGCTCCGCCTAACAACAGCTCTTCGCCGTGGTCGTAGTCTCTGTCCTCCACTTCCTCGATTTCTTCCATTTGCTCCATTGGCGTGTCGTTTGCGGCTTCGGGCATGATTGAGTCTTATCCTCAGCACATATAGAGAAAAGAAAAAAAGAGACTTGAATTTTTCATGAGCCTTGAGCCTCCATATCTCAGACTTATCCCAAAGAGGACTAGTGCAGCCGAGACACATGAAGTCTGTACGTCTCTTCAAGATGTTCATAGATTGCAATGCCAGGCCCCATGTAAGGCTGTGTCGTTTTAGATTTTACCATGATGCAGACTCCCATCCCACATCATATCCGCCTCGGCCTGATTTCAACCGCATAGTATTGAGAAAAGTACATTTTGCGTTTATCGACAGTATGCGTAACCGTACTCGCGCGATCATAACCTCATAAAACGCATTTTCGCACAATGCTTCTGCGCCGTGACCTTTGATAACTTGCAGCTGATACTACTCAAAATTATATTGTCAGCTTCTATATCCACCTGTCATGTACGAAAGGGAATCCTTCGTGGACAAGTTAGCGCTAGCCCGTTTTATCAAAGTCATGTTCGGTTTTGGCTATCCCTCTTAATGCTCTTGGTATATCTTCCGGATATTGGCAAGGCGCCGAATCCTATACATTATACCCACCGCGAATACAAGTGTCTGGACCTAACTCAGTATTGCGCTAACTACTCAGTCCCGTTTCGATGATGTAAATCATGTCTAACACGACCAGAACTATCAACCTTTCATCAATGCTTCCCACGCCAGTGATGATCCTCCATGTTGCATTTGGCAGCGGTGTCCAGCATGTCTAATCTCACCAATGGCAATGTGGCCTCGACCTTGTCGGCTTCATTTGTCGAGTCGCGATGCTTCTGGACTTATGCTACTTTCTCTGGACGTGTGAGCTCCATGTTGTATCTCTGCACAACCATCTGCGGGGAACTCTCCCATCGACTCAATACAAATGGTGGAGTTATCGAGGTTTAGCAGAACCATGCATCCTTGACCAGCTGATGACGAAGCTGCACAAAAAGCTCGACCTTTCAGAGAATGAACCTCGTCAAGCCCTGTAATATTTTCCATGCGATATCTGGTATAAGTACCGAGGGGTAAGCTATGAAGGCCGATCGAGGATGTGCTCGGGTGTCTACACATGTCGACAGGTCAATGTATCGATACCTACACCCGGTTCGTGGAGAACGTTCTCAGCCACCCTCTCTCGAAATGGGGTTTTTAGAACAAGCGATCAAAGATATTGTCAGAGAGCAAGCTCGAGGGGAGACAATGCTTGATACTCGAGCTGATTCTTGTAAGGTGTACGCCTCACAACACACCAAGACACCAAGACTGCCGTGGGAAGCACTGATAGACCATATATTTGTCTGTGCTGTGACAGCTGCCAGTGTCAATCGTGCAAGAGGACTCCGGACCCACGATGAAAGCATAATTGGTGAATGCTACGTATGGGAAGCCGCCAGGCCTCATCTACTGCCCCAACGTTTTTGAACCCGGCAGAAATCGTGATTTGCGGAACTAAAGAGCGACTCATCGACGGAGCTTTGCGCTTCAACAACCCCGTCTGGGGATTATTTGCAGAAGCAAAAGGATATGTTCCCCACCAGATCAATCGACAGCCTCATCAGCACTGGAACGGCCCGGGGCCACCCTCTCTCGGCTGCGATTCTGGGAATCAAAAATCTTCGAAAATATCATAGTTGTTCTGAACCATGTCGCAGGGAGTTGTGGGAGAAGTCATGAGCGGATGCTTCAGCTGTTTGAGGACCAACCTGATGTCTATTTCTGTTTCAATGTGGATGCTCGTGTCTCGAAAGGATTGACCTACGAGAATGGAAGAAGCTCACGGAAGTTCAAAGTGTCACAATCAAAGTGTCACAATCGATTATCTAAATGGCTATGAGATCCAGAAGCAGGTGGAGACCGCTGTTAGCTCGCTTCTCTTGCCCCTGAATTCCAAGCGTGAGTCTTCATCTTCTCCCTCGTATTTGTCTCCAGAGAGTGGCGCATTTCAGTGGATCAGTTACATTCGTGCATTCCTTCAGCACTGACACATCAGACATTGCGCCGACAACCATTCCTGCAGCCTTGTCCAAAGCCTAGAATCTTTCAATTCCAGATATGCCGTCTTCTAGGGTCGTTCCTGTTGTTACAAACACGCAGCATCAAAAATTCACGGGAAGGATTGGTACGGCTGCTTAGGATCGCCGACACTACCTCTAGTTGGATCTCCATGGCAGGGAAAAAGTAACTTGGCTAGATATGCCTGGAATAAATCCAGAAAGACTCGGCAAGCTCACCAAATTCTATTATTTTGGAGTACATCTGTCAGGACTATCATGTCCATAACAACGCTATTTCGTTGACACCACCAGTCTTACATCAACTACTTGAGGATCGCTTGGATCTTTCCTAGCAGTGACGACGAAGCCGGGTACGCTCAGCTTGCTCAAAATCTGCCTACGCTCCCTTCTCCTTGAAGATGTCGAATTTCTCAAACTTGGACTTCAACCACATGAGGGGATAGCCCAGCTACATGAGAGGGATGATCGTCTTGGTGGCTATACTGGTTCGTACTGGCCTTGGTATGCGCATCGCTCGGGACAATCTATTCGGGCCTCTCGCAATTGAAAACCGCCATGCCGACATGGTGAAGCTCCTGGCACCTTGGTTATGATGTCAAATGGATTACATTGAGTGCTCTGAGGCCCGCTTTAGCCAGCACCTCGTTGTGCGGTTATATAGGGTATCTATGGCACCCCTCGCTTCGCCACCAGTTTTCTAAGTTTTCAGGGGCTGAGACACAGTCTTACCTTGAGCACGGTGAATCCCAGTCTGGACTAATCGATAGAGACCCTTGCCGATGGTAGAGACTCCGTTGTCGTGGGGCTGTCGAGGTGGTAAATACGGTGTTGACATCGTAAAAGGGGACATACGCATTGAGAATTGCGTAAACTTTCCAGCCAATCAATTTGCGGAACTACGACACCGAGCTACTAGCACGAAGCAAAGAAAATTGACGTCGTCGGTACGCCCCTGAATGCTGGTGCGAATTCAGAGACAGGACTGAAATGGGAAACGCTCTGCTCACTCTTGCATCAGAGTTCTACAGCGAGGAATTTGTCAAAGCATTGCTTGATAGAGGTGCGTCAGTCGATACAACCAATTCAGACGGCTGGACACTAGCTGTAGCTGCTGGCAAGAGGCGGTGTCCTGTCTTTGTCTGGCAACTTCTTCGGCAGCAGAAGGCATCTGTGACCAATTCGATCTGGTCTCCCTCCAAGGCTTTGATTTAGGCGACACTCTGTGGTTTTGTGGAGTGTGTAGAGCTGTTGCTTCGGGCACAGCCTCAGTCCAAATGCCTAGGATGTAGATGAGGGTACATGTTTCCATATTGCTGCCGACGAAGGAAATGATGAGATTGTAAGATGTCTGATCAACCACGGAGCTGACATCCAGGCGAGAAACGGGCATGATCAAATCCCACTTCTGCTTTCAACGTCGTCCCGTTGGTGCAGCTGTATGGACTTGTTGAAGGCTGGAACCAACAACACTATCAGAGGTGTGTACGGAATCTCTGCACTGAATTCGGCAGCCAACTATCCAGCAAATTTGGCGAGGATTGTGGCATGGACGGGGTAGCATGTCCCAGAGAGTGGCCAAAGTCGAGCGGCAATTCTGCGGGCTTACGTGCGAAACCTGTTGCTCGATTGCTATGAACGAACGAAATTCTTCGTCGTCTTGTGTTCTTAGGTGAGTATGTCCGCGCCTGTACACTTGTGCATTTTGCATCTCGCATAGAGAATGTGTTATATTTGATGTGCGAGGGGTACTCCAAAGATCTGGATTATAGATACCAGATATTCGGAGTATGCACCGCATGTAGCTGGGACATTTGTGAAGGGTGCTTCTGCAGATATGAAAGAAGGTGGGAGGATGACGACAGACTTTTCGAAGGACATGAAATGATTCTCATCACAAAATCAGGCTAGAATGAATTGGAGCCTCCCACACTCAAAAGTCCCTGACGAGGTAAAAGAAAAGGAACGTTACGAAGTACTGGTTGGCAGAAATGCGGACGTTCGAAGTTGATTGAGATGAGAGGAATCATTCATTGCCAAGAGAAAGATATCGGTCTCATGATGTGGCAATCGTTCTTAGATGAATTGATTGGAATGCGTTCCATTGGGCTGAACTAATAGGGAGCCCGAAGTATATACTCTTTCGATCAAATAATTGTGCAGGAAAACCCGTGGTGCTGGTCCATCGCGCACATGGACAAGTAGACAACTCGGGGTTGCGCATATCGATTTCATCTCCAGAATGGATTCTCACCACACGATAGTTGAGGTATATCTTTGCTCTGATATCCCAATAGCGCAGAGATTTTGAGGAGCTGGCGTCAAGCGGCTATTTTTTCTCAGAGTAGGACAAACACTCCGTTCTGTGCATAGTCATCTTTATCATATGGAAGGCAGATCATTCGACGGTTTTAGCAAGGCCTCTGGAGACGGGGTTCTAGTGTCCTGAATCTTCGTGCTACGCGAAGAACGGGGCGAGTGCCGCGACACAAAGGCACCGAGAGAGCAAGGACCAATGTCCCAACAGACGATGACCCGGCAATAGCGCAAAAAATCGCTAATCAGTCGGTCAATTCAGTAGCACATCATGCCACGAGTTAGTACGGAGTATCGAATCGAACAAGAGAAGAATGTCGAGAACGAGCTAGCCGGAAGGTGTACAAGGCGACTTGGGTGGATCAGGTATGAGATGAGATGTGCGAGCAAGCTGGTGCGGCTGGCAATGGAAAAGTTTGGTGCCCGGGTGGCCCAAGCGAGACAGGGATAAAAGGAGAACAACCAGGACATTTGCTGTAAGTTTTCGAGAGAGCTTGGACTAAGAGATGCAATTCCCGGCTCGGGCGTTTCAAGGCGGCTCATCATTCGCCCATCTCATCGCCATAATTGGGCGCCTCGTGGTGCTCGGCTGGAGCAAGCAAAATAACTGGGGACCGAAGGGGGCACCCAAGCTATCTGAAACTAGCGAGATGTGAGACGCACGAAGGTTGAAAAAAGAGTTAGGAAGAGAGATCAGAGTCCCGCTGAATGGTGGGCAGGGACAAACAATAGAGAAGTCAGGCTGATGGAGAACAAACATGTGTCATGCATGGAATAGGTTTTTTAAATTCTGTGCGCCATAGGGATCTTAGCTGGTTTGCCTCAAAACGAGTCGTCGTAACAGGATCGACCACTAAGAGCTGATGAGGCTTGTTTCAGAAGAATCCTGAATCAATGATCCCTCTGTCCGTTCTTTTTTATGGAACATCCTGTCCTGGCCCAAGTGAGTGCTTTTTCGAAGAATCGACATGGGGGACCTAGACAGTCGTGGCTGACAGGCCATCAAGGATCAATCAGTAATGCATCTCGAAGATGGGACCCTGAGTAATCTTCGCTTCGAATTCTGAGAATTTTTTGCAATCGCTCCAGCCTTGCTCAGGCCAATGAGACGTGGTTCTGTGCCGGATTTTGGCGCGCTGCGACTCTTCCACCTGCAGGTCTTTGCAGCAAAAACCATCCAATATTCAGGATGGTCTCAGTCCAACTGCAACGTGACAGGGCACATCGCAAAAGGCTGGTGTTGGACTACTGCCGCGTGAATCCGAACATCCGGGTCCTTCCCTTGGTGCTACCCAGCTTTTCGTGACATGTCTCGTATTTTTCTGGCTTGCACCAATCTCCTTTGATCGAGGGACTCGGGAGAGGAGACGACGTGACACGAAGCCGGAAGAGAAGGCTGCGGGGGCAGATAGTAATGATCGGCATCAGCATCAGTGCGACGACAGTTGAGAACAATGTATGGGTCACCCACCGAGTTAATTACCTGCTACGGTCGAGTGCGTTGGTGTCTTCGTCGGAAGAGGGGCCAAACAGGAGTCATTGACGCAGACATTTTCGCAATATGAAACACGGATTGCCGCACCGTGTGAAGAGGATGCCTGGAGCTGGATGCGAGGGGTCGATTATCATTCTGGGTGACTTGTTTGAGTTGGTGGTGGTCGCAATGGTGATCTCGTCGAGCAACTGAGTTGTCGTCTAATTGTGGAATCCAAGAGGCTCCCGTTGGTCAGGGTTCTGTTTGCATAGGCAAACTAATGAAGTTCGAAACAAAGACAAACATTGAAGAGTCACACAGCGAGGAAACTATGTACCAGAATAACCTGTCGCGTAACGGGAGTTGATTAGGCTTTGAGGCCCAAGCGCTGACTGCAACACGACGTCCAGACACCTGGGGCCCTGGACTCCCCTGGGGGGTGTTAGTTAAGGAGGCTCGCCCAGCTCTCTCTTGCCCTCCGGCGTCACTGCTGGTTTGGCTTCTGCCGAAAGCCTGAGACTAAGTTAGTGGTTTGAAGCAGCTCGTTACTCCGTTAGTCTGTCTCATGGGGGCGCTGAGCTGGCTGGCTTTCATCGACATTGCCACGCCTTCGCCTCTAGCCTTTTCCCTCCGCCATCCCTCCCTCATCAACCACCCATTTCCACCACGCTTCAATCCAACTCCAAAAGGGCACGTTTTCACGACGACCTTAGCCGCTCGTTGCCTTCCCATCCCAATTCCCCTCTCGTCCTATTCCATCCCATTCCGCCCTCCCACAAAACATCTAGCCTACCGAATTTTTTGTCGCCATCACCGTCACTCGCTTTTTGAGCAAGGTTGGGTCGACTTTGCGATCGAATCGCCACCCCCTCTCTCGCGCCTTCCTTCGCGAGCCCATTCGTTTGGTTGTCTGCTTTTCCATCACCTCGACTCAATATCATTCGGCTGAAAGCTCCAGGGGCCAGGAGCTCAGTGTTGGGAGAAAGAGTTGGATAACTACCCGGACAAATTTGCCCGTGCGACCCGAGTCTTCGTCTTCGTTCTCTGCCTCGAGTTTTCAATCGGCCAGCCTCGCCATGTCGACCGCTGTAGCCTCTGCGACAGTCGCTCCCCTACCAGCTCTTGACCGGAATCCAAGTCCAAGAAGCTATCCGCCATTGGCCCCTTCTACCAATGTGCCTTCAAAAGAGAGGAATTCCGACTCGGCTGCGAGTCCAGATGCCAGCGCTGCCCTGAATCCTAATGAGAGAACACCTTCAGAGGGGAAAAGGTCCCCAAGATCGTGAGTCTGCCTCGTGCTCTCCATTCGCCAACGTTGGCTGATCGTTTCTCACCAGAAACAGGAGTACCGGAAATCCCAAGATTGTCGTCAAGAAAGAGCCTCCTAGCTCTCCCTCCCTGCAAGCAGCCAGTGCACGTCACCGACCTAAGAAGTTGGACTTGAACACAAATACAAACTCCATCTCCACCGCCGTCAATTCTCGTCCATCAGCAACCCCATTAACCGCAAGGGACGGCCTCGTCATGCACGATGTTGGTTTGGCCTGTTTATCGCCTGGTTTCCAAACACAGGATCCTGCCATGCGAGAACAATTGGAGCGAAGTATCTCCGTCCGAGACCAACAGCGTTCAATAATTCAGGCAAGACTCCTGAAATCTGCGCGTGGTGACGCTCCAGATTCGGGAAAGAATAGTGAGACGACCACGACCACCAAAACTCCCGGAGGAAATTCCAAGAAGCGGCCCCCACCCGGCCTATCGATTGTGCCTCCACCGGCGGAACGATTTGCAAATGAACGAGTCATTCAATCAGCTCCCTTGAATCAGACCTTCACTGGAAGACATGAAGCTCATCCTCCCTCTCGACAAGTGAATAATCAATCCTCGAATCTGTCACAGACCTCTCACATCCATCACGTACCGGCCATCCAAACCAACAACCGTCTTCCTCCGATAGCTGATGTGTTTGGAGCCAATGAACTTAACCCTGGCCCTGCTCGACCACCTTTCTTGCACACAAACTCAACTTCTCAAAACCACGGACCTCCTCTTCCATCACCTGGTTTCCCTCCTCAAACTGCTCATCCAATGTCTCACTCGGGCCCCCCTGCTGATCGGAACCGAGAATACAGATCTGCTGAAGAGGCTGTCCACGAAATGGTTGGTGGTCGAGAAGATCTTTTGCCTAAGATCGTTCATTATGGAGGTCATCAGCCACCCACACCACCTTCGCCACACCCTGGACATAAAGATAGATTGACCCCTCATAAGTATCAACCCAGCACTCACTCTACGAGCAAGCGGAGAAGTCGCAACGAATATGAGGAGGGAAGCAGCCCGCCTTTGGGTAGTGGACGTGAACGAATCCGTTACAGTGGACCTTTTGGTGAGGGAAGAGACAGCCCGGCTACTCCAAGAGCAAAGAAGGAGGAGTTTTTGAGTTTATGCGCAAGAGCATGGGACCTATTCCACTCCTGAGTTTCAAAGCTCTGATTTTGCGCCTCTTATCTCTTGTCTATATTTTGACGCCCCCCCCTTTATTTTTTCTTTTTTTCTCACCCCCAGATTGGGCGACGGCGCTGTGTGGCGTAACGAGACTTGATGGTATTATACCGGTGCCGGCCGATTCCTGAATTTATTTCCTTTGCTGATGACCTTTTTGGGGGGGAGAAGATCGCATACTTTTTGAGCGAGGAATTGATGCTGAACTCGTGTTGATGAATGTCCAAAGGGGACACTATGTAATGACAAAACGGGACTGGCTGGACTGGGACTATTATTTATTACCACTGTGACTAGTGACGAATGGATTGATGGAATGAGACGGGACAGGGAAAAGACGCGGTGTGACTTGGGTGACGGGCGATGGGTGTCTGGAGGTGGAACAGGGCACCCCCCTCTCTTCTGTCCGCTCGATGACTATGTATCGATTCTTTCTCGATAGTCAGTTCAAGGGACTTAAGTAGAGTAGGAGAAAAAGAAAAATGCGTTGGGTCACTAGAGTTGAGGGAATTTGCACCATTTGGACTGGGACAGTAAACTCAGCCTTATCCAATGTCCTATCCCCCCAGTTTCGATATTCTCCAATTTGGAGAAGTTCCTCCCCACCTTGGCCTGCGAGGCTGACTGTCCTTTCTCCAACAAATATACCTATCACCGTCGCTCAAGTCATTTGATCAGCCATTCTTGACTTACAGTAAATTCTCTCGTTTCATTAGCGCTCCCCAGTGAAGAAATCATTCTATCTCCGCTTGCCCCACGTCCTTGACATGAGGTCCGTCGTCGAGCGGTACGTCTCTTACATCCATTGGGCCAGAAATATTACATGGAAACAGAGCGAGACGTGGACTGGTTTCGAGATCATTATATCAAGGCCGGCTGGAGTGAATCTGCTTGGAAGGGGCCAAAAGCAAAGCGAAGCAAGAAGAGTGTAAGGAGAAGGCCAAGATAGGTTTATTTGGAGGATCTATTCGAGCCCACGGGTCTTGGGCTCCTTCCCAGGTCCTGACACAAGTCAACAGGCTAAAACCATTTGTCAGTGGACGAGCTGGATTTGGATCATTGGGATTCATCGCGACTGAGAGGAGAACCCTTGTCTCCAACAGACTCAACCCCGTCACATCCACAACTTACAAGTATACCTACGACCAGAAACTCATCAACAGACCTATCATCCCATCCACTATGCGTGCTCAAGTCCTCACGGCCTTCAACGAGCCGTACACGTTGCGAACGGACTTTCCTAGCCCGCCAGCACCGCAGGGCTATGAACTTCTCATCCGCGTCCTCGCAGCCTCGTACTGCCATACAGACGCGGTCTTCGCCTCGGGTGCCATGATGCAAACTCTCCCGCGCGTCGGGTCACATGAATTCGCCGGCGTTGTGGAAGCCATGGGTCCAGAAGCCGAGCTAGTTGCAAAATCGAAGGGGTTAACTAGTGGTCAGCTCGTCGGTGTGCCTGGCCGTGCGTTCAGGTGCTGCGGTGAATGCGCCGAATGTACTGAAAATGGAGGTGATGAGGAAGGGTATGGAGTCTGGTGTCCCCGTGCAGGGAACCTGGGATTGAGTCGCGATGGCGGGTTCCAGGAGTTCTGCATCGTGGATGTCCGCCAGGTGGCGCGTGCGCCGGAGGGGGAATCCGGATCCATGAAGATGAAGGCCGTGGATATTGCGCCGCTCATGTGCGCGGGTGTTACGGTTTGGAATGCCCTTGAAACCGCGGGCGTGGATATGTCTGCTTCGTCGAGGGAAATTGGCAAGGGTAAGTCTATCGCAATAATGGGCGCGGGAGGCGGCTTAGGCCATCTGGGTGTACAGTTCGCGGCCAAGTTAGGGTGGAAAGTTGTGGCAATTGACACGACGCCTGCGATGGGGATGCTGAGAGATGTGGTTGCATCTTTAGGAGATGATGGACGCAACGTCACTGTCGTAGACGCCCTGCAGGACACTGTCGAGGCTGTGAAGAAGCGCATCTTCGGCGAAGCAGTACCAGGTCGTGAGGGCGAAAAGGGATGCGACTCTTCCATTATCCTGCCCGAGTCGCAAGCAGCTTTCGATTTCGGCATGGCCGTAATCAAGAACCACGGTACCTGCGTTACCGTGAGCTTCCCCAAGGACGGGTGGCGATTCAAGCCCGGTGATCTGGTGTTTCGACATATCAAACTTCTAGGGGTCTTGACCGGGCGTAATCACCAACTGCAGGCGATGGTGGACTTCGCGGCAAAGAACGGTGTTAGGGCAAAGATTAGGACATATCCACTGGAAAACCTGAACGAATTGGTTCAAGATTACCACCGTGGCGTGGGTGGGAAGTTGGTCGTAGATATGGAGATGAGGCCATGACTTGTTGAGAGCTTGAAACAAACGTTCTCGGGCAGAATCCATCTCGCTCTAGGTTTCATCTTTCTCGTCTCACTCTAGGCATCAACTTGGCTTCTTTGCCCTTTTCTCTCTTCCTTCGTCTCTTCTCCGCCTTGTCACGCGCCCGTGTACCCATAGCCTGCAGCCTCACCTCGTTCGCCAATTTCCTGACTTCGGCGTCTTTCAAGTAATAGGGGCGTGACTTTTTCCCCGTCCGTAGCGATTCCTTCTCTTGCTCCTTGTGTTTCTTTCGTATTTCATTCTCACGTTGTCGAGCCTCTGCATTTCGAATCTTAGATTCCATCGACATAACTTGCCGTTTCAAATTAGCGACCACGTCCGGATCTTGGGCCTTTTGGATCTGCGATTTGAGGTCTAGAATCTCTGCAGCTTGATATGTGGTTAAGAAAGAGTAGTTCTTATTCGCCTTCTCTGAGGCATTCCTGTCTCGATTCGCTGACATGACCGTCGGATCGAATCGAGGATCTCGAGCTTTCACAGCCGGTGACGGTTCGAAGATGATGCGTTTACGCGAGACTGGCTTTCGAGCTGACTCAACTGTGGGAGCATGCTTCGACGTTCGTTTCGGAGTGTCAATTCGAGCCTCCTTGGGCCATCGCCCGATATCCGAATGTTCTTCCTCATCTTCCTTCCCGTTGTTTGGTTTCGATTCTTCAATCACGTCTGCTAATTTTCGCTTTCGTCGCTTCAGATTGAACGTTTCTTGCGCCTTTGCCAATGCGCCGAAGCTAATGTCATTAAACGACAGTCCTTCTTCCGGGTCTGAGTGGCTTTGATTGGACTCGCTGCTCTGCGATTGCTCATCGTCGCGGGTTTCTTGATCTGAAGATTCTAGATCAGCGTCATCCTCATCGTATTCATGCCTTAGTCGGACGGGCCGTTCCATGAAACGTGTTGAAGCCATCCTCTGTGCGCCTCGAAGGTCATGTAGGGTATATGAAACAACTTTTTCGAAAAAGAGGTAAGTCAAATTGAACCTCCACACTCTAAACCGGTTTCAGTAAGAAGTGGCTGCGAAATCTTAAAGCAAGCTTTTGTTTTTCATTTCTTCGTATTGGAGTACTTGGAAGATTCTTGCTTTGTCGTGGAAGAAAATTTTGTTACCGTACTTCCTTTGGGAGAGCCTGCAGTGTCTGCGCATCATAAGCTGGAGGGGTTCGTTCTCAGACATTGCTCTGTTTTAGGTCTTCGTCTTTGCTGCAGTTTGCCGCCACAAGTCTACCTCGCCTTCACCCTTTTTGTCTTCAATTTCACCACTAACACCTCTCCCAGTGGCAATCCCAGCACTATGTCCTCCCGATAGCTCTCTTCAGACCTCGAGCACTGTTCTCCTCCTCCATCCAGCCGACTATGGCTCGAGCTAAGCAAGCGGCACGTATACCACGCGGAGGACCAGCTGAGGCTGGAGGTCCTGGCGGGAATGAACCTCCACAAAACAATCAAGGAATGACAATCGCTGGCCACTGCATATCTGATCAACCCTCACAACCTCAGCAAGGTGATTACTATGAATATCTGGACCGAAACAGAATTAACATATACAAAGCAGTGGACTCGTGGAGATCATACAAAAATGATTCCGTGAATCTCCAGATGACGACCGGCATACAAGCCTGCTCTCCGGCGACTGTGCTCACGATTGGCAAAGGTCAACCTCAGCAAGGGTATCAGCCTCAAGTTCAAGGCCTGAATGCGAACGTGCGTCAATTCCAAACCTCACATTCACAATTTGCGGCCAATCAATTTCCAAGGTCAGTTCATAATTTCGCTCGATATTCCACATATCGAGTTGACAAGTCATACAGAGTTTCAGATGGCCCACGGAAGAGGCGGATTGTTCAACAGGCACCAAATTCGTCGCAAATGGCCCCTCACCCACCCGGGCCGCGATACAATCTTCGGCAGAGACGACCAGACCAAATCGCGCCGTACTCTGCCCCGGCCTCACCAGATGCCGCTCTTCCATCCACGGAGGCTCCGCGTGTGCCGACGGGCTCTGTGCAAATCCCGAATCTGCCAATTCACCATGCTAGGGGTCGACGTTTTCGTTCAGCAACTCCTCGTGAAGTCGCCTCACCGCCTCCACCAGAGGCAAGCCCCGACTACAAGAGAAAGGCGGAACTCCCAACAGCTTGCAGAGAAAGCCCACAGAAGCTTTTAGTAATCCTCGATCTGAACGGTACTCTTCTTGTCAGACCAAATGGTCGCACGGATCCTAAAATGTTCAAAATCCGACCTGGTGTTAGACAACTCCTCGACTACTTGTTTGAAAACCACGTGGTGATGGTGTATTCATCCACCAGACCAGAAAATGCCACTGGCATGGTCAACAACCTTATCCACCCTACACAACGGGCCAAGATGGCTGCTGTATGGGGCCGAGATAAGTTGGATCTGTCCCAGGAGCAGTATTACAACAAAGTTCAGGTCTACAAAAATTTGCTTAAGATTTGGCGCGACAAATCCATCCAATCTAAGGCTGAACCCGGTCGAAAGTGGGATCAGAGCAACACTGTGCTTGTGGACGATTGCCGGTTGAAAGCCCTCGCACAGCCACATAATCTGTTGCAGGTTCCAGAGTTCGAGAACAATGCACCTCGACAGGGGGGACAGGCTCTACGAGAATGGCAGCTGCAACAAATGGAGATTGTTAAGTCTCTGGAGCAGAAATTAGAAGAACTCAAATGGCAAGTCGATGTATCTCGGCTTATTCGAGAGTGGCAGACAGGGAAACGACAAGCGCCCGGTGTTGTTGATGAGACGGTCGATCAAAAGACGCAAAAGAGCCTTCAACAACAACAACAAGAACCCAGCCCTGCTCCAAGTGGCGGTCAGCCAAGTGAACCTCAGAATTTTTCAACTTCCAGGAGTCCTCCACGCTTTGAGACCGACCCCCCTGAATACGAGCAAACAGATGGGACCATCGACGAACAGTCTAACACTTCGCTCCTGGACAAACTCCAAATCAGTCTTAGGAAAACCACGACCAAGGACATCCGCCGTAGTGAGTCGCCTATTGATGAGAGCGTATGGAGTGAGATTGTTACTGGAGGAAAGGCAGAAAACCAGAAACAAGAGGGCAAAGGGAAGACTTCGCAGGGCGATAACCTGCCTACTCCGGAGAGTATGGGTGCTTGACCTGCTTTCGGGGGGCTCATGATTCTTGGGAGTGTTCTTTCGACTTCCCATGCCGGACCAACGGATCAGATATGGGATTCTATTTGGCTTGAACAAGAACGGTGCTGTATGATTCTACGACCCTTGCTCTGCAGGAACGGACTTCAACCACTTGTCGTTGTGATGGACTTGAGCTCGTGCATGTATTGTTAGATACCCTACGAATGCACGACGTTATCCGGATGAATGATGCTAGAGCAAGAATAAAAGCGTGTGGTGGACGTCGATAAAGAGACGCTCAAATGATCACGGGGCACGCGTGCCAGGCTAGGGAAGCGGGATTGATCTTCAACGTTCATCACTAGATACAGCAACTGGTTTTCGTATCTTCCCAAAACTGCCCCACATCTCAACCAGTCTTTAAGCGTTTGACACCGAGAGGCAGCTCATTCCACCTCGCTTCCGCATCAGCTTTCCTTTGTTGTGCTTCCTTAGCCATCCCATTAATCTCCAGAGAATCTGCCTCCAAGCCAGCGGCGACATGAGCCCACAAGGGTTCGCCCCATCTTCTCACTTGGTGACTTGCTGCCTTGGCGCATTTTAACGCTTGCTCATCAACCGTCCCTTTGAAAAGCTTCTCCTGCATATATACGAGCGCGAGTGCGGTCGTTTGGGCGCTGCCGATGGCCTTACCAGCCTCCATGGCGCTTTTCAGAAACTGTTTGATCGTCAGCGTCGTGGTAGAGAGTACCGATATTAACAGCGAGTAGTGTGCTTGGATATATTTGTTCCCGGAATTCTGAGTGGCAGAGCCCAAACTGCTGATGAGGGAGGACAGTTGTTTGTGCTGAGGGTGACGAGGATTCTGGATGATAAAGGCCGAATTCATACTTGCAAGAATGCGGAAGTTATGGATAACATTTGAGTCAGCGTAGTAAGAATTGGGTATGTGATGTAATGCCTTCGACCCGTTTGAAAGTGGTGACTGTTGCGCTCCAAGAACGAGAGCGGGAGATTGGTATATTTCTAGAGCAGCCGTGAGGTTTCCGGTTCCCTGCAGTATGACGCCTTTCAGATATAGCAGACCGTATTTCATGTTGATCGGGAAAGCGTCACCAATATCTTCTGAAATCGCATGGACGGCTTCCAAAGTTTGCTGTGCCTGTTGCCAGAGACCTTTAGAACACTGCATAAATATGAGGAGGAACAGAAACTGGGCTTCGAGCAGTCTCTGAAAGATGTATGCTCTTTGTAATTGTCGAAAGCCCGAAGCCAGTGTCGGTTTCCTCCAAGACCGGACGAGCGAGAGCCCACTGTCCACGAACTTTTCAGCCTTGCCCCCATCAGCACCATTTTTGTATGCGGAACTATCGGCACTGAAAAGAAATCCCAAAGCCTCTGCTTCTTCTTTTCCCAGCCACGAGAATGGAAGAAAGTATCTGCCATTTCTCTCGACGACATGTCCATTGCCCTGAAGCTGAATGCCGGCAATTGCCCGCTTCGAGACGGGAATGTAAATTAAGCCGTCATCCCGCCAATTGGAATCTGAAATTGACTGATACAAGACCTCATGCATGATTTTGCGCTTCTTTTCGGTCTGTACAATGTTGGACTCTAGGACGCTGCATGACAGATCAATAAACTCCATCAGTATCGTTATTTGGGGGTTGCTCTCAACGTCTGGATTTAATTGTAATGCTCTTGCCTTTGCCAATGCCGTTTGGGCCGACGTGATTGCTTCATGACTGAGACTGGAAAGATGCAGTATAGCTTCAAGCAGAGCAGCAAAAGCGAGAAGGGCACTATCTGAATTCTGGCGGGCCAGATTGCTAATTTTTTGCATCTGGACCGTGGCGCTGTGAACCTCGCCGGGAGAAGACGATGCTAATGAGAACATGGCGTGTTGAAAACGGAAGATGTACAGCCATACAGTATGACGGTAGGCTTCGATGTCGTCGATCATCCTCTGGATATCCCTGAGCGCGGCCTTAGGTTTGGACTCGTAGAGGATTTTAGACAGTAGAAGCTGCATCTCGTACTTCAGATCGACAAATTTGTGTCGTTCACAGAGCTCAATCGACTTGGTTAGAGTTGTTTCCGCTTCATCGTAATTTTCAGTCTCTTCGTAAAGGGTTTGAGCATAGCGCAGGGATACCTGGGCCTCCCTCAGCGGTGGAAGTTTGAAATTGGACAGGACCGATTCGAGACAAGCAAGTGCCGTCGCGACTAGGTTGTAATACTCGTCGGTCAAAGTGGCATTTTTTCGCGCAGCATCAAGGTAGTCGTCCGCGAGAACGGACAGGAAGGAGGGATAGTCTGGCTCCGGCTCGTCATGGTGCTGGGGAGAGTTGTCGTGGCCAGGACTCTTGGTAGACGTTGGCTTGGGCTTTGTGTTAATTCCGATGGCCTGCAGTACACGAGGTCGGCTTTGTTGTGGATCCTTTGGTGGTGTCTCAGCCGCCGTGGTTGGTACTGGCGGTTCTTGATTTTTCCGGGAATGATCTGAAGCCATCATGTGGCTCTGGGCGTTCAAAACCGCATTTGACCAAGTTTGATGTCGACGATGGCTTTGTGGACGCTGTTGTGGGGTATGCTGTCCAAATGATTGGGATGAGGTTTGAATCTGGGGTTGAGGCTGAGGGTGGTAGTTGGGTCTGGGCTGGGACTGGTGGTATTGGTGAGATTGCTGTGAAGGAGAAGAATGTAGGGGATGAGAAGGTATGACAACATGTACGCGAGGCTGAGGAGGCTGGGGAGCGGGAGCAGGAGCAGGAGGCAGCTGCCGAGTAGCAGGACTAGAAGGTTGGTAGATGGAATTAGCCGGGTATTGTTGGAAGGGAGGCTGATAGGACTGCTGTTGGTCGTAGTAGTACTGAGGGTAATTTTGCGGGATGGACTGAGGATAGGGTTGGGGAGGGTAGGACTGATATGGAGATGGCGACTGTGGAAGCGAGTAGGTTGGTGGATGAGACTGGGGATTGAGATGAGTCTGAGGCTGAACATGCTCTCGAACGGGGTGAGGAGGGATATTCTGCTGATGCTGGTGATGATGCTGAGGTTGATGTTGACGTTGACGTTGATGCGGTGGCTGTGGTGGTGCCTGGGGGAAGTTGTTGTAGAAATAGTCGAGGTTGGAATTGAAGGGTTGGTTTGGATCCATGATGAATGAGAGATGGAAACGTCGCCGCTCTCACACACAGACAGGCGCTTCTCCCTCAGATGCGCCGCATAAGCATCTCTTCCCATCAATCACTACTCTTCAATTTCGAATTCAATCAATTCTTTGCTTACTCGGATGTTTGTCAACAGTCAAAGGCTCGTGTTTGATGCGAGTTGACCGTGCCGACAGCGAGAATCCGCTCTCCACGCTAGACCGATATCCGCGCCATCATTCTTCTCAGTCGACCTCGCAAATAATCTCTCGACTCCTCTCCCTGACAATCGTGGCCAATACGGAACATGAGAGCCCTCCAATACTGGATGGCATATGAGAACAGCTGGATACTTAAAGAAAGGTAGAGCGGCTACAAGGCTCAACGTCGAAGCGGGACGGATGACAAGAGACCGAGGCCGCCAGTCGATTGGGGCCATTTTCTTGTTTGTATATTGGAAGCATCAGCATCAGTCATCCTGGATCTGTTTCAATACCAGCTTAAGTAACGACTGCCAACCTCTTTGCGGACTTCACCAACTACCTCTCTCCTTTCAACTCCATGGATATAGATGTTTTTGTTCTTCTACGATAGAGCCAAAATGTTTCCAGATGCCATAACTTCTTTCCTTCAGAACCATTCCGTCTTTGCCACAGTCGTTGGCATTACCCTCCTAGCTACCATAGCAGTATCTCCTGCCAGAATCATAGGCATGGCTAAAACAAGATACTGGCATTCGACCCAATCCCTAATATTAAAGACCAGAGATGGTCGAACCACTTCACTTGCTGAACTGTGCAAGTCTTTCATTCCACCCTGCCGCCTCAATCCTTTACTATTCAATGGTCACCTTCAGACGATCTGGAGTGTTTTGACCCGCGAATCCGTTCCCATATACTACAAGCGCCAAATGTTCGAAAACGATGACCCAACCTATACTGGCCAATTCGCTGTCGATTTCGTTACATCTCCTCACCAAGAGTCTGACCCGAATCTACCACCTCGGACTACTTATTTCACCGAACAAGAATGGAAGAATATCGGCTCTCCTGATAATCGACCGATGCTTGTGATGCTTCACGGGCTGAGTGGAGGCTCTCATGAACTCTATCTTCGTCACGTCCTGGCACCTCTAGTGGAGGATGGGGGTTGGGATGCCTGTGTCATTATATCCAGAGGGTGTTCTAAGACCAAGGTTACCACCAGCGTTCTCTATAATGCACGCGCAACTTGGGATATAAGACATACCGTTAAGTGGTTGAAGAAGACGTTTCCGAATCGTCCCCTTTTTGGAATTGGCTTCTCACTTGGTGCTAATATCATGACCAACGTAAGAAAAGTCATCTCTCTTTGCCAGAAGTTGCAATTTTGCTCACTTCCCGCAGTATCTTGGCGAGGAAGGCAGTAATTGCGCCTTCAAAGCAGCCGTGGTTCTGTCCAACCCATGGGATCTCCAGGCTAGCAGTCTAGCATTGCAGAGAACTTGGTTTAACCGAACTGCCTATTCCAAAACCATGGGCCAAAATATGAAGATGTTGTTCGAGACGTACGTCGCTCTTACATGTCGTTTTTGGCTCCTTGATAACAGAATTTTAGACACTTTGAACAAATCTCAATGAACCCCAAGATCGACGTTGACCTCGTTCGGAAGGGCAAGTATCTCCACGAATTCGACCGGTGCGTTTCCCACTCCCCTTTCATGATCGAGTACCGCTAAGAATATAGATACGTGCAAGGGCCGACATGGGGATACCCGACGGAAGGAGCGTACTATCGTGATGCATCCTCGGTGGACTCTTTGCTTGCAATTAGGGTTCCATTCCTGGCAATCCATGCAGAAGATGATCCAGTGAGAGGAATAAACATCCTTTGGGCAGACGTTCGCGAGCTGACAGCACAGGTGACTGCAAGCGAAGCCTTGCCGCGAGAAGAAGTGCAACAAACACCATTCGGCGTTCTCTGTACCACGACCACCGGCGGACATCTAAGTTGGTTTGAGCTCGGTGGCACGAGATGGTTTGCCAAAGTCGTACGTTCCGCTGCCTCTCGTCCTTGTTTTGTCGCCGCTAACCACTTGGTCTTTTCAGACCACGGCATTCTTCCAGAAAATGGCGCATGAGATTGACTTGGATGCTGTGCCCAAGACCGATGTCAATGGCGTCCAACACGAAGGAGAGATCTCTCGCCAGCAACGAGAACCATTGACACCCATATTTGAGCCGATGAGGAGGAAGTTGCATTTGCCGGTGCCTGAGCCGGGTCATCGACGCCGTAGACGATTAGAGTAGAATAGACGTGTAGACGCTTTCTTTTCGCCATTGCCATTTCGTCCATTCACGCAAACGACACTCGCTTCGTGGTCTTCGTCTTCATCTTGGACTTCTTGCTTTCCGCGTCTCCGTTCCTCAACTCAATACCATCTCCCATCTCTTCTTCATCATTGCTATCCTTCTTTTTCCCCTTCTTCAAATCTCTCTTCACTTTCTCCAGTGCCTCCCTCTTGCTTTCCTTCTTCCTCTCTCCTTCCCTTCTTCTCGCCTCGCGGATCTCCTCCATCTGCCTTGCCTTGATCATTTTACTCTCAATCTGACCCTCTTTCTCGGCATTGACCATGGCCAGGATCGTCATCATACTCTCTTGGTCGTCGACGAAGATCTTGCCCTTTTTCTTGCCACGAGGCGCCTTCTGCACGCCAACCGGGGTGATCATGTTCAGTGCTGGTAAGTTGAGTTCTTTGTCCGTGTAGACCTTTTGTCGCCGTTTTGAGAGCTTGGAATTCGTTGAAGTCAGAAGATGTGTGCCCGGTTTGGTCTTGACTTGTTTGGCTGGGGGTCGATTAGCGGTTTTGGCTTTCAAGGTCGACGGGCCTGCCGTGGCAGATTTACGGGCTTTGGGATTGTGGTTTTTCTTTGGATTTTGGGTTGAGCTGGGCGCCATTTTGTGTAGGAGAGCCCTGCCTGTTCCTCTGAAGTGCAAGTGTACACAGTGATGCTGACTGGAGTCGAGGTCTGTCTCTAATTCATCTTCGGGAGTGGAGATTTCCCACCGCGGGAGGAATTTTGCCCTGCGAATCTGAACGTCATGAACCCTTGGCGGGACTGCGGAGTTTCAAGTCGGACCCCAATGAATCAGCAGCACACGACCACTCACTCTTTTGTCTTAACACAGGTGCTGACTTCACCTGGGCGAGGACAAGATCACCCGGACCTTCAGGCCTTTCCAATTTCTACCTTGACCAATGATACAAGTTTTCCTGGTTTAAAATGCCACTGGACTCCCAACAGGAGACCACCGAGCCAACGACCCAATCACTTCCGAAAAGGCTGGGGAGAAGGGAACCTACTAATCGACCGTTCAAATCCCTCCCAGACAGAACATTAAGTGTCGCGGGTTGGGGCTTTCTCGATGGATCGTCTAGGATGGTCCTATTCAGCGTTCCTATACATTGGTTCTTGATGAAGACCAATAGATTCTACCGCAAGCGCCTCACGCCGCAGTTTCGAGTGTACATACAAATGAGTCTCTTGATTGTCGCGGGCTGTGTCTACGCGGAAGACGCCGTCAGAAAATACAACGATGCTCATCGGAGATTGTACAAGTCACTCGAGGTGCAGGAGGCGGCGCTGGCTAAGATGCGCGAGATCCGCGAGGAGGCGGAGCAACAGAGGGAAGGCCGGTGAAGAATGAAGAAATATGCACTTGGAGATTGGAATGGGAAGTTGATGGCACAAGTACGATGAACCCTCCTCGCCTAGGAGAGATCTATATCCCGTTCCATGGCATCCACATCTAATGTGCTTTCAACCAGATGGTACTAGCCGAAGAGCCGGGACCAGGTAAACTCGAATGACAACGTGATTTACGACCTCCGGGTTTCAGAAACTTCAATGGCACCGGCGGCCACAAAAGCAAACATCCTTCATACCTACTTTCGCTACCAGCTTGCTTCTGGGCGACCAGCAGAGCTTAAACAATGCGCGATATATTCATCTGTATCAAACACTGGTCTGTTTTAGTGGAAAAAGCGCTCAAAAAGAAAGCTGGCTTACGCAACACATCTTGTCTTGTACCACATCAGAAACATTATCTTATTACAATAGTCATAAGTATCCCGCAGTCTTTGCCTAGCCCACCGCAAAATGACAGATGCGACAGAGTCCAGAACAAAGACTTAGTCTGGTAAGAGCCGACATATGTAAACGATAAAACACCAATCGTGTCCCTCCCAGTCTCAGAAGAAAAAGTCCCATCATGCATGCTCGAATGTTGATTTGCTTCAATCCTCGGTCCGGTAGGGGCGTTAATCAATTTCTTTTTTTTTTTTTCTCGCCTCAACGCCTTCGCTCGAAACCTAGTTGAGATAGCATGCGGCAATAAACTCCAAAAAAGGCAGCCATGTTCATCGTTCCTCTTGGTCCAACGAACCCCTTTTTCCAGATGACCCCAAGCGCACGATCTATTTACAATACCTGAGGGTTAAAATATGTCCAAGGCCGTATATGTGATGAACATTTATGCATCATGCTGCCCAACCAGTTCGTAACTTTGCTTCATAATTCCACCGCTCCATTTCCGCCAAAGTGGAACTCTCGAACCTCCGAATCTGAACGCACCGATGCGCGGGCTGCCAGCTGTGCGTCTTCTGGCTCCGATGATGAGGAGATGGGAGTATAACCACCAGATACTCAGTCCCACAACACCAGCAAGCAAGAAGCCAAGGGCAGTAAGAAACATCCAGTTCTTGCCCATCCAGAAAATTAACCTAGCGTCCTTGCCGTGCCAGCTGCTTCCCTTGTAGGTTTCAAAGAAACTCCAGGCATGCTTGTTGTACTCGTCGGGCATGAGGACTCGGACTCGGCCAATCCAAGTGTCACGGTCCAGGTGAGCATGTTCGCCCATCCATTTTTTCCAGATGACCGACAGGAAGAGGGGCCCGGTCGAGGCCATGATGGTGATGTACGGCAGTATCCATGACCTATTGGCTCCCTGCAAAGACTCCATGACACGTTGGAAGAAAGGATGTTGAGGGATGGCACCCATGACGTCGTTGCTGATACCCGTGGGAACCGTTCGACGAACAAACGCGGTGTAGGAGAGCAGGGGATCGAGTCTTCGTTTGCACCCATCGTCAAGATCAATGTAGACTCCGCCATAATGGGACAGGACAAAGTATCTGATGGCGTCGGCACGTTGTATGTTGTGTTTATACCCGACAAAGGTGGACAGAAACCAAGGATACTCCTGTGCAATAAAGTCATGAGATTTTTGGTCCGTCCACAATATGTACTCATAGTCGGGGTGCAAGTCTATGCAAGACTTCTGTGCAGGGACCCATTGGGTGGGAATGGACTCGTTAATGTAGGTCTGGTGAATGATTTTGGGGATCAATTGTGGGCGCGTTTCGAGTAATGTCGAGTTGGGGGCAGGGAGTTCTGATCGGTGAATTGCATCTGCGGAAGCATCCTCAATGAGAAGGGAGAGAAGAGTCGAGACTGAGTGGAGAAGGAGAGTCACGATAATGACTGTGATGAGGAGGAAGATAACCAGACTGCGGCGCATCTTGACCGGCGTTGGTGGTCAATGGCCTAGGGTCGTGAAGATGTCCAGGTATGGAGGACACAACAGCTGCAGTCTTAATGCAGCCGCACGGGGCTGTCGAGTGTAGGTGCCACAGATGTATATCGGCCAGAGGTACAAGAAAGAAGAAAGATCTCCAGGTTGAGTTTTGTGTGGTGATAAGGAGGGAAATTCAGGAGAAAAGGAGGGTAGAGGAGAGGAGCATCGTTCGGCGATGAGGTGATTTGGAGGTGTTTCTGGAGGTTGCTTGTATGAAAGAAGGAACAAGCAGGAGGTTGAATAGAAGAGGAAGCAGACCAAAGGAACGTGTAACGATGATGTCGCCGGGACTGTGAGATATGTAGACTCTACGGGTATACGAACTTTTTCTGAAGGAAATGCCCATTGCGTGTCAGTGGTTACCGAAGGAGTACCCAAAGGGTTAGGCTGGCGAACGGGCGCCTGGGGCCACGACTCTGCTAGCCTCTTGTTTGCGAAAGCGAGTGTGGCAGTGCATGCATGAAAACTTCATCCTATCGCATATGTGACCTTAATTTTTCTTCCCGTTCACTCCATCGCTCATCGCCGTTCGTTCACCTTTTCCTCCCTCGTATGCATACGCATGAGAGTCTCTCCTCCAATATCCTCGAATCCTGGTCATCGTCGGCAGACCGCCAGACTCGGCGTCAGGTCGACCTCTCTCTGTATCATACACCTACAGTCTATACGGAACTAACAGACCGTCCCGAATCGTCCCCCACCAATACGCATGCCCACGTTCCTCGCCGTTAACGGAGCCCACCAACCACAACATCAAGACTCCATGTATCGCCGGCGAATCGTCTCTTTCATTTTCCTTTCCGACACATGGGCGTCGTTAGCGTCACCGACTAAACCGTCATTCTCGGGGCTCAAAAGGGTGAACAGATTTGGCTCCCGCAAATTCTCTCTGCTGACTGGGATGAATAACCTCCGTATCGAGTATCTCATACGACGGTGCCTGGACAAACCCGTCCAGCCTTTTTGAATTTCCCTCAACTGCTAAGCCTCTGCAATTTGATCCAGAAGGCTGACTTACGAGAGGGCATTTTTAGGCCTCCGGCGGTTCCACCTCGTCGATTACGTCGAACTTTTGCCCCTGGCGTTCCTCCCTGGGCTGGAAATTCCACTCACTCGCACACGCTCTTTATCCAGCGTTTGTACTTCGCCGTGATGTCATATTATATACATTTCGTCTAGGATTCGTTGCCTCCTCCGCCTCATCCTTCTCAGGTCGGGTGTCATCGACAATATGTAAAAATTGCTCCGCGATAAATACATGTCTAGTTCCGTCCTGGGGGTATCACAAGAAATCATCAATAAACGTATCCCCTGTCCAGGTCCACCAACGAATTTCTATTTTGCGAGAGCCACACTCAATCTTCGGGCATCTCAAATATAAGCTGGCCCTTATCGCTCAACTTTTCATCAATCAAATCTAACGCAGATGGGTTTGCCATGGTTGGAGTTCGGTCCAATTGCGCCTGCTCCAGCAGCTGTGCCATCGATTCTCCAAATGTGGTGCTTTGGCGACTACCACTCTCAACAGCACCCTCATCTTCCCAAGGTACCCCTTGAGATCGACAATAGTTGCGGAACAGGTATTTCTGCATCCTCGCAACTTGCACGTTCCACTTCTCGTCGAGGGTATTCATAACTGCTGCCACATCCTGGTTGGTAAATGATGCTGTCGACGACATGGAACTACGATGGCGATGCTCGTGGATCGGCGGGCGATGTGTCTTCCCCATCCATGACCCCGTAAATGTCTTTTTGATGGATCCTCCCCCTTTGGAGGATGACTTGGGGTTTTCTGCTCGAACCATCGTCTCTATTTCTCGCCGCACTTTGTCCATCGACTTTGCTCTATCATGCTCCATCGTCGACATGTAAAGCAAGGTGTGATTTTTCTCCAATGCATCCACAAGCGCCGTGAAACTTTGCAGGTTGATGTCGTTGTGCTCGCAATGAATCTCCAGCAAAGTCTCATTCTTCTCCAATACCTCAGCCAGCGTGTTTGCACCCTGCAAGCCCAGGCTTTGATATTCAATCCGGAGCAACTTCAAAGTCTTGTTCTTCTCCAACCCCCTTAGTGCGATGTTGAGTCCAATGCCAAATCGAGTTGCATCTAGATGTGCTTGTTCGCCACTAATATCCAGCTCTTCCAATGTCTTGTTGGTGGCAAACATTTCCTTCAGCGCTTCGCAGGTTTCCACGCTGGCATCGTATGGGAGGGAAGCACGAGATATATCCAAACTCCGCAAAGAAGTGTTAATAGTAAGGGCCTTGATCAGTTCACGGAAATGGCTTTCCTTCTCAAAATCCATCATTCGCATACTTAACGAAGTGGGTCCATAACTCTGAGCTATTGTTTTAAACAGTACTGTGTTACCTGTCTTCAGCCGATTCTCGTTAGCACTAACGTGCATGACTCGCGGCTGCTTGCTATCTCTAGTCATGGATTGGAAGAAGGTTGCAAGATCACGACCGGTTAGGCCACATTGATTGACATGGAGCTCTCGGAGAATGTCGGATTTCGAAGTAGCGAGATAAGTTGATATTGAGTCTACCGTCTGTTCGTTCAAAGCCGTTTGAGACAAATGGAGAGCCTCGAGACGCCAGGCGTACAACGCATCTGGAGCCACCAAGGGTTCCGGAACCGACGTCTTCTGAACACGGGTAAGATTTAGTCGCCGGATGCGACTGAAAGCCCCAATCTCTCGCTGAAAGAGTTCCGGACTGAACCGTCCCTGGGCTCCTGATATATCGATCACCTCGACGGTACTCTCCTGAACCGCCAATGCAGACAGCAACACATCGATGTCGTGGACCGAAAGGCCACATTCACCAATCTCGAGGGCCCGAAGATGGCATTTCCTCTCTGACGCAGCATCAACAAGGTAATTCAAGTCGGATTCAGCCAGTCGCAACCCCGTGAGTACAATCCAGTCAACATTGGTCAAGGACTTTTTGCACAACGGCGCAAGGGCCTCCATGATCCCACAATCTAGAGGCTGTTCGTCGTCCGCGAGCGCTTTGTTGGGGATGGAATGAGAAAAGTCCAACCGACGTAATCTCCTGCTTTTCAGAGCCAGTCCTCTAATCTCTTGACCGAGGAGAGGCAAGTCTTGGTGACCAACAATATTTGTCGGGTGGCCCGACCGGGTGAATAGGCTGTCCAGGTCAGATCCAAAAGTATCGTACAAATGTCTCAGCGGACTAAGATTGATGCGAGCAAAGGAAATTGACGTGAACGATTCGTTGTAGCGAAGAGCCCGGAACACAGCCAGCAGTTCTAGCGCCGAGTACGAGGTCCCAGTCGCAGGGGCCAGCAGCTGAAAGCAAGGCGCATCTTCGCAGTCGTAGTCCACAGAATAACAAATTCGGGAGGGGTCTACATCGTAACCTGCACAATACGCAATAAGCGTGCGATCGAAACAATCGTGGTCCTCTTGGGGGAAATTCGGAGGGTTCATCCGGTCATCAAGTTCAGCAGGAACATCGAACAGAAATGGCTGCCGAAGCCACTCAGGTCGCAGGTATTCCGAAGAAAACCGCAGCCACAAGGCAATTTCGTCGGCAGCACAGGACGCCAATTGAGCAGTGTACGGTTGTCCAGTCGGAGGTTTGAACAGGAGTTGAAAGGCGTCTTCCTCGGCCTGAGCCTTTATTGAAGCCAAGGTGACAATGCCAAAGGATGTCGTTGCGTCAATATCAGTCAGAGAGGTGCTTGACGATCGTGATGCTGACCGTTGTAAGGGAATCAAGTGAACTCTGTGAAGACCAATGGCTAGATAGCAAATGGCTGATCCTAGTCGGGTCAGATCTTCGGCTGAAGCCCTCCCCACGGATCGGCTGGCCGAGCGCTGAACAATCTTGAAAACGTGAAAATGTTCCGGGTCATAATCTCTCTCCCGTTCAAGGACTTGGGCAAGATGCTCTATGGTTTGTTCCTGCACTTGCCTTGGAAGGAGAGACCTTGCCTGCCGAGATGCTGAGCGGATAGCAGAGATCCACAAGCCTGCTTCCCGGACCTCGTTGACTTGCAATTGCATCATTGATGCCTTCCTGGTGCGCTCATCAAGGTAGGCCACTTCCACCACGAGAAAAGGTCGCCCATCGTCGATTTTGTACACGGCAATGACTTGCTCGAGAGGAATACCCGAGGTTATATCCGAGTATGCTGCCATTTGAAGCTCTTGGTAAGAACTCACTGACGATGTCCGCGGAGCGTGACCCCGATTGAGGCTGCTGGGAATACTCGGAAACATCTCGACTGCTTTGGCCTGGCTTCTAAACCGAATGAGATGTGATTCGGTCAACACCATAAAATGAGTTCGTTTCCGAAAGACATTGGCGCCTGCAGCTTGGACTTCTCCATACTGCAAAACTTTGCAACCAAAGAGTCCCTTAGCATTCATTTCGGCTTCGTCGTGGAGAGATGAAGCTTTAGAATCCGACCTTGTCAAGGCAGTCTTTTCTTCTTCATCGAGAGAGTGTAAGGAGCGTAGCGAGCCGAAGACAGAAGTCCGATTTGCCTTTTGTAACGTCCTGGGACGAGTCTTTGGGCTAGGTTGCTCAGAGTCGACTGGACTGGGAGTCTGAATGTCGTTGGGTCGTTTCCCCAAAGGACTGTCTGGTATTTGTATGGACGGACTGGGGTTCGCTTTCTGGCGGAAGATGCTCAGGCTTTTCCTCCTCCGTTTGTCGGCCATTTTGACAAATACTTCCCAAGTCCGTCAGGTCAGGAAAGATTCGCAGATGTAGAAACACACATGTTCACAGAGTGCGTCGCACTCGAAGGTGCCCACCCGCCATTTAATGTATCCACCTCTTCACTCAAAACGTCCCAGTTAGGTTCTGGGACATGGGCGGAGAGAGTGGTAAGCGCTGCATGCGACTTGGCTCGATCCAGAGAAAAAAACAGACTATGGAGGGTCGGGGGGCTGTGCTTCGTGTCTGGAACCGGGTAAAGTTTAATGAGCAATATATTGAAGTGATCAAGGAAACGCAAGGCAGGCTGTAAGAGCACTGGTGGATCGGTGGTCGGGTGAGGTGTATTGAATAATAATAGTTACGTAGGAATAGTCAACAGCAGCGGCGGAGGGGTAGATTCGCATTGAGAATCACGATGAAGCCGGAGACTGGAGCCGGTGAATTATCCAGATGGCAAAGTTGACAGATGGCAGGACTCTAGAAGTCTCGATTCCCGACGCGGACTAAGTGAGGGACGCCCAAACTGGGGTGACGTCGACAACTATGCACGTTGGAGTTCTACCAGCTCCCAAACAAGTCTCTTTGCTCGACTTTGGGTACATCGAACGGGGTATTACCCATCACTCATTGGCAATCTATCAGGCTTCCATCGACCAGCACTATTCGAGCACAAGACCTACTTGTAACCGACGACATCTCATGATAGCGACTCCGCAGCACCGCAGATATGCTTCGGTCTACCACTGCGATTGGCGAGCTCCCAGAAAGTCTATGTTAACCCTATCATCCACCTGCCAATATCTGCTAGAGATTGCCGGACCACGCCACAGCGGTAATTTCGCTTTTGGGGGGGGTCAACCTCCTGCATTCCGGCCCGGTCTTACATTTTCAATCGTGAACGAGAAACGAACGAGCATAATAGTGGGAAGTGGTGGAGGAAGACGCATGGAAGGGGCCTATACGAGTCATTGAGTATCCGGAATTTATCCACTCCTCAATGAAACATGTCTCTGTCATATCAAATAATGTGGTCCGCCTCCGTTTTATTCTTAAACTGCATCTGGAACGTCGCACATGACAAAACAATATTGATACTTTTTCATCGTAACACAGTGCCCAAACACATGTCATGTCATATCTATGATGGACTGCCAATCCCTTTGATAATGTACAGAACCAACCAACCAACTTTTTTTTTATTTCTTATTTGCCCCTACGCTCCTCCATCTCCGTAAAGGACAATTCGCTCGTTCTGAGCATCCAGTTCATCCCACTTTTTGCGCCATTGAGCTCCGTCCTTACTCATCGAAACCAGCCGCTTGATGTAATACCCAACTGCCTCATCTTGCTCTTGAGGCTCTTCCAAGTTAGCTTTGCGTCGAGCCTTGCATAGGGTATAATTCCGACGCCCTGATGCTTCCGGCAGAGGCGTCAGAGTGTACTCAACCTTCCACGTGTCATTTGCCGTCAGGTTCTGTGGCCGGATGATTGGAAGCTCATTCACCAGATTGCGGACATTCAACTTCCAAGCCAATATTTCTTTCTCCTGGACTGGTTCTCGCTTTTGCAAGGACTGAGAATCAGGCTCTTCGGTGGGGTTAACCTTGTCAGAGGTACGCATATCCACGCCCATTAGGCTTTCCAAGAATGCAACATCTGCAGCATTTGACTCACGAACGGGACCAACGTCTGCGTCACTCCGAGTTGACATGTGTGCAGAGGGTGATGTCGCTCTGCCTAGGTCTGTAGACTTTTCAGGATCAAGTGCAGACTCTGCCAGAATCTGCTCTTCCTCCGTCATCGCATCGTCCTCTCCAGCGTTTTCGGAAGCAGGAGATCGGTGCGGATGGAAGATTCGCTGCTCGTAGGCTTCAATTTCTTTCTGTTTGGAAGTCTGAACTTCCAGTATTTCTTCCTCTGATACTGGTTCAGCAAAAATATACATATGAGGCGGCGAGGCAGCTGTGGCGGCTCTCGCCTCGAAGTGGAATCGCAAAGACCGATTTGGAAACTTGGCTGTTGCTGCGTCGAAAACCTCGTTCAAAAGTTTGAAGCTCAATTGAAATTCTCGGTCTCCTAAAGTCCTGTCTGTTTGACCGTGCAACGCGAAGTCCAGTTCCGAAAGAGGCACGTATTGGAAGCCAAAGAGGCGCTCCGTGTTATGATAGGCCACGAATATACCGTCCATTCGACCCATTCGAACTTGAAGCGAATACTTGAGAAAAGCCGACCGCATCATGTCATGGTACTCTCGTTCATACGACTCCCAGGTGCCAAATCTCTCTTTGATTTGATAGCCGGCACCGACTTCGTGGTTCATAATCATCATACGAACCGCCGCCACCGCCCGAGTCTTGAGATCGAACATGCCGGTGCCCGGAAGTCGAGGGTCTTGCGCATCAAGTTGAGCGCGAAGTAAGAATGAACCGAGCCCACTGTAGTGATATGCCTCCGGTTTCTTTGACTGGATGTTCGCATCTTGGGTAGCATCGTGTGTCCTTCGATATCGTTCGAATTCATCCTTTTCCACGGTCAACAGCTTCTCCATGGATCGGCCCAAGCTCATCAGGATATTCGCCGAGTCAAACTCCTTGTCTGCGTCAACAGCATACACACCGTCTTGATATCGAAGGAAGATTGCTGTTGGCCCTCTCTGAAGCCTCGTGAATGTCTTTCCCTCGTCCTTGAAACCCCGTGTCAGATGATCCATGTTCAGCTCACGCCAAGCGGAAAGAAGAAAGTGGAAGTGTGATAAAATTCCAGACATGCTTGAAGTCGAGCCGATATAGCGCTTCTGATGCTTTAATGCCACATCTCGGAGATGAGAATCTTCGGACGAGGTGACATATTTATTCAAAGCATCATAATTGAACTCGGAAACGGGCATAATATTGCCCAGGTAGGGATCAAAATTCCATACTCTGGATCGTGGATCCTGCAATTGATAGACGCCCGGGTTGAAAAGAACGCGCGACAAATCATGGCTCAACGTAGGCACCTTGGGTCTTTCTATTGGCAACGGTACCAATGGATAATTCTCAACCGTCGCTACTTGCATGAGATCCTGGTCCAAGACTGCAATTTTGCCATGACCCAAAGTAGCGACCTTCGCAATCATCGGACTATTATCCTCAGTGCTGGTTCCGCCTGCGGCGTTCCGTAGGCGTGTGACGTGCTTCCGAATTGTCGACCTTTTAATCTTCGTGGCGGCTTCTGCTGCAGTGCTCCGTTTTGACGCGCTGGTTTGGCAAGGGACAATACCGAGGTCCACTAGAATTTTTCTCGACGCCTCATCATTCACGAGCTTAGTCTTGCCAAGGAAGAAGGGCTGGAGCTGTTCAAGATCAGAATCCAAATCTTTGAGGGTTCGCCCTGCGTATGCTTTTCGAAGCTCTCTCGATGCTCGGCGCAAGCCTCTGCTCCGTTTGTTCAGCTCGACCTTGCCTATCACATCTTCAAGAGGCAATTCCTGAAACGTAGGGACACCATCAGTGATGGATTGTGAAGCAGTGCGCATCAGGATCTGGCGAAAGTCATCATAGAGCTTAATTTTTTGTTTTTGCTGCAGTGACAAACTGAATCCAAGATTCAGCGGCGTTGAAGCTATGTCTCTCCCAGCAGAGGGTCTGTGTTTCCTGACCACCTGACTCTTTTGGACTCTCCCATCGTCGATATTCCCGGTTATAGAGCGCTTATGGGATCGGGCAGTTCGCCCATGTCGCGTGCTAGTGCCAGAGAGGGAGCGGAAGGATGAGAAAGAGGAGCCGTTAGAAGGTGATGCGACGGACTTCGGTGGTATCAAGGCCAATAGCTGTGGACGACCTTTGAGTAGACATGATAGACATACATGCTGCCTGACCACCAGGGGCAGCATATATTCGGAATTTTGAGATGAACCCTAGAAAAAGACCGCTGGACGTACAGCGAGTACTGTGATTCCTGAGCCACGAAGAAAAGTTAGAAGCAAAAAAAGGAAAACCGAAATCCTCCCAACTACTAATAAGACAATGCAATGAGAATACTTGGGATCTGGCAAAATGCCAACGTCAACCATGGCCCGACGCGAACATTTTTTACCCTTGGGCGCTTGAAATGCTTCTGTACTTCTAACACTCCACCATAGTTGATTCTACGGCAACGTGTTTGTTTGCCATGTGTTCGATATTTCATCCACCACGTTGAAAGATCTCCCTCCACGCTCTAGAACCAGATCACAAATTTTCTACTGGTATCAGACAAGAATCTAATTGGCACGTTTACACCTTCCACACCACCAGTTTCATTCCCAATTTCCTCCAACTCCATGCTACTACACCCAGATACCCATCACTAAGGCAAGATAGTACCATCAATATTGAAGAACTTGGCTCCGTCAACCGTGCTCAGACCTTTCACGATCTTCATGATCTTCTGGACTAATTCTGTTGCCGGCATGGCTCCGGGACCAGCCAAATTGCCCATGTCTGTAGCTACCCATCCAGGATGAATGGAGACAACAGTAAACCCCCGGTCGCGAAGTTCATTGTGAAATTGAACCGCCAACATGTTGCCAGCTGCTTTGCTTGTCGCGTCAGGCCCTCGAAGACCCCATTCTGAGTCAACTTGTTTGGTGAGAGAGGGAGTAGTCGATGAGATGAAGATGATTCTTTTGGTCCTGCGTGCTTGAAGTGCGGGTAGGAACGCTTTGACGACCCGATGCGCCCCGACGACGTTATTGTAGCAGTCGCTCAGACGATATTTCTGTGAGACGTTCGTCTTCGCCCATAGCCGCGTTGACGATCAAGTTGTCGGCTTCCTTGATTGCTTCAGCCGCCTTTTCAACCGATACCGCGTTGGTCTGGTCGAGCTGAATGACTTGGATGTTAGGTTCGCTTAGAACGACAGGCTTGCGCATGGTCGCAATTACACGATCTTGAGGGCTCTGAGCGAGGAATTTGGCCAACCCCAAGCCAATGTCCCTACTGGCGCCAACAACGATGGTTGTGTTTGAGATCATTTTCGTTTGAATCGGAAAATAAAAGCTTCGATAAGTATACAAGTTGGGAGACAGAGCGTACGTGCCGAGCGATTTCCATTTCGTTTGTGCTGCTTACTGATGAAAATGTGAAGAGTGAATAGCTCGAGAGAGACAGATGCGACATACTGTTATATAGACATTCCTTCTCTCACGGTGGGCTGAATGAGGGAGCATCCACTCAACTCCTATCACCGACAAGGCTGAATGTCCCAACGGTCTGCGGAAGCGAAAACGCTCCGCCTCCCCACGAAGTGACGAGTCAGTTTCCCCAGCCTGAAAAACGCCGCAACCCGCCCTCGGGAGGTATCAGCGACACGCATTATGCAAGAGATTATGTCACATTGCATTCGAACTGGTGGGTTTCGCGACCAGACAACATCCGCATCTCTGTTTTGTTCACCATCAGAACGTGTTGTCAGCTTCCTTGTACTTCCCCCAACGAAGAGGAAGACTTTGAAGGCTTTCTCCGTGCATCCAGACTGCAAGAACATGAGGTAAAGAATTGTCCAGAGGGTCATGAGTCCCAGGATTCCAGGTTCTTCAGGATACACCCTTCTTTGCCTTCATCCCTGGTCACAAGATTTCCAACCTTGAAGACCGTTTCTCCTTCCGCTTCCAGGATTTTCTTAACTTCTCCAGAAGCCACATTTGATACGACGAGGACCATTCCGATCCCATTATTAAAGGTGCGACTCATCTCTTCATTGTTTACCTTGCCTGCTTGCTGAAGCCACTTAAAAACCCTGGGCCGTTTCCACGTGGTCACGTCAATTTCCGCTGCCAGATGATCAGGTAACATTCGCGGTATGTTCTCTATCAAGCCTCCGCCTGTGATGTGAGCCATCCCCTTAATCAAGTCTCGCTTGACCGCTTGCAATAGGGGAACGACATAAATTCGTGTTGGAGTCAGCAGTGATTTGCCAACCGACATTTCCGGATCCCAAGGTGCAGAGTCTGAGAAAGCAAGGTGCATTTTTTCAATGATTCGCCGGACCAACGAGAAACCATTTGAATGTATGCCGCTCGATGCCAGGCCCAGGAGGACGTCATCCTCAATCATGCTTTCTCTATCTGGCAACACTCTCTTCCCGGCGGGTGTATCGATGGCTCCCAAGGCGGCGCCAACTGCGTCATATTCCGTACCACTCAACAGACCAGGCATTTCCGCTGTTTCGCCTCCAACAAGGGCGCAATTAGCCATCTTGCAACCTTCACAAACACCCCGAATGAAGACACTTGCAATGTCTACATCGAGAATGCTGCAAGTGTAGCAGTCGAGAAACATCAATGGTTCTGCGCCTTGCACAACAAGGTCATTCACATTCATGGCCACCAGATCCACACCAACGGTATCATGAATGTCCATTGCGTGCGCAATCTTAAGTTTGGTCCCGACTCCATCGATGGCTCCGATGAGCATAGGGGACTTTTCATGATAACCTGCTTTTGCCAGATCGAATCCTCCGCCAAAGCCACCGATGATGGCATCAGCACCAGGACGTGAGGTCGATCTCACTGCTGGCTTGATTCTAGAGATGAGGCTGTTTCCTGCGTCAATAGATACGCCCGCGGAAGCGTATGTCATTGGAGCGTTTTCCGGGCCTTTTTCTTGTTCTTTTCTTTTAAATGCCCGATGAGCAATATCTTTTCTGAAGTGCATTCCTTGAAATTTGATACTGTCCATTCCCCTGTATGCTCTGGCCACTGCATCCTCCAAGGTTGCTGCTGTTGAGGTCGAAGCAATGACACGGCCTCCTGTAGAAACCACTTGCTTCTCGTCTCTACTCGTACCAGCATGGAAGATGAACGTGTCCTCTGGAGTTTGGTGTAAGGTGATTGGCCTATTCTTCGCGTATGTCTCAGGGTAGCCTTCAGCGCAAGCAACCACTGTGGCAGCGAATTTGGGTTCAATTTTGAGATCAACACCATCCAGCCAATGTTCTGTGCAAGCCTGCATAACTTTAGCAAGATCCGTGTCATCGCTCAGAAGCGGGAGTAGAGTCTGTGTCTCCGGGTCGCCTCCTCTGACATTGTACTCGAGCACTTTCGGTCCGTCCTTGGTGATCATCAAACCAGTAAAAAGCATACCGACAAAAGGCATGCCTTCTCGTCTCATACAGTCAATAGTGGGCTGGACGATTTCCCGGTCGATCTGAGCAATCAGCTCTTTTGAAGCTACTCTCGTCGGCGCATAGCAGCCCATGCCACCAGTATTTGGGCCTCGATCCCCATCCAGAGCCCGTTTGTGGTCTTGGGCAGGGGGGAGTGACCTTATCGTGTAGCCATCGCTGAATGATAGCACACTCAACTCCTCACCTTCCAGATATTCCTCGATGACGACTTGTGACCCAGCCGAACCAAATTCTCGTGCAACCATGATCTTCTTCAGGGCATCGCGTGCCTCCTCCTTTGTGGTTGGAATAATGACACCTTTCCCTGCAGCGAGTCCGTCTGCTTTGATGACGACGTCATGCGTGACCGAATCCAGATACTGGCGAGCTGGCTCGTACTCATTGAAATTTCGGAATGCCGCCGTAGGAATTCCATGTCGTTGCATGAAATCCTTTGAGAATGTTTTGGATCCTTCCATTCTTGCAGCAGCCTTGCTTGGTCCGAAGCAGCGAATACCAACGGCTCGAAAAGATCCTTCAATACCAGCGACCAGAGGCGCCTCTGGACCAACTACCACCAAATTCAGACCATGCTTCCTAGCATGGGAGACTAATTCTGTGAAGTCATTGGCAGATATCTTGATGTTGATAACATTGTCGGACTCTGTCCCTCCGTTGCCAGGGGCAATATGGACTACATCAACAAACGGGGATTTTGCCAATTTCCAGGCGAGAGCATGTTCTCGACCGCCGGAACCAATGACTAGAATACGTAACCTTTCCGTCATGGCGAATTGTGACGTTTTCCGCAAGGAATCTGGAAGTGAGGACGTCAGTGAATGTCCTTCCATGACTTGGGAAGGGGGTTGATTTGGGACGGCATGTTCCCGAATTCAAAGTAAAGATAAGATAGAGGGGAGGGAGCAAAATGAGGGAGATCGCTACATGTCATGGGATATTTCTACCACCATAGAATAAAGCTCAAAGGCTTTTGCAGAATTTTCTTGTTCTCTGGCAGCTGGTTGGCTGGCCTCGGACAAGTACGACGGGATATAGAAGACGAAGAGGAAACGCAGAGTTCCAACACAGCATTGCAGATACCTACCTTGCGAAAAGAGTCGAGAGATTCTCGTCGGAGTAAAGATACGAAAGCTTACACTATCAATTCTCCATGAGTATTCAGAAAGAAAGAAAAAGGTTTTTTTTTTTTTTTTTTTTTTTTTTTCTTCGCAGTGCCCTCGAGGGGAAATCTGATGCCAAGGTGAGTACTCCGCCGTATAAGAGTTGTTCTCTCCCGAACGCTCCAACGTAATTCTTTTGGTCTTAGGATTGGCCCACGAACGTCGTGTGAAGACACAGAAATCATTTTCAGTCAATAGTCAGCAAGTTGTGCTATAGACTTGGAGAACGTTGATTCTCAGCTGATATTCGACAAGAGCTTCGCGATACCTTGAATACCTCTGGTTTGGAATGAATACATTATGAACTTTACTCACCAGATCTTCACCAACATTTCCTACTGAATATTCTCCTTACAATCTATTGATTGTCCCGGTGCGCGACTGTCAATAGCGTTCCCACCAGCACCCAGCGCCCGATCCAGCTTGGCCTGGCCCCCCAGTGCCTTCAGCATGTATCTTATAAGTCAGTCGCCTATCCCTAAGCGCTTTCCGTATCAGAGACCGTGGACCTAACATAACTAGAGGTACCATGTTCATCGGCCAACATTGGTAAGGCATTGTACCATGTTCTCTGTAACCTCTTCCTCCTCTGACGGTCCCACTCAGGCCCGGGCTTCGATGTCATTGGTCTGGCGCTGTCAATGTATCTCGAGCTGCGAGTGAGCGTGGACAAGTCTCAGCCTTCATCACCATCCAATCCTCTGAACTGTATGGTATCCTATTCGGGCGTTGGCGCTGAGGACATTGACCTGAACCCGGAGAACAACCTCCTGACGCGGACGGCGCTCTACATCCTTCGCTGTCATAACCAGCGCGACTTCCCCGTTCAGACGTACGTGCACATCCACAACCCGATTCCTCTGGGCCGAGGACTAGGCTCATCAGGCGCCGCCGTCGTGGCTGGAGTGCTCCTGGGGAATGTAGTTGGAAACCTCAACCTCCCGAAAGCTCGCCTGCTAGATTTTTGTCTCATGGTTGAGCGGCACCCGGACAACGTCGCGGCCGCACTCTATGGAGGGTTCGTGGGGACCTACCTGAACGAACTCGATCCCGCGGACATGGCGCGAAAAGAAGTCCCTCTCTCAGAAGTGTTGCCTCAACCGGCTGGCGGTCTCGACACAGGTCTTGTCCCGCCCATTCCGCCCGAGAATATCGGGCATTATCGAAGATTTAACTGGGCCAAGGAGATCAAGGCTCTAGCCATAATCCCGGATTTCGAAGTCAGCACGGCCAAGGCTAGAGAGGTACTGCCCAAGTCATACTCACGGCAAGACATGGTGAGTTTGCATCATTTTCAGACTCCCTCCAATTGCAACCGCGACCATACCCATCAACCAATTTTGGTCGTAAGTCTAATTGCAGTAGATCTTCAACCTCCAAAGGCTGGCACTCCTAACAACCGTGCTGTCCGACTCTCCTCCTGATCCAGATCTGATCTACAGTGCGATGCAAGACAAGATCCACCAGCCCTATCGCAAGACCCTGATCCCGGCACTACCGGCCATCTTGTCTTCCATGTCCCCCAAAACCCACAAAGGCCTATTGGGGATCTGCCTGTCGGGTGCCGGACCGACGATTCTGGCACTCGCAACGGAGAATTTCGATGCCATTGCCGGAGTCATCCTCCAACGATTCAAGGACGAGGGCATCGCCTGCGAGTGGAAGATTTTGGAACCGGCTGAAGATGGTGCCACAGTCCACGAGGTGCCAGGGGATGTGCCGGCTTATTTACGAGAAATCATCAAGCCTCAAAACGGGGCATAGCGAACCAGAAAGCCTTCTTCACCTTTAGGACGCAAATCAACAAGGGTGACCCGTATTCAAGCACAGAGACCAAAAATCACGAAAACCTAAACTTGCTAGCCATTGCAATCCTAGACACTATTGGAATGGTGCTACTCATTGAAGATGTTGACTTCCTTGTCTCGATACAAAGCTCCAATGACCCCCACCCCCCTCGGTGTTTCAGACGCGCTTTATCCGTGCCAGTTCACAATTACTTTTCGGCCTTCCGCCACCACCTTTGCCCTCCACAATTCTATTCTCCGCCTGCAATTGGTCTCATCAAGATCTTGACGTCGTTCACTGCTGATTCTAGAAAATCGCTGCGTTTCAATTGGAGTATCAAGCAGTTTGGGATGCTCGAAAAGGGTTTAGAAGCACTTGCGGTGGACAATCGAAGGACCACTCTCATCGTACTCTTGCTTGGAGATCCACATTTGCTGGAAGGTGGAAAGAGATGCCAAAATGGAACCTCCGATCCAGACAGAGTATTTACGCTCAGGTGGCGCAATGATCTTGACCTTCATAGAAGACGGTGCAAGAGCGGTAATTTCCTTTTGCATACGGTCGGAAATACCTGGGTACATAGTGGTACCGCCAGACTACAATGATGTCAGTAACTACATCAGAGGATGCATATCGGTAGACCTTACCATGACAATGTTACCGTACAAGTCCTTACGAACATCGACATCACACTTCATGATGGAGTTGAAAGTGGTGACGTGAATACCGCCAGATTCAAGACCAAGAACGCTGGGCTGGAAAAGGGCCTCAGGAGCTCGGAATCGTTCGTTGCCGATGGTGATGACCTGACCATCGGGAAGTTCATATGATTTCTCCAAGCTGGAGCTTTGAGAAGCAGTCTGAATCTCCTGCTCGAAGTCAAGCGCAACGTAGCAGAGTTTCTCCTTGATGTCTCGAACGATTTCTCGCTCGGCAGTGGTGGAGAAAGTGTAGCCTCGCTCAGCCAAGATCTTCATCAGGTAGTCGGTTAAATCACGACCAGCCATATCGACACGGGAGATGGCGTGGGGAAGTGAGAAACCCTCATAGATAGGGACGACGTGAGTGACACCATCGCCAGAGTCAAGGACGATGCCAGTGGTACGACCGGAGGCGTAAAGGGAAAGCACGGCCTGGATAGAGACATAGAAGGCGGGAGCGTTGAAGGTCTCGAAGACGATCTGCGTCATCTTTTCTCTGTTGGACTTGGGGTTGATAGGAGCCTCAGTCAACAAGACAGGGTGCTCTTCGGGAGCCACTCGCAATTCGTTGTAGAAAGTGTGGTGCCAAATCTTTTCCATGTCATCCCAGTTGGTGACCACACCGTGTTCGATAGGATATCTCAGCGTCAAAATACCACGCTTGGATTGGGCTTCGTCACCGACGTACGAGTCTTTCTGACCCATACCGATCATGATACCGTGGTGACGAGGTCGACCGACAATGGATGCTATCAAAATATTAGACTCCTCGATCTCGTGTCCGTTGGGATCAATCACCGGGAAGTGTACTTACGGAAAACCGCTCGTGGCGCATCATCACCAGCAAAGCCAGCTTTGCACATGCCAGAGCTGGAGAGATATTATCGTTAGTACCATATTCACGATATTTTCGTGGTTTTTGGCTCCCGATGTTCCCATAACTCAGACTACCAAGTTGAGATGGAAGTGTCGTACGGCAGTCAAATTCTTCAGGCTTGGGATGATGGGCGCAGGGCTTACCCATTGTCAATAACGAGAGCAGCAACTTCTTCTGTAAAGAGAATGTCATATTAGCACTTGATCAGGTGTGACAATAGTTATGACAAGCAACTGAGGCTAGGAGCGATTCCGCTTACCCTCCATGTTGACGATTTGGTCGAGGATCAGAAGAGGGGAATAGTCAAGGGCGGTTGAAGTGAGAGAGGTGTAAAGTACTCGAGATACGGGAAGGTGGGAAAATCCTCCGGAATGACGAGCAAGGAGATTGGACGAGTAGAAGGATGAAGACGGAGACAAAAAGTTGGGAACGCGGACGGTAAGATAGATTTGAACAGCTGGTGCAGTGTGAATTAGGTGCAGAGTGGGAGTGAGCAAGGCGGTGGGCGGTGCACTAAGGGGAAGCAGCGCCAAGACCAAGCTGATCGAGCTTCGGAGTGTGATACTGGCTAATAGCTTACCACCTCACACCGTCTTGTCTCTCTGCTGTTCTAGAGCATCGGGACAGACTAATATAAGTACGGAGGACCTTGAGAAGGCAAGTTTGGGATTTTGGTTGAGGCAATAAAGACCGGAGACCAGTAGTATGGAGATGCCTTGCCACGCCGGAAGTGGTATGATACCGACATTCAATGTACCCCTAGTGCTAAATAATAAGGAGAGGTACCTAATCTCAATGTACCTCTACTATGGACCGTTCTCGAGTGGTGGCATGGGCCACACAATGCGCTTTCTCCAGCGTCAAATTGAAACAAGAGCCTCGTCACGTCCCACTGTAAGGAACAGGCAACGACAATTTTGCTGGTTGTATCTGCTGCCGGCCTGATCATCACCCGAGAAGTTGCAAAGGCTTCCATGGTTATCAGTGCGGCTGATGATGACGGATACTGCAGTACGTCACTGGACTATCTACATGCTCCTCTACGGTCCTCTATTTTTGGAATCCTGCCATTCCAAACACTGTACGAAGACATTTCAGCATTCAATATTGAATCTCTGCCGACCCATCTTGCACATGTCAAGGATGGAGCGAAACTTTGTTGGGTCGACCAGCCCACACAGCAATACGCCTGGCGTACAAGCCATCGCTTTAGCCCAGAGGCTACCAGATGAAATAGGTATGCAAAATTTTGTTCCGTGCCACAATGGCGGGGTAGCCTCTGGTTAGTCAGAACGTTCCGACAGCAAGGCGCTCTGAGCCGCCGACGTGATTCTGGATTGCGGGCTTCACCGCCACCAACCGCCGATTCAATGTGGCAGTATATCACTTGAACATCCCCGGACTATCGAGATTCTGTTGGGATTCCTCGAGCTCACCCTTGTCTCCCCTCGAAGATTTATGAGTTCATCATGTAACTGTCCTCCGTGACCATTTTGAAGCCTCCAACCTCATATTCTGAGGACAGCTATCCGTTCGAAACCAAAAGAATATCGCAGTAGGTACTGGAAATCACTACGGCCTCAAGCCGGCCAAGACTCTTCAGAAGCATCACTTTCTTCTTTACATACCCCCCAACCATCCATGCGCGTAGACTATCGACATCGAAAGTGTTGTCTCTACCCTTGTTTCATTGCACAAACCACAGCCTTCACACAATGGATCCTGGATTGAACTCTCTCCTAAAATGGAGTGTCGAGAATTCCGAGGTCTCAGGCCGATCACCAGGCCAGCCCGTCAGAGAACCGAGAGGACTATCAGCTGATGCTCTACGGGTGTTAATGGGTGGTCCCAGTGATGCTGATTTGATGCGCGAAGCCATGACTATCATCGCCTCTTCAGATCCCGAAGTCACCCACGACGCTAAAATGACAGCGTTCGACAACTTTGAGCAACTGGTTGAAAATATTGACAACGCCAACAATATGGAGCCTCTGGGTCTGTGGACGCCACTGCTCTCTCAGCTGGATAGTCCCGTAGCCGACTTGCGACGGATGGCGGCCTGGTGTCTAGGCACAGCGGTCCAGAACAATGTGAAAGCACAAGAACGATTTCTGGCTCTCAACGGTATCGACAAAATCTGCAAGATTGCCCTGAGTGACGTGGACAAGGCAGTGCGAAGAAAGGCAGTCTATGCCCTCAGTTCGGGGATCCGAAATTATCAGCCCGCAATGAATGAAGCAGTTAAGCGGCTGCCCAAAGACGTTGTCGGACCAGATCAAATCTCGGCAACAGACATGGATGTCATCGACGCCGTCATGGGGAAACTGAGGGACGGAGAATAAAGGACATGGTCAGGAATAGGAAGTTGCCTGGTCCACAGATCATTGGATAAGGTCGAAATCCACGAAAACAATTGAGCCACTTTTGCTTTTACTATCACGTTCACCAAAGATTTGGTGGCGATCAACCCGACCAGGTGACCATTTATTACGAGAAGGCACCAGAGCTAGGAATCGACGTTCAAACGGGAGCCTGAATGAGGGATTGTGCGACAACACGCCATGGCTCACGGAAATTCATATTGCCTGACGAGTTTTCCAAGGCTCGATAAAAGACAATCGTGTTCCGAAAAGGCAACTCGGACCAATGCAAAGAAATTCGACGAAGAAATGCTTCCATTTGCCCCTATGCGCTCACTCGATGCTATCGTTGGGGTGTAAAGTCTTGCCACGACGCCATTCCCGTTGCCATTTCCCCCATCATGCAGCGCCCAATTACTATTCTGGTAATTTGCCCTAGTGCCTTCAACTTCCCAAACCAACTCACAGCTGCAAATTATACGTATAATCATCCTCCATGTTCTGGCTGACCCACAAGACGACACTGCTTAGCATGACGAGTCCATTGGCCACCATGTTCGCCACGCCCATATAAACCGTCTGCAGCGCGTAGTCCTTGAACAGATACTTAAGAACCATGACTGTGACACTGCCCGCAAGCCCGCCAGCCATGAGCGCGAAGCCCATGAAGAGTACGGTCCGGGCCTTCCATGCGACGCCGTTGCCGCTGTACGAGAAACTATCCGCCGAAAGCCGCGACTTCTCGATACTGTTGATCACCAGCATCCCCAGCGCTGAGCAGATGAGCGGGATCCAGTCCACGAAGTTGATGTGCACGGTCGACCCATTGAGTGGTGACTTGGAGAAGACGCTTGCGTCGATGAAGAAGAAGAAGCCGAACGAGAACTATTGCAGATCAGAGGGACAGCTGTTAGCGGAACGCCTGTGTGATAGTAAATAGACTACGATGAGGATGGAGATGGTCTTGAATCTACTACTTACCAATGCGCCAGCAAAGTAGACGCCTGCGGTCCTGGTGTTGGCGCTGTTGAGCCAGGCGGGCTTGGAGAAGCGGAACAGGCGAGTTGACGAGGACATCGTTATCGTAAAGAAGAGTAGATTTTAATTGGAGGGGAGTAGGACTGTAGGAGGTGCGGGAAATGAAAACAAACAACTTGTAGTCGTATGGGAGTTTCGTGGTCGTGAGAATGGAAGTCCAGTGTTCGGAGTAAGTTGGATGGTGCCTTGCAGCTAGTCGGTTCGTAATTGTGGCTGGAGCCGTGCTACTATGTCCCCCCATAGGTCGGGCATTTGGACGCTGCATCCCGATATGGCCGCCTGTTACTGGGCAGTACGTAGATAATGGCATGATTTTACCCTATGATTCGTACTGATCTGGTTTATGAGATGTGGTTTCTCTTTTCCACCATTTAATCTTCCACGGAAGCTCCGTCCAGCCACGACATAGAGGCAAATCCCAGGGATATTACCAGTCACACTGGAGTCGATTTCGAATGAGCCCGGGCCAAAAGCCGACTGGAAGAGTGATATAGCGGATAGCTTTCTGAAGTTCAGTATCGAGCGAATCCGTTCGATTATGCAGACTCAAGGTCCCGGTTTTCATAGTTGATACAAGATATAGTGCGGAATCCTTTTTGCGCGCGTCCAGAACAATATAACATTCTTGTCCGTCGTACTTTCGTCCAATATGATAGACCACTTTGCTACACCAAAGAGATTGCGACGCCCCCAAGATGCAATATAACTGCCCACATCTTCGGGTGTCCCCCTCGTTCAAAAGTCCTGCTCCTCCTTGAAAAACTGGGTGAAACTGATGATCGTGCCGTATATCAGCAGTCCTCCTATAATTGACATGACCATAGCGGGAACTTGAATGAGAGCGCAGTGCGCTAGGAGAACCGGGAGGGCTGTTCCGCAGCATCGTCAGTGTGAGGCATACCACATCTTCCTGCAGGGAACCTACCAATGCCCATAACAACAAGAAATCCGGTGACAAATCGGCCCAGATCAACCCATGCACTCGAGTTGGTTTCGATAAAATCATCTGGATTGGCGCATCTTCCCGCAACCCAGTTTGGTACGGGCGCTAACACATAGGTCGCGACAACGAGAAGAGTGAGGAAGTTGTGGAATAGGGCGGCGGAAAGGATGACGAGGAGAAATCCGATGGCAAGAACCTATAAGACGATTAACGACTTGTCCCACGAGGCGGTATTCCATACGGTCGTACAAAGGAGAGGGCAATTATTGTCTTGAGACCCGCCGTCATGACGGAGGCCTGATGCGAATGAAAGTGGGAATGGAGTCTAGTTTCTGGCCGTCCGCACGGGAAAAAGTGGTTTGACTTGGAGGAGGGTTCTCGCTGGGAGAATAGGATATGAAGCGACAGTGGGACTGCAAGGTCATCGAACATAGAATATGACAAGTGATACTACAAGTGACAAAGTTGAAGTTGCAGTGTGTGGCTGGGGTGCTTGGAGAGAAAAGCTTCCGACTCGACAGTTATCGCGCCCAAAAACGGACTGCGCGTCTGGTATTTGCCTGACTCGACGAATTTATTGAAGACGTCTCCCACAGTCCACAACCACAACATTTTTCTTGTCTTGTTTCCTTCTGTCACGTAGCTCGCAGTCAACATGTTCAGAAATAATTACGACAACGACTCTGTCACTTTGTAAGGCTCCCGCCTGACACCGTCTTTTGTGCCCAATCACTAACCTATCTGTAGTTCACCTCAAGGCCGAATATTTCAAGTCGAGTACGCTCAGGAGGCTGTCAAACAGGGATCAGTAGTGGTTGGGGCTGTGAGCAAGAAACACGTCGTTTTAACTGCCCTCAAGGTTCGTATTTGTCTGGAGCCTTGTCAAGCATTGATGCTCACATGAAGTTCAGAGAAACGCGGAAGAATTGTCCTCGTACCAGAAGAAGATTGTCGGTGTCGATGACCATCTAGGAGTTGCGCTGGCCGGTCTTGCTTCCGACGCCCGCGTCCTGTCGAACTTCATGAAACAGCAGTCTCTGTCCTCCAAAATGACCTATGGCCGAGCTATACCCGTTGAACGCATTGTCAATATGATCGGTGATCGTGCCCAGACGAACACACAACATTACGGCAAACGACCCTACGGTGTCGGATTATTAGTAGCCGGAGTAGACGAGCTGGGACCGCATCTGTTCGAATTCTCCCCGTCAGGTATGACTCAAGAAATGTCGGCTTGTGCAATTGGCGCCAGAAGTCAGATGGCTCGTACGTATCTCGAGAGACATCTGGACGAATTTGCGGAATGCAATCGGGAAGAATTGATCAAACATGCTCTGTTGGCCTTGAAGGAGAGTCTGGCGCAAGATAAGGAGCTGACTGTGGACAACACAAGTTTGGCCGTGATTGGAATGACGGAGAAGGGTGGACGAAAGAAGCTGGAGAGCTTCAAGCTGTACGATGGACAAGATGTTGCGCCTCTCCTGGAAGCCAGTGTGGAATCGACATCGACAGAAGAGGCTGGTGGAGATGCTATGGAGACGGATTCGTAAGGGCAACGTCGAAGTGACCTCGATGCATCCGGCACGGCGTTGGGAGCGGGAGAGGCTGTCAAAAATGGCAAGAAGCTGTACCATGGCAATGACAAAGACAAGCATTGTTTTCTTGTGATGATCCATCGTTTTGAGTCCACACCCTTATTTTCTACCGAGACCAGTCCAACTTGAATCTCCCCGGTGCCAGCTGGTAATCTCGCAATGCGGTAACGACATCATCGGTGCTCTTGACCTCGACCAATATATTGGCAGCTCCTTCGCTCACAAAGCCTTCTCTGATACTGTTTCTTACCCAATCGAGCAGTCCGTTCCAATACCCATTGATGTTGACAAGGACGATTGGGATTGTGTGAATACCTAGTTGATTCCAAGTGACCATCTCCATCACCTCCTCAATCGTTCCATAACCACCAGCCAGTGCGACGAAACCTGAACCTGGACCTCCTGCCTCAACAGAATGAGCCATCATACGCTTGCGAGTATGCATATCCGGGACGATTGTTGTGGCGCCAAATTCGGATTCGGGGACGATTTTGCTGTCGGGATCCTCATTGCTGTCGATGCGTCGCAATTCCTCTGAAGACATTGTTCGCTCTACCTTTCTTGAACCGTAACGACCGGTCTCGCCGCGAAGTGACGTGTCTTTCTCCGAGCGGATCAGTGCACGAGGGACAATACCGTGGACTGCCTTGGAACCCGACAAGGAAACCAGAGTTTTGGCCAATTCGCCCATAATACCCATCGTGCCTCCACCATAGACGAGTTTGTAGCCCGCTTCATGGAGAGCTTGACCAAGTGAACGTGCAGATTCGAGATGGATAGGATCCTTTCCCGGTGAGGAAGCACAGCTCGAAAGATGTTAGTTTTTTGGCGCATTAAACCCAGTGGGCACTTTTTTTGGGACGCACAAGACACAGACAACGGGCGACTCGCTCTTCGATGAAGAATTTTCCCGGGCAGGCAGCATGTTTCTCTGCCGTCGGCGATCAATTACGAGGAATATAAAGGATCAAATGGCCAAATTGTGGTAGTTGTCTCGCCCAAAGCCGGTGAGCCTTTCGGCAAGTTTAAAGGGGCATGAACCAATGAATCTAGAAGTGGAAGAGAAAAGAAATCTATCTGCTAGAGGATCAAGGTCGTGCAATCAGTGGTTGGGAATAAAATATATTGTTCGCGCTGTGGCCATTGATACAATTTTTCCGCGAACCGCAACGTGTCGGCCACACAATCGATGGATTGGTCCAATAAGTACGTGAGTCAGTATGTCAAGATGACGTCGCAATGAGAGGTACCAGCAACCGCACATATACAGGTCCGGTCACCGAGCGGAGGATACCGAGGGATTTAATTTACGAGTAAGAGATGCGAAGAAAATGAAAGGGGGAAAGGATTATAATATGAGCGACTCTTCAGAGACTGCGGGATATGTACCCATCTAGAGAAAGTAGTAGGCAATCCTGCTATGCCATTCCGCACGGTTCCTTATCGCTGTCTGTGCTCACGCTGCGCTACCGATCCCCCTCGTTGAATTTTTCCCCGTGTACGTTTTGGCCCCCGGGTCGAGCCTGGTCCAAGGTCGCATCGCTTCCTCCACCTTTGCAGGCAGCGTCGTGCACAATAGGCTCCTAATCCCTTTGTCAGCTCCTCGCAGCTAGGACCTGGGGCGTTTGAGCCTCTTCAGTCCGTCATCGTACTTCCCCATCCTTCATCTCTTCGACACTGACGATAACCTCGGACGGAACAAAGCGTGACTCGCTTATTCTCTCGACCTACCTGGCGGAATCATGCGCAAGACCCCAAAAGGTCTTTTTCCCGCTGGTTGGATTTGGCCTTCTTCAACTAAACTTTCTTGTCCCGCAGGTGTCCCATTGGGTCCCAGCATCTCGCACCTGATGACTTTATGTCGAGCAGCTTCTCACTAGAAGCCGCGGCAAAAGCCTAAAAAGCGCTGGCTTCAGACCCTCCAGGTTCCATCCTCCGCCCTCGGAATATCATTATCTGCCCTCCAATAGTCTCGTATCGGAGGGTGGGAGCTGAAAAAAGAACCTGCGTCGCTTATAGGGCTGCCAACAATGTCGAAAGCTCCCAATGAAATCGTGCAGATACAAACTCACTGACACTGGCTCTGCTTAAAACCTCTAGCTTTTAGTTGCTAAGCCATGCCTTCGTCTCTAGCACTGACACCTTCAAGAGACTCGCTGTCCCGCTTTGCTCAGCTTCTTTCTTCTTGTTCTCCAGCCTCACCATGGTCAAGGGTTGATCATTCCGGTTAACAATGGTGGCGAGCGTCATTGACTGAGCAGCACAGATGCGCAATTGCCTGCTGCTATAACCATGGCGACGACAACGGATACCACGAGTTCCCTGTCAGACGCTGTCACAACTGAGAGTTCGACTACTACCGACAGCTTCACCACCAGCTCCACCTCAACTGACAGTACAACCCCCACTACCTCCAGCACAACGACAACGACCACTTTCAGTGACACTACATCGTCGACCACCTCTGATTTCACAACCACCACCTCGAGTACTTTTATACCCACCAGTTCCAGTATGTGGATCATTACCCCGTTCTGCACCTGATCATTGGCTGTCTCAGCCTTGCATCCACCCTCTGCCCAAGTTGCTTTTATAACAATGGAATTGTGTCAGCCACCACAAGTTCTATTCCATCCACTACTGCTTTTACAACCTCCTCCACGTCTACGTCTAGTTCAGCCACTGCTTCCGACAGCACCACCCCTTCAAGTATCCCTCCCTCTACCTCTTCTGCGACCCCTTCCACTCCCTCTGGCTCTTCGATCCCCGCTGAATCCTCCCCTTCAACCATAGCTACCACTATCACTACCACCCCCCCTTCCCCTACGCCTTCGACGACTAGCCCTTCGCCTTCAACCACTACCACTACCCCTTCTCCGACCACGTCTCTATCTATCAGCTCCACTAGTGAGTATATATCTACAGAGTCTTCGTCTGTCTTATCGGCATCAACCGTAGTCTATTCTAGCACACAATCTGTTTCGAGTTCGTCCCTAATCGCGAGTTCTCCCTCAGCCACTACGTTCATCCCTACCACGTCCTCATCCACATCCTTCCAGTCGAGTACAATTTCAGTAACGAGTTCAGCTTCCCCAGCAGTCACCACGACCACCGAATCTACTTCTTCCACAGAATCCTCACCCACCTCATCCGAAGAGAGTACCACCAGCACGAGCGAGGAACCTGTGGTTGTCACGACGACCAGCTCTTCAGTATCCTTTTCTACCAGCACGTCCTATGTCACAGCAGTCCTTCCGGCCACATCGAACGGCGTACCGGGGTATACCACGGTCACGTCTGTCGTAGTTGCAACAACCCCCGCCACGACAGTCGTTGATGCCGGAACTTACACTAGCACGCCTAGTAGTACTCCTTCTGTCGCTGCATCATCTAGCGACGATGGCGGTGGTGGCGGAGGATTGTCAACGGGGGCCAAGGCTGGCATTGGGGCCGGTGTCGGCGTCCTTGTTCTAGCCGCCGCCATCTTTGGTGGTTGGTATAGCTGGTATATGCGACGACGGAGAAAGCGAGACTCAATTTCCCCTAGTGATCGATATTCTGCAAGTCCTATGCCGAGCATGACGGGTCCTGGCGGCCCTGTGGCAGGCGGACCGGCAGGAATGGGTGCAATGGCTGCCATAGCAGGATACTCTTCTAACCGCTCCGACACACGGTCTGATCCTCCCCTTCCTCCCCTACCGTCTCCTCCACCTCGATCTCCGGACCGGCTTCTTCCAGCCACAGCAGCAATCCGGTCTTGGAGCTCCGGTTCACCGCCTACACATCAGGGCTCAACCAACATGTCTGTCTCAGACCAAAGCGAGTACTCTCAGGGAAGTCAAGTCCAGCCACCAACTCAATATCAGCAGCCACCACCTGTCGGCGCCGCTACTGCTGGCTACGTTCCCAACATCAACGAATTGCCCGATGAGCAGCGCAACATCCACCAACTCCCCGACGACCAAGTTCAGCGTCAAGCGGGTCACCAGCGGGCTTTCTCTGGTGGCTCAGCAGGCGCCATGGGATACCAGCAGCCCTCAATGGGCTCTGACGGATACTGGTCTGGCCAACAGTCGACCCAAGAGTCACATGAATTGCCCGGCCAAAGCACCATGCCTGCGCCACTACCGCAGCACGGAGGCAGTGGATATCGTGGCGTTGATCCAGAAGTCCCGCTGCATCAGCGCGTGGAGAGGGTACCGATTCGTCCAGGACATTTCCCACCTTCGCATAATTTCTGATCGAAGGGGGTCTGGGGAAAAGTTAAATTATGTAATTTTTCCCCCCCATTTAACCAAATGCATTACGACGGAATGCCAAATGAATGAATTGCATGAATTGATTGAAAAGGCTCTGCTTACTTGGAGTGTACCGCTCCGAATTCGCGTAAATCTCCAGTACAGGGATAAAGATTTTGTTTCTTAAACAACATTGGCGGGGTCACTCTTACCTCGTTCCGCCTAAGATTTAGATTCGGGGATGCTCTCGTCCTTATCAGAGGAAATCTATCTTTCATTTGCTAGCACTCAGCTAGCTTTGCTGCTCCATTGTCTTTGAGGCAGACATAGAGACACAGCCTTCTCGGCTGGGCAGAATATGGAAGGTAATACCACCGTCATTGACCTACTCCACTCATCCCCGCCCCCTCCTTGTCACTGAGAGTACAGGGAGTGTTTCAGCCTCGTCACTGTCAAATTTATCCCGAAAGTTCTCTGAGTCATTGAAGGAAAAATTGTCCGTCCCAATCACAATCTTTCCCTTTTTGAAGGTCGAGGAAATGTGTCAACGTATACCAGTCACAGATATCGGTTCCTTCAGGAGCCAAAATGGCATAGAGCTTCGCAGTTTCGTATTTTTGGGCGTGTTATCTGTGAATGCATTTCGACAACGGCGTTGAATCCGAGTAGCAGTTAACCTGGACAGTGTTCGTTGAGTCTGTGTATTTGCTCCTAGGGTAGTCATTCTTCAGGGTCTCATCTTCGATTCCAGACTTTCTTCTTGAGCGCAATCAATATGAACGTTCGACAAAGACCTCTGAGTTGTCAAGGACGTCTGCGGCGCTACCGGTGGGATGTGAACAGTTCTTGTCCAACAGACGAGCATTCTGGTCGCTGAAACGATTTGTCTTCACGACAGATCCTTCGCTTATAGAATCAACGACAAGCTGAGTGCTGCTCTGGTGACGAGATCAAATCTGTCTCGCACAAAGTATTTGACTCTATCGTAGATCATCTCATCCGCAGCATGGCTGTTGAATGGAAAAAGGACCTCCATTTGTACAGCTGAGCCATGGCAAAACTTATTAATAATGGAGCATTCTGTGCGAAAAACAGATGCTCTGCCAAAACAGGCAAATCACAGTGGACAGGCCAACCCATCGAAGCAGCGTCGGCCAGTCCATCCTGACGTCGAACTAAGGTTTGACCCTCGGGATATACACTTGAGAGTTGGGTGGCGTGAAGAGTATTTTGAGCATGCTAAATTCGAGGAGCAAGGTAAAAACACCACTTTCTTTCAATGCTATAAACCATGTTGACAATAAATAGAACTGGATGTCCCTGCGGAAGAAAATCTTGCTTCAAGAATTGATCCTACTGCAGGAATTGATCCTGCTCCTCGCGTCAGCCGTCCTAGACCTCCCCCCCCCAGGTGTTTTCCCCGGAGGATCGGCCGCATGCATATGTTACCTCTCTTGATGGGCAACACCCTGCATTCGTTACCGTTTTTGATGCTCAAGAACATGAAGAACATGCATACCAGCACGACAGCAGCAATCAGCACTTGTCAAGACAGCCATGCCATCGGTGATCTGGATCAATGCAGGAGATTCACCGAACTCGCCTTCAATACGTAGTGGAGGTGTGGATGATGAATAACGAACCATTCATCAAAGTTGGTGACAGCCACTTTCTGTACGCGACATATGCGTCCTATCTGCAAAATGGACACAATATCACCATTCGACAAGCTCGATATCGGGATTTGGGCCAGCGAGAGAGGAAAGGGCCGTCCAGAGAGGAAAAGGGCCAGCCAGAGGTTCCGTACCAGCTGTTTCCTATTGGGCAGTATGAATATTCCGCTGCCAATGGCCGACGTAAGAAGTCCCCAAATTAGTTTCATCCAGAACTGGACAAATATGGCCGCGTCTTCCTCAACGCTCGGAACCGTCCATTGAAATTCTTTCACTGTCCTGCCCATCAACGTTAGCCATGAGATCGAAGACTGTGAGATGGAAGCTGTATGCCGCTTGGATCCCGACATGTGCCGTCAAGACTTCATAGGCCGCATGTTCCCCGTCAATGGCAAAGCCCCTGCAAGTAAAGGGATACTCAACCATCGACGACGTCGAGATCGTATGAGAATGAGGGTCCTTCCGTGGCCTTCCTGCAACTCGGCTACTCGGACACTTAAGTCGTGAACCAGCTGGACGATTGGGGAAGAGTGAACAATTGGGAGACCTGACCAAGGATGATATTGACATGCGGTGTGCCATTATGTACGGTGGTCATTTGGACAACGTCAGACATCAAATATTCAAGCAGAACTTGAGCCTTTCCCGAACCCAATTTCAAAAATGTTCTGCGGAGGTGGCAATTATCAAGCATCGAATTAATCCGCGGCTGGAGAGGATGGGCGTGGAGTATGACCCTAGGGTCTGGGATGTTGGGCCGGAGCAGAGTGTGAGCTAGAGAGTTTCAACGGATGTGCTGTTTGCACGTGCCTAGAGTACACCGAATGTGAGATAATCTACAGCTTGATGGCCTTGATGGACACCGGCTGTTAGATTTTGGTCTACGTCGAGGTATCTGCACGTGACGTTTGTATCACGTGCTGTGGATATCGCCAACCAAATTCCAACTTGGACGGCTCTCGGCCAACGGCTCGTCGGAGTTGCTGTGGTATTTTCATCCCCACGAAGCCCCAGATTCTGACATGATATCATGGTCCAATCGAGCCGTCCAGACCATGACTACCGTGAGAGCCCAACGGGGTACGAGTGTCTCGAAAACCATTTCAATCCGATGCGAACCAGACCTGTATTTCGAAGCGAGGCCGGTTATCCGCTCGGCGATATCAGCCCCCACAGATCCTCGAGAGCTACTTTCTCGTGGAAGCTGGATGAATAATGGGAAGAAGTATAGAGGAAAATGAATAACTCATTTTCACAGGTTTCAATGTCAGCGGCTAGGAGTTCGAGGAAATCTACCAATACCTGCCAGCAGTGCAGGTCTCGAAAGGCATGCTCTGCCGTATCTAACTCCCTTGCCATTGCAGAGATTTGTTTTGGCTAACTCCGGTTTTGAACAGGTCAAGTGCGACGGGAAGCGCGATAAATGTGGTGGTTGCGAACGGCTGGGGTTTTGCTGCAGCTTTCAACCCACATCCTCCACCGGAAATGACACTCCGGATTCATCGCAACTCCTTTATCGAAGGCGTACCCGACAGGCATGCCTCTCTTGTCATGCATTGAAGGCTCGCTGCAGTGGTGAATATCCTCAGTGCCATAGATGCAGATACCGCGGGATAGACTGTGTCTACGGTTCGAGGAGAGGCCCACTGGCGTCTTCCCCTAGCGCTGGCCTTCCTCAAGTCCCTTCTCCTGAACCGTCGCCTCAGTCAACCACAGACGGCAACACCAATGTGTCGACTTACACTTCCAGGACAACCGACTCTCGCGGCAACCAGGCGGAGCTAGATATCCAGCGACGACCTCTCCATCCTGAGTGAGTCTGGTCTCCCCGCATTCGCGATCTTCACTCTAATTGAGTTGGATGTAGTATGGAGTTGCCGTCCAAGGAGGTTGTAATGAAAGCAATCGAAGATTTTTTCCATCACATCCACCCTGTTGGTCATTTCGCTTTCCTTCACAAGGCCTCGTTGATCCAAGGTTACTCGACGGGCCAAACCGATCCTGAGTTTGTATTTGCTCTCTGTGGCCTAACATATGGCATTCTCAGCCCAGTGCCCGAAATGCAGGAACAAGCAGTGGCCTGGATAGAAAAAGCCGAGAGTACGGTTCTGAAATCTCTTGGGCATCCGTCCATCTTCAAGATTCAGTCCATGCTCTTGATCATTGACTATAGGATATATTTCAGGGACAGATCAAGTGCCTTCATGCTCTTGGCAATAGCCGCAAGGTTTGCATACGGCATGAGATTGAACTATGAGGACCATTCACTATGTTTTCTGGCCCAAGAGTCCAGAAGGCGTGTGATGTGGGCTCTTTATATCCTCGACACGAAGGTGGCAGGCGGACTCCGAGAATTCACCGCTTGTCCTATTGAAACAATCAATGTGCAATTACCATGCCGGGAAGAAGGCTTTGAACTGGATGTCCCCCAAAGCACCGGATCCTTGGAATCCATAGCACAATCGCCCTCGTCATCACAAGTTGGCCTCCTCACTCATTACATCAGGATAATGAATATTCGAGATCGCATTTTGAGGTAGAGCAGCCCGAATCCGTTCGGAATTCCGAGAGCTAATTTTCCTCCAGATACACAAAACAAGCGGCGGCGAGGGACCATGTCGGCTCTAACCGGCCCAATGCCGTTCGGGATTTTGAAATCGAGCTTCAGCTGTACGCTTCCACGCTTCCACAGTCCTTGATCTTCTCGGTGAGAAACCTCCGCCTCCGTGCCTTTTCACATTGGCTTCCTCGATATATCATGATTCACGTGTGGTGGCACCAGTGTCACTGTGATCTCTACCGACTTCTGTTCACTGGACTCCGCGAAGCAGTTTCGAAGAAGACTCTACAACAGATTGACCCTGATCTGATTGCGTACTGCCAGTCCCGATGTGTGGACCATGCTCGAGCAATGGCAGCAGAAATATTTGCTCCACTACTGGATTTGGAGGTTGAAACAAAGGTTATGGATTCTGACATAGCAGTCTGCGCCTATCAAAGTGCAAGAATACTTTTCCACGCTTATCGGACGAATGCTGAAAAGTTTTCTCTGGAGGAAGAGTCTACACTGCTTCAAACGGGTTATTGCTCTGCCGTCTTGGAAAAGTTCTGCCCAAATATCCCAACAGCAATCATGATCGTAAGTCTTCCTTTTGATCTGCTAAAACGAAGTCCTATCTGACAACGGCTGTAGCGACAAGACATCGAAGATCTCATTACTGGCGGTATCTCATCGCTGTCCTCAGCTAGTGGGCCGAGCTCACCACGGGCTCAAGCTAAGGATTCGAGCCAGGGAGGCGGATTTAATGCCGAAGCTACACCGAGACAGATACTCTCTCGACACTCTTTCCTCAGAGACACCGCCTTTGCTGATGACAGTGCAAGACTGATCGCGTCACTCGAGATGGCTCGGACCACACAGCCAGTCTCCCTCCAAAAACCCCCTACTCCTCAGCGAGTAGCCAGTGGCTCAATCAGACAAAACAGCCGTAGTGATGACTCTCTGAAGTTCACGGAAAATCCATCCTCAAATGCAGTTTTTTCCCGCATTGATGAGGGGGCTTACAGAACAGTCGACGAGCCTTTAGGCTCTTCAAATGTTGAATTTACGTTTGGTACTGAAAATATGCAACCAGATTGGTCAAGCAACACCGCATATCAAGGAGCGTGGGGCGAGAGTCACCAGGTGTTTGATCCATTGGTCAACAGCATGTATTACCAGAGTGACTGGGACATGCGGGATTTCATGCAAGGGAAGTGGTTTGACTAGGTTCGTCAAATTCTCGTATAAATATCAATCTATATCTCGCAGTTTACCCGAAACGACCGCGTCAACGCGCGCCCTCGGTTCTTGTTAGAACTTCTAACAGCAACAGAAGACAGAAATGTAATGCTGAGGATTCTATTTGGCATGCCCATTTACGACGGTGCCATCAATGGCACGGCCGTTCATTCCCTTCCCGGCCTGTTCCAATCGCTCAAGTAATTGTTCTTTTGGACTCTTCAGTGTGACCTCGGGGAACCGAGTGTCTTTTTGCCAGGGAAGGAAGTCCGACTCCTCGACCATCCAGCGAAAGATCTCACTCTCCAATGACCGGCCAACGGCAACATAATTCGGATCCGCGGCCAGATTGTGCATCTCCTCTGGGTCATTGATACGATGATAGAGCTCAGCTGGCTCATATAATCGATAGATATATGTCCATTCTTTGTTCCGAATGCTAATCGCTTTACCCGCGAGAGTGGTGTCCTCATGTTGCAAGCTTGCTTTAATATCATATGGATATGGCGCCTGTTCTAGCAGGGGTTCCTCGCTGGTCAGAAACCCTCCTTCGGTAAAGGCGAATCTTCTGTGCTCTTTCTTGCCTTCAACAAGGACAGGTATGAGGGATTTCCCATTATGTGGGAAGTGCTCTCCGATTCCACAGAGCTCAAAGACCGTCGGCGCCAAATCGACCATCTCAGCCATCACATCAGTGACTTGCCCCTCTGGCAAACCTCCGCCACCTATGATCAAAGGCTCCCGCGTCAGAGTTTCAGATAAACCGGACGGCCATTTTTCAATCAGACCGTGATCGCCGAGATACTCGCCATGGTCGGTGAAGAACATGGTGACCGTCTCGTTCCACAGACCCAGAGAATCAAGTTTATCAACGATTCGGCCGAACTGATCGTCCAAACGGGAGATCATACCGAAGTAGGTGGATTTGATTTCGGCCCAAATTTCGGGCGTTGCACGGTGCGTGCCATATTGATCGCGAATGGCCTTCATATATCTTGGTTCATAGCCGGTTTTCTTTTCTGGCAAGGACAATACCGGTGGCATTTCAGAGCGGTTGTACATTGAGAAGTATGGTTCCTCGACTTGAAAGGGACAATGGGGGAATATGAGCGGCATGAACAGGACCCAAGGCTTATCTGGAGGCGGACATTCCAGCCATGAGATGGCAGACCTCACCACGGCCTCGTCGTAATCCACGACTTCAGAAGGATTCCGGAGTCCTCGATAAAATAGTCGTCCCCAGATGCTTTCATCTTTTTCTTTCGAGTCTTCCCCTCGGAACTTAGGGATGAACTCTGGAGTCTCGAGAAAGCCGTACTCGGTTACGCTGAGCTCGGTCACGGTCGGAGCGAAAGTGTCACCTCTTGGAGCCAGGCAGGCGACGTGGTAACCATTTTCCTTCAAGCTGCGAAACATGTTTGGTTCCCACGGTTTAATGAGGTTCTCCAAACTTCGATGACCACTGACATGAGGGTAGGTACCAGTAAACATGGAGCATCGTGACTGAGAGCAGACTGAAGCTTGCACGAAACAATTGGTAAAAAGAGTTCCACGTCGACTGAAAGCATCGATGTTTGGAGTCTTGACAGGAAATCTCCCCGCGGTTGTACACCCAAGTGAATCATAACGAAGTTGATCTGGCATGAAGATTATCAGATTCGGAAGCTTCTGGCCCTGCTTGCCCTCGATTTTGAGAGGGCAAGGTTTTGGCGGTAATGAGTGTTTCATTTTGCTTGCAAATCGGAAAGTGACAATTCTGGAAAACGACCCCTCGAATTTATACAACGAGAAAGGAAGCTGACAAGGTGCTGGCTAGAAGAAGACTTAGAACCGGTGGTACTTTTGTACCTGCCTCGCAGAGAAGACATAACCGACACCATTGCGACTAACGCAGATATCCATCGAACGAGGATATTGGACCAGCAACACATGACTGAAAGATTTCCACCCTGGAGCCCCAGAGACTGAGCAGACGAATACCTTCGCCAATAGAGTGAGTGTCTGGAATCTAGTTGAGATGTTTGTCTCGGAGAGCCGCACAAGCCGGACGGATGTCGGTGACGGCTTGTCGGCGCTCTCGTGGCTCATGCTCTCATATCGAAAGCTCCGACCAATCTTGAATTAATCAATCCCACTTCTCCGCTCCTGGGAGGAACTTGTGGCTGGAGTCACACAATATGGCAAACATATGGGGCAATCCCGCTAGCATACTATCAAATTGAATGCGCCCATATCCCCCAGGCCCCCTTCGGTTCTGGGTCTTCCTCGCTCGGGAAAAGGATGAACTGTTCGCTTGGATCGACTATCCTCTTACAATCAGCGTCTGTGGTGCTAGAAACGAATGAAAAGCAATGGCTATCTTTCCTCAAGCAAGATACTTCAATAAGAAGCTGGCTCTGTCCTGCTCCCTCATCGCCTTGTCATCCTTCAACTATGGTTTCGACAACCAGGGGTTCGCAACAACGCAGGCCATGGATGCCTTTCAACGCCAGTTTGGAGTGTATGACTCTTCCAAAGAGAAGTATGTCATAGAACCATATTGGCTCTCTCTGTTCAATAGCTTGAACTACATTGGATTCGCTGCAGGTGAGCCCTATTTCACCTTTGTTTACTGCTCGTTGGCCGATGAAGTATAGGTGTTGTCATCGGTAGCTTGATTAGCAAAGCATTTGGCCGCAGGATGTGCATGTTTTGCATGAGTGGCTTCGCCCTAGTTACCGCGACCATATCCGTCACCTCAGTGAAAAGAGAACAAATTATGGCTGCGCGTATATTGAACTATCTCTACGTCGGCATGGAATTGTCAGTCATTCCAGCGTATCAATCTGAGATTGTGCCTGCATCCGTCCGCGCATTCATCGTCGGGACATACCAACTGAGTCTCTTGGTGGGTGGGCTTATCGTCAATTCTGTTTGCCGGGGCACCAGTAGTCTGGAGGACAATCGTGCATGGAGGATTCCAATTGGTCTATTTTATATCGTTCCGAGTATCATCCTCAGCCTCATCTGGTTCATCCCGGAGTCCCCAAGGTGGCTGGCATTGCAAGGCCGAAATGACGAGGCGAAGAAGAGTCTGCGCATCCTCCGGGAAGGAGCGTTTTCCGAAGACGAAATCGAAAACCAGTTTGCCGAACTTCAATATGCCTTGGAAATGGAGCAGGAGAAAGGTGCTTTCATTGAAATCTTCCAAAGCTTCAATCTGAAGCGCACTCTCATTGTGTTCGTGGTCAACTTTTTTCAGCAAGCCACCGGACAAGCATTTGCATCCCAATACAGTACGATATATGTCAAGTCTCTGGGCACGATCGATCCTTTCAACTTTTCTCTCATCCTGGCTGCTGTCAATATTGTCGCCAATACCTCCTGTCTCCTCGTGGCAGATAAATTGGGTAGATGGTACATTGATTCTAGGTAAAACAAAAGGGCATTGACTGACGAAGCTGACAGAAATCTTCTCTTGGCCGGTGCTGCTGTCCAAACTGCGGCTCTCATGGTGATGGGCGGGCTAGGGACTGCCGATCCAGTCACTGATCCCTTGAAGATCGGTATCATTTCGATGCTTGCTCTCATGACGGCCGGATTCTCCCTGGGATGGGCTCCATTGACATACGTTGTGACGACGGAGTTGCCGGCTTTGCGTCTTCGTGACTACACGCTCCGAGTGGGCTTTGTGGTCAACGTGGTCATGAACTTTGCGGTTAACTTCAGCATACCATATCTGATTGACGCCAAATACGCTGGGCTTGACTCCAAGGTCGGGTTCATTTTCGGTGCCATAGCCGTGTTGGCATTCCTCTTCACTTGGTTCTTTGTTCCAGAATGCAAAGGAAAGACGCTGGAACAGGTTGATATCATGTTCAACAACGGTATTGCTTTAAGAAAATTTGGGTCATACAAGTTCCCGGATCTAGTTACAGGAGATGAGAAGATGGCGCAGGTCTTGCAAAAAGAACCCAACGTGACGCTTGTGGAAAACCAGGTCTAGCCCCGTTTTGGGGGGGGGGGCTGGCGTGGTTGGAAACAGGGGGTAAATGAAACATGAATGCTATCGTAGGAATCAGCTTTGGTGTTATCTTATAAAATGTGCTGTATTCGATGCCATCCGAAGCGTCAAAGCTGAGGACGGAGTCGAAATCCAGACTTGCCTGTTTCGGAAATACGAGAGAGCTGGGTCATGGATTGGCTCTCTTTCTCAATGCACTTTGGGTTTCTCTTTTCTTTCCGCCCACTACTATGACATGTTGAGCATATCCATTTGTTCTTCCATAACGCTCTCTTTTTCTCGTGTCTCCAAAGCTCATAGACCGTCTACAAGTAAACTTAGACCCATCACAATGGCTGACAAAATGTCTATCTACTCGCCGTTGTCGGCCAAAGTTACAAACGTGGAACCATTGGTATGTTCTTTGTCTTTTACTCCATCTTGCGGCTCAATTACTGATTGCTGAAGAACTCCAGGAACCAGAGGAATCGCGATGGATCACACTGAAGAAAATCTCGTACGATGATCCCTCAGGCGAGCAGAGAACATGGGAGTCTGCAGAACGACTGGTTGGTTTGGAACGCAAGGCACTTTTGATGTCATGAATGAAACTTGAAAGTTGATTAATGTCGCTCTTTATTAGACAAGACCAACGAACTCAGAGATCGACGCTGTGGGCGTCATCGCGATCCTCAACGATCCCAATACCTCAAGTGGGCCTTCTTTACTCCTCCAGAAACAATTCCGGCCTCCGGTCAACAAAGTCACGATCGAAATTCCCTCAGGATTGATCGACGCGGGCGAAGACCCCGCGACAGCTGCGCTGCGCGAACTGAAAGAAGAGACGGGCTACATTGCTACAATACCTACGGACGCGAAGGCTGCAGAGGGATTTCTCATGTGGAATGACCCCGGGTTTTGCAACACGAACACGAAAATGATCTTCGTCGAAGTCGATATGTCGGATCCGCGCAATCAAGAAGGCAATTTGAAGACTGAGCTGGAGGAGAATGAATACATCGAGTGTTTCAGCTTGCCGCTGGATAATTTGTGGACTGGCCTGACTGAGCTGGATAGACAAGGGTTCGCGATTGACGCGAGAGTCGGCACGTTGGCACAGGGAGTGGAAATGGCGAGGAAGTGGAAAGAGGTCTTCACAAAGAAGCCATCGTAGAGTCAAGACCCTAAGGGAGAGGTACCCAGGTGTGTGTAGTAGTACTCTAATAGATACCATGCGCCATGGTCGAGCAATGTAAAAAGCTGGTGTGTACTTCACACACTGTCCTTGCTGTACCATCAATGTTTAGCTGACCCATTGCTTCCCGGCGCTTGATTCAGGCCGACCATAGCCGTAAAAGTATTCTCTCTTATTCCCATCACTGCAATAGAGCATGCCTCTTGCGTGCTTAGCAGCTTCTTCGCCAGTCATACAAAAGTAGCCCTTCTCATATGTTTGGATCCGTACAGAAGCCTTGTTATGACCGCACGTCCCGTCTGCTTGTAGCCAGCCGTAGTCCGGGTCTTCAGTTCCGTCCGGATTGTAAGCGCAGCAATGGCGTGGCTCGTATGAGACGAGATCGATAAAGTCCTTTGCATCATCGCGATCGATTGTGTAAGATCCGCTGCCCGATGGATCTTCGCAAGTTACCTTGTTTGTGTCTTGTGGGTCCGGGTTGGCTTGGGAGGCCAGCTTCGCCAAAGATAATGGTATTAGCGAGAATGTTTCGATGGGGAATCATGCTCGAGGAGCTGAACTGGCCGAGCCCGAAATGAGAGCAATGGTCATCAACTAGAGTCCGGAAATATACACATATTTTATCCGGAGTGTATTTTATGGGATGATTCGCGATGATGTTTCAAGTTTCAAACCTGACGATAAAGCGTGCTGGGTATCCGGATCTGAAGAATCAGAGATTGAACAGTTCGAGGAGGACTCCTGTCGAGAGGAATCATCTCTGTACCCATATCTCCACATGTATGGAGTGCCGTCACCAAGAGAACCTGAGTAATCCGATCTCTCCAAGGTCCTCTGGTAGTCGGTAGTATCACAGGAATGTCTTGTGACTGACGGCCTGAGGCAGCCTGATCACCAGGATCAAAGCCTTGATCCTTGAATGAAAACAGGAAAATACCTACCAGGTAAATATTCGCTTCATTGCAGAACCCTTCGACACGGCGGGGGATATTCCGTGACGACAAGGCTGAGGTGACCGAATCTAAGGCCTTGGCCTTGAACCATTCGTTTTCGACACTAGGCACGAGTGCCAGGTACATTTTAGGTCAACTGGCCCCGCCAGCCACATCAAATGAGGTGTGACGGAAAGGAAGGGAAACTACAGATCCCACAAGTCTTGGATGCCAACGTCTGCCACCGCAGCTTAGCGGCGGTGAGGATTTCGAATACCTGTGTCTGGGTCTAACAGTGATGTATAGAGAAGGTGATGGACGCAGCAAGGAGCTGTCGTGTTATGTATCTGCGACCAGAGCCTGCGCAGCCTTCTCCGAATTTGGGTGGACATCTGTCTTTTTCAGCAGGCTGGTCGCATGCTCCCCCTAGTTTCACTTATTCTAAGCCTACACCTTGCGTATGGTTTTAGTATACCGTTCATACGACTACCTCCAAGGTCTCTCCGACCAATCTCCCTCCTTTTTGCTCAAATAACCCCCAGGCTATGAGGTCGCCATCATTGGGTGTTATGGGCGGTCATTTCGTTGACCTGTTCCCACGAGACGGACAATTCCACTGGAGACTCATTCCTTTCATCTTGATCTGGGCCGCATTTGCAATTGTATTCTTGGTGCGCCATCATTTTTCGGGGGGTTTAATTCCCCATGCTGACAATATTTACCCGCAGATATGGCTGCTACTCACAGTATTTGTCCCTGATCCACGAAAACCGCGGCCCTCAGAAAAGACATTCACCACAGTGGACAGAACGGGTGATGTTACGGACCCCGAACCCTTACCGTGCTGGTACGATGGCATACTACGGAAATACGTCAAGGCCAGAGAGGAGGAGAAGGAAATTGAGCTGGAGAAAGAGATCGAGCCGGCAGAATTATTCATGACCCTTGTGGTGCCGGCGTTCAATGAGGAGAACCGGCTGACAGGCATGCTGGAAGAAGCGGTCAATTTTCTCGAGACTGAATACGGATCAACGGCGACAGCCAGTGCAGATGGAGAGACTACTATCCCAGAGAAGTCTGTCAACTCGGAGGGCCCGACGACTCGACGCAGAAAAGCCAATGGCACTACAACGGACTCAGCATCACCCGACCCCCCGGGTCCTCGTGGTTGGGAAATCCTCCTGGTCGACGATGGCTCAACCGACGACACCATCCTTACCGCGCAGACCTTCTCACGCAAACACATCCTCCCCAAGAAGCCACGCCGCGACTCTGGTCCCTGGACACACCGCTGCGAAACTGGCGTCAAGATCCCTCCTGGCTCCATCCGCATGATCTCTTTGGAAGAGAACCGCGGCAAAGGCGGCGCCGTCACACACGGCATGCGACACGCACGCGGCCAATACGTCGTCTTCGCCGACGCAGACGGCGCCTCTAAGTTCTCCGACCTGGACAAATTGGTCCGGGCATGCCGCGAGGTCGAGGATTCGGGCGGCCGCGGCGTCGCCGTCGGCTCTCGCGCTCACCTTGTCGACAGCGAAGCAGTCGTCAAACGCTCCACACTGCGCAATTTCCTAATGCATTCGTTCCATCTGCTCCTCAAGTTCATGACCCCCCCACAGACTGCCCGCATCAAGGACACACAATGCGGATTCAAGCTGTTCTCCCGGCCTACGCTACCTTATATCGTCCCGCACATGCATATGGACGGATGGATCTTCGATGTCGAAATGCTCATGCTCGCCGAGTTTGCAGGCATTCCTGTCGTCGAGGTCCCTGTGGGTTGGCGCGAGGTTGTGGGCAGTAAGTTGAATGTTCTAAGAGATAGCATTGGGATGGCGATTGGGTTGGCGGTCTTGAGGGTTTGCTGGGGAACAGGCATTTATAGACGGTGATGGGGATTTTTGGGCTCTGTTTTGGCTTGTAGTTTGTGTCTTGTTTATGTGGTGATATGGATGCATGGATCTATAGGCGGGCGGAATGAATGCATAAATCCCCAGGAAGCTCCTAGTATAGGGGATCGGAGCACGAGATGGATTTTGGACTGAAAAGCCCGAGGGCGGAAGCGGATGGAGATGAGATGAGATGATTCGACCCGCCAGCGGCTATGACCACATATTGGGCTGGCCGGACAGACATGGACAGATTCGTGGATGGGTTTCATGTACAGACCTGAGGTCTACAATGACCCTGACCATTTGCCCTCAAAAGTGAACATCAATTCCATTCATTGATCAAGAAAGAAAAGATTTCGTCTACCAGTCTCAGGATCACGAACGCATTGGCCGAGAAGATCTATATATCTCGTTCGCCAGATAGCTGAGGCCAGGTCGCGAGAGGAAAAAAGAGAAGGGAAACCAAACCATACCCAGCACTCATTTCAATTCTTGATCTTGACCGTCGTGCTCGTGTTTTTAGCCCATCCATCAATCCAACCAATATAATATGCACGACACAGGCTCTCAAGCCCGCCAAGCCACAAACCAGGTTCCGTATCATTTCATTCTTGAGCATTACCTAGATGCAGACACTGATCCGGATATCTTCGTCCAGGCGCTCTCGAGTTTACTCTCAATCATTTCATCGACGGGTTCGGTCCCCACACCACTGACTCCCACCCCGTCTGATGATTTAAGTCCACTGTCCGCACTCGTAGGCCGATTCTCCTCAAGACTCTGATCTAAATTACTCGCGTAAATGACAGCGGCAAATGCTTCGAGTTCTTTCACTTCTGCTTCAGCTATCGACACATATTCGTTGGGAGGGTTGTTGCCATTGCCAATCGTGTGGGCCTGACGAGTTATGATGGCCAGGATGTTGGCAAGCTTGACGCGCGGTTCTCCTGGTACAACGGTGACTGCGGAGTCTAACTCTTGAATACGCGGTTGTTGCGCGCTGGATATGGACGATGATGGAGATTGTGGCGGCTGTTGTGGGAATGCCTGTCGAATGACACGAGCGTCAATTAAATGGCAAAACATCGACCGAAGCAAAAGGGTATGGATTCTCGTGAAAGTCGGTGAGTCAATCAAATCAGCTGTCTCATCGAGGAGTTGTCGCAAAGGTCCCGTGGATGTATCGATGTGACCGGACGTCTCCTGTCCCAGTCTGTTCTCGTCCGGAGAAGTTGGTCCGGGAGATGATGGAGTTGGTATTATCACACCGGACTCGATCAGGACTGCTTCCTCTTCTTCCCTAGGTGGAAGCATATATGGTAGCCACCTGGTGGCATATCTATCTTGCTCAGTGCTGCCCTCAACACGTTTTCTCACTGTGAGGACCAGGTCACTGAGCCTTGTGGCAGTTATTCCTTCGCTGGGAGAAATATTTCCGAATACCTCTTCAACGGCCGACCTTACTCTTGACATTATTTGCAAATATCCTTTGTGTAGAAGAAACCATGAAAAGGTTAGATATCTCCGATTGGTTTCGAAATCGTTCCCGAAACCAGCGCCCGCGCTTCGATCGTGGTCTTCCAGTGAAATCGAGTTGGCTCTTCCGGGCGGCAGAGGCTGTGCCAACGAGATGACCGAAGATAGGTAATTAAGTCGACCCAGAAGGTTCAACTGTATTCGTGTGAGAATTATAAGAAGAGATAGGCTGTAGATCAGTGTGAACGCTCTGGTAATTGAAGCTACCTTCAGTTCATTCCAGAGTTGCGCTTTGGTCCTTTGTGGACCTGACTGGCTCCCATTTCCTTGGAACTGACTGGCATGTACAAAACTTCCAGTTTGGAAGCTGGACATGCTTGCGGAGTCTCCATCCTGCATGCTGGAAGCTTCTGATTTTCCCTCTCCGGAAGCACGTGCCAATCTTTCGGCCTTCTTCTGTTGCAATTCGTGAGTCAACTGCTCCACGGGGAGTTCTTCAAGAACGTTCTCGGTAAGAGTCGGGAGGAGAGCAAGGACCGTGATAGTGCAGTCGGTTTGATTTTGTTCAAATCGTCGTCGAATGCTTTGGTGCTGGTCAGCGCAGATCAATCAACTAGCTTTGCTGCCGTTTACTTTTCTTTGGCTATCCTGTCCATTTGCATGCGCTCTCGCGCTTCATTGAGCTTGCCTAGGGCATATTGTCCGGCCAGATATGTTGCGCCGATAACACCAGCACCAATGGCAATTCCATTGCGATTCCGCCGAAGCCAGCGTCGTGTGGCTGATATCATCGTGATGAGATGGAAGAAGGCACCTTTATCTCAGGTACAAGTTTGCTGCGGGATAGGGCATGACCGCAGGTAACATGGAAAGGTTGAAGAGCTCAAGAAGAGCGTCCCAAGGAGGAGGAGGAGGAGGAGAAGATACGGCAGACAGAGCAAAAGCACGCTTTATTGATTTTACTGATCAAATGGTCGGTTGAAACTTGTGGCGGTGCCTCGGCTGGATTGAAGCATGGTGGTGGGAGAGGCTGGCCGTCTATTGAGCCGAAGGGTAACGATACGTAATAGGGCTCTGCCCCACCTGGGCACCATTTGAAAACCACTCAAGATGACTACATGCCGTTCATCCTACAAGCAAAGAAGTACGTACCACAGCGACAGGACTGCAGTGCCCAAGGCACATTTGTTGGAGCCGGCGACGAACATGTCTTGAGCGAACCTTTTCATACAAGGCGCCACTTGCTGGCTGCCACTCCTTCTGTCTGCTCATTCAATCCCTTCCCCACTCTAGCCACTCGATCACTGTACCGCGCAAAAGTCCTCCTGTGACCATGGATCCGCGCCCTAAGGAATACATATTGGAGGTCTTTGCTGACCAAACTTTTGTCAAGGATATCGTCAAAGGTAAGCATTTCACGTCCCGTTGACTCGCGTCGACGATCAGGAACTAGCGCCCCTTTACAATAAATGACGGAAGAAGATAGACTAACCAGCCCCTCCAATGTAGGAGTCTTGCATACGATATTCTTCCATCGATACTTCCCTCCAGTGCGACCGTCATTGTATACACCAACAGCGTCATCTTCTCACACCTCGTCTCACTCAACCCAGTCTTTACCCATCACACTGCCCTCTATTCTTGATCCTCCCGAAATTTCGACTGCGATTGACACCCACACGGCCCTTCTCCTCTCCCAACTTACACCACAATCATCAGCGAGTTCCTCAGTAGGTGGTTCTCGTGGTGAGATCGTGGTGCGATTCTTCGACCGAAAGAGGCGAAAAACTGGCATTACAACAGGCTGGTTGGGTCGGCTTGGTGGCGGTGGTCAAACGGAAGAAGAAGTTTGTTGGGAAGAATGGTGTGTGCAGGTTATTGTAGCCAGGCCACGGAGTGAAGCGGGTAAGTTGTTTCTCTGTAACACGAATTGCGGTGTCGCTTACCAACCAACCAATTTCAGACCGAATCAAGGTCCGCCGGGCGATGGAATCGTCCCTCCAAAAAACCGCGATGAAAGTCGTCGCCGTCGTGAATAGAGACAAGGATCATATCCCTCCGATCACGACCAGTGATCAAAACCCTTTTCCCTATCGGATATTCGTCAATCCGAAACAGCAGGAAAGCGCCGAGAGAGGATTTGGTGGTTGGAATTAAAGCCGACACCAGTCACTTTACTTGACTATTGTTTGCCCACGAAGTCTTTCAGAGCATAGAACAAAACTGATTACTTCCTACTCCACTGGAGCAGACATGGCCTGCTTCTACCTCGAACCAACTACTCAAGCCTTGATCGATTTTTTGTTGGCCTTCGCAATCGTCAAGACACACAAAAGATCGATCGGTCTATTGTGCAAATCCATAACAATACCAAACCTGCGTCCCCCCCTTGACTCTTTTCGCTGCAAGTACTAAATAGTAAACCTCCTTCCCCGACCCGTCCTTCACTTTGCCTTTCGTTGTCGTTCCAATGCCAATATAGGTGTAGCGCCGTAGCATCAAAGTATTTGTTTGATTTCGAGCTCTTTCGCGTCAATCGGCAGCGATGTTCTTCAAGTCCTGTATGAAGCCTCTGTACGATTGTTTGAATCGTTTACTGGCTTTTCAAAGCGGCATCTGCCTTTCCTCGGAGATCTGCGGCAGTGCTCCCCGTCTGGATGAAGAATCGGGAGAAGATGGGGTGAATGAAAGAGCGGAAGACAATCTGAGCGCCATTGGTCATGGGGAGAGACATCCAAAGGACCAAGATAAACTTGAAAACGTAATAGAAGGCTATCGCGGGTTAGTGTCGATCACCATCCCGGGGAGTGAGCAACTTACGGAACCAGTAGACGGCATTGATCATACTCTCGAGAACGGTGAGGAAGGCATAGACAACCCAGTACTGTCCGTTGATCAGTAATTTGCAATGGTCAAACCCAGCGCGGCAGTCGTCGGAAAGACATACGGTCAACCATTGAGTGTCATCAACCTTGTTGGTGCTGAATAGAGCTTCCATTGAATAGTATCCGGGGATTATAAAGCCTGCGAAGTTCACAAGGAACTCGCCTCCAATGTTGAAGAAGACGAGGAAGAAGTAGAGGCCGATCAGGCCAAGGAAAGCATAGACCTTGGGAACATTGGTCTGCTTCTCGAAGTTGTTGAGGACAGGGTACTTGGAAAGCTGCGGACACCATGAATTAGCTCAATCCTCACCAGGGAAATATCGGGGATGGATCAGCCAGGGAGGTGATGGAAGACTCAGAATCAGAATGCTGAACTTGGATGCCTGCATGACATGTGCTCACATACTTCCTTATCAATCTGAGAGATCTGGTGTTGGGCTTTATCTTGGAAAGACATCTTTGATGGTGGAGGATATGTTCCCAATGGAGTGTGAATCGGAGCGAAGAACAGGATAGGGACTGGATATTGTAAGATAGAAAGCGAAATGTGCGATGATGATGATGGAGTTAGCAAGTTTTGAGAAGTGGTAGGAGGAAGGAAAAAGAGGTGACGTTTTTCGTTTCGTTGGGCTCTTGCAGGTGATTTGTGTGAGCAGCTCTCCCGATGATCACTTATGCCAGCGACTGCCAGTGAATGTTCGGTCACGGTTGTCAAACGCTCCGCCTGACCTGTGGCAGGTGGATGGACGCTGGGCACCCTACGGCGGGTAGTGGCTCCGAATGAGGGTCAGATCACGTGCTTCACGGAGTTGCTCCGCAACCCCAACCGCACCGGCCAAAACAACAACAAGAACCGTACCTTCCAGCACACACTAACTGTCAACAGCGCGTGAAGCAGTGCTACTCACAACGTCTCGGACCTGGCGCCGGTGAGACCATTACTGACACTTGAAGCCCGACTGCTTTTACTATCGACACCCGACAGTCCATATACACACGTCCGCGCACTTCCGCCACAGCCACGGCCAGTCGACAAACCCTTCCTCCAATGGCCTCTTGCGAGTACGAATGGTAGAATCACAGATCAAGAAACCTGATCTTCTCCTTATTGCGGAACTCAAAAGGTACTCATTTCCGCGAAATTGAAGAGCTATGACTAGGAATTGCATGAAGCGTTGTTTGTTTTTATCATGACAGCAGGCTAATCAGTGGACAGTGCAGAATGGCGCAGTCACCAACCCACCAGCTGGAGGAAGCTCCAGACCTGCAAGGCTCTTCCCATACAAACAATGCAACATCAAATACAGAAAAACATCGTCCAAAATCTCAAGGTTCGACAGCCAGTTTACAATCGGTCGGCGTAGGAAGCGCTTTTCAACCCGCGGCGTCGCAGCAACAACAACAACAAGACGACTCGACGATGCCTCTTGACCAGAATGCCTTTTTCGTTCAACATGGCCACCACCCAGCCGCTGCAATGTACGGTCCTCCAGAAGAAATGCTCATACCTTATCCGCATAATATGGGTGCACATCTTCAACAACAGCCTGTGGATCCCACAACGGGAATGCCACAACACGAAATGCGACCAATGTCACAATCAGCATTTCAAGAAATGCCACGTTTTCCCCTACAATACCCTCCTGGAATACCACCCTACACCGTTGGTCCTCAGCATATGCATCACATGCGCCATCATTCCGAACAATTCGAAGGTTCTCCCGCCCCCGAAGACTCGAATACAGAAAATGGTGGAGCGAAGAGAAGAAAAGGAACGGCTTCAAGTGTGGCAAATGACCAGGAACTGCGACGATTGCTTGCTCAATATCAAGGTAAATCTCTGAAAGAGGTTGCTGCTGAGGTTCAGAAGAATGAGGGAGCGGGAGGTAAATCGGAAAAGGCAAAACAGGTCTTTGCAATGTTATGGTACGTTTATTTTTTTTTTATTTTTTTTTTTTTTTTTAATTTTGGAGGTCATCTTCAAGAGCAATCTGACAATTGTAGGCTTCAAGAAAGTTGTCAACGATCTTCAAATTCTGTTCGCCGCGATCGTGTCTTCACTCGATATACCGAGCGTTGCGGGAATGAGCGGGTCCCGACACTCAATCCTGCATCGTTTGGTAAACTTGTGCGAATCATCTTCCCTAATGTACAAACAAGAAGATTGGGGGTGCGAGGCGAATCGAAGTATCACTATGTTGACCTATCACTGATTGTAGACGATGATGACCGACACTACGTTTCAACACATGAAAGACCTGGAACCGCAAACGGCAGCCAGCATGAAAGACGTGGGTCAACGGCGGAAGCAAACAAATCCTTTAAGGCTCACATCACCCCTCCCATCGATCGACCCATATCACGACCTACTGTAGAAACAGCCGATTTTCCAGCCCCGAACTCTGCTGCTTTCTTGTGCAAGAAAGCCTCTATCACCGAAAACGATCAACAGCGGGGCGAGAGGCCTCAAGTTCAAAAGATGGACTGTAAATACATCAACACGCCTACTATCCGCTTCTCTACCAAAACCACACCCGCAAGTGTTATTACCGCTCTGCCTGCAATTCGTCCCAATTTGCCTGGTAGTATGGCCACCTACCTTGGAATGCCCACCATCAATTCGCTTTCTCAACTGTCTTCCTCTTCACAAGATACTCCAATCGAGTTCCCCGACATCCATCCATACCTCGAAGGAACAAACTACGACGCCTCGATAGCTAAAGCTTTGTTCCATCTCTACCGGTCATACTGCATTGATGTCATCGACGCCTTTCGAAAGTGCAAGGAAAAGCCATTTTTCAATCACCATTCCGCCTTCAACGGCAAGATGACCGTCCCTGTGTCTAAACTCTTTTCGATGGAATGTTTAGCTCCTTGGATTCAGGAATGCGATATGCGAATGTACAAGCAAATTGTTCGATTCATCGCGCCGCTAGCGGTTCAGAATGTACCAGATGTTGTGTGGACCGTGTTCGACCGCATCGGATCGAGACTGGTCAGTCATTTAATTTCAGCTTTCGAGGAGAAGTGCCCAGTCCATGTTGTCGTGGCGAAGGCGGTTCCGGCCGCCAGATTTGCGAATCTTCTAAAGAAGCTCAGGGGTGCTAATGCAGCAACGTGGCAACTGAGTCGCATGCTAGAAGATCCGCAACAGCGGACGCAAATGTGGCTCGACCTTATGGCAATCATTGATCCTGATCGTTTGCTAGAGGAAAGCATGCCACCCCCCGAGAGCCTGGAGAAACTGCAAGGCGTTCTGAAGCAAGATATGAGACCGTTGATAGCGCCGGTTGATGGCGAGTTAGTCCGGGTAGCGGAAGCAGACCCGACCAGCGCGTACGCCAACTTTCTCAACGACGCTTCCGAATTAAGCTTTGGAATATTGCCGCCAGACACAAGCGAAGAGCCCACGCCACTTCTAGAGCGATGGATCAGTTGGCTAGAGTGTCTGCCCCAACTTTTTGACGGCCATCACCCTCAATGTATGATCGACTGGCATTCCAGGCTGTGGAGTAGTGTCATGACGCAAATGGGCCAGGGCGGTGCACACAGTTATCAGTCCTGGTGGTTTGTCGAATCATTCACGACGCAAATGCTCGGTTGGATGACGCAGATGGAGGGATTGCTAATGGACGAGGCGAGTCAAAAGCTTGCAGACGAAAGAGAGCAAGAGAAGAGCAAGGAGGTCCAACCTCATTCACGTTTGTCTATTAGCGGCCCAAAGAGAAAGAGAGCTGAAGACGATGTTGATGGAAACGAGGGCGCATCCGCCGGACTCGACTCACACTTACCCAGGAAGATGGAGCCAGGTCCCAAGAGTTCACCAACCCTTCCACCAACACAGACAGAAGAACCGGTCGCCCACGAAGTGGACGATGACGAGACCGATGCAGAGCTAGATGAGCTACGACGTGGTGGCCCTTTAGACCTGCCTAGCTTTCACACCGGTCTAAGCAGCCCAATCAAACGACCGCCTGGTGCGCATGACGACAGTGGTATTGATCTCGGGCTTGATGTCGATGCTGAAGCGGAGAAAGAAGCGAAGAAATTCAACAAGAGAGACTGGCTTCTGAGCAGCGATCCCGTGGATTCATCGATGGGACTGGGGGTGTTGGCTTGACGAGAGCCAGGCATTGTGCATATGCCATCGCTGTTAATACTTCGAATCACACTTTTGGGGGAGGCCACCAGGACAGAGTGTACCATGATGACTGTGAACGACCTGGATGACGAGATGACGGGATCAAGGTCGGAAAAGGTTACGGGAGGGGCGATTGGGTGGTGTCGACGTGAATTTCTAGATATTCCTCTTCTTGAATTAAATCGTCGAGCAATTTATTTGTTTGGTTTGGCCAAAACTGGGCTGGGACTTGACGGCGGATTATCTGGTTTGACTGATACCCGGGATGTGGATGATCGGCCGGTGTCTTCCTTATGCTTGAAGCGATGATGGGTGGGCTGTAACAGAGCCCGACGATATTTGAGGATGTCTTATTGCCGTTTTGTTTCTAGTGGTTTTGAGATGGCCCACTACTTGTGGGAGAGACATTTTGGAGTGAGTAAAAATATCAGTATTCTCTATGTGCAGTGTGTTGTTTGTGATGCCGTTCTAGGGTATAATGTTAGCGGGGGCATTGTAGCGCAGCGGTACCTGATTGGGAGACGGAGACCGCCTGGTCTGAGGATTACTTTCCAATCCATCCCATAATTAATTCAACCCCTGAATCCTCTTCAATTCCATTTGCACACCAAATGGTGCTCGAAAGGCCTTCTCGATCTAGTCATTCTTGTCTCCTTGTGCAGGCCGTCCACTCCTTGCCCTTGATTCCGAGTCCTAGGTCCAGTGAGTGGAGATTTCTGAGCAAGCCGCCACGGAGTAAACGAACCTCGAAGCATAAAAAAATGGCCAGGCGGAATAACAAGTCCAACAATGCAGCGAGACCGAGAAATATTCCCACAGAAAAACCTCCTGAACCAGTCGTGAAGCAGTCCGCAGCTCCGACAGTCAACAAGCCAAAATCCGTCTGGTCAACTTTAGGCGACACCAAAGTCCAAAGAGCTCTCCAGCTCATTCTCCTAGCCGCTCTCTACGCCCCAGTCTCGCAGCTGAATCTATCGCCTGTGTATGGCGCCGTTCCCGCTGCTCTATATCACAGCTATGGGCTCATGGCATCCTTCATGCTTGCCTTTGCTCTCCGGGGATATCTACCATCTTGGATCGCTCAAACCATCACACCCTTCTGTATCTGGATACCCACCATTCAATTCTTGCTGTTCCAGCTTAGCTCAATCCTCGGAAACCCTTTAGGAGCTCTGGTCACAGAGGCATTTACATGCTATCCCCTGGTTGTTCTTTCGGTGTACATGGCCATGCAGTACTTTGACGAGGTTGACATCGGCCAATTCAATTCAACTTATGGCGAAGCTGTGCCTTCTATGGGGCTGTTTATGCTCTTTACAATTCTTCAACGAGCCTGCAAAAGTTTTGTCCTTTCCCTCACTGGACCTTACTTTCTCCGGTCACGAATTGGACTACAGTTGGTCGTGGCCTCACTGTACGGAATGGTACTGCCGAAAAGCCTTATTTGGCCCACCCTGCCAGGACTAGCCTTTACCATGGTTGCCAATCCACATTGTGCGCTCTCGAGAACCACAGAAGTATTAAACAACACCTTGGGTCTGTACGACTATACTTTACTGGAACGAAAAGAATCCGTGACCGGATACATCTCCGTTCTAGAGGATAATCAACGAGGATTTCGAGTGATGAGATGCGACCATAGTCTCCTTGGTGGTGAATGGAAGCTCTCTGCCTCCAAGGGGGATGAGAGGAAAGTGGGCGAGCCCATATATGCCATCTTCACCATGCTTGAAGCAGTTCGACTGGTGGAAACGTCTTCATCTGACCAACAGAAGACGGCTTTGAACATTGGTTTGGGAGTTGGGACCGCTCCTTCTGCCCTAATTGCCCACGGAGTCAATACCACCATCCTGGAGATTGACCCGGTGGTCCACGAGTTTGCGGTCAAATACTTTGCGCTTCCTCGTAATCACAGCTACTATATTGGCGACGCGGTGGCAGCAGTCAGAAGCGCTAATTCGTCAGAGGTCAATTCATATGACTATATCATTCACGACGTCTTCACGGGAGGAGTGGAGCCTGTTGAGCTCTTCACCGCGGAGTTTTTGTCAGGTCTGCATATGCTACTTAAACCAGATGGAGTAATAGCAATCAACTACGCCGGTGACCTTATGATGCCGGCCGCATCTCTCATTTATCGCACTGTCACGTCGGTTTTCCCGTCCTGTCGAGCATTTAGAGAAGATGAAGCCCCGGCTCCGGGAGTCAAGGCAGAAGACTTCACGAACATGGTCTTCTTTTGCCGAAAGAGAGTCATTCCTGTAAAATTCCGGAAACCCATGGCAGCGGATTTTCTTGGAAGCGGAGCTCGTAGAGAATTCTTACTTCCCAAACACGAAATCTTACCAGAGACATTTGAGAAGAATGGTGATGTTCTCAAAAGTGGCAACACCAAACAACTTGAACAATGGCAAGCGAAAAGTGCCCTAGGCCATTGGAATGTCATGAGAACAGTGCTTCCAGACGCCATCTGGGAGAACTGGTGAGGCAATGAATGGTGATGAATTTGATACAACGCGCCAACTTCCTGGAAGACTGCCCCCCGATCAATGGTTATGCAGGGGAGCAGGCCAACGCTGTGCTATACGTTGATATTTGACTGCATTTTGAAGAACCATGCCTTCGTTGAGCTGGCCCGTTTCTCGCCTGAAGATATCTTGCCACGGGGTCTGGCTCTCTGCAATAGGATAGCCTCCTTTGGACTCCAGCTCCTCACGGCGCTTTTTCAATTCAGATTCCGTCACCAGAATATCAACTCTTCTCTTGTCCAAGTCGACTCTCAACTTGTCCCCGTCACGTAGCAGTGCCAAATTACCACCAGCAGCGGCTTCAGGGCTTGCATTTAAAATGGATGGCGAGCCAGACGTACCGGATTGTCTTCCATCCCCGATGCAGGGCAAAGATGTAACCCCTTGTTTCAGCACATGTCCCGGAGCGTGCATATTGACGACTTCTGCAGCTCCTGGATAACCTAAGGGACCTGCTCCACGCATTACGAGGATGGTTCTCCGATCGATGGGAGTTTGGGGATCATCGATGCGCTTGATGAAATCCTCTCTTCCATCAAACACCACCGCCTTACACTCGAAAGCATTGGGATCATTAGGGTCTTCCAAGAAATCCTTACGAAATTCGTCGGATATCACAGAAGTCTTCATGATGGCGGAATCAAAAAGATTGCCCGTGAGATGCAGGAAACCTGCGCCCTTCTTCATCGGATCCGAGTACGCTTTGATTGTTCGTCTGTCCCATGAATGTTTGCCCTTCACATTTTCACTTACTGTTCTACCATTACACGTGAGTACTTGAGCGTGCAGTTTGCCCTGATCCAGAAGTTCAGCCATGACTGCCTGAAGACCGCCAGCTTTATAATATTCCTCGCACAACATCTCACCCGCTGGTTGAACATTCACGAGAAGGGGAATATTGAATCCGATGCGGTCCCAGTCGTCCAGATCGAGGGGCACCCCGATATGTTTCGCAACCGCGTTCAAATGGATTGGAGCGTTGGTGCTGCCTCCAATGGCGCTGTTGACGACAATGGCATTTTCAAAAGCTTCCCTGGTCATGATATCGCTCGGTTTGCGATCCGCATGAACCATCTCCACGATTTGCCTTCCAGTCTTGTAGGCACACTGGGATCTTTCACGATACGGAGCTGGAATAGCAGCCGAGCCTGGGAGAGCCATTCCAAGTGCTTCCGCCAGAGCATTCATGGTGGAAGCCGTACCCATCGTATTGCAATGACCGGCAGAGGGTGTTCTATGATCATGGATCAGCCGATTGAACATCGCACATCGAACTTTCGACTTACCCAGCTGCTATCATTTCCACAAGCGTATCGGTATCGATCTCACCAGCAGCATGCAAGTCTCTGGCTTTCCACAGAACTGTCCCTGAGCCGATCATATCGTTGGAGCCTAAGCGACCGTTGAGCATGGGGCCGACATTGAGGCAGATGGCCGGAATGTTCTAGATTTCATACTCAGCAAGGGCTCCTCCACCGGAAACAGGGAGCAAACTTACGACCGTAGCAGCAGCCATGAGAAATGCCGGAGTCGTCTTGTCACAGCCCGTGAGAAGAACAACACCGTCCAGCGGATAAGCATGAAGCAACTCAACGAGACCGATGTAGGCAAGATTCCTGTCCAGAGTTGCGGTTGGTCTTCTTGAGCTTTCCTGTATGGGATGGGTGGGGAATTCAAATGCGACGCCACCGGCAGTTCGAATTCCTTCACGAACTCGTTTCGCCAACTCCAGATGGTATCGATTGCAAGGAGCCAAATCAGAGCCAGACTGTGCGATACCGACGATGGGTTTTCCGGACATGAGTTCCTCCTGAGTCAGACCGTAGTTGAGATATCGATCAGTATAAAGAGCACACATCTCGGGATTGGTTTTGTCACTGAACCAATTCGCTGAACGCAACTTGGACAACACGCCATTCGTTTTGTTTCCAAGGCCTGCCTCAGAAAGCTTCTGTTCAAGTTCTCGAGTTCGTTGGCGTAAGGACTCGAGTTCAACCTTGTAATCTTCGATATCGCCGACGCCGTCATTCTGATGGCCATGACTCAGACACGAGTTACAAGACGATGATTCTTTGGTACAACTCATGTTGGCAAAACTTTTTATTGTATCTCTCCTGTTGGAATTCAATCGTTATCAATTTCGTTTGTAAATGGGGAAGTTATTTTCTCTTGGTCACGAGAACATTTGCGGGATGGACTTGCATCTTCCGGTGGAGATGAGATGTATGAAGCGAAGAGACGTGTTTTTCCTTGGGACACGGCGGCGGTCGGGCTACGACCGATGTGGATTCTTTAATCCAACCAGATTTCTACAGCTCTTGTCTTGAAGTCTGTGGGGGTGACGGCAATGTCGGCGGTCGGTTATCCATAAAACCCTCGTGATCGTGAGGAGTTAAATAAGATTTCGGCCTTCTTTCCACCGAATTCCCCACGTTTAGAGGCTTGAAGATACCAACCACATTTGAACCGCATGGCGAAAAAGATTCGAACGGTCTGGGAGAGAAAGGCGTGGGGATGGAGATGAACATGAAAAAGCAGCTGGTCTGGGTTGCATCTTCTGATGCCAAATGCACGAAGATGAGTGCCTCTCAACCACCACGTCCCTTTCCCAGAGGAGCAGCTTTGGGAAGCTACCAAATAATGAAATCCACCCAAGGGGGGGTTTTTTTTTTTTTCAAAAGACATTTGCGTTCGACAGGCGAGGCTGAATCTGTCAAAATGAACTATGTTGTAGCATGGGACTCCTCTCTTGCTCACCACCAGATTCTGTATCGCTGGGATGTCTAAGGTATGCCTAGTTAAAGGTCGATGAAAGATATTGTCCTTTGATATGATATCCTATCCAGTGTTGGCTTGGCCTCGGGCAATGGATTTGCTTGGGAGGACACTTCTTTCGTGCTGTCTCTTTGATGAGGATTGCAATATTGCAGGTGTGACGACACTGGCATCGTGTCCAAAGATATTTCCAGCAGCCGACGTCTAATCTTTTCTTTCTTGTCAAGCAGTGACAAATCCGACCAGTTATGGTTGGATCTTTTCGAGCCAACTTGGAAAATGTTTGGCAATCAATGCTTTCTTTCTATACTGGGTCATTCGCGGAGACTCCGTCCAATTCATTTCTGACCCACCTTCGAGCTAGAGAAATGAAACTTGGACATTAAATGTCCGGCCATTATAAGGGATAAAAGTGGCGAGGAAATGGACGACAGCGTACGCCGTTCCGATGCCTGGGACTCATATTTTTGGCCAGAAGCTGACCGATCGTGGCCCGCAAGTCAGCTGGGAAATAACACCCTTACCCTGACCAAAAGGCATTGTTGCCTTCACTATTTTTGGAAAGAAGAGCTTTCGAATGACCATGTGGATCTGTACCAAGATCTTCTGTGGGCTTTGAGTAATGGCTTATGGCGCATTAAGATGACTTCCTAGACGGAGGAACATCTGGACCGTTGGGTTCTCGTGGCCAAGAAAATGAGGTATCTATAGAACGTGCCTAGAGAGCAGATCGATGGGCTAGCGTTATCGTAGCTCCCCGAGATTTGATCATAGATGTCTGATCTGATATTCATCTCCACTCGGATCCTGCGATCTTTGATGTTATGGTCGACGCGGCTGAAGAAAACCGCGATCGAGGGCTGAGCATGTCCCGTTTGGATTTCATTCTGGCTTGCTGATGTCGGTTATGCGTGCTCTGGAAGGTGTGCTCTTCTGCTCTATCGTCCGGTCAAAGGGGTAGGACTAAGCACTTGGGGTGTTCATTCATTGTTGGCGGAGTTTGGCGCTTATTTTGCTCTTTTCAAATAGTATGGGTGTTAAGTTATGTGACCTAGGAGAAGTGACACTAGGAAAATGGCAAGGTCAACAAGAGGTCCAGCAAAAGCAGGCCTCACGATCCATGGGGACTCTGACAAGGCCGAGAGATCAACGGATTCGAATAAAATCGAGGTGCCCGGGTGATGGAGAAACCGGTGTCCGACCGGCCCATTCATCAAAATATCTACTCACTCAGCCTATTTTTTGCAGATCCTAGAGGCAGTGGTTCGGCAGGGAGTCGTATTGCTTTCCCAAGACAGTTAGCAGGGAGCAACACAATGAATACCAGACGTTGACATGACCCCTATTGCTTATGGAAGGCAGCGCCTACGATCAACTTACGGAGCAATAGGCCATCAGAACCTCGCCTCTAGGCCTTTCCTATAACGTCAACCTAAGCGAGATGGCGGTGCCGCCATTGGGGCCAATGCATCCTAGCAACTGAAGTCCTGGTTCTTCCGAAAAGCCAGACTATTCAGCTTTTGGTATCCGTTGCAATTCATCAGAGAAATTAAGGTATGTTGGGCAATAGTCATTTCTTTGGACTCCATATACGTACAACACCATTGGTCTCGAACGAGTCCACATATTTGAAGCGAGACTTCCACGGCACCACTCAGCTCCTTATGGACATTCTCGCGCCCTGAATTTCCTTTTGAACGTCATGATAAGTCTAAGGGCTACCCGCCGAGAACCTCCCTGCCTCATCTCTGTCAGAAGCAGGCTGAGGTCAGGCGGAGAGGAGAGTCTGGGCATACCGCCAAGTTGCTTAGCCTTTCTTCGGTTTCTTGGGGGATTACTTTATAGCAACAGTTGCGGATCAGCCGTTCACAGTCGCCAGCCACGCGTCCCCTCCTGAACGAGACGAGTGGTCCGGAAGTCGCGTTGCAGGGTCAGCGCTATACTCAGACTACAACTTTCCTGTGGTCCAGCGAATGACTCCGGTTTGCTTGGCTGTAAGAAATGACTTGGCGCCCAGGTTGGCTTTGCATGCTTCTTTCCCACTGCCTATGCTTGTCTAGCTTTGATTTGCTTGTGTTGTCGACGGAGGACGGGGTGCTTGTCTGTGGGCGAAATCCCGCCAGTGTGTTGGGGACCGCTCTCCCAGAATTATCTTCAACGGCTCGTCGATGACCGTAAACGTCATACAATCTTGGGGAATTTGCGGTGCAGAACGCCTCGTTCGTATCTGTTGACTTTATTGTTGTCATCCTTGCTCTCAAGCGTCTATACGGAGTCCCAGCACCGGCAGTGTTTACCAAAAGCTGGGAAACGTTTCATGGCTGATGCAGAACTCCATTGGAACAAGCGACTTACTTGGCGCCCCTGTTCATCCTAACTGCTGGCGGACTATGCGCTCCGGCATTTTTGGCTACCATGTCTCCAGTGACATAAAGACGAACGGGATTCCACTCCCCATTGAAAGGGGGATCAGACCACACTCCATTCCCTTGAATTCCATCTCTGTACCTCCTGTTTACTGTCTGTCAGATTTTGACGCTCTTTTCGCTCTGCATAGCCAATCAGTTGTCCTTCGCTTATTTGGTTTGGCATATCTGCTCCCACTTCACAATGGTCCACTGGGTTTTCCTTCTCCCTGCTCTCTTCTCGACAGCCTGGTGCTGTGCGAAGCATGATAACTACCAGTCACATCCCCATCTTGGTCGAAGACAAGTTCGAATAGATGTCGGTCGGGAACCGAAGGATTGGAACTATGATCACTCTGCCGACTGGGCTACCATTCGACCTGGTATGTGTCGGTTGTCCGTCTCTAATATGACTAAACTAACATCCGGCCAGAATATCACCTCTGCCAATCCGGAACTCACCAATCCCCCATCAACATTGCCGTCAAAGGGCTGTCGCAGCTTCATCAGCCTACCTTTGAAGGTTACAAGGATGAGGCCATGCCAGGCAACTTCTTTAACTGGCAGTTCGCCCCTGCTTGGACCCCTCATCACGCAGAGGAAGAAGTCACCTCCTTACCGAGTATGGGATTCGATGACCACGAAGTCTTCATGAACGGCTGGCACATCCACGTCCCATCCGAGCACTTGGTTGATGGTCACCGAAGTCGGGCAGAAATCCACCTTGTTCACGTCACCGAGGAAGACGAAGAAGCCGCAGTCATTGGCATCCGTGTTGCAGTGGCCCCTCCCGAATCCAAACATGAATCAGCATTCTTCAAACAACTGGGGACGATGATCCACTACAACGACACCTCCCAAATCGAAGGCCTCCAAGTCAACATGCGCCTTGCCATTGATGAAGTTGACGGCCTCTCGGAGTTTTGGACGTACAAGGGCAGCTTGACCACGCCTCCCTGCTCCGAAGGTCTACGCTGGTTCATTCCCAAGAAAGAACTTCTTGTCAGCGAGGCCCAAATGGTTGAGATCCTCGCTGCTAGCAGATTCTCCCATCGCGTCACTCAAGAGGTCTGGCTTCATGACGTCAATTTGTAAACCAAAAAACAAACCAACCAAAAGGTGGTGAAATCAGCTCGGCCCTGTATATGTATATGATGACTTGGGATAGAAAAAGTCGATGAAGAGTTCTTGCAATTACTAGCATTGGGAAAGCGTTGACCCATGGAGTTCACTAGAAATTTTGGGTACCCTTATTTCGTTGTTCGGTCAATGTTACTGTGGGGAATATTGTATCTTGAATCATCATCTTTGCCTTCTATACGCTCGCTACCATAAAATACATTACTGAATCAGTATTGTATCTCGTCGTCCGATCCCTTGAAGGAGTGCTGCTTTGACTTTCAACGCTGAAAGTGGAAGAAACGTCCGCCAATGATGTCCCCATCAATCATTGACGGAAAGGACGTCGGCACGAAGACCGCAGCTTTCAATGATGGACATGCACTCGATCTCTAACAACCTACCTGAGCTATATATTATATCACACAAACAAGAATGTCACAGAACGAGTCCGACGAAATAGATCTATCAGTCGATAGACATGCAGGCAGAGATGATGCAGACCATGAAGCTGCGGAAGAGCAAGAGCTAGCGCGATCAAACAGGAACAGGGTCCGTGTCCTTCTAGGCTCCTCGCTCCTACAGCTCCCAATCTGGGGTGGGTTTGCTTCTGTCTGTCTCATTTGGCATACCGTCATACTCACCATGATCAGGCTTTTCTATGAGCTTTGGCGTATTCCAAGAGTTCTTCTCTGACCCCAGCAACTCGCACACCGGGCTCCGAGGTTCTCACTCGGCCACCGGTGTCATCGGCACCACCTCCAACGGGGTCATTTACCTGTCAATGCCCTTTCTCTTCGCGGCGTTGAGCCAACAACGAGCGTGTGTCCGTCACGTAGTCGCCTTCGCCGGTATAGCATTCATTTGTCTCAGCTACTTTCTGTCTTCGTTCAGCACCTACATCTGGCAAGTGATAGCCACACAGGGAGTGCTGGCCGCATTCGGTTCCGCGCTGCTCGCCAGTCCCACAACGCTCTTCCTCGGTGAATGCTTCGCCACCAGCAATCGAGCCGTCGCTTATGGCGTCATGCTCTCCGCCAAGAACATTGTAGGATCCACGTGTCCATTCCTCCTGCGCGGTTTGCTTGACCGCTACGGGTTTCGCATCACGATGAGAATATGGACGGCGATTGTCACCGGGAGCAGTTTGTTTGCGATGTGGATATTCCTGACTGCCTCTTTGACAAAGTATCGAGCCCGTCGTCACACTCGAGCTCGGATAGCGTGGCAATTCCTCAAACACCAGACTTTTTACATCTACAGCATCGCCACCATGATGCAGAGTTCTGGTTATGGTATCCCACAGACGTACCTCAACACTTACGCGCATGATGCAGCCTCCTTGTCACAGGCGTCTGCCACCCTTCTGCTCACCTTATTTAACCTTCCAGGCATCATCTCTTGCTCTTTCTTCGGCTACTTGAGCGACAACAAACGGTATCCCCTCTCGGCCACCACCACCACCTGCATTTCGAGCCTTAGCTCCGCCTTGTCCGTGTTCTTGCTATGGGGCCTCGCATCGCCTTCGAGTGGTAGCATGGCTATCCTCATGCTCTTCTCCATTACTTTCGGTTTCTTCGCTGGCGGTTACAGTTCTACGTGGGGAGGCATCATTACGCAGATGGAGCGAGAGGCCGCCGAGAGAAATGAGCCCGTCGATACGGGTGTCCTGTACGGCTTGCTGAATGGGGCCAGGGGACTTGGATATGTTAGTGGAGGATTGGCGGGTGTACCACTACTGAAGACTGGAAACACCGCTCACAGGGGCCGCGCTGGCTATGGAACCGAGTATGGACCTTTGATTGTCTTCACGGGGCTATCATTGGTCTTTGGAGGTTGGAGCATCATGTGGCAATGCAAGAAGTTGAGTCGTTGGATCCGTTGTTTTTTGACCTAGGACAGAGTTCACAAGATAAGCCCTGGCATCATCCGTCGCCACGTGTTTCGAATTTCGAATTCTTTTTCTGGGCACTCATTTCAAATTAAAGGTGCATTAACCTGGAACACTTGAGGATAGGAAATGGTCGAGACTATGTTCAAAGTATGCGTCGTCAGCTCGCGGTCTTGATCCGGGATCTGAGTCTCGACACGTGTATCTTGTATCATCGATATCAAATATTAAACACACCCCAGTCTGGAAGCTCCCGAAACACTTCGCAACGTTGATGCGGCATGTTGAGACGAATATCAAAAGCTGTCTCAGCCTTCCGGTTATGTGCACCGAGTGCGCAAGGCTGTCGATTTCGCTCGGTAACTGACTGTGGCTTGTTCAAATTTGGAGTGTTGAATTATTAATTCATATCTTTCTGCCTAGAAACAGAAAGGCATCAACAGCATCAACCCGGGCTTGACTCTGGCTTTGGCAGATTGTCAACGGCGATGGATCTTCCGGAGGAGAGGAGTCCTGATTGGTCCAATCGGGCTGGCGTTCAAAATATTGAAATATGGACCTTATCTCTCGGTTGCGTGTAAGACCGATTCCGACCATCCCAAGCTCAATCTTTGTGCTTCAACAAGAAATAAATTCTCCAACGTCAAAAGAGACTTATAATCTTGGGGTTCCAGAGGGAAAGAAAGCAATGAAGGCCCTTTCGCAGGTCTTGTCAAGAGTACGCTGCCCCTGCCCAACATCTCATTCAACACCGTTTTCACATCCATACTTATGTCCATACCCATTTGCTTCTTCTCATTGTCAATCTGTTTCCCTCGATACAGGTACTAGTACTCGTACTCAATCCAGATCAAAGCTACGACACGAGCTAAAAGCAGACCATACGCAAAAGGTCCTACAATTCCAATCCGCAATCCAAAGCTTCACGTCCCCCTTGCTCTACGGCAACACCACGTCCATATCTACATCCCCGTTATCATCTTCCGCAATGAACGAAGAAATCGACCACGTCCTCTCCTTCTGGTTCTCTGGCGGTACCCAAGCCGTCACCCGCTGGTTCCGACCTCCTGCAGGCTTCGACGAGGAAGTCCGCACCTCCTTCCTCCCCTTAATCTCCCAGGCGCGCTCTCATGAACTGGATTCCTGGACAGACACACCTCTTGGCTCTCTCGCACTGATTATATTGCTTGACCAATTCCCACGCAACGTCTACCGGGGCAGCGATGGCGCGCATGCCTCCGACGCCCAAGCATGTTCCGTAGCCACGAATGCTATTGCTCGTGGATATGATCATCAAGTCGATGACTTACAAGCGCTGTTCTTCTACATGCCTCTTATGCACGATGAGAGGCTGGTGTCGCAAGTGGCTTGTGTGGCGCAGATGGAAACGCTGTACGCACGATGTCAGCAGAAAGAGAATGCGGAGGCAAGGGAGGCAAGGGAATTTGTTGAGCAGGGTCTAAAATCTGCGAAGGGCCATAGGGACACCATTTTGAAGTTTGGTCGATTTCCGAGTAGAAACAAAATTCTGGGAAGGGAGTCCACGGAGGAAGAGAAAAAGTTTTTGGAGGAGAATCCGTCGGGGTTCCTCTAAGACCAATCCACACGGGAGGAGAAGCTTGAAAGGGTTTTTGATTTTTGTGTAAGCTGGTTGCATGAGCAGGTTGCAGGGTGTTGCGAAGATATGGCCTTGGACTTGATTATTAAGCATTGGCATACTAGGGCTATACACCATTCTACAGAGGCAAGTATGAGCTGTTTGTGTTGAGTTGGGAATCGATCCATACGGAGGACGGGCCAAGAACTCGGATTGAGGCTACTGAGGTCACAGGTAGGTCACATCTACAAGGCACAGGCACAGGCACAATCATTCAATTCATAATGGATGGTTCACTGGCAGGAACCATTGAATCTGGTGAAAAGAGCAGAGAGGATGCTAGAATAATAGTCACAAATGGCCATCATGGGCATAGTACTATAACCGAGCATCAACCCGTAATTGTGTAATATGCACGTTGCCAGCCCCGTTAAAGTCATTGTCGATCCATCAAACCTCTTGACTCACGTACATATAATTTAATTTATGCTGGAGTTAACCATTAATTTCTTCTTCATTTCAACCCAATCTTGTCTTTGGGCAAAATAGCAAATACTGTCCCCAAACCAGCCAATCCAATACAAAGAATGACGAGACACCAATCAAGAATCCGCTCTGGCATCCTGATCTCTTTACCTTCTGTGCTGAAAATCTTGAGGTAAAAGCTGACGGGAAGGATGATGCAAATAGTGAAACATAAAGCAGATCCCATGAGGGCCATGATACTGTCAAAATCGGGGAAACCAATGGCGATGCCGAGTTGGATGATATTGGTCATGATCCCAATCAAACCACGAGCAGCACGGTGTTTCAAGCTCTTCTCACTGTGTAGTCGTGCCTTGAGGTCCATTTGACGAAGATCGATATAGAACTTCTTGTTCAGTGTGTCCATCATGGGACGATTGGAGAGAGGAATTTTGGTGATGGGAATGATGGCGATCAACACAACAATAATGACGGATAAGGCGTGAGGATAGGCGGAAGATCGGAGGATGTTTGACGTCACTTCGTCTCGCACTTTGTCACCGAACATTAAGTAACCAAGTACAGCCATGGAGAGGTCGAGGCCGTAGGTGAATAGATAGGTGTACTTGACGGCTCGATCGTACTTTTGCGGATGACGCATATCCTTGTATATGGCAGGGAAGACGCTATGACCTCCCCAAGGAGCCATAAAGAGACCCAGACTGAGAGGGATGGTCCGCCAATCTTCTGGAAATGCGTATGTTTTAGCCACATCTCTCAAAGAGCCAGGACTGCGAGGCTTGATCAGGCCGTCGGCAAAGACAATGATGATGATTCCAAGACAACAGAAGATTCCAATAACGCTGGTGACACTCAGGGTTCTGAAAGGAACAAAGTTCAAAGGTATCAGCCCGACTGCGATGAGAACTTTCCATTCAAGCACGTTGAGACCTGGTATGAGCGAGTTCATGCTATCGGCGAACAAGATGATGAGAGCGACATTGGCAGCTGTGAGTTCGAGAATGAACAGAGACTCCACAAAGTTTCTCCCCCATGAATCGAACGCGAGGAAAGCAATGTCTCCGTATGTTGTCGAGCCTGTATTGGTATCCAGGCATTTGGCTAACAATCTGGCCGTGTATGAGGTGGAGACAGCCGCGAGTGTAAGAAAGCTCAGGCCGATGATCCAACCAGAGTATCTGATACCGAGTGGGAGAGCCAGAATCCCCACCCCGATCAGAACATTGGTCGAGTTGAAGATGGTCATCGGTACTGTAGATTCACCCACTATACGTGTAACGATTTCCCCATCCGGTCTCACTTCTTGTTCAATAGCTCGCGGGGGCTCTTCTTTGAATTGTTCAGGGTGTTCCTTAGCTTGTCGACTAGCTTCTTCATGTTCTAGAATCAAAATCGAGGCTCGTTGTCGGGCAGAGGCCGTCAATCTTGAAGAAATACTCCCATAGCTTGTTCCAAGCTGGTTAGCCATCAACGAGCCAGGTGTCAGAGAACTAGCAGTCGATTTCATTGTCTGATGGCTCGGCATGGGAAGCAGTCGGGAATGTTCATCTAGCTCCTCAACTTCATGTTGTTCATCGTGAACAGCAGCGTCGCTTCCATGTTGCAGATGGTAATCATGTAGCTGTCGCCGTAGAAGCGATCTATCAGGAGCACTGCATTGTTCAGCACCCTCCTCTCCAGCTTCTTGATCGGGTTCTGCAAGGGTGACCGAGTTTCTCCGCACGGGTGTTATCTCTCGAAATCCAGCAGCTCTTTGGAATGATCGGGCGAAATTGTCAATGCTATTTGGTCCACCCATATGTCGGAGACTGTCGAATCTCTTCCCAATAGAGGATCTCCTCCTTAGCACCCTACCTCCCCCTTCTCCCTCTCCTTCTTCTTCGCCATGTCTAGGAGGAATGAGACGCTCACTCGAAGTGGAGGACGAGAGGATGATTGGTGGTTCATTTTCGGGTACGGATTCTAAGGAACCAAAGGAAGAGGTCCGGCCATGTTCATAGGCATCCCAGGTTGTGGGAATTTGCTTACTTCGCTGGCTCATTGAGATCGTTGGAAAGTTTCAACAACTATTTGGGCCTGGGGTTCACAGAATTATGGCTTGAGGACCCGCGTTGAGAAGCTTCATAGTACTTAATGATACAAAGCAGATAGCCGCCAGAATTTCTAAAGTAGGAAGAAGGGTATTTAGAGGGGAAAAAATTTCAAGGGGAAAGAGGGAAAAAAAAAAAAAATTTTTTTAAAAAAAAAAATGAAAAGGTCCCCAGATGGATTCAGATCTTCAGAAGCTCATGCTAGCATCCGGCAATAACCATGACCATGCATGGAGGCGAAGATTCAACACGGTGCAAAAAAGACGTTCTGGTCGCTGTCAGGTTTGATGGTGGAGTAACAGAGTTTAGAAGCTGTGGCGAGCAAGCCGGCGGGGCACGTTAAGAGGAATGCGCCGCAACCTTCAATACCCAGTACCACACATTGGTGACCTGTCCATCCACTCACAAAAACAGAGTGACAATCACCGTCGCCTTGTCGCTCCGTGGCATAGCCAGCGTTGTCCACTCCACGACTTGACTCCTACCAACGTCCACTTCAGACTCACAACCCATAACTCAACACCAAAATCGTAAATTCTCGCGTGGCCCCCTTTGACTTCCCGCCTGTTCCTGCGATTTCGAGGACGTTTCTGGTGCGAGTAGGCCGCCTTCGGTCGGTCACCCTTCGGCAATCATGAGCGCTCCACAACCAAATGAAGCAGAAAAGAATATTGAGATATGGAAGGTCAAAAAGCTCATCAAGCGCCTCGAGGCTGCAAGGGGCAATGGCACATCCATGATCTCCCTCATTATTCGTGAGTAAAACCGCCGCCATCTAACTTTTGTCTCGAACTGACACGGTTCCAGCACCCAAGGATCAAGTCTCTCGTGCGGCAAAAATGTTGGCTGAGGAATTCGGTACCGCCTCCAACATCAAATCTCGAGTCAACCGTCTTTCCGTCCTTTCAGCCATCACTTCCACCCAACAACGTCTTAAGTTGTACTCGAAAGTCCCACCAAATGGCTTGGTCGTCTATTGCGGTGAAATTATTACTTCTGAGGGAAAAGAAAGGAAAATCAACATCGACTTTGAGCCTTTCAAGCCAATCAACACTTCGCTCTACCTCTGTGACAACAAATTCCATACCGAGGCTCTAAGTGAACTCCTCGAGTCCGACCAGAAATTTGGTTTCATCATCATGGACGGTAACGGGGCCTTGTTCGGAACCCTCAGTGGCAATACAAGGGAAGTGGTTCACAAGTTCTCGGTGGATTTGCCAAAGAAACACGGTCGAGGTGGTCAATCTGCCCTTCGTTTTGCTCGTCTCAGAGAAGAAAAACGTCACAACTATGTCCGAAAAGTGGCGGAGTTGGCCGTGCAGAATTTCATCACCAACGACAAAGTCAACGTTGCCGGCCTCATTCTGGCTGGTTCTGCCGACTTCAAAAACGACTTGAACCAGTCCGACATGTTTGATAGCCGTCTTCAGTCCAAGGTCATCAAGGTTGTCGATGTGTCTTATGGGGGGGAGAACGGATTTAACCAGGCGATCGATCTCGCATCCGAGACTCTGAGCAACGTCAAATTTATTCAAGAGAAGAAACTCATTGGCAAATACTTCGAAGAGATCAGCCAAGACAGTGGCCGAGTTTGCTATGGTGTTGAGGACACCCTCAGGGCTCTGGAACTCGGTGCGGCCGAGACCTTGATCGTCTATGAGAACTTGGATATTACTCGTTGGGTCTTGAAGGCCTCGGATGGGACCGAAAAGATTCTCCACACCACCAAAGCTCAGGAAGCCAACCGCGAACAGTTCATGGACAAGGATACCGGTCAAGAGATGGAAGTCGTTGACCAAGGATCCTTCCTTGAATGGCTCGCCGAAAAGTACAAGGATTTCGGTGCTACTCTGGAATTTGTTTCTGACCGATCAAGCGAAGGCAATCAATTCGTCAAAGGATTCGGTGGTATCGGTGCCATTTTGCGCTACAAGGTCAATTTCGAACAGTTAGCCGACGTTGATTCAGAAGACGAGTTTTATGATGATTGACAATTCAATGACCTCGCAACAGAGCGCGAGGAGATCTCAGCCGACAACCGACCAAATGCCGAGAACGGCTCCAAGGCAGCTCTCCGCTCTGAGCGTCCGAGTGACGCACTCAAGTCCCAGCAATGGCAAGGGACAAATCACAATGTGGACAAGAACAAACCACGTATCAAGGATCTCGACGATTTAGGCACGAAGAACAGTGTTTTCCAACGCGCTGAGCGAGCAATGACGCCGCCAGCCAGGCAAGACCGAGGACTAATCCATGGTGAGTTTATGGTCACGTTGAAATTGACTGGTCTGACCATGTTTTCCACAGGACGTTCCAATCTCCGCAACATGGTCATGGTCTGAATTGAAGACGGCATTCAGATTCGGCGTACCAGCCCGCCTGTCAAACCTCCGATGGACTTACCAAAGTCTGACGAGGCCGACAGCCTCAATGCCCTGGATCTGATGTAAGCCCAACGCAGACAAACTGTCATCTGAATGAATCACCATTTCTAGTCTTCTCCGACAGAGGACTTGACAATCGATCTTTCCGTCAAACCACAGGCTATCGTTCCACACGAGAACTCTCTATCAAGTTGGACTTTTATCCCGTTGAGCTAGTCACTCCTTCACTATCAAGCTCGGTTTGTTTTTGGTTTTTCTTTATTTTTGGTTTTTTGGGGGTGTGTCGTTTTGCACGGTCACAAGCCCAACCAGGCTGTATTTCACAATCGCCCTGTATCCAACTGGGTGGGTGGCTGTTGCAGCGTCGCTTGGGTCACGTGGGCGTCGTTTCTCTTCTAAGGCAGTCGATCGTTTTAGCCTTGGTTCACATCATGGATCAAATCCGATTCAATTCTGCGCAACCATCTGCTGCTATTTCCGCTCCTGTTCCGTTCTCGCGAGGCAACTGATCCTGAAATGTTCCAAGACATCTCAAGCTCTCCGTAAACTTGCTCAAATCGTCCAACAGGGTTCTTAAATTATCACTGAGCCATTCGACTCGTGCATCTTGAGTCGCCTCTGCTTTTATGTTCTCACACTCGACGAAGAACACATACTGCCAATTCCGCTGGCGACTGGGCCGTGTATCGATGCTCGTCAGGTTAAAAGAATGTTGCTTGAACACAGCTAGGGCATCAGCCAGGCTGCCGGGTTTGGCGTGTGGGATCGTGAACGTTATCAGTGATTTATACCGCAGAGGTTTGATATGTTCTGATGATCTCTCTATAGATGTGTAACCTGTCTGATCTAGCGGACGCTTGCGGTTCCTCACCACGAAGAATCTCGTCGTGTTAGAGCCGGGCTCGTCCTCAATGTTCTCAGCCAAACAAACGAGATTGTTCTTCTGGCCCGCCAATTGTGAACCGATGGCCGCACTGAAACCGCCATTGGACTCTTGCGCCACAAGCTGTGCCGCGGCCGAGGTACTCCCTACATCGATTCGTTCGACAAGATTAGGCGGGAAATGCGTTGACAGGAAACGACCGCATTGGCCCCAGACTTGCGGATGGGTATAGAGTGTGCGGATGGATTGTTTGGGGTCTTTTGAATCTCTGGAGTTCGGTGGAGAAGAGACGAACAGACAATGATGGACTGGGAGGTAATACTCGGCGCAGACTTCAACGTCAGGGTATAGAGCGGATGAGTCGAGGCCGCATTGGGCGAGGAGGTCGAGAATTTGGAAGACGGAGCCGTTGGTGCTGTTTTCTATAGGGATTACGGCGTAGTCGTATGATATGTTTTCGGAAGAAGATGAACATGTCGAAGAGGAGTTCTGTATCGAGGAGAAAATAGCGGTAAATGAGGGTAGAGGGTGCAGAGAGGCTGGTCTAGAAGGAGGTGAAGAAGATGAAGGTGCAAAGACTTCAACGGCGGCTTGGTGGGAGAACGAGGCTTCGGGTCCGAGGTAGGCGATGTTGAGTGGGCTGGCAGACTCGCCGCGATCGAACATAGTGGACTTCTTTCTATATTTTAGTCCATCAAAACAATTAATGCCATTAAACTGGAGGGATTTCAAAGTGAAGTGCTGTAATGCTCTTACGGAAACTTGTCGCCGCTTTTGGAGATGGTTCTCCCCTAATGCCAAGACGTCCAGGCTTCTCGCCTCATTACCCAGCCCGATCACCCACGTACACAATCCTTCCTTTCAGTAATGGAACACTCAACTCCTTGAACGATGTCTTTGATCATACAGCTCCCGACCATGGAGCTTCGAGGACATCTAAGGAGAGTTCCTCTCGACCTTCTCACACTGCTATACTGTCATCTCTCAATACAAACCAGCTTTTCCTCTAGGATGGTTGCTTGCCGCTGTTGACAAAACTAAAGACTCGTGGTGATCTGATGCAGCATGAAGTTTTGGGAACGAGATATCCGCAGGGTAACGGAGTCTCCATTCCCTGCAGACAAGAGTTTAGAAGAAAGTGACCACCTCATATGTGTAACAAAAGTACACTTTTGGGGTTGCCGCATCAATGGCGCCATAAGCGCCGGGCTTGGACAACTCCTGCATCTCAAACGTTTCCGACAATACCTCATTGACCGAGAATTAACGGCCTTCGCCTGTTTTGTTTCGCCATGGAAACTCGACCCTTTCCATAGTACGTACGAGTTTCAGATCCAGTGCAGCGCTTATCAGCTGCCCGGCCCAAAACTGGACTCGTGCATATTTTCAAAATACCGTTGCTGCGGCTTTTCGGCCTCCAGGGAGGCTTGTGTCTGATTTGCGGTTAAAGAGACCGAGATATTCCCTGCAAGCGCCACGCGCAACCCCAAGCGCCGATTGCTCCTTGGAGGGAGCAGGGAAGCATGGGGACCTAGAATAGTATGATATGCATACTGCTTTGTGTTTGCTACCTACCCTCCACTTCGTCCTTCTCCCATTTTCCTGGCATCCATTTCTTCCATCTCAGTTTATTGCTGACATATTTTGTCTAGTGTCATATATCATGGTAGGAAAGGCAAAATCAGTTGAGCTTTATCATCCCGAACCCGTCCCGCTAAAAAGGGATAGTCGCAAATCCCTCTTCAGACCATCATGGATCACCATACCGACGACAGATTCCTCAGAGCGCCTCCTCCCCGAATCTTGCGGAAAGCCAGGCTCTAAACCCCGTGTCCCGTTGAAAGATGTCTTTCTCTTGTCGATCGAACTGCTCTGTCTCGTGGCGGGGCTGCTGACTGTCTTCTATTCCCGAGTTGCCATCTTTCTGGGACAGATAAATCAGTTGATTGCAATTGGCTTTCTCTTGGCTGTTATGGCCGTGTGCCTTGAAGGTCAGATTCTGCGTACGGCAATTATGCACACCGCGAGTCGAAATGGCTCCACGATTCAAGATCTCGACGCCTTGTTACGAAAAGATCCCTTCGCGTCCAAAATCCACCCCATGTATCGCATCCTTCTACTGTCTCTACTTGGCCTACCGCTGTTATTGAGTATCGGATATAAGACATTTGTTGGAGGGGAGAGCACGATCGTTGTCCATATGGGCGATGGATTCTTCGGCTTCTCGTCCACACCGGGCAAGCAGCGAATCGGGGATGGTCTGTCTATTCTCTCCGATGTTTATGTGCCATTCTGGATCGACCCAGCTCTGAATCGAACATACGGCTTTAATATGTATATTGCCGCTGATAACAAGACCGCTATGATCGTGGACTCACCCTATCCTTCATATTTAACCGCCATTCAGTCCAGCCTCTCTAACGGCGAGACCGTATCGTTGTCCGCCACGGTCAATGCAACGGTATCGGAAATGGTCAATCTAACAGAGGCAGAGCGAAACAGCGATGATTTCTGGGCCACTGTCCAAAATGACTTTGGACACGATCGCACAACCAATGGTGGGAATGTTGAGGGCGCCAATAATGCTCTTTGGGCTGGTATGGGCGGCGGTTTCTCTACGAACTTTTCAATCATGTACTTCTCAGCCTGGAACACGACGAGGAACGAGACATTTGAGTCTGAGGCCATTCGAACCGAGCAGACGCGCCGAGTGGCCCGAGCCACATGGGTGATTTCTTCGTCAGACATTATGCTCACAGAAGCTGAGCTGATTGAGAATAGCACTCTAGCAAACCAAACTTTGCTGCAAAGTAACGCCATCGGTCTACAGGAGATGTTCAGCATCTTTCTGGGAGAGTATGACTGGCACAATCGAGCGGCAGCATTCGATTTTCCCTACCCATCCCCACGCAACGGTGAGCTGCGATACTTCCAGCCTGTCAACACAATACCACCATTAGCCGCAACAATGGCCTGGGCGCGCATTACTAGCTTGGACACTATCGACCGGCCACAGGGAATTCAAAGTGGCAGCCTAAGGGTCCAGACGGGGTACAGCAAGGCGGAGCGAAATATTGTGACCATTAAAACTGTGCCAATTCTGCGACGGCTACCGTTGTTGGCTCTCCTATTGCTGATAAATCCCTTGTTGTCTTTGGCGTGTGTTGTCGTGAAGGCCTCGTTCTTGTATCGGAGTCCCATTGGGGACAACTTCAACACCATCTCGCTATTTGCGGCAGCACGAAAGAGTGATTTGCGCACTGTGAAGGGAGCCTCCTTAACGGGAGAATTGACTCGAAAAGTACCAGTGGCTTTCAGTATCGAGAGTAACAGTCTGCCTGGACACGGCACGGAGGGCCGTGGCGGGGTTGAGCACGTAGTCCTGAGTCTTGACCAGGTCGATCGAAGGAGCGGGAGGATTAAAAGGGGCACCGTGTACTCATAGTATATATAATTACTCCAGTTAGATATCTTTGGGAGAGTTTGGAAGTTTGGATCGGAAAACCTAAAGTCGGTCGATAGTTTTCAGCAGCGGAGACTGGACACGCTTCCCCGCACTAGGCTTGAGTTCGGAGAAGTATCTCACTTCTTAGCGTCAGTATTGGAGCCTTGCGGCCACAGGTTGCTTCCATTCCGAAAGGGTCACTTGGGCTTTCTCTTCCTATTCACAACCATTGGTCCACGGGATTCTTCGAAGCTCCGAGATAATCTCTCTCTGCATCACAAAGTGAACTTTGAAAATTGTGGTAATTAAGGCGATCCTGGTCCGAGCAGGCCAGTGCTACGTCATTGCTTGTAGTGATGACTCCTTTCCTTGTAAAGCCTCGCACCCGTGGAATCCCAGATACGGGAAAAACAATAGCCTGGTACCACAGTCAAGCAAGGTGAGTGAAGGTGAGTGAAGGTAAGATATATTAACCTCAAAAAGAACAAAATGGACGATATGGTCCTGGAAAAGAAGGTCTCCTCAGATCTATATTGTGTCTCAAATTCATGCAATGCATCTGCGTCACCCTTTGTCTCACCCAGTGTGAGAACCATGGAATCGAACCGGGCCAAGTCACGAGCGCACGCGCAAAAGAGCATTTCCATTCTGTTCGAAATTTAATTCTTATCGTGGTACTAATTTCTTCTTTATTGTCCCGGTCCTGGCCCAGATCCTACTCCTCTTGACCACACTTCAAGCTTTTTCACCAAACCACTTCGTACGCAATACCCCTCCCAAAATGCCATCCTCCTCGATGAGGCTGTCTCTGGGCATGGTCCTAGTGACCTCATGCCATACACTGAATGCAATGGCTTCCACAAGATCCAACGCTCCGAATGCAAAGTCGTCCTCACGGAGCAACGAACCTCCAGTCCTCGAATCACGTCCCGCTTTCCCTAAACCATGCTCGTCCTTCTGGCCATTCAGGAGCAAGAACCAAGATTCCGAAATCATGCAATACAGAGTCATCGACAAGGTCTATCCGTTCGACAACACCAAGACCTTTACGGCCCTGCCGGAGCACTCCAAGTCCCCGCACCTATGCGACTTCGAATTGATGCGCAATGTGCAGAAATACCTGCTCAAGAGCCGGTGGCGGAAATCCTCGGTTGTCAAAGGCTGGACTGACTCCCAATGAAGAGGACGACGAGGGCGAGGACGTTGTTCATCTCCGCAACCCTGCCAATTTGAGTCCGAGACAGGCTTGGGCTTCGTGCGCTGCGAGTCATGCCAGTCAAGGGACCGTACTTTCCTGCCTCAAAGCTCTCCCGACGGTGATTACTCGCACATGGTCCTCCTCGAGCGCCGCACGAGGTGCGATTGCAAGAAATATTCTGGTATTCGAAGCATGAGTTTCCCTTTGTCTACGGGCAAAGATATGTCCCAAAATCACGTACCGATGCAAGCAACGACGGCGTCAGCTACCACAACAGGAGGCACAGCACCTGCAGTCAGAAACGCAACCACAGCGCCACCAAAGCCGGCCCCAGCCACTGAGAGGAGTACGCCTGGTAAGCCCCAACCTCTCGACTGCAGACCACAAGAATCCTCAGCTGCATAATTCCTGACGGGTCGTTAGGAGATCAGAGTTTCACATTTAACGGTCTTTCTTGCAGTGGAGGATATGGCGGAGGCTGCGCAGATGAAGGAGATGGAGCCGGGGGCCACTGTGCCTGCCGATGGAAAGCGGGTGAAAGCAAAAGAGCACGTTTACACAGAGTGAAACATTTAGGCAGGGGTCTAGAAAGGATATCGACTTATGAGGGAATGATATATTTATCCATAGGCCTTACTTTAGGATCCAATATCAATATTAATATATCCTTTTCGTCAAACCTGTAACCGAATCACAGACCATTGTTGTAAAGAAAAGAACCACCAAAATATGTGTAACGAACCGACAATTACAAAGAGACATGGAGGAATGTTTCGGTCCTTTGCCAATTTCCCGACACCATTACAGTGGAGTCCGTCTTTTTTCCAACTCGCAATCCCTTTGTGTATGTCCTGTGGACCAATTCTTCCAATCGCAACTCCCATTTCCAATCATTCAGCAAAACTTTTCCGTCCCTATGCCTGGTCTTGTTTTACTATTTTACATTCTCCGATTTTCTTCGCAGAAATACCCTCTTAATCCCACCAATGTCACTCAAGCTCATACGACTTTTCGGCCTGGCTGTCAAACTCACCCTTCGGTTATTTGCATCACTGGTTCTGGATGCAACACTGGTGCTTGGAGAAATTGTCGTAGGACTTGAATTTGTATTTGGGCTGGGGCTGAAGTATGGCATGCGCCGACTTGTTGGCGTCGTCGATGTCACTGTCGTCGTCGTGGTTGGTCCTTGAACCATAGTCGGACTCCCTCCACTGACGGCTCTAGCTTTGCCAACCATACCCTCGACCCAAGCATCGTTGTTCGTGGAGGGTGTGGTTCCAAAAGTAACTGCCCGACGAGCGTTTGTTTTGGGCCCAGCAGCACCGAGAGGAGTATAGTTGGTGGTGGCAATGGGAGGAGTAACGGTTGTTGTGGTGGCGGTGACACCAGGGCTGCTGATAGTAGAAGACCTTGGATTAAAGGGAGTCTCAGAATCACGAAATGGCTGTGATGCTCGGTCAGCATCCACAACACCGGTGGCAGAGCCGACATCAGATTGAGTCGCCATCATGATTGTGGGAGATTTAGTAGTGTAAGATGCTGGAATAGGTGGTACTGGTGGTGGCGTCCAAGCCCCATCTTCTTTGCGCATGCTCTTGCCAGGCTCAGGAGAGCGACATCTTGGTCGAGCCCTAGGGTTGACCAAATCAGGTGATGAATTGATCTCAAAGGACGTTTGGGTTGCTGAAGGTGATCTCGATTTTCGTCGTCCTTGATATCCGGAAGTTCCACTACCACAGTTAACTCCCGACGGGTCCTTCTGTCCATTACCGGGAAAACTGGCAACCTCGAGGCGTCCATCACCAGCGGTACGGCTTCCATGATGGAGATTATATTCCCTCAAATATTCTCCAAGATCGGCCCATCCTCCACCCACACGAACCATGACACGACCATCGCCCACCGTACGAACGAAAAGTTTCACTGGAGGGACATCACGAGCTTGTCCAGTTCGTGTCAAATGATAGACTCTGACCTCAGGGCCCCCAAGGCTGCTTTTGCGACTCGATGGCTCTGATCTAGCTGGTGACAGAGTCAGGGCAGGAGTAGGGGTCGAGGCACGTGTTGAAGAGGCCGAGGAAGACCGTGTTGAATTGGACGAGTCTCCATCTTTTGCAAGTCGGATTTTGGTCGGCAGTGTAGTGAGTATGTCTTGTATCTTATCATCGAGGGACTCTCCTATCTTTATGGCTTTAGGCGACGATTGTTCTATCGGAGTTGGTGGCTTCAGTAGAGGCTGTTGCTCAGAGCTGTCCTCTTTGGTCCCAGCGCCAATGCTCGAGACTGAAGCGAGTGGAGAGAATGGGCTGTTAGCATTCAACATGTTTCTCTTGCTCGACCTTCGGGGTAGGGCTGGTATCGGTGGTGAATCTTCCTTGCTTGGGACGGGCGATGGCTCGGCTTTTGCAGAGGTTGAGAGCCGGGAACGTTCATTTTCCGGTTGCGCTAGAGGTGGCAGTGGAGGCTGAGAGCCTTCCAATTCTACCATCGAGGCCCTCGCAATGGGCGAATCCGCTCCGGTCAACTGCATTAAAGCTTTCGAAGGAGTACTGTCGGGAGATTGAGGTATTTGAGAAAGCATGTCCCAGCTGGCAGTCCGCCGTAGCATGACTCGTTTCAGTTTATCTTTGGGGAAAACTTCAATTGAAGCTGTTGAGGCTCTTTGCAGCATAGGCGGTTTCGTGGCCATGTGATGCTGGGCAGCAGATGCATTTCCGAACCATGTGATCTCGTGACGGCTTGTTCGAAGAGGATTGTCAACAACACTAATTTTTGGACTGGGAAGCACACTGGCGCTTGTAGCATCCATGATCTCCGCATTCGAAATGTCTGAAAATCCCGAGAACGTTGAATCCGCAATAGACACTTTGGATATCTCTCTTCGGTGGGTTCTTTGATCTGACAAGTGGAGCTTCAAAGAGGGCTTTCTTTTAGGATGTAACTCCTCGGGCTTTGCTTCGGATAGCTCAGATTTACTCTCCAGCAGACCTGGATCAGGTTCCATCCGCGATTCGGTTGGTTCCGGCTGTTTGTTTTCGGTTTGATTTTTTCCTTCATTCTGGGTTTGAGTCGTAGGTAAAGAGATCGGCTCCGACGTGGTCTCAGGATTTTCGCGGACGGTCAACGCTAGTTTATTTCTCAGGGCAACATGTTGAGCTTCAACCACCCACGTTGCATAGTCGAGCTCAATCTTCTCCAGTCTGTCAATCCATGCTTGTGGAAGCGAATCCTCATACCCTTCAAGCATGTCGAGAAATCGATCGACTCTTCGTCCCATGTCAGACACTTGCCCTCCCAAAGCGACCTTCTTACTGTCAAACGAAGCCTCCGTCGCATTTCTCGCCAATTCGGGATCCCTAATTTCTTGGAATGCTGCTTGAATACCAGACTGGGTGGACTCCATGACTTCAAGAAATCCCGGAAGATCGCGCAACACCCTCAGTCGAATATCCCACGTGTCCAGCAGCATATTCAATTTGGCAAGGTCTGGCAATGCTTGAATAACTGTGGCTGTAATCAGGGCAGTAAAATCCCGCAATTTTCCATCGTTCGTGCGGATTCCCAGAGCCTTGGTCTTCGACAACTCCTTCGTGGGAACGTGAGCCTCGAGCACATGATCTTTGATGTCGTCAATCCCCAAACTGTCAAGGTCATCTCTAATGTCCTCCAGCCTTTCCTCGTATTGCGCTACCGAGGATATGAGGAGAAAGCCTAGATATTCTGTGTCCGTCTCTTTATTCTCTGGGGAAACAAATCCCATACCCAGGCCCCGCTCTCGTTTGTCTGGCCATTGCCATTGTGACAATTCGTTATTCCATTCTCGAAGTTTCTGTGCAGCAAATGCGGCTCTTATGCCAACTTCTCGTTCCGCCGGGGTTGCATCCCTAATGCTCGAAGTCAATGCATCTTGGGCGGCGCCACCAGGTATTGTTTCTGTTGCCTGAAGGGCTTTCAACGTCGAATCAGGAGAAAGATTTCCAAGAAGAGGGTCGAGCTCTTTAATTGCGAATTGAGCTTTTCGGCGGGGGGATCTAGAAGGGGATCGGGAATCAATAGGTGGATCGAAACGAGGGAAATGCGGTGCCGTGGGAGTCGAAGGAGCCATTGCACTAGACGGTCTAGAGGACTACCATGCGAGAAAGCACAATTTCTTCTTCTTCAAAGGGCTCCCGCCTGCTAAGAACCAGGCGTGCAGCATGCTGAAGCGTTGGGCAGGTCTGTCAGACCAAGGAGGCTGACCAGGCGCGTAGGGTCATTCGAAGAGTGTCTAGGTTGAGACTCTAGGATAAGAGAGACTTGGAATAGCTGATCAAAAGATAGACATCATGGCTGGCAGGAAAGATTGATGCCTGTTTCAGGTATCAGAATTGGTGGAGACATGCAGGAGCGCAAGTAGCAAAAGGTGGTTTGCTTTGGCAAGATTCCCCTGTCCAGGAGCAATAAAAATGTACGTACGTGATAGTGTCTGTCCGGGGTTTGAAGTAGATACCCGAGATCCAGTAGGACGAGGGTCTGCCTAGGGCCACTGAATTATCAGAGCGTAATCAGACTATCCGGCGCCACAACGCGTTCTCGAATGACGCGAACGCGAGTGGACTTGGGAGTTTCGGGGAGAAGCACGGCTCGCGTTCTGAACAAAGGCTACGACCTAATTCTGGCGACCCATCAACATGACTTTCTCTTCAATATTTCTCCTTTGTTCCTCCGCAAATAATGCGCTTCAAGAGCCAGATCAAGAATGTGAACCTTTTTGCAAGTGTGCAATCATCATCACTCTTCTCCTTCCTCAAATTCTAACATGTTCCAGAGTTCTGCGCCTCTTTGGCTTCGCTGGGCCAAATTGCCTGGTGTCGATTGAACGACGACGACGTTCAGTTCACGATTGTCCCTGACAAAGGCAGTCAAGTATGGTCCGTCCTGAAGCCCGAAACCGTCTTCGACACATACATTCTTCAATCCGCCTCGCCGAAGAATACGATCAACCTCGAAGTCCCTATCCAAGCCCTTTCCAGAGCTCTCCGTTCGGCATATGGTTCGACGTCCACTCAGATCAGGCTGACCAAGAAAGACAATGTGCCCATGCTATCGTTGACAATAGTCACCAATACATTCAGTAGTGGGAATAATGTTGTTGCGGCCCCAACGACCACAACCTCCCGACATAGCGGCGATGCTGGGGAACTCGACTTTACCGATGATAATATGGACGTATCGTTTGCTGGCGCGAATGGGGGTGGACCCAGAGAACGAGAGACCGTCATTACTCAAGACATCCCCGTGAAAGTACTGTCCATGGAAGTCGTGGAGAGAATCCACCAGCCTCGAACCCCAGAGCCAGACGTGAATATTTATCTTCCTCCTTTGGCACAAGTAAAAACAATCTCCGAACGCTTCACAAGACTCGCCATGGCGACCACGAAGGGATCTTCCTCTACCGGCCCCAGATTGGAGCTCAGCGCCAATATGCACGGTTCGCTCAAGATTGCGGTGAAAACCGACGCGCTCAATATCTCAAGCCGCTGGACTGGTCTCCTCAATCCGGAACTTGACCCGGCGCATTTTCCCGACGGATCACAAGGCGTGAGAGACCATCCCAGCACAAAAATGAAAGAGCTTGGCGGACCAACCGGGGAGAACCAGGCTGGGTGGTCCAGGGTCCGCATTGACGCCAAAGACTGGTCGAGAGTGCTCAGCGTAGGTCGAGTCAGTGCCAGAGTCATTGCCTGTTTCATCAATGATGGCGGCCTAGTGTTGTATGTATATCTGCCTAATGACGAGAATGGTAGTGAAGATGAATCATGTCTTACGGTGAGTCTGTTGGTCCTTTTTGGGAAACGATGAGCTGACCATCCGAAGTACTATATCAGCTCCTTCTCTGCCTAGACCAAAGGCCCTGGATTTGCTCAGATGTTCTACGGACAAACATGCTTACAAAGACCACGCATTTATGAGTTTGGTTTCTTCCGTTCAGGTTCACCTGCTTAGGACTACGAGTAGATATCGAGTTCAGCGATGGCCCTCGAAGATGTTGACAAGTTCAATGACTGATGAATACACGTGCATTTACAAAGTTGAAAATAAGGTCGACCTGCCGTGTGGCAGTCCAGGCAAAGCTTCTCTTCCCAGATGACCACACAAGAAAAGGCAATATGGCTAGATCAAAAAGCTCGAGCGTTCCAGTAGAACATCAAACGTAGGTGTGTCTTTTCAAGAGAAGCAGATACATTTGCACGTTAGAAAACGAGATCAGGAATGTCCATGACTTTTTGTTTCGGCTTCCGTGGTGCAGCCCAAACAGGCATACCAGGAGACTCTTTAGGCGATCACAAACACAGGTCAGGAACACGAACATGTTCTGGAAGTCATCTCGAAGCAATTGAAGCAAAACTTGACAAATAGGGCACTCAAGGATCGAAGAAGATGTGACAGTGGTGTTACAGCATGTGTGAACGTAGGCCTATATTCCCGAGGTACTCGCAAGATATTTTTTCTTTGTTTCCAACGTAAGCCAAAGCAGGCCTTGCTGTTCGAGGATAGCCCCTGAGAAATTGTAGTGATATTTTGAGGGAAGTCCTGGCTTGAAGAGGACATTCTCTAGCCTTGACAGTAGATTGCCTGAGAATGTTGCTCAACATTTACTCCCGTGTATGGCTGGGAGGAAGGATAAACTGAGGTGAAGTGCAAGTTTGCCTTTTACTAGGATAGCCTGGATAAGCAATACAATTGTTATGCGGCTTGACCCAAAACATGAAGGCGTCAAGATTGGTGCTTGTTGTCCTTTGTCAAAGAGGACATTCTCCGATAACTTGCCAGCTTCCGATAGAAAAGTGGCTTTCCTTAGGTCCAAAGCCAAACTAGTACATTTCAATGGTGAAGCAAAGTTCAGGGCTTCACAAACGACCAGAGTAGCAAATGGGGTGGTTCCTTTAAGCCGTCAGGACGGCTGCATGTCATTCTAACCCGGGTCGCCCAACTTAAGGATATGTGTTGCTTTGGAGGGACGAAGCTGAGAAATTGAAGTCAAGCCTTTCGGGCTCGCACGGATTCTTTTTTCGAACACGGGTTGCCGACATTGATGCTCCGTCTCCAGGTCCCAAGGATACCAAATCCATGATGAATAGCAAACAGGAATAACACCCTCGACTCAGACAGCTTCAACTTTAAGTGTCCGGCAAAAGACACTTGAGGCGCCGGCCGGCCGCAGGAGGCTTCGGGCCGTCTGTACCGCGCATTGCTTTTGGAAGTCCACAGTGAGAGATGGCCGGAGGAAATCCATGGAATCAACATAAAAGGGGCCTCTACAGCGTTTCCTCGCCGACTTTGTCTTGCATCTCTTCGCGTTCCAGTCGTCTCTTTTCTTGTCTGGCCATTGGATGTTCGCCATCTTCCGGTATGTCGCCAGGTTTCAAGCCTAGGGCTTTTCGCAACCGTTCGCTTTCCCGTTCTTTGGCCTCGGCCAACTCATGAACTTGATAACTCTTGAGTCCTTTCCCATCCACTCTCTTGCCGCCGCCTGACCTATTCCTGTCTCTATCTTTATTCCGTTCCATATCGGCAGTCAATTTTTCACGCAGTCTGTCACACTCCTCTTCGATCTTGTCCTCTTCAGCTTCTTCATCTTCTAGTTTCTCCCGCAGTTCGAGGACTTTGACTTCGATCTCTCTCAGGCGGTCGTGATTCAGAATTTCTTGATCTGGTTTCCGTGTCTTGGGCGGCCGAGCGGAGGAATCGAGGCTGTATGGAACACCTACGCCGGCATCACGGGGTTTCAACAGCGACAGATTTCGCTGGACATATCCAGAGGTACCTGAGCCACGAGGTGTTGAAAGGCCGACATTTGATGACATGTTGGATTGGCCTTTGCTCAAAAAACAAAAGGCAAAAGAAATATGGTGTCGAAAATGGGTTGTCTGTTTGTCTGAGTTTCTCGTGAGGTTCGGGAATAGTTGCAAATCTCCTATCGATAAGAATGTTGGAATCACGTGTAGACCACCTGCGCCCCTAGTATAGTATTTCTCTCATGTTGTTTTTGATCGACAGAGATCGGAGCTTTTATGGCGGCATCAACTAGACCGGTCTCTCTGAGATCAGAATATTGATTCGCTCGACCTCAAGCTAGAGCTAGAGACCTCGTGATGGCTGCGGTGCCCATTAGGTTATCCATCTTCACCTCTGGTGCTGCTTTCGCTGGAACTGGGCCGGGTAAAATTTCCGCCGACTCCGTCTTGAGGGTCAAGTCAAAATTGTATGTATGAGGTAGTGAAAGAGAACTTTCTTGCTTGTCTTCTCAATCCCTCTTTCTTTCCCTTCCCTTCCTTTCCTCTCCTTTTGCATTTCTTCAACATCTATTCTCTTCTGCGGACTTCACCCTTCATACGTCGAAGTCGCTTCCACCTGGCTTTGGTTTCGTGTGCTTCTGTACCGCTGCCAGAGTACCAGGCCAGGGAAGTGGTTCGCCTTGCCTGTTCTCTCTTTCGTCCTGCCATTGTGCCTGACCACTGGATGCGAACCCAGCGCCTTGAACATCTTGGGGCTGAAATGGCCTTCGATCGACCAACATTGACGTCTGCCCTTCGTGATTAACCATCTGTTCACCAAGTTGGAAATCCATTGCGCTCACACCTTGGTACATTGCAGGATTGAGGTCCATCAACCCGACATTCGTTTGTTGAAGCATTGAAGGTTCGATGGGGTCATCCATGGCCTCTACACACTGCTGGCTGAAACCTAAAGGTGCCAACGCTGGTTCAGACTCAATGGGAATTCGTGAAGACCTCTTTCCTCGATCCTCCGGCCCAGGCTCGCTCTCCTCAAGCATAATCTGGTCATCGCCTTCCCTCACTATCGGTGGTTGCCCGGAAGACGCTGTTGCTTCTTGTGATATGTCTTCCGATTGAACATCTGGAGGTCGATATGACCGTGAGGACAGACGTTCAACACCTTCTAAGACCGAGTCAGATTGGCTAACTCCGATCTCCGGACGCTCTACCGGCGGAGGATGCAGTCCCAGGCCCCGGAGGATAGCATCGGTAGATACGCGACCACTGCTTTCCTCTGGGACAATACCAGGGAAGCCACGCCCTTCCCTGCATGCCCAATAAAGCTTTTGCAAGGCCTCGTCCATCACATCCTGCATACCCCAGTACCTGATCAGAGAACTGATTAGTACAATATACAGTCTTAACCAAGGGCAAAAACTCTCAAACGACCAACACCGAAAAACGATCCAACAAACTCACCAGTCCCTCACCTCTCTCCGTCTTCGTGCGCTGTACTCGCAAGTACTGTCGCTTGCCACGCAACTGGAACATGGACTATTACCGTCACACTGCCCCCAGATTAGCAAGTCTGTGTATGTCGTGGGCGTGCTATAAAAAGGCCTTTTTGTTGGGCCCCGATCTTACTTTCGACTTCTTAATCTTGCAACGATCACATGCACGGCCAATTCGCACACGAGCTTTCGACTGCTCAACACCCTCCTGTTTGGTAGGTGATTTGATTTCCTGCCTCTCTTTGCGATTGGGCATTTTGAGCTGCGTAATATTTCCCTCCGAGAAACCCTGTTACTTCCTAGACCTGATCGCAACACGATTAAACAGCTTTGGCCCCAATAACATAAGCGTCTCCGAAACAATTTTCAGAACGGTCTTCCCACAGCCTCAGAGTGCGCGGGTCTAATCTTCAGATGTTCTATGCTGTCGGAAATGGAAAGAAAACTTCCAAATCCACAGCTGACAGTATCCCAATCTATCCGATGATAGTTCATCCCTCAATTATACGGAATCTCTGTTCTCTCAACATTTACATTCCTAGTGGACGTCGGCCGCAAGCTTGCCTGATTGTCACCTCAAGTCGTCTGGGATCTCATTGGCTCAGGGAACACCTCATATGGACTCAAAGACCGTTCGCATCCTTTTGAAGGGGGTAGACGTGAATCAAGATTCTCTCAGAGTGCTGTGCAGATGGAACTTGGCACAAGGGTGCCTTTCTGCCACGATTGAGAGTGGAAAACGAAAGAGACACGGGATCAGTCCCGTGCGCGATCCTTGAATGGTACGCACTAGGAACTGCACACCCAATGGGGGGTTGCATTAACTCCATACGACTAACAAGGCAGGCACATCAAAATGGACAGTCTCTCTCACTTGGAATTTCCACCCTTTATCGTGGCTTTCGTTCAACGAACCCCCGAGTCCCAAGTCATGGATCACTGCACAGCTATCGTGTTCTAGGCCGTACGTGTGGATGTCTGAGTTCGCGATGGAAAAACGGATGGAAGACGTGTTCAGATCGAGGGCTCGGAACTGGTATCCGGAAATGACCAGCAGAACTTGGTACCACCCCATTGTTGGGTGGGTGGGTTAGGCTGAGTGACAACGTTCTTACCGCACTACTCCCTCCAAAATCCTGGAATAGTATAGCTCTACAATTATCTGTCCCGTGAGCCAAAAGGAGTTTCAGTGGCAATGATGAGATCAGAGATTCATTTCTTGAATGCAGCCCACCCGATCAGATTCCCGGCCCTCTCATCAAAATGGACTACGCGCATTTTCACTTGGGTAAGACGTCCTCTTCACATCATCCTCTTGCCACTGTTCTTTGCTTCCACCATGAATCAGGTCAAACCGTCGGCCAATCGAATGAGGACTTTTGGTGAGGATAGTTCGATCGTCCTGCATCGAAACCTGCAAAAAATTGGTGCAGACTTTCAGAAGGCCTTCCGAGTGGCCGGTCTCAGGGAGCGCAAACAATATCTCCGCCCAATTGCAGCGAATCAGATACAGCGTTGGAGATTGACACCGCCGTTTTCCTCTTCTCAAAAAGATACTATCCAGGCCATTGATCCAGTGAAAGGCCGAGGGGACCTTGGCGTTTCTCTCCCTGGATTCACGCTCTATTTCCTACCGAGCCAGGTTAGCCTCGATTCCCCATGAAAGCAGACATAAGAACGCGAGACTGGCTCCTCGAACGCAGCAGCAGTATCTCCTCCCTTCTTACCCCTTGAACGATACGACCTTCTCGCTTATCGAAACCACCAAGCCCCAACCGAACCTGCGTACATCCCCACTTGCTCGAAAGGAGATACATTCTTGCCATCATAAACACATGAAGAAGTAGCAGTAAAGGCACACGCCATCACAAAACAAGGAAAGAAAAAGAAAGAAGGGAAAACACAAACAGGTGGAAAGAAATTGCCTCTCATCACAATCTCTTCGTTCTCTTCGTTTCAAAGTGTTAGCAAATTCAAAGCCCCGATCTCTTTTCCAATCCCTTCAGAGACCACTTTGAGACGCAATACTTTCAACGCCCCCTTTTTTGTTCTTTTCTTATCACTCTCCATGAACTGTTCAAAAGGTAAAGGAACCTGCACTAAGACACCATACATCAACGGACAAGCAAGTGAAAGGCCCAATGCCAGCCATCAAGCAAACTTCAATCCACACTCGCTCGTGTATCTAAATCAAGTGGCAATTCTAACGCATTTGACAGTCAAGAATCCCACATCCCCTCTCCCAGCGCAAGAAGAACCTCCTGTAACCCTTTCCTGGCCTTGACACTCTCCTCACGATCGTCGCCGCGCAACTTGGCGCTGAACCACAACTCTACCAGTGTCCGCAGCTCGTCGTATGTATAACCGACATCCTTACCCTGGGCCTTGCAGTCGCGGACGTATGCGAGAATCGAATCCGGTCCGGAGAGGAAGAGGTCGAAGTACCGCGACGAGGAGGTCAGGAGGCCTGAGTCCTCCTCGTCGGAGTCCGGCGAAGAGGTGATAGATTGGGTGGATATACCGAGGCCAGTTGCGTCGGCGTTCGATTGGGTTGTATTGGATGTGAGAGCAAGGCTGTTGCGTTTCGGGGTTGTGCTGGCTAAGATGGCACGTAGGTTCTGCTGAACGACCATGGCGTCGATCCGGACTCGCTCGGCGCCGTTGGCGTTCATGACGCCAATGACATCGGCGGCAATGACGAGATAGCGGTCGACCAGCTTCGCCAGGCCAGTCAGGATGAAGTTCCGCTCTTTCGGACCCAGGTACGTGGCGATATTCGAGTCGAAAGAGATGAGGTCATTGTTTAGTTCGAGGATCAAGGGTGATGCTGACCTGGGTGGAGATGGAAGGACGTAAGGATATAGACCTGAGTCAAGCGGCGGGAGGCCAGATGAGTCGCGACTCTCGGAGGGAGGTTTGGGGCTGTTGCCGATATCAGGCCCACGGAGCGTGCGGGATAGTTGATGGATGATACCGCAGCGGATGTCGATATGGAGGGTCAACAGACTTGTCTGGGCCAAGGTGCGGAAAGAGGAGAGTGTGTTATCGAAGGGAATGGCTGTTTCGGACGTCAGAGGTAAGAAGACAGGTTCCACTGCGCCAGGATGAGATGGCGACTTGCTCGGAGCGCGGAGGCTGGCAATTAGCGTCCATCGACGAGGGTGTCTGCTCTGTGATCCACTCCGGGCATGTGATAGGCTCGAGGATGAGCTCGTCTCAACCTGTCGAATTTGCGTCAGAGCCGCGGACAGCCACTGCATGCTATTGTGTAGGAGTGAGAGCTGGTGGACGGATTTCGGATCAGAGATGATGTCATAGGAGGATAGGGGGTTTCCTTTGGTTGCAGCGAGAAGAGCCTGGACCTCCTTTGTTATCAGGCTTGATCGAGAAACACCATCATCGCTGGTGGATTTGTCGTATTTGAACAATTCAATCGCCGCATCGCGAACTTCTCCCGATTCAGCGAATGCAGCGGCCGCTTTCAACGACAATGTGTTGACGTTTTGATTTCCATTTGAAGGTGCCACTCGACTCACAAGAGCCTTATAGTAGCCGTAACACTTGTCGTAATATGTGACGAGTTGGTCGATGATCAGTTGGGTGAACACTTGATCCTGCGGTATCGCGTTTAGCATGCCTGAAAAAGCACGGATCAGGGACATAAATGAGATGGTGCCCTTGAAGATAGGATACGGGGAATGCTTCGACCATTGAATGGCTTCCGAGAACGCTTCCAAGTCAATCATGCATCGAGCGCAGAGTTCCGTGACCGCCTCTTCAAGCTGTGGGTGGAATACGTTGATAAGGAAATCATCGAGGAACGAGGTCAAGGTACTCATTGGGATGTGTGAGGTAGAGGGCACAACATCTTTGAGACGCTGCAAGAATGTCAGGGATGGAGGTAACAGGACAGTCATGTTGAAGACTCCTGGCTCGATCAACAATTTGTGTCCCGCGGCAGAACTGTCTTGACCATTTCGCTCCGAGGCCAGATCGGCTCCGTTTCGGGATCGAGATTTGCTGACCAAGCCAGGCACCGAGCTCTTAAGAATCTCGGTGAGTTCGTCTTCCTCCGCCTTCATCGTCTCAGATTTCTGATCCATTTCGGAGAGTTTGAACATCCTCTTGTTCTTGTCGCGTTGAGGCCGTGCAAAGACATCGCTACTCGTAGTTGTCGTCAGTCCCGACCGGAGAGTCATGTCGCTGTCAGTTGCTAAGTAGTCATGCAGAAGAGATCGCATTTCCATTTGGTACAACTTCCACAGCTCTTTGAAACCGCTAGTGTATTTCTCAGGTGTATTCATTTTCTCTCTCACGGCAATGCCACCGACAACTTCATGGAGGACTCGATGACTTTCGGCAATGGCTTCAAATTTCGAGTATAGTGTCCACAAAAAGTCGGACAAGACTTGGTTTCGGCCATCGTTGACTTGTAAGGATATGACTTTTCGATTTTCCCTGTGAAGCTGACCTCTCAGATGGGTGGGATATTTGGCGTCAATATCGTTATTCGTTTTTTCCACCACCTTGTACAATTCCATAGGCATTCTTTGTTCGATTCTCAAAATGGCTTCCCCAAGTTGGCCAAGCTTGTTCAAAGATTCCACAATCATGTGGATGTAGTAGAAGCTATCCGACTCGGGATTTTTCGACGCGTCTTCAACCATGGGGGTTGTAATGTCCATGCTGTTCAAATAATGGTTGAAAGGTTGATCCCACACATTGATTCCGACACCCATTAAGGTTTCTTTGGGGTCCCTGTCTTCGCCATTGGCCTTTTTACCCTTCCATCTGTCCTGGCAATAGGGACTTTTCAGGTAAAGGTGATCGTGTAATTCCTCAACAAGGATATCCAGCAAAGTGCTCTCTTGATTGGCAAAATAATTTCGGAGATCAGAAATAGCTCCAATGCCATCTAATTCGCTCTTGGTGATGCCTTTCAGGCTTTCCATCAGTAGATCCACGGCTCCAAGAAATTTCTTTTCGCTGATCTTCTCTTCAAGCATACCAGGGACAGTTTTCAATGCTTCAATATTGCTCAGGACGACAAGCATTCCGTCCAGCTCCCCGCTTTGCTCAGCCAACCCTCTCAATTCGGGTCGGGTACTCAACATCCCGCCCTTCACGGTCATCAAACCTCCTTTCAGTTGTCGTACCCGATTCTGACTCTCCCTGAGCGCATTTTGAATCTTGTGATATGTGCCCACGGCACTATTGAAGTCGGCGTAATGTTCATTGACCACGGTCTTTAGACTCTTTTGCAGATCAACGTGCGTGTTGGCAAAGTCCCCCTCTTTGTCCGCAAGACCCAGGGAGCTGGGATCCATTAGCCGGAGCGCAATCTTGACCGGGACGCAATCGTCTCCCTCCATGTCTTTCCAATTCGATTGGATGTGACGCATGATTTCTTCCATGTCCTTCGGCGGCCGGCGAGGAGAGTAGTGTCGATTGGCATTCTCTGCTGGAGGGAAGTTCTGATTGCTGTACCCGTTTGTAGGAAGTTGTTGATTGAGACCGGACAAAGAGGATTTAGAAGGCATGGTAGAAGGCGTAGGCATAGGTCCTCGCATATCTTTTCGATCTCGATTGCGGTTTTCATTGTATGTTCTCTCCCGTTCTCGAGTCGGGGGTCTCTGCTGTCTCTGTTCATACTCCTGTGGATCCCTTTCCCTGGGATAGTCATAGTCGTTCCGTGGGGGAGGAGCTGCGTCGGCATATCTTGGACGTGGCATGCCTCCGTAGCCTCCTCCTCCTGAGCCTACCCGTCCGGAAGGCACGGGCCCCGGCCCAGGAGAATCTCGACCTCGTTGTTCATATGGATTAGACCTCTGCCTGCGTTCGGCCGAGCCGAAACTATTGACAGAGGCGGAAGAGACGTTATTCTGCTGGTTCAGATAGGGATCAGCATAGCGACCACTAGATATGGAATTGGAAGCATTCGTAGGCGCATATGGGTTCGAATCGTTGGGCGGGCGAGGGCCTCCATAACCGTTCAAGGCGTAGGGTTTGTTACCACTCATGGTGTGGATAAGACGTAAGGAGAAAGTGAACTCGCATCATCTATGAGTTATGAGGTGACACCAGATCCAACTAGCGGTTGAAGTTCAATAGTGGTGCACTGAGATGGGCATCTATGAGAAAAGCAGCGAGGTCAATTCGCGACATGATGCGAGGGTTGTCATTTCTCGTTCCCCGTGGTTCAGGATTCGTTTCTCCACCTTGGCCACAGAACCAATCAGCGGCTTGCCCTGATCGCTCAGCCTCACCATTGATTTCCCAATCCCTAACGTTCTCACATTCTCTACGGCTGCAGCTGTAGCAAAGAAAGAGTAGGAGGTGGTTCTCATGTGTCGTCTGATTTACTCCGAGCGACAGGGAGGCATTGTTCCCACCCCTTTTTTCTCCCTCTGCGTGAGGTTTGCAATGAAATACTTGGAAAGGATTGATCATCTAATCATTCCTATCGATAACGTTGGATGGGATGGGGATAATCAAGTGATATATCCAAATTCACTCCCTTTGCAGGCAATCCAAAAATCTCGCACAATATCGTTCGTCTTTCGTGCCCCTCGCAATGCCTCTATCTGAGCAAGAAATCTGGTCCTCTGTTCGAGACTCGTCGCTTTCAAAGCCTTCTCACTCATGACTCCTTGTTCTTGCATGACTGCTTCTCGGAGTATGGCCTTTGTGAGCGTAGAATGTTTCTGAATAAATTGCTTCAATGTTTCTGTAATGATTTCAATTTCTGACCGCGCACACTCACCGCCAAGAAGGCGGATGACCAGCGACAAAATCCGAGGGCTAAATCGTTGGAGTATGCCGCTTATCCGTGAGTTTTGTTCGTCGTCAAGTGACTTGTTAGGCCCAGCGAAATTGGCAAAAGCAGTAAAGAACCCTGCCGCCGACCGTCGTGGAAGCGTATCCGGGTCAGCCATGATGATCAAGGCCAACTCCATGGCTACCTCGGCCGTCTCTTGACTGTCTTGCATCTTGAACCACGTTGTGCCCCATTTGGTCATAAAGCGAGCCAAGAAGTCAAGCGAACTAGAAGCAAAGCTGCTGTTTGATAATTGCTGTGATTGCCGGAGAGCTGACAAGACCCGTTGCTGATTCGACACCACAGAGTGTACAAGGGTGTTGACACTGGTCTGTGCGTTCCCCTGGTCAATTGAGGCAAGAAAGCTCGATGCACATGCCATGGTGTAATCAATACTTGGATTGTTCAAATCGATGAATTGATTAATCAGGCCAAGTGCGATGGAATCGGAAAACTTGAATGGCGATGGATGCTGTTCGGTAAATCCAGATTTGATAAAGTCACAACAAGCTTCAACGAAGACATTGTCGACATTCGGTTGGACTCTTTGAAGAGTTGCTTGATAAATAGCGAGTGCGTCACGTTGGATTGACATCCCATTGCCGCTGATCCAGAAGTTTGTGTCATTGGTAGCCGACAGTTCAAGATCGACAGGTACATCCGCAGGCGAACGGAGACCCTTTCCAATCGAGGCAAGTGTCTGCATTACATCAATGCAGCCTCTCAACAAGTCATCCTGATTTGAAACTTCGCCATTCAAAACCGCGAGTGGGCGAGCCGTCCAAGATAGAAGCTGAGAGAGGGGCTGCACTTTGGCTTCATCGTCCGGAAGAGCTTGGATGATGGCGGCAACCGCAGCATAAATCCGATGTCGTTCCGACTCACCAATATCGCCTAGAGTTGTCAAAGATCCCATGAACTGAGGGAGACCTTCACTTAGAATGCCTCGATGGGAATCGCAGAGGCTGTAAATGGTCCGCGAGGCAGCAGACGCCGATGATTGCAAGTGTAGTGATGAAAACAAAAAATTCAGAACGAGGGCCAAGCTGACTGGATGTCGTTGTAGGTACCACACATTCTCTTCAATAAACCGAAGACCAGTCTGCCGCGCCCTGTCCGGTACCCTGTCAACGGATTGAAGCAGCAAAGACCAAGGTTGACTCTCAAATACGGTCGTGATGATGCCGTCGTATGTATCAGGATCAGATGACATTGTGTCAGAAAATGCCGTGAGACTGAATAATCCCACTTCGAAAGTGCTCCAGTCGGGCGAGGTGCCATTGGAAAATGTCCTTCCCACAATTGATTGGATCAATCCATTCCCTACTAAGGTATATGCAGACTGGAAGAAATCCCGAACATCATATCGAAAATCCTCAAATTTCCAACGATCGTCTGCATCCCAGTCTCGATTGTCATTGGACATCTGTTTCAAGGGAAACTTGGCTTTCTGAAGACAGGCTTCACATGCGTCTGCAGTGAGAGATTTGAGGAATGTTCGAGCTGGGTCATCGTCCTCCCAGTCGATAGAACCCTCCACCATATCATTGACTCTTCCAAGGATGGTTTGGCACACCGGGTCTTCAACAGCTGTAGCTCCTTCACAACGCAGAAGACGTTGTACGCTCCGGATGACCTCATCGTAGAGACCGGAGCGTAAGTAGCCTGACTCTCTAGTGTTGATGTCAAGCATGACCACATCTAAGAGTTCGACATAAAGCATTCCATCAGCACTAAAGTTGCCTTGGGCGAGACTATTCACGATCTCTTTTGCCTTCCGAGAATTTGCCACACGAGCAGGGAAATCTGGAATTGCTTCGTGGAGAAGTTTCTTTGCATACTGCTGTAGGCCAATGACGAATTCAAGGACCGAACCTGTCAAAGCATCGTCATCAAGGAATTGGACACCGGCACGAATGCATTCTGTCATGCTTGCTTCAATGGTTTGGATTTGAGTACCGTCTAGACTGATGTGGGCGTGGTTCATCAACTCTTCCCAGTATGGCGATGCTTGGAGGACCATGTTGATCAAGTCAGCCGACTTGCTTATTGGCTGATTCGCTGTCATCCGGTCGGAGTCGTAGTGGCTGTTAGCCAGCAGTTTCCCAGTTCCACGGGTTATGCAGAATCTGAATATCTGCCAGAAATCGAGGCAATTTGCCAACGCGCGGGCCGTGAGATCGCGTTCTTCCGCAGTACCGATGTGATGAATGCTTAGGTCTTCCATCATCGCAGCTGCCAGCATGAGAACACCCTTGAGCTGGCGGTCTGAACAAGTTTTGGCGGCTTCCAGTAACTGCTCCATTTCCGGCAATTGTACTTGAGAGACATATTGTTTGTCGAGGAGACAAGTGAAAACGTGTCGCAACGGCAGTGTCCAGCCTGAATCCGGTCTTGCAAAAAGGGTAACAAGGGTCGAGCACAGTTTCTGGAGGACAAAATTCGAATCTGGAAGATTGACAAGCCTTATATAATGCGTCACCAACGCTTCGAGTAGATGGTTCCTCATTTGCTCGTGCTTCCCCAATTCATCATTATCCCTGCCAACGGAGTCAGCAGAAGGATCCGGAGAAAATTCTGCACTCACCAGTCCGCATTGATCTTGATTGTCAACGTCAGGGCCCCATAGAAACGTATGTTAGCTTCATCATGTTGCAAAAGATCAAGTCCAAGTTGCCAGCCTGTCTTCTCACGTTGATGCCGCTGGATCTGTCTCTGGATCTCTTTGATGCGTTCGGGAGAGGATTGGTTGTTTGGGTTATTTAGCTCTCGGATCAGCTGTTCCATTGTGATTCATGGCTTCACGAGGTTGTGGTATCATCGCAATAGGAACGAGGTGGCGCGGAATCCAGTCGTTCTAAACCATCAGACAACGCTCTCTTCGGCTTCGCTGAGGATTGGATTGCGCTTCCGGTATTCGATCGGCCTCCAGAGCGGGATGACAATGCTGGTCCCGATCAATTAGTGGTAAAGGTATGTACTCTTCAGTAGACTCAGTGCCACATCAAACGGAAGAAATGGTTTTGATGAAGGCACCGACATGGAGTGGGTCCATCGAGATTGATGGGAATGTACGAGGTACGAGGTATTGGGGGGGGGGGGGGAAAAATCCTTGATAGCAGTTCGAGCTCACGTGGGCGCTCACCTCGACTTTTATCCCAACCAACGACGAAATAGCAAAAGTGTTATCACAGTAAATAGTATTTATTCAATCCCTAGCAGGAACAGCTTCTCATATGCTCTGCTTGCTGAACACGAACCACTTCCTTGTTCCAAGCTGCCTCCCGGCCGCAGACCCAAGGTTGGGCAGTAGGGATTGGCTCTCCTGGATAGGGACGGCAGCTCTGGCCCTCAAGTGATGTTTTTTGGTCTCTTTTCCAATCCCGCTCAGCTACTAGGGTATAACACGGCGTAGATATTCGTGCAAAGCCGGCCACCCTGGCTTTATCCAGCAAAAACAAAGTTGCTAGTCGATACTAGGCGATTTGGGCGCAGATACCCATGTTCACCTGGGCTCTTCTCATTTTGGAAGCCAGCCATGATTGGTCCCGCCCGGTCAAACTGCGCGGGCTCCCCTTTAAGGGGACCAAGGTAGTCCTAAGAATAGGCTCATAGGCAGGCACGTACTACCTACTACCAGCACTACTCACCCATCAGGATTCTTCTTCCCTCCCATTTTCTGGAGCATATACAGCACCTCGAAAGAGTCGGGATGGCGATCTTGAAGAGCTTGTCATCTGTTGTTCTTAAGTCTTTGGCATTTCTATTAATCTCAGCCTTATTCCATTACGTGTCAGCCGATTCGTTCACCAATCCATCGAACGATAACACTGATCTCTCGATACATTACACCCTTGGGACAACCGTCCAAATTACTTGGGACTGCTCTTTGGATTTCATAACCTTGGTTGTTTCCCACTGGGGAGGCAACGATGTGGGAGCTCTTCTATGTCCGTCTTGACTTGGTGATCCATGTCTTCTCTTCCACCCCCTCCGAATCCCCGGCCGCTAACATCTCTGGCCTAACCCAGCCGATGTCGAAAACACAGGATCATATACTTGGAAGATCGGTGAACTCGATAACATCAACGAGGACCAGATATCAGAAAGCCCAAACTTTGTTCTTATCATCAGAGACCCGACAGGAGCCGACACCTCCGAGATAAGCGGATTTGTTGACGGCCAACTCCAGAGCCGCGGCTTTGTGATAGATTCGAACGTGTCGCCTTCGTCGACATCGACTTCCACAACCTCATCTTCCACCACATCTGCACCCTCCTCTACCTCATCCATTGCAGCCACAAGTTCCTCTTCGGCCTCGGCCGTTGCCACGACGTCAACTGCACCTGCTCCAGCGATAACAAGCTCCGGCGGACTTAGCACTGGCGCTAAGGTGGGCATTGGAGTGGGTGCCACGCTGGGCGGGTTGCTGCTCATCGGCTTGGGTATATTCTTAGGTATCAGATGGTCGCGCAAATCAAAGGGAAGACAAGCTCACGTTCAGACGGGTACTGCTGCGGGTGCTGGTATTCCCTCCACTACCGGCCCTTACCATCTCTCTCTACCGATGGAGACAGCGAACAAGCAGGCTTACTTTCAGCAACATAGATCTTATGAGCAGGATGGGCATAGCTACCGACCTGTCGTTGAACTTCCATCAGGCCCCTCCTCTGAAAGGGCCACGACAGTTCATGAGATGGGTGGAAGAAACACATGATTTAGGAACGGACATGACCCGATACAAACGTAATGGTCTTCCAAGTTCTCCTCCAAGACTGACATAAAGGCATAAAATCATATAACTCAGCACGCTTGCAAGGACAATGGCAACCCACGCACTCACTACGCACTCACATCAGATTCTAGAGCCCAACGAGTCCCAAGAAGGAACGCAAGAACCTTTGCCCCATCCGAAACGCCGTAGAATATCTTATTGTAATCCTCCTGGGACAAATATGCGGCACGCCTATATCTAATCATTGATAACACACTAAGAATCATCGCTCGTCATCCTCATCCCTTGTCCTCCCATGCGTCCTCCAACTTCACCCCATGCTCATCCAGCCTACATTCCTGCGTCCCCCACTTTATCTTGTACATATCCCTGCCCTTCTCCGCCGTCGCCCACCACATCTTCTGGAATCCTTTGGGATCATACGTCCAAGGCTCGCCCTTCCCACCCTGGTTGGCCCCTTGCCAACCATTGCGGTGGGCTTCAGGTTTCTGGCGCTCCAAGTCCTGCAGCTCGGCGAGCAGGGTGTGATAGCGCTGCGAACCTGGCTGCATCGGATCCTCCGAGTCACCAGCAGACGACGACGACGACAAAGGGAAAAATTTGCGCTCAGGGTCCTTGATGGCGTCAGGCAGGTCGAAGATGCGCCCTGCGCGCACGTCGTCTTTGGTTAGCCCGCTCAGCGCGATGCGCGAGTACGCGTCGCAGTCGGTGGTGTAGTAGGGTATGAAGGGGTCCCAGGTGCCGATCTTACGCCAGGCAGGGACGTTGACGAGCGTCAGCCAGTCGTAGGTGAAGTATTTGATCGCCCATTTGTCGCTGTTCCGGCTGCTAGGATCCGCATCGAGGGCGGTGATGCCCAGGTCGGCCAGGATGTCGAGCACGCGGGCGTAGAATGATTTGTATTGTTGTGCATCCTCGTCGCTGAGGACCGCGACGTCCATATGGGACCAGAAGAAGTAGCGCCAGTTATGCGCCATACTGACCCGCAAGTAAAAGTTCATGAGCTGGGCGAAGTTCAGGAGCGTCGGGGTCTGCAGGATTGAGACGCCGTACCGCCGCCGGAAGAGGTCATAGTCCAGGAAGAAAGGGTTTCTAGAAGAGAGCAGGTGTAAAAAGTTGGCATCCATGGTGCCGCTGTTGTCCACGACGATGATGTCTTCACGCGGCCAGCCCGCGGCGATGTAGCTGAGGACGGTTTGCTGGAGCATGGCGCTGTTGCGGGTAAACGCAATGAATAAGGGCGTCCTAGGGCGCTGAGAGGCCGTCGGTGGGAGATTGTAGGATGCGACAGCAGGTTGGAAATGGGAACCGTCAGGATATGGAGGGAACCATAGTTTCGTAGGGTCTTCCTGTCCACCTAGGAGGTAAGGCAGAGATGACGGAGATATATGGGACGGGACGTGTTGTTGTGTGTCTAAAGAGGATGGACGGCTCCCAGAAAGGAGGTACAGTGTTGTCAAGAGACCAAATGACACGACCAGGACGGAGAGCCAGCGTTTAGCGGGACGCCAGCCTGACCCTGCTCGTGGGCTCAGATGGCTTGCTGAAGACGGCTCTCCACGATCCCACGGTCCATTCATCGGTATGTACTGAGTTGTCATATTTCTGGGAATATGCTGCCTTGCGTATGTCTCTGTCGCCTATTGATAGTTGAGATTGAAAGTTACAAGAGTTGGGGGTGTCAGGTCAAAATGGGTTAGCGTCAGTACACCCTATAGCAACACCCCCCCATGTCATCTTCGGCCTGAGCCTACTGGTGCGACGATTGATCCAATTATAATGTTCTATAGCTAGAGGATACGTTGCCAAGTCGATACACTATATATCGAGAGGGGAAAGGCCAAAATGCAAAGAGTCGACTTCTATGAGCTTGAAGCAGGCAAGATATACTCACAATAGAGAACTACGGATCATTTTGGGCATATAAGATCTACCATCTTACCATGGCATATATAAGGCTGAGCTCCCAGACACAATGCCGTTGGCAGCTGCATAGAAAGCAAAATCCCAGATTGCAAAGCATAGGTCAGGCTTTGTACGACATTTTGCCTGATACAAGAAGCATAGAAACCTTTACTTGCCATAGCGCGAAGAGAAATCATCAACAAATAGACGCAACAGCTAGTGTGACTCAATCCTGAACATGCACAACGGCCTTCCCTCGTGCTCTCGAGGTGGCAAGTCTGGCATAACCCCAGAATTGCCGTCAGTCTCAACATTGGTGGCCTCCAATACTGCGGCACGGATCGTCTCGTACCTTCAGGACGTGCTCCGTCTAAATAACACTCTCGACAACGGGTTTCAGCTTCCCTTCTTCCTCATAAGTCGTCAATTCCTGCAGACTTTCGTGGTACACCGCCAAGGATCACCGGCCACCATTGCGCAAGCTTGATGCCAATTTGCCAACGGATAACATCGAAGAGGCCGCTCTCATCGTGAATGATTGGCATGTCGCCGCCAGGGATGAAGATGACGTTTAGATTGAGATACGTCAGGGATTTTTTGGGAAGAGGAGAGGGTCGTTTTCCGACGATGTCGATGATCGCGTCATGAACAACTGGGAACTGTTTATAGTCGATGACCTGACAATTGAGCACATTTCAGAGTCAGCTATTCCACGCCTGTCTTGGTGCAAACTCCGTCCTCGGTCACCCATTCTTACACTAATCTTGTTCTTCTCGTTGACACTGGAGCATGGCTCAACGACAAATCCCCCGTCACCGATAGTCGCTCTCGCAGCCTGAACCACAAGCGATCCTGAACCCGTATTCAAGACTCGATGGCCGTGCGCCATGTTCGTCACTTCCATAAATTGCATAGCAGTAACTCCTGAAGTCCCAACTCCTCCAGCACCTTCGAGCGAAATTTTGTTCGGTTTCAGGACAGCATTGTTACCCGGTACGACTGCATATGCAGCAAGCACACCGCTACGTTTCAAATAGACATCCGAACCAAAGCCAGGTTTAATTGTTGAGATGAGGACACTTGGAACATAAGAGTGCCCGTGCCCTAGAAGAGTGTTACGCATCCGACGTTGGCGAGAACGTCGTGAGGTCCAAGGGAAGATGTGGCGGGCTCGAGTGAATCGTTTTCGAGCTTGAGAACTTGAGACGGTGTGCCCCGAGGCCGAAAATCCAGGCGCTCATGGTTGTTAGCAAACAAATTGGAAGACTGCTGGCTGGATGGGGATGGGATTGGCTTTGCCATATTCCTTTATATCGGCCCATGGGGAAATGCGAACGATGGCAGGCTGAAGATACTATTGCTAGCACGCGACTGGTTCGTCTGTTTTTCGGTAAACAGAAAGAGTTTCTAGGCAAACAGGAGTGGTCCCTCTTGCAATTCTCCAGATCCGTTTACGGGCCATCAGACGAGTAGAGCCAGAAAAGAGATGTGTTGTCGTAGAGTTTGATCATGTATTCGCAGACCCTTAACTGGGTGCATGGCTGAAGTCGACGGAAAAGGAGGACAACATGATACCGGATAGCAAGGAAGCTCCTCCAGCATTTGCGGCCTGACCGACAACTGTATCGTAGAGGCTAGGAACGAGTGCGTGACGGTCTTTCGAATTGGGGCTGGTCACGGGTTTTCTGCTCATTGGCATCTCCCCATGGTATCCTATCTCAACTGCGGTACTAACACTGGAGATCCTCTGCTGCCCACCTATCAGGGAACATCGCACATGGCCTTGCATTGGCAGGAGTAAACCATTTAGTTGTTTGTTCACAATCATTTCACTTCAATGCGTTGGTCATTCTCGCGTTTGCCTGCTCTCCTACGTCGGTCTCCGACCCATATTCAGTCTTCCTCGCCCATACAATCCGTGCGCTCATTCTCCCTCTCCAGTGCCCTAAGAAGCGTCGACATGGAAACAGTGGACACTACCAAACGTCTGTCGCAGTTACGCGATCTGATGCGCCAACATAAGCTAGACGTCTACATTGTCCCTTCAGAAGATAGTCATCAGTCGGAATATATTGCGCCATGCGATGCAAGACGGGAGTACATATGTGGTTTCACGGGGTCTGCGGGCACTGCTGTTATCACGCTCGATAAAGCGGCCTTAGCAACAGATGGACGATATTTCAATCAAGCCTCAAAGCAGCTAGATAGCAATTGGCTGTTACTCAAACAGGGCATGGAAGATGTACCTACTTGGCAAGAATGGTACGGCCAACCAATATCCATCTTGATACGAACAGGGACTGAGCTGAGATTAGGACTACAGAGCAGGCAGAAGGCGGCAAGACTGTCGGCGTCGACCCTACCGTTATCACAGCCTCGGATGCTCGTAAGCTGAGTGAGACCTTGAAAAAGAAGTCTCACGCGACACTGGTTGGAGTATCGGAGAATCTGGTCGACAAGATCTGGAAAGACAGACCCCCAAGACCAGCAGAGAAGGTCATTGTTCTCTTGGAAGAGTATGCGGGAAAATCATACAAGGACAAATTGGACGACCTGCGCAAAGAATTAAAGAAGAAAAAGGCTGCAGGAATGGTTGTCTCCATGCTTGATGAGATCGCATGGCTACTCAATCTTCGTGGGAGTGATATCCCTTACAACCCTGTTTTCTTCTCTTACGCAGCCGTTACGCCGAATTCGGCCACCCTCTACATTGACTCGTCCAAGATTGACTCGGAGGTGGAAGAATACCTGCGGGGTGCCGTTGATATCAAACCTTATGATGCTCTATTCTCCGATCTCACCAACATTGCCGAGGCCGCTACCATGGAAGCGAAGGGATTGACGAAGCATCCTCCAAAGTTATTGATCCCAAACAAGTCCTCGTGGGCACTCAGCCTCGGCCTGGGAGGAGAGGACAAAGTCGAAGAGTCGCGGAGTCCCATCGCCGATGCCAAAGCTGTCAAAAATCCGACCGAGCTTGAAGGAATGCGACAGTGTCATATTCGGGACGGAGCCGCACTGATAGAATACTTTGCCTGGCTTGAGGAAGAATTGCGGAGTGGCTCATGGATAGACGAGGTTCAAGGGGCCGACAAACTTGAAGAGATTCGATCCAAGGGGAAGAATTTTATTGGCTTATCTTTCAACACCATTTCCTCAACAGGGCCGAATGCTGCGGTTATTCATTATTCCCCCGAACGCGGCAATTGTGCGGTTATTGATCCCAAGGCCATCTATCTCTGCGATTCAGGGGCTCAATACCTTGACGGCACCACGGACACAACGCGCACTCTACATTTCGGCGACCCCACAGCGATGGAAATCAAGGCGTACACTCTGGTCCTCAAAGGCGTCATCGGACTTGACCGAGCTGTCTTCCCTAAAGGCACCACGGGATTTGCCATCGACGCATTTGCACGACAATTCTTGTGGCGAGAAGGGCTCGACTACAGACATGGTACTGGTCACGGTGTCGGTTCATACCTCAATGTCCATGAAGGGCCTGTTGGGATTGGAACCCGTGCCGCATATACTGAAGTACCACTGAGTATCGGCAATGTCCTCTCTGATGAACCAGGATATTACGAAGACGGCAATTTTGGAATTCGGATTGAAAATGTGATCATGGCGAGGGAAGCCAAGACAACTCACAAGTTCGGTGACAAGCCGTGGATTGGGTTCGAACATGTTACCATGGTGCCGATGTGCAGGAAACTGATCGATCCGTCTATGTTAGACCCCAAAGAACGAGATTGGCTGAATGCTTATCATAAGGAGGTGTGGGAGAAGACGAGTGGATTCTTTACCAAAGATGAACGGACGACGAGGTGGTTGAAGAGAGAAACTGCGCCGATATGATGGCGGGAGAGACGGTGCCAAAATTAAAATGGGGAAAAAATAAAGACGTTGAAAATATGGAGGCGTGCAACAACTGTGATGTGTTCGCGTCTCGATAATGACAGAGTCTTCAAACAAGACCAAAACAGTTTCGCAGCCGGATCCATCCGCTTTCTCCAAACCGGTTTCTGATCAAACCGATCGCGTGGATCATGTTGCAGATGGAAGATATTGGAAGTATATCTAGCCGGATTTGAGATGTAGATCGCAAATAGAAGAAAGTGTAAGCATGTCCGACAAGTTGCGACCTACAAGCGGTAGCAAACTGTTGGCTTGGTTTATGGATGCCTATGTTCCGGCGATCGTAGAGTGTGTCCCCATAGGATTGTGCGTATTGTGTTCTGGGACAGCAAAATGTTGCATTTTGAGCAAGTGCACCTATGTCCAACCAATCGTCCAGCGGTCTTTGACTTGAGCTTGGTGACGATGAAATGCATGCATGCCTCAGCGTCGTAAGCAGTTGGAAAGCGACTACAAGTTGGTTCTTAACGCCGAGAGTTGTGCGCGTCTTCCTTCATAGATCACTGGCAGCGAAGGCCCATGTACTCGGACGTGATGCGTCCTCACGGTAATGAATTTTCGATAACAAAATGATATTTAACCGATGATTGCTGAGGCTGTCGCTTGGATCTCCTCGGGCTGATGAAGGTGCTAAGCAAGTTCAAGAAGTTCAGCGGCCGTGGATGGGACTGGCTTGGAAGGGATTGCGTTGAGAGTTGGAAAGCGGTCACACGGCAGCTGGAGATGGGTGGACAATAACATTCCAGTATTCAACATGATACCAAATTGATCCCAGAACATCCCAGGAGGACTGACATCTTTATTGCATATATAGCTCTCAAGTTCGTTGTATCTCAATGTTTATGAATAGGCTGTATTCCACTTCTTGCACGGAACATGAAGTGCCCTATTTCGACAGCCGAGCCTTTTCGCTTCCATGCGATGGAAGACAACTATCATGAACAACCCAATCTAGACGCCGTTCTCCATTCATTGCTTCGGATCGGTCTTTGAATTCATCATAGTTAGCTTCCAAGTTCAAGAACTGATCTTCTGATTCTTGACAATGGGTGGGCGGGAAAGGAAAACATACATTCTGCGCCACATTGCCAGTTCCACTCTGCGATTCAGTCCCTGTCTGCGTCGTAGTGGCAGGTTTGAACTTTTCTGCCCTGTTCAAATCAAAACATGGAGTCAGCATCAGGATTTCACCTTCATCTGCATGATAGAATAGGACGGGGTGGCATGGTAGATTGAGGGCGAATTCAGCAGGAGACGTACTCCTTGCGGCGGATATATTCGTCTTCAAGGGCCTTCTCGCGGTCGTGGAATTTGGGAATATTCATTTTGATGATGTTCTTCTTTGGCTTGATTGAGAGGCGTAATAAGAGTTCTCCATTGAGATGGAGAGTATGCGGTTTCTTGAAAGACAAAGGATGTGGTCATAATTTGGGCCATTGCAGGTGGCGAGCACCCCACTTTTCGATATCGAAATCGGTCACGGGCCGTGCTGCGGAGAATTTCGACCAATGAATACCGCTCACAAATTGTTAGATAATATTTTTAGAATCCCAATTCTACGACATAAATTTGGGCACTCATGGTGTAGTGGTTAGACTTTTCTGCGCTTTCTTCTCGGTGTTGTGTGCTGATGATGAATCCAGGTAACATTGAAGCCTTCCAAGCTTTAGCCTCGGGTTCAATTCCCGATGAGTTTAAGTAGCGCCTCCCGTTGTGTGATTCGAGTTACTCATGTTCCTGTAGGCATTTCTCGAGAAACCGTGGTCGAAGTGGGTGGTTATTTTTTTCCTTTTGTTTTTTTTTGGATTGCTTCAAAACCATGCCGAGGTTGGATATAGATCGCAATGGAGGATAGCGTGCTAGGCTAAATGTTGACACGGAGAACTACCCGAGCCAGCCCCACATCCATATTTCTCACGCTACGGTCGACTGTACACACCGGATTCAAAGACTAAAGGAACCAAGTTTTGCAATCGATGATGTGTTCATCTTCGATATTCAAAGAGACCCTCCAAGTCTCAGGCGTCATCAATGAGTTTTAATGGAGATGCAGGCAAAGCAGAATGCATCTACAATCCGGTTCCTGAACCGGCTGCGGGAAAACGTACCCGGGTATCTTTCGATAACCTGATAGCCGGAGCAATTCGAATACTATCAACTGCCAGGATCCGTGCTGCCAGTAGTTTTGCCCCTGAGGCATCCTCATGTGCAAGGTTCTGTCTAAGCTCTGAAAACCGACAAGCCCCCAAGAAAGTTTGGGACATGTCCCAGAACTTGGGAGAGACTCGATGGTTTTCGAGCCATGAATTCATCAGAGTGCTTTGTGCGCAGAAGAAGTGCTTGATGTCACCGGTGGAGTGTTATCATTGAGAACCATGGAAACATTAACGGTCAATGATTGATCGGCAGCAAGCTGAAGCGGAATTTCATTGAAAGGTGGCGTGCCAGGAAGTGGGCTTCCAGTCGGCGAAGCATTCACGTGTTATTAGAGACTGATCGACCAGAATGTGTGTGCAGCCACGTCAGGAACAAGGCCTTGGTAGATCCGCGGCAGTGCAGCTAGCTCAGTTTGATTTCTGTTCCTAACGGCCAGATTGAGCGTTGTATCGCTTGCAGAGGCCACGGCTCTGGCGATTAAGTCTGCCGAAATTGCGGCCCGTTGAACTTCGAGCGCCCTAACATGGCCTTTTTTTGTGGGGGTTGTGGTTCAAGACTGTGCTGGTTGAAGGCAACAGAACCGGCACTGTCCATGTCATTTGACATGCTAATATGTCCAAGTCAGTGGTAGACACCGTCTACGAGGTAAACATAGTTCCTGTTTGCAATGCGGTCGGAACACAGCGAACATTTCCGGACATTTGCAGGTGCTTGCAGAATTTAGCTCATGATGTGATGACGATCTCATCTTCATTGACGAAGAGTTCTGGACCATTTTTCCCCGAGCATTGTAAGTACCCATTGACTTTCCATAAGTTATGTCGAGTTTCCTCTTCCTGTTTGAATGTAGGCATAAAATCGGGGCCTCCAGATCGAATCGTGCGCATAAACTTTCATTCCTGGATTCATGTGAACTCGACGTTGTGCGGACTCGACGTCAATGATCATATGGTTATGTATCTGTGTCAATTGGAGACAGACCGAATGATTCTCTTTTCCTTAGAAGATCTTGTCATTACCAATACTGATCCTTCCCGAATCACTTGGTGTGCAACAACCGTTGACGGGCTGGGGCGTACTTCCGTTTAACACCTCATGGACAGCTTGGACTAACTTCCGGGCTGAAAACTGCCGATGTCTGTCAAGAGTCCTCATGAACAAAATATTTGAGTTGCAATTTTCCGGCATGTGGAGAAAGGAAGCGTGCAAAGCCGTAGATGTTTGTAAAGAGGCCTTCGACGGAATGGATTGCAATTGTAACGGTGCCAGTCTCGGGCGCATGAGAGGCGTAATTTAGGATGCCTCGAAGGTTGTTAAGCTGCTCGGAATCAGAGGACACGTCTACATTGAAGTTCGACGAAAGCTTATTGAGAACGACGCTGGGAGTATTAGGCGTACATCCACAGCCGTAAGATTGACCATGGCGGATCGTGACGAAGCTTACCAGCTCTTCATTCTTCCTTCCCAAGTTTGTCCAGTCTTCCAGCCTTCTGGCCGTGGCTCACACGACTGATGGCCACTATGGCTTGAAGATGTCTGCTGCAAGCACGCAACATCTTGTTGGCCAGGTGGCAAACTGACACAACTCTGAAGGTGAGGAAGAATGCCCTGACGGATGACGCAGACAGGATCGTGGCAGTCAATTTCGAGACTAGGAGGAAGACGGAAGCAAAGCTGATGAAGCTGTTTTCGAGAGGTAGAGGAGGATGCAGGCAAATCCGCTGGGGAGGGGAGGGTAGGTGGAAACTCAAAGTTGAAGATTGCAAGCTTCCTGTCTGCAGCCGGAGTTGGAATCAAGTTGCTGATTCGAAGGGAGGTTGGATTCGGGTGTGGGATTAGGATCAAGTCCGGTATGACCACGAACTTCAACTCCCTGCAGAAAGACTGAGGCCGTCAAGGGTCCCCGCAAGGTTACGCCTCGGTGTATGGTTGCGTAAAGCGAAAAGTTGTTCGTGTCTTACACCACGAAGATGTGGCCTTTATGTAGGAGATTCGCAGGTATGTGAAGGGGCAATACTGTCCAAATCAGCAATGACGCAAAAAACTTGGAGTCTTTGATCACGATCTATGCTTGTCGCGTCCTTCATCATGAACATTGTTAGTAGGTAAATGGAAGCGTAGCGAAGGTTCAGATTTCTTCGGATCGTAACACAACTATAATTTCTTCGTTCTTCAGACTCGAAAGCTGAGTGCAATACCGACCACGCATTCTTTTGGTCATTCTGTCCTTCGTTGTGTTTCTTGGACTCTTACCCAGGTCGCACACAGGGTTCACTAGCATCTCATTCTTCAACAATGAATGAAGGTCCTCTCCACGAGTAGAATTGAAGTAAGTGTTATTCGGCACATTCAACCTAACCAACAATCATGTACGATAGACAACACAACAACAACTGACGACTCTGGTCGATCTCTGCCATTAAGGCCCTCCTTCTTACCTTTCCTTCTTGTCCTTGCTCTACCGGAGCGAACCCGAAATATCACGAAGAGTGCCCGTTGTCAAGCTCTCTTCAACAAGTCATGCATGCGTCCTCCGTCGAAAATGTGACCTTGGCCTCTATGCTTGTTATTTCAATCAGTTCAATTGCCATCGTTTGAGCAGCAACCATTGCCCACATCTGGTGGATATTTGGATCCAATGAATCAGTCATGAACAATTCTCTCCGACTCCAAATTCGTGCGTCCTGACTAGAATCTTCTAGTGGCAGGATGCATTCCCGGTTGCATACGACAATCTTCCATGGCATGGATATCACGTCTGCGTCGTAGACGATGGGATCTGCAGTCTGTTGAACTTCGGGACTGAATTGATCGGCGCCTTCGGATGCAAAGGGCTTGATTGTAGGGAGAGGAATTCTTCAATCACAACGACATATGAGATGACTCCTCCAAGGTCGATGTCGAGTTTGATTTTTGTTGGATGAAGGAGTTGAAGGACCCTGCGGTCATGAGAAGCATTAACGGTTGGGACAAATTAAGCTTCTCCTTAATATTTGGGCGTAACAGATCGACGATAAGAGCAACTTGTACTGTACCTTACAGGGTTTAGTTAAACTACCCCCTAAGCTTAACTAACTTTTGTTACGCAAAACTGCGACAACCCCCTTCGTCTTTACCTCAAGAGCAATCATTTAATCAATTCAGCACACATCTACAAGAACACAATAAATACAACTAGTTCAATCGCCTGATTCAGCAAACCGAGCAAGAGATGTCTAGACCTTGGGAGGCCGCAAACACAGCCTCGGACTGGATCCGCGTGCCCCAAATCTACATAATACAATTGGCAATCCGGTGGTGCCTGGAAGGTTCTTGCTCCCATCGGTGAGTTCTTCAAATAGAATTTCAACATCGTGAACGCCAGACGGGACATACCCTGCTCCATCCCTGTCCCGTCGATCTCAATGCTCAAAGAACATGCCAATACTCTCTTCAAGGTCTTGCAGCAGCCGTTCTCTCATCGTCAATTCCTCACGGTCCTCCCTCGCACGCCTTTCGCGCTCCACTAAATCCGCCAAATATCTCTCTTGATCCGCGGCGGAATCGTCAAACAGGCCAAGGTCGACGAGGATGGGCGATTCCCTTCCTTGTGCTGGAGGAGACTCGCTTCGGTTCTGGTGATTTCGCCCAGAATCACTTACGTGGACTACTGTCGACGCGGTGTCCGAGAAGGTCTGTCTCACCCAACGACGCAAGAAGCCGATCTCTTGATGCTCTGGGGGTGTCCAAGCCCGTCGTGTCCTCCGAGTTAATTGTAGTCCTTGGATCAATGCCAGAACCGTCAGGCAGCGGCCGACTTTGTCCAGAGTGACACAGATGATCCTGACATTCGTATCACTGAAATCCAGAGGGAGCAATGCGGGCATAAACCAATTGACCAAGATAGTGAGGATGCTGAGGGTGAGCGCGACGATTTGAAGTCCCTTCTCGAATATCAGCACCTCGTTTGCCACTTCCTCGGCTGTTGAGAAAGAGGAGGGGTTTACCAGGAAACACCGCATTTTGGACGACCGCTTCGTTTTCGTTCACTGACGTTTGGCAGCAGTTCGAATATATCTCCAAATTTGCTGGGCGGATATTTGTGTGAGATTTCAATTTCGACGGAGTTGAGGTCGGACAGAATTCCACGTTGAAAAGAAATCCTTGTCCGCGCATTATACGAAGTTGTGTGCCCAACCCGGATAGCAACCTCTTAACCAGAAAAGGTACTCGGTACCCTGGTCTTCCATTCTGGCAAGAGCCCGGTTGCAGAACGGGTGTCACAGTACGTACATCGCAAGAGAAGACAGGTATAGAGTTCCCTAGACTCGGCAGCACAGGTTAGCACGGAGGCAGTGATGCGAACCAGCCTGTTAAAATCACTCTTTCGAGAGCATGACGGCTACCATCGGTTGGGATGGTGAGCATGGACAAAAGGCTCCAAAGGCTTGTATTCGATCCCGTCAGGTGTGCTGCCAGGGTGCTAGGCTCCTCTCACTTGCCCTGCAATTGAGGGGTAGAATGCGGCTCAACCACGAGCCCTCGACCACGCAGAGGGTCATGGCCAATATTTGTAACTCAGACGACTTTCCAACTTCCTCGGGAAACCGGCACTGCCAGTTCCAGTCGGGCGTATCACCTAGCCCATACCCTTCATGCAAGAATATCAAAAGTTCCATCTCGTTCACGAGGTCTAGACGCGGCAAGGTGTCGTCCCAGCTCCCTTCAACCCCAATGAGCAGCCCCGCACTGACCTCCCTGGTCGCTAACAACTTGTCTCATGAGCGCGCATGCAATATGTGCCGATGAAGTTCTGGGAACGCGGCGTCCTGGGATTGATCGATGGCATTCTTGTGAGTCATCAATGCTAATCTGCGGAAGCAACCAGTCCCGGCTATAGGTTGTGTTGAATGATCTGGGCGCCGGGCCACGAAGAGAATTATGGAGCCTAAGCCTGGAAAGTGGGCAACAACTCTGCGACACCCATGGTGTGAGCGATAAAGGGAAAGGTGTTTCAGGAATGAACTATAGTGCTCCTTGCTTGATCTATTCTACTATCCTATTCTGATGACAACTAGACATCAGCTGCATAGAGTGGATGTTCTTCTATAGACAACCCAAGCTAGATCCAAGCGGTGCGAACGGTGGAGGTAGCGATAGCGGAGGTGGAGAGGCCCAGACGGTGTCGTCGGCGACTGGAAGGCTGAAACGCGTCCCATGGATCTGCGGCGCGATTCTGTTCTTCGCCAACCTCGGTTTACGTTTGATGAATGTACCTTTCAACCGACTGCTCGAGTCGACCATATGTCGTGACCACTGGAAACAATATGATCCATCGCTTCTCGGACCGGATCAAAATGTGGATGAGCACCTCTGCAAAGGCAAAGCTGTGCAGACGAGACTAGCCTTCTACGTGGGTTTGATCAGCACCATCGAGTTGGTCTGTGGTAAGCAGAAATGTACCGATCAGCCCAAACGCGGGTCATGATCACTAACGAAGTCATAGAACTTATCGCCAGTATTCCTTTGGGATATGTATCGGACAAATATGGGCGCAAGCTATTGCTCGCGATCAACAATGCCGGGACAATTCTGACGATGATTTGGTATATTTGCATCGGTATATCAACACTCTCTTTCTGCACGAATTGATGACTGATTTTGTATTAAAAAAAACCCCAGGCCGGTTTCACAATGTCTTCAATATTCAAGCCAGCATTGCAGCACCTTTCCTCTTCCTTTTCACAGGTGGTGCTCATGTTTGCGGAGCAGCAGTCAGTGCTTTGATCGCAGACGTCGCAGGAAGCGAAAACCAATTGTAAGCCATCATGCCCTTTGGTACCAAATACACATGATTCCCAGTGCTAAGCCCTTTTATACGTGATAATGCAGAACCACAATATTCGGATACATGCAAGCGACGATCCAGGTTCTTCAATTCCTCGGGCCGGCAATCAGTTCGACCGCACTGACGAAGGATATCTGGCTTCCGTTCTGTCTGGGTCTGGCCTCTCTGTGTTTGATTTATCCATGTATTGCATTCCTTCCTGAGACTCGTCGAAGTCAAGGACGAAGGTTCGAGAACCATGAACCTTCTACGACACCAGACATCAACTCCTGTCGAACCCCAAGTACGACAGCCGTCACAAACCCCGACCTCGGAGACGAAGATGAGAATGAAACAGATCCCCTAGTCTCTCGCAATGACACCGACGTAACGCTCATCCCAGAAGAATCAGACCCAGGTCCAGATCTAGGCTCAGACGACATATCCGTTAAGTTCTCGCAGAACAGCTGCGAGAGCAACAAACCTCACCCTAAATCCCTGCGCGAATACATGCACGAAGTCTCCAAACAGGCAAGAGACCACCTGCAAGATCTCAAGACCCTCGTCGGGAGCAGTCGCGACTTCAAGTACTACCTCTTAGTTTTCCTCGCGAATACACTGGCCCGTGCATCGCAGAATGTCCTGCTTCAGTATTTATCCAAACGATACCATATCAAATTTGCAATTGTAAGCCTTCCCTGGCCCATTTTCTTGTTTTTTTTACGTCAGGGTCGAATTGACATTGGGACGCATGTAGGCAGGCTATCTCCTCGCTATGAAAGGACTATTCAACTTCATTCTCTTCGCCGCTTTGATCCCATTATTCCTCCGGATCATGACACGTCGGTACGGCCATGAAAAGGAAAACTCTTTGATTAATCTGCTCGGGATGAAAATCAGCGTGGCCCTTCTCTTTGTTGGCGTCACACTGGTGGGCTTGTCCTATGAGTTTTGGATGATGATTATCTGTGAGCTCATACACCTCCGTTCTTTTTGATCACATCTCCTTGAATGCATACATACCAAAGCCCCGGTTGGATTTTTAATTGACTACCTGCACAGCACTGCCGATATACTCCCTAGGTTATGGCCTGGGCCTCTTTGCCATGACAGCCGTCACTAAACTCACCATCAAGACGTGTGGGGGTTACTCGCACATCGGCCGGGCGTATGCTGCAGTGGTATTTGTCGAAACTATCGGTGCGTTGATTGGAGTACCAGCCGTCGCGAGCTTGTGGATTGCAGGTCTGCAAATCGGAGGCTGGGGTTTGACTTTGCCTTGGTGTTTTTGCGCGGTAAGATACTGTATTTCCCCGGTCGACACATAACATATACACGAGGTTTTGGTCCGCCTGATTGCCACCAGAATGCGTCATCCCCTCTCCCATTTCGACGCTCAGCCTTAACTCCTCGTCCACATCAACCTCCACTAACTTTTGACTGTCTTTCTTGTCACAGTTACTATACTTTTTCATTGGCGTGATTATTTGGAGTCTACAAGCAGATTCGAATCAGCCAGAATCGACACCGACATCGAGCGATTCGGCAGAAAATAGCTGAAATGAAGGACTAGAGGCTAGGCTGGGCCCGACAAGGAACAGTATTTGACCTGCGTCTTTTTGGGGGGAGAGCATTAAAAATGTGTGGTGTCATCACTCGTTATTCATTCTTCTGCAAACTAACTACTACAATAGTAGAGAGTTGACGCGTATGAGTAACAGAAACTAAGGAGCTTAAAATATCCTAAGAATAGCAGATTGCCTGGAATGCTGGCAGAGATATGCCTGAACCAATTCAGATAAAAACATAAAAACATGCCGCTGATGGCGAAAGCAATTGCCCAAGCACAGAGAAACACATCTCACTTGAGACCTAAGCACAACCAACACAAGTCCAACAATGTCTCATTCGAGGACCTTTGTAAGACGGCTCAAGCAATGGGTCAATACAAGGGAACAAATACATAGTGCTCTGTAAGGTTTTATCCTTCAACTTGTCGGGAAATGGGATGGTTATATTAGCTCTTCCAGCCGTAAATTCGAGGCGGCCTGGGGCCGTTTCATCCTGAGCATTCTCCGGTAGTAAAGCCAGGCCATAGACGCCCAGGAGGTCATGTAGGGCAAGCACATGGTGAAGTTCCGCGACGAAGGCAGTCGTCAGGCAGGGTACCTCGGGATGCGGATTCGTTGCTTCTGGCCGATACTGGAACTCAAACGGGTGCAGAAGACCGTCAAGATAGGCCCAGTTCTTGGGCACAATGTGGCCGCCGAAGATACTCATCTTGTCCGCGTCCGGGACACGCCAGGGGGTCGCGACATTTTCGAGCTCGACTACCCGTTCGCCGGGCTCGAGGTCATAATGTCGATGAATGATAGATAGTCCGAAATGATCATAGACTCGATGTTTGATGAAAACGACCCTGAGGAAATGTGATAAATGTCAGCCTTGCTACCCGGACCCTTTACTGTATGTCTCACCTCAATTGTTCCACCACTGCATCAGGCATGGGGTTATCCCGCACCCACTGAAAGACGTCGACGGCATATGGGATTCTTTTGAAAACCTCATCCGAATAGTCTCCGACCTCGTACTCCATTGTGCGTGAAAGGACCCGAATCAGGCGGATTGAAGGGCTGAAATTTCCGCAGCTAAGCAGCCAGAACAGGCTCTCTGGGTTAGGTTTAGAAGCAAAACACAGCACACCACCTCTATAAGCGGGGTAAGCCAATTCATACCTTTCTACCGATGTTGCGGCTGAAAAGTGCATTGAAAATCATCCCACGCTCTGTCTTCATTGCAGACTCCGGCGACAGCCGAAAAACCTGGAAGACTAGGAGCATTGTGCACTTCAGCCTGATTGGCACGAGTTGGCGCTTCTGTGTGACACCAGGCGCAGGAAAGGGAAAAGATACGTTCTGGCGAGAAGGGCATGGTCATCAGGTTCTAATTTTTAGCTCGATCAGACGTTTGCGAGAATTAGCCGGGTAAACTTGTAGTCGAGCGACTGCATGTCATCTTCAGAAAATGCCCCCGACAAGCGGAACATCAGCCGTTGCTCTGCAGACATTGACAAGATTAGCCGATGAGCTGGGGGTCCATTCATGGTGCCGACGCTCACCAAGGGTGTCCGAAAGTTCCTTGTTCAGGATCTCCGCGTACTCGTCCACTTCGCGGGTGGTCTTCATGCCGTTGGGGACAAACCTGCCAGCCTTATCCTGCCGAAAAGGAAATTCGGCTCTGTGCATGGCGCGCAAGTGGTTTGCCACCGTGATAGCTTGTTGCTCATTCTCACGAAGGAGCTCTGGTACGGTCTTGGTCAATGGCCAGACCATGGTCTAAGCTCGATCAGCAAAGGGAGCCGGAGTAACGTCGACCGGGGTTTCTCTCGGCCCTTCCACTTACCGGATTGTTCGACACCGATGGATCATTGGCCCATCTCGCAGATTTTGCTCTCCAAGCTTCTAAATTCCAGCTGTCCTTTTCCAGTGTACTCAAATAAAGAAAGCATGAGATGAAGACAGCAAAGCCGGCGCCTAATTGCCGACGATGTCGAGAGCCCTTCTGCGTACGAGGAAGTATAATGTCTTCGAGGTCTCTCAGGATCTGACTTTCCAGTTTCATCATGTAATTCTCGACAATCCAATCCAGTTGCCAGTAGAGAAGACGAGGGACGTCCGCAGCACCAATTTCTGGATGGAACTGTGCACCCAAAGCTTCTGCCCCTTTCTTGATACGCCAAATACGTCCGAAGAATACGCTGTGTGCAGCCCACACTCTCAGCAGCCTTCGGATCATTAAGGTCTAGGAGAATATAGTCAGGATGATATTTCCTCGAACAGTCAAAATAAAATAAAGCCTACCTCCTTTCTAGTCTCATCGACACTGAGCCTCAAAGCTGCCTCAAAGGTTGCTTTCCATATGGCATCGGTTGAACAGGCCGTCTCCGCAATGAGCGGGGGAATCATTTTGTCCAGAAAAGTGTCAAGTTCCGCGCGTGACACTGTACAAGTACACAGACCAAATGCCTCGGTGGGTGTTTTCCTCAGGAAGACGCTTGTTTTGTTCCTGAAGGCGATATGATGGAGAAGGTCAGGATCTTTGGGCACAAACTTTTCCACCTTCAACGGCAATGTTGCATCCAAGCCAAGTGATACCTCGATATCTACGAGAGGCTGGGTATCATGAGGCAGCCAGCGCTGGATGTTCTTCGACAAGATTGTGCAACGACTACGATACAGGCCTGAGGAGTCAGCCTTGCGTTGAGGAGCCTTGAGGAGAGAGGTACGCAACCTACCTTTCTTGAAACAGCCACTCTCGGAGAAGGTGGCCAGTGTACACAATGGTTGCCATATCGAAAGTTGGTCACATCGCTGGCAGGGAGTCCTTCCATCACACTATTCACTGTTACCATCTACCTATGGAAGACGTGATTGTACTTACCTTTTCATGGTATAATCTGCAACGCACACAAGATTCTCCAGACTTCAAGCGGACCTTTTTTTCTGGCCGAGGGGGTGTTAGAGCAAGGATATCCCTTGGTGACCTTGACCGCTTTCGTTTGGCCGGCGGTGTCCGTGCTGAGTCGTTGACGTGGACCGATGGCTCATTTGACAGCTCAACCTTGAAAGTCAAGATGCCTGGAATGTCGGCTTTTCGGCCTCGCTTTTTCGATTCTTGCGGCTGCGGAACTTTGGAACTGCACTCGGCTGCGCACTGTTCAGACTCGGAAGTAAGGGGATAAGGTGACTTTTGTGGAAATCCCGTTGTCTCCCATCGGGCATGTGGAGTCCGAGCGGGTTTGACCTGCCAGGGATCGTAATCGTTGGGCTGATAGAAAAGTCCATCATGTCGCGGCATCTCTGGTGTATAAAAACTGTTTTTGGGGTGGAAACCATATGTGATCGGGCGCTTATCAAGGGAGTCTTGTGTTCGTAGTCTGGTCGCCACATCCACATCCTCCAAAAAAGAGTTTGCCCTGGATAGCAATCCCCAATTGTCAGACCTCGTCGGTTCAATTTTCGGAAAGGCCTTGCCATCTCCATTTTCAAGGTCCAACGCAGTACTGGGAATGGTTTGTAGAAATTCAATGGTTCCATTGTTGGAAGCAGGAGTGATGTCTAGGCCATTAACCTGGTCAACACTGTCATCGTGACTATAAAACAACTGCTCAAGCCCGAAATCATGCTCAGAAGCAAAATCTGTTGGGATACCTGAACCCCCGATCGATGGTTGAAGTGGACTGAATGCCGGTAAGGTGCCACTGCTCAATGTAGGGCTTCCGATTCTCTCCCCGCTGTCAGTTGAATTGTAGGGCCTTGACCACCCGTTTCTGAAAGTAGGGATGCAACCGGGCGAGAACAGTTCCGAGGCCGGATGCATTGTTGCGAGCGACGAAAAGGACTAACTCTCACAGTTCGGTATCTTTAGGAATACTCTCCATCGTCCTCGAAGCTCATGGAAGGAGGGACAGAGTAGGATATGACAGCAGGCCACGTTAAACAAGTCTGATAGAGAAAAAAGAATCAGACCACGATAAAAGAATTTTGCATATTGTGTAGGCTTAAGTAAATCGCAAAGAAACGTCTCACCAAAAGGTTGAGGCGCAGGAACAGCAGGGCGGATTCGCTATCATGCCGTACAGCCCACACTCCCTCCTCTGGTCCTGCAGTGTTCTAAAGCAAAGTATGTTCCAATGCAATAGTATAAGATGCAGGAACTGTCGGTGTCGAAGTCAATGTTTTTGCAACGTTTCTGCAACCGGGGAATAACCGTGATACCTTTTAAGGAAGTTCAGATTTCTTGGCCCACAATGGCCACCGGGTGAGGCGTAAGCCATGCCTCACTTTCCTTTTCACCGGTTCGCCTTGGTGAGGCGCTGTATTTGAAGGTCTAGCTGCCCAACGGATATGGCAGGGAATCATGTCTCCCCGTTGTTGGGCATCTATTTGGGCATCGAAAACCTTCTATCAAGGCCCATAGGCTGACTCTTCGCCGGCGACGACCACTAGGACGGTTTCCAGCACGGCCTAATCTCCGAATTTGCAAATCCGCCAGATATCGATTAGATAGAAGGATCCCTAGGATCCTGAGGTCTCAATCGTGCTTCTGCTCGAAAAGTGTGCCCATGGGAAAAGGAAACAGTACAGGAAGATCACTTGACGACTGGTTGACCGACCGACCGACCGACCGAAAGAGAAAATAACAAAAAACATAAACAAGAAAAAAAAAAAAAAAAAAGGAAACAGGTCATGAAAGCTGTGTGCGATCATAGCTGCTTCAGGAGCTTTTTTGCTTTGGGACCAGGCCTATTTGCCGCGGGTGTGGCTTCGCACGTGCTATACTTTATCCATGGTGAACGTGACAAGGAGGCGGCGCACATTGTTCAATGCTTTGCCCATGGCTTCCTGGTTCTGTGGCTTGCGGAAATGGTCCTCTTCTGGTGTTCCTCCTTGGAAGCAGGGCTGGTTGCGCTCGTTGGTCTTTTTTGCTTTCTGGCTGGACTCGGAGGTAGCATCGGTCTCTACCGAGTATTGTTCCATCGTACGAGGCGGATTCCCGGACCTTTCGGTCATGCCTTGACCAAGTGGACGGCGACTTCAATTGCGAGAAAGACTCACCAATGGCACATTCACCTGGGATATTTGCACAACAAATATGGGGATTTCGTGCGAACAGGGCCGAGGGAGGTCTCGATCAATGATGTCCGGGCAATTGAACCGATCTATGGGAAGTCCTCCAAGTGTCTGAAAGGTCCATGGTACGACCTAGGTGGTACTGGGTACAATCTCCATAGGACGCGGGATCCTGATCTTCACCGTAAACAGAGACCTCTATGGGAGAAAGGCATTCACGGTATTTGCAGGGTGAAAGTGGTCCGGCGTGCCAGTTGCTGACTGAACATTTTGTTTAGAAATGTCAATTCACATTGAAAAGATCAAGGCAAAGACGGACGATTTTCTGCAGCATTTGTCGACATTCTCCGGGCCATTCAACATTGCTGACGAATTAGGGGTATTTGCTTTCAATGTGATGGGGTACGTTCTCTTTTCCCTGGATTTTGACAAAGATGAAAAGCTGCGCCGGAGGGCTAAGCAGGGTTATGACACGCTTCTTCGTAGCCAGTCTGCGTTGGGGGTATATGGTCAGGTGCCTTGGTTGTATTCGGTGAATGATGGTTACCCATCTCTGGGGTTGATACCGGCTAATGACAATTTTACCCGATTTGGGAATGATATGGTGGAAGAGCGAAGGAAGGTCTGTGTGACCCCCTAAATACCAAAGACGTAGGGATACTTATGGAGTCACAGATCAATCCCAAGGATCCGGACCTATTTAGTTTCCTGTTACCCACCGAAACAGATCCAGACTCGGCGCAATTTCCCCTGCAGTGGGAAGCACGCCTTGCAATGGTATCAGGCAGCGGAAATGTATCAACTGCTTTGACTTCCAGCCTGTTTTATCTGGCCCACCATCCGGATGTCCAGGTGGAACTTCAAAACGAGCTCGACCCTTTGTTTGGTTCCAATACCTTTAATCCAAGAACGGCATACCCGATTTTGGATTCAGTTCTGTACGAGAGTATTCGATTGCAGCCGTTAGTCCCCAGTGGTGGCGAACGTGTCACTCCAAGGGAAGGCATCATCGTAGGAGATGAATTTATACCAGGGGATGTCGTCCTTAGAGTACCAAGCTTTGTGATATTTCGCGGTGAGCAAGTATGCTGGCCGGTATTGGAATTTATAGTTAATACAGTTCAGACCCTCGCTACTTTGAGAGGCCGAAAGAATGGATCCCGTCGCGCTGGACAAGTGAGAATCACCTGGTCAAGAGTAAAGGAGCATTCATTCCATTTTCCACTGGTGGGTGATCCTTCCATCGGCCCTGGTTTGTGGTGAAGGTCGACTTACCTCCTCTTGTCGTGTCTCGGACAGGTCTACACAATTGTGTGGGTAGGCCTCTTGGTCTGTCAGAACTTCGTTTGGTGTTGGCCAATCTTGTGCACACCTATACCGTTACTTTGGCTCCGGAACAAGATCCAGATGAATTCGAAAGATCGGGCAAAGATCATTTTGGATTGGTCTTCGAATCTTTGCTGGTGCGACTGCACGCTAGAAATGTCAAGTTAAGCCCACTAGAAAAGTGCTGGTAATGGTTAAACATAGGATGTAAGCAGAAGGTGCTCATTGAAAGCTTTGGAATGTTGGCATGACCATATTTAGGAAGAAGAGACGAAGACCAATTCGAACAAATCCGTTTGGCCGCTTTATGCAGCCTTTATTACCTTTCGGTTTGCGCATTTCAGCATTGAAAGGTGGAATCAGATATTCCAACGTCGGCTTCGATTGTCGACTCACAGAGTTCCATCCCGGTAAGCATCCTGACTGGAGTTCATTTATATTCGATTTGATGGTGTTTGATAAGCTCTCTTCTTCTCGTGCGCATTGTCGATATGTGTTCTGTTCTGTTCTGTGCTTTTCCTTTTCATAAGTGGCAGTGGGATAACGGGATGCAACATCATACATTACTCCCAGGTTTCAGTTTTCAGGCAAGAACATTGTTCGTTCTTGATTCGACTACCTCATTTCTACTCTGGGGGAGGAGTTGGGATGTCTGCCGCTTGACAGCATGTCACCCAAACGGTATTGAATTCTTTCCAAGGCCGAAATAAATTTCAACATCTACAGCGAGGTTGCCTTTTCGGGACATACTTTCTGCTCAGGCTCAAGTTGCGCCTGATTCAACATCAACTGCGCTTATTCAATGCCGGCTTCAAATTCTTTCTTCATTGAAGACGCCCTCATGTGTACTGAGCATGAAACATCACATTGCTTTGGCCACTCCAGGGCAGGCTGGCAGGGTGCGGGACTGGGTAACGATGGTCATGTTCGGTGATATTGCCTTCGACGAAGAATACACCGTTATCACACTGGCACCGACAACTCGGCCTATCGTGTGGAAAGCCAATTTAAAGAGGGAGGAGGATGCCTGACCGCTATATTGGAATTATGATTGGTGTAAACCATAGTTCTATCACACTCAGCCTTGTCAATCCTTTGATTTCTATATTGTCAGCCTCGCCGTCGCCCCTTCAACTCCTTTTACCTGTGACGCTCAAATGTTGATAAGCTATCCAGCTTTTGGTCCCCATTTTCGATCGTCAAACCCCTTGTGAATGCAAATTCCCAATGCTCATATTCCCCTTCTTCAGCGTCTGGATCCAATAGCGTCCATTTCACGTTTCTTCGGGGACATTCTTCCATCTTTATCAAGAGTACCGTCCTTGCATGAGAAGAGTGAGTCCGTGACATGCCATCGATTTGCTGCATGAAACATCGGTGCTGGATAGAGAGGAGGGGGAAAAAAGGGGGTTGGTGCGGTGGTTTCTAGTTGAGCCAGACTTTTATTTTTCTCACAAATATGGGCATCGATTAAAAGGGACACCTTGCACTGTACTCATTCGTTGACATTGATCCGCTTGGATATCGCCGCGAACAAAAATTGTCCCTAATACGAATATCATTTTGACCGCTTTGATAAAAGGCTGTTTCCACAACCACACCAATATTCAGCTCACATATTTATAGACCTTGTTCCTGCTTCCTCTCATTGAGCGGCTCTTGAACTAGTAATTACCCAAAGCAGGCGCCTGATCGATCCACTCGCCGACCTCGACCTCATTCAAAACCCAGCGGACCAGACTCTTACGACTCAACTCCTTTGTGCCCTTGAACCCATGCCCGAACAAGCCGGCACTGACCTTCTCCTCTGCAGGTCCGGCATTCAAATGTGGCACACGGAAAACCGTCCATTTCAAACCCCAGCCACCTTTCTCGCCTTCCTCGGTGACTCGTCTGCCGATTTCTTCCATCTCCTTATGTCCCTGCGGTATCAGGAGGGGTGGAAATTTCATGGCCAGCCACCAGTCCCAGGGCAGAGTGTCTGTTTCTTTTTCTTTCTTGCTCCCATCCGCATCCGTCTTGACTCCATCTTCTCTTATCAACCAAGCCGGAGTCGACAGGGCTAGGATCCTTTTCACACCACATTTCTTCATCGCGGCGAAGATAGTCGGGAAGCAATTGGCGATGGGAGTTGTTTTGGTCCGCAGCACAAACGCCTTGAATGTCGGATATGCGCCAAGGAAAGACACGACCGTTTCGACGGGTGTGGTCGGGTCGGTCATGGCCTTTTCCAATGTAGCCTGGTCATTGAGCTCGCCTTTCACGATGCGGATGCGTGAAGGGTCCGCTTCTCTCTGTGTCTCTGGGAGTTTGGATGGGTTGCGGACATAAAGGGTCAGTTTTGGCCCTGTAGGTTGAGAGAGGGCTAGGTCGACGAATTCGATGCCGGAAACACCTGTGACACAGACAGAAGTTCAGTATTCCAATTTGCTCAAAGAAAGAGAAGTTTTGAGTTTCAAATGGTACCTGTCGCTCCTAGGACCAGGATATGGTTGGGCTTGGGCATGGTGAAGATTAGTATCGATATTGTTCGGCGGGGACAAAATGGGACAAAATTTATCGGTTACAATGACAGAAGGAGAAGCCACTCTTTGGGCCGATCATAATTTCATTGAGACACGGACCTTCCATATATATGCGCTCGACAATCCAAGATGTCTTGCGCAACATCTTACCTTCTATGCAAGTGGTTCTCTTTTTCGTAAGGGGAAAAGCTGTAGAAAAGCGGCTCTCGTACTGTTGGATCCCCGATACGCGTTGATCAACCACGTACCGCAAGCTCATTTCTCGATTTGTGTTGTCAAAGCTTCTTTGTTGAGAGGACAAGGCTGGATGACTCGGAGCACTCGGCTCTCGGAATCAAACTGAGCCGGTTCCCGGCGGGGTCTTTTTGGAAGAACATCTCTTCTTGGGTCAAGGTGTCGTTGGAGGACTGTTGAACACAGGATTCGGAGCTGGAAGTAGCATCTTGCCCGGTTCGCCGAAGATAACGCCCAGGAGAGAATTCTGGATGACAAAGGAGGCAGAATACTCCCACTCCCTATCATCCCTTCTGTTCGAAGGCCACAACCTTGGCTTACGCTTCATGTCCTTCGTCTGTAAATGCATATTCCAGGATCATTTATCGGGGAAATCCAATGGTAGAGGGTATGGTGTTTGTACAGAGTCTGTTTGACGACTCTCGACGTGGACTGGACAGTGGGCAAAGAGTTCGAACTCGACGCGACGGTGCTTTCCCACTCTTTGACTCTTTCACGACTCTAACATTACCTCATCTCATCTCACCATAACGAGACTTGCTCAATGCGGCGATATCGTCCGTTCAAAAGTCGTGTTGCAATAAACTGTTGGAAGAACGGGGCCCGCGGACCTCGGTAAAAGTGCTCAGCACTGCAGCTGCAGACCGCATCTCCGCAAAGTTATGCCTATCTTGTTGCCCCAAAGGTGCCTTTTGGTACCTCAGTTGAGAGTCGAGGTACCGAGGATCTAGATTTTCTTGTACGTGTTTTGACTTGACGATGGAGGATTTTTGACATACGCCAGAGCCATCCCTCGCTGAACATTTGTTCCTGTTGTTGATCTCAGCAACAGACAATCAGCTATCCTCTATCCTTCGGAAAATTTCTATAAACTCCCTTTCCAGACACTCTTCCTTCTCGAAGCAGTCCAAGACATCGACAACTATGGCGTCTCCTGAAGAAGCCATCCTCTACCGCCAGGAAGGGAGAATTGCCATCATCACCCTCAACCAGCCCAAGAAACTCAATGCCATGACCCAACCCTACTACTACCGCATCTCTTGCCTCCTCCGCGACATTGCAGCCAACCCAGACATCAGTATCACTGTCCTTACGGGCACCGGCCGATTCTTCTCCGCGGGTGCAAATGTCACTACTACAAGGCCTGGAGTTGGACCAGGCACGAGTAAAGATGAAGCAAGAAATGATATACTCCGGGCATTCGTGAGCAATAACCTGGACATCACACGATCTTTCTATACCCACCCTAAGATCTTGATTGCTGCCCTCAATGGTCCCACCGTCGGCTTGTCTGCTGCGCTTTTGGGATTCTGCGACTTCATCTATGCCGCTCCTCACACTTTCCTCTTGACGCCCTTCTCTTCGCTCGGTTTGGTCGCTGAGGGCGGTGCCTCAATTGGCCTTGTGCAACGTCTCGGTCTGACCAAAGCCAATGAGGCACTCATCATGTCCCGAAAGATCCCTTGCGACGAGCTTGTGGCCTGTGGATTCGTGAACAAGGTATTCTCTGGCAAGGATCAAAATGACAGCGACGGATTCTTGAAACAGGTATTGGCCGAGATCCGGGACAAGTTGGGCGAGCATTTGAACCAGGAAAGTTTGATTAAGATCAAAGAGCTGATCCGGCGACCTTTCTTGGAGAGCTTGGAGGCTCAGGGTGTCAGAGAGGTGATGGAAGGAATGACGAGATTCATCCAAGGTGCCCCACAAGAAGAATTCCGAAAAATCGCCAGTGGTGAAAAGAGACATAAATTATAGTAGATGAATAAGAGTGGGGTCAGTGTATATACGGTTCTTCTTGATGAGGTCCGCCATCGCCTTTGAATGACGCCGGGAAAGGCATCTGGTCAAATCCAAACAGACACCGCCAATTTTATCAAGGGAAACCGTGAACGGTACATGGAAGAAACAAGAGCACTTTTCGTGGCTGACTTTCATGCCTTCTTCAAGTGAATCATCTTTCTCTCAACCCACCTCGTTCTATCATCGTTGCTGTCGTATACAATCCCGAAGCACACGGAGGATTTCAGACCGCTTGAACTGTGACCTTGACCGGGGAAAAAATGGGGCATCAACATCATTCTCTCCCTTTACTCTACCCTCCTTTCTTTTGTCTAGTCTAGGAGCCAGCATACGACTCGAACACGGCGAGGCATCCAAGGCCCGCTCATCGGCCTCTATTTGTCAGGATGTAAAAGCAGCGTAGAATGCCATTTTGGAAAACAGCAAGATTTCCGAATTCGCTGGTTCACGAAACCGCGTAGAGATGGGTAGAATGGGAAATTCCTGGCCTAAACAGGGTATGTGAGGTGGACCAATTCCGACCATGATACGAGATTAAGGATTCGAGACGCATTTGCTGTTTTGTCGTCCTCGTGTTGAATTTGTCGTCCTTTGACCTGTATAGTCGAAGGCGGGCTGGGTCGACGTAAAATTGGCAAGAGAAACGGGTGGGGCAGCATGAAATTTGCAAAGCGGCGGAATTTCACGTGAGAAGCGGCAGGATGCCTGCTCCGTGTTCGGGGAACGGCTGTGCATGCTCCCTCAGCCATCTCAGCAACGTGTCTTCCGCCGGTTTACGCGTCCAATGATGCTTTTCTATACCCATCCCTCTTCAAGGCAATTGTATCTTGACAAATGGCCGATAGCTTGGAACCCTTTTTCGCCGCTCAGAGCTGAGGAGCTTGGCTCCATTTGCAACCATGCATCCTCGTAGCTCGTTTGTCAGAGCTTGCCTGTAAGATGACGATGACGACGAACACCGACGATTCCTTTGGACACTCGGTCGCACCTCACGGCAGGGAGCGGGAGATGCCTTTGTCATCGAGTTCAAAGATTTGGATCGATGTTGATGTATCTAGACATAATGGAATGGAAAGGGAGATGGTTGTGATGTATATAAATGTCAAAGGCAAGTCATCCTCTCTTTCGATCATCCGTCACAACAGTGAACAAGAACAGGCACAAGAGCAAAATCCGAATCGGTGTTTATGCTACATCTGCACGTGTCTTAGACCTCAAGAAGCAATAATTCCAACTGCAAGCTCCCAAGCGCTGTCACGATCCTCAAAATGTACACGACCCTGCCCAATGGTATCCGGGTTTTCTATCGCGAAGCTGGATCGCCCACAAACCCCACCGTCCTTCTCCTTCACGGTTTCCCGGCTTCGTCGAACCAGTACCGCAATTTGATCCCTATTCTTGCTGACAAGTACCACGTCGTCGCCCCGGACTTGCCTGGCTTTGGTTTCACCGAGGTTCCATCCGGCCTGAACTTCAAATATACCTTCGCCAACATTGCGTCCACCGTCGGGGCCTTTCTGGATGTTCACAAGATCGAGAAATTCGCTGTTTATGTCTTTGACTACGGTGCTCCAACCGGCCTCCGTCTTGCGCTAAAACGACCCCAGGCCATCACGGCCATTGTCTCGCAGAACGGTAACGCCTATGTCGAAGGCCTGAGTTCGTTCTGGGATCCCTTGCGAAAATTATGGGCCTCAACACCTGGATCTGAGGGAGAGGCACAACTTCGCAAGATGATTAAGGACGCCATCCTGTCATTGGAGACGACCAAGACCCAGTACTTGGATGGTGAGCCTGAGGCAGACAAAATCGACGATCCGGCGTTGTACCACCTAGATTATTACTTGATGACACGTCCAGGCAATGCAGACATCCAGCTTGATCTGTTCAAGGATTATGGCACTAACGTGGCCTTGTATCCTCAGTTCCAGGAGTATCTTCGCAATAGCCAGGTCCCCTTGCTGGCCGTGTGGGGCAAGAACGATATCATTTTCCCACCAGCGGGCGCTGAACCCTTCAAGAGAGATGTCAAGAACGCAAAGGTCGTTTTGTTGGATGGTGGGCATTTCTTGGTCGAGAGCCATACCGAGGAGGTGGCCAAGTTGATGTTGGAGTTTTTTGCGGAAAACCAACTCTGAAACCGGTGGGAAATGAAAACGTGGGTGATTTTTTTTTTGGTCAGTAATTATTGAATTACACTGGTGAATTCTCTACAACATCTTATGCCTCAATTTGATGAAACATCTGTGACTGCGATTGGTTGAGACGGACATTGCCGTCTTGGTCGGGAATGCTGGGAGGTGGCTGGGGTTCTGGGGCCAGTGGGATCTAGACCTGCGTAGCTGACAAAAAGTCAATTTGTCGTGACGCTGAAAATACCTATAGACGGTGAATTCTTCAATCCTTGAAGTGGGAACGTGGTCACAATATCAAGAGCTCCGAGACTCTTTCATGGACACGTCCGGTCGAACCATCCACACCTGTAAGAGGATAGAATAGGTGCAACGACATGCAATGCTACCGATCCTGTCGAATCACCATGCCGGCTTCATTGAGAATCGAGATATTCCCCTCCAACCTCCAACGGATGATCGATTTCTACACTGCCATCTTGAACTTCACCTTGATCCAACATGATAGCCAGTACGCCTACCTTCAGCGCGACAACATTTTCATTGGCTCGATCGAGACTGGTTCGACGGAAGCACTCGAACAGAAGCTAAGCTAGAGATTGAAATTGTGTTTGAGGTGGACGATTTGGAAAGGGAGAGAGATTTCATCGTAGGCGAAGGAGCAAACTTGGAGGCTGACATTGAACTGCAGCCTTGGGGGTGGAAAGACTTTCGGCTCGTTGATCCGGCCTGGTATTATCTTCGAATCACCACGCGCAGTCCCAAGAGAGATGGCAAAGGGGATATACCATGACGTTTAGCTTCACATGAAGCCCAGTAGGATATTGAATAGCAATGACGACACTCGACCCGTTGCGGTGTGAAACCGTGGCCGTACTCCGGTTCGTATTCGTTGTCTCATGTTTGTGTCGGCGTAATCTGGGCTGGGCAATGATGCAGTGCCGGCGATGAAAACAAATGCAAACGAACGGCTGGGTCGAGCTCGGACTGGTGAAACGTCATGATATCGAAACAAAGCAGTGCAAAGTTGTCTGGCCCGGTCAAAGTTCCTTTCCTGAGTCGGGAGGTGATGAGATTTTGTGGGGTGCAGGCTGGTTGCAGCCAATCACTCCACCAGCCAAGCGGAAGCCAGATCCTAGATTTCAAGATCAACGGGCTGCGTTTTGCGCATTGACGTCACTTACAAGCCCGACTTCTTCGTCCTCGTCCTGCCTGTTTGAGAATCATGGTTTGAATCGCATCCTACGACGTGCCTTGCCTTGGGACGGACCTTGTTCCCGAAGTAATTGTAGGTGGATCAACTGTGACATTGTTGGAATTGTAAGAAGGTCGCCAGCAATTCACGGCAGGAACGCGGCGCAAATCAGCAAATAGCTACGAGGTAGGCGTAAGTGACTCCCTTCATTCAGGACTCGTTGTCTGCCGTCACTGCTCTCACAGGCTTCCTATAAGTATCCCTCGTTCCCCCTCTTCTCATTTTCATTCACGAAATACTCTCAAACTACATACAGATCATAACAGAACTCTTTAAACAACCTACCTCTACCACAATGGAGCCTATAAAGAACGCTGCCAAGTACGTCGTTGCCCATCCACCACGTTGCTGTCACCTTGTCGAACTGTACTGACCTGTCCGCAGCTACGTCGGTGACAAGGTCAATGAGGCTACCTCCGGTGCTTCCAAGGACGCCAACAAGAACGTTGCCAAAGACTCCGACGCGCCCTTGGGAACCCGTGCCGATGCCGCAAAGGATGCTGTTGGTGACAAGCTCGATGAGTCCAAGCACTCTGTATGTCTGGCTCCTTTTGAGACTCGACTACAACAACTGACGTAATGATCAGGCTTCTGCCGAGGGCAACAAGCAAGCTGCTACCCACTAAACATCTCATCCAACCACCTCGACACACCACACCTCTTTGCTACAGTTCCTGAAGGATGGTACATCGTGGGGTAAAATGGTCGATTACGATGATATGGCATACCACCTGGCATACACTGCAGGTGTCATGAGCTTCGGAGATGTGTATTCCTTGACTTGCTCCGCAAAGCAGAAGGCTCCGCATCAAGTAGCTAAATCAATGATACCCTAACGGAAAGACCTACAATTTCTTCATATTCTCTTTCTCCTAGAACATGTGATGTCCGTCGCATATACTCCTGTGTCTCCATTTCTATCTGCATCTCCAGCGAAGAATCAGTATATGTCAATACTTATTCATCACCGTTATCGACTTCCATTTTGGCCTGCCAACTTGTTGACAGCACAAAATGCGCTGCGGAGAAGACCCTGTACTATTCCTTGCAGCAGCCTCACTCCCTCCTCGTCGCATCGCATTCCTGACCTCTCCAGCTCAAACTTTGAATCGATCTATCACCATGCCCTTGTAACATCCAATGTCGATCCTCCTCTGTCTATGGTCATAACAAACAACTGCGACCTCTCGATAGGAATGACCATGCAGTACGCTCTGGTCAAGGACAAGAATGACAAAGGACATATGCGCAGCATGTTAAGTGTAGTGAAAGACCAGGCCTCGCTGTCGACAGGTTGGATGAAGGACACAGCGTTCAGAGTAAACAAGGGCAAGGTGCGGTCACTGTCACAAGCAATTCAAAAACCAAACAAAGAGTACTAACCAGTCTTGAAAATAGAGGTGAATAGGTCCGTCCACTCACTATCGTGCAAGAAATGTCGACCATGAGCCAGTAAGTAGGCCAGATGGCAACCCCATCTGAGCCGAGTCCAAGCCCTCTCCCGCAACCGCCACTGTCCTGGCGGCAAATGTGTCCATGGCAAATTTGCTCCCCGCCTCCAATTTCTGCATCCGGCTTTTCGAGAGCTCCTTGGAACTGTAGATTCGCAGACATCGAACCTGGTTTCAGGCGGATTCTCAGGAGGCTCATCAAGAAGCGCTCCAAGGAGTGTGAGGTCGATATCAAAGAGAAGGGCGAGGATGGCGATGGACACCAAGACCGAGACAGCGACAAAATGGGAAGGCGCACGCACACGCACAAGCGGAGACCAAAGCCGGGACAGTGATGAGGCTAAAGGCAAAGGGGACGCGCTGGAGTCGCAACTCTAACCCGAACTCAACGCTATAAACGAGTCCTCAGCCTGGTCGAAAGCGAAGATGAAGAAGAAATAATGCTGGTCGACGGCGTTGACCAAGATAATATCAAGAAGTCGCGGATGCCACAGACCCTGGGATTCCATTTGAACTGGTAGACTGGCCGAAAAACGGCCATGTCGGCGAATGTGCGCTCTTCTCTTCTCTCTGCACAAGAATGCTGCTCCGGAGAGAGGCCAACGTAGTCTTCTCTCAATTTCCCCTGATCAACAATGGCTCGGAGGCTCAAGCGGTGCAGAATCAAACAACAAGCAACACCGAGGTGGGGCAGGGAAGCCCGTCGGCTCGGCCATGATGCTGACGGCTTGGGGACCGCCTGCTGCGAAACGTGGAGCGCGCGAGCGAAAAGATGCATCGACGACGCAAGTGGAAGTCGTGAGGTTTACAGGCTGCAGCTGGCTGATGGAAATGGAGTGCTAGGAACTGGCAGAAGAGAACCAGCGGGATCTTTGTGCAGCCTCGAGACCAGGGTCTTGATATGAAGATTGTGCTGGAAGACGAGGCAGATGTTCGGACCAGTCCGTTCTCGTTGGCATATGGACCACCAGGCAGGATGCGGAAAAGCTCGTATGATCTGGTGGTGCGCGACACTGTGAGCGATGAGTACGTCGCTGATCGGGAAGGTCCTGGCGATGAGCGCCATGATGATGGCTCGGATGTTACCGTTGAATGTGAAGAGGGTGCCGATAAGGACAACAGTGGAGGGAGCAATCACAACTCCAAAGGTGCGGTAAACGGCAATGGAGACGCTAATATTGGGATGAGATAAAAGGGCGACGCCGATGAAGATGTTAGAAATGAAAGGAGAGACGATGAATCCGGTGCTACGATCACATCCGACGAGGTCTTCGGTCATATTATGACGGGCGGCAAGGACACTGAGTCCATGATGGGAGGCATTGACGGTACTGATGAAGCCACGGGCGCTAACCAAGAACCGGAGGTTGCAATGGAAGGAGGCGTCAATGTCGGGGTCGTGGCTGATGGCAGCGAGGCTTCTTCAGGCGTCACGGTGGAAGCGATCAACGACTCCATCCCTGCGACGCATGATAATGAGGACCCAGATACTATCATGGAAGAAAATCCTGGTGCCGCCACAAAGGAACGTCAAGATCCCGATGTCGAGATGGAGGAAAACGAAGACTCTCGCGCCGTTGGGAAAAGGAAACGACGCTGCTGATATCGTTATGCGGGACTAGGTTGACGTGCCTGATGAATAAAGAGGCTTGAAAGTCATCACGATGACGTAGTGATGAAAAGACAGCCCAGTATCTATCCACTGGTCGTAATTGGGCTCTTGATTAGAAATGAGCAAAGAGAACAGAAAAGACTCAACTTGAATTCTCAATATTCCACCTCACACAGTCTTCAAACTTTGCTCCGCTTCCCCCAAGTACATCTAAAGCACTACCAATGGTCAAGTCGATTTGACCGTTACTACATCTCCTGACGAGGTCGAGGTCTTCCACTGTACGTGCGCCGCCGGCGTAGGTTACGGGTATCCTGCACCATTCAGCTAATTTGGCAACGAGATCGGTGTCGATGCCTTGCTGTAGGCCCTCGTTATCAGCTGCGTGGATGAGGAATTCTGAGCAATATGGTTCCAGCATCTCGATATTTTCTGCAATTGCACATAAGCCACAGATAAGATTATGCGTCGAGCCAATACAGACCTTTTGTGATCTCCATCTCCGTGATTGTCTGCCATTTATTCATAGCCACGAACCAGGTGTTGTCTTGGCGTCTACAACTGAGATCGATGACGAGCTTGGACGTGTCGTTCCCCAAGGACAAGAGGACTGATTTCAACCTCTCCAGGGAAAATCGCCCGTTAGGGAAAAGAAAAGAAGTAATTATGACCTACTGCGTTTCAAACTTAGAAACAGAAACATGTTTTGTCTCCTCAATGGGAGAGAAGGACGGAGAAGAAGAATCTCACCCTTTCAGCCCCGGCATCTATCCATTCTTTCGCATTGGCATCGGTAATGCCCCCCCCTACTTGGAGATGGCTAGGCCACGCTGCAAGAGCTTCCTTAGCAGCAGCCTCATTCCCGGGTCCGAGCATGATGACATGGGCACCTAGCAGATTTGAATCGCGGTAGAGTCTTGCAAAATACCCTGCCGGGTGTGAAGAGATGTAGTTTGTTTGCAAGTCGGATTCCTGGCCACTCAACGTGCCGCCGACGATCTGTTTGACCTGGCCGGCGTGCAGGTCGATACAAGGTCGGAAACGGGTCATGGCGCGGAATTTGAGGATGAGACACAAAATCTCAACGGCGAAGCTCTGCCAGATCTGATGTGATGTGTGTCGGAGCCTTGAGATTTGGACGAACAACAGATCCTGGGCCGAAAGTCAAAAAATTCCGCCACGTGACCTCAGGGAAGTCCTCACCCGTACCATTGCACATCTACATACTCATATATTTCAAACATGGCAGAATGGCTCCACACTCCATCTAGCGGCCAATATTCTGTCATGAAGCGGGTTAACAGTATACACCAGGAGCTGATTGCTGAGGCCATTCTCGTCGGTCCATCCAACGTATGCGATGGCACCTCCAGACCAGTCCCCTTGCGCTCTTTGATCACGTCTTCGCTCTCTAAAATCTGTTTGGCAGATAAATAAGTGACTTGCAAGTCAATGCTGGAGTATAAGCATGAGGCTGTGTAGGCCGTCGGTGTTAAGGTCAATGTGGCACTTATCAAGATATTGGTAACTGAGGTTTTTCAGTAAGTACAGGGACGCTTTCACGCGTGGAGTTGTCTAGATAAGAACAGCGGACTTGCTGGTGAATGCATAACCTGGACAGGTTCTCAACTCTATCACTTGGTTCTGCAAGTCGGTGTAAAAGACGGGCAGTAATGGACCGACATTGCTTTCCACCACGCTTGGGATGCCTCAATTGGCCGGGATGTGATAGGTAAAGCTTCCCAGTCCTTCCTAACCGGATGATCCCTTGACATGACGGGTGATGCTGCCGTTGGAGCTGTGCAGTGTGGATAGTCGGGTCCCGTTTCGGAGAACCAGCACCGGTTAGTGCAATGCTGTAGTTCTCCTGGCATCACATTGACTGACAGTGTACTTGATTGAACCGAGGTGCCTGAGCTAGTTCCGGTCGCGGATATGGATGAAGATGTGGAGGACGAGGAAGTCTCAACGATCCCGCGGTCCAAGAAACACAGCGCTGAGTACGTCCTTCGTAATGTGATCGATCGTCAATCACCTCGATGCATTGGCGTTTGCTGAGTCGTCGGCCGCCCGGCTTCCTAGCATGCTTCCTAGGACCGCCGTAATTATTGCTGGAACGACGGCGACTAAGATGGACAAAACAGACCTCTGCACAAGTCCAGAATCTTATGAGGCTGAGACCTAGTTTGATTTTGATGCCGAGACATAACTTACTATTGCAGACTGCGTTGCTGCTATTTCCATCTGGGGGAGCTGATACGGCGATTCCTGCGACTGACAATCTGGAAACCGGGCAGTCGAGGTGCGAAGGCCTTGGGTACCCAGCCTAGCAGCCATACAGCCTAGCGGACCGGGGAAACTCTTCGAATACACATACACGTGCGATGTTTCGTGGAGGACTTGTACTACTCCCAAAGTCACCCGGCTCGCAAACGGTACGAATCCTCGAGTCTATGAGGTTCGATGGAAACTTTTAGAGGAAAGGCATCAGGCTGACATCGATAGAGTCATGTGTCTTCATTACTGGCGTTTAACTTCCATGTGTAGCGTTTTCAGCTCCCATTCGGACTGGGGAGGATGCTCGATTCCATGGGAGAAATTTGCCCGCCAATTATTTGCCGGCACTCAGGCTTCATAGGCCCAATGCTGCGCCGTATACGGCAGAGCCAATAGCGCGGGGGGGAGGGGGAAGCTAAGGCGGCATCACCTTCGTTCAAATTGGGGGGGGGGGAGTGAATTTTGGATAGATATTTTTTTGTTGAATCGCAAGATGATTTCCGAGCAAGTAACGAGCGGGAATTGATCTTGGTATAGAAGCAACTGCTCCAGTGCTACCTGAATTTTCCTTATTTAGTGATTAGTTTTCATCATTTGCGCCGCGACAACTAATATTGGGAAAGTGAATGATGGCTACAACAGTCGCAGTTGCGAGGCGACCCCAGCAACACACCATCGAACAGCCTCCTACAACCACATCCAGTGCCGAACGAGATGTATTTCGTAAATATTTCGAATCTGCATTTGAACCCTTACCGGAATCTCAAACGGACATTCCTTATTTACAAGAGGACGAGGACGACGTCGCTGATCATTCAGAGGAAGAGTCGGAATGGGAAGGTCTTTCAGACGCAGAAAATGACAGTACTACGGTTGAGGTGGTAGAACATCGGACTATTTTGGATGAAACACAAGACCACGAATTGCAAAGACAGCGATACAAATCTTTCATGGTAAGTTGGGTCGATTAGAGAAAGGCTCACGAACACATCACTGAGTTGGAGGACAGAGTTCAAGGCCTCCCAAAGAAGTCGAGCCAGTAACGACGAAAAGCAAAGGCCAACCAGCCGACGGGGAGGATGCATCTGAGGCAATGAATCTGAAACATGATCTTGATCTTCAACGCCTCCTCAAAGAGTCGCACTTGCTGGAGCAGGCAAAAGTATCATCCACGCCGGGGTCACATCGACACAAAGCTGTTGACATGCGATTGCGGTCACTGGGCTCGAAAGGGTCCATGTTTCATCAAGTCAAGATGCCCTTGGCACATAGGAGGGGCATCCTTGCAAAATCGGCATCCCGGGAGACGATGCGAAGAAAGGAGGCCCAAGAGAATGGTATTATAGTAGAAAAGCCTGAGCAGAAAAGGTTTAGATCCGGAGAGCGCCGGAGAGAACGTGCTGTGGATATCCCTGCAGTAGGTAAATTCAGAGGAGGCACTCTGAAGCTCAGCAAGAAGGATGTCCTGGATATTCAAGGTCCAGTTCGTCCTGGAGGACGAGGGAAAAAGGGCCGATGATAGGGAACGGCGCACATCTCGAACGGCCTTCCAAAAGCGCAACTTTTGGGATCATCATCTTCTCCTCTTTGAACCCCTGCATGTTGGTCGAGAGGAACATGTTTCGCAGTTGCCAGGATATTTTGTGATGCTGACTTTTCCGTCTGTCTAGACCGTGAGGCTCTTGGACACGCTCAACATGCTTCTCCACGATTGGAACGTCGTAGAGAAAATATTTGTCACGAATGCGTTGACTTTCGAGGTCATCTGGAATGATGAACAATGGAATTTGAAACATGTCGCCTCGCCTCGGACTGGCTTTTCTGTTGTTTGGGGATAGGACATTCTTCTGTGTTGCACCATCGCTTCAGCCTCGGGCTTTCTCCCGACGGCATCGACGAGGATGACTATTCGAGCCAACCTGACTCAAGAACAATCAAGATATCAACTGTCTCACGATGACTCGGCATCGGACTCATCCGTTGTGGCTTGGCTCATAGGTGTCCAAGAACAGTAAGTGATGATAGATGTCGACCTTCTTTTGGTATCTCTGCGACGTGTCCCGGTCTTTCTCTCATTACCCCCGGAAGGAGTGGTCAATTGTCGGAGATTTGCAAGGGTTGCCCACGCTCGTTGCGATTACGCCACTGGGCCATTGGCGGTGGGCACAGGCCCATGTTTCATGCACTCAGATGGACGATCAAATCGACGGCCGATAGGTCTCTTGAGCATTTACAGGGCTTGCATATAGATTTTCGTATCCGGGAATGAACGACAGCACAGATCGTAAATTCCCCGTTGGGAGGCTTGAAGAATGCGCAAATGAATGGCCAAGCATTTCAAGAGCATATGCAATGATGATGTGCATTTGAGCCTCGGAGTGATTGATGAGAGTCGACGATCCAATCACTCTGTCCACGGAGAAAAAGGGACATGTCGAGGTGCAGCGGGTTCGAGTTGGCAGGGTTCTGAATTGACCACTGGGTGACCAATGTGGCTGCATGGGAAGAAAATTCCTGAAACCATAGCGCCATCTCGGTCACGCTGGTTACTCTGGAGCCGTGGCGCGTGCGTATCCCAGATTCTGCAGGCCAGCAGAGAGACCAGTACCCAAAAAGGAACGCCGTTGCTTGCCTGGTTGTTTGCACGGTACACCCCGCTCGGCCCTCTCAACCTCTTCTCGACTCGATTTTCTGAAACTATAGTTTCTCCGTCCAAGCGAGCGCGCCAGTTTGAGGACCCCAGTCGCAGCCCCAAGCTGGAGAGATCCAGGGGAGCCAAAGCGCGAAGGGAGCCAAACGGTGAGCGACCGTCAGCTTGGACGGAGGGTTGTGGGGAATGCCGTGACCGTAACTTCGACTGCCGAACTGCTGGGCTGAAGAGAAGTTGGTCCGTATTTTGTTGATGGAACGCAGGAGCAACCATTTTTCTTGTCACGTGTTCGCTCCGATTTGCCCAACTCAACACGCCAAATCACACTGCCAATGTGTTTGCGTTTTCTTGCGCCCCGGTCCATATTGATCTCATTTAGCCATACGAAGTAAAATTTACGAAAAGAGCCTCCTGAGTCCTCCGGATGACCAATCCCTCAGGCTCCCTTAGTTGACCTACGTCTCGTATCTCCGCAGTGCCATTGATCGAGGGCAATGTGAAAAGTTACGCTTGCATGAACCAATGTGTATGAACAATCACGCTTATGCAATGGCGGGTCTATTGGGTGTCAAGCCATCGGAGATGTCTTGGTGATTGGTCACCTGCAAGAAAAGGGGTACGCGTGAAATCCAACCCATGTCCCAGTGGAACACAGAATGCACTTTTCATGCGCGATGAACAGGTTGCAGTCGTAGACCAGAAGCAAATGCTCCCAGCGCCAAAAAAGGCATCAAGGTCACCATCATGTCGTCGACCACAGTGTTTGCTCATCTCAGCGTGCAGATATTTCGTGTGGCCCGAAACTGGCCTTAACTCTAACTAAAGAGGGCGTCTGTTTGAGACGTGTTTCTGAATCGACATGCCGCTAGCCGAGAAAACTGTTAGCGCCAGAGCGGACCGGCAACATTCTAATACAACCGCCAACGAGCAACTATTCGACCAAGCGATCCGCCATTCTCAGCCACTCGTTTCATCCAAGCCGCCACATCCCCAGCAAATTGTGCGAGGCTTTGTCCTCTTTGACCGAAAGTTCAGCGACACGCTGACCGTGGGGATGCCGATGCACGGTCCTCTCTCTGATGGATCAAAATAGCAACTTTCCTTCGGCAGGCTTGGGGGAGGTCATCATAGGCTTCGACTTGGTGCCTCTTTTTCTTTCCGGTCTTTCCACCTGCCAAAAGCAATGGATAAACTAGACGGCGCGGGCATAGGTGCCTGTCTCGGTTAGACCGTACACAGAAACTTGGCCAGGATGGCGTTTACTGTCACCACCTTGAATGCCACCCAGAGGTCGGTCTCCCACCAATTGTCCTTTCGAGAGCGATGCGCGATTGACCATATGGAGTTCAAACATGAGGATCAGAAGGTGTGCCAGGAACCGATGAGATCGCGGTTCACGGGTGATGAATCACGGATTTGGGGTATCCCGAAGAGATAGTCACCTGGCAGAACCGCATCTGCTATCACCACCGTCTTGGGGGAGTCCTGGCCCAAGAAAGAAGGGGACTCTGGAGAGTGGAGAATTTGAGTACTCGTACCTGTCCTAGCGCGAATTTCTCAGTTCGCAAAGTGGAACAGACGCAACCTAATTGGCGGCTAACTGCGAACAGCTGGCGGAAGATAGAGGCGAACAAACCGTGAGCGAGGGAATAAGGGATCGATGCCAGGCCCAGGGTTCCGAAGCGGCAAATCCGTTCTTTTCCTCCCCTTTTGCCAGGCATTCCCCTTGAACAACTGGACTGGAATCGCCCGAGTATAGAGGGAGGGCATTGAATAATTGGCCATGGACATTGCCCTGGCCCCGGCCAGAATCCTTTTTTTCTGCGTGGGACGCTGAATAGTGGACAGTGGACGCTGGATGCTCCCTGTTGTGTTCAATGCTCCTCTATCTGCTGCCAGCCTATCCGGCCCAGGATTTTCCTCCCCTAATGGCTCATCTGGCTAGCACGGAGTGTGCCAGTGGTTTAGCAAGCTCTTAACGAAATACCCCTAGAACCCAAGGCGAGTAAAAAAGGGCTAGGTTGAGGGGAGGGAAGGGGTTGTGCTGGCTCGAAGTCTTTTAGTATGAGATGAACCGCGAAAAAATCCGTGCCTCTCCTTCCACCTCCATTCCTCTTCTGTCGTGTCTCTCGCTTCTGCCCTCGTCGGCCCGGTCTCACCTTTCTTAACGATTTTCCTCCCTTGCTTCCTCTACCTTTTTTAACCTTTCTACCTCTACCTCCTCCACCTTTATCACTCCGCCCTCTGTTTCACCTCTTTGTTGCTGCAGCACACAGGTTCTTTCTTCCTTGTCAACTTTCACTTCCATCCTCGGCTTTGCCTCGAGAACATTGAGAGAGACTAGCTTCTTCTCTCCTTATCCACTTTCGTTTCACCTGCTCTCGCTTCCCTCACTCGAGACAGGAGCTTCACCACGTCTGGATGTTCTGCGAAGCTGGTCTCTCGCATTGACTCCATTTACATCATCGATACATTCGCTATACGGATCCTCATCATCGCCTGCTCCTCACTTTTTTCCTGGCCTAAATCGTCCTCCAATCCTCCTCTTCTGCGGCTGTTCTCCTTCCTGCAAATCAGACCACCTTCACTACGGATTAGTAACAAAGAGACTGCGCTGTACTTCGCTACATTATATGCAATAGTACGATAGGCAGGACGAGTCTGAAATCTGGGGACGTCCCAAAGAAAAAAGGCCGCCATACCCCTCCTCGACTGTGTCGACGATTCCCCTCCGTTTCAATGTATCCCTCAAGCGGTGCGCCAATGGCTCAACCACAAAAGCCCGAGACCTTTATGCTTTCGAATGAGGCGCAACAAAGCTTGCCCCAGGACGCGCAAGTCGCTCTGCAGCAAGTCGACAATCTGAAATACTTTCTCATTTCTGCGCCTGTGGATTGGAGTCCAGACTCTCTTATTAGGAGATTCCTCCTTCCCACGGGCGAATACGTTTCCTGCGTCCTTTGGAACAATCTCTTTCACATATCCGGTACAGATATCGTGCGATGTCTGTCTTTCCGGTTCCAAGCCTTTGGCCGACCTGTCAAGAATCCTAAGAAATTCGAAGAAGGCATTTTTTCGGACCTGCGAAACTTGAAATCCGGGACTGATGCTTCTCTGGAAGAGCCCAAAAGCCCCTTCTTGGATTTCTTGTATAAGAACAACTGCATTCGAACGCAAAAGAAGCAAAAGGTGTTTTATTGGTACAGCGTACCTCATGATCGCCTGTTTCTGGACGCTCTTGAGAGAGATCTCAAGCGCGAAAAGATGAACCAGGAAGCCACCACAAAGGCAGTTGCAGAGCCAGCGCTCTCGTTCGAGTTTGACTCGTCTCAGTCACTCTTTGAGCAGCTCACCAAGGCCCAACAAGCCAGCTCGTCCTCTTTCGCGACCGCCAATGCCAATGTCACTTATTCACAATCAACTTCCCCTGTCCTTCGAGCGGCAGACTCTATGCCCCCTCCGCAAATGGCGCCTCATATGCCACGATCTCAGGAACAGCCGCAATCCATATATACTAGCATGGCTATGCAGAACAATGTGTCCAACACCATCTCAACGACAGCGATGTCGCGTGAGCAGGACTTCTCCCACGTCGCCTACGACCGAAATGGTGTTGCCTATGATCGTGCTCATATTCGTCATGCCTCTATGCCAGCATATATGGAATACTCTCCGGCGCCGTCCTTCGTGTCTTCGCATTTTGAAGACTACAGTACAAGAGGTCTCTCGTACGAGCCTATCACTCCGCCTCAACATGCGGTTCCGGCCGGCGCAGAGCCAGCTTACATTGCCAACGAAGATACCGGCCTCTATTCTGCTATCCCTGAAATGCAGCCTATGCCGGCATATAACCCAATGGCTTCGCTACCACCGTCCACAATGGCAGGCCCGACTTATGCAACCGCACCACGTGCTTTTCCCGGTGCCAATGTCTATTCGGTGATCGAGGGCTCTCCCACTTACAAAGCACGGAGACGACGATCCTCGATCCCCTCATCCATCATGAATGCCGTGGCTGCAAATGCTGTTGCTCAAGTCACTCATGGCATGAAAGCTCATGTCCCCCAAAGGCCGAGTGACCTTCGACGATCAATGTCAAGTTCAGTCCTTCCCATCGCAGAGGGTGATGAGTCAGCCGGTCAATCTCCACCAGGGCTTGCTCATAGCTATGCATCTTCGGTCGTCAATCGAGATCACCTCAATGATTTCTCCCGACATACTACTCCATTGCCCAGCCTTGAGGAAGACCCGTCGAATTCAATGGGGCTTGTGACTGGCGCTGAAACTATGCCCGCTCTCACTGGAGAGGATCTGCCTCCTTCATCAATGCAGCCCAGCCCTGCAGTCCGGTTGGAAAGACCAGGCCCGGTCCGAAGAGCACGAAGTGCAACCATGATGGAGCTTGGTGTACCATATAAGTCACATTCATGTCCAATCCCCAGTTGTGGTCGACTTTTCAAGCGCCTTGAACATCTCAAGCGGTAGGGAAACCCCTTTTCAATTTGCTTGGCGCTTACTGACGCATTTCGACCTTTAGCCATGTTCGAACTCACACTCAGGAACGCCCTTACGTGTGTCCGTACTGCAACAAGGCCTTCTCACGATCTGACAACCTCGCTCAGTGAATATACCCCCCCCAAAACCATTAAACTTGACAATGATAGCTAATTGTCACGTCTAGGCACCGTCGTACTCATGAATCCCAACAAGATGGTCAACCAGCTCCAGTGACCAGTGAGGAGGAGTTGGAAAATGAAGAAAACGAGTTCGGTTCAATCGATGAACTCTCCTCCCCTGATGAAGCTACCCGTCCCACGAGTGGTTCCGGGATGATGGCCATATCTATGCCACCGCCATCGACACTCGTTATGCAACCAATGTCGCAACCAATGATGGCACCTAGTCAACTTGTTCAACCTTCCATGTTGCAGAATCTGTAGACAGGTTATGACACGAAGCTGATGATCTACAAAAGGGGAAGAAAAATACAGGAAGATGTTTGTGCTGTTATTTTTTCTGGGCTATTTGGAAGTGGGGATAACAGGGTGAGAGATGCCCTACGATGAATGAGAGCTTAGCCTTTTTTTTTTTGGGTTGGGTGTTGGGGAAAAGGCGACCAATGAGCTCTGTTGACGGATGTGTCATAAGCTGGCAAGCATCAAATACGGTTGACGAGGTGTTGGATATGGTGTACACGTGGGGCGAAGGGTCGTCCTTCGATGTTGTATGGTCCGTCATCCAATCTCCCCATGCTTTCTGGACTGTCTTCTTTTACTGTTTCCTTGAATGATTTGGAATGGAAGGGGCATTTTCTTGGATCTTTCACAAAAGATCGTGCCACTTTATATAGAATGTGGCACTCCTGGACAAACTGTACATATAGCTGATCGATCTATTGAGATTGAACTGGGGTCAAAGCATGAGATTTTGATCTGATTCTCACTCATTCTTCTCCCGTCTTGATTATTTTATTTTCAGTTTTCATATCATCAGCCCTTGCAGAATCTCCGTGGATTTCAATATGCTGGTGTTGTATTGGAGTTCTGAAGAGCCACGCAGACGTGATTCGTTTGGATCACGATAAAACAAAATATTTTTTCGTGAGTTTTTCATCATCCGATCGACAGAGAGAAGATGACAATGAAGGAGAACAATGCTCGGAGGCGTCGGACATGTGCATAGATTATAATTCTCAGCCTGGCCGCTGTGTGGACCCAAATCAGTATATTTATTCACTTGTAAGTTTTACTCTTCTTGGGTGCGATATTGGGGAACTTATTCATCGCGAAAGGTCTTACTTGTTCATTGCGTGATGATGCGTTTCTCGATTGAGCTTCAATACCACTCGGGGCTCTGGATCGAGTTCGAGATCGGACATGTTGAAGGCTCGGTGGGCTACGCATCTGGTGGTTTGTCAACTTGATCTGTCCATGCTTAACGAAAACGACTTTCAGTTACCCTGTCAGCTAGGGTCGAGCCATGGAAACACTGATGTGCTGCGATATCGACATTTTTCTCCTCGACATGAGGAAGCTCATACAACAAATCAAGAGGGAAAAAGGGATCAATTGGATACCAGGAGAACAGAAATCAAAGAGCAGACATACATCATATATTGGGCCTTGTTTGCGAACCCAGTGGACCCTTGATCATTCATCTCTGAGCACTCAAGCTTCGTCTTCCCGCCACAACTTCATGCTCGTCTCCTTCGTCCTCACTGTCGTCACGAAATCCTTCCTCCAATTCACGACTCAGCCGACGGTTAGAGTCGGACCCAGCATCCTCAACACCACTCACAGTCCTGCTTGCAGCATTCATATTCGAAACTTGTCGTTCCATGCCATCTCGCCGTCGGGTTCGGTCCTGAACGTCGAAGCCAACCATAGCTTCCCCAGATTCTTCATCAAAGAGCTCCCCATCGGCGCTGACGACACTATTACGGCGGATATAGCGATTGCGGAATGCCCACGTCGAGGGGAGGAAGAGGCGTAGGATTAGAGTCGAGAGGCGATCTCGTAATGATGAAGGCTGAAGAGATTCAGGGAGATGGGAAGACAGAGAGGTGGATTGTAGGGGAAGGTATTGTGAGTAGCGGGCCCGGTGTCGGCGATATAATGGTAATAGGGCGTGGAAAATCAAGAGATAGAGGATGGCGGATATGAACATCGGTAAGAGGATAGTCTGCATAGATTTCATTAGTCTTTCCCATCGCAATGGCTCATCTTATGTACCTTTGCGAAGGTCATGAACCCTGACCCAGCCATCTTGCCGTCCGAATCAGTTGCGGTTACGGACACAGGAGGCGTACCCTCGGTCGACACAATTGTGCCAGGTATGGACCTGCCGATCAAATCCATTATGCCGCCATAGTGGCGGCTTTGGCATGGAGGGGAGAATGAGGTAGTTATAAAGAGCGAAAGTGTTCAACTCAATCCCCGTTCGTGAAATTAGGCAAGCCAATTCTGGCAGTTCTGCAGGTTGTCGAGACCCGAACTGCGCGAGGCCGCGAAAGGCGTGGAGATATACGGGTTTAGCGGCCTCCTGATGGGGCTTTTGGCGTCGACTTGCTCCCTATGGTGGTGGCAGCTCACGTGGTAACGCATTGAGGGATCTCATTTTATTGTCCGAACTCTTTTTTTGGGGGGGGGGGGGCCCCTCGGGCTCGATGTCTGACATGTGTTGGAGAACGTAGCTGTAGCAGTGTCAAAGGTCAATGTTCGAAAGGAAGTCCTCCAGAAGGCCTGTTAGGGTGTCCAAGATCACTGACCATTGGGATACCAGAAGGGAGTGCTTGTAGGAGACTAAAGAATCGCGTGCAGAAAGGGAATCAGAAGTCCGGGTTAGTTTGAGATTAGGAGGAAGACAGGGAGGAATCCTCAATAATGCCGATGGGGTGACAGAGTATTAGCCCTCAGGCTCGGGGTGTTTGGCTAAATAGTTGGATGCTGGGCTGCTGAAGTTGAAGGCTAATGGCTAACTCAATGCTAATCAGCGGCCCCCCACCCCCAAAAAAGAACCTGACAGTGAACCCCTGGCAGAAAGAGCAGCCGCAAGGGTCAAGACACCACATCAAACTGCAGTAGCAAACCGACAAGCCTTCGTTCCATCACCACCGCGCTGTTGACTGGACTCGTTCATCACCACGTACACCACCACGGGCGAACAATTCATGTTTGATCATCTCTGTGTCCAACAGCCTTGTGTCATTCTCTATACGTCTTGTTCTCTAGCCTCCGCGTCGCCCACACCGCACGAGCCTTTCGCTGACCGACTGACCTCCACATTCATACCCCCTTCATTGTTCAGCTCACCTGAACTGTTTACCGCGTGCTGAACCGATCCTTATCGTACCTTTCATTGCCCACATCCATCTCTGCTGCCGAAACTTGGTGTATCAGAACTTGCAGGTACAATGCATGGATAGTCTCCATTCGGACAACAGACGTCACAAAATAGGATATTTGTAACGAGGGGATTGCAAGTCTCAAGAGGCGGGCACCCCTTCTGGGGCATTTCGATTGCACACACATGCGTCCTGTTGTTGCCTTTCCTGCGCGCCACCGAGGATGCCCCCCATAACCCAAACCGACAAGACGACCAGACAGTCGTCCGCAAGCAAAGGTTTCTTCCGACGCCACCGAGATACTAGAGCGGATAGCCGATACGAGGGAGCCGGCAGTGTTGACTCCAACAATACCAATGGATCCTGGAGCTCACGACATTCCAAGAGAGAATCCGGCGCCTCTAATGACGGCCAGGACGCTGACACTTCAGGACTTGCCATGACGGCCGGTGTCATTACTTCCATTCCTTACTCGGCGACTTCTGGCTCACAAGCGCCTATTTCTGTCGACTATTTACCTCGAGACGACCAAGTACCGGGAAGAAAAGAGCCGCAACCCCATCAACTCGCCCGAGGGACCGACTTCCACCAATATCCTGCTTTCAATGCCACAGCAAATGGCGCATCACACCCGACCGGCCCCCGACCGGCTCCTCATCAATCCTCGAGCTCGAATGGAATTACAATGGCATCAAGCCAGGCTGGGGATCGGGGAGCAAAATATCAACAGTGGGGACGACCTGGGAGCAGCAGTGGGCCTCAACATGGGACATATGATTCAGTCTCAACCACTGACTCTGGTGGACAACGGAGATCTTTTGATGGAGCCAGTATAAAATCAACCGCGTCCTCAGCAACGAGAGGCTCTAGTCTATTCTCCTCCGAAAGTTCTTCGAGGACAGCGATGCCATCTCGACAAGATTCCGATTCTTCTGTCACCGTTCTATCTCCCACCCATTCGAGGTTATCGAAACTCACTTCACATTCCGGCTGGCCGGCGCAACAAGCCTCATCCTTTAATTCGACCACGCCCTTCACTCCTGCTGGATTTTATCTTCCCAAACCACAGAGTGATGCCGAAATAGAAAAGTTATTTCTACAGCTCATGCACAAGCGTGGATGGCAAAATTTGCCGGAGCAGGCAAAACGACAAATGATGGCATATGCTCCGGCAAAGAAATGGACTCTTGTGCACCAAGACAAGCTCACAGAGTGGCAAGGAGAACAGAAAAGAAGACAGCAAGCCAGACAAACTGGAACTGTTGATGGACCGACTTCTCGAGATGTTGATGGTACACCAGAATGGTATGTCAAGAAAATTTTGGATAACAGCATCACTTCGAAGCAATTGCAGAGTCTCAGCGTCAGCTTGCGAACGCAACCGATTAGTTGGGTCAAGTCATTCATCGAGGCGCAGGGACAAATTGCATTGACCAGTGTCTTAATCAAGATAAATCGACGTCAGGCTAGTGGACCTACTCCGGTCAACAATAATTCTTCGCCTGAAAAAGACCTGGACAGAGAATACGATATCGTCAAATGTCTAAAGGCGCTCATGAACAACAAATATGGCGCAGATGATGCTCTGACCCATGAGCAGATACCTGTGGCTTTAGCTTTATGCCTCATATCTCCACGCCTTACCACGAGAAAGCTGGTTAGCGAGGTTTTGACCTTCCTGTGCCATTGGGACCAAGGTCAGGGACATTTGAAGGTTCTACAAGCCATGGATCATGTGAAGAATCTAATCAACGAAAATGGTCGGTTTGATGCTTGGATGCGAATTGTTGAAGTCACCATCGATGGCCGAGGCAAGATGGGCAGTCTCGTGGGAGCCAGCGAAGAGGTTCGAAAAGGTGGAATTGGTGTCGAAAACCTGTTGATGGAATATGCTGTTGCAACGTTGGTCCTTATCAACATGTTGGTCGACGCTCCTGAACGGGATTTGCAATTACGATGTCACATCAGAGCTCAATTCATTGCATGCGGTATCAAACGGATCCTGGTGAAGATGGAATCTTTCCAGTACGATGTTATAGATAAACAGGTGGCGAAATTCCGCGAAAACGAAGCGATCGACTATGAGGATCTGTTACAGCGGGAAGGGAGCAGTATCGTCGACAGTATCGAGGGCGAAGTTAAGGATATGACAGATCCAATGCAAATCACGGACGCCATTATGACCAGAGTTCAGGGAACGAGAACCCAGGACTACTTCATCTCAGCGATGCAACATATGTTACTGCTCCGGGAAAACAACTCGGAGGAGCGATTAAGAATGTTTCAACTTGTGGATTCAATGCTCAGTTATGTGGCCATGGACCGACGGTTGCCAGATATGGATCTCAAGCAGAGCTTGAATTTCACGGTTCAAAGCTTGCTAGACAGACTGCATACCGATGAGGAAGCACGGATCGCTTTCGATGAAGCCACAGAATCCAGGCAGATTGCGGAAGCTGCCCTTGCTGAACGAGATGAAATGGCGGCCCAAGTTGCAATGGGCGCAGATGGACTCGTCAGGAGATTGCAGAAGCAAATCGAAGAGCAGGCTGGTGTTATTGAAATGCAATCAAGGCAAGCCGAGTCCTTGAAGTCTGAAGTCGCAGAACTCCAACGAATTCGGGCTCAGGAACTGCAGAGGAACGAACTGGAGACCAGAGAGCTATACCTCATGCTCCGAGATGCTCAAGATGTTGCAGCTTCTCGCGCCGCCAAAGAAGGAACCATAGGCCAAGATCCCGCCCAAATGCAAGGTATTTTGGATAGGGAGAAATTAATGGAACGTCTCGAACGGAATCTTGAGCGGACGAAGACCCAATTCAAGCTTGAAGGCAAGGTATGGGGTCAAACAGGTCCTTCCGATCGACTCCGGGAACTTCGTGAAAAGATGGATGACGCTCTCGACGCCGACTTCCAAGAAAAGACTCGACGACATCTTACGAATAGTGTCATGGGAAGTGTTCATCGTAGCAATGCCCACAAAGGACCCAGAAGAGCCGTATTGGAGGCTTTGGCAATCAGCGAGGAAGCCGAACAAGAATCAGAAGCGGAAGAGGAGGTCATTTACGAGAAACCACGCTTGGTCGAGTATTCCAGACCGAAGATTAGCGCAGACCAACAAACAAGTCTCCTTGGAGAGCTCGCCTCGAAGGTCAAGAAGGTGGACGATGACAGCGATGAAAATGCAGCAGAGGGAGATGACGCTGGTGTTACCACAGGCCCTAGCCGTCCAAGTCTGGAATCTGAATCTCCTAGAACGCCTTTTGACGAAGCACCAGCGGAAGCTAAATTCAATGGGCCACCACCACCCCCTCCTCCGCCGCCTCCATCAGATCCATCAATTCCCGGCTTGATTCCCGGATTCGAAGCTGGTCCTCCGCCTCCACCTCCTCCACCTCCTGGAATGCCTCTTTCTCCTGCTACGCCGTCCATACCTGGTTTTGAAGGAGGTCCGCCGCCACCGCCGCCACCTCCACCTGGCTCACTACCCATGAGTCCAATGTCACCTGTTCCTCCACCTCCACCTGGTGCTCCGCCGCTTCCGGGGGTCCAATATGGCCACTTCCTGCCTCAATCACCAGTTACTCCTGTCCCTATGCTCAAGAATCCCATCATGCGCCCAAAGAAGAAGCTTAAGGCTTTCCATTGGGACAAGGTCGATACGCCACAGGTTACGGTTTGGGCTGAGAATGCCAATACCGAGTCTAGGGAAGAGAAATATCGCGAACTGCAGCGAAAGGGTGTCCTTGACGAAGTTGAGAAACTCTTTATTGCAAAGGATATTAAAATCATTGGCGGAAGCGGCAACAAGGGCAAGAGCGACAAGAAGCAGATTATCAGCAGCGATATGATGAGAAATTTCCATGTCTCTATGGCCAAATTCAAAAACGACTCGGCCGATGATGTTGTGCGGAAGATCATTCATTGTGACCGAGAGGTGCTTGACAATAATGTGGTCATGGATTTCTTGCAGAGAGAAGATCTTTGCACCATCCCCGAAAACATTGCTAAGCTCATGGCGCCTTACAGTAAGGATTGGACCGGACCTGACGCCGTTACTTCGAAACGCGAACAGGATCCTGCTGACTTGACAAGAGAAGATCAGATCTATCTACAGACAGCATATGAGTTACACCATTATTGGAAAGCAAGAATGCGAGCTCTTGCTCTAACAAGGACTTACGAAAGCGACTATGATGACATATCCGCCAAATTGAAGGAGGTTGTCAACGTCTCGGAAGCGATTCGCGACTCAACTTCGTTGATGAGCGTCCTGGCCCTTATTCTTGACATTGGTAATTATATGAACGACTCGAACAAACAAGCGTCTGGTTTCAAGCTCAGTTCACTCGCACGACTGGGAATGGTTAAAGACGACAAGAACGAGACTACCTTCGCCGATCTCATCGAGCGCATCGTTCGCAATCAGTATTCTCAGTGGGAAGTTTTCGTCGAGGATATAGCCGGCGTGGTGCATGCCTCCAAACTCAATGTGGACCAATTACGACAAGACGCGAAGAAGTACATTGACAACATCAGAAATGTTCAATCTTCGCTAGACGCCGGTAATTTGAGTGACCCTAAGAAGTTCCATCCTCAAGATCGCGTTGCCCAAGTTGTGCAAAGATCTATGAAAGAAGCGAGGCGAAAGGCTGAACAAATGCAGCTTTATTTGGAAGAGACGTCAAGGACTTATGATGATATCATGACATACTTTGGTGAAGACAACCAAGACGAGAATGCCAGACGTGATTTCTTCGGCAAGCTTGGTGGTTTCGTGACAGAATGGAAGAAGTCACGAGAAAAGAACATTGCTCTAGAAGAGAACAAGCGACGTCTCGAAGCAAGCATGGCTAGAAAGAGAGCTCAAGCCAGCGCCAATGCAAGTGGTGGTGCAAGCGGAGCTGAAACACCTGGTAGTCCACCAGCCAACGGCGCCATGGAGACTCTTCTGGAGAAACTCCGGGCTGCTGCACCACAGGTCAAAGATCAACGTGACCGAAGACGACGCGCTAGACTGAAAGAAAGACATGATCAAAGAATTGCCAGCGGTCAACAATTACCTGATCTGCCTATCAAGGATGGATTGGAGGAAAGCCGCGGACTTGCCAGCGTGGGAGAGAAGTCAGGCGAGGACAATCTTAGTACCGAAGATGGTACTAGTGGCAAGGGAGATGTTAGTGAGAGTGAAGATGTTGCCGATCGAGCGTTGAGAGCTCTCCAAGAGATGAGAAGCTCCGCCCCGTCGACCGGGGATGAAATTGATGTTAGAAGGCGAAGAGATGGTGCGGATGAAGAACGAAAGAATCGAAGGATGAGACGACGAACGGCACAACAAAGCAGCGGTGCCGGGAGAGAATCTGTGCAATCACCAACCGAGAGCAAGCCTGAGCACGATAAACCTTTCTCTAATGTGGACGGTGTCAACGAAGACTCCCCGACAGATGATAAGCGATCATCTGGAGGCACATTAAGTCCTGTCTCAGCACAACCTCCACCGGCTATCATTGTCAGTGCGACGCCGGATGATGAATCTCGGCGGGACGAAGAGATAAAGAATGAAGATGGTATTGAACGAGGAGTTGGAGCTGGGGCATGATGTTGATGCCCGAGCATGAGACCATGGACCTCCTTGTACCCATACTGACTTGTGAAACTTGATTGAGTTGGAATTGGACTGGAAGGGAACGGATTCTTCTCTCATTACCATTACCCACTATCGTTGCGTGTTTTGATGGTCTCTGTCTCCTCCCTTTTTTTTTTTTTTTTTTTTTTTTTGGTTTTTGGGTTACCAAAGATACCCCTAGGTCTTAATTGTGCGAAAGAAGAAGCATGTTGAATTCAATAGAATTGAATTGTGGAAAATTTTCATTGGGGTGGGGAAGGGCAAGGAAAGAAAGGGGGTTTGTATCACAGTGGAGCGTAACTACCTACCTGTATCTATATCTCCAGCATACAGCTCTGGATGTTTTAGGGACGTGATGCCACATGCTCCTTTCTACCAAGTATCCGTTGTCCCGTCTACTATTTGGTCGGACGTGTCAGGACGGCGTACAATAGGAAATCTGGACGTGGATGGGGAAATCACGGGATCTATATTTTCGAGTCTCTGGATCCAGATTCTTTTGGATCCCGAGAGCCTCGCTGAAATGCAGTAAGCCTGAGCTGAACTGTTCTCAGATTGTTCAACATATACGTAGGACCGTAGACTTAAAACATAATATCAAACGTGAACCAAACCAATCACACGTACCACAAGATGCACATTGGGGGCATATACACAAGAAGAGTGCTCTTTCCTTTCCCTTTATTTGTCACGCATATATTTCCCTTTTCTAGAAGAGTCCATTCAAACGGGTGAGGGGCCCTTGCCCTGCCCCTGATGCTGATCAAGTAGTAAGTGCGGCTTGATAAAGTCTTCGTCCAACTGGCGGAACCAGGCCGTATGGTCGGCAGTGGCGCCGCGGAGTAAGTTCCGGATACTACTGCTTGCACCGACGCCACTGAGGAGACCGGTCGTTGACTCTCCTGTGACTCTCACGCCTGCAGTGCCCATATCGCCATCCGCACCGGCAGGGTCCTGGTCGTTGTCCAGGCCGATCTCGGGCGCGGAATGGGATTTGGGGTCTTCTGGACCTGTTGGAGGCATGGCTAAAGGTGAAGGTTTGCGTCTGGGTGCGACGGGAGGAAGGTCCAAGTCGGCGGCGTCTTCATCGTCACTCGTAGAACCGCTGTTGCTGCCGTGACCTGACAAAAGCGTGCCTTGCTGAGCGGCAGCTTCGCGTTCGCGTTGGCTGATGGTGGAGTTCTTGCGGTGGTTCCCATTTTTGGCTTGGCTGAATGGTGGCGATCGACCATTGCTGCTACTATAGCCTCTGTCATTTCGGGGACGTGAGGCGGAGCCATTTACTCCTCCAGGCCGGCTGTTGCCAACGTAGTCGAGGCCGATAGATGACCGGGGATTGTGACCGAAGCCTGTACCCGAGCGCTTGTAATATGTGCCGCCATTGGCGGTTTCAATATCGAATTCGTCATCCGAGTCGATTTCTTCGACCACACCAGTACGAATTCCAAGGATTTCCAGCATGCGGGCCGTGGTACCACCGAAGATGATTACAGTCAGCACCACGACAACAAGAACAGTGGCACGGAGGGCAGGGCCTTCGTTTCCTTGAAGTCCCGCGGCGAGGGCAACACCAACAGCACCACGAAGCCCTGCCCAGAATAACATGGCTTGATAATGCCATGGAAGTTCCTCTGCCACGTCACGACCTTTTCGTTTGGCGCGAAGCCGAATAATGTAGTTGATTGCTCTTGAGAGTGGAAATACCGCTAACCATCGCGCCCCGCAAATACCGACCACTGTGACGAGAATAAAAAGAGGTTTGAAAACAAGATCTGTTTCCGTGAATAAGGCGAGTCCGAGATAGATGAAGATGAAATTTTCGGAAAGCTGGGCGGTGATTTGGAAAACAAATTTGGTAGTGAGTTGCGTGCGTCTCGACATGTTGTAATATGCGTAGTGTTTGAGGGTGATTCCACAGAACAAGAGTGACACGATACCTAGAAACTGTTAACATATTGCTCCTGTCAGACCTAGAGGAATCATCTTCCATACCTGACATATGCACGCCGTTGGAAAAGAAGTAGCTTGCATATGCGATCAAGACAATCAGACAACTCTCGATCTTTGGAAATCTTCGAACGAGAGTGTATTTCAGGGCAAGAGCCGTTCCGACACCCACGATTACACCAATCAATAAACTGGTAAAAAATACCAGCAAGAAAATGCCAATGGCTTCGAATAGGCTGATGATGTTCAAATTTCCAGCGGCTCCTTCTCGGTACCTCTGGGCAGTCTCGAATAAGACAATGGCAATGGCATCATTGAGGATGGATTCGCCGAAAATGACGGTATATAGTTTGGGTTCGACCTTGTAGATGTTGAAGATGGCGAGAATAGTAACGGGATCTGTTGCGGAGAGGGTTGCGCCCACGGAAATGGCCTCAACCCAAGTGATGGTTAAACCGTCGAAAGGGATTCTTGTCCACAGCCAAAGAATTAAACCCAACGAGACGGCGGAAATGAATGTTCCGGCGAACGCAAAGGTAAGAATGGTCCCGATATTGCGGAAAAAGTTTGCCTGCGTGTTTTAATTTTTTTTTTTTAGCGGTTATTCAAGTTTCCAACTCTTGCTGAGAGCCTAACCTGATGTAACTCGTAGCCAGAGGCTAGAATGATGGGTGGGAGAAGGAGGTTGAAGAAGAACTGATAGTCGAAGCTGACGGTGTCTTGTATGGCAGTTCCAGGCGTAATTCGTATAATCAATCCGACCACCATTCCTGGAATCCTCATCAGTTGAGTGCGGTCGCGGAACTGGAGAGGAGAGGATGCGCACCGGCGAATATAGAGATGACTGTTTCATGGACGGCCTGGATCCTTTTCTGTTGCAGAATATAACTCGTGAAAAGGGCGGCAATGAGCAGCATGATCAGGATGAAGAGCGCCCATGAGGAAAAGATTTCTTTCTGACCGGCTTCTGAGGGTTCTATTCGGAAAGGATTTAGCCATAGAAAGAGTGTACAAGGAAAGGCGGTGCTCCTATACCATCTGGATCGACGTCTTCCACCTGTCGGCCTGATTCTAAGTCAGTATTGCGTGTTCCCAACATGAGGAGTGCATCATACGGAGGAGATTTATTGTCGCGCCAGCCAGACTCGACGCCATGTTGGACGCCATGTTGGCGCAGATTGAAGGGGTCTATCATGCGAAACTGGGCGACAAAAGGAGCATGGTAGGTGCAACGTGCGTTGAATAGGGACGCAAGAAGCAGCGTGATTGTGGTAGAGTCATGTGAAACACAAGAGAGACTGCGTCGATGGGTGGTGGATAGATGAGGTGGTGTTGAGAGGCAGGCTGCGGTAGTGGTGGGCTTTTTTAACGAGGCTCGACCTTTTCTCCACAATAACAGACCCTTTGGTTGCCCTTTCTTCTTGAGGAAACAGAAACGTCGAACTTCGAGAAGAGAATTGACAAAGGACTTTACCCTTGATACACTTCACAGCCCTGGCGGGCCCGAAGAAATCTACAAAACTAACCAGTCTCACAGGTTCTTTCTTGTTCGAATAATAAAAAGGCATCGAAATCGCCCGATTTAAGCATTCTGTGAGCTTGACCTGTTTCACAAGCTGCCCAATGCCAGATGCGGATCCATTTGATAATTGACGCCCTTCCATCCCAATGATCATTCTCCGCCGTCAAGTGCACCTCGTAATTGTACATTAGTACCTATGTCTCATTCCGTTCCACTCGCGGCTCCGCTCGTCGTTCCATTCGTAGCAAACCCATTGCTACCTGCTCCCAATGTTAACCTCAGTTTAGTTCCCCCCGCAGGTGCCACCGACCCCCGAGGTGTCCCAGCACTGGATGCCGCCGCGGTCGACTCCCCATCGAGAGGAATTTTCTCCCCTATATGCCCAAGGTTCGGGTTTTCGCCAATTTGTTTTGCAATAGCTTCGTTGCAGTAATTCTGTCTGAATGTTAGCACTGACTTGATACAGTTGTCAAAGTTCCTAGGTCTCACCTCGATGGCAATCGCATCATTGTACAACATGCTGCCGTCTTCGTTGTAAGTCTTAGCATTTTTGGCCAGTAGGGCAATATCATTGCTCAGATCTTTGAGACTCGAATATTGGTGACTATTGATGCGTTTCTCAATCATGTCCATGGCGATAGGATCCTGGATGAAATTGTAGTAGTCGGGATACATCTTCTTGGGAGGAAGTTCCAAGAACGGTCCAATGATCAATCGAGTGGGTGGCTCGTCGTCGCTGTCATCCTCCGATTGTTCTTCCGGATCCGAGTCTGGTACTTCCAACGCCTTGATCGACTCAAAAACGGTCTTGAGGGCCTTCTGCAACGCCGTACGATCTGCACTGCTTAGCGGGTCTGTAGCCTTGTGGCTTTGTTTGCCCCGCTTTCGCTTTGATGCCGGCGTCTCTTCTTCAAGATCCTCGCCTTTGCGTTTCTGACCCGCGGACTTTCGAGGACCTTTCTTCTTGGGCTGAGGCTCCTCTTCGGAACTATCACGTTCAGGCTCAGGAGACGAAACAATCCCCGCCGCCTCTCGTTCACGTTTGGCCTTGTTCGACCGTCGCTTCTCGATGCGTGCCGCCTTCCTCTTTGCAGCTTCGCCAATCGAGTCATCTGAATCGTCCACGGCCGCAAGCCACTGCTCTTCCGTGAGACCGTCATCGTACTTCACCTGAGTCTTGACACGAGCGCCTCGTCCTGTGTACTCCTCCTCCACTTCTTGCACAGGGTTATCTTCGGCCATGTATATCTCAGGAAGCTCACTTTCGCCCATCAATCGTGGAAGTGGTCGACCAGGCCCGTAGTCATCAGTTTCGTTACGCTCCTTGTCCATCTGTTTGAAGATGGCCAATTCTTCTTCGGTTCGAGCCATGATGTCGTTGAGATCGTCATCATCCATTTCTTCTTGGTCTCCCACCTGTTCAGCCGCTTCCGCCGACTCCAGGAGAGTTTTCAGGAATGCGTCACGTTCCTCATTGGTGGATTTGTTGTCGAACTTGCCGGCCTGGATAACCTTGCCATCAATGTCAAGCTTGAATTGAGCCGCCTCCAAGATTTTCTCTTCGACCGAGTTAGAGCTGATGAGTCGCAAAATTCGAACCTCATTCTTCTGGCCAATTCTGTGGGCACGATCCTGTGCCTGCAAATCTTGGTGAGGATTCCAGTCCGAATCATAGATGATGACGGTGTCTGCAGTCTGTAAGTTCAAACCAAGGCCACCCGCACGGGTGGACAGCAAGAAACAGAAGTAGGGTGATCCAGGCTCATTGAAAATACGGAGCAGTTCGGACCGATCCTCCGCTTTGGTGGCGCCATCAAGGCGAAGATACTGGAGCCCTCGCAATCGCAAGAAGTCTTCCATGATGTTCATGATTTGAGTCATTTGGAAGAACATCAACACACGATGACCAGTGGCACGAAACTTGGGTAGAATTCTGTCAAGCAACTCAAACTTGCCGGCCGTTCGCCAGATGGAATCATTGGTCCCTCTGCCGGGGTTCATCTGATCTTCCACCGGCTCAAACACATAGGGATGGTTGCACAGTTTTCTCAGCTGCATCAACATGTTGCTGAGGCCACGCATGCTAGTTTTGCCGCCCTTGCCGTCGGCCACTACCAGCTTGTTATGCGTCATCAGTTGCATATATAGCTTAGTCTGAAGGGCAGAGAAACGACATTTGATCACGCGCTCCTGCTTGTCGGGAAGGTCTTTCTCGACATCCTTCTTCAAACGACGAAGCAGGAAAGGCCGCAGCACCTTGTGAAGACGACGAATGACCAACAATTGCTCTTCTTCGGTCAACTCCATCTTGTCTTGTCCACCCGTATTGGCGAAAGGAGTGTTGAACCATTCATCGAACGACTTCACCGACTTGAAGATTGTGGGTAGAACGAAATTGAGAAGCGCCCATAATTCAGGAAGGTTGTTCTGTAACGGGGTCCCGGTCAAAATAAGTCGATAACGCGTAGTGTAGTATTGGGTAATGGTGCTACTCAATTTGGACTGAGAGTTCTTCATACGATGGCCTTCGTCGACGATCATGTGAACCCACTTAATTTTGCTCAAGATCGGTCGGTCTTTGATGATATATTCGTAGGTCGTCAGCAAAACTTGGAAGTTGCCTTGTCGAATTCGCATCTGTTGCTGTTTCCTGCTGTTCGGGGGTCCTTTGTACACGATGCGACTGACTGAAGGTGCCCACTTCTCAAATTCAAGATTCCAGTTGGTGAGGGTACTGAGAGGCACGATGACCAAGAAAGGACCGGTTTGGCGCTTTTTCTCGATGAGGTAGGTGATCAAGCTGATGGTCTGGATAGTTTTGCCCAAGCCCATTTCGTCGGCAAGAATACCGTTGAGGTTGTTGTTGAAGAGGGATATCATCCACTGCAAACCCTTGAGTTGATATTCCTTCAAGGTGCCTCCAACCAGGATCGAGGGTTGTATGTTGACTTCTTCTTTGATCCGATGAGCGACAGCATAATAATCAACCTTGCCATGACCCTCTTCATCTTCTTCCTCATCTTCCTCATCTTCTTCCTCATCGATATATTTGTCTTCCCCCCATTTCTCCGCCGCACTTCGTTGTTGTTGTCTCACGGAAGCGGCAAGTTGTTTCAAGAAACCATCAGTTTGTTTGAGGAGATGGGTGATACGAGAATCTTTGGCCTGGCCAAGTAACTTGAGGTATGTCTCTTCATCGTTGGCCTTCAATGCTTGCAATCGCTGCTTCGCTGTTCGCTCAATCCGCTTCTGTTCTTCACGTTCCATATGCTGGTGATGCGTGACCATCATTCGTCCCAGCTTCTGAACACGATTGCGTTGACCAATGGCATTGTTACGAATGTCCTGACCATGAGCAACAATGGCCTGCAAGTGATTGGATTGTTGGGTCTTTTCCTTGTTTTCTCTTGCGTCGCGCTGTTGCTTCTCCAATTTCTCTGTGATACGAGCCTCACGCAGAGATTGCTTCTTCATTCGACGATGCATTGATCGGTTCGCCGTCATGGCCAAGTTATCATAATAGTACAAGTCCTGTTGAATTTCTCGTCGGAACTCTCGCTGTTTCTGCAACAAAGACAACTTCTTGTATTCAATCAAGGCTTTGATCTTCAGGGTGTCGTCGGCCGATGGGTCCGTTGATTTACTCGGGTCCCAAGAAGCAATGTTCACAGGAAGTGCCGCTAACTCAGCTTTGCGAGCCTGGACTCGATTGTAGAGAAGTCGTTCTTGTTCTTCGCGAACTTGGTCAATATCAATGCCCATAGGTAAGAGACTGGGGATCTTTTGGCGTCTTGTGCGATGGGAATGATCTGAGAAGCTTATCGCTTTTGCGAGAAGATCGTATGGGGACTGGTAAGAATTGAAAAATGATTTTGGTCGCACAGTCCCACTCGCACCAGTCTCTTTTGGCTCTGCACCTCCCTCTGCAACTTTGTCCGAAGTTCCACTGACGTCTACTCCGGTCGCTGCCTGCTGCTTAAGCGTAGGGAAAAGTTGTTGCTGTAGTTTTGCTGGTAACGAGAGATTCTTCGATAGCATCTTAAACGCGTATATTTGCGTCCTCAACATATTCAACTGTTCTGGGGTGAAGCTCCCATTCGCTTGCGCTACGGCGCGTTGGGGTTGTGACCCCGAGGGTTGCGCGCTGTTCGTTGTTGATGACGGGTTAGGTCCAGAAGGTGTTCCATTTACCGCCGCGGCCGCAGAATCCGATTGACTGTTGCTTGTTCCGTTTGTCGAAGGGCCGCTGGCATTCCCGTTCACCTGCTGTCCGTGTTGTTGAGATTGTTGTTGTTGGGCTTGAAGTTGTTGCTGATGTTTTTGTGCCTGCAATGCGGCCATCTTGCGGTAGTTCTGTTGTTGTTGGACAGCGGCGAGGAATCGATGCGCTTTCAGGTATTCGGGATCGGTTTCGGGAACATTTTGGGCTTTCATGCGCTGGAATTTCTGTCATGTTGTTAGCAGATCGACGAGGGGAAAAAGGGAAAAAAAAAAAAAAAGGGTGGAAGTTGAGAACATGAATTCAGGATGGCTACATACCTGGTAGACTTCTTGGACCTGTTGTTGGGATATGTTTTGGGTGAAAGGAGGGATATTGGCCTGCATGGAGGGCGCAGACTGAACTGAGGCCATGGCGGCTTATCAGTTGTGGTTTGAATATTCTAGCTCCAGGCAGTCCGCGGTCAGGATAATCAGTGAAGGATGAGTCTGAGCATCGAAACGATAACGATACACTACCCGTGGGCCTTCGATTGGCAGGGATCGGGGTAGCCTCGTGAAGATGGATGAACTTGGCGCAGTGTCGTAGTTCACCAAGTTCGTGGCGAGTCGGGCTGAGGTCGAGCGGTTGAGGTGAGGATGCCTAAAAGAGGGGACGAAGAGTTGGCTGCCGTCCTTGGGCGCACTCCTCAGGTGGTATAGTGACCGAACAATGCTCAGTTGAGATGAAAAGAGATGGTTGCGACGCGTTGATGATGGTTTTCGATTGGAGGCACCAGAGGGGGGCTTCACGTTCCGACGCAGCAGCGAGGGAAGTGACACGCAAAGTCGCCCTCAGAGATAGAGTGGCCACGGTCGAAGTTTTCAGTCACGTGCTATACCGGCCAGCCCCGGCTTGGCACTCATTTTCTGGTCTTGCCTATCCAGGTGTCCTAACAACTCAATGCTCGAAGCATGATTTATTCTCTGCATATCGTAATGTCTCGATGTCTGTCATAATGCACCGCCCACTACAGGCCATTTCCGGCTCGGGTTCTAGTTCTGGTACGCAAGACCCTCAATTCACCTGCTTTCCAGCCAACGCCATACTTGCCAAATCAATCTAAGCCTGTTCATAAGGACTGATATAGCAAAACTGCGGCATGTCCAGCATGGCTCTAAGTAAAAACTGTCCTCTTCGCCGGTACAGGGGGTGGTGGTGGCTTCTTTGCTCGCGAAGGAGGGGGTGGAGGAGGTGCACCACTCTTCTTTCCAGTGAGGGGAGTGAGAGATCCGCTCCCATGCGAAGTCGTAGGAGAAGCAGACTGTTCCCCATAGCCATGATCAGGGCTACTGTTCGTGTAAGAGCCTGAGTCATCCGCGAAAACGTCTTGTTCCTCCACATTCCTCAGCTGCGACCGCGCTGTGCGGATCATCAGAGAATCACTTGGAACACGAGAAATTCGAGGATTTCCGGGAGACAGGTCTCTGGCTGGATTGTGGTTGCTGTCGAATGTCGTTGATCTGGGGAAATTTGGCCGAGTTGAAATACCAGGCGAATGGTCAGATGTGGGCTGTTCCGCAAATCGACCAGTCTGTATCCGATTGGATTTGATAGCTGGACGCACTTCGGCCACAGGAGTTGACTCTTCTGTGGGTTCCACGTATTGCGTGTAGGACCGGACGGTGTTCGACCGTGACCGAGTATTGGGACGGCCTCCTCGGTGTTGTGGTTGTGGGCTGCGCAATCGTGTCAGAAGGCGCACATTCGAAAGATTGGAGTCTCCTTACCTTGCGGGCCATTCGCTTTTCAACTGTAATAGTGCCTCTCTGCACTTGTCATGGTATGCCAGCTCGGCATCCAGAAACGCTCCGAGTTCAGCAACACTCTCCGGATCTGCATCACGGATTTCCTCCATCCGGCGTTGGACATCATCGGCTGACTCTTCATATTTGGCCTTTTGTGTCCGCAACTCCTCCTCGACACGGAAGTCTTCCTTTTTAGCTTTCTGCATCTTCGCCAGCGAAGTATCATATGCAAGCCGTCTGGTCTCCAGCCTCTTGCGCGCAGCTTGATATTCCTTCAATTGAACCAATGACCTCTCCAGGGACTCCAGCCAACAAGAAGTGGCGCTAGCAATATATGCTTCCTGGACGCGGGCCAGTCTCTCTTGTGTTCGGCCAAACACTTTCATACATCAGTTTATTGTGAATGTCGAAGGAAGGATAACATACTGTTTAGACATTGCCCGTATTCTGAGTCTGGTTCAAAGTCTTCGCCATGGGATATCATGGTCCCTCCCATATATGCAATTGGCAGTGTCTTCTCCTTGCCCTCTACCTCAGATCGCTTAGAGACGGCTTTGATGTACGCATTCATAGATCTCTGCATTTTCTCCAGCCCTAGAGCCAATCTGTCAGGATTTGTTCCTAGAGCATTTGGATACGTTTTAGGAATATACACACCCTCCTGTCGCAAGCCCATTTCCACCTCCAATGCCTTGAAGTCATCTGAGACATTGGTCTTTACTTCCCCGCCCATGCGCTCTCCTGCCCACTGTTTAAAACGATCGAGCTTCTTGTTGACATTCATGATGGAAAGAATGAGGCGGATGAGGCCTTGGAACCAATATATTGATAGATAAACGAGGGATACAACCCCAGATGCGGAAGATAAATGAAGAGGATGGAATGGTTTGTCTGTGAGAAACGGAGGGTTCGGATGGGTCAGACGGCGGTATTATGGCTGGAATGCTGAGCGGGTTGCGAGCGATAAAAAGAAAGTCAGGCGAGAAGTGGGCAGTGAGCAGTGAACAATGAGCAGCGGTAGTATGTATAGTGTCGTCGAACAACAAGGAGATCACAAATACCCAACAAAAACAAACCCAACCACATCCCAGGGTTCAAGTAGCTTTTGATAAAATGCTGGCAGTGGCGATCGTAACGCGCAACCCCAGTCACTGTCAATCAATCGGTCTGCAAAGCGCACCAAACAGCCAGTGGCTCCCGCACTCTGCCCCTAACCTCAAACTCTCCTGTTCTTCTGAAACATAACGCCACCAAAAGCCCACGAGCCGCTGGGTCTGATGTTGCATTTGGCAAACATTTCGCAAGCATTTGGCACTCTCCGTGCGAGTGGACCGGCTGTTGTTAAGTCTGGAAATCTTAACACGAATTCAGAGTGCCACATGCCCGCGGTCCAGGGTACCGGACTTACTGGGAGTGGCCCACGAGCCAAGGCCGTCTGTTGAGGAAATTACCCAAAGTCGATCTATGTACCAGTTGACACTGCGGCAGTTAAAAAGGGATGGCGGGCTGTCTCTACTCCGGGGAACAAAAATTAGTCGGCAGGATACTCGCACGGGGAAAGGTCTGTTCAAAGTCTTTTGGAATTTGATTTTGATTCATTGCACGTACTTGCAACGAAGATCCGACAGCCTCTTGTCGAAAATGTCACACCTGGCTAATGGCTGAGGCCCCGTAACACATTCCACGCCGTTTTTGAAACCCCCATCAACCCCTCACACCTAGTCCTTCGTCTTCTGTGTACCACGGAGCAGACCAGTTCTTCTGGCAGCAATGAGACCAGCCTTTTGACCCTGAGCAGCGTATCTGGAGATAGTTGAAGCCTTGCCGATGTGTTGATGGTTACCACCACCATGAGGATGGTCCACAGGGTTCATGGCAACACCACGGGTCTTTGGCCAGGAGTTGCGTTTGACGGCGAACTTGTGCTTTGCACGCGACGCCTCTGTATAAATAGTTAGTCCATTCCTTGACCTAAATAATCATCTTCCACGTACTGAGCAGGGGCTTATCGGTTCGTCCACCACCTGCAACAATTCCAATCATGCCTCTCGCTGAACTAAGAACGACCTTCTTTGCACCACTGGGGAGTTTCACTCGAGTTTTGCCTTCATCGGGGTTGTGTCCAATGACAGTGACATAGTTGCCAGACGTTCGTCCCAGAGCGCCTCGGTCACCAGTCTTCTCTTCAACATTCGACACGACTGTTCCCTCGGGGACTGCACCCAGAGGGAGGATGTTGCCCACATTCAAGCTTGCATTCTTTCCGGCGTAGATGAATTGTCCTGTGAAGACTCCTTCGTTTGCGATCATTGTTTCGACCCGGGTCTTGAATTTGTACGGATCTTTGAACGCGATTTGTGCGAGCGGCGCACCACGTCCGGGATCATGGATGATATCCTTGATGATTCCTCTGATATAACCATGTCTTTCGGAGAAATCGAGGGTTCTGAACTTCGCCGGCGCCTTGTTCAATCGAGTGTGTGCCGCTGGAGAAGGAGATGTCAGATCGATTCAATGAAGTTTCAGACGAAACTCGGTCGCTCTAACTTACTAAACACACTTCCGCGGCCTTTCCGCTGGTTTCTGATAACACGGCCCATCTTGCGGAAGAGTCGTCGATGTTATTGCAGATTTGAAGGTCTGAGACTGAGGGACAAATTTCTGTGCGGCAAGGAGACGAAAGAAGCTAGCGTTCACTTGTCTTGGCATCTGCATGCCTTGCTCCGATTAGTGCGGAGTACAACTACAGAGGAGCAGTACCGGTTTATGTAACGGGAAGGTACCCCACTTTGCTCCCAACTCCTCCCCATCTCGGACTTTGCTCAATGAAACGCTCCCCGTAGCTATTCATCGCGAGCAAAATGGAAGAATCCAGACATTCACTGAGCACATAATGTCACGAAATGTCATAGTTTGTCATTCCCAGTGCCCCGTTCCGCATCTATTCATCGGATCATGCCGCAGCTACTTACGCCCTCTCCCCTCATTTCTTTATTTCCCATCCTCAATCTTTATACATCACATTCCCTAAGCGTTCCCACAATATCCGGTCCGCATAGGAACTCACCGTTTCCTCCACTGCCAGCTGGTCAAGTGTCTCCTCCCCTTCTAGGGAACAGCCATCTCAGCCATCCCGAACTTCTTCAGAGGGACAGCTGAAACTCCTTCAGGTGCTCAACATCCACAAGCTCCTCCTTGACAGCCTCCACGAGCTCCTTCAGGTCCACAGATTCTGCATGTTCCTTCATTCTCGCCGTCAATACTCACCGAATTCTCATGATCAAGGCCCATCCAGACAATCTCTACGCTCAGGCATTCCTCCTCCACAAAATCTCCAATACCGTCAAGCCGACCCGTTGATCCGCCATAGCCGAAAAAAAGAGGCTACATCCGTTGTACAAAATATACGCCCACTAATGACTTGAAAACCTTGATATACATCCCGCTCGAAGCAGGAGATGAAGGCTGCATGATAGATAAACAAGGAACCATTTCCCCCTCCCCAAATAAGGCGGTGTGGTTGAAATTTCTCGAAGAATACCACAGGCTTCTGTCCCATTCTTGCCAGTCTACTTCAATATCGGTCAAGCTATCTATATGCGCACCAAAACTGAGTACAACTCTCCTAGATCTATGGGCATCCAAATTTCTCCATCCAGCTTACCTCTATCTGCGAATAGTCTCTGCCTTGCTTCTTGTGCTGAAACGAAATCACACGAAATTATCGACCCGCCCCCGAAATATCAACAACCGCTTGAAGACAATACCTATCGACAGCAGCTGACCAGAAGAATCGCCGATTTTGCTCATCGAACCGGCGGTCTGCAAGTACTCAATCAGACTGATTTTACTCTCCAGCAGCTTTCCGCTTCCATGTCCGAAGTAAATGAAAACGTCAAAGGACAACAAGGTGTTTATTTGCCGGAAATTCGAGGATTTAAGAATAGTAACCAGCGGAGATCTGAAATCCGCGCCAGCGAGATGAATGATTTCTGGGCCCAGGAACTTAATTACGGGGAAGACATCAGAAACAAAAGCCACACTTTATTGCTGCCATGAGAGAGAAGCCAAATTCGATTCACTATACCCACTCATCGTGGTTTGCTAGATGATGACGAGCGACCATTGACGGAAACCATGACCATCCTTCAACTGGGGGGTCTAGATATCCTCGTTATTTTCTGACACGTCCATTACTATTCTCCCACAGCAACAAGAACCTAACCGGACTCTAAATATCGACCTTAGGAATCCTAAATATTTGACAGGTACATTGCTACCTGTTGGACAAGACTCGCACGAGAGGCATTCTCCACATCAGGTTGGCTGGTCGCGACCCAACGCGTCAGCTTCAGTCGTGCAGAAGGGTGGAATATCAAAACTCCTATCCATGGGGCAGCTCATGTCACCAGGACTACCGTCCAGGCTCGCGTCGATGCTACTGGAGATACAGCTGTTTACTGTCGACCTGGACTTCGTCTGCAATCAGACGGCAGGATCACAATCGCTGCAGCCAAATCGGGCGTTGAACAGTCTCGTTACTACGATGCAGTCTGCTGGCCTGACAAAACAACAAAGCTCAGACTCAAGGGAGGAGACATCATCTTTCCAATCGTTGAAATCATGCTTTTGATAGCCAACGACATCCAAAAGAATGGGCAAGGATACCGAACATTGAGCCGCGGACGATTGGAGTTCCGCGGCAGATGTTGCAATCTAGGTAAGAACATCAAAATTTTCAACAGTGGCCTGTGTGCCACAGAGACCAAAACCTGCACACTTGCCAGGCTGCTTCTTCGTGAGAATTCCCTGCTCCTGGATGCCAGGGCTAGGAAACACATGTCGCTATGATCCTGACCCAATATGACGGTTATCGCGACCCCCGGCCTTTACTTGAAAGTCCATGAGAGGAGATTGACGATTCTCAGTTCACAGAATTATTCTTTGGACCTCCATCTCTGATTTGTTCGCAGCGCCAGATGTAGCTCATTACCTGGGAAGAATTGATACCCCCCGCCCCCAAAAATCCAATGCACAGTCCCAGTAGCACCAGGAAAACGCAAGAAAAGGTGGTCATAGCTGGATAGTTGACATGGCAAACGACTATGCAAATCACAGAATCAGACCAACCAATAGATTATAACGGGTACTGCGGTCAGTCATTCCCATCAACATGATACCTATCAGCTGTCTCTTCGAATGCTCTCCAAGCAGCGTTCCGAAATTTCAGCTCCTTGAATCGTCCTCTAACCTGTAGCGCGGGTGGTAGTTAAGAAGGGTTGAGGTCGACTAGTGGCATCGAGCACGCCTGTAGACATTCGTTTTCGGTTTAGCGGCCTAGGGTCTTGGCAGGACGAACCTAACCTCAGTCCTCAAGCCATCCTCTGCTTCATTTCCTATCTGCGCTCTATCCCCTCGATCCTATCGGATTGTTCCTGTTTGCAGGGCATTTGGGACGTCAGTGGGGCTCGATGAAACATATCTGGCCTTGCAATGCTGACTTTCCCCCCAGCCCTTGATGAAACCAGGATCAAGCACACATTATCAAGTGGCACCCGCTATCTCATTTCATTTCTGTTCCATTTGCAGTTTATAACAGCCCGGAATACTCTATGGAATGCATCGTAAGTGACTCGAGCTACCAGAGTTGACGAAATGCCCGGACAGAATTGGAGTCTCGCAAAAATCCTTGCAACGGCTTGGCCAATGGGGCATTCGATCAAGCATCAAATTGGTATTGATAGTGCCGGCATCATACAAATTCGACGCTACTTTGGCAGTCTGTTTACAGATTCGTTGAAATATAAGGAGGTTGCCCTGAAACCGATAGAGCCGAAACTCTTGACAGCCGCAGGTCCAAAAGTTGCCGATCTCTGGCAACAACTATGCTACTCGCCAGCATGCGCACTGAATCTCTCTGCTCATGGAAAGCGACTTTTATTGGAACAGAGGCTCTGATTCGCAGTCTTTTTCGACACCTGCTAGCAGGCATCTCTCCCTCTCTCTTTTCCCCCCCGGAGGCTGCTCAACAAGTCCAGTATCCGAGCCAACAAATTTTGAAGTCAGCGAGGTCACAAATTACCAGACGACAAGACCCAGACACGGTCGCGATTCAGTGTCTACCGACGGATGACATACGCTGAAATTTCAGTTCTCAATAAGCCAGCGTTGAGAAATGGTGCGGAGAAGCCCGCGGCCTAGGGAAGTGCAAACCTTTCGACCCGAATTCAAGGTATGATGTTGCACGACATTGTCACAGGCGCCCATCTTCAAAAGCGACCGGACTAATGGCCCTCTGCAAAGGTCCATGATGGAGGATTGTGGCACCGACAGACAAGCGGCCACGTTGACAACATGAAGGGGCAGATGTTCATGCTTGGCACGCCTCAACAGCTTGGGCTGCGCGCAGTCGTGGTTTCAACAATTTTCCCACGGGCAGCGACCCCGTTTTGGTGTTAACACGTCAAAGAAATGATGGACCGTTCAATTGTGTGCTCGGTTTTTATATTGTCAGGAGAGGCTGCTGCAAATACAGTGGAGGACCAGAAATGGCAGCCCCTGGAGCTGGAAATTTAGATGGCATCATTGGTCGAGCTTTCAACGCGTAGCTTCGAGAGCGCCAATGTGACTTTAGCTCTTTGACCACTGGCAGCAGACCGCCTTCGGCCTGACTCTAAAATTCCCAAACCTCATTTTCTATGCTCCCGCCTTGACACCACGTACTTCCCGCTGTGTCTTTCCCGACATACCGCGTACCATTCTTCTTAACTACCAACAATGGCTGACTCGGACTCTTCTTCATTGTCCTCGGCACCATCCACTGATGATGAGGAAATGGTGCGGAAAATGACGAAGCCTATGGGCTTGGACCGTTATTTCAAGCCTGCGCCCAAGCCTGAAGCCACCCCAGAACCCCCCAAACGCGCCCCTTCACCTCCCCACGAATATACATTAGCCGACAATGATGCAATTGCTTTTATTGTTATGTTCAGAAGTCGATTTAGCGACGCGTTTCCCAAGTCCGTGCCGCAGTATGGTCCACAAGACATTGAAAGAGGGGTCTCTGGTGAACTCCCCGACGAACAGGTGGAAAGACTTTTATGTGCGTTATTGGGTCTGGTGTTGAATAGGAAGAAGGATGTCGAGTTAGTTTCCCCTGTCCTGCACAATGACACCAAGCAATTGTGGAATCATGCCGCGAAGGAGAAATTTGCCTAACACACTTTACAGGCGTGGACACTATGGCAGGGCCCTTGAAGACGCAATATCTGCAAACCAGAATCAGTGGCCAAGTGTGTGGAAAGGCGTCAATCCGATCCATGGTGGCAAGAATTTCAATAACATGACACCCGAGGAACGAGTACGCAGCCCGCCGTTTTGCATTTACGCGTTTTAATTGACCGACGTCCTAGTTAAATCTTCTCAGAGCTCTCGTTCTTTGGTCACTCAACTCCTCGGAAACCGTGCAGGGACTCATCAAAGAGTCGTATAAACAGTCACGCCGGGACGACGACCGCAACCAACCACGAAGCGTTCAACCGTGGTTTTCAGATCAATACCGACGAAAATACTGGCTCATTGAAGGCCTGGACGATTCCTATTTCCGAATCTATAGAGAAAATGATGGGAAAACGGCCAAAACAAATAGTTGGTTCAGTGTTGCCGGATCCATTCAAGACGTCCATACATTGGCAGACAAATTCAGTGAAGAGCACACATCGAATTCGAAGGTGATCAGTGACAAGTTGAGGTCAGCAATTCCAAGATTTGAGGCTGGTGAAGAGGTATGTGAAGCCCTGATTCAAGTCGCGCATTCTATCTGACATGGCTCTAGAAGCGCAAACGCCGCGACTACCGTCTCGCTCGGAAAGCTGCCTTCGCTCGACCCGAACCAGGATTTTCTCTATATGAAGGACGGACTCGGGGCAAGAGAATGAAATACACATTTTCGGACGAAGAGTACGGATCTGATGGGCTGTCTAGCAAGCGTTCCACAAGAATTTCGGGAAGTTCCACCCCACTCGAGCATGGACCTACCGTCACCGCAAGTGGAAGGCAGGTCAAGTCCCGGATTGGCGGAGTATATGGTGAGAGCATGCTGATTGATCAGCGCAAAGAACTAGAAAGGGCGGCAGGAGAAGGTCATTTCACAGAAACTAGTGACGACATGCCTTCTACCCTCCCCAACGGACGCGGAACACGAATTTCGAGATCAGGTAGACATGTCAAAATCACGAGAGTGAGATACACAGATGGCATGGATTCGGACAGTGACGAAGCCCAATCCTCTGGAAAGGAATGGAGTGGGAACGAGGACGAACCAGATGAATCTGAGCCGGACTTTAATGCCGAGGACGAAGATGACGACGAGGATGAGGAAATGAGCGACGAAGGACTCGAAGCCGACGAGTTGGTGGAAGATGACAATACTCAAGAGAGCCTCGTGGTACAGCTGAGATATCGGAAAGGCAAGACGTCGCTGGGGACAGAACGACAATCTGCTCATCAGCAGATTACGAATCGCAACTCCATCATTCGGTCGATACAGTCGGAAACCGCATGTCAAGCACCTGCAGCACTGACGGATACTACCATGATGGACACCATTGACGTTGTTCCGCGAACCAAGGTGACGAGTGGTGCACAAGGTCTTCCGAATGGAGTCAAGAATGTCGAAACAGGGGGAACTGCACAAACTCCTCCTCAGCCGCCGCCTCCACCTACGATGCAGGCTGAGATTCAGTCCATGGATATGTCGTAAAAGATCGTCTCGTGCAGGAGAGCGAGATCGTGGGTTGTGCTTCCCAAGACCGTACGAGATAGAATGTTCGGCGTTACGAAAAGGAAAAAGCATGTATCGACTTCCTTGACTGCGTCTCGAGCTGCGAATCTTGGTAGAGAATACAAGCAAACGAATTGAAAACGAGATATTGAATATTCTCCTTTCCGTCATCAAGGCAACGATATCTTCTGGAATGGATGCCCCTGAATTCAAAGAATACTATTCGCCTGTGCCCGTTTTCCATACCAGTAACCCCCAGGAAGGTGTCCAGGACTTTACCGTATAACGGACAGATCAGAATAGACGGACGAGGACTCAAGAGACTTAAATTTCGTCAACGATGCTGAATGCAATTGAATACAGCTATAATACACTAGGGGTAAGACGATCAACCACCTTTCCCGTCGCCACCCACCTACCAGCACCAATACTTCCATGACAGCTTCATTCAATATGCACACTTTCGTTGCCCTCGCCCATGCGTCATGCAGGAAATTCTCGTTCTGTGCCAGTTGTCACCGAGGCCACCCCATCTGATGCTGTGTCAGATCGACTTTCGTCCCCATTCCCGACTCTCCAGATCTCAAGCCATAGGAAGCAGGAACTTCTCTCTAAGCAACACATCGGCACCAGGTCTCTTCTCATGATCGACTTCGAAGGTCTTGTTCATGAACTTCTTTGCATCCTCGCTCGCGGATTCCGGAATCGTTGGCTTTTCATTGTTGCTTCCCACGGCAAACAGCGTCTGCAAGGTCGTCATGGAAGGAAAAGGTCGCGAGCCCGTGAACATCTCGACGACCAAGCATCCAACGGACCAGATGTCGGATTTGATCGATTGTCCACTCTGTCGAACCACTTCAGGTGCCATCCAGAAGACACTACCTTGCAAGGAGGTGCGTGTGCCAGGAGCGGCATTCATGCCGTTGAAGTTGGTTTTCTTGGACACACCGAAATCCGAAATCTTGACCGCACCGCGGTTGTCGACGAGGATATTTGCTCCCTTGATATCTCGATGGATGATGTTTCGTGCGTGTAGATATGAGAGGCCTTCAAGAATTTGCCGCGTAAAATTTCGTACCAACGGTTCCTGGAAGGTATTGTACTGTTTGAGCATACCAGCAATGGAACCACCAGCAACATATTCGAGGAAAATATTGAGATGGTCTTCATCGGATGATGTACCCAAATATTGTACAATGTGAGGATGGCGTAATCCCTGCAATAGGTTGATTTCTTGTTTGAGTGCTGCAATCATTGCTGATTTCTTCTTGTCACCTTCTGTGCCCTTGGTAACGTTGGGTAGTTCAACTTGTTTGACGGCCATAAGTTCACCAGTGACAGCATGCAAAGCAAGATAGACACTGCCAAATGAACCCTCGCCGATCAAATCACCTTTCATCCAGTTGCTCTTATCGAAGCTGTTTCCTTTGAGGAACGAATTCAATGCTTGATCCTCTTCTTCTCCGTCTTCAGCAACAATGACCGACAATCGTTCATTGAAGTTTTCAACTCCCAACCCGCCAGGACTTTCATCAATGTAACTGATTCTCGCTGCTTCACTTTGATTTGCTGTGTCAGAGCCGCTATCAAAGGAGACATAGGACTTCCGATTCGGCTCAAGGGGAGACTCTTCCTGCAACGGATGAAGGGTTGAGGATGCAATGGAATCTCTGAATGATGAGTTGTTGAGATTAAATCGGCCCGAGACCACCGATAAGGGCCTTGTCGTGGGAACTCGAGAACCTGTTCCGCTTTGAGCGAGCCAGGAATCGGCAATGCTAGGAATACTAGGTACCGGAGGGGCATCTTTCATACTCGAAGCATAGCTCGCATTACTCATGACACTCAATCGACTTGCCGCTCGACTCATCCGTTGCGATCGCCGTACTGACATTCTCATTGTCTTTTCAATGTCTTCACGTTGATGAGCCGGGAAATAGGATGTTAGTTCCTGTACAATCATTTCGCTTGGAGGTCGAGCGCCAAAGAATGACCGCAGTTTGGAACTTTGATTGCTTGGAACTCTGAGGTGCTGTTGTGCTTCTTGTCGGTCAAATTCATCCGCTGTAGCTAGGATGTTGCGATTTCGATCAGTGGTGGTGACAGGCGACATGGGACCTTGGATGTGATGCCAGGATTCACCCGTCAGCTTTTGAAGCTTGATCTGGTTACGCATGTTGTTCGTGCTCAATGCGTTGTTATGCAAGATTTGTGATTCATCGGCCGCGATCTTTGCAGCCTTGCGAATTTCTTCTAGATCCGGAGGACCATCATTGATTTTTCTTAATATCAACCGATTTCTCTCGGACCTGGTCGATTCGTTGCAAATCTTCATAAGCTCACTGTCACTGACTCGACGACAATTGGCAAGATCAGGCTCAAGGCCATTGAGCACATAAAAACAATAATTCCGAAAATGCGTCTCTGGAAGAAGCAACTTTTTCAGTACGGTTGAAGTGACATCGTCTGCAGTTTTGCAGAACTTGATATTGACAACCTTGGTTTGTCCTCCATTGTGAATAATTTTGATGACGGGAGATCCAGTAGGCAGTCCACCGGGAGTCAACCCATCGATACTCGAGTTCTGTCGCAAATGAGCAGCTCGAGTGGTTTGATTCGCCAACTGCGGAGTTTCAGGCCGTCTTCCAGACGTGGAATTTGCTGAGCCTGGCTGGCTAAAATAGCCTGCGCTTTGGTTGTTCCGCCCATTGTCCATTGGGCTGGTAGCATAGCGATGGGCTCTCAAGCCGGCACTATGTGCATCAGCCAACGGCGAACTTGGTCTGGAGCCAACTTTGAAACCAGTGCTGGCGGAATTGAAATTTTGTAGCGCAGAAGGATCTAGTTGGCGAGAAAATCGCCTCCCGCTTCCGGTGTGTGATTTGGAGCCATGGGTGCGAGGTGAATCAGAGGATGAAGGGGTGCCGGCAAAACCATCGAGGATGGCTAGAGAATCTCTATTTCTCCTGGCCCGCAACAAGGATGACTTGTTCCGAAGCTGTTTTATCGCGACATTGAGTCGGACTCGATCGCCAATCTTCTTGATCCCCATTTCAGACAGAATTTTCTGATCACATTCCAATAAACTTTCACCAGTAAAATTGTTGGCCTTGAAAAGAGATTCATATTGTCCAAACCGAATAGAGTGTAGCCATTCCCCAACTTTTTTCTCATCCCATGCTCGAATCGAGTCCAGCCCGTCATATACATCGGAGAATTCGGAGTCGGTTGGAGAGGAGAACAGCCCATCTTGAAGAGCCATTGAAGACATTTGTATTCTCTGAGACCCTTCGGAGAAATTGCGAATGGGTATCTGCTGAGCGGTGGGGATGCTGGGTACATATGGCGGCTTAGAGGCCAACATGATCATGTCAGCTCTCTGCTACCCATTCCGCGGCGATTTGTAGAGAACAGAGGGTGTGTTCCTCCTGTTTTCAAAGAGCTGGCATTTCAAAGGAAATGGTTGTGGTCGCCAACACACAGAGAATCACCGAACAGCCCACAGCCCAGATCGGGAATCTGGGGCAAGGCAATCGGGAGAGCAGAAATGAAAACCCGTGGAAGACAAAAAGGAACTGAAAGTAGGCTTGGTCCCTGGAAATTGTAGCGTGTAAAGTGCAATAGGGTCAGGAGAAGTATTCAAAAGAAATGAGGCTGCGTAAGACAGAGAACCCGACGAGCTCAAAGGATGACGAGTCGGGCGGCTCTGTATCGCTTAGGATGCTTGATGTCGCTGTCATAAAGAAGTTCTGCAACATGTGTGGGCGAATCTGAAACACAAGGATGAAGACCGACAAGGTGGAAAAGGTTGTGCCACTGGCTGCTGGCTGGTGTAACCATCTGCTGAGAACTCCTGAAGCACAGATGAGCGACAGGGAGGACCACGGTCAGTTGATGGCCAGAGGGCGCCACCCGCCCAATCAGAAGGAGAACAGGGCCGCCCAGTGACGGCCATGGCCCTGTTTGGTTACTGCGTAGGCATCGTGCAGGCATTCGGCTCTTTCTTCTTAGGCCTCTCATTAGTTGCCACTCCCCTCCAGTTCCCTACCTTGACCCTTCGACATCTCGTAGCCTGGTCCTTGCTATTGGTCATCACCGTCAGTCTCGCCATCACGTCCTGACTCTCGGCAATCATATTCTCCAGTGTAGAAAACTCCATCCTCCTTGTCTTGGTCTTTCCACATCCTTCACCCTGCAGGACTGAACCCGCAGCAGGCATAGATCTATGTGAGTAGGCTGATCGAACCCTAGATACCTGTACCTCTTACTGCCAACTTACGCGCCGCCATGGCCAAGCGTTCACGCGACTCGTCAATTTGCACTTCTGACGGAGGAGCCTCCGGGGAAGAAGATTTCGAATCACCGCGTCCCGCAAAGCTCAATATGACCGAGACCTCTCCTCCAAGGGTTGCCATACAGTGCTCCCTTCCGCCCCATCGAGACGTCCTTGACTTTGTTTCTGTTGAAGACTTCGAGCTTCATTATGCCCAACATCATGCGAATCGATGTTCTGCATGCGGCAAAAACTTCCCTACTACCCACCTCCTAGCCTTACATATCGATGAGAACCACAACACGTTTCGTGAAACCCTGCAAGCCAAAGGTGAGAAAACATTTGCCTGCTTTGTGGAAGATTGTGACAGGCTGTGTTCTACGCCACAAAAGAGACGGTTACATCTGATAGACAAGCATTCTTTCCCCAAGATCTACAATTTTCGAGTCGTCGATACTGGCATTGACAAGTCAACTTCCATGCTTCAAGAAAGCCGTCGTCGAAGGGTGTCTATTACTGCCGATCAAGCTGCCTCAGACAGACATCCAAGACGAGTGTCTCGAACAGAACTGAAATCTAATCCGCAGGTCCCTGTCACTGTCCCACCGAAAGCAAGGAATGAAGAGTCGTCCGACCGAGCTCAAAGGGAAGTTGAAAATACCAATCTCAAATCCAGCAAGACTGTCTCGGATAATACCATGAATAGTCTGGAGGTATCCATGTCAGCTTTACAATTTGTACCACCTAGCGTTGCAAATAAGCACCGCAACAGACAAAAATTAGGGTGATGCATCGGTCCTAGAGCTAGAATCTAAGCGAGGTTGAGAATTTGGGTTCTCGGGCTGATCATGCCTGATCATGAAGCTCTATTTGGAAGAACGAGACAGTACCACGCAAATGTCGCGGCTCGACGACGAACCGAGCAATGGTTACCCCACGACGTCTCTTCACCAGGGCGAAGACCATTTACCTAGGGGTATACATCTTCGAGCTCCAAAGATCTCGGCAAGGGACGTGTCCCATGAACTCTGGACCTTGTACCACCCCCTCACTCTACTCGTGTTGGGTGTATTCGATTTGTGCGGGGAAGGCGTCTCATCGGTTGATAAATCAATGACAATATAACTCGTGTACCACGCAAACATGAACTGATCGCTTGTTTTGAAACCTTTTGAGCCAAAAGACGAGAGACGTCGGCTGATGCACTGCAAAGGAAAGAGCTACAATCCCAAAGCGCTCCCAAAGAACCCATCCTGCTGCCACGACAGCTAGCCTTGCAACAGCTCCCTCGCGGCCTTGTGGTTTGACAGAATATCGCGGCAAACATGGCTACAGTGTCAGTCCATGCTCTGAATGCTGGCCATCTTACCATTCCCGAACGATTTTTTATTGTCCCAGCTGATCCAGTGGCCAAACGGACCGTCCCCTCACTATCTTTCCTTATCCAGCATCAGGACGGTGCTGGTAGAAAATTGTCGCGAATTGTCTTTGATCTGGGTATGCGACGAGATCTCAACTTGTATCCATCAGCACTACGGGACCATCTCGCCAGCCGTGGGCCGATCGACACAGAACCAGACGTTGTCGCCTCACTCGCCGCAGGAGGGCTGGGAGTCGACGATATCGACTACGTGATATTCAGCCACGTCCACTATGATCACGTTGGATTTCCTCGTGACTTTTCAAACGAGAGGACGAAGTTCATCGTTGGCAATGGTGCCATCGATCTTCTCGCGGGCAAAACGCAGCTTAACCTGGGCAAACACATGGTCTTTGAATCAGATTTACTTCCCCTGGAGCGGACGATAGAGCTATCACCTCCTGAGAAGCTCAATGGCCAGGAACAAAATGGAGCACAATTTGCTTGGGAACCTCTGGCTTCATTTCCAGAGGCGATCGACTTCTTTGGAGACAGAACTGTCTACATCATTAATGCACCGGGCCATCTCCCTGGCCATATCAACCTGCTCTGCAAAGTCTCGAATGATACGTCCAAATTTGTCTATCTTGCAGGAGACGCCTGCCATGACGTTCGATTATTGACGGGGGAGAGAGAGATTGCTACTTGGGCGGACGAGACGGGTAGACAATGCTGCATGCACGTTGACATACCAAAATCGAAGGAAACGCTAGCTCGATTGTATGCTGTCTCGAAAGATGGGATTAAGGTGAATGGGGAAGCGCCGGCGGCAGAGGTCGAGGTGGTGTTTGCGCATGACTTTGCGTGGGAAGAAGAGGCGAAGAAGAAGGACAAGTTTTGGCCTGGAAAGATATAACGAACCTCGCCCTGAGGCCGGACTTGCTCGTAGGAAACTTATAACATGAAGGTCACATGGTGCAGAGAGGCGTACCCCGAGTAGGATGGTTCATCGAAGCTGGAAAACTCCAAGAGTGTATCAAAACGGGACAGAAATATATAAATAGGGAATCCATCCTGCATAGCAAACAGCGTAGTTGCTATAGTAGTCTTCCCATACTCGGTATCCTTGTGCATCTTCGGCTTTTGCTCAGTCGCAAACCTCCCCGTGTATGTATCAATACCGTATCATAGTGCCATGGAAAGTGAATGGGTTTCCACATATCATCCTTGAGTTTCGCAATGTGATCGCAGAGGTTACAACTGATTTCTTTGTGAACCATTCTCGTTTCTGCAAAGACTGACTGGCCGATATATTTGTGAATTAATGTCCAGAACAAGGTCGTGGTAGATCGTAGTCGACCCTTGGTAGCGCTGCTAGCCCGGCCTGTTTCCTGTTTCCTGTTTCTAACAGTCAGTCAGGCCGAGCGATACCTCACTCGCAGAGGCCTATGTCTCTAGTGATCAAGCAAGGTGAAATAGCAGCTTATCGAACTTCGAATGCCGGGGTATGGCGCGTTTGGTGTGCTGCAAGATTTTGATCAACGACGGAGATATGGCAAAGCAAAATGGATATTGTCCATATCTTTTCTCCCCCACTCAACTGGGAATTGCGAGGCTGATGTGTCGAACAAAGTGGCAGGTGCCATCGGCGAGATGAATATGGATATATGTGGTTCCTTGTTGAAATGTGGTTAGGACACAACGGACATTGGTGTAAGCTGTAGCCCCGAAAGCATTTGTAGAAATTTCTCTGCGATGTGGCGGACGATTTCTACTTTTGTGATAAAGAGTTCTTGACTGTTCTTTTCTGGGCATTGATTATGACCATGAACTTTTCGTAGAGTATGCCGAGCTTCCTCCTCCATGTTGAATTCGGGCGCGAAATCGTGCCTCCTGATCGGATGATGCCTATAAGTCTCATCCTCATCCATGTGAACCCGAGATTGTAAAGAATCGACATCAAAGATCCTGATGGTTGCATCAATATATCAATTGTTGCATGACAAACCTTTGCCCCTCTTGTGGGAAGATTTTGCTATAGCCAATGCTGATCATCTCACGAATGACTTGGTGTACAGCGGTCATTGACTAGCTCCAATTTGTCCTGTATAATACTTCATAGATAGTTGGAGCCATATCTGAGGACATGGGTCAAGGACTTCGTCAATGAGATAGTCAAGGGGCGGCTTGTCTCTATAGGTGGCAAATTTGACCAAGCATAAACGTTTGGCCAGACGCTATTGACTCAGTTCATTGCACTGACGGCGCTCCCAGCCTGAGGCGTTTGACTGGGCTCATCGAGGATGCTTCACAAATCGTGAAGCTGCTTGAATAACCAGACGACTCGTCTGAATTCGAATTTGGCGAATAGCCATTGAGAATGACGCCGTGAATAGCAGGCGTGCATAAACAGTTGAGAGATTCGCGACGGCGATGGCCGTCGACGACGAAGCTGACTAGTTCTCGGGTTTTCCAATTGACTGATGGCAATATGGCTCGAAGTGCTATAGAGCTGAAACTTCGAAAATTGTGGTCAAATCTGTTAACCATATGTAGCTGAGACACGCGCGTCGTAAGGCATAGAGCAGATCGAAAGCATTTGACTCAATCCAGGATTGTGATTCAATTTTTGTTCTTGAGCAAAGAGAAGCTGTAGGAAAGAAACCCCGAAGAGATCGAGACTATACATATTCGAAGACGAATGCAACGGCACCGTCCTGAAACAGATCCTCACTCTTCTGAGGCGAAACTTACACGATTTGACACGGACAGTTCCAGAAGTGGAGTGAGTTCTGGTCCATTATGTAAACACGAGGGTTGAATAGATCTTGTCACCCCATCCATTCTCTACTCCTCTCTCACTGTGCGCCGCTGCGAAGCTGAAAGAATTCATTTAACAGAGTATTTTGATCTAAAATACCATTTCCCAGTGCATTCTCTGCAGTATTGTGCATTGCTTCAGCATTGATGGTTCTCAAATACATCCTGCACTCCCTCCGCGGGACGAATCTTGAAATCTTCAAGGTACCATTCCCGCTTCCCCTCCCCGTCCTCTTTCTCCATTCCCTTTTCTCTAATGCTTCTTTATTCACGTGCAGTTCGGTCTTTACCTCTCCTTCCCCATCGGTTACATGTACTACTTCGGTACGAACCTCGAAAACCGCTTCAGTGTCCCTGGCTTCTGGCCCACGCAGGAACAAAGTCACAAGATCCCCTTTGAGCGCGAAGAGATTAAGGCCGAAGTTGAGCGGATTCAAAGGAATATAAGAAACCAGGAACTTGAAAGGCAGAGGCAGCTGCAGATGGCGCTTCGAGAGCAGAAAGGCCAAAAAGAACAAGAGGTGGAGTCAGCTTGATTTTGTCTGGCGCCAAAGATGCACGCAGTGTAACGATTCAATGTCACTTCTGCATGACGAAGGAGTCTCGGGATTTGCATCGAAACATTTGACAAGGGAAACGACAACAACCCAAAGAAAAGTTATAGGAATGAATCCGGCGCTGTACGGCATATCAATTGGGTGACAAGATGTAAGGGGAGAGAGCACATCTACTCCATGCCGTACGATCGGAAAACCATGGAGACCGAATTAAAAAAAAAAAAAAAAAAAAAAGGTCCACTCAAGTCGCGAATTGTCAGCTCCGTCCATGACCGGAGGACACGGTCGACACCCCGAACGAAATCAATCCTCGACGCCCGCGCTCGAAATTTTGTTTGCATTCTCATGACATTCGATGGTCCAAAGAGCCCACATCTCTCGATGATCACATGCCTAGAGTTGGAAATCCTAAAACGCCTTTACAATGCATATGCCTCTCCACGACGCAACGCCGGGGGGAGAAATCTGACTCTAAAGTTCTCTCAGGGTGGATTTTGCCGATTCTCCCACAGCCTGTACAGTAGGAGAAACCGATCTGAAAGCTTCTGAAGCCAGCCTCAATCCGTCCGCCGCATATGTAGCCTTTTCTACTGATCCTGAACCTGCGGGCGCTCCCGCGGTCATATAGGCAAATTCGCCATGGACGTAGTACCAAATTCGATTGTAAATGATGGCGACATGGTTGGGCAGGTAGAGGGATGCTGCGGTGACGAGGAGAGAGACGAGGATGAAGAGGATCAGGTCTAGTTGCCAGTCAGCGTTAGCACGACCAAGTACAGACTTGAACGCACTGAAAATGAACTTCTCGGTGGGGGTGAGCATATACAGGGAGAAAGTGACCTCATATTGGTATTTCTTCAACTGTAGCCAGCGAACAAAGGAGGATATGTATGATACTCTCTGCTCCCTGGTGACTTTGGCATAGTCGGGCATTTCGAAAGCTAGGCTCGGCATCGACATGAGGTAGGTAGACGGGAGTTCGGTTCGGTGTGTTGGTATTTTGGAGGAATTTTTGAGACGATGATCCAATGGGTTCTCAAGTTTTGAGGTGTGAATTTTCAGGTGGTCGGTACACGTACTTAGGAACGAGTGACGAATGAAAACACGGCCCGTTGGTGGGAAAAAGGAGGCTCAGCAATGCATCTCGCTGAGTGAGAAAAGTGACGGTGACGGGAGAGACCGAGTTTTGGGGCCGAAGGAATATGTAAGGAGAGAATTGTCAGGACACAGAGGAGCGATCTAGCAGTAGTCGTTGTTTGATGTTTGAGGATGGCAGTCTGCTACGACTAGGCTGCCCAAAAATTGGTTTTTCTAGCTTTGGTCTCGCTGACGTGCTTCTTCCAATTGCGCTGCACATTTTACGCGTTGGCGCCAACGCGCGTTGCTCAATTCCTAGCTACCAAGGCCTGAAGCTCATCAAGCCTAAGTCGCTGCCGGTGGCATTGACTGTTGATAAGGGGCAACCCTTGCAAACCCCCCTGCTGCTCTCCACTCACAGTCGGTCACTTCTTAGATTTTCTCATCTGTCTCGAACATGTTTTACTTGAACATCTCAACACTTCCTTCACTCAGGATACGGCCGACTTGACATAAACGGATTACCTTCGGCAGACACCAAACTGCGTCCGTTATCCAATACTCGGCCGGTCGAAGTTGTGCCTGGCGGACCCGATAGAATGCACAATGCTCTTTCCCGGCACATCTTCTCCTCCGTCCTGTCTTCATTACTGTTCTCTAAAAGCCATTCCTAATGTCCAGCCTCGGTCCGATTCCGAACTGCCACGAATCTTTTCATATAATTCCATCAGGCAGACCCGACAGGAATAATTTTCCAGGCCAACATCCACCCGGCTCGGAACGGGAGTCCTGACGAGGTCCGAATTCTAGCTTCGGCCTTGACCATTTCTGAATTCTGATGGGCTTTTCGCTGGGTTTTGTCTGATGGTGATCAAATAAGTTGAATCTTGCACTGCCTCGCTGACTGATCCACCTGTCTAAGACATCCGGTTCGTCTGCAACATCGTGTTTAATTGGATGTCGTATCATAAACCGAATTGGTGTTGTTGCTTGTTCGGAATGCAAAGATCCATTGACCGAGTCTTGCTCTGTTATCACTGTTGACGTTGAACTGTTATCAGAAAATTCCCCCGAAAATTGTCTTCGGAAAGGTTCCGTACTGAACCACTTACTCTCAGCCTCGCCGATGAACATTGAAAGACGACAAGAACCCAAAACGAGGTTAACCTTCTTCAATAGCTCTGACCATCTGAAGTTTAGGATCGTTCATGTATCTACGTATTAACCAATAGCCATTCCTGTTAGCAGGTATTCCTCAAAGCTCTTCAACCACGCAGCCTCGTTCCAATCTCAATATCAAATCTTGGCGAAGCTTCCTTCATGTTGTACAAACGCGAATCGAACCTCCGACCAAAAAACTCACGCGATGGAGAAAACTCGTTAGGAAACCCCAACCCCCCCCCTCCCTCCTCCTCCTTTTATATGGTTCGTACCTAACTCACTCTCTGACATGCTGTAGGAGAGGTCAGATACGGGAAGGAGGTTTCGGTTTGAGCCGCCAACCGAGTATTGCTACGGCTAGGTTTGCACCATTTTCAATCCAACCCGGCTCTGGTTGTCGGAGGGAATTTAATAAATCCATGTGAATTCCAATAATGATGCTGACCAGTGAGAATTCATGGGTATCAGCCATGTGGTTGATCAAAGCATTGCATGTGGTGTGAAATGTCATGGGTTTTCGCGATACATTCTACATTTTGCACAATGGGGTCGGGGTTGGAGGATTGTTTCTTGCTCTGAGAGGTCATACGTACATTCACCCACTAGAGAGATTTTTGGTGTACACAGAACCAAAAGACGACTCCCAAAGGATGAGAGATTGGGGATTTCATATCAAAAGCCGATCCGAATGATGGGAATCTCATAACCAAGAGGTCTCTTTCTAGTCTATTCGTGCACTCATGGTTATCATCTTTCTCTAATGTCTATTCTCTTCGAAAACCCAGGGTCTTCTAGTTTCTCCATCAAGCTCTCCGTCTCTCCTACTAGACCATTCATCCATCATATCGACTCAAAAGCAGTCAAATAGGCTGGCTGGCTGACTATCCGTTCTTCACGTAATTGATTTCCACAGGTTCCTGCTCCCCATAAACCATGGATGGAGACGAACATGCCACATTCACGTCAGGCTTTTCCGTCACAAAACTGCACAACAGCCCACTTCCCACTCCACGCCCACGTTCTCGCGCCTAAATCTCCGCCTCCTCCGGGCATCGCGCGTATTTCTTCGTCTTTGCCCTCTGGCAGTCCCACGACGACGTCAGCTTTGCATGTCCGCAGCGCGAGAGTTCTGATTCCTGATGACGGACCTAGGGGGCCGATTGCCGTGGTGAAGGGCGTGGTGGCGGGCCATGCTGCCTGTTTTCTAAATGTGAGTCCTCTACTTCTCACTCTCGCATATATCAAATCGAAATCAAGTAGGACCAATGATAGATCGGCTGAATATCAACGGGGAGGAAGGAGACGGCCATGACATGAAAAGAGGGAGCTTACATCACCAGTTAGCTTTCTATAATTTAAATCCCCCTTGAACACGACTAGCTCACTTTCCCTGACATCCTCCATCAGTTCCGGCGCCACATGCGGCAAACGCCAGAAACTGCCCGCGTGCGTCCAGAACCGATTAGGGCGCAAAATCAGCTTTCCCTCAGCATGCAACATACTCCAGTCGTCGAAGAGGAATTTTATCGTGGCCGCTTCGTCCTCAGATAAAGGTGGAGTAGATGTGCCGTTCTTTTCACTCTCACCATCGTTGGAACCGTTCTCATAGAATGCTTTCGGATCTTGCATTGACGAAAGCAGGGCCGCAAAGTCCCTTGGGACGACATCGCTAACGAACCAGGGTATGCTTTTTGGATGCAGAACAACTTCAGTCGCGAGACCCGTGGCGAGCAAGTATCCAGCCAGTACGAGGTCGACGAATAACTCAAATCCCGCGTTGTCCAGGACAATGTCAACCCGTCTTCTCTCCTTGGCAGCTTTATGCGCGGAATTCAGTACCTCAAACGCGATTCCTAGGTCGTTGACCAAGACGTTCTTCTCAGATTCTTTCCTGGCACTGCTTCCTTGAAGCTTCTGGATGTCTTCGTACGTCAAACTCGTCAACAGAGAAAGATCCGTAGCGTTTCCCCAGAGACAAATCTCAGCCATTTCGACGAATAAGACTTTCTCGGCTTCTTCGACCTTAGCTGGGTCCGTCGTGTCCACAACCGCGTGGGCCTTCGACGATCGGATCTGTGTGACAATATCTCTGTATCGAGCAGCAAGTTCGAGCACAGCCGGCCGCGAGGACTTGAACGTGCTCATCTTCTGGCGCTGGAAAGGGTCATAGTCTTTCCAAAACGATGTCGTGGCCAAACTGAACAGCGACGCAATCCGGCGGTATAAGTAGCATTCGGAAAACAGCCATTCAACATCGTGCCAGCGGGGTGGACCGCGCTCTTGTAACTCGGCATTGTATCCTTCAACGTCTGGAAATCCGTCGTCTGGAATTGGGATCATGACTCGATTGTGCTGTAGCTCGTACTTGAGCGAGGCGAGGGCCGAGATGATGGATTTGCCTTCCGTGAGAGCGTCTTTTTCCGAATCCGGAAGCGATGAGATGGTGCGATGAACGTCGTCAATGGCGCCGGTGATGATGGCTGGCCAGCGTTCTCGTGCCGATTTGAATGCGAATGACGTCGGGTCTGACGTTCGATATGTGGGTGTTTTGGTGTCGTATTCCATGCTTTTGCCTAGAGATGATGGCTTTCAACTTTTCCAATCAAAATCAAGAGAGAAAAAAGACCTTCTATGCACCTTTTATTAATGAATGTCGATGAAGGATGAAATGTGGGGCGTCGAGCGAGCAATGGGCCAAAACTGCCGCGTACATTACGCCAAGCATCACCAATAGGAACAGAAACGCAGTTCTCAACGAGGCTGAGCTGGAAGTTTGGATGAAATTTCCAGTATTTTATTTCCTTTGGTATATACCCTACTACCCTTTTTCCCTTTCATCCAAAATCCATCCGCAACTCAATGGCAGGCTTTGTATCCACATTATCTGAAGAGATGGTCTCCTGTTTCCTTCCCACTCCTGCTGCTCTCAGCAGGCTTTCCAATTCCGAGCGTTGATCCTCACTCAGTAGTCCCACCGTCACTTTGAAAGCGATTTGATCGGCTGCAACAAGCTCAAGTAGTCTCGTACCACTCTCTTTCCGCATACTCTCTAAGCTGCTGGCCGGTGAAACTTGCTTAGCACGGAGCAGGAGAACCGGTACCAAAATCGACATGGCAGCAAATCGACCACGTCCTTTGATGGTCGCCACTGAGGCCACGAGGGCTTGGGTAAGTGACGTTTTGACGCTTTCTGGGTCCTCAGCTTCGGGATTGCTTACAAATGGAACGAGCCGTGTCCAAAGGATTTTCCCAATTTTCTCTTCGCATACCGGTTTGGGATTCGTCATTAACAGTGATCGCATACAACCTGCTGCAATTTTGGCGAGTCCGACATCTTGAAGACAATCTAGTAATTCCGCCACTGCTTTGGTAACAAGTTCATCGTTGGCTGGAATGGCAAAACTTGCTGTCGTGAGCAAGATTGTCATCGACAACAGTGTGTTCTTTGCGCACGTTATAGAATGTTCATTATCTCGGCGTTGGGCAATGGCCAAGGTTGCCAACATGCGATATAAGCATCCCCGAAGTAATCTGGATGCTACTTCCTCAGATGCTGAGCGGGTAACGTCCTGCAAGAAGGCTTTAAAGATTGGCATGATACGCGGTAACACCTCGTCTTGACAAATCCCCGTTGCAAGGATGGTACAATAGCTGTGGAAAATGCAAGCGTGTAGATCAGCCCGAATAATGGACGGAAACACCGCGGCAACATCGACCAGAGCCTGGAAAGATAGCTGGACAAGAGCAATCCCATCGTCTCCCAGTCTCCGGAAGGCCGGACCAGGCGGATCTTCCAGTGTGGGGATGAGACCTGTCAAGACCAAAATGATAATTCTCGTCAACTCGAACAATTGCTCGATGTCGTCCGAGAGTTTCTCATCTCGATCGTGACTTTTAGCAGCTAGGTGATCCAGTGATAGATTCCTGGCAATTTCAACCAGAACGCTCTGTGTCTCTCTTGTGCTCGTCAGGGCCAGACGATCAAGAGTGTCGGTGGTCTCATTGAAGACTGCTTCTTCGTAAATAGCATTTCCACAAACTTCGGGTGTCAAAATCTTTCTGAGAGCTTGTAAAATCGACAAGGCTTGAGACGGATCTTCTCGAGCTTGAGTCACTAATGCCTCAAATGCTAATCCAAATAGGATGAAAAAGAATGCCACCGGCTCCTCACGAAAACTCATGTCTCTTCCTTGCTGAATAGCACCATTGGCCGGTCCATCGCCGGACGAAACACGTTTGTTGTCGAGCGCGTCGAACACGGAGTCACTGTCTTTCTCCACAAGGACGGCAATCGCATCGACAATGCTCAGCCAGCTCTTCTGATAGAATTTGAGGCGGACTTCTCGATTGAAGGACGCGTACCGTTCGTCTAGATTTCCCCCAGCAATCTCGCCGGCAAGTGTGTCCGAAATTTCCGGTTCAAATCGCAGGCCAGCAAATTCTTGAAGCGAAGTGAGCCAAAGTGGAGCGAGTTGGGGAATAAAGGGTTGCAGAATTTCATCCAAATAGGGTTGCTCATGACTGGCCAGTTGCAATTGTGCCCAACCGGACAGAATAGCCATCTTCAGCATCGCCTGTGCATTAGGACTAAGATTTTTTATATCACCAATTGCGGGTTCTGGAGCAGGTTGGGTGAGGTTGTCTACTCCCATGGCAAGGACCTTAAAAATACGTCCCATTCGATCAGCATTGGTCACTATTCCAGTAGCAACGAATGTAGCACAAACCCCAATGGCCTCGGCAGCTAGTTCTGGTGATGAATCTGCTGCGAAGGCTGGTGTCAGAGCTGAACTGATCTGTGCTTGATATTGTTCCAAGAGGGATGCTTCGAGAAAATCTGGATCTGGTGTCTTGCCAAACAATTTCAAGATCTGATCGATGATTCGAAGACCCCAAATGCGGAGCTCAACAACATTGGCGGTAGAGGCTGAAAATGCTACCCGAACCACATCAGCAACCTTATTTTGCAACGCTTCTTCGGCAGGAATGACCCGATCGGGCGACAATGCCGCTTGAATGACGTCTATTGAATCGCTAAGCAGACGCATCGCAAAGTCTCGAGTTTGCCAACGCAAAAACTCTTGACCTTCAAGAGCGGTATCCGGTGCCTCTCCTTGCGCGGCGGCAGCGGCAGCAGCAAAACCAGCGACTTCTTCGTCCGCAAGATCAGGCACAGCCGTTTTGGCCGTGGCCACACGAGATGGAGCTTGAGCTTTTGTTCTGGTTCGGGAAAGTATACTTTGACATTTATCGATCCATTCCGATGTGTCAACAAGAATCGTTTGCTGCATCCAGTTCTGTAGCATTGCTTGTAGCGCCCGATTGTCAGGATGATCATCGAGACGCGTCCATAAGTCATCACTTAGCTTCGAAGTTGCGACCCGCGCTACTTCGGAAGCATTTCTTTTCATCAATTCACCGAGTCCCTTTATTGAGGCAGACTGAAGCAGCTCTTCATCAGATGCAAGATTTACCTGTAAATCCAGGACGTACTTGGCAAACTGGAGATGTGCCGGTGCGTACATTGACAGATGGCGGAGGCATTGATAACTTTCATAGCGCAATCGTGCCGAAGCTTCCTGTTGCAGGTACCCTATCAACACGAGGATCAAGTTTCGAGCCTTAGAGATATCCTGCAAGTCAGGCCCCAACACATTGATAATACTGTCCACACACTGAGCCAGGGCGAGGGGTGTAAAAAGTTCGAGCTCAAGGCTGGATGTGGCCACAGACGCGGATTCCTCATTGTGAGTGTCGTTTGAGTAAAGTTGGGCCAACAACCCAAGAGTGCTCGTGGCATATGTTGAGAATGCTAGTCCGGCGGATTCAGCAACCTGGACCAACCCCTTGAGGGCCCAAAAGTGTACAATAGAGTGACTGTCGCTGCACAACGATAGGAGAACACCGACAATAGATTTGATGTGTAGACTGGCTGCCATGGCCCCGACTTCGGAGTGAATATACCCAAGAGCAAGTGCACATCCAGCACGGGCATTGGGATCTCGATTGGCAACAATTGTGTCAATGAGGAATTTGACCTCCTGATTGGTGAATTGAGTGCCGGCAAGATTGCAAATCCGGCCAATGGCACGAGCAGCTATGTGTCGCAAGACGGGGTCTGGATTCAAAATATACTTTCCCAACAGCTCAATTATGACTTGACCAACCGCGCCAACATGTAACTTGCCAGGGACATAGGGCGTTTCGTTATTTGCGACTGCAAGCGCACACAATAGGGCTAAAGCGGAGTTGACCTGCATCGCAGCCTTTCGGCCCGGTTCTCGTTGAAGTGTTTGGGAGACGGCGGTAATCAGTTGTTCAACAGTGCTCTCTTGGATTCGGGGGGATTGCAGTGGTAAGGATATGGCAAAGAGTTTGATTGCCAAATTAACGCAAGATGTCGCCGATGAGCTTATCTCGGCTTCATCCAAAAGATCTTTTGGCCGAGAGATCAAAATTGGATCATGTTCAATTGCTGGAAGTGCTGGAGACCGAATCACAATGTCGGGAACAGAAACTTCTTGTTCAGTCGCCAACTCGTCGCTTGGCTGAAGATGATTCTCGAATGGTAAATACTTGTCGAAATTCTCTGCTAGGCTGCTTACGCCAAAACTCCAATTGTCGTTGGTAGACCAGAGTCCCTCAAAATTGCTTGCTGAATTTGCCAACGACGCTTCAAGGTTTTTCAGGATTGGACGTTCGGGGTCAGTGAATGTCCGCATCGTGAGGCCTATCAAATCTGAATGCGACACAATTTCGCTCTGTTCAAGACTCCTCAAGCTCACTAAAGCGGTAAAGCATTGAAGCACACGCCTTCGAAGCAAGATGGCAAAATCCCGTAATTGAAGTGCCGGGATCAAACGATGAGATAGGTCTTCGGCTTCTCGAGCCGGAGGGAGACTTTCCAGGAAGAGTATCGTGTTGTGGAGCAATGTCGAAATACGTTTGGATCCGTCTGTGGTGACCAGGCCGCTACAAGAAGAAAGAAACAAGAGTAACGCGCTAAGAGCGCATTCGCGAACGTGGGATAAGAAACTCAATTCCAAGTGTCCTCTTTTGGCGGCGTTTTCGTGCGTTAATGGAGGAGGTAGCGCATTCCTCCAGAGTAGCATAAGCTGATTTAAATGTACTTTGACGAAACTTGGTCCTAAGCTCATGAGGCCACCAATCAATGTCCAAGCAACCTGGACTTGGGATGCCGATAACCGTAATTCGGCGGCTGCACTTGACTTCAAAAGGTCTGTTGCGAAGGCAAAAATGTTGGAATAGGTCTGGGTCGAACCGTAGAGCGGCTTTTGACGGGCGGAACTAATCATGACCGCGATACTCATTGCATAGCCAAGTGACTTGCGATGGGGTTGTTTCGCTTCGGAAGAAGGCTGAAACTCTTTCTGAAGTTGTGACATGGCGTGCTCGATGCTGCGTACAAGTTGACTTGGGCAAGCAAAGACAAAGACTTTGAAGCATTGGGCGGCATGGCTCTGGACCGTATGGCTTGGATGTTGTACCACTTGAAAAAGTGCTTCTCTGCAAGAGTCCTGGAACACGCCGATAGCCGGTCCCAGCCTCAACAGCAAATCGGTCAATGTAGCCAAAGCTCCAGTGAGAATTCGCTTCGAAGGCTCTCGTCGTTCTGGCATAACTTGGGGGTAGTCCTTGAGGACATCGTTGATCAGATAACGTGCCGCATTGATTTGGGCGTTTTCGGTGAGAAGGCAGGTAACACTCATGAGGATCCATTCGACAAGTTTCCTGGTGAGTAGCAACCGATATCGATTGAATGAAATAGTTGGATGGTTTAGCAGGTCGGCATACGTATGCACCGCGATAGTGGCATAACTCTCCTCCAGGGTTTTGCGAGGCAGTAAGCGGAGAAGATATTTGTAACACATTGCAATGGCGGCGCGAGCCCTGTTCGTGGTGGCTGCTTTGCAATATTGATGGGAGAGAACGCGCAAGACTTCATTGAGGGAAAACATCAATCGTACAGAAGCCTTGACCTGACCCGGCGCAGGTGAACCTGGCCGTTCGTTCTCGACGTCCTCGTCCAAATCAGCTCCTGGTTTCTTGGACCTTTTGGGTTTGCGTAGAACTGGAACGTCGGCATTACCACTCTCAGAATATGCCTGGTTCAAGGTCGCCGCCATAGCACCTGCAGCGGCATGCCTCACAGAGGGCACCGGACTGTCAAATACCTTCCAGATGGTCGATTTGAGGTTGTCGAAGTCGTTGGAATTATTGAAATATGGTGTCTCCCTGGCCAGGCTGCGGATACAAGAACATGCACATCTTTGAACGAACGAAGACTTTTCATTTGTCGCGGCATTTCGAGCCTGTTTCCATATGTCCCGAGCCACGTGCTCATCCAGGCTGGATTGTATGCCCAGTATCACTCCTCCCAGTGCTCTGAAGACACATCCTCTGACTCCTGTGTGTGATGATTTCAAAAGCTTGAGTAGAGTCGAGACCACAAGTCCTGAGAGGCTGACAGCACTGTCCCCGGCGGAGCGAAAAAGAGCCCCCAGGCAGACTACGGCCGCATGTTTGATACCCAACTCTTTATCGGTCTTTCCAGTGTTCAAGATGGTTAACAGGTCATTGATAGTTTCGTAGAGAAAATTTCGGCTACCTCGCCCGAATGCATCGGCCAGGATCCTCCCCAATGTATTTCGGATCACGCGAGACGGTACTGGAGCCCCCAGGCCAACAATCTTGATGACTTCCTTCTTGATGGAGGGTTGATGTGAAGGTAAAGCCTCCGCCGATAATTGCTCCACATGACGTTGAAGGTCGGATACGAAGGTCAATAAATACAGGTCCTGCTGCTCGGTGGGAAGGGCGTGCAGTTTGGATACGTCGAGTTCAAGATTCGGTGTGCTATTCGCAGCGTGTGCGAGTTGAGGAGCCGGAGCGGGAGACGCCATGAGGTGATCCAGGAAGAGATGCGAACGTCCGCGACGGACGAACGCTGTTATATCGATTCAGCACCATATATGCAGGGCAAGGTAAGAGGGAACAATCACTGATCCATGGGATTTGCCATACAATCAATTAAATGTCTGTCCTCGTTCAGGTGCCGTGAAATATTCCGCTCGTGGTTAGATTTCATTCCGGTGGATCATTCGCAGAATCATGTCAGGAAGTTAACTTGAATGGATTGTTCTACAGCTCCCTGTCCATTTACGCAGAGGTCTTCTTCTTGAGGAACAAACTCTGGACATTGCAGAATGACCGGAGACCGCCGATACTCCATTCATAGCCAATACCACTCTCCTTGTGACCACCGAAGGGAGCATTGGGATCCACCTCCAGGTGGGTGTTGACCCAGACACTTCCAGCATCTAGTTGTCGGGCAATTCGAGTTGCTTCATCCAAATCGTCAGACCACACAGAGGCACCGAGACCCATCTTGGTGTTGTTTGCACGCGCAATAACATTCTCCTCATCGGTCCAGGTCATGAGAGGGACGATTGGCCCAAATGGTTCCTCGACAGCGATTCTCGAGTCATCGTCTGGCTTGTCGATAATGGTTGGGGTAATGAAATATCCAGGTTTATCCTCGTTCTTACCACCCGCAGCCACAGTCCACTTCTCTTTCTCAATGTCAGAGAAGAACGTCTTGACCCTTTCGTACTGCATCGAGTTCTGGACGGGTCCGAGGAATACTCCCTCCTCGTTACCATCGCCTACTTTGAGTGTCTTGGTGAAAGCAACCATTGCGTCTCGGAACTTGTCATGGATCGATTCGTGGACATAAATACGCTTAATCGCCAAGCAGATCTGACCAGAGTTGAGGAAAGCAAGTGTGGCAATCTGCCAAGGATGATTAGCCCATGCCCACGAAAGGAGGTCTGGTTATGTACCTTTTGCGCAACAGCCTCAATATCAATATTCTTGCAGATGATAGCAGGATCCTTGCCACCCCTAATATATGTTAATCCACATGGAACACAACCTCTTACTCAATGACTCACAATTCCAGAGTCACTCTCTTTAAAGTTTTCGAAGCACTTTCCATCACCTTCTTTCCGGTCGCGGATGAGCCGGTGAAACTGATCTTGTCCGGACCAGGGTGAGCTGTGAGCCATGGTCCGAGGTTGTCATCACCGCTAAGCACTTGAACAACTCCTGGTGGGAAAAATTGTTGGGCCAGTTCGACTAGCTTCAAATCGCAGTATGGTGTGAATGGCGATGGTTTGATAATAATTGGGTTTCCGGTCAGAACTGAGGGCGCAATCTTGCCGCAAGCAAGGTGAACGGGGTAGTTCCAGGGCACAATACCAACGGTAACTCCGAGAGGTGTGTAGCGGACAATCACTTGTTTCTGCTCATCTTCCTCAATGATCTCTTCCTTCAGTTCAATCTTGGAGAGCGCTCTCATCCAATGTACACCAGTGTGTGCTTCTCCGACGGCGAATTGGCGCTATGAAAGCCAATGTCAAAATCAAGCCCGCATCCTTTGGTAGTAATGCAGAACTTACGGGCTTGCCTTGCTCTTGAGTGAGCATCTTTCCAAAATTATCGGCATGTTTCTCCAGAGCATCCGCAAAAGCCAGAACAGCCCGTTTGCGTTCCTCATAAGGAACTTTGGACCATGTCTTGAAGGCCGCTTTGGCTGCCGCGACGGCATCATCGACATCCTTAGGAGTCGAGACCGGGACTTCTGGGTTTGGCTTGCCAGTTGCAGGATTAATGCCGTGTCTGGTTTTTTCAGTAGTCGTCAATTTCCCATTGATGGTATTGTAAAAGCCATTGAAGACGTCAAATCCAGCACCGATAGAGCCCATTTTTGATCGATTCCTGGAATGCAAACAATATCGTGATTCGATAAATTTCCAGGCTAGTTTGGGTTACTTTAACAGGGCGGCAGAGGGTTTTGAGCAGCGAGGAAAAGCTGAACAATTCGAATCGAGCCACGTGTTACCAATCGAGGGGCCACTTGATGCCGCGGGGCAGATCAAGATTCACTCACCTCGGATCTGTTCGACGGGAGGTCGGTCGATGATAGTATGTGCTTCTGAATCAACGGCCTCGTCCACACAGAAGCTTCCGGCCGACGGGTCTCTGGTCAGGGCAGTTCCGGTAAGACATTATCACGGTGAACCAACCTCGGGTACCCCTCAATGGCAAGGGCCCTGAAAAGCCCGAGGTAAACAAAAAGTTTGTTGATGAGACAGTGGGAGGAGAACCTTCTCTAGCATTGGAGGTGGCCATCAGCCAATCAGGACATAGAGCAGTCCACCTCCACCTTAAGCTTTAATATTCAAAAGTCTCTGCCTCAAACACCGAGTCAGAAATCATGAATCGTGCGCTTGGAGCCCTCCAGTTTTGAATCAGCAGTCCACAGTGGCAAGCAGGGTGAGCCGAACCAGACTCAGCGGACCCCCTACACGATGCCAATTTATACGGGTCTGAGGGGACGACGAACTCCTTACCCCGGATTACAGGCGGCCCAGATTGGGAGTACTCCTCCCGACGCTCTTGAGTCAGCAGTTATGAGTCGTAGCTCTCTGCATAAGCGGCCTTGAGGTTATCTCAGACGCCCCGCATATTGTACTGGACAGTCAGAAGCTGATGAATGGACGATGTCATCCTGTTTCGATGCTTACACGTGAGCGAACGGCAGGACCGGGTGTGTTTGATGGGTCTAAATAAAACCCCTTTCTCTCTGGCCATACGCACCACTCTGGTGAGCTCATTGCCGTCAGTCTACCTGTGTGTTGTGTATCAAGGTACAGCGAGTCCTTGTGGGTGCCTTATTTTCAATATGGCGACTATGGTAAGCGGTATACTCCACGCGGGTGCTAATTTGGTGTGCCTGACAATTCTGCAGACCGCCACGACCACTGCCAACATGCAGACGAAGACCTCTCGTGTCGAGAAAGCAGAGAAGTCGATTGTTGGAGACTTCAGCTGGAGCGGTATGGCTCATCTTGCAATATCTTTCTTGTGAGAGTCTGACGATATGATGTCTAGATGTCCTTGTCCCTGAGAAGGCTGGTACTGGTCTCACTAAATGGCACTATCAACGACGAACACTAGTTCAATATGCCTGTCTATTCATAATGGGCCTGACATCGTTCTATAAACTCCAATCCCCAGCTCTACGTGCTGCAGGATTGGGTTTCCTCTTTCCTGGAGCTGGTCTCACCGCCGTCTGCACAATTCCTTCGATACTGTCCTTTATCGTCTCAACTGCACTCATACCCTTTGTGCTCTTTGCCTGGTTTGGGATGGGCGGCGTCGTGTTCCCAATCCTCCTCTGGACCGGTACTGCAGTTCTATCTGCCGTTCTTGCCAAAGACTCAGTCCTCGAACTAGCTGCCCCGTTATGGTCCGCCATCTGCATCGGCGGTATCATCTATATCACATACTCGACCCATCGAGCAAACGCAGAGGCACGTCGGAAACGTGAGTCGCGCAACAACTATCTCATCGATGAAGTACGGAACAATCAAGCCCAAGCCGTCCAACCTGAACCAGGTTCTCGTGAAGTTGACGAGAAAAACCTTCGCTTCCTGCAATGGTTCCTTGAACTCGGCCTAACTCCCAGAGACGACTTCTCCTATCACGATGTGATCGACCAGTTCCAAACTTCGGCGATCCGATACCAGCTCTATGAGACAGTCAGCGATCTCGGACTCTATCAGAACGTCTACTGCCCAAATTTCCATGGATATCTGTCCCAAGCACAGCGCAACGTGATTGAGAAAAGTTTCACCAAGAAAGTCATGGAGTAAGTGCCCCCCCGGCTTCTTTTCCTTCTTTTCTCGCTTGTCTGATCCCAATCCCACTGACCGCCTATAGGTTCTGGAAATGGGAATCAATGGCAGGCAAATTCAACGCACATGACTGGGACCCGATCAAGAAAGACAACATCATGGTCACGGGCTACATCCTGCAAGCCGTAGGAATCTACCAGTCTAACACTGGAGACGAACGATACACCAAACCCGGCAGCATGACCTTTGAGATCACGGACTCCATCAAGTTTCCATACGACTTGAAAGGCGTTGCCGATGCCGTGTACAGAAACATGAACGAAGCGGCCTACTGCCTCTATCCTTGCGAGCCTAATTGGCTGTACACCCCTTGCAAGTAAGTCTGGCACCTTCAAGGTCTAATAACCCCGTAACAGGTTCTGCATTGGACAGTGGCTGACTGACCGTCTTACACACTCAGCCTCGTCGGCATCGGTGGCATCCTCCTCACAGACCGTCTTCTAGGCAACAACTACGGCGAACAATTACGAGAACGCTTCGAGCATGCGTTAGAAACTGAATTTACCGATCCAGATGGAAGCATCCTGCCTATTCGCAGCGAATTGACTGGATTTACGGTCCGTCCCCATGTCCCATGCCCCGTTTCCTTTTTTCCCGCACTATTGACGTTGAATTTGTTATAGATCCCCGGCCTCGCAGGTGCATTGTCCGACGGTGTCAACTCGATCCTATGTGCCGCATACCTGCCCGCCATCGCGCACCGAAACTGGGCCTTCACCAAGAAAGAAACGCTCCACTACAACGAAAAGGGCCAGCTCGAAGTCCGCAACCTGATGGGCGCCGACAAATTGGACCCCGGGAACTACAAGGCTGGCGAGGGTGTGATCCGCTGCATCTGCGCCGCGGCGGCCGCCGAATTCGGCGACGAGAAGATCTGTGCCGAGCTCTTGAGGCAGTTAGATGAGGAGTTCCATCCGGTCTTCCGCACGCGCACGGGTTCGCTCAAGAATAAAGGCGTCAGTACGCTCGAGCAGGGCACGACGACACGCGCGCGGATTGGGAAGTTTCAGGATTGGACGAAGATGATCCAGCGAGGACCGCCAGCGCATATCTTCCGCGCCCCGGTGTTGGAGGAAGTGCCCTTCCCGGACGTCCTGGTCGCGAAGGCGTACAGTATGGACGGCGAAAGTGTGGATCTTGTCTTATACAATGGTCGCGAGCCTGGGGTGTTTAAACTGGGTTTCATTAGGTGTAAACCTGGTGAGCGGTACACGTTGATGGGCCAGGAGCAGGTTGTTGCGAAGGACGGGACAGTGTCGTTCGAGATCGAGATTGATGGTCGAACGGCAGGGAGGTTGAAACCTGTGCAGTGGAATTGAAGGTAAAGATATACAGAGGTGAAATGAGGATAGGAGATGGGGTTTCAGAGGATGCATGCACCATTCGAATCGAGTCAGCGCCGTGTCGGCATGATATCAGGGAATGAGGTGAGGGGCGGAGGCTTGACGTCAATTCATACATCGAACCGTTATATTTGTGCCTGTTCAACATTCGACCATCTTTTATGGTCCATGACAAATGCATATCCTTGAATGTCGAGCCACAGCAACACAGTTTTGCTTGCTTGCACAGTTACGACGAAAGTCTCACAAGAAGTCAACCGCTCTAGGATATCGGTTTTCAAAGGACCATTGCTGTATAGGTAAAGCTATTGAACGAACTCACCTTTTGCACTCCTTCACATCGTTCGAAGGAAGGAGTATGAAATTCAGTTTTCCGCTCAAAAGGGTACCTGATAGCCACACTCTTGGCAAAACGGAGAGTTTTGATAGAGCTGATGCTTTGATACCTGTAACAAGGTCGCTGTCTCTACGGATGACGATCCTGATGGAACACTAGTCGATGGGCCCCCAAGAGCCGGGAACGTGATTCACAGCGCATTCCTCGTCGACAGGCTCTATTTGCATTCGAACACGAGGCAGTGCCATATTTGTGACATGGGCTGACTTCAAATCAGGGGGGGCAGGTATGGCCGGGCATCAGGCATTGATTCTAGGTCAGTCGAATTTAAAAATTGGCGTCGAGAGTGTGCTCATGAGAAGAGAACAAGATGAGGTACTGAATACCAAGGCAAATAGGAAGTTTTCTAGTCCCCGGTTATCCCTGTCTTGGGAGTTCTCTCGTGGATACGGTGTAGATGGGGGATTAAGTCGACAAGTTGAATAGACGAGCAAAGCCACGGCTCACCTCATATGCCTAACTTTTCAAGGCAGACTTCACATCCCTCCATGATTCGATCTTGCTGGTGTCATTCTGCCATAGATGGCGATGAACAGATTCAGAGAATCCGGACCATCAAATCCGGGTGATGACGACGCAGTCACGACGCACTTTGGGATTTCGTTTCTCCATCTTCTCATTCAACGAATAAGATGGCAGAGGATGCAATTATCGACACAGCAGGTGTGCAAGCTGACGTTGGCCAGGAGAGAAGGACTGTGCGCTTGTGTCAATTTCTGAAACGGAGGGTCGGGGATGGGCGAGGAAATGGAGCACAGCTGCTCATCATCTAGAACAGACTCAAATGTCGAGTAGCCTCGGCAATCTCGATGCGAGGACATTATATGATGGTGAAACGAAGGCAATCTGGGACGCTTAATGTGTCCCACTAGTGGTCGAAAAGGAGGAATTGTTCTCCAGGTAACGGATGGAGCCGATAACTATCCAACGAGAGCATTGCTGGGCGATGCAATCAATATATTGGTTGTCCGTTCTTATTGATCGGCTAAGCCCATAATGCTAGGGCCTCAATGTTAGTGACACCGGAAATCCTCTTATCTTCAATACCTCCGCTTTCAAGGGGGCCGGAAGTCCGTTATGAATGCGAATGTCCGCATCTAGGTCGAGGAATTAGTTAGCACACTAACTCGTCTGAAGGCGGCCTGCATCTGTGGTAAGGATTGGCTGTGGATGAAAGTATTTGTTTGACAAAATGCAGCAAGCTCCGTAGTCCGCAGAAGTCGTCCCTGAAATGCATGGCTACTGACATCGTTCCAGCCTCGTTACTTGACAAGACGAAACCCTGTATCGGTGTATTTCTAGCCGAAGCTTAATTAACTTTAGCAGCAGATATGCGATAAGAAATGACAAGGAATAATTCAAGGAAAAAAATCCGTGGGGACGGTATGGTACACCTGACGGCACGGTCTATGTCGTCTGATATTTCGATTTGAAACTGATATTATCTGTGGACTTCGACTACGTCGTCCCATCCCGAGATATTTCCTCGTGCTGAGAACGTTGTGTAGTACACGTGCAAGACTGTCTGTGGCGAAGAACAATGTGATGGGTGTCCATGAAACATTGACTTGCGTGATCAATCAGAAAGAGTTGATTTGACTCGACAGTCAGCTGTCAGAGTCTCAGAAGTTGGGGTTTGGGCTTGCTGGGTCGTCGGGTATCTTGTTGTGTGGTTGGGATCCATATTCTATCAGCAACTTCCCGGGGACCTAAGTCATGCATGTCTCACTATTTCCTTGTCATCCCTTATCTATGATTAGAGACCGATGTACTCTATTGTCAACGCGGTCAACGCAGCTTTTTATCGCTATGGCTGCCGAAACGTTTTGCATCCTGGTGTAAGACTTTCATAACGACGGGGGTTATGCCTTGAGCTTCCGATAATGAGTACCTAACCGAATTAGGCACTTAAATGGTCGGAGATATGTTAACCGGCAAAGCCCGTTGGTGTGGAGGTGGAGAACACCTGGCAATCGAGGCGGAGTCTGAAGTCGATGGACATTTTTGATTCAGCGTGCAATTTGCAACATTCAAGTGGACGTGGAAAGTCTGCTCTTTGAAGACAGGTGTTCAAGTATTCCGTAGAAGTCAAGGAGTTGGATCAGATTTGCTCTGCCCGACGTCAAACCCATTTCGGCGGGTACCAGGTTCTCAGCCTTTCTTGGAGCGGACGCGTATGTTCTTCGGGAAAAACATCGAGGATGATTGACAACGGTGTTGCTCAGCTTCCAATCAGATGTTGTATATCGTTCACCCTCTACCATCGCAGCGCGTTCGTTATTTCGGAACCACAGCCATACTGAGGTTTGGATTGTAGAAAGTGACATTTGATCCAGAACTGAGAGCCTCGGATCCAAATGCAAGGTATCCAAGATAGTCGTTCACAGTAGGACCTCCTATACCTGTCAAACCTTGGAGCAAGGGTCCAATATCAGCGACGAAATTCTGGACGGAACCATTGGCAACCCAAGTTAAGACACTTTGACCAAGACCGTTTTCGCCAAAGTAAAGCGAGCTGAAAAAGGAGTCAGTATTTGAGTCAGATTCGAAGGCTCAGGAAAAGGAGACAATCATACAAAGTGGTACCATTGACGTCTTGTGTTGCGACGGCGCCGACATCCAGACCAATGGGTTGCGTGGCAGGACCAAAATAACCCAGCCAAATCATGACTTCGTACTTTGCATCGACTGTGCTTGTAGCTTTGTCAGGATCGGAATCCAAAAACATATCAATGGCCACGTTGGAGTTGAGATCAATGGCATTGAGGTCAGCGACATTGGTTGTGGTTGGTTGCTCGTCGCCCACCCCGTAAGCCCAATCCGCTTGAAAATTAATGGTGGCAACATCTGAGATTTCGATGGGGAAAACATCTGATGCGTCCATCTTGATATTGGGAAATGCATGAACAGGCTGCGTGGGTGGGCCTGGAGGAAATTGCCATGTAATAGACCATTTAGGGGCGGTGGTGTTCGTAGGATAGGAGGCATTGTCAAAAGTCGTGACCTTCAGGGGATATTAGTGACTATTTCATGGCAATTCAGTAACATGTTCGACTCACATTCATACACAAACCGCCACCACCAGTGTAGTCATCAGTAACACCCCATTGATTCGGATTCACTATGGATGACCAGTTAGCTCCGAAATCAGTACATGGAAGTCCGCTTCCGTGAGAGAGTCGGCAAACATGCCGAAAACCGACATCCCCAAGAATGTGCCACAATGCGGAACCATCCTGGACAGCGGGTCTTCGCCAATCCCAACAAGTCATAGTTCAGGAACAAGGGAAAACCTTAACCAACCCAACGTTACTGATTGCGAGAAAAGTGTAATCTGGTGCTGGTAGGACGGAGGACTCACGGGTATATTTTTGACCATCCGTGTCGGGCGTGATACCAAATGCCCTCTGACAATATGTTGTTGACTTGATGGAATTGCTCACAAAGGGCCGAGATAGCCCGTGGGCATCACGATATGCTTGTAGCCCGAGAAGAACACTTATCGTAACCGCGATCGGGAGGATTAAGAAACCAAAGCTGATGAGGGATTTAAGTCCCATGATTCCGGACACAGGGTAATTGGTTCTTCCTGATGTGGTTGGCAGCGAACGAAGAAGCGCAGCAAAAAGCTGGCGATTAAAAAAAGTGCCCCCAAACACGACAGCGAGGTGCAATGATGTCGACAGTCAGATCATTTATGAAAACAACACAATCGTCCAAAAAAAAGGAGGGAGACGAGAGGGCGGAATGCGTCGTCTTTGATGGTCTTCCGGAGGAAATCTTAGATTTGGCTGGGGCCACCGAAGTTGAATGTGACAAGGGTGATTGAGAATGGGCCTCAGACAAAGTTCCAGAGACAACACCATTGAACCTTACCGGAAATCTCAAACATCAGTTCAGCTGACGAAGGTTGGGAAAAAGGGGGCGAAGAAAGGGCGCAGGTGGCGTTAACGGGGCTCACCAAGTTTACGAAAATCCCAAAAGGGCGACAGGTTTGCCATAGAGGGGTTCGGAAAGCTCTAACTATCAGCAGTCTAGTAATCTGCCGCTTGTTTAACTATGTCTGGATTTGGGTAATTCGTGTCCTTGCTCGCGCCTCGCCTGCCCCACCCACGTAGTCCTTTTTTGGTCTTGCGCTGTCGATACGTGTATCTTACAAGCCTGCTCCCCTCCACGACTGAATTTCCCATTTCCGGCATTTAGCAATATCTCTCATTTCAGCATGCTGGCGTCATTATCGCACGAGAACTCTGTTGACTGGTTCACCCCTCACGTGAATCATGGCCCTTGCGGTTGGCTCATTTGGTTCGTTTCCCTTGTCTCCGGTCAGGGTCATGCCTTGGTCGACACGAAAGCCTCTGTCCACCAACAGCTATGTCATGGTGGTGATCTGCCTACAGAGGCCCCCATCTGGACCGTGCCAACCACTGCTTTCGTTGGTCAGTGTTAGTGATGAAATCCCGGTCCGCTCTATAACATGATAAGGTCGCTAAGGTAACACACAGACACCCCCCGGAACGCTCAAACCTTCACATCAAACTTTTGACTTTGTTCAAAACGATCCCGGCTACTCGAGTCTTGTCACCTTTCACTTCCTTGTGCAATTTGCGTGTCTCCTCTCTGTCGTTCTCTCGTTGAATCGACTTCTCACAATCTTTCTGCATACCTCCACCTTTTCACACTACCCTCTTTTATGCACAATCGCTCTCCCATTCACTCGTTTATGAGAGGATTGAAAAGAATACGCACGCGACCCCTGTAGTCATAGCAGGGAGTCTTAAAACACATGCTTGATATTAGCTAATTTCACACCTCCCCGGTCCACGAGTTGGTCAAGGTGCTCGTTTCCTTGCAGGACCTCACAAAGACGGTCACCCCACACTCTTCAATATGCCTCTCGTTCGCAAAAATGACCGCAGGAAGTCAGAGAGATCAGAACCAGAAGAACAACCCATGACTGAGATCAGGACGTCGGCGGCATCAACCATGTCGTTGTACGAGAACGACGATCCATACTTCGAAAGGCCCCAGTCAGTACATCCTGTGTACGGCAGTTTCAGAGAGGATGTACAACCGATACAACCTGCCCTTATGCGTCGATCGGGTCTGTCCGACCTTCACAACCGAACACTACCAGATCTTATGACGGAGAGTATTCAAGACAGTCCATTGGAGACCTCCACTGGAAGCTTTCCACCTTTTGCCCCCCGAGCAACTTCTTCTTACTCTGAAACCGGAACGAGAAGCTCGTCACCGTTTCCTTCCGCATCAACACCATTTGTATGTGAAAAACCACCCGTTTGGGAGAAGATAACCACTAACGGTTCGCAGAGAAGTCAAGAAACGTTAAAACCTCTCGTCCCCGACGCATCTCCAACATATCTGAAACGAGATTGGGTCAAAGATGGATCCATCGCTCAACTGCATTCAAGAGATGACAAGGAGCTGCTTTTTGGCTGGAAGAGATGGTTATTCTACTGGTTCGCTCCGTTGCTGGCACTTGTTTCACTCTCCTTATACTGGTTCTACTTCGGCCTGCGAATCAAGTTCGTCGTCTCTGCTCAGCAAAAATACGACGCGCCCTTTCCTTTGGCATGGATCTTTATTGCCGTCGAAATCAGCGTCGCCATCCCAATCTTCATGCAGACTTTTTGGTCACTATTCATCCTGAAGAAAAGAAATAGACCAAAATTGCGACTGGTGGGAAACGATGTCCCAACTGTCGATGTTTTCATCACTTGCTGTGGAGAGGACAATGATCTCATTCTCGATACTGTTCGCGCAGCTTGTGACTTGGACTACCCTCATGATCGATTTCGAATCATCCTCCTAGATGATGGCAAGGCAGATGAACTCAAGACTGCCCTGGAAGAGATGCGAGAATCATTCCCCAATCTGTTCTACAGACGTCGGCCCAAGTTTCCTGGAGTCCCACACCACTTCAAAGCTGGTAATCTCAATTACGGACTGGACGAAGTTCACAACCTGCCTGGTGGTGCGGCTGAATTCATGGCTGCTTTGGATGCCGACATGATTCCGGAGCAAATTTGGTTGCGAGCAGTTTTGCCCCATCTCCTCTTGGACGATAAGATGGCTCTTGCTTGTCCACCTCAATTGTTCTACAACGTACCCAAAGATGATCCTCTCTGTCAGAGTCTTGATTTTTTCGTCAGTGTTTCGGAACCTGTCAAGGATGCCTTGGGCGTTGCTTGGTGCACTGGATCAGGTTACGTGGTTCGAAGAGTAGCTCTCGATCAAATTGGCAACTTTCCTTGTGGATCTTTGGCTGAAGATGTCGCCACTTCAACCCTCCTTCTCGGTAAAGGGTGGAAGACCGCCTATGTCCACGAACCTCTCCAATTTGGTACTGTCCCAGAAGATTATGGCAGCCATTTGAAACAGCGAACCAGATGGGTAAGTCTGGCCGTAGGCGGGCGGCGGAAGCTCTTTTCTAACATTCTTCCAGGCAATCGGCACCGTCGACACTGCTTTCAAGCTTCGATTCTGCCTTTGGGGTGACAATATCAAGCATATGACCTTCGCACAGCGAGCTTCAGGCTTCATTTACGCCTTTTTGAGCTTGTTCAACATCTTCCTCACTCTGTCGATCTTCGCCATGCCGGTAGTATTGATCACCAATAAACCACTCGTGGCGTATGCTACAGAAAACCAACTTCGATGGTTGATTCGAGCCTGTTTCGCCGCCATGGTCTGTAATCGATTATGCGAATTCGTCCTCTTCCTGCCTTCCGGGTACGCCACCGGACAACGTGGAAGTCGATCCCAGCTTTGGATGAGCCCCTACATCGCCATCACTATTGTTCGATCCTTCATTCTTCCGACTTGGCTCGGAGGACAAACTCAGGCATTCAAGCCCACAGGATCGCTCAAATCCGCTCTCCATGAAAGATATCCCAAACAGCGAGCGCCGATGTATCGACGTATCTGGACGATTCTTGTCAATTATCTGGCCGGATTCCATGTCGCTTATGTTTACTTTGTCCTAGTTGCTATCTGTCTCTCAACCTACCGATGTTTCCTGCAAGACACTTTACGAGCCAAGTTGGTATGCCTTCTCACTCATGCCTTCTGGCCACCGCTTACTTGGGTCATTGTGGTCTCCTCGTTCTGGATCCCATTCACTTATGCGGTTGATCCACCCGACATGCCGGACCGAGAAGAGCTCCTCATCAGAGATCCGAAGACAGGAATCGCACATCCAACGCCGGAAAGTAAGAAAATCGCTTTTGCACCTCAAACGTTCCTGTTTGAATTCGAATACTGCGTCACCACCGCATTCACTGCTCTCGTGTTCGGTGCGGCTTTCTTTTACTAATCCATAAAAAAATAATGACGAAACGAACGCACCGTTCCTCAGTTGTCATTTCTCAGTCCGCGCATACGGAATCCAGGTGTTTCGGCGATCAATCAAACGGGCCACCCATTTTGATTTATTCTCGAGCCGGAGGGCAATTTGTACATACGCATGAAGGAACGAGACAAGGGAGTCCTCGGCATAGACACAAGTGGCGGCATGGATGGTTATCAACATTTTTCCGGAGTCATCACACGCAGATTGAAATCTTAGTTCCGCCGTGTGGAGGAGTCATCGAATCGAAAGGAATATCAAAAATAAGAAAACGGGTCGGACTAGGGGCGTGAAGAATGACCGAGATTTGAACTATTGCAATAATGCTGGTTGGTTCCACAGGTGCGATTTGAATATAATGAAAGCATGGTACGAGGCAGGATAGTCCAGCACCAATGGTGGACCCGTTTTCAATGGAGCTATTGCATCGAAAGAGAGATAAGATACTGCAAGCTTACCACAGCTTGGAGGCGAGCCTCCTGTCTCTGATACATTGGAATATATAAATTATTCGAAATGTTGGATTCGTGTCTTGTTCTTTGCTTTTTGAATGATGGTAGCACCATCCATTCGCATATCGGAGTTATCGTTGGTGTTGCCTTCCGCATATGTTTCCGTAGACTCTTACGTATATAGTGAGGACTCCAGGGCACGAGATGAGTACCTGTCATTTTTACAGACACTAACCCTAAGTCCCCCCACCCCCCCGGTCATATCTGAGTTAAATTTGAGGTAAAGGTGGTTCAGAGCTTCGTTTGTACACCCGCGCCGCCGGGTGTATTCGAAACAAACGAGCCATCCTGTTCCACCCACTCGCTGAGTACCGTCTTCCTACCCTGGATGAAAGGGCCCGTGCCCTTGCTGTTCGGGAAGGTTAGTTGATAGAATTTTGTCCACACAGCACAGATGTAAAACCCCAAAGGACATCAGACAGACTTACAACATTGCCTTGAACTCTTTGGTCTTTCCATGCACACCGAGGGCTTGGAGATTGAGGTAGCGTTCGAAAAGCAGGACCTCGTTAGGTGCCTTGGGTCGCGTCATTACACAGTACGTCAGCGTGCCGGCTTCGTTAGCTTCGACCCAGTCGCAGAACTTGCTGGTCGAAACATCAGAATCAATTTGGCCTGACTAGCATGGGAAAAGGGAGGAATTTACCCGAGGACATCAACCAATTTCTCCCTCATGTCTTCGCCATCTTTACACACGAACTTGGCAAGCATGACGATGCCAGCGCGAGGCGTCTCCTTTTCGCCTTTCCGCGCCACAAATCCCGCGGTCGGATACCAGGCTGCCAGATCCTCGTTGGTGGCATACAGGCTTTCGCGCTCCACGAGGTCGAAGTACTCTTTGTACTCGGACGAGGCTTGTACGGTGGCGAGCGCGGATGACTCTGTGTAGATTTCCATACGCCCGATCATGGTGTCGCGCTCGGAGGGGGGAACCATGCCTAGCATTGCGCCCTTGCGGGTCGCAGGGGTGAAGGTCGTGCAGGCTGTGCATTGGATGCTTGGGCGGCGGAAGAAGGGGGTTAATGTTGCAAGGGCTTTGAGGACCTGCGGTGGGAGATTGTCAGCGAGGCATTGGAAGGTCAATTGGAAAAGGTATTCTCGATGCCGTTTCGAAATGATTTTGTCTCGATCTTCAAGTTGCTCCTCTCTTTTGGGGTCATGGAAAGACTCAGCTGCGGATCGGGCAGTTATCTGAAGAGAGACGCATAGTATCACACCAGGATTCTCAACAGCCTAGCCCTAGCGTCATCCCGTATAACATCCCCCGGGGCATAACCGTTCGAGTTCCATCACAAGGATGATAGCTGCAAGGAATAGGAGGGTGGGCCTGACCTTTTCCTTCTTTTCGATGGACCTGGAGTGTGTCATGGCCAATAAGGCCACACTCTTTTTGTCCGAGACCATGATGAAGGTGAACTGTACTCGTTCGTGGGAAGTTTATTAAGAAAGCTTCGTCTGTCTATTTTGTAGTCCCTGGGAAACGGGACGCCGAGCTCTCTATGATGATGCAACACTTAGTTCTCTTTCTCAGCGCACACTGCAACAACTTTGAAGTATCTCAAAGCAAAATTAGTGAAAGAAAAGCCAACTGGTCAGGCTTCCTACCGTCTGAACCAAAGAAGGGCAATAACCGAACATTATAAACTCGTCCAGAGCCTTGATTACTTTACGGCCCCAGGCTACTCTATGGGGGGAACTGGTCGGATGTCCACCGTTTGATCCTGCCGAGGTTATGTACGACGGAGTGATTTTTGATATTGCCATTGAGACGCAAATACTCCACATCAGAGTTTTGCCCCACCAATCGGAGCTCGGTCGTAGTAATTGGAGGTTTGCTCGCCGAGGCTTTCGATAGACTCCTTTTGCCTTGTATTTTCTTGCAAATCGTGGACGCTAGCTTTGAGTGGAGACCTCCTGCACGTTCATTCCTAGAGACAGTTGACTCTTGCTCTGTACGAACAGCGACATGTTTGCGAATTGAAATACTCAAACAAAGCTATCGCTCGCGTGCCTCATTGGTATCGCCTCTTCTGGAACTGCTCGCACAATGGTTGGTATACAAAATTCCACGTCCAAACATAAAAATGGTAACATTGCCATAGTTCTCGCAGCGGATTCCTAGTGCTGGCGCAATTCGAGCCAGCAATCTTTCCTTTCGTTGGCCATGGCATCAGATTCGCAGCTTTCGCGGGACTGCACAACGGTCTCAAGATGTTTTTCACGCACAACTCGAGGATCCCCAAGCTGCTGCTATTCTCTCATCGTTGAAGACCTCCCCTAGAATTCCCCAAACCCTCACGGAGAAGATCGTTCAGCAATATGCCGTTGGGTTAGCAAAAGACAAATATGTGAAGTCAGGCGACTATGTCACGATAGCACCGCATCACTGTATGACGCATGACAATTCATGGCCGGTCGCCTTGAAATTCATGTCAATAGGCGCGTCCAAGTTGAATGATCCTAAGCAAATCGTCATGACACTTGACCACGATGTGCAAAATAAGTCGGAGAAGAACTTGACGAAATACCGACAAATTGAAGAGTTTGCAAAGAAACAAGGGGTGGACTTCTACCCAGCTGGGCGAGGCATTGGGCATCAAATTATGGTCGAAGAAGGTTATGCGTGGCCTGGAACGTTGGTTGTTGCCAGCGACAGTCATACCAATATGTATGGTGGTATCGGCTGCCTTGGGACCCCTGTAGTCAGGACGGACGCTGCCAGCATCTGGGCTACTGGAAGGACTTGGTGGCAAATCCCTCCAGTTGCCAAGGTTACGTTTACAGGCGTCCTACCCAAAGGTGTCACTGGGAAAGATGTGATCATAGCTCTTTGTGGTTTGTTCGACAAGGACGACGTCCTCAATCACGCAATCGAATTCACCGGTTCGGAAGAGACTCTTCGAAGCTTACCGATTGATGCTCGGCTCACAATCGCAAACATGACGACTGAATGGGGCGCTCTTACGGGGCTGTTTCCTGTCGACGGAGTTCTCCAAGGCTGGCTTCGGGCAAAAGCTACAATGTCGGCTCTGGACACGTCGGAACGCAGGGCAGGAAATGAACGATTTTCTCATCCTAGACTGGATCAACTATTTGAAACTCCACTTGCAGCCGATAAGGGGGTTCGATATGCAAAATATCTTCACCTCGACCTCAATACCCTTTCGCCGTACGTTTCCGGACCAAACTCAGTCAAGGTGGCGACACCATTGAACGTGCTGGAGGACCAGGGCATCAAAGTAGACAAAGCTTACCTCGTTTCTTGCACAAATTCACGTGCTTCTGATCTTGCCGCCGCTGCTAAAGTTTTCAAGGACGAGGCAGAAAGGAACGGTGGTAAAGTCCCCAAGATTGCCGGAGGCGTCAAGTTCTATATTGCGGCGGCATCGCTGCCCGAACAACAGATAGCTGAGGATGCGGGTGATTGGCAGACCCTCATCGACGCTGGTGCCGTTACCCTTCCTGCAGGATGCGGACCTTGTATCGGATTGGGAACCGGCCTGCTTGAACCCGGCGAAGTAGGAATCAGCGCAACGAACAGGAACTTCAAAGGTCGCATGGGGAGCACCGACGCAAAAGCATACCTCGCCAGCCCCGAAGTTGTCGCTGCTAGTGCCCTCAGCGGCAAAATTAGTGGTCCAGGTTGGTACGAAAAGCCCGAAGGATGGTCTGGTGTCATTCGGGGTGAAGGCGATGGCATCAAAGAAGAAGACCGAATGATCACTGCAGATGAGGCATTCCAGAAGATTATCGACCAGTTGGACAGCATGATTGAATCAGCCGAAGAAACCTTTGGAGAGGGAAACGACTCGAGCGAGAGCGTGACAGGCCCGACTGAAGTTTACCCGGGATTTCCTGAGCGAGTAGAAGGAGAGATCGTTTTCTGTGATGCCGACAACATCAACACGGACGGGATCTATCCAGGAAAATACACTTATCAGGACAGTGTGTCTGTTGAAAAGATGGCCGAGGTATGTATGGAGAACTATGATCCCAAGTTTTCCTCGATCGTCAAACCTGGAGACATCCTGGTCTCGGGCTTCAACTTTGGGTGCGGCAGTTCTCGAGAACAAGCGGCGACTGCCATCCTGGCGAAGAAGATCCCTCTGGTGGTTGCTGGCAGCTTCGGCAACATTTTTTCGCGAAATAGTATTAACAATGCCTTGATGGGTCTCGAGGTACCTAAATTGATCCAACGACTGCGCGAGACTTTCTCGGAATCCTCAAAATCAACGACGGAAAAGCAAATCACAGAGCCTGTTGGCCACAAAGAGAATCAACAGAGCCTCGACGCACCTCTCTCTGCACCAACACAGCCACTTGAAAAGCAACTTTCTCGTCGGACTGGTTGGACTTTGGTTTGGGATGTCAAGAAATCTCAAATCGAAGTTACAGAGGGCCTGAACGGGAAGAAATGGACCGAAAAGGTAGGAGAGCTACCACCGAATGTACAGGAAATCATTGCCAAAGGCGGTCTTGAAAAATGGGTACAGAAAGAGATTGCCGCAGCGTGAGCTATGACAAGCGGAAGTTGGGACCTTTGTGCATGTCAGCAGAATCTGCTCATATCTGCTGATATGCACACCTCGAATAAAGGCTTTCTCTGTGTACGGGATTCTTGTGTACAACATTTATAAGCGATGAAAGCGTTGACCAGCTTCCGATACCATCCAAGTTGAACAACCTGCACCATTACGACAATCCGACACGAGTGGTGAGATAACTCACTGGGTCGGGATTGGGTAATTTACATCTCGCAGAGATGGCTTGTCCGCGAGCCCAGTCCGCAGATTGCGTGGAAACACGTAAACAATGGACGTGAGCGATGACCACGACTTAAAGTGACTATGGGATTTCAAGTTGTCCCTAGCCAGAGGTCATTGGTGCGGAGAGTAACAGACAAGGTTGCCGAGACCGATCTTTGATTTCGAAAAGAGGATTGGTCAAGTCGCAGTTCTGAAGTGACACTGAGGGATTTGGGAGAAGAAAAAAAGCCGCAAAAATTTAGGTGGTAGCATGTGTAGACGAGTGGGAATGCAACAGAGAAAAAGGGGGGTCAGCCACGAAGGAAGTCTAACTGATTTCCATGTCCGTTTGGGTATGTGTGTAGGGTTCAATAGCTATGCTAGCAATGACAGCGCCGAGATCTCTGGCTATCAGCTGCCAGCTTACCAGCGAAAAGCAGAAGGGGGGACGTTCTGGCGCGTGCATGGGAGGATAGAAATCAGGCTACGCCTAAGAAATGATAAATGGTGCTTGGCATGAGCTTGGCATGAGCCAACGCGAACTGCAATTCGGCAAGGGGAACATGTGATCACGTGTACTCATCTTCCGCTCCCTGCCAAGGGAAGAAGGGGGGGCTGTGCCGCCAGCCAGCGGATGTGAGATAGGCAACAGAACCCAAAACACACATCGAACACCACTCGCAGTTGCAGCAGACCTCTCGAAAATAGCCCTCAGCAGTCCAGAATAACCCCTTATTTCGCGCTAGCACGCTAGATCGCTGACCTCGGCCTGATTGCCGGCTTTTTCTATTTTTCCAGAATCCGCGCGCCTACATCCTCCTCTGTTACACGCCACTTCTGTCCGTCAACCGTGCGGGTGTACCTCTACCACTACTTTCACCTCGACCGCGACCATGGTGCTAGAAGTGTCAGAATAGCTCCCATCCTGTCAGAAACTCTCTCACACTTTTACCTCTTTTGACCACTCGCATTGCGGCAAACAGTCACTCCTGTCTACCACACCATCCTATTCTGCTTCACTGCCCCTTCCAAGCCAACCTGTCCAAGAAACCTTAGGTTCAACCCCTGACTCCCTGCGCCCGCGACAAGTGGTGGTAGTCCAGAGCCTTACCATCTGGCGCGACAAAGACACCTTCAGATCCACCCCTTTCCGACTTATAATATCCACACGAGAACCTCTCGCAACCATGGCGCTTCGTGCGGAATGCTCAGAAAAGCAGCCGTTGCTCCCTCGCTCTAGTCGCCCCCGTCAGGGCTTTGTTACATACTCTTCCTCACACATTCCCTCGAAAGAGTCGATCATTTCGCCTTTATCAAACGCTTCGTCACTTCAGAAAGACAGTCGCTTCTTCCCACTTTCTTTACGCGCAAAGATTATACTCACCATGGTTGCCATTCCTGCTTATTTGTTGGCCTCGTCAGCCGTTACTTCCCTGGGACCATTGATGCCTCGTGACACAGTCATTCGATCGCCACAGCCTGTCCCACAACCTGCACCACAGTCCACCGCCCTATCAGATTCATCATCGGACCCATTCGCGTCCGTATTAGGACCCCTTGTCGAAGTTAACTTTCCTGATCCGGCGATCATTTACGTTGATGGCGTCTCTTATGCCTTTGCGACCAACAACAAAGGTGTGGGTGGTGAAATGATCCATGTTCAAGTGGCTACTTCTACCGACAATCAGACGTGGGCAATGATGGATCATTATGACGCTTTGCCCCAAGTCGCCGCATGGGAAACTGGTGCCCGTGTATGGGCTCCGGATGTTGTTCAACTTGTAAGCAAGCCAATCCTTGTCCGAGATATCATGACTGACGTATAATAGGATGATGGCTCATTCGTTCTTTACTATTCTGACGAACTATCATCTAGTCCTTTACATCACTGTGTGGGTGCTGCTACCTCCAAGACCGTCCTGGGACCATATGTCCCCCTGGATCAACCTTTTGCTTGCCCTGATCCCAACGCGAAAGGCGGTGCCATTGACCCTGATGGATTCCACGACTCCTCTACAAACAAGCGGTATGTCGTGTACAAGGTCGACGGCAACTCCATCGGGCACGGCGGTAGCTGTGGTAACACGGTGGCTCCCATTGTCCCTACTCCTCTCGTGCTTCAAGAAGTCGGACCTGACGGTGTCTCGCTGGTCGGCGACGCTGTTCAGATACTCGATCGAGACGACCTTGATGGACCTCTGATCGAAGCTCCTTCTCTCCACCGTTCCGATGAAGGGATTTACTTCCTCTTCTTCAGCAGCAATTGCTTCACAACACCAAAGTACGATGTATCCTATGCCACAGCCACCAATATCCGGGGTCCTTATACGAAATCCGGCCGACCTCTTCTCGTCACTAGTGATGCTGACTTGGTTGGTCCTGGTGGTTTGGATATCATCAAGGGTGGCGGTCTCATTGTCTTTCATGGTCATATGACCGTCAACAACGATCCCACCATTAAGAAGCAAGCCGAAACTGTGGCCGCTTCAACGGGCCAACCGATTTCCGAAGTCAGTCTTCCCTTAGTTCGAGGGATGTGGTCTGGATCTGCAACCTTTTCAGGGACAGATGTCTTGCTTTCATGATTGACCCACGATCGTTTAAATTTCCTAAATTTCCATTGTCATTTATTGCAGCGTTCTAGCGTTTTCGACAGTGGTTTTAGCGCAAAACATTTGGGCGGCCTTTTTGGGAATGAGACATCAAAAGCGTCAGCGGTGACGATGTATATGCGAGATGACATTTAGACACTCGATCTATTCTGTTCTGTACCGACATCAAAGAGGATGATTGCATATAGTATCAATACTCGAATTTGGAAATTATCATATGAATCTTCCATGATTGCTTTGCTCGTGACCAGTTAGTAAAGATGGCAATTTTGCCGAACGGTGCTTTTTAGCTCTTGCAATTCTGTGTTCGATGGCTTTCCCCCCGTGGTGACATTTTGAGTATTTCTCATTCTCCTTCCAAACTCCCTCTGCGATTGAAAATCCTCTGCCATGATACGATAACAGTTATCGACACTGACTTGTTCATCACGCCTTTTTTGGGCGATATGCCTCCACGGATACCACCGTCCGCCGCATCAATTGCGTTGCCAGCGCCATCTGTCCATACCCATTGCAAATCATGTCTGAACCGCTTGTTCTCCTCGACTCCGGCTCCTCATACGAGGCAACGATCCCAATTTCTGCTCTGGCTTCAGGGCCCGGGTGAAAATTTCCGACATCCTTTACCCGGTTCCACTAATTATCTCTCTGCATACAATCGCAAAGGCCAACTACTTCGAGGGGGCGACAGCCCTTCAAGCCAGTCTCCAAACCCGTCTAATGCACCACTTACAGAAGATGAAAAGGCTCTCGAAGCCGCTACCGAAGAGCCCAAAGTCCCTAGGGAGACCGAAGACGACTTGCGGCCCTTCCCTCTTAATAAGCATTTTATTTCCCAAAGTATATTGTCAGACGAGCTGCGAGAAGAGATATGGCGTCGAGTTCAAGAGGTTGGAAAATCTGTCCGACAAGTCTCGGTTGAGATGGGCGTGGACATGCGCAGAGTAGCTGCGGTCGTCAGACTTGTGGAGGTCGAGAGGAGGATGAAGGCAGAGGTATGTGGAAAGATTTCCCTCTCTTTCCTCTTTTCCCTCGCGTGATGAGCAACCCAATCGATTAGTCTTCCAGACTCCCAAGCGTGGTGATCTAAACAAACAAATTACAACTCTCTGACAAAGATCAATACTCTCTCTACGCATCCGACGTTACATGTTTGCAAAACCATCAATCTGACTGGAATTTGCCCTAGGGAAAACAACTTGCTCTCCCCTATGCCCGAGCCATCCACTCCATGGTCCCCGTGAATCGAATGAACCCCATGACACGCAAACCCATGGAACCGCATGAATCCATCAACGACCTCGACCAACATCCTTTCACGTACCCCCAAATTTTCTATCCAGCCTCTGAATCTCGAGCATTCAACCGTACCGACGCCGGGCGCGTCTTCAGCGGTGCCCCCCGTCTCCCAGATGACCAGGACATCGGACAAGGCGGCAAACCAGCCCAAGAACCCTGGCAGGACACCAAGCCCGAGTACGTAGGCAAGCCAGGCCACCAACACCCAATCTTGAAACCCGCCGACTCACGTATCCCCCATCCGCACCTAATCGCGTACGAGAAAGACAAGCAAAGCAAGTCCTTTAGCAACACTGAGGTCCACGCGCGATATTTGCAGCGCCTCCAGGAAGACGAAGAGAAGAGGAAAGATGCTAGGGAGCGTCAAACTGCTGCCGAGGAGAGCAAGAAAACTCGTATCGACAACGGTAGATGGCAATTTGTCGTCACTGAAGTCATGGCGACGAGGAGGGGAACCGGTCTCGATGGTCGTGGCACACGCAGTCCTGGTATACGTTACGGTGTGCCCAGTCAACATAGGAAGAAGGGCCATGTCAAGATCCCGACCGATGTGCAGGTTTAAAATATTGTTTTTTTTTTCACGATGAAGGGAGAGTGAGCCCGGGTGAGTGAGGGAGATGATAAGACTACCATTCGCATGGGACATCCTCTTTCTCCTGTCGTTGTTGCCTATCTGTAGGTCCCTGGGGGTATCTTAGCAAGGCATGCACCGATGCATTTTACAAAAGAAGAGCATTGGCGGATCGATCCTCTGATCTGTCTCGCATGATTGGGATTGAGACAAGTGTCTTGCAAACAAATGTGTACAAATACATCTACTTCATATAGCTAAGTAAATTATTGTGGAAAAATGCAACGTAAACATTAAGGAAACGGTAGGAATGGCAAGTATAAAGCCTCTCTCCTGAGGCTTCGGAATATCATGGGCCTCTTGATCATAGAATTCCATTAATTTCAATTTGATTGTAATATGTATCCTGGCCTGGATCCCTTCATAGGAGTAAGATACATATTTCTTAAAATGCTCCATCCCGTTCCAATTCCCTCTTCCCTTATCCCTTCATTTCATCGTGTCATTCATTCCGTTCATTCCATTTCACAACAAGTTCTCAGGACGAGCATTGAATCTCTGATCTTCTGCGGTCACGAGGCGTGACTCCAACTGGTGCTGCTTCTCTTAATTCCTCGAATTCAAATATGAGACGATGAGCAACATGGAACTTGCCCCCATCCGCTTGAACTCGGCGTCGTACAGTCGTGAAGGATTCAAGGAAGTCGGGTCGACACTTGAAGCCATCCTCGTTGTCCGTTGTATCAGAAGCCGGGTTCCACCGCCCACTCGCTGGGGAGAGGTCAGTTGGCTTATTTGTCACAATTGAACAACTAGCTCTGGTGTCCCCATGACCTTGACTCGGTGCGTGGGCGCGTGGGTGCGTGGATGGTTCTCACTTCCGGAATCTGGTTCGATGATCTGGATAAGGTGATCATCCTTTCATTTATTCTCCGTTCGCTCAGAAGTCGCATAAGTTCCCTTGCCTCGAGGCAAGAAAAGACCGGGACCGACCACCTGACTATACATCCTCAACGAATTTCTTCTCACTTCCCATCGACTTTACACTGCGGTTGCTACTGGGCTTCGCTAGCAGTTTCTTCCGTGTCAACTTGCCGCAGAAAGCAGCCTTGATACTCGGTAGTGGATCCCGCGCCTCAGGCAGCACAAGCAGGAGAAATAGAATCGTCACTCCGGCGGTTGCGGGCAGGAAACCGTAAAGGTAGTGCGCCGCCGGGGCGAACTGATGCGGCAGACTGAAGATGGCGCAGGCGAGGGCGAAGGGAACGTATATCAGGGCAATAATTGTCAGATACCGCGAGTAGTCTGCTTGTCTGACGGATTCGGATTCAATCGAGGTTAAACATGCGGTGTCTTGACATTGAGAAACGGCGAGGATGTGTTGCATTTGCGAATCGCATTCGGCGCGATAGTGGTGGAGATCGATTAGGAGGCTTCTGTAGTCGTCATTCAGGTTCGTGTCTGTGGAGACAAAAGACTTGATCCGCGACAGGATCGGTTTGTACCGACTGAGCATCGAGTCGAGGGACACGCATTTGTCAAGAATTCTTTTGGTCTTGGTAGGATCCGACGCTAGCGCCGTAGAGATAGGTTGGCTTTCTAGCGTCGCTCGGATGTAGTCGAAGAAATTGGTACATTCACTCGCAGCGATTTGGAAAGCCGGTCGCATGATGTTGACCATATCTCGTTCGGATGGATTGAGGACGCCATCACGAGCCATTATCTGCCAGTGTCGACATAGGTCATCGAATGGGTTCGGACACATTGCTTTTGCTCCGCAATCACGGTAGTCGTGCTCATCTTTGCTCGGAGGTCGTCGGGCTTCAAGGAAATCGAGATACCCTCCTTGATACCCAGTGACGTCCAGGCGTTGTGTCGGAGAATATGCTCCAAACGTTGATTCAGCTCCGATGGTGAAGAAAGAAATGGGTGGATCGACGAGGACGACACCTGGTGGAAACTTAGTATGTTTCAGAAAGTTGGGATCCTGAGCAAGTGGCGCTGCCTCATAATGACGACTGAATTTTGGGGAGACTTACATAACCACGGATCAAGGGACTTCTTCATGTAAAATGAAATCTTGCGACGAGCAAGGGCGACTTTTTGTTTCCCATGTTTTGAACACACCTCCACCCTTCGACGGTAATTTCCTTTGCAGTAGAGCTTGTCGATGTCGACATCTTTTCCACAATTTGTGGTGACGAATGTACAGGGGTACTCAATGGTGAAGAATTGCTTTTGATGGCGTAAGTTTGCAGAAGCTAGTGGTGATGCTGTGCTGACGTCCCCAGAGCCTCCAATGCCATGATCAGCAATATGCAAAGCAAAGAATGCTGGCTCGATGTTCAGCAGCGCACCCAGGGTATCGACCATCTCAGGATTGATGTTATTGACCATGATGATACGTCCTTGAGCACCAGATGCAGGCTGAGCAGGCTGAGCAGGAGGGGGGGTTCCGGGAGATTTCCTTGTCCATTCTTTCAACAGAACTCTCAGTTTCGTGGTGTCTGTGAGATCAGAAGTTCTGAAACTTGATGTTCCAAACTCCAACAAGATGGCTGTGGCACGTTGAGGTCGTTGCACGGTGGGGATGCGATTAGCTTCAACACCCCATTGAAGAAATTCGTCGAGACAGGCGAGGTTGTGAAACCCATGGCTGCGTAAAAAGCATACGTAGTCGGTGTAAGTCCAGCGTTGGGAATCCGGTGGTGCCATGGTGCAGGTTTTACAACCCTGGAACTGATGACCCGACAGCATCACATCGATGACCAAGAATAAGAAGAGACTGTGTAATGATGAGTGAAAGGGCGTAGGACAGAGATTGAAATAAGAAGAGTGGAAATAGTTCGACTGGAAGTCTTTTGACAGCCTGGACAAGATGCCAGAAGAAACATCCCATGTTCAAGAACCGGGAGATCCGGTCGAGAGCATGGCTAATTAGGCGCTCAACCATCTTCTCATGATGGTGTGCTCGCTGGATCTTGCAATATACAACGGCTGGGAAAGATGAAGTTAGCAAGACGCTGGGCTAGCTCTTGATTGGGCAGCCTTAACCAGGATCCTTTCCTGGGACGTTGGACGAGGTCATGGTCCAGGTTCACTAGCCCCGAACAATTGCTTCAGACTCTAGACCTCGTGAAAAGACGATGATGCTCAATGGATAACAATGCGACCCATCTCTTCACTGTCCTTTAGCCGTGTCCCGTACCCCGTTGGTCCGTACCTGTCTGGGTAGTTTCGCTCGCTTGACACGACAATATTTCGCCCGATGATGCGCGTTTTTGCTTGCGGGCTGCAAGGAGGGCAGGAGCCATATGGGCGTGACAACGATCATTGGTGAAGAGAGTGGACTTCCTGCCACGCACAAAAAAAGGATCTCGCTTAACGGAAGCTGGTGGCATTTTTGATCAAATCAGGGTTCGAAATGGAGGTGGGGAGAATGGAGTAGAAGCTTGGGAGGCCCAGCCACCGAGTTGGAATGTCTATTGTTCGTCAGAAGAAGGAATGGATATTTACCAGAGTGAGACAAACATACGCCGGACTGCATTGGGCCTCGGTAACGCTGCCGCTGAACCCAATTGAAACTCGAGGCTGGGTGCAGACACCGGTAACACGTGCTGCCAGCACCGGGTGCGTCCTTTTGGATTTTCTTCACGAGCCAGCGGGTTGAATGCAACATCAACACTCAGTCAGGGAACGCTCTAAAATGGCAACAGATGCGAATGACCCTGAGATTACTGCTCGTGCTACGCTTGCTCTTCTCGAAACGCGTCTTCATCGATTAGAATTCTTACTCACCGGTTCAAGCAATGAAGATGGTGTTCCGCATCCCACCACCAAACCCGCACATAGTAGGGAGACGGTTTGGGCGAAACTGGATGCTCTAGAGGCTGAACTGGGTAAATTGAAGAAGGTGAATGGTCCTGCCGGGACAGTTGTACGCGACCTAGACCGACTATGTGGGCGAAGCATCCTGAAGACATCACATCTCTCTGACGTCCAGCTGATGAAGGCCTTAGATACTATGTTCCCGGACCTGTTCGCTTCCGTAACAACCACTTCAGCAATACCCAAATCGGAAGATTTGAGCACGCTCGCCTCTATTGTGCTCTCACATGCGACCTTATTCCCCGAGACCGCATCAAGATTGTCTTCCCTACAAACACTACAAGTTCCTCGGGGAGAACAGAGCGTGAAATTGATATCTTTAATCCCTAGACTGGATAAATGCCAAGAAGATGAACAACATATACAAGATGAGGTCCGTGAGCTTCGAGAGCGCAGTGCAAGATGCTTGGATTGGTGGGTGAAGACTGGAGTCATCGGGATGGGCGATTTGTGGGAGAACTGGGAAAGGAGGATTACGCAAGTCGAGAGAAGTGTCATTCGTTTCGAGAGACGAGCAAAAGAAGAACAAGGATACCTCTGAAAAAGCCTGGAGCAGGGGCCTCGTGTCCTGGTCGACGATGATACGATTCGGATCGATATGACAGACGCACGCACGTCATCCACGATTGATATTTGGATCAGCAATTGCAGCGGATGTACGTCGTCCGGTTACATCAAGGGCATTTTGTCGGAGGCAAATATTGGGTGATATGACAACGGCACATCTTATATATTCGTTCTCGTCGTCAACGATAGTTGGACAGAGAAGCCACTTGAAGCCTGTACTCAGTCGACAAGAGAAGGCGATCCCATTAATCGATTTGGCTTGTTCAAACTAATCAGGAATTGCGGGAAAGAGGAGACCTGTGGCGGTGCAAGGGGCAAAATGTGGAGTTGTCAGGATTGGTCGAGACCGATGGATCATCCAGCGCCAGGGGAGTGCCTTGCATCTCATCCAATCGTCACGTCAAGGATGTTCGCCCCAGCTTCATTTCGAGAGGATTGCGCACGCGGAAAAGAGGGCATCCGGGTGTCAAGCCGGTCGCCCTTCGGTGCGTCAGAAGTTGTATCAAGGTCAACCCAATGACAAAAAGGGTGGGATATTTTCTTATCTTTTTCTTCTTACGAGGTGGTGACTTTGGCCCATGTACAACGGTAGTTTAATGAGTCCACCGTACCACGAGCCGCTTGTATGAGTGCGTGGCGTGTGCAGCTGGGGCAACCACACAGCTGTGAGGAGTATAGGGACGAAGCTTCATTGATCAAGGGCAGAAATTTGAGACGAAACAGGGTAGAAGACAATGGATTTGTCAATCGCAAATTCAGAGACGGTGGATGATTGACTCTGGCTCAATTTGGTAGAGGTGAAACCACTTGTTGCAGGGGGCCTGTTGAAGGCTTGTCTTGACGGGAGAAGAAGACCGGGACCGAGGCTGGCTAGGCGGTTTTCAGCTGGTCTTTGGACACCCGCGCACCCCAAAGCCCCAAGCGAGCAGAGAGGGCTTCCGCCCTCCCTTTCCCTTTCCACCTCTCCAATTTCTCCTCCTGACCTCGATCCATCGTTCCTCAAACCACTGCTTTGAGAACCTGTCTGCCTTCTCAACCACCACCATAATTCAGTCACTCGTTCAGGCACCACTTTTCACATTTCAACATCGACTTTCTTCTGTCTAGCCAACTTTTCCACCCTCTACCAGTCGTTACCCTTTCTTTGTCCTTTTCTTTCCCAAATTATTCGTCTCTGATCGGCGAGTGTTGTCGCTGGTTCCTGACTGTGTCTATCATACCACCCACAAGCACTGCCCTCGAGCCCTCGACAAAACCGGGGGCACACACCATCCAAGTCACGCATCGACACAGCCCGCCTCTTGCGCCCGGTCCTCAATAAACCAGCCTGCGCCTGAAACTTCGACCTGAGATTCATTCTCTCGACCTCCTTTTCACGTCGATTCCGTAGTATTGGCATTCCAATTGAAAGAAGACACCTCAGCGACTTTGGACCCTTCATGCCCTCATACGGATCTCTCCATTCTCCCTCGTTGAAGAAGCACAATATGTTGGAAACTCGAAGAGGAGCCATGATTGATTTCGGTCTCATTGTGGGCGATCCCTTCGCCTTGGCTACGGTCTCTGTCTCTATCGTATGGGCCTCTCGAGTCTGCTATATACAAGAACAAGGCTAATTGTACTACAGCTCGCATGGTTGATCGCATTTATTTCCTCTATCATTGCCAATGTGCAGGACACCTTCCCTAAATATGCCTGGTGGGCCGTGGCCTACATGCTTTGCTGCATTGTTGGCGTCACCTTTGTCTTCGCGACCAATTCTGCAAGCAACTACAATGTTGCGGTGAGTGAGTTGTGTGTGTGGGAGTAGGACGTTTGCTAATGTAGTCAGGTTGTTGGCTATCTTGGGGCTGGTCTTGTTATGACAACCTCTTCAGTGAACAACCTCGTCTATCAGCCTGAAGGTGCCAAGGAAGCTGCCGCAGCCGGTCACATCTTGCTCTCAATGGTTGCGGTACGTGTTTGCCGACACATTATGAATTTGGGGGCAAAGCTGATATTTGGTAGATCATCTGGATCTTTTATTTTGGTTCTACACCCTCCTCAACCCCTCGCCAATTCATTGACCAGTTCGCCCTTCACAAAGGCCGCAACGATTTCCGTGGCCCTGCACAAAGCATGACCAATATATACGACCGTCCGCAGACCACAGCTTCTGCTCAGCCCCCGCAAATGTACACGTCGGCACAATTGAATGGCTTTGAAACCTCTTCTCCTGTTTCGGGATACCCAGGCGGACCTGCAGGAGGAGCGGCGGCGGCTCGGGCCTCAGCACAACCAGCCGCCAATACGAGTAGCGCACCTACCCCCGCACAGGAAGTCAGTCCACCCACCGAATATCCCTACCGTGCCAAAGCCATCTACAGCTATGAGGCCAACCCCGATGACGCCAATGAAATCAGCTTCAGCAAACACGAAATTCTCGAAGTTTCTGATGTCAGCGGCAGATGGTGGCAGGCTAAGAAAGAAAACGGGGAGACGGGTATTGCCCCGAGCAATTACTTGATCCTCTTATGAGATCATGCACATTGAACTTTCAGAAAACATCTATGCAGGAGACCATGGGTATGAAAATGACAGGCCACCATCAAGGCCTTCAGCGTATCCTTAATGACCTTTTTTGACGACACTTTTACTTCTCTTCTGTGCACATCATCCTTTTCTGAATTCAGCGGGGCAACATTGTTCCAGCTTTTGGCATCAAATGTTCTGGAACAGAGCTAGAAGCGACGCTGGGCCATGTCTTTCAGATCCGCTAAGCTTTCCATATCCTTCAGGTTGGAAAACTATACGGACTGGCATGGGACTTTTTGTGCAATCTTTTTTCATTTGGGCTACGACCGAACGGTGTGGATTTATCCGAGACCTGTTACAGGCGTCAAGGCGCAAGCCAAGAGAGACGAAATGGTATGAGGACAGTTCAACTCTACCGAAATCTGATCATTTCAACGGAAATTTGAGCGGTTAAGGACTGGAATAACCCTTTCTATTCTTCTCCCTCCCTTCGACTCCAAAGACCACAGGACAGCACACGCCATTCGACAATTGCAGTGCTTGAGGGTTGACACACTTTGTTTTTGTGACGCCGAATTTTTCGGAGAAAGACGAGAGGTCATTGAATAAAGAAGGGGCTCATGACACGGGACACGGGATATCTCGTCCTAGGCACACCACACACGGCATCATGTACTAGAGCTGGAGCTCAAATCGGGTGAGAAATGATAAAGTAGTATGTACGATTGGGAAGCTGGGAGTCAGGCTTGGGACATACATAGCAGGAGAAATTCGGAGAGGATTGAAATCAACAATGAATCCAGTTTTTTTACTGTTCCTCAGAATTGATGATGTGATCCACAGAGAAATCCCACTCAACTAACGGGTACGGAAAGGACTGTTTGGATAGTACTCATGCTGACTGACAACATGGTCCATGAACACTTACCATGGTCACATTGTGATTATGCCATCTCACCTGTTTGAGGAATTCAATCTAGCATCATTTCCGGAAATGACCAATTAAATTCCTCTCCCGGGGGCGAAATTGGTTTTGGAAGTTGCACCCTCGCACAGCCCCGAGTCCACAAAATCAATGGTTCAGTCAGTCCCATCAGTCAGGCTTTGGCTATCTACAGTACTATCTAACCTCCTTGTTGATAGGAAATCGATATCGGCATTACAGTTACCTTGAGCGTTATATAAAGGACAAATGCTTCATTCACAGCCTCGTAGCAACCCCGTGGTGGTGGTATGGCGTGAATCGAAATCGACCATTGCTTCTGCGACATCGCAAGGCAGCATAGGTAGGAACAACTCCGAATATCCAGGAACTACCAACAACGGTTTTCTAAAACCTCCTGGAAGTCGCGACATCAATGTCAAGCTAAGCCTGTTCGAGAAAGAAACGACCAGACACCGGTATCACTCCCTCAACTATCTATTAAGTGTATACGGCAAGGAACTAGAGAGCAATACGGAACAACATTTCACACTTACCCCAGACAGGTGATCATTTGTCTTAACCCCTCAGAGTCATCATGGATCATTGATCTCGCTAACATCGGGACTCGCATCGTGGCTGTAAAAGAAAGGCTTTCGCGTTATTGAAAATCAACTGGACAAGATCGAGGTCGACACTTGCTGGGGGTCGCTTGTGCTGGGCGCGACTTTGATGAAACTCCGAACCGAACGACATTCTTATCTCCTGAGCTGAACAGAGTCGACCGAAAACTGAATATCCACGGCATGATCTTGACTTCACTCGTAGCTATGCAGGCTGCCGATCCAAAGCACGCTCCAGTCCCTCAACCAGAAGGTAGTATCTGTCCCATTTGCACAGCGATGATTAACGAAGATCCAGATGTAGAAGATGATCAAGACGCAAAACATGGCGGGAATGACTATGGCAAAGGCCACGGACAAGGACCCAAGCCCCATGTCTTTCCCCCCTATTGCAGACAACCCTTCCACACATCTTGCCTGTGCACTTATCTGATGACGAGAAAATTCTCGTGTCCTCTTTGCCGAGGATTAGTAGCCGTGTGCAAAGGAGCTCGGGGACCTGGATCAGCAGTCACCGCAGAACCAACAACAGAAACAGCCACAACATTTGAACCAACCCAAGCCTGCGCCTGATATTGAGAGTGATGCTAATGTTGATGCCGATGTTGAAGTGGCCCACAATCCTACTTCAGAACAAAGACGGGGATGGTGTGGATGAATGGTATTATTTTGAACCAGGCCGAAGTTGTACACGTTCAAATGAATGGCAGGAAAAGTGGTAGGCAAATCAAAGCGGGCATCGGGAAAGAACAGAGAGGAGTGATCAGTCAAGGTGAGCCGCGCCTGTATGATGTATATCAGCTTTGTATCAATTACATCATTCTACTGGATCTAGATTCCAGCGATCCAATGGCATATTCCTCTCCTCAAGACATGATATCTTTGATCAGCGATCGCTCTCTATCTTCGCAGGCTACAACGGCGGGTAAATAGAACAGTCCATTTCGACATGGACATATATAACCCATGCATATGTTTTGATTTTGTCTGGGTATCAATAACCCCAGGTTCCAGATATGGTATCTGTGCAGAGAAAGACGCCGAGGTTCCATGTCTATACCATCATAAGTACGCCAGAATCAAGGACCTAAGGACCGGCCAACACAACTCGTCCGCTGCTCATTGTATACAGCACAGGTTTTCGCTTGGAATTCTTCCATCTAACCCATTCGATCGATATCCAAATTTCAAACACCACGAGGACAAAAACCGCTTGAAACGCTCGAGAACGCAGAGCGAAAACCAGGTGGTGTAGTATACAACCATGACTCTTCAATGTATATCAGTTTGTGCTGGATTGAAACTTCATCTTTTAGACAAGAGGGAATCGGAATTGAGGAACATCGTCAAACGAAATTCGTTATCGTCCTGAAGCATCCCGGCCACCTTGACCGCCATACGCGCCGTTGTAGCTTGTATCATAGTCATGGATGCCGAGACCGCTGTGATTCAATGGACTTTGGGGCTGGACAGCCGGCATTTGTGTGATATCATCATGGTCGGTCTGGTGAATCGGGGCATATTCATCGTCGTATGCCGGCTTCTGGTACGCATAATCCTGTCTGCCTGCATGGTGTTGCTCCTCGTCAAAGTCCTCATCCGCCCGCATACTACTCGAGAAGTCATCTTGAGTCTGAGCCGAGAAGTCACTGGCTTTCCCACTCGTGTGATCGACCGGAGGTGAAGGCATCATGCCCGTTCGCTTGAAGTTCATGACCGCACGGAACGAGATGAAAGCCGTGGCGACAAACAGGAGCATCTCAATGACGCCGAATGCGATGATCGCTTCGCTGAGCTGGCAGCGGCTGGCACTGCCGTATTTGAAATTGTCACAGCCTGATGCATCTTCTTTGTCGCCTTTCCCTTTGCCCGAGGACACGTATGAGGCGACGGCCGCCCAAGCACTGAGCCATAAAATCACAGAGAGACCGTCAAGAGAGGCAAAAGCGTAGACATTTGCAAAGCGTCGGGCGCGGGACCACATGGGGACCATAGTCAGGTAGATTAAAATAGGGATGGTGAGCCAGCACTGCACTGCGTTAGTTGAACGTAGACGGTCGGTGCTGAGTGGGCGTATGGACGTACCAGCCCAAAGTACCAGCCCACTCGACCGTCAGTGCTTCCATCTTTGGTGAAAACGGCTATTGTGAGGACCCAGGCAAGAAATAGCACAATTGCCTGGCCTATATGAATCCAGTTCTTAATTTGGCCAAATTTGTCCAATTGAAGACGCATTCTCGATGTGTGTGTATGTCCAGGAAGGAAGAGAAAGATACGGTCTTTCAAGGAATCCGAGTCCGACACCAGATGATCGGGCACAGGAGGTTTGTGAACCGGAGGGCTGACTGTGTCACTTGCAGTACGGGGGGGACGATAAGGAGTAGTGAGGTTTTATGTGCGAAGGATTGAGCGAATAGCAGGACTGTAGGAGAAGGAACGATAAGTGCGAGTTAAATGAATGATGACGGAATACTGTACAAAGATAGAGAAAGAACGAAGCCAGAAGGAAAAAAGCACGGGGAAGAGGAGACAAGTTGTTGGATAACTTACCAGGACCCGTTGCAAAGTTGACCTTAAGGTATGGGGACCTGAGATTGGTACGCGCAGAAGCTCAGCCGCAGGGTGGCGCGGTTAGCCACCAGCAAGGGTGGTAAGGCTGGTATGTCGATACATTGCAAGCCCGGTAGCCTGGCATGTATTTCAAATGGGCAGGATCATTTTTGCCGTGAACATCTCTGTTTCATTTGGCCACAAATGATCTCTGTCCTGCAGTCTCTTGCGATGGTTTAGTTGTGGCTCAGGATCATTCGTTGGCGAGTGCGGGACGGATGCCACGGTGCCCGAATTCAGCATACAATACGATAATGATAAATTGGCATGGTGGCAGCTGGTGGGAGACTACATATCCCCTCAGCTTGCGAGGTTCGCCAGTTTCTCGCCGTGGATTGCCTCGTTTGGCACGCAATGCGATCAATGATTGAAGTATCGCCTGAATATCGTACCCGTCATGCGCACGGGCATTCAGTCAGGCATCCAGCTCAATTGAAGAGCATGACAAGGCTGACATACTTTTTCCCCCGCCGCTTGCATACCCAGTTTGCCTTGCCTGGTTGAGATGGTACAGTAAGGCTGAAAGTTTGTTGGATGATGCCACGTAACAGTCATTCATTTATCTTGCCATTTTCTCAGGCGCCCGTTTGTCAAATAGTCATCGGCGGACAAATCATTCATACCACACAAAATCGATTGTCCATAGTGAGGCTATAACAACGACAGAAACAATTGGTATGTATTGATTGGCGTACAAGCATCCTCCGTAGCAGAGGGGCGTCTGCCAGGTACAAGTCGCCCGCATGCACGAAATAGCATGTATCAACTCTCTCGCTTACCCAATGCGGAGAGGGCTAAGGCCGCACCGGGCAAGAGGTCCTGATACTTAGCGTAAAACGGTACTAGCGCCATGCATTGTATCCCTTCGTTCACGTTTCTCTTGGCCCAGCTGACTACCGTTCAGAAGTTGGCCTTTTTCACGGGCTCTTGTGCCCCAACAGTTAATATCCCTTAGCGCCGCCCAATCCGGGTAGCCGCCGTCCTGCTGTCACCATCCATTCGTCCTCCCCCAGCCGCTAAAACTCGCCCACCGCTACTGCCTTCAAGTGCCCGACCAAAATGACAGCCAACTAAATTATTTTCTCAGCCTGCAAAAACACCCCTTTGGAATCTCTTCCCTTCTCTTTTGTTTTCCCATCAATCAAACCATTCTTCAATCTGATCACAACCCGACCTCATCCTCCGTCCAACCTTTGAATCTAGGGCACCCAGCTACCCTTTCAACCCCTCATCCAACCGATTTCCCAAGGCAGCCTCTAGCTACCTGAGTTATTTACATTTCACAAGTCCATCTTCCGTCCCGTCAACACATCCACTTGTGCCTCAGCCACAATGTCTTCTGCCGTCGACAACCTCGCCGAGAACCTCAAGAACGCCAGCATCGAGGAGCCCTCTGCGGCAAACAATGATGCCGTTCTTGCTTCTGCTGCCGAAGGTCGTCGATTGTACATCGGAAATCTCGCTTATGCGACAACTGAGGCGGAACTCAAGCAGTTCTTTTCAGGCTACGATGTGTAAGTTGCCACTCTTTTCCAATCGGTTCCTTTCATCACGGCTTATTATCCCAGCGAGTCAACTTCCATTCCCGTGAACCCTCGAACCAACCGTCCGGTCGGTTACGCCTTCGTCGATCTGAAAACTTCGGAAGAGGCGGAGAAGGCCATTCAAAATCTCTCTGGCCAGGACATTCTGGAGCGCAAGGTCTCTGTTCAACTTGCTCGCAAGCCTGATCAGACTGCAGCCACTCCTGAGGGTGCAACTGAAGGTGCCGAAGGTGCCGAAGGTGGTGAGCGCAAGAGAACTCCTGGACGTGGTCGTGGTGGTCGCGGTCGCGGCCGTGGTGGTCGTGCTCGTGGAGGTGCCAGAACCACCGTATGTTGCACAATGCATCTCTATTTGCACACTGACTATTAACACATGGCAGGACGCTGCTCCTACCACTGAAACTGCGGAGAACACCCTTCCTTTGACCGACGCCACTACCGACGCCAACAAGGACGCTCATAAGACTGATTCTAAGACCCGTCCTCCTCGTCCTCCGAAGCAACGTGGACCACCGGAGGACGGTATCCCATCCACGACCAAGGTCATGGTTGCCAACTTGCCATACGATCTTAGCGAGGACAAGGTAAGGACAACTCAGTCTATAGAGAGAGAGTTACGTGGGCGCTAACATGGCCTCTAGCTGAAGGAACTCTTCGCCGCGTACGAACCCAGCTCCGCTAAGATCGCTCTTCGCCCTATTCCTCGCTTCATGGTCAAGAAGCTTCAGGCCCGCAACGAGCCTCGCAAGGGTCGTGGCTTTGGCTTTGTCACTCTTGGTTCGGAAGAGTTGCAGAAGAAGGCGGTGGAGGAGATGAATGGCAAGCAGATCGAGGGCCGTGAGATCGCAGTCAAGGTTGCCATCGACAGCCCCGGAAAGGAGGATGGTGCTGAGGCGGGTATTGAGAATGGTACCAATGGTACTACTGAGGAAGTTGCTGCCGCTTAAACGCACCGAGGCGAACTGCCCAACCGGTCAAGCAATGATGAAGGAGTCGATATTCTGTTGGCAAGGCATGCTCTTAGGGAGACTGGAAGGCTTGATTGCTTTTCCACCTTCAGGGGTGGCGCTGGAGCTGAAGTATCGAAACAGACAAGGAGGTTGATAGATCAGCCCCGACAAAATATGCTTCTTGCCTAGATGGCTGTATCTTCTAAAACCAATAATAATATCTCTACCACCCCAAGGAGGAAGTTCATTTTTCCTAATAGCTTGCTTTTCCGGGAAAGGAAGGGCGTACCGGAAGGAATGTTTGCCTTTGGTCACGGTGATTTCGACGGGATTTTGTAACAAAAAGGATTAAGTATCAGTAAGGCACAGGAAGTACTTCTGGCGTGCAACAAGGACAATGGGACAGTGTTACTATGTCGCTTCTATTCATCTGCTCATAACTTTGTATTCTGTGCTCTAACTCTATTCCAAGTTGTTCATGAAAAGTGACATATGAATCCACTACTGTCTTTCCGCCCATCCAACCCAGCGCCTAACTACCTCATCGACAGCCCGAAGACCGACCCTCGAAGCCTCGATCTCAAACCACTCTCTATGCTCGCGACCGCATTGCGAGCATTCAGCGTTGACGACGCGCTTTTCCGCAAGTTCGAGGTGGATGAGTCGTTCGACGCGGTGCACGTGGGGTACTTTTCGGCCGGGAACTAGATGTGAGCCGGTAGCGTTGTTGGTGTGTTGTGGGTAGGGATAGTAGCGAATCAAAGTGATATTCTGCTCGCACTGCTTGGCCCATTGTGTCATGCGTCTATGGACATTGGCGGTGCGCCCGATTTTCAGCGTGATTGTGCGCTGGGCATGAGCCTGGGCTTGGGAACGGGGATTGGGACAACGGATCGAAGCGTAACGGGTGAGGGTTTCGTTTGTCTTCTGTGAAGATCCGAGGTCGTCATCGTCATCGTCATCGAGAAGAGAGGATGCCGCCTCGTCGTCGGGCTTGGAGACTCTGGATTCCGGTGTTAACCAAAATATGTAGATATACCCGGTCGCGTCGGCCGAGGAGATCGGTCGGGACAGCTCGGTGAGAAGTAGGGAAGTGGTCTGTGGTGAGAGATGGGATGGGATGAGTGAGAGAAGGGTCCGGGTCTGAGAGTTTGATGAAGCTGGAGTCGGTCTTGGTCGTGGGGTGGTGACAGGAGGAGTAGCTGATCGGGAATGAGACTGAGAACGAGTGTCTAGTTGTTCTTGGGACTGGCCCATGCTCATGTCCGGTCTCACAACAGACGACGTCTGTACATCGTGGACTGCAGGGCTGCGTGACTGTCGACTGCTCGATGGTCGAGACCGAGAATGTCTAACTCTTGGAGGGGGAAGGTCATCGTGATCAACCTGAATGCAACATGCCCACGACAATTTCACATTGGATCGTGGAGATGGACTCCGACGTTCAATCTTGGGCCGTGGCTGTTGTGGTCGTACCATTTCCTTCGGGACAGTCATCAACGGACCTTGCATCCCGTTCCAATCGGTGGGTAACGTGTCAGGCCGTGTAGGTCCATCACCATGGCCATGCCGGCGACGGTATCGCTTCCACTGCTGACTCGGGACGTTTTCGTCCAGTTCCAAAATCCCCACTCGTTCCACCAACGTGTCGATGCTCGATATCCTTTTCAGTGGATGTAGACTCGTCTTCGTTTGGCGGTCCTTGGTCGCCAGTTGTTCGGCTTGGTCTCTATGTTGCCAGCAATAAAATGCCGCTGCATTTTGTTGGTCCAATACCGCAATGATGCCGGTACCAGTATCTCGACTGGGTGAAGTTGCTGGAGACGTTGTTGGAGACGTTGCTCGGGCTCTTCGACATGGCCGCCCTGTTGAAGTGATGCCGTTACATGTGGTTGCAGGATTTTTAGAGTCAGATCGTGGGAGGAGAGATTCTGGAGTACATCCATGGAAGGACATTCAGTCAGTATACCACGATAAGGTCAACTGGCACTATGGTAGATACAATAATGCATGAATGGAGCAAAGGAACGAGGTTAGCAGTTGTCAAGAAGGGTGTAAGCGAGTGCGCAGTTCACCCACTTCACTTGCATTCAGTGACAGATAGAGATGATGCCCTAGATTGCAGAGGCAGGCCGTGCAGGCACCAGGTAGCGAGATGATGAAAGCTCACAACGAAGCTGAAGTCAAAGGGATTGATTGGACGGCAAAACTCAAGAGCGCCAAAGCGACTGGTTGGAGGGGTTTTGTGGTGGCTGGGGCGTCGTCAATGGCGGGGTGCTCGAGGCCCCCCAGCCTTGTTCCACCGCCAGGAACGCCGACCACACCAGTCAGCACAGAATGATCCTCCCCTTTGCAAATATATATGGTAGTTCTGCTCAAACTATACAATGTGAGCTGCAGCGCCAATTAGAGTATCTATCACCAGCTTCCAAACCGTGTAAATAACATGGTACGAGGGCCCTTAAGTCAATTTCAGCCCGCTCAGAAAATCCAGGGCATCATCTTGGGCACTTTCAAGCTGCGATATGCGTTGTTTTAGAGCCTCCGACTCCATTTTCATCATGCCGACCACATCCCAGGCTTCCGATGCATTGAGGCCGTGACATTTGGGACAATGGTCTCCGGAATATGCCACGTGGGAAGACTTCAGGACTGGGCTGGGTATTGAAGTCATACGCGAGGGTGCCGACGACAGCGCCTCCGAGAAAACACTAACCACCGAGCTCACATCTGATCCAAGTTCTGATTCTCCTGATGTTGAAATATCGGATGAGCGGTTTCTGCAATACTTCAACCGCGGGTTTGGCTCTTCGGCGGTACTACTCTCGGGGGAGATCTTTCTGATGCTCTGCTGCTGTGACAGATGTGGGTCAAGAGATTGACGTTGTGTTTTTAATTGTAATCTCAAATCTGTAATGGTTTTCTCCCGCTCGGCCACCCTCTCCGCCATCTCCTCTAATTGTAGCTTCAAGTGCTCATTCCTCGTTTGTGCAGCCTCGAGTTCGTCCGCTTGTACATTCTTGGTGGATGTGACGTTTCTGAGAGACTTTCGTTGATCTCTGTAGGCTTGCTGAAAACGACATAATGTTCCTTCGGCATTGAGTTGTAGATTTTTGAAGGTGGCCGGGGAGAACTCATCAGGATAACCGTGTGGAAAGAGAGCCTCCCGAATGTCAAGTTGTGCTAATTCGTCCACCGGAGCACCATCCGGACATGGTTGTGAAATGGTAGGTTTGCGGAAGAAATTAAATCTTGAAATACCGGGTGTTGCAGACCCTGATAAGCCTGGCTTCCTCTGCGGCCGCTCGGTAAAAGTATCTAAGGAAGCGTGACTGGCGGAGAAGAGGTCGTCCATGGTGCCAGCCTCGTGGACAGGATCCAACTTTTCCTTGCGGGGAGAGGGAACCAGTGTTATATTGACCGGATCAGAAGACCCATCAAACCAGCTTGCTAGACTGGACCTTTTCTTTGTGACTGATTCTTCAGAGGGTGTTTGTACGCCGTATTCTGCCGCGTCTATGGGAGAGATTCTTTCTGGGGACAATGAACGTGTGCTTTGAGGGCGTAGAAAGGGTAGGAATGTAGAGGATCTTGTTGGTGAGGAGGATTGGGTCCGAGAGAATAACGGCGGCAGGTCGACGGTGGTTCTCGACCGTTGATGGCCTCTGGTTGGTGCAGGCGGAGGAAGTGATACAGGCGGATTCTCACCAAAATCAAATGGCAATTGACGTGGAAGAGGATGTGCGAGAGCACCTTGAAACGTGTCGCAAGACATGTGGGATGATGCAATAAGGTGAGAGCAAAAAGTTGGTCAAAGGTCTATGGCCGCCAGGAGATCGTCAAAGGTGAAGCGCAACAACCTATACTAACGGCTGCTGGGCTGCTTTTGGCTAGGAACAGCTTGAAGCTGGGATAGCTTCGATGTGTCCTTGTTGTCGTCTCCGAGCTAAATCGATTGGGGCCGTATGTCGTTTCAAATCGAGGGTCGAGGTCTTCTGCCCCGCCTTGGTGGTCAAGTAATTGCCACACGGGCGACGGCGGCGGTCGAGCGGCTGTCTGCGTGCAACGGTTCAAATGAGTAGAAAAACTGCGGGAGGAACAAGAGAGCAGTGCTCGAGGTCTGCCTTTCTATTTTTCCGAGCGCGGCATTGAAATCAACGTGGTTGGAGACGGCCTTATCGTGCGCCACGCGAGGCTGGAAAACCCTATCGGCCACGAAGCGTGTTTCATATCACCGAGACCCAACACTCGGAACTGCGGACTTTCCTGGATGAATGAGCCAGAACGTTGTACTAGTCCCAATCCTCCCTGAGGTCATGGACTTGTATTGCTGTTCCTCTACGTATGTACATATCCACATCTGGTGTATTTGTAGACGAAAGAGATAAGTCTCAAACCATCTCGTGTCCACTGTCCCGCTTGGCCTCCTCATCCTCCAAATCGGGTTCGCAGTGTCAGATTGGTTGTTCTGAGACCAAAGCTTTTGCTATCAACCTCCAACAAGTGAGTCTGGATTGACCCAAACCGTTCCAGTTCGATAAAGAATGACCGACCCTGTTGACAACGGAAATGAACCGATATCCCATCACTGGTTTTTGTATTTTGAATCGAACTCGCGAGTTTTCCATAAGGCCGCTGAAGGGGAAACCAAAAAAAATACCTTCGAGTAATGCTATACCTAAAGTTTTCTGCCTATAAGGGGGAAAAAGCAGAAGAGAGGAAGATTCTTGCACAATGATCGCTAATAAAATAAACTCTTTTCAAAACTGGAAGACTTTGGACATTATATACGACCGGGCTGATCTCCACCCCATGCGCTACCAAAGTTCATGCTGTTTTTGATCCTCAGCCTGGGCATATCATCATCTGGTTCCTGATCAGAGGGCTTTTCTGGTACCCCGTTGGACTTCTCTTCGCCGCCATCCGACATAGATGAGTCTTCTCTGGACCGATGTGCCGCCTCCTCGGAGAGCTTTGCATCGAGCTTTTCCAGGAAAACGCTAGCAGCTTCTGTTCTCGCACTAAAATCAAGCGTGAGAGGACCTTTGAGAGCTGAGTCGTTTTCTGGTTCATGAATGGGCTCCTGCTCCGGTTCTCGCTCCGCTGACATGGTTTTCTTGGCCAGATCCTCCAGATTGTCGGTTGCAGATGTAAAATTAAAATAAGAATCGGAGTTCTCAGAAGGACGGAGTGGCGGTCTTTTCGTGGGAGCAGGTGCACGAGGTTTCTCCTGCATGGGAGTCATTGGACCAGTGCTTTCGCTGCCTGTAGACAGCGTGCCGTCAAAAGCCATTGGCGTATGGCCGGCATGTCTCTTCAACTTTTCGTCCAACGGCGACAGCAATGAGTTCACATCAACCTGCAGGAGTCCGTCCATCGGTTGTTTTGGCCGTGGTTCGGGAGAAAGAGTCGGCGACGCAAAATGTGGACTTGTGATTATTGTATCAAACGAGGAAGTCAAGGCGGCGGATTTGAGGGTAATGCCATCAAGAGTCTTGTCCACCTGTTCAATTGGTACCGGAACATTCTCTATCTTCTCCTGCTCGCCCGATATAGACGACACTTCCTTTGACAGCGGTGGAAGTGCTTCATCTTCAGAAATACTTGGCAAGTGACTAACATCGTCGTCATGAGAGAAAACCCTGGTAACGGGAGGGGTACTCTCGGGTCCTTTCCAGACTGGAGGTGTTGAAATGGCTGGTTCGGAGCCAATTCGGGTTCGGGGTGGGACGTTATTTCTCAAGGGGACAAAAGGTTGGAAATCGGATCTGAAAGAATGGAGGCTCGCACTGGAAGAATCATTGCTTGACCTCCTCTTTGGATCTCTGCTCTTTTTCAATTTTTGCTCCAATTCGACGATGCGAGCCTTGAGCGCAGTCCGTTCTATATTCCAAGCTTTCCGCTCGCTTTCATGAGACTCTCTTAGCTGTGTATTCCACAATCGACATTGTTCCATATAAGCCGTGATGTCTACATCCGGAGTAGGGTTTGTCATCTGAAAGCCTTGCTTTGGTAATTGACTAGCAGAGGGTACTGGTGGGAGGAGTGAGACATTCGTGGTGGCGATCGAGTGACGGCCTTGCAGAGGAGGATATGACGGAGGATCTGAGGAACGAACACCTCTTAAAATACTGCTGCTCGGATCTTGAGAGGCCCCCGTTGTTCTGAAATAATTCAGAGGAGAGTAGTTGACCGGATTATGTTCGAGAGCTGGGGTAGGATCGAAGGCATGCGTTGGAGAACGCGGAACCATATTGGCGGAGAAGTACTGGGAGTTTCGGCCGAGGGGGAGTGAAAAGATCGCAAGTCTGGACGAGGCGACAAGAGCGGATCAGCGATCCTCCAACAGTCAGTGCCGTGAAATGAAAGAATGATAGAGCCGAGGCCAGCTGTGACCTTTGGTAAAGAAATGGCGGGCAAAGGATTCAAGATAATAGACGAGACGGGAGATGCGATCGTGACAATATGCGGATGGCGATTTCATGTGGAGAAGAGAGAGGAGAAAGAGAAGATTGACGTGTGAACAGGGAGTAGGAGAGAGAGGAGTGGTGGTTGGAAAAGGGCTGGAAAAAGTAGTAACGGAGGTAGTAGATGGCGATGGTATTGCAAGCACAGTTGCGGTTGAAGGCGTAGGATTATTTTTGCAACTAGCAATGACGTTACGAGGTAAGCCAGCGAAACCCCGTCCCAACGCCATCAATCCAAATAACCAGCCGCGATTACCCATCGAGTCGCTCCCCTGGTTAAGCCTCTCCAGCGCATTTCTGGGAACCGTCGGGGATTGCGGGTAGCTTCCATTAGCCCAAGAGTCAAGGGGAAAAAGGGCAGTCTTTTGTTCTCGATATTCTCCGATGGCAGACAGGCACACGACAGCGACCTTCCTTCAACCTTTTTGAAGTCCCGCAACTCTGAATGCCACGTTGGTCCTTCGACCACTCACGGATTGCCAACACCAGCACAGACGCGCAGAACTCACAAGACTTTGTCGGGCCACTCTTCTCCACGTGGCCCATGTCCTCATTGCCCCCTCTCCCGCCGTCTCGGTTCCTTTTTTTCGCTGACCACAACTCAACTGCAAGGGACACTCTCGTACACTGCTTGTGGCCTGTGAGCAGTCTCAGATCCGACCCGCAGTATCAACTCCACACCCTTGCTGCAAATTCGTTGTACAATCCTACTCACCGCTGAAAATTTCTTCATACAAGGGCATTTTAATTTACCCACACTTCTGGCGAATCGGCACCGTTGAACAACATCTTCGACATGTGAAGGGAAAAAGAAAAATGCTGCGTCGACGGCACGGCTGCAGTGATCACATCTCTTTCATTGACCACTTCGTTCCCCATTCCAATCTGTGGGCTTGTGCAATGCGGTTCTCCAAGCAGGAGAAGTATTGGGTAGTAAGCATTGCTAGTCTTCTGGTCATATCGTATGCTGCTGGAAGTGCTCTAGGATCCAGGTAAGCGATGCTCAGATGTGAACCCTCCTTCTGCTTCGGGTCAAGAACGAGCTTGAACCACTACTAATGTTGCTCATCGTCATCAATCTCAAATCATATTTGTACCGGTTCTCAGTTATAAACTGGCGGTTGTTCAAGAGTAGGTCGTACATAAGAAACGCACTCGCACAAACGCTCAAAATCACCTTCATCCCATGACCCCCCAAAAGCTCCATGCAACTCATGCAGCAGTGCACTTCCAGCTCTCATACCGATTTGCATTCAGCCTACCACATCCGTGCACGTCCACACATCTCCAGCTTGTCACTTGCTTCCCCACACAGTTACCATACCAGAGAATTTTCGTCAGCCTCTCCGACATATTGGTTGTATGCCGGAGGTGAATCAGCGATACTATCTTCTTCATTTGGAGCGTCATTACCGCCATCTTAGTTCCCTTCGACATTTCCATGATCTTCGGCACCTTCATCATCCTCAACATCGTCAAGCATGCTTCGAATCATGTCACGCTCTGCAAGAGCACCAAGGCTCATGTCCGCTGCTCCAGGTTGGTAAAGTCGCAGTCGACAGCGTCGTTAGTGTCGACACGCGCCGCAGCAATTGTATATTGCGCTTGAAGTTCTTTCAGCACCTCGTAGCTTCGAAGCGGTCGATCCTGCGCTTCGTGGTGATGATGTAGAGACCATGTCGCCAACAAGTCACCGCAACTTTAGGCCGACCAGGCGATCCCAGAAATCCGGCTTCATTGTCGATTGGCATGTCGACGATGTCAGTATCACATCCAAATGCGATCAGTCTTATCGACAATCAATTTCTTGGCAGCCCGATCTCGCATCATCATGTGATCGGCGCCGTGCAGGTAAATTCGGTATTGGGCCTGATAAGTCGTGATGAGCGCGATGGAGAGGTCCGGAAACTGCTTCAACATCTTGTAGGCAAGATTCAAAGCAAATTTTGCAATTTCCACGTTATATTTCGACTTGGCTCACTTTCGTCCAGTAGTCGATCCTGTGATGTCAAAGTAGAGAACGTTCTTTCCGACACCCCGTTCTTGCTGGTTGAATTCACGGATCGCAGTGATGATTGGTCGATTTTCTTGCCGGACAGATGGATGGTCAACAAGCAATGAACGGTAAGAGACAACATCGGGTGGTCTCGAGATGGTAAGTGCCGTACGGCGTTGAGTACTGAAGAACACCGAGGGGTGCCATTGTTCATCATATCCGTGCAAGCAGGCTCATTTCAGACTGTGGGCGGAAATGAGTGTATTGGCGAGGTCTCTCGAAGACTGGGCGAAGTTGACGCTCATCACCAACAAGGGCCATCCCATCCGCACCTGGATAGTGTCCAATGAGACTAAGTACCTCATCTCACGACAACGAGCGGCTTCGTCGACAAGTACAAGTCAAACGCTGGTACGCACTGCTGAAACCTTAGGAGATACAGCTACAGCCAGTGTAGCGCAAACTGCGGCAGCCCGACGCAGAGTAGCTTCTCGTAATTCTTTGACTTGTCTGCGAAGGCTGATCCATTGATCTGGACAGAAGTCGGCTCCGTCCTGGTACTGCGCACAATTTTTTGCGAAAGTTTGCGAAAGTCTGAGGATCAGGACCCGGATCGCCGTTACCTGCTTCTTCTAAACGGCCTTTCTGAAGCATTCTTCGACCCAGTGGCAGAGGCAGAGATCCTTCTGTGACGCGAGAGTCTCGGATGCAGTCGAAAGTGGTGCGATATTCTTCGACCCATTGGCTTCGAACGGTCGAAGCAAGGTGCATTAGGGCGAGATCCTCAGCAAACTCATCCTCATCCAACATCTTGAGCTCGAGCAGGACGTGCTTCATCAGTCCGGGTCAATCTGCGTTGCATCTTCGCCTTTTGCGTCGTGATATCATATTCAGTCGAAACAGAATGTACGTAGACCACGTATCCAGTACTGACTTCGAGTAGTGCTCTCTGCAACTGAACTGCCAACTCATCTACTGAACGATTGGTTGATAAACACGGCAAGGGTCTAATGGAGGTCTTTTGACGCAAAGAAAGGCTCGGTAAGTTCCACCAGAAACTTTGTTTTGCCAGTCCCAGGAGGGCCATGGCATAGAACCATTCCAGCAGGTGCTTCTTGGACATGTTTTGTCCGTGGGTGCGAAGTCGACTTCAGGAAAAGTGAATCCTTAACTGAATGATGAGCTAGTCAGATGCGCTTACTGCAAAGGAGCAGCGTATCTGCTGAGAGAAGGGTTTCTTTCGTCTTACCCTTTGGGGGGGTTTTTTGGGGGGGGGAATTTTCGAAACGAAGTCTAGATAGACACGCCGTAGCATTCCGCCACCATAGGCAGTTGGCTGCGGTCACTTGTAGCCAAGACCGACCTTCTACCTATACTAATGTTGGCAAAGCCCTAACTCACCACACCATGCACATTAAAATGTGGAAGGCAAAAAAAAAGAGAAAAAAAAACCAAACATTAAACATGGAGTAGCGGGCTTCATTTGTTAGTAAAGATGTCAAACATTCTGGGAATGGGGATGGCATACGAATCGAACCCCGAACCTTTTCCAATCGTGAAACGATTGATGCTAAGGAACTATTATACCCATCAGGCACTAAATTTCGCAGACGATGATAGTAATGCCACTCACACGTCATACCACTGAGAGTACAGTTAGAAACTTATCCATTAGAAGAACGAGTGGGTACAAACCTAGACCACAACCCCTTCGGTGTTGATTTGTTTAGCAAAACTTTCCAGTTTAATATATATACACCACTGAAAACTTCCCCTCCGCATATCCGCTGACTCGTCACATCTCATAGTGAGTCTCTCAGACATCAAATTGCTTGACCGTAGTAGCGGCATCCGCCATCAACGATGGTCGAATGGCTGTTTTCATATCCTTATGCGGCTACGACTCATGCGAACCGTGTCAGCCAGTCCCAGGCTGGTAGCAATTCTCGAAAGCTAACGCGCTGACCCAGGACGGTACTCTACATCGAACATCTCAGAATCTAGATTTTTATGGATGAAATTCAATCGGTATCTGAAACATGATCTCTTCAAACTTTTGGGTCGGATGTTGTTTGCATGCGCACATGGTTGCCCCTATGTGTGGCATGGGAATTACACTTTGACCCTCGTCACGTCAACACCTGAGTTCTACATAATCCTTTGTCCACAAGTTCCAGGAGCATTAGCGCTTTGTCCAATGGATGTCTATATTGAGTCCGAATACTCGGCTAAACAGAAAACATTTTCGTCACCTCGTTCTCAATTCCTTCTGGGTATACTTTGAGTATATCCGCAAAGAAGCCTATGCAGAGAGTCTCCCACGCTGGAAGAAAAGCAACCTTCGTACAAGTGGTTATGCATGATTCATGAGAAGAATCAGGACCTTTTCCACCTTCCCCATAAAGATGACCATACGACACAAATTCGCATCGTCTGTGATTCCTCACCTAAGTTCTGTGATCCTTGCCATCGTTGGCGAGGTTGTGGTGAAATACCCAACGAAAGGCGGCAACTAGTGGATTGTTACCAGTAGAGCAACCACTGGTGTGGGACATCTTGAGAAAATTACGACTTGATGCTCGCCTCTATTCCAGTGACCTCAACCAGGAAGAGCGAGATAACCTTGTCCAGCTCTTCAACAATTCACTAATACCGCTACAATTCTTATCACAAGCTTCAGCATGAGTTCGTACGGGCTCGATCTCCAGCACCTTTACTCCAACACGATCAACCTGGACATACCAATATCTCGTGCCATCAGGGACCAAGCCGACCATCGCTTCAGACGATTCGGCCAGACCCGTCAAGTCGTCTCATGGAACTTGTCCATGAAAGGCACCGCGAATGACCGACGACTTGTTAACAACTTGGGAAAGGCTATTCCCCATGTTGCATCGGAGTTAAATGGCTCCATCTTTGATATCCAGTCCGGAGTGGAAGAAGGTGAACCCTTCAGCATTGGTGAATGGATCATCTACAATGGGGAGCTCATGAAACCTGATGGTCCAAGTACTGTTGTGGAAGCTGGGGACGATCCACCGCGAATCCTCGAACCAAGGAGGTCATCGAACAAATTCTTTACGAAGAAGAAGGTCGTAGGATTGAGGTCAATGTCTAGGTGTCCATGCTCTCCACGAATATGCCCCCTAGGGCGGGCTGACTCAAGCCGCCTCCACGATTCTGCACCACATCAACTTTCGATGGTATCGGCCACCATTCTTTCAACCAATCACTGCTCTATGAACACTGGCATCAACGATGGGCAATATGCTTTCGATGTATGGTTATTTATCCTTTTCTTTCTGCGTTTGCATCATAACGCGAGGAAAAGTACGATTGGAGGTGAGGGTAGCTTAGAGAACAGGGCAAATTTGAGGTTGTCAGTAGTATCATTTGTTCTTTCAACCACTCTCTACGATGGCTGTCGAACGGTACGTTCCCCTGAGACACCAGCCCGAGCGGCCTTTGGGCCAGGCTATCGGCCATCCATAAAGTAGTATATCTCGCCTTCTGGGGCTGCTTGGCTTAGGTGAACAGGTCCTTCAATAAACTCAGCTGCTCACAACAGGTCCTTCGGGAACAGGGGACTTCAACCATTGACGAATCTTAGACAGTGTAACGGAAGAAAGTAGCATTGTCGCCCATTTCCCTCTCTGCAAATTTATCTTGAGCAGTATATTGATCTGGAGCCTTGTATTCGCGGTCACGACGGGCGTTCTCATGTCGGAGCCAGAGAGTCATGAAGATCTGGAGACATGTGCTCATGCTGATCATGCCGATGAGGATGGCGTGACCCTTGGTAAATTCGGGAGAGTCGGTGCTAAGATAGATGAATCCTGAAATGGCGCCGCCGAGGTTACCTGTCCGCTGATGTTAGAAGAGTATGCAGATAAGGACAGTGACTGAATTTACCAAATCCAACGTGCATGGCAATTCCCACAGCTCGCTTGACAGAGCCGCCAATATTGTTTCCATTCCAGGCAACACCCTGGGGAACATTTGGGTAGATGCCGGCGGCGAAGAAGAAGCATCCGGTGTATTTGACGTGGGGGTTCGGGGAAGAGATGAGCATGATAAGTCCAACGAGCGCTACGCAGTTAAAGCCGATCATGAACACTCCACGAGTCTTGAGCCTATCGGCGGCGAAACCTCCAGTGATACAACAGAAGCAGGCGACAATGTATGGAGGAACGGTCATGAGTTGAGCAGTCTCATTCGTATAATTGAGGGTCCTGACGATGGTCGGCAAGAACAACGAGATCGAGTATAGTGGAGTGTAGATTCTTGTTCGTTGTCAGTATTATCAATGTCGACTTAAAAGCCTGGACTTACCCAATGGTAATGAACATGTGAACCCAGATTTTCCAGTCCTTGACAGCATGCCAAAAGTATTTCATGTGGAATTCGTCGGCAAGAGAACTTCGGTCATTTTCCAGGCGACGGGAAACTTCATGCCTCTCCTCTGGAGTGAGGAATTTGGCAGTGGATGGATAATCATTCATGTAGAAGAAAGCGGCTAATGCTATTAAGTTGAAAGGGGCAATCAGACTTAACGCAGTATGACTGCAAAAGGTGAATAACTCACCGACAATAAGTGTCACAAGACCCTCGATGATGAAGATCCAAGCCCAGCCAGCTTTGCCGCTCAGTCCATCCATTTCAATGATACCACGGGCGAGAAGACCGCCAAAGGCACCGGCAGCTGTAGCTGCTGAGAAGAAGATGGCCTGAGAAATGTTAGTTTGCATCTGGGCAAGAACATAAAACCAAAGACCCTCACCATGCGAAGACCACATTCATGTCTCTTATACCACCTAAACCCCTGATTAGCAAACCGCCATTCATGTGCCTTAGCATGTGGATATATACATGGTTATGTAAAAGGTGACGCCCGGGAACAAGCCTCCTTCTGCAATACCTAGAGCAGCGCGGGCAGCAAGGAGACCAGCGTAACTGGATACGAGACCCATGAGTGTGCAACACACTCCCCAAGCAACCATGATGGTCGGGATCCAAATGCTTGGTCGTGTTCTTTTCATCATCAAATTGGATACAGGTTCGACAGCAACATAAAATGGGAAGAAGATTGCAAGAGCAGCCTAACTCAGAGTAAGTACATAGCAGCATGTCTTGGACAAGACGTCTGAGTACTGACATTGTAATCTAAGCCAGACATCCCAAGATCTTCTTCGAGTCCCACAAGACGAGCGTTTCCAATGTTTGTACGATCGAGAAAACTGAGAAGATAAAGAAGAGCGAGGAATGGCAAAAGAGTCCAATCCATCTTCCTGATTAATTTCTGCGTAGCCTTTTCATCGAAACCAAGCTCTTGAGAGCTGGCAGAAGCTGACTCCAATAGGTCGACATTTCCAGCTTCCTTACTGGGAGGGCTCCTGATAGGAACTTCGATTTCTGGGACACCCATCTTGACGTCGTGTAGTCACGATGCTATACAAACAGACAGATGCGAACAGGAACCTGGGAGGGGGAGAAGAATGAAAAGGTCAAGGTTGGTCAAGCAGGACGAAAGGGGTAATAAATATACTGGAAGCCACGCGATGATCTGGGTACAAGTGACAATATATAGATTCACCCATGGTCATACTCGGACCATCTGTTTGGCGGGGGGCCACAAAACTCACAGGAGCCCGCTTCCCCCGTGTCACAGAACACCCTCCACGTTGATCCCGTCATTTCCCCCAGATCCACTTACAGGTTGTACCAATCCTATCCACATTGGATGCTTGGAATCTGTCCTTTTTTTTTTTGGCACCTCGACAATTCCAGGCTGGATTGAGAATCATGTAATCCCGCTAGGCCGGGTGAAAGGAAATCCCAGATAGAAGCGTCATGTATACGGTCAACGGTTGTCTCGAAATTATCAAGGCCTTACGTCGGCCACGGCATGGCAGTATCATCTCAGTCAACAGGCATGGATCCAACACTCAATTTTACAGGACCCTTCTCTGATATCGAGGTAATCAACAGGTATTGCCTAGCCTGATGGCTATTCTTGGCGCAGATCTGTTGGCATTTTTACCGCCTAGATTGGGTTCGGAGTGACCATGACAAGAGGAAGATCCGTTGAGGAACCAGGGGTGGCGGAATGAACGAAGTCCGGAGGTGTCTGGATCTGACAAATTATATAGATTCTTTTGTGGGGTAACAGAGATATGACAAGGGGTCCAGAGCATTGGCTAAGGCTTGGAGGAACATCCGCCGATCGGTCGGGCGGAAGTTTAGTTGAAGAATACCTGGGAGAAGTTTTATCCTTGGCTTCGGGCAGTGAATCCAGCCATACTCGGAGCATCAACTGATTCAGGCTGTAGACGACGAGGGAAGAAGTCAAAATGGCATGGGGGAGACGAGAGAAGGACGATGGATGTAACGACAAACTGCGTCCGCCAAGAGTCCGCTGGTCTCGGCACCCAAATGCCAAGATTGCAATCCCTCCAGCATCTGGGGAATGGGTCACGGGCCAAAGGTGCATCAACACACCACTGCCAACCACGTATTGACATGACCGGACTAAAAGCTTTCCAGAAATATTCAGATAAGCATGCACATTTTTGCAGGCCCCTTTAGGTAAGCCTATGGAAAGCTCGTTGGAGAGACCACCCCGGCGCCCCCCCAAAAAAAACCCAGAGGGGGGGGGGTGCCTCAGCCTGGGGATCTGTCTTGGGACCTCAGGGCTTCTGACAACTCGTGCTAGGACCAGAGTCTATGCACAGAGCTCGAATCGAAAAGAACGTGCCAGGTACCATTCCTATTGATCTCATTGAAACACAAATTGCCCGAACGTTGGAAATATCACCACTTGTGACCGTCCGCTAGAGCTGTGGCCTGCCCCAGTTGAAGTCTGTCATGCACATGGCCACATGGATAGGTAAGTCCCCTCTAAACAAGTGAACGGACAAAGCACTCGCCAACCCTGATTTAAATCCCATTCGGGCCAAGACACCTCCGTCATCCTAGACACGTGTCCTATGGAATGCCTAAGAGTCTTGCACGTCCGGAAAGCGGTCAGATCCCGAGACAAGGCGGAAAATTCAGCCTTTCCCAACTCCACACTTTGACAAGTCCCTAATAAGGTTTCCTTCCGATAGGATATGGAAGATATCGATCTCAAGTTGCCTCGGTCTTCATTCATCGATACGAACGTTTCACAATAGCTACTTCCGTGTCCCCGGTGCCCAAAGGTGCCGAGTATGCCTCGTATACTCGCGTCGAAACTGGAGTTTTGTTCCAGGAGTGATCTACCACACGTGTGTTGGGCATTGACGGTATCTGGAGTCGGCTTATGAGAAGAGGAATCTTCCCAAACCAAGTCCCCGATAAACATTGTTCTTAACCGAATTCTGAAATAAGGTCAATGATGTGCTAATTCACGATTTTAACGTTCGACGCACCACAACGATAACAACTACCTAGGTTCGAGGAGCAGCCAATAGGTCCATTCCGCTTTTATTCGTTGGGAATCCTCCATGAATCTTCATGAGTCTCGACCATCGGACTTGTCCATACGTCTGTTGAAGTGAGAAGACATCTCAGGTGAGCACGCTATCGATCTTCCGGGTGATCCATTCGTGTACTCAAGTTTCACGCCAAAATTCAGAGAAATGTCGACAATCATGAGATTTCTAATCGATGCACATGCAAGACTCTCGCTTGGTAAATCGTCAAATTCTCCATTGCCTGCGCCGACCCGGGAAGCCAAAATCCAACTCGGCCTTCGCTCCATCAAAGTTTTGGGCTTCAAGACCCGGTGTCAAACCAATCATGGAGACTTTGAAACCTCAGAAATCATGCGGAGGGCATCTAGAACACTTTCGGAGCCATTCAGCGGAACTTTATCTCCCTCAAACAAACTTTCTCAGCCCATATCATGCTGACAGCTGACCAGCTTGCGAAAACGAAATCATCTGCATCTTGCCTATTCCCATCCGAGACCGGGTTCCATGTACCAACCCGAACTCCCCTCCCACGTGGAATGCGCTGTGAAACGAGATAAGAAATTGGAAACCTTCAAATCCCACGGTGTTCCTCTGCCCAACGCTGATTGCTCTCAGATCTTCAAGCAGGCTCGAGTGAATGACTAACAATGTCCTCGACGGTGAGCGTCATCTTTGTAGGATCAAGCGGATCCTTCGAGGCCTTAGTCATCTGACCCCTCGCCTTTTCACGTGCTGTCAAATTCGTCTTGATGATGAAGACATTAACCTGCTGCGCGAACAGTTTCACATCTGCTCCCTTCCCGAGAGAGCTCCCATATTTATCGGAGATTCAACTGCGCAGATCGACCAAGTGATCTCCATGCGTCGTACAATCCATTGAAGTCGGCCACAGAGACGAAACAAGCCTTGCATACAAAGTTGAAGCAGAGGCCATAAAATGGCGCAGGATCAAATGCACTGTCCATCTTCCAAGAAGAAACCAATGTCTTTTTACTCCACAAACTACGAATGCAACTACCGGGGATAATCCATCACAACTATAGTGCGATGCCTTTGCATGGTGCGTTATCTCCGTAATCTCTAATCTGGCGGCTGAATGGAAAGATGAATTTAGCCGAATGCCCATTTTGAGAATATCACAACCAATATGCTGAACGGTCATCGGATTAATTCGAACGCAAATGGGTTATAGAAAAAAAAAGAAGAATTTCCAAGCCCTGCTCTGAACCTGTGTCAATTTGCTAACCTTGGAGACGAATGAACTATGGAATCAACAAGAGTCGGCATCATTGGCTACGGCTTCTCTGCCAAATGCTTTCACTTGCCTTTTATCCTCTCCGTACCTGAGTTCCAGGTCGTTGCATTCTTTCAGCGCGCAGAGAAACCTCAAGATCCAACTTCTGCAAAGCCCGGTTCACATTGTACTGTCAATCATCCCAACGCCAAACATTATCAAGCAGCCGACGAGTTTTTTGCAGACAGCGACATTGATCTCGTTATCGTTTGCAGTCATACCGACACGCATGCCTTGTTCGCTGAGAAGGCGCTGCTCGCTGGGAAGCATGGTACGGATTTGTTCAAACCGTTAAGTCGATGGCAGGACTTCTATCACGTAATATTGACAAAAGACACAGTTGTCGTTGAAAAGCCATTTACCAGAACGACCGAAGAGGCTGATCGTATCATCTCTCTCGCCAAGGAGAAGGGATTGATTCTTACTTGCTACCAGAATCGAAGATGGGTGAGTTCCAGCCCTTTGTCCATGTTTCTCGATGAAGAAGTTTCGCTAGAAACAAGTATCTTCCGTTGCTATAATCTCCAATGGAGCGCCAACCTCCAATGTATTTACTTAGGACAACGACTTCCAAACTCTCCAATATCTCATCCAGCATGACGCCCTAGGCGTAATCAAAGATGCCCAAATCCATTATGACTTTGAAAATGCTCCTTGGGTCGCGCGAATGACCAAGAAAGAATATTCCCCGGGAGAAGGCATGAGCTTCGGCCTAGGTTAGTAATATCTCCCAATCTCACCACCTTGTTTTTCTCTGAGGCTCTTCCGAATCCTCAAGTACACTCTCACTGACATATAATTTAGGAAGCCATTCTCTCGACCAAGCATTGCTCCTCTTCGGCAGACCGAAATCAGTAACGGCTTTTCTTCGTGCTGTTCGAGGAATCGAAAGTGAGATCGAAGACACGTTCACCATTATCCTCCAATACGACGGGCCGCAGCGAGAGTTACTCGTCACTATCAAAACGGCGATCATCACTGTTATGCAGGATCAACTGAAATTCTTCATCCGAGGCACCAAGGGGTCGTATGTGAAGGTTTGTGTTTCCTCCTTTTCATATCAACAACTTAAATCCCCGGTTTCTCTTACCCACTTCTTCTCGCTATTTGATCATCCTCGCTATCCCATCCCGCAATAGGCCTGAACTTAACCAGTCACTTCTCGTGCTCGTCGTGAGATAGTATGGAACATGCATCCAAGAATCCCAAATCTTCACCGGCCTCAAACCGACCACTGCAAACTTCGGGGTCGAAGACTCCCGCCTCCACGGTACTTTGACAACAACAACTTGTTTCGACAAGACTCAAACCTACGAGCCCACAAGCGAGAAATACATCGGCGCCTACCCGACGATTCCGGGCCGGTGGATGGAATTTTATGCGAACCTTGCGGATGCGATCTGTGGAAGGGCCGAAATAGCCGTGAAACCAGAGCAGTCGCGCGATGGGATTCGGGTCATTGAGTTGGCGAGGCTGAGCCATGAGCAGGGGCGGAGTGTGCCGTGGTCTTGAGAACAGCCGAGGGGATTGATGCCATTATTATTCAGTTTGAAGTAACAACAAGTAATTTCCTAAGGACTATCCCATATCTACCTTATACCTTGACCTTGGCATCCTCACCCAGAGCAAGGCAGCAGCAAGGGTGTCGGCCCAGGTTGACTTCCAAGAACGAAGAAAGTACTTCTCGTGATATTACTCGTCATGTATTCTGACCAGCATTGTTTTTCCCCCTAGATCTCCGTGCACGTAGCTTACTAGCTCGTCCTTGGACCGACGGAGAGATGGTAGTGTATAGAGAGAAAGAGACAACAAATTCGTGGACCTTTTGTCCGGCAGAAAAGAGGTTTCCGTTCGAGAGTTCCTGGTCGTATAGAGCCACACACTACTCATTTTCTCAGTCAGTCAACGAATATCTTATCAACAACGACAACAACACATATAGGCGTCCGAGTTGTAATTTGAGTCTTGCTGTTTCTGCTCCCCGATATTTGTCTCTCTTATACCAGTTCTTCCTCCAGCCACTGTCTTGTATCAAACAACCTGACCTGATCCAAGGGCCATTCAGAGACCAAAAAAAAAAAAAAAAAAAAAAGGCAAACTAAACTACACCAAACAGCAAAAACAATGATTACGCGATGATGATGATGATGGCGAGGATGACCGTTTTCGCATTTTTTTCCAAAATGCCTCCTCCCGTTTCAGAACCGTCAAAGCAACCAAACGTACCAATCAATGTACCATACCATTTCCGACTCTTTAGGGGACCTTCACCAGGCACCAACATCCAAAAGAACGAGCTTTGCAACAACCCGACAACGCCATGCTTCGCAAGGACCATGTCATATTAGCCAAAACAGCCCATATCCATGCCCGCTCAAGCAATAACAAAAGCAACAGGAGTGTGTGCCACATCAACAAATCTTTTGTCAAACCCCGCCATGACCTGGATTCCCAGCCCAATGAATGTTTCTTCTCCTTGAATTGCCAGCCCACAACCCCTTGAATGCCAGCAACGTGATTTCCATTATCCAAAGTATTCCCAAAAAGGTCACAGCTCCCACTTTTTATATCCACGAGGATTTCCCGTATGTCCACTTCCCCCGTTGCAGAAACTCCGCAGCCCACAACACAAACGAATGAAATTGGTGTGAGATAAAAGTTTCCCCTTCCCTGAGCACGCTATGCAGAAGTATCAAAACGACACCAGCATGCATAACAACCTATAGATCACTCCCACCTACGCAATGCCCTGTACACCGAAGATATGCTGGAAAAGTCAACACAACTCCGCGCATACAAAACATATCATGTCCTGGTCATGTCTTCATAACTCATTCAACCCCAGACAGAGGTTGTGCCAATCTTGTTCGAACCCCAAACACCGCTTCCGGTGCCCCAAGCCCCCATACCAGAATTTGAGGATGATTCTTTTTGATTATTAGAATTCGAGTTTGCCGATCCAGCTCGATCGTTATTTGCTTCATTTCCTCCGAACCCATATCCTAGAGACGAAGGGAGAGGTGACGTCGTACGCTTGTTGAGCGACGGATTAGGTACTTGTTGGACATTTGGACGGCTTCCAATGGGACCCATACCGCCGGTGACGGGGGCGGTGGTGGATTTTGAAATTTGTCGTGAATGAGAAGATTCCTCTCCCGAGGGTGGCGTGGGGGCCTTTCCAGAAGATGGAACTGAAGCATCGAAAGTGCCAAATCCAGAGGATGTTGTTGCGGATGGAGAGGCCGCCTTATCAACACGAGGAGCATCCTGGCCTGAAGTAGTACTTTGCGCATTACCTTCGCTATGTGAGGTGTGTCCGCTCATACCAAAAGGATCAACCCCACGAGGGGAAGGTCCACGGACAGCTCCCACTGCAGGGGTGGCAGCATTTCCTGTCTGATCTCGGTTGTTGGCGTCCTCGGGAGAGAATGGGACTTGACCGATGAAAGCCGAGCCGTCACCGCCATACAATGCACGATGTTGGCGTGCAATCAATTCGCGGCGGCTTTCCTCACTCAACGTGCTGGGACTCATGGAACGATCGGATTTATTGGATGACATTTCTGCCAACAAACCTGTTTTATTGCTCAGTTACAGGTAAAGCCTGGTCTTGTCCACCACTAGGCTTACTTCGATTATACTGCTGTTCCTGATGATAGTTGCGCAAGTCGCGCTCTCGTTGCGCCGCCAATCTTCTTTTTGCCTGCATTACCTGATCGGGGTCGTTATGCCGTCCTTGGTGCCTTTGAGAGGCATAAAAATTCTGGAGATTCGCGCCGGGATGAGGTCGAGTGGGATCGAAATCGCCAATGGAGTGACGGCCGCCGTGCGTTCGAGGACCTTATGAAGATTAGAAGATAATCAATCATACTTCATGAAGACAAGAACCATACCAAATTCTGCAGGACGAACCCCGACCATGGGCATCGGTCGTTGAGCACCCGCATAAAATTTGCCGCTTTTGACGAGATTGTCCATGGCTCGATCCACCTCTGTATATTCCGTTAGGGTTTTCCATCGGGACCTGGAGGAGAAAGAGCCGCACCTTCGAATTGAGTGGCAAAGGCATTGCTATCTTCGCGTTGTGAGGTGGAACTCGCGCCTGCCACACGCTGTCAGCATCATCCGAACGAAGACTCGACACCAAATTCAAACTGACCTGATCTGGACGGTGGTGGGGGTTGTTCCCACGACGCCTGGCGGACAGGCGCCTGCCATCCTTGTGGTTCGTAGAAAGACATTTTTCCTCCGTTTGATGTTATCCGCTGTTTCGAAGAGGTTGGGGCGATTCGTGGACTCGACAGGAGGTATGGATGCCGCGACAGAGCCCAAGAGGTTTTGATGGGCGGGATACTAGTGGAAGAATAGATGAGCTGGTTGCACCTTATAAATATAGGGTAAAAGATGAGAGATGCGACTGGCTAGAGATTGGTAGAAAGGAAGCATGCAGTTGGATGGGAGAGGGGGTGGACACGGGGTGTGTATGTTCGGGTAGTTTTTGGTGCGTCGTTTTGGGGTGGGGAGAAGTCATTTTTTTTGAGGATCGGCCAAACTCGAACCAATGATGGCCATAGTGGAATCGGTCGAATTGGCCGAGGCGCCACGGGGAAAATGGCGCGCGAGGGAGAATATTTTGTCTTACGAAGAGGAACCGGATGGGAGAAGCAAGGTACTGGTAACCACACAGGGGAGGAGGAGATGGCGTGAATGAAGCCTGAACTGCAGCGGCGGGCAGCAGGCGACACTGACACAAGGAGGGAGGACAAAGAAAAAAAAAAAGGTTGCAGGTGAACGAGGGAGAGGATGGTAAGATACAAAGTTATAAAAAAAAAAAAGGAAAGTTCTGTGATGATGGAGCAATGGTTAGTGCATAGCCAACGCCAGAGCCCAGTACGAGCGAATGCCACTGTGTCAGTGAGAGTCCGGGAGTTCTGGGAGAAGGAAATTTCAAAAGGAGGAGAGTTCCCAGGGAACCGAAATCGACAGAGGGACCGATGGGGGCCTCTGGAGTCTTGTCTTCTTTCCGCTTTCATAACTGCATCAACCACGAAACCATCGCAGACCAACTCTCGTCTCTTTAGTTTCGATTTCCCGTGCTCTGCTGTATTGATTCGGCATTCCGAGTCCAGTCAATCATCCCGACCTACCCACGAACAGGCTCGCTTCACATCAAAGGAATTCACCTCGGATAAAGACATAAAAGTCGTACAAACCCGGTCCTCGTCTAGCTCGCCCACCCCTAGCACCGGTCCCCCTTCTCACTCTTCGTGCCGGAGAATAGCGAAGTGCTCACTGGGCATTGGACGAGAAGGACAGACGGGACATCCACGAGCCTAACGCTGACCGGGTACCATGTAGTAGGTAAGGTTGCTAAGCGGCACTGCTAGGCGCAAGACTTCATGCTCCTCTTGCTATCGACATTTGAGCACGGTAACCGATAATGAGGATGTTTGGCGGCTGCCCGTCGAGATCCTTGTTCTAATGCAAAGATATTGACCTGTCCGGTTTTGGGGCCTGCCCTAATAGCAGCCATCGCAGTTTCATCAAGGAATTCAGGGAGCAGACCACATATCAACTAGAGTCACTATGTATAAACTTGAGAAGTCAAACAAGTGGAAAAGCCGGGGTTTGTTCACGTTGCCTGTCGCCTGCCATGTCCACAAAGCCAATGTCATGGTCACGGGTGGAGTCATTGCCCTGCCAGTAAATTATTTCGCGTGCTCGGTGGTGGGGGAGATGAGGAACTTCGCTTTTCTCAATTTCCCTTTGCCGATGTCTTCGACCGACCGACAGCCTGTAGCATTTTCTGGGATATGTAAAGTGATGGGAGGGAGACTTCGGTTTCGAGAACCCGAAAGAACGGTTGCCGTTGTCCTGCCGTGGACATCGTCATCTGGCTTTCTGATCCTGAAATTCCTCGTCTCCGGGAGATCAAAGGGCATCTTGAGGCTCTCAGAAAATCCGATTCTTCCGGCCTCACACTCAGTGACCCCCCACGAAGGTATCTTTGAAGCGCATCGCTTGATAACATCAGTCTTCGTAATGGCGTACAGTCGCGTCGTCAACCCACCTATGAATACTCTTTTGTGTGATGCAAGATTTGTTTAGGACGCTTCACTCCAAGAGTGTTTGGCCAGTGTAAGGTGATTCCAGTACACCAGGCACGCTGCTTCATGCCTAAAGGACGACGGGACACGAGCCGTTCAGGCGGGGCTCATATGATGGGATTTGTTGGTGCCCTAGAACGGGCATGGACAAACCCTACAACCCTGGTCAGTTTCTCTGCACCTCCAATGAATGCACCCAGCTCATGTTCGTCACCGGCCGTAGAGGAACGGCAGGTCTGTATTGCAGTCTGCAAAACTCTGATCAGTTGCAGGCGGCCTTCGAAGATCACACGGTCTGTCCTTCATTTGGACTGGACCAGGCCGTGAGAAGACATCGAAAATCCCAGAAAAAGTTGCCAATTCGGTCGAAACCATGATCTCTTCGGGTCCTCAAATTTCGGACGGTTCCACAACCAGGTTTCTTTCCTCGGTCTTGGGAACTTGTCGCGACGGTTTAGGTTAGGTAGGATCTGGAGAGAGGCTCCAAGCAGAGACACCTGGTGACGTGCAGTTTGCATGGCTCCTTCTTCCACTATGGCATGTTGACACTGTACAGTATTATTTACGATGTCCGTGTAGCCTTATCCCAGCTGCTGCACGGAAGCGTTTCCGAATCTCTCCTTAAAAGAGAGGCACCTCAGATTCTCAACTCTTCACAGTCGCTGGTAGAGTATGGAAAGCTCTTGACCATCATATTGAGCTTGACTTGCCTTTTCGATAATTGTGCAGCATTATGGCTGATCCGTGAGGGAAGGTGCATCCATTGTGTCGCAGATTCAATTCTTGACATGTATTTTGACCCCAAGACCCCGGATCTCGCCGCTGCAAGTCAGATCGAGAAATGATTAGCAAAACGATCATCAGTCTTAAGTGAACATGTTCACGTTGCAGTTCTCGAATAATTAGGGCGCCTCAAGTGTATTGTACAGGTCTCGATTCAATTAGAGGAGACTGCCAGGCGGGCTAGGAAAGGGGGCACACAACGAAGCCTGAAGCACGCCTCGTGACGTTTTCGCTGACCCTTGAGTGCTCCATTGCAACCAAGTAATGTTTAATTGTCATAGGCGGTCAAGAAATTTGAGTAGCCCCGAGGGAATGATGGTTAATTCCATTTCAGGGTCATGGGCAAATTTGAAGTCAGCCCAAATCTGCGGAGCATAGCGCCCCCGGTCTATAATTGGCAGAGGCGAACAATTTCTGTGGTAATGGACTTCTGCATCAGAACCTCCCCCCCCCCAAAAAAAAATTATTGGTGCTAGTAAAGAAATCATCTCAGCCGAACAAAGCTGACCTGACACAAGAGAGGCGGCAGTCCAGACTTGACTTAATCCTGAGTATTACAGCATCCGGTTGTTAAACTGCAGAGAAGATCTTGATCTGTGAGTTTTAAGGGGGTTTTGAAGTCCTCACTCGGCTTCGTCCACATTGTGGCCCTAGCGTGTTCTTTGATCCATCAGAGAAGAGGCTCGTAAAATAGGGCTTCAAAGGAAAACCATGACACGGGTGTCTTCTGAGGGCGACACGCTAGCCCGATCTGGCATGTTTCGTATGGTCCATTGTATATTCGGTACTATATTATGGATGACGGTGAAGGAGGAATCACTGTGGCAGAGTAAGTCCGTACTGAAGATATTCCGGTTCTCCGTATGTCATTGGTTGGCGGAGCTTTGAACAGGCGGTAAACCACGCCCTGTTCTGCCCTGCAGTTATGTGCCACCATATTGTACACCGTTCAGGAACGGTGATGGAGAGTGTGCAATTCCTGGAGCCAGGTAACTGGAGGTAAGCGGATCGAGCATTCTAGTTAATCCCTCAGACCTTTTGCATGTGGATTTAATTGAGGCAGCAAACCCCATGATCAACGATGCACTGAGGGATGGAGGGGCCAAACGCCTATTCCGCAGCAGCATCTCTTTCTCAAAGCAGCGAATTAATGGACGATTGAGGCTAGGCAAATCAGGGTCGCCAGGGAGCGGTGCTAGTTGGTACTGTAGCTGTAGCTTTTTAGAAGATGGGGGACCGTGTTCTGGTTAGTACTATACGGCGGGCACCGATTCCTGGGCTGCTTAGGTACGGTCAGTAGGGAGTGGTGGTCGAGTTCAGAACGGCCAAAAAACTGTGCCTCGCTCGCTCACTCGCGCATTTACTACACCACCACCACCGCTCCGCCACTGGCACTCTCCGTACCCGTCCATTGTCTTGTCCTCAGCGCAGCCAGGAACAAGCGAGAATCGTCTCATTGCGAGACTGCTCTTCTTCCACCTCCTCCTCAACATCTTTTGTTCGACCTCTAACCTCCTACCATCCTCTTCGTCTCCCCTCTCGATACGCGTCTAGGTGCCCTACCATCCTGCTTCTGCTCGCATCCTCGTTCCTGTATATCGCCAATTCCATCGTATTCTCCTTCAAACCTCCTCTGGAGCAGGTCAATTTCAATAACCTCAAGTCAACAACAGCCCGCCTTACTCCTCAGAAGATCTCCCCAATTGCTCTTTACTCGACTGCCCGAGAGCTTTTCTTGCCCATATATCTGGCACTTCCTGCCATCCAGTCTTTAATTGTCCTACACATCCTGTTCGCCGACCTCGACGAGGCTTACTCAGACCCGTCGAGACGTCTATACGAAACACTCATTTTCTGGCTGGCCAATGCCCTTGGAAGGGTCAGGGACGTCTGGTCGTCGCGCGTGCCCGAACTTGGAGTTTGTTGTTGAAGTTCTGACCCAATCCGCAATTGACAGTCCGCTCCCGAATCCTCACATTGTGTACACCCCCACAATCCTGAACGATCTCAAATCAATTTCTCCACGGGACCTGGAATAGAGAAAGCCGCCGTTGAACATCCTCGAAGAATTGGTCCCAGGGGCTTGAAATTGGGGGCAATTGGTGGTACTGCGATAACTCCAGTCCAGTCACCCCTGGACACACCGATGACTTTCAGAGTGCCGAAAGATGATGGAAGGACTGTATATACACCGATGACTGTGCCATCCACCACGATTCCCCCGTCAAAGATGGAAAGGGATTCAAACCACAGCTCACAAGCTACCTCCGTACGAGGCCAGGGCCACCAGCTCTCCCAATCCAAATCGATGCCCTCAACGCCCTTTCAACGGCCGCACTCCCGCTCGGAACAACGTGGATCGTCTTCTCCAGAACCGGTTGCCAAAAATAGTTCGCCCCGGTCCTTACCATCTGACAAGAGTCAAACGCCGCCCGCAGGTCGGAAGCAATATGGAGGCTGCAAATACGAAACAGGGATGGCGAGGGCAAGACGGCGTGTTCCTTATTCACTCGGACCAGAGCCGCTAGAAAAGGAACAGTCGGAGTTAAAGGCTCGACTTGACCCTGAAGAGGACGAAAAGCTGACCCATGATATGCAAAATCTGTACGAGGAACTACAGCCTAACGCCGAAAGTGAGGAACGGAGGTCCAAGTTTATCCAAAAGCTTGACAAGATCCTTCGCGGAAGATGGCCCAGATCCTCAATAAATGTCAATGTGTTTGGTTCCACCGGCAACAATCTAGGAACGGCGGACTCGGATGTCGATGTCTGTATTACCACTGACTGTAGGGAAATGGAGCGAGTTTGCTCCATCGCGGATCTTCTCGCAAAGCACGGGATGGAGAGAGTGGTTTGTGTTTCCAGCGCCAAAGTACCTATTGTCAAGGTGTGGGATCCCGAGCTGCAAGTGGCTTGTGATATCAACGTCAACAATCCCCTTGCCTTGGAGAACACGGAGTTGGTGCGGACCTATGTCAATATTGATAGTCGAGTGAGACCTCTGGCTATGATCATCAAGTATTGGGCGAAACGACGGATATTGAACGACGCTGGTATGTGATTCTTGGGTTCTGACGGAGCAGATTGGTACTGACATGCCCCAAGCTCTCGGTGGGACTCTTAGCTCCTATACGTGGATATGCCTGGCCTTGAATTTTCTTCAGACAAGAGATCCGCCTATTTTACCGACCTTGCAGCAACAGCCCAAGTTGCAACCAAAGTTCCTAGCAGGGGTAAATGTATCTTTCGACCGCAATATTGACTCGTACAAGGATTTCGGCAGCCGGAACACATCTTCCCTAGGTCAACTCCTATTCCATTTCTTTCGCTATTATGGCCACGAGCTGGATTTCGAACAAAATGTGGTGTCGGTCCGACTGGGGCGGGTTTTGTCAAAAGTTGAAAAGTCCTGGCATTTGCTTCAGGATAACCGGTTGTGTGTGGAGGAACCTTTTAATGTGTCCCGGAATTTGGCCAACACAGCAGACGATACATCAATGCGAGGAATTCATTTGGAACTGCGAAGAGCATATGAGTTGATAGGAGAGGGCAAGCTGGAGAATTGCTGTGAACAATTTGTTTATCCGACGGAAGAAATCAAGCCATTGGAGCATTTCGTCCCTCCGTCAGCTCGACCTGTCATTCCACAGCCACCGACACAACCTTCAATGCCACCGCTGGCACAACCTCCAACGCAACCGTCACGGGGCGGCCGAAATGGTGCACGTGGGGGGAAACATCCAAATGTTAACCGGAACACTAATGTGCGACGGTCTTCAAATCCCACCGGTCGGCACTCGACCTACCTACGCAATCTTCCATTTCAGATGACCACACAAGAACTGCAACTTCAAGCGCAGCATCAACAACATCTCCTTCACGACCAGCTTTTTCAGCAGTATCAATATCTGCAGCTCCAGGAGCAGGAACTCAGGATGCAGCTCCACCAACAGAATCTCCGACAGAGAGGTCTATTGGCATCGGGTTATTACCAACCTGCTGCGTATGTGCCGAATTCTTCGCAGGATGACGGGCTCGACATAGGCGTGAACAGCCAGACGAATGGGGTAGGTCGAGCTCCTTTGTCAGCACCTCTATATCAGCAACGGTTCGGTCCTGCGTCTCCATTCCTTGCCGCGTCTCACCCTAATCAAGGAGTGGCAACCAATCCTCCTTCACCACGACTGAATTCTGTAGTCCCTGACACCCGAAGATATTCACGGCGGACATCCGTGACACAGTCATCTTCAGGCGCTTCCTTACGAGCTCACTCACAGCCCGCGCGGGCAATCCCTGTGTCTGGCTTTGGGCATTTACAGGCAAGAAACGATCCTTCTGGTATGCCCGATACGTTGGGTCGAAGGTCCTCTGCATCGTCAACTTCTCAGGAGCAATTTTCCGGTTACCTCGAAAACGGATTCGGCATCTCTGGCTCGATTTACGACCCAGGGAGAAGACCCGCGGAGTATCTAGGATACTATGTTGGACATTCACCGTCATTATCCGCTTATTCTCAAAGTACAGCGATCTCTCCTATACCCTCACATGTCGGCCTAGCCATCCAGCATGGGGGACTATCTCCGCGTCTTGCTTCAGCAACGGCCCGAACCCCAGGAACGATGCACACGCCGCCGTTGCAGACAATTCCCACTGCCGGGATGGAAAACCAGGAAGGCCGGGAACCGGATTGTGAGAATGTTGAGAGCGGGAATGCCGAAACTGAGCCGCCCAAAACCAGGACCGGTCCTTTAATCGTCGACGGGTCAGTCAACTCCCCCAGGCGTACGCGTACGACCCACTCATTCAACGACCCGGAGGACCATATGAACCTTAGTGCTTCCACTTCTGAAGATTTCGCGTTCGACACGCCTTCAAGCTCTGATGAACAATCACAGGATGCTCTGGAGTTTAATAACCATGAGAGAAGTCCTCCAAGCAGTCCCAGCGCTTCCCGCAAGCTTAATGGCCACCTACCATTAAGGTCGCTTGGTGGAAGCCTCAAAGATGAATTTCCAGTCAAAAGGACAAGAGCCGCAGAATCGGTCGGAATGACAAGTCAAGGGGCAACGAAGAAATCAGGAAGCACGGCTAGGCCTTCCGATCGCCAGCTTTCTGCCGTAGAAGAAGTCCGAACACCGTCGCCTAGAGTCGAAGGATTCGGTTCTGATGGCAGCGGTCCAAAGGGAAGTGTGTCAGTCAACCAAAATCAGGCTGCCATAGCGAACGGCGACAGAGTCGAAGAAGGTTCAGAAGAACCATTGGCGTCGTGCACAAATGGATCTGTTGGATCTTCTGGACACGCACCCAATTCTGGGCCAAACCCCAATGTCAGCAACGGCTGGCAAACACAGAAAAAGAAAAGAAAGAATAAGAAAACGGTCAAATCGGAGAATGACGCGCAGGCTTTGAACCTTTCCAGAGGAGAATCTCTCCCAGCCGATGAGTCCCTGAGAAAAGGTGGCTAGGCGTTCCTTTGCGGATGTTCGTAGCCCGCATCAAATTCGACATGACGATGTTGTTCAAAGTCATCGAGGCCATCTGATTTTGGAGCCCCAGCTCAGTCTGGCGGCAAGCAGTTTGTCCCAGGCGCATCATCCCTCGAGGGAGAATTTATGATATCAACAGCACAAATCTAGTCGTTTATGTCTTTTTGGGTTATGCATGGACAAAATTGTTGGCGTTTGTCGATCTATCACAAGTAGAGTCCCAATCCGGGGTACAATGAATGAGGATGACTTTGAGGGCGTTTTTCGATATGAAGTGGCATATTACACGACCCACAGTGCAGGAGAGTCATTCACATATATGCCTCCATTGAAGCCGGCAATCTGAGGTATCGGAGTCCTGGGAAATTCGATGGCATTGGGAAAGGAAAAGGTTGCGATTTTGACGGCCTTTGAGATCTGACTGATGGATATCCAGTGCAGGAGCCGACGATCACCGGATGGCTTTAGAATGGATGCATGCCAGTGGTCAGGTTTTGTGGAATGAGGGGGTAACATAGAAAGGGAGGCTCAACGGTCAACAGAGTAATCTGGCAGGAGGGCAAAATCACTGCAAGATACCAAACCGAGAAAGGGAAAAAAGGGAGGTTGAAAAGAAAGGTGAACCAAGAAGGGGGAGAGTTGATTGGCAGATGAAACGAAGAGAATGTGGCCATTGCTATTATTTAAAAAAAAAAAAAAAAAAAAAAAAATATTCAACACTTTCCACAGTATTGCGTGCCGTATGCAGAGTACTGAATAGGGGCTGAGGATAAGTTGTGTGGGAGTTGATAACCAAAGTATATCCAGGTATTTCTCTGGAACTTACCATAGGCAAGATACTTAGGGGTACCGTTCTAGTTGTTACAGTATCTCTGGTGGCATGTGCCACTCGTACGATTCGGAAACAAAGGACTTAGGCGTAGTTCTCATTCTTTATTCCCCGGTGCCTGACACGTTTGGAGCCTGTGATTTGTTCAATTTATGCTTAATTCTTTGCGGGTCACTCCTTGACCATTCAGTTCGCTATCCCCATTCCCCCCCTTCTAGTTCTCTATTATTTCGTTGACCACAGTTTGGAAAAAGGCCCATCTACTCTCTATCACAGTCACCCCTGCGCTCCATTCTGGCCAGGCCCAGTTCATCACGGTGTCCTTCTTGATCACACCACATCTCAGGCCACGACGCGCCCTTTGCTAACAGCAGTTCTCCCGATAAATTCAATCTTCAGCTCCATTTCTCTCTCCAGACCGCCTCATGTCTCGATAGTCTCCTTCACACAACATATCGTTCGTTACTTTCTCCATCATGCCTCTCATTCTCGATTCGCCTTCAGATTCCTCAATAGAGCCAGAACCAGACCTTCAGGAAGAGCGCAGAAGACTGCATCATGACGCGGATGTCGTTATCGTTGGAGCAGGTGTCCTGGGTTCGGCGCTCGCAGTGGCGTTGGCAAATCAAGGACGAAGTGTGATGCTGCTTGAGAGATCTTTGAAAGAGCCTGATCGCATAGTTGGAGAACTTCTGCAGCCTGGAGGTGTGGAGGCATTGACCAGGCTGGGCTTGCGACATACGCTCGACGACATCGACGCCGTTCCTGTCAAAGGTTATACCGTTTGCTACTATGACGAGCAGGTGCCCATTAGTTATCCTGCTCACACAGGGAATGCGCCGCAGAGAGTGTCAGGAAAATCAGAAGAACCGACAAGAGCAGAAGGACGATCTTTTCATCATGGCCGATTCTTATCCAAGCTCCGCGCTGCGGCGATGGGACATCCCAATGTTACAGTCTTCGAAACCGAAGTCACCTCGATAGTCACCTCGACACATACTTCCCATGTTCTCGGTGTCGAATCTCTCACTCGAAAAACACAAAAAGATTTCTTCTTTGGCTCGTTAACTGTGATTTGCGATGGATACGCATCGAAGTTCCGGAAGTCCTACATCCACCCCACCCCCAAAGTCAAGTCGAAATTTTGGGGAATGGAATTGATTGATTGTCCTTTGCCTACTCCACAGCATGGAATTGTGGTACTCGGTGACAACTCGCCGGTCCTCCTCTATCAGATTGGAACACGTGAAACTCGAGTCCTGGTCGACATTCCAGATGGATTGGCATCCACATCGACCGCCAATGGTGGAGTAAAGGGACACCTTCAAAAGGTCGTTCTTCCTTCTTTACCATCCGTCGTTCAGCCCTCATTCCAAACTGCATTGGACAAAGGGTTGCTTCGAAGCATGCCCAATTCTTTTCTTCCGCCAACAACAAATAAAACCCCCGGCCTCGCTATTCTCGGAGACGCCCTAAACATGCGCCACCCTCTCACAGGCGGCGGCATGACAGTCGCATTCAACGATGTGGTCCTCATATCTGAACTCCTCTCCCCTCAAAATGTTCCCGACCTTTCCAACACGGACCTCGTCCTCAACCAATTCAGTAAATTCCACTGGCGACGCAAGAACCTGGCTTCAATCATCAACATTCTCGCTCAAGCGCTTTACTCCCTCTTCGCCGCCGACGACTGGCAACTCAAGTACCTCCAAAAAGGATGTTTCCGATACTTCCAACTCGGTGGAAGATGTATAGACGGGCCCGCTGGTCTTTTAGGAGCCATCATCCGACGTCCTTTTGTCCTCTTTTATCACTTTTTCAGCGTGGCGTTGTTGAGTATTTGGGTCTTGATACAGGAGAAAGGTGTGCTAATGTTCCCTATCAGCCTCGTGCAGGGGTTTATGGTCTTTTGTAAGGCCTGCGAGGTCATTTTTCCGTATATATATGCGGAGCTGAAGAGTTAACGCACTCCTTGCTCTAGAATGGGTGCCCTTGTACAATTAATCCAATGAAATAGAAACAAATGGTGAATTATAAAGGCTTCTCGTGTCCATGGATTTCTCATCAGCTAGGTGCGTAATCAACGCAATTCCACAAAGTGTTCCTACCAGGATTTACAACTTCTCAGCACCCTGCTTTTTCTTCTTGGCCTCTTTCTCCTTGACTTTAAACGCATTAATCGCACCCACAATCAGCGCGCCGTCATTAAATCTCGTCGGCCACAATTCTTTCATCTTCCCTACTAGATCGCGTGCATTCCTACACTCCCCATTCTCTGCCAATTTGTCAAAGTCCAAAATATATTTCCTTGATGCCTCGACGTGCCATGGCCCATCAAGCTCAGAGGGTCTCCTGTGCCCCGGCACCACGGAGGCCAGGTTGAGCGATGAGACGATGTCGAGTGCGCGAACCCATTCCATGCGCAGTGCGTGCGTGTTGGCTTCACCGAGCATTTGATGCACGTCACCGTAGACGACGTCGCCGGCGACCACGAGGCGGAGGGCAGGGCACCAGAGCACGGTGCTGTTGTGTGTGTCGCTGTGGCCGACTTCTACAGCCACCATCTGCGTTTTCCCGCGGAATAGGCGTGCCAGAGGAAGTCGAGGGCGAAAAGAACTCCCCCGAGGTAGGCAAAGGTTCTGCAAGCACAAAGTTCGTGTCAATTTGCCCTGGGAAGCGGGACCCCCACATGGTATTGAAGGTTTTGGGCTCGATCTGGCCGCGCATGTGGCCAATGGTTCCCTGCGTCGCTACGGGTCTGGCGGTGGGGAATTTTTGAGTAGCATGTTCAGACCGAACCAGTGGTCGCCATGCCCGTGGGTGATGTAGATGTACGTGATTTGGGCGCCGGGGTGGAGCGTTTGCTCGATCCAGGTTATGAGGTCGGCGGTTTGGGACCTGGTGATGGGTGTGTCGACGAGGACGGCGGATGTTGGTGTGTGAACGAGCGTGCTCGAGATCGGGGACCACGGGGCACCTGGCTTGCCATTGGGTGCGGTCCAGGGAATGCCGGGGAAGATGAAGACGGAGGCACGCAGAGCCATGGTTGGGACTGGTGGGAGGTAGGGGTCGTGGTGCATGAGCATGCGAGGAAGTCAGGAGTCAGGAGTTTGGTGGTGGCGCAACAGCTTCACGAAGTTGTAATAGGAAAGAGAACGTGAAGACGGCATAAGAAGAGCAAATCTTACCTTGTTTCTCAGATCATGGAGTCTGGGGTCTTTGTATATCGTCAACATGAAGAGAAGAGGAATCAATGTGGGGTGAGGATCTCGGGTAGAGATTTGTGTAGTAATCCAACGCCGAGGGTGGATAGTGATTGGTCTGCCTCACACTCTGTAGCTCCAGGCACTCGAAAGAGATTAGGAGCATCCTGAGATGAGAGAAGAATGTTTTGTATTCGAAATGCGGGTAAGTAATCATTACATCCCACCACACCCAAAATCAGATTCATATCCGACCGCTCACGCCTTTTCTCACGTCTGTGTAGCCTTTAATCTCTCGAGAATGTACTCGCCAGCTTTCAGTGGTAAGAACCGGCTCTTCCCGACACACCGCTCTGGTAGCGCCGTGACCTCGCTGTCGTAATTGATGCTGAAGAAGAACGGTACCGAGTACCTTTCACCGGCCCCAGGTTTGCTTACGACTCGATGAATTGTCGATTTGTACAGTCCATTGGTCCAGCGCATGAGAAAATCTGCCACATTGACGGTCAATGTGCCTGGTCGTACGGGACAGGGCCGCCAAATCGGTAGGTTGTTTGTGAGAGGAGATGGAGGAAAGAGGATCTCGAGTCCTGGATTCGTCGACGATAAGAGCAGTGTGAAACACTCATAGTCGGTATGCGCCCCCAGTCCCAGTTTTCCTTCGAACTCTACCTCTTCATCAGTCTTCTCCTTGTCCAGCGCCGGTTGTCCGGCGTAATAAAGAAGTCGAGCAATCCCGCCTGGATGTGTCATTAAAGGATCGAAGTAGTCTTCCTCGAGATCGAGCGACAACGCAAAAAGGCGAAACAAGTGCCTTGCCAGTTCCAGCACTTGGCTGTAGTACAACGAAATAGTCGCATGAAAGCCTGGTAAATCGTCTTCGGCAGGCCAGACATTTCCTATTCCGGTCGTGGCGGGAGCTACCCCATCCAATTCGACATATTTCCCATCACCACCACTGGGATCCATGGCCTCTTCATATCCCCAATTGAAGCCTTCTTTTGTTTCTTGCTGGGCCGATGACCTGCCATCTGGGTCCTTGTCGTCGGGGTTGACATATGTGTAATCATGTGGCTCGTAACCACGAAAGAGAGGTGAGTATTTGATGTGCATCGCGTGCTTCTTCTCTTGCGGCAATTCATGGAAGAATCTCTCCGCCTGCTTCAGTACTCCAGCCATCGCTTCCTCCGTGACTCCATGATTGCTGATCTGGAAAAATCCGGTGGTCACACACGCTTCGTGAATTTGCCTGGCAATGGTTTTCCGAGAATCCAAGCTTCCGTCGAATGATGCTCCGATGTCAATAAGTGGAACCGTTGGGAGTGATTCAACTGGAACATTTGGAGGGGGTTTACGGATGGCTCCGGCGAGACGGTTACGGAGATTAATTTGCGCGGCCTCGACCTCTTCTCGGATGATAGATGCGGGTTTGGGGGAGACGTATGAGGCAGAAAGGGGATCAGGGACAGGTTGAGGATTTAAAGTGGATATTGCCATCATGAAGACCTCCAAAATGTGAGATAGAGCAGAACTTGCGACAATTGGACAGGATAAGAGACCCCCTCTGATAGACGCATTCGGATGACGGTCGTCAATTCTTTCGAGGGAGGGACCTGTTATATAGTTTGATCTATTGCAAGACACAAGCTTCAGGAGGTCCGAGACCAACAAATCCTTCCTCGTACGGCTGATAATGATATCGGCCCTCGTTGCCGATTGGGTTGCAAAGACAAGAAAAATAATTATAGGGACGGAGTAGTCCGCTAGATTCGTTCGATGAAGCTTTTCGTACCCGGACATCGAGGGGGAAAAAAAAAAAAAAAAAAGGAGGGGAGGAATCGGATGGTGAATTGGATTGGAATAAGGCGGGGCATTTGACGGTCTTTGTTCATCATCTGCCTGTCATTCGCATGGCTGATCTTTCCCAGTATGAATAGTGATGGCAGAATATTGCCATAATTCATCAATAGTCATAGAACATTCACGTCGTCACGAAGGAATTGTCGAGCTGTTGTGATGGTAGTCGAAAATCCCCTACCAGCTCCGCTGACAGCAGCTTGCGGAGCCAGTTCCTGTACCGCACTGGCCCAGAGTCCTGGTTTCTCAAGATCGGTCGGCCACCAATCAAACAACAGAAACGCCTCTTCCGCGGTCCATGGTCCAGTCTCCTCCTTGGATCGTTCCTGAATGTTGCTTTCTCTCATGTCGTTATTCCCCTTGTCTAGGACAGCAGTGTCGGATGCACATCGGCGGAACCTTGACGGGCTTTTTGATTTCACAGAACTCCGCCTGGAGGCTAGATTTTCCAACACTTCGAGAGGCTCCCGTGATTGAACGCCAACAGCTTCTGGGATTGCAATAAAGTCTTCGTCCTCCAAAACGTCAACCTCAGAGAAAACCCGTCTAAAGGTTCGCGGATTAGTCCTGAGAGCCGGAAGTCTCGGATAATTGTCTTGTCGGGGGACCGGATGCGGAGAGTTGGGATCTAGCAGTGAGCAAGAATTGGTCTGGGTGTTTTCTTCTGCTATGAAGCCAGTCTTTGAACCAACTTGTTCGGCGATAGGAGATCTCTCTGGCTTTCGATTGTCTTCGAAGTCCGGAAACAAGAAGTCATCTTGCGTAAGTATCGGCCTGGGTGAGGGTGATTTTGGTCCGGCGTTCTCATCGGGTATAAAGAGAGGGCTGGGGAAAATATTGCGGCCCTCAGAAGGATCGCCTCCGGGGGAATTTTTGGGACTCGGGCTGGGGAGGAGGATAAGCTGCGAGGGTTCCTTGTCGTGGGAGGACTTGTCACCATATCTGTTTAAAGGAGATCCAGCCTGATCACGGACTGCAGCATTACCAGTGCTGTCTCGACCAAGGGACACTTCGTCTGAATTGTTCGAGCGGCGTCTGGAAATCTGGTCTTTTGAAAGCGGTAGTAAACAAGTCAACTTGCACCTAACCTTCTGCTGGTTAAGCAACAATCGAGCTGTGTGTATTTTAGTTGATCGAGCATTTGCAACAGTAGCTTTTGTCTTGTTTGATTTCGGCTTTGCGGGATTTTCGTGTGCATCAAGAGCAATTCCTGTAGGTCCATCTTCATAAGCACTTGTTGAATTCTGACGGGCTTTCGGTAGTTCTGATGTCAATTTCTTAGTCGCCTGTCGCTCCTCTCTAGATTTCTTTGGACCATTTACTGATAGACTTGCAGGCCTTACAACTTTCACACGTCGTTGTCGAAGCTCTTCGGCTGAAGAGATGTCGAAACCCTCGTGGAATTCGATTGGAGCATCTGTCTGATGACTTGAAAGCGCGGCAGATTTATTCTGATTCGGCCGTGCAGGCTGAGGTAAGCGAGGCCTCATCGGCTCCATGACAATACCGGACCGGTTTTCTTTATCACCGGAAAGTCTTCGTCTTTTCGGAAGTGGCTCGGCTTGTTTGATCCTAGAAGATGCCTGCCTCTGCTCGTAAGGCGACTGAAGGGATAATCTTGAATGTCCCAATCGACCTTGAGAGGGGCCCAACACCTCAAGCAGGGATTTTGGTCTTGCGGAGGGGCCAGTTGACGATGGCCGAGCATTGAGCCCTGTAGCTTGTCTGGCTTGTGCTACGACTTTCTCTGGACGCGGTCTCTCAAGGATTGGGGCCAGGTCAGTCTGAGTCTCTCCGAGTCGTTCACCCACTTCAACTTTTACTCCGCGGTCCAATTGTATCTCGACACCTTCAGCGAACTCTTCCTCTTGCCTATAGTGAAGGTCTCCGATGTAATTCTTCGCGTCATCATACACCATGACGCGTCGATTGAAGGTGTGAAAACGTAGGGAGCCATCGTGCCATTTCTTGGCCTTCTTATACAGGTCTCGCGTGTAGAGACAGCGGAACTCGTGGACAGGAGCAGTGTTCTGAGTTGGAACTACGGTCAAATTGAGAGCCCCTCGGTGCGTGGAGGTCGGGGTGGGCATGATCACAACAACTGCAGCAAGCAGGTGTGGTCAGCGACATTCTGCGGATGCTGGCCAACGGATGGGTCAAAACATGTCATTGTGCTCGCTAGGGAGAGAATACCAGTGGACAGGAGGTTATTGTATTTTCCACATGACATGACAGTGGCATGGGTTGAAAAAGTGGAAGTGAAACGCGCGTCAAATGAGGCTTGAGGCTCGGAAGCAGAAGCACAGCGCAGGCTAAGGCGGACGGGCCTTTTCCCTTTCCCTTTCCCTGTGTCCAACTATTTGTCTTGTTCTCCCTCCTGTAACTGTTGACATTCAAAAGTAATCTTTTCTAGACTGCAGGTCAGTTACTGCTTTAATGTATTGCTCTCTTCCCCCGTCCCACTACCTCCACTCGCTCCTTCAAGCATTTGGTTGACCTTTTGGCGGCTTGTGCCACCATCTTGTTGCTGTCAACGGGACCCGGAATCTCGAGACCCTCCCCTTCCCCCTTACGAGCATTCTGGATATTACAAGAAGATCCCCAACGGTATCTGTGACCGACTTGCCCTCGATCGGCAGTCACCATGCAGAGTGTCCAACGGCATTTTGGCAAATACATGAAAAGGACTGCGGATGAACAACAAGTTTCGGTTCTACTCAAAGATTTCGAGGATGCAGATCGATTGTTGACCAAAGTACGTCGAAGGCTATTCAACAAAATTTCTCGTCCAGCAACTGACTCTTCAAGATCATTGAAACCTCCAAACAATGGAGAGATTCGTGGATCTCAATCTTGACCCATCAACATCGACTCATGGACGAATTTGAAATTTTGTACAACCCCATCATAGGAGCGGGTGACGATTACCACGGTCATGTCCCAGTTCAAACTCCCGATCACCTTGTCCGCCGAACCCATAGGATCAGAGAGGAATACGCAGAATTGAAGAAAGATCTCACAGAAGACTTGGGTCAAGTTGAGGAGAAACTGATCAGACCAGCCCAAGAGGCCAAAGACAACCTCCACATGATGAAGAAGACAATCAAAAAGAGGGAAGACCGGAAACTTGACTTTGAAAGATATCAAAGTAGGGTGGACTCGAGTCTCAAAAAGACCAAACGATCAGAAAGGGACAACGCAGCCCTAGCAAAGTCTCAGGCAGACCTTGCAACGGCCACAGAAGCGTACTCGGCGGCTGACGAGCATCTGAGGAACTGTCTGCCTCGTCTGTTAACATCGGTCTTCTCCCTACTTCCGCATTTCCTAGCTGCTCAAATTCATATCCAAAATAACTTGCTAGGACATTACTACACCATGCTACACGCTTACTGTACCGAGGAAGGTTTCCCTTCCCCAAGTCCGCCCATGGATGAAGTCATTAGACTGTGGAGCGATGCTTTTAAACCCGTGCAACACGAGGCTGAGTCGCTGATGTTACTAGCTAGTGGGAAGGCTGTCAGGACACCCATGAACCAAGAAAATGGTCACCATCCTGTCAATGGGTATCGTCGACCAAGTGCCAATTCTACATTCAATCGCGCACAATCCGTCTCGCCCGCTAGGGCTCTCCCTCCTTCTCCCTCCTATGATATCAAACCGAAGACCTCTACCTCGCCCTCAGCCATGTCGCTTCTCAGTCCGCAAGAAGTTCTTCCGAGTCCTTCTCCGTCACACTCGTTATATCAGACTCCGATGTCCTACTCTCCTGCAGGGCCACATACAGACTATTTCTCCCGGGATAGACAGCCGTCTACAGCGTCAATTGGCTCAACTGCGACCACTGCGTCGATTGCTCAGAAGAAACGACCTCCCCCACCCCCACCTCCACGGATACCATCTCAACAGACAATATTTGTGACGGCACTTTACGATTTCGAAGGCCAAGGGGAAGGAGACCTGGTATTCCGAGAAGGAGATCGAATCAAGGTGCTGAAGAAGACCGACAGTACTGACGACTGGTGGCAAGGGGAATTGAGAGGAGTCAAAGGAGCATTCCCCGCCAACTATTGCCGGTGAGTCGCAACCGGAGCTGGGCAACGGGAAGGATTTGGGACCTGGCCGCCGACAGAGCAATTGATCTTGCATGTTGTTTGATGTTTACCTTTTTGACGAAATGAAAGCGAATGGGAGTCGATTGAGATAAAAAGAAATTACTCCAACGGTGATATATGCTACGAAACCAAACCCAACCCCCGCGTAATAATCAGAGCATAGAATGAGGATGACTTGGCTTGACTACGCATAGCGAAGCGGGGAATGTTTTTTTCTTTTAAGGGTCCGAAAACGTGAAAACTTAAAAGGCATACAGCACCCTCAATCAACATAGTCCATGGCGAAATGAATCTTTTTCCAAATGAGCAACATGTACAGCCAATATGCTCGAATTAGAGTAGTGTGATTCAGATATCGACTGAATTGGGGCTGCTGTCTTCGCATGCAAGAAAGGGCTACGGGACACAATAGAACGGGACTTGTGAACAAGGCTGAAAGATATCAATGTGACTCGACCATGTATGGCAAATATTTCCGTCACACATCCCATTCCATCTTGTCTCTTACCAGAGCGGGAGGAGTTACCCGTTCCCCTTTGTCTTCTTCCATCCCAAGACAGCCTAACGACACGTCTTTGCGTCAAAGTGGTCATCATTGTACCATCTTCCTGTCAGGTAAAATTGTGATTTCTCAATTTCATCGCACACAGCAGGACAGCTCGACATTTTTGCAATTGCGCATCTCAATGCTTATCAGCAATATTCTCCGTCTGCGCCACAGTTTCCTTCTCAACACCAATCTGACTCTCAGCATCAAGCTTATTCCGGATCTCCATCTCCTGCACACCGGCTGGCTTCGCAAGTTCGAATTTGGCGCCGCGCCGCTCGGGCCCAAAGGCCGTGGTGACAACGATGCCCAGCGCAATAATGGCCGTGGCAATACCCATGGTCGGACCATACGCGGGTGCCTGCTCACCATCGACAGCCGTGACGAAATGGTGCTCTGCAATGGCGTTGACAATCTGTGCCGAAGGCGACGAGATCATATTGCCTATCTGGTACGTGATGCCGGGGAAAGATGAACGGAAAGCAGGAGGTGATAGCTCATTCAAGTGGATCGGGATAACGCCCCATGCGCCCTGGACGAAGAATTGCATGAAGAAACCGGTGGCGGACAAGCTGCGTTCCGTCGTGGGCAGGATCCAGGCGGGGATGAGCAAGGCCGAAATGAGTGCGGAGCCGATGATAGCGCGGCGTCGACCGACCCATTGGGACACGTAGCCGATGATGGTGCCGCCGACACAGGCGCCCGTCTTCATGATAATGCTCGCGCGGCTGGCGGCCGAGTTGTTCAATTCCTTCTGCGTGAGCATGAAGGTCGTGTAGCTGTCTTGGCTGGTGTGGGAGTAGTAGTTGAACCAGGTCATCAGCAAGATGCAGTAAATGCACATACGCCATTCCTGGGCGAGCATCTTGCGGGTTTCGGTCCAGAAGGCAGAAGCGGAAGTGTGGCCTTTGCCTTCTCTCTTCGCTTGGATGAATTGTTGGGACTCAGGGAAGAAAACACGCACCACTCCCACGCCGATAGAGAGGCCTGTTCCGATCCAAAACACCGTCTTCCAGGAGTCGGTGCCGCCTCCTACGCCTAGGTTGCAGCACGCCGCAAGGACGTAGCCAAGGGAGTAACCTTGTTGGAGGATGCCAGACATCAAGCCACGTGCGTCCACCGGACAGTTCTCAAGCGCCATGGCAATAGCATTGCCATATACACCACCCATGAAGAGGCCGAATAGTGAGCGAACGGCGAGGAACTGGGCGAATGTGGCGCTGTAGATTGTTGCGACTTGAAGAAGACCAAGAATCACCATGTTGACGATCATGGGCCATTTACGGCCAAATTTATCTCCGGCGAGGCCGAAAAAGGCGGCACCAACAGATCGGAGCAACAGAGTCAAGGTGATGGCGGTGGTGACGTTGGTTTTAGTAGTGTCGTAGTATTTTGCCAGTTTGACGGTTTGAATGGACAGGGCGTGGAAGTCAAAAGCATCGGCTGTCCACGCGGCTAGACCAACAAGGAAGAAAAGCCAACCTCGGGCGCCAAGTTGGGCAAAGAGACTGATGGGATTTCGAAGAGGCCGAGGTGATTGCCACTCACAGTAAGTCTCATCATCGTCGTTGGTGATGGCGACTCGTTGTTTCCATTTGAAGAGATCAGACCAAGATTGTTTTGCTGTTGCGAAAGTTCCTCTGACAATAGGATCAGCTGGAGCGTTGGTTGTCTCGACCATGTTTGTCGAAGTGGTGCGAGGTGATCCTGGTTAAAGCAAGGCTGTTCAAAGATCCGAGAGGATGACACTGCGATGAGAGAGGGTAACACAAACGAGAGGGGAGAGAGGCTTTATATCTCCATCCAGCAGCGATCGTAGTGATAAGACCAGATAGCGATTTCTCCCGTGCGTGAACTGGGGATTTACCTCGTCCTGGTTGACAATAGCGGAGGATTGCAGAAAATGGTAGGTGATTCCCCTTGATCAACTCCGGTCGCATACCAAGGGTGGATAACTTCTCCAGTGAAAAAGTGGCGACAAAGAATGGAAATGCAGGGATGGATGGATGAATGTGGAGGCTACACTTGCGCCACCGCTCCATCGAACGAGAGGATTGCAGAACTTACCTGATCAGACCATTGTTTTGAGGATGGCAGTATCGGGGTTCCGCCGTGCTATCCTATCTGCGCAGGACCTTTGCTTTCGTTGGGTGACGACAGTGATGACATGTTGGTGGCGAGCAAATAAAAGCTCGTATTGACCCTGTAGAGGCGGGATCTTGACTCCCAAGTCAAGCATGGCCCAGGACTCTTGTAGCAAGCCACGAATTTCAAAAGCCCAAGTGGGCTTGGTTGGCAGCAGGTCAAGTCGTTTGCAAGGACCTCCCCAGTATTCCCGTGACAGAGTTCTGCTGAAGCCAGATACAACTGGATTTAGGAAAGAGTATAAGTGTATCTGTGCGGCCGATGTCACGTCGACAATTGCCGATCTACCAGAGTCGACGATTGACAAGGGCGGGAGAGGATCGCGACCCTATCACGCAGAGAACAAAATCTGGGGTGGTTTCGGACTTTGATGGTTTGTGTCCAAGAGGACAAGAAGACCAAGACGCCGGACATGGCTGGGCGGAGCTGGGCAGCATCATCTGGCTGCTGAGGGTGGGGTAACAAATGTCTTGGGGAAGATAGCCTTGCTTGATAGAGGCATGGTTGAGTCGACGGGAGTCCGACAATACAGAGGATGTTTCCGGAGAGGATATGTAGGGCATACCAAAGGAATCTAGCGATAAAAGGAGCGAGGAGGGAGAGAAGGGAGGTGGTCGAGAAGAAAAGTGAGGGAGAGAGGAATTGAGGAGGAAGTGGAATCAAAAGGTAAGGCGGGATGTCTTGGCATCACAGCACGCGGTACATGCCGCTCGCACTGTAAATGTATGGGCTGGCCAAGTACCTAGTATCTCTCCTCGGTGCGGAAATACCCCGTTCATCTTCTATCTCGATTCAATGGGCATTTCCCTTGAATATTTTATTTTCTAGCTGCGCTTCTAGATTTTCTAGAAGGTTTGCAGAAGCATCGAATACGAGAAGTGTCGGGATCAGCTTACGATCAGCCACTGATACTGTCTCCTCCCAACCGGCCGTCAAGGGGAGATTTGTGACAGGATAGTAGCATCTATCAACGGGAAGAAGCCGGGACCACCTATTCAAACCTTGTTGCTAACGCTGAGCCGCTCTCAGTGACTCATTGGTCGAGAGCTCCCGTGTTCCTGAGCATCTATCCCGCAAATTAAATTATCATTCGATCGCCTGAGGCATCCAACACAAGACAACGCGACAAAAGCAAAAAAGGAACCCTTCTTCCAAGCCCACCAGTCTTATAGAACAATGCCTATTCAGGATTATCAAGCAAACGCAACGACTACGCCGAAGCCAGACATCAACGTCAAGGGTCTGAGCTATAAGTTTCCCGACGGCTCAACCGGGCTAAAGGACGTCTCACTCGATCTCCCTGCAAGCAGTCGGACGCTGTTGATTGGAGCCAATGGCGCGGGCAAGACGACACTCCTTCGCCTGTTATCTGGCAAGAGACTGGCTCCGTCCTCAACAATACGCATTGCAGGAGTGGACCCGTTCGCCGCCGGTCTCGAGGGCGTCACCTATCTCGGGCTCGAGTGGGTGTTGAACCCGATTGTGCGAACAGACATCGCCGTCCCTGTGCTGCTCGACTCGGTCGGTGGTTCCTTCTACCCTGACCGCCGGGATGAACTGGTCAGAATCCTCGACATTGACCTGCGGTGGCGCATGCACGCCGTCAGCGACGGCGAACGACGCCGCGTGCAGCTTGCCATGGGCCTCATCCGACCCTGGGACGTGCTTTTACTTGACGAAATCACTGTCGACCTCGACCTGTTGAGTCGCTACAACTTTCTGACCTGGCTCCGGGGTGAGACGGAGCGACGGGGCGCCACCATCGTCTACGCGACGCACATTCTCGACAATCTCGTCGGTTGGCCTACGCACTTAGTCCACATGCATCTGGGCCGCGTCAAGGAATGGGGTCCTATGGCCAAATACCATGCTGAAACGGACTTTTACAATAACTCCGGAAACAGTAAACTGGGCGAATTGGTCTTGAAATGGTTGAGAGAGGACTTAGAAGAACGCGGTCCCAGGGATATGGCAGGTCAGGACAAGACTTATGAGAATCTGGACGGAAAAGGTGGTTATGGATTAGAGAAAAGAGATGATTGAAAGGCATCATCAAGTTTGTTAGATTTGAAATAGGTATTGGCATGGATTGAGTCGAATTTATTTTTGTTGTTGATTGGGCACTATCTCATCTGGTTGATACCCCGTCTGATCTTCAACAAGATCATGAGCATCCTGCATTGACGGCGCTTGAAGAAAGGGGGTACAGCAATAGATTTTGGTTTAACACCATGTCTAAGAACTTTATCTGAAAACTCATGCTGTGGTCGACACATTCATTATCACACACAGTACAAGGAATCATTCATTCATTTCACATGCCTTCTAGGGCGATCCTCAAGATCCGTATCGATCCGTCTGCAGAAGCCACTGCTAAATGGCCAATTTCCCCGTCTCCTCCATTATGCGGGTGGGGACGCCATGCGAGCCGATTGACTGTTTTCGAAGGGCAGAGATATTTCTCGACTTCAATGCTTCTGATAACCTTAATATCCACCTGGACATTGAGCACATGTAACGAGATGCTCCCGTCGTCCTCGCCCACAGCAAGGAACGAGTTGATGGCATTGGACGTTGCAGAAATAGCTGTGACGGGAGACTTCCGAGCTATTGATACTTTGTCGGTGAAAAACTCATACTCGGCTGATTCCGGGCATCGAGACCACAGCTTGACGACTTTGTCTCTGCCTGCAGTTGCAAAGCTTGGCTGAGAAGCGCAGGAGAGCCATGCGGCGTCGAGGATCATGCGCGCGTGTGCTTTTCCATTCATCCCAACACGGATCCATGCTCTTGAGTCATCTCCAGCTTGCTTGAACACCGCCCACTGTCGGTCTCGCCCGACGCTAAGCAGGTATTCAGGGAGTTCGGAGGAGAATGCAAGTCTCGTCACGGTCAGCGAATGTGCTGTCAAAGGCGGTTTGATCTCGTTCCAGTTCTTGGTATCGTAGAGACGAATCACAGCGTGGTCGATCGAGCTCGCTTTGCATGCGGTGGCAAGAAGACTCCCATCTAAGGGTGTGGCCGCTTCTGAAATCTCGTATCCGTGACCGTACAGCTTCTCATGCTCTGGCCAAAGTGTATGTCGCGCCAATAAGTCCTCTGTCGGTGGGCTTTGAAGCATTGAAATTTCGGTCGACGTTGCGTTGAGATCAAGAGCCTCTGGCACGACTCCGTCTGGAGAATCGTCATCGTCATCCATTGCTTTGTTTGACAGACCCAAGACGGGAATCGCTGCGGTGTCTGGTAGCTGGGTCTGCTCGGAAGGCAAGGGGATTTGACAAAGTCGATAGAGCATCCCAGCTATGTCCTTGGGTTCGTTGAACACCCGAAGCAGCTTCTCATCTGCTCCTGATGAAAACTGATGTGGATTCGTGCTTACAATGCAGTTGAGATCGTATCCATGAATCTGAGGTCGTGAAAACTCGTGCCAACTTCGTTTCTCGCCTCTCTTCCATTCAGCATGAAGTCTCGTGGTCTGATCAGAACTAGTTGAGAGAAGGTAACTCCCATCTGGCGCCCAACATATCCCATTGACAGAGCTGACATGTCCGTTCACACCATATTTTTGTGTCCAGAAATCTGAGTTTTCCACATATTCCCAGACTCGCCAGCTCCCCGTCCGCCCAAGGCATGTGACCGTCTTGCCATCAGGAGCCCACAACCCCATCCAGAAGCCTCCTGTTGAGCCGGTGGCTGTTGTAGCTCCCTTTTGACCACTAATCTCCCCCAAACGAGAAACACTGATCCAGATTCCTGACGCTGGATCGGCTTCCCATATGGAAAGGGATCCATCGGCCGATGCTGTAAGCAACCGTGGAACAGAAGACCGCGGACTCCAAGCAGCAGAATAGATCCAGTCTTCATGACCGAGAAGCAGTGCCTCAAATGTGATGGAATATTTGGATCCTGCTGCGGACACATTCTGAACCTTTGCGGTCAAAGTGCTTCCACTACTTGACATGCCAGTCGGATCAACGGTTTTCTTCTGTGGCATCACGTCACCAGGTTGGAGGCGCCATATCCGGACATATTTGTCCTGACTTGCCGAAGCCAATAGATACCCTCCTTCTAGGTTTGATGTCAAGGCAAGAGATCTAATCCATGCTTCATGCCCAGTCAGCGTGGCGCAGAGTTTGAATGGAGTGGAGGACCTGTCCTGCACAGCATACACCTGAATGTCATTCCGAGTCCCTGCTGCTACCAGAAAGGCCGAGTTGTGGGGAGATTCGTGGGGAAAAGGACCAAGGGCGAGGGTCAGGGGAATGAATCTGGGCCTGAGGAGGAGTGTAGCTGTGGCCGCAAGTTTATCCTCGCTGACTCTCCATAACTTAATTTTGCCATCAGCCCCTCCAGTGACGAAAACGCTGCTTTGATGTAAAACGGCAATAGTGTTGACCGTGCCATCATGTGCCGTTACCTTGTCCACACAATTCCATCGCTGGCACGGAATTTCTTGTTTCCAGATCAATATGTCTCCGCTTGCAGAACCAGTGACCAGGATCTCGTTTGACGTCTCTCGCTGAAATGGAAAGAACTTGATGGCTGTGACCTTGGAAGAATGTCCGCTTAGCAGAGTCGAGATTCCTCGGCCAGAGTCATTTGAAGGCGACCAAAGAGCCACATTCTGGTCAGCACCAAAGGCCAGAAGACCCGAGGTCGCCGACCAGTCGGCCGCTGCGCTATGCCTATTGCCGCCGATGCTGTAGTAGTCGTCTTCGATACCAGTAGGCATTGGTCACGGAAAATAGAGGATGGATTGAACGAGGAAGAGGAAGATGAGAAATAGTGCCAAGAATATTTTTTGTAGAGTAATTTTCTAGGATCCTGATTGGCCCAAGACACCTCTCTTGCCAGCCTTGCGCTTCTCGTGCTCTATTCGCATGCTAACACGGCATTCTAACATCGATCTATAAAGAACGATCCATTTTAACACCAAATCACCATGTATCTTCCACCAAACCTCGCGCAATTTCGTTGTTTGATCTCAATGCGTACTCAAGAGTACAGCATCAGCTTGGCACGGCATCTGGCTAGCCAGCACATGTCCTGGATGGAAAGATGTTCATCACCAGGAGGGCGAAGAACATTTGGTGCGCTTCAAATATATACACAAACCATTCATGGTGGTTGGTATAAATACTGATATTGCTGTCTTGACCAGACGGAAACTCGACAATGCGGAACGCGATTTGGTACTGCAGCCAGGACCGCAGTTCTCATCCATCAATGCTTCTCCACCGTCCTTAAACATACCGTAGTCAAAGTCAAGGAGACCTGGACGGCATGGATCCGCTGTTTCGCGATTTTCCGTGTTGTGCATCGAAGCATTACCCAATCGAGTTTCCGGAATGTTCGAATAGCTAAGGCAGAGAAGATAACGATCAGTACTTCCTGAAATATGACAGCGCCCGTCATGATGTGCACGTCCATCTTCGCAGTCTCAGCCTTCTTACTGAGGGAAATAGACCTCCCCCGATTTGCACAACAAAGGAGCTAAAATACCATGGTTACCTTGGGGCCGCGAGCTTCATTGTGATTTGCTCACACGATGTCACAACCAAAAACAGCTTGCCCATGACCAATCCATCTAACCCAAAGATCTTGATCTTTCTAATAAAAGTTCTCACCACCCGAGAGATGATCATGTAGTCAGACGCGTTAATGCAAACCGGGGCAAGGAGAACCAACAGCAAGGAAGCATCGTAAGACGCTTTGTGAGTGATATTTCTCGCGGGAACGGTGCGAAAGATGATTGCCTCTATCCCCCATGAGCTCCCACGATTATAACAAGGAGAAGATGAAAGTAAAAGATTGCGCAGCAACAGGACAGGACAAGCGTATATGGGATTTATAGTGGCCAGATCGTCGATTTCATGTGATTGCTTCGAACCGTGAATTTGCATAACGAGGCGATTCCTTGCTGGAAGGGAGTGATGGTTCGTGTCTCTCTGAAGATGATGATGATGATGTGAAAGTTACCGCTGCTGGCATCGCAATCATTTCGAAGGCTACACCTACCACGTAGACACATCTAAAGCATTACAGCGCTTACCGGTGATCTCTGGAATGAAACCGTCTTGCGAAGTTTCTCATTGGTATGAGAAAGCTAGTCTTTGCGAGGGTATCATTTTGACAGTCTCAGGTCTGAGGAAAGCGATGGAAGACAGGTCAATCACAAACTCAGTTGCGGATGGATTTGCCCAAGAATCGCCGTCCTCTCCAGGAGTTGCGAACGCCGGTATTTGATGGCAGCGTAAGAGGATCTTCAAGGAATTCAAGAGCAGGCAAAGATATCGGGAGAGAAGGTGTTCGGTACAGGCTGTTTGCTCCACCATAATGGGAACCGTTGCCTCTTTATTTTTCCACCAGCTTGGTGTACTCTCCCTTATGCTCAGCGGACACAATCCAGCCCCGACAGGGCAAAATAAAACACCCATTTGATATCCCTTCAGTCCTCCAGTATGTCAGAGGACATCAAAATCACAGTTGGATTTACGTGAGTGCTTCCATCCTGAAGTGTGCTTTCCATTCTGACGTAGCTGAAGAGGTGGGCTAGAAATGCTCTTTGACAATGTGGCCCAGCACTCGGTGACACTATCCACGACTGCGGATGATGGAAAACACCCAACAATGGGCTATCTGGTCAAATACTTATGCGATCATCTCATGAAAGATTCGCGGAAGGAATTATTCGTTCTGGATGGTGCAATGTACGGCCCAAAATCCAAACTCGGAGCTTTTCAAAACTGACTGAAACTGTCAATCAAGTCGACCAGGCATTTTTGTTCTAATCAACGACTCCGACTGGGAACTGGAAGGCGAGGATAAATATGAACTTGCCCACAATGACGAAATTATGTTCGTATCTACACTGCACGGTGGCTGAGAAATGGTGCGCTCCAGAACTCAACGCTCCACCTTTGGCACATCCTACATTAACATCATCGTTGGACAACTAGAGACGGCTCCACATATATCTTTGAGGGATGTAAAGACACCAGTCTTGCCACTGCCAGGAGACAAATATCACACCACATCATGCATCCTCACCGACAGATTTTCCGAATCCTCTGGCGTCTTGTACCCAGAAGCCGGCGGTTCTGGAGTGCCTGGGCCAGAACGAGGACTTGCGAGTCCACTACCTAGACCAGGGACAGGTGTGACGAATCCGCTAGGTGGTGCGGGAGCTTTGATGCCTTCTGGTGAAGCCGGAACGATCTCCGGCGGAAGGCCAGGGATTTTGACCCGCTTCGCCTCGTTATTGTAGCTTGCGGGAATGATCTGGGGAGAGGTCAGCGCTAACCACACATCGGAAATCATTTAAGCACACCTCAATTATCTCATCTCGTGGGAAAGAGAGGAAAGGGATATCGGCAGCGTTACATGCCATTAGGTAGCCGTAGAGGACGCGGAGAACACTCTCGTGAGCAATGATCAAGAGATCATTTTGTTCTCTCTCCAGCTCGAGAATGATTGGTTCCAGTCGAACAGCAACATCATGATAAGACTCGGAATGTCAGCTAGATCCAGCGATGCCAGCAATTGAAGCTTACCTCTGCTCGGGGGAATCTATGGTGATACGGATCCAGATCGTGCTTGAGCACTTCCTCAGGATAATCTTGACGGATCCTCCGCTCCGACTTCTTCTCGCATACCCCTGGGTTGAGCTGACTCATCTGAGATCTCTGCCTTACTTTAAACCCTTTGCCTTCCAGGAAGGCCGCCGTTTCCGCCGTTCTTCGTCTTGTCGATGTCCACACAATCAGCGGCTTCAACGGAGTGTCCGGGGCCCCTTTTTCGATGATGGCTTTTCTCTCTTCCTCTCGATGCTTCAGTAAAGTTTCTGTCATCTTTTTGGCATAGTCTTTCCCCAGGGGAGATAGAGGGGCGTCGGCTTTGAAGGATTCCTCTTCCAGCGTAGTACCGGCGCGGGCAAAGTATGTGTGTCGAGATTTGATATGTAGATTCAGCAAGTAAAACACAATTCGATGCGAGAGATAGCCAAAGCTTGTGTTGTTGACTACGAGTCTCTCCCCCGCGTTTATCATCTTGATCCAGTCAAGATCCGGTTCCTCCATCGTCTCAAAATGAGGGATTTTCGCAGACATCCTGTTCAAATAATGTTTGACTGCATCCGCTTCCGACCAACCTACGTAGTCGGGGGAAGAGATCTTGACACTGCGGACGTTTTCTTCGATTATCCTCTGGTCGTCACAGCTCGACTCGATGAACAGACATTTGATATCGTGCTTCGCAAACTCTTTGGCCAGGGACTTCCGGCCAGCCGACAGTGGGTTGACGGCATCGTAAATGGCAATTTGGCCGTTCTCATGGTTCAAGAACTGATAGATGTCCTCCCGGCACTTCTTGAGGATTTTTTGCCGTAGGAGCACAGAAGAAGCCGACGCATTGACGAAGAAATAATCATCGGGAACATCCTTTCCCTGACCTACAATCGCCCGTCGATAGTCTCCAAGGTGGAAAATCCTCGTCTTGACCCCGAGCCATCGCAGATAGCGAGCGAGCGCTACCGAGATATGAGTTTTGCCTCGAGCAGGAAGTCCTACCGTGGCAATTGCGATCCGACCTGCGTGAAACAATCTTCCTGATTCGGTGCTGTACAATTGAGCAGGTGCCATTTCACTCTTTTCTGGGAGATCGTGAATGGCATCTACATATGTACTCGACTTGCGTCTGTACCGTGGTGAATTCACCGCCGACTCGGCGGTAAGGAGGGTGTCCATGGTGACGGTCTGCTATGGACCAGAGTGTGGGAAAGGAGATTCAGGCGCCAACAAGCTGAAAAAGAGTAGATATCTGACGAAGAAACCAGCTTCAACCTCTTGCCCACACGGACAGATGAAAGGCCAGAGATATTATTCGAAGGGCCTTCGATAGCAAGCACGATCTTGGAGTAAGGATTTTCCTTGTTGGGCTAGTAATCAGCGGAGATATTGTTTGGGTGAGCACTCTGGTGGGCCTAGCAGTCAATTTGTTCCGAGGTATTGGTCAGGGAAGAAAGAATCCTCTGGTCGAGAGAGAAAGAGAACGGGCGGCGAGGGTGCCGCTTTAAACACATTAATTCAATCCCCCCTTTTCCCGTGAGCAAGAGCTCGAAATTAAAGCGGCACGAGTCCGCCCTTGGCAGTCGACCTAACAAAAGATTTCCCTGCGCAACAAAAAGTCGGGTAGAAGCTCTCGAGCAGCCAACAATCCTCACAGTCACGAGGGCATCAGCCAGCTCATCAATCCTTTTCTTCTTTCCCTCCTACCTCATCCCTAGAAACCTTCGTCCTTACGGAAGTCTCGTCTAGACAGTCGCTGGTGTCGCGCAGAACGGGTGCACCTGGTCCGGGAAAAAACAATGGCCGTTGTGGAAGAGAAATCACCATCGTCGTCGCTCTCCTTTCTGACAGACAATGCCATCGCCGCAGCCATCTCAGATATCTACTCAAATCTGTCGGAGAGAAGGAAACTTCTGGGTCTTGAGAATCCCGGCACGGTCGATAACATAGCGCGAGAAGTGCAGAAAGATGTTCTCCTATCGAATTTCATGTTCTCCGGCCTGCGGTGCGACCTTCAGAAGGTTTTCAGTATAAATCCTTTGTTCCGGCTACAACATGGATTTGCAATGGGCTCACAAGCTCTGCCACCCTGGCAATTAACGGCCTTGTATGGGACTTCAAATGTAGATAAACCTCCGTCTCCCCCCGGTCATTGATTAGGAGCAATTTTGACCAGGCTAACAAACTGAACAAAAGGTTTTCATGCAAGCGACCTACTCCAGCGACAAATCTTTGACGGCATGGGGAAATCTGAGATGGTCTCCACGATTTATTACCAAGACGCAAACCTCCATCGATCCTCGACAGGCTCAGGCCATGGTCCAATTCGACAACGAATACAACGGCGATGATTTCTCGGCTTCCCTCAAAGCCATCAGTCCTTCCATCCTTGAAGGAGGATTCACTGGCATTGTCATTGGCAGCTATCTCCAATCTTTGACGCCAAAGTTGGCTCTGGGTCTAGAAGGAGTATGGCAGCGAGCGGCGATGAATTCCCGGCCTGAAACCGCATTATCCTACTGCGCAAGATATAAAGGAACAGACTGGATTGCCAGTGCACAATATCTCGCTCAGGGCTCATTGGGAGCATCATACTGGCGAAAGCTGACTGACAAAGTCGAGGCTGGTGTTGACTGCCAACTGCAATTTGCCCCTGGTATTGGCGGTGGCATGTTTGGAGGCCTTCGACGTGAAGGAACTACTACCGTTGGTGTCAAATATAATTTCACCAATTCGGTCTATCGGGCGCAGGTTGATAGTGGTGGCAAGTTCGGCGTCTTCCTGGATAGGAGAGTTGCACCGCCTGTGAATTTGACATTCGTGGCCGAGATCGACCAATGGAAGGTGAGTTCACGGATTCCTTGATCTCCTCTGATATGATCAATCACTGACAATGGCTCTGTAGAACACCCACAAACTCGGTCTGGCCGTCTCGATCGAAGGAGCTCCAGAAGAACTGCAAGAAATCGCTGAACGACCAGAAACCAAAAACGCTCTTCCTCCCCCTATCTAAAGCTGTGTTGACACCTCCATCGGCAAGCGGGATTCTTGATCGAAGAAGACTCCTCCCCCGATATCATTCGACATTGTTTTACTACCATACCCTCTTCACTCCTCTCCCTGGCGAGCCTGAAGGGAAAAACCCAATGTTAAAAGAGTTCATGCACCATTGAACAGGTGAACTGACAGGTCACCGCATACAGTAAAACTCTCTTGACCTGGCTTTTTTGGTGTCTCGTTGTGACGTCGTTTGCATTACCTTGAGGGAATAAAAAGGGATGATGGATCGATAGGCATGTCCTGGCCTCCTTTTACTGTACATTGGGGAATCATGACGAATTCTGGTGGCGCGCGTTCGATCGATTTGCGCGCAAAATGGATTCAATCACGGAACCTTACACATACTACATAATAGAAGGCTTGTATCAACATGGGTCCCGAATTTTGAGACCTTTCTCCTCTTTTTCGGCTAAAATGCTTCCCTTCTCGCATTCTGCGCGCTCGCATGTATTAGGGTTCTGCCACACGACCAATACCATGGTTTTAACGAGAGCCCAACGAAAGAAGGACTCAACCGGGCCACTGCACAGCTATCTGACACTCTTATTCTTGGCGAGTCACTGGGACAGCGCAATAGTAAGGAAAGTTCTGTAGTTCCTGAGTGATTTTCGTCCAAAGCTGACAACGGAGTCATACCCCTTCAATCAGCAAAGTCAGAACCCAGTGTGGCAGCAAAGATGAAAATGGACGGGCCGGCTTCCGAGGCGACAAGACATGATCTTTTCCGAATCCAATCGCCCTGTGTCGCAGGGATTTTTGATGGACGTATGATGAGCTTTGCCGCACGGCTCGGACAGTGGCCGGGTTGGTGCTTCTGCATCAGCAGGGTCAATGGTCTTTTTCCCACTTACCTGCCGTCTTGATCGACGCCTATTTCCCTTCAACATTTCCTGCAGCTGATTAATTAAAGGAGGGCCAGTCATTGTGCATGGTGGGGAGGGAAAGTTCCGACCTTTTGGGTGGTTAAATTTTGGTTGGGAAAGAGACGGTGAGCCACTGATTCAACGTTCAAGGGTATGAATTCTCGAGACATCAGATCTTGCCGGCAAGATCATTCAATGGAGGGTTGAGATTCGACAGCCTCGTCGATGACAACAGACCATTCGGTGGTCCACCCAGACTTCAGGGCCGTAGGAACTTCGGGTTCAAATGTCTTTGGTTAACGACACGCACCAGCCAATGCTTGATGACAACTTCATGGAGCCAAGGCCTGGATGAACTGCACATGCATGAAAGGTGAGGCGAGGACAAGAATCCAGCGTTCCAGTAATATTACGCCGTCTGTGTTCCATATGCGTGATAGCTTGAAAGGATTCGCAAGCCGGGCGTCCGAAAAACCACGTTCTCAGCTCGTAATAGTGGCGAGTTGGAGAGGGAGGAATTGACCAGGTGTTTGTAACACAAGAACAGCTGAGAATAGTAGTGCATTGGCTATTGATACACATCATCCTTTTAACAGTAAAAAGCGAGCATTTGGTGGGATTCTGTCACCGATGATTAGTTTGGATGGATCAAGATCGACAGGAAGCAAAGGTTAGGATGGATCATGTGTGCAACACATCGCCCCCCTGGAAGTTGTTGCAAAACTAAAATAGGGATGAATTTTGAGGTGGGAGAAGCGGTTGTGCATGTGAGTGGATTGCAACTTTGGTGGCTGGCCTTGGTCAGCCAAACAACCAGTCTCGTGTTTTCACAGTTCGAATTTCAAGGTATTCCGAATCATGGTATCTGTCCTATAGCTGATCCTGAGTGCATTCCCGTGGGCGGGAAGCAAGATTTCAATATGATGATGTTCTTGAATCTGATCACTGCCGCATTATGTTTACGAAATTTTGTGTGTGCTGAAAATCGCCCGTATAACCTTCGTGGTGAGTTGTTGGGCTCTTCAGCTCGGGCTTGTCTAGTTATCCATGGGACAGCTTTTACTCGTCGTCCGCTAATAACTGACTATTTTGAGTTTTGGTAACAGCATGGAGCAGCATGCCATTCCCGAGTTAGTTTCTTGCCTCCTTTGTGGTGTTTTAAGTATTACTGTCTCGATTCTGTTAGGTCCCGAAAGGCCTTGGGTGGGCACGGGATGACGTTGATGGCATCCCTTTTAGTTTGGGAGCGGGTTGGCCTGTATGGCTCTATTCGTCAAGCGACCCACCAATACCCATGTTTGCAGCACTGGTGCCCGTGCCATGCCTGTGGACCCTGATGATGATGGATGGTGACGATGATGATGACGATGATGCCCGCCGCTTTCTTGTCCATCTGGAAGGTGGATAGAGGATAAGTGGTGGTTCGTCGGGCTGGATCGATCATCTAGGAGCACGGAGTACGGCTTCGCTTTGATAAGATATTGTGACATGTTAGGGCTTCCTTGCCACGAGAAGAGGCGCCGGCGAAGGCGAAAAGTGAGATATTTGACAGAACTGCAAGTCATGGCCATAGCTCAATAGTAGGGCGTCTAATTGGCCATATCCTGTGGTTCATCGAGACAGTTTAAGAAGGAGCACGTGGAAAGGGAATTTTTGCCCAAGGTGGAAGTGACGCTATTCGCAGTTAGCATATGGTCAATGGTCAAAAGCCGCAACGGCTTATGTTTATAGAGTTTTCGGGTGCCTTTTTCCACTCTCGTAAACAATTGACATTCGTCAGGTCAACGATATATCAGGGCTCAAATCAAGCCTGGGGGAGAGAGGGGAAATGCCAGATGCCAGCGGGGCTCGCCCACAGGTGGTCGGGAGTATGTCTGGCAGGAAGTTTACTCGTTGGCGGATCTGATTGTTAGTAGGCGAGCCGAAATGACTAGAGTACGGAGTTGAGATCATTCGCGAATGATGAATGGTGGATGGTGATGGGTTTCCCTTGTTAAAAAAGTGAAGTTAGCTGGAGGAGCGGTCGGCTGTAGGGTGTAGGTAGGTTAACTTGCCTTGGGATGGATGGGATCCATCTGGGGGCCAGCATCTGGAGATGGAGTGTGAAAATGGAGACAGAATTCATGCACTGCCAATGTCGTTGCACCAGGGCCTTTTTGGACGGGTATCATCTGACCTGCAGCGCTCTTTCAAGTTCAAATCTTGCACGTCACTCGTTACTCATTCATTGGTCCCATTTGGACTTGTCTTGAGACTTGAGGTGCAGTTCAACCGCCACCAGTAAGGTGAGGAGGTTTGGGAAGTGGTCAGCAGTGGGCGCAGGTGCAGAAGGAAGTTTGATAGCACGGAGGGTGCTGTCGAGAGATTGATCTCGAAAAGACGTCGTGTGCTAGATTCGAATAGACGTGTTGCTTTGACCGTGAAATACATGTTTGACGTGCAACAGCCTGAGAGCCTGGGGACCTAAATCTGAACCTGAGCCTGAACGACAGCGTACCTAATAATGAGTGAGCCCACCAGCCTGCCTGCGCTAAGCAAATCCCAAAACAATAATCCATACAGGCCACAGTTCCAAGCGCCTCGCCTGCACATTAGTTACTTACCCACTGACTTGTTGTTCACTTACTTTACTCCTCTGTCCTGCACACTCTCGACCGTAGCTGCGCTGCTCTTCTCTACAGAAAAATCGACCTCATCAAGGAAGGCTCGCTTGCTGGTCCAGGAGCAAGCCAGCATAAGGCATTACTGCTCCGTATTGTCAAAAGTAAAGGTCAAGGCGACCTCGCCGCGCCCTGTCCCAACTCCCTACCGTTCGCCCTGCCCTTGTCCAGTTCTAAACTAAGCTGCGCAACCTCTTTTCCCTTAACCTCTAAAACGCTCATCCTCATCCTTACCGCACTCCTTACTCAACTACTAAACACTCGACTTCTCTCATTTTCTCTCTTTCTGTCGCTCCACGCTTCCTCCGGCAGCTTCTGCATCTCCGCCGCCTACTATCGTCCTGTTCCCTCCCTGGTTTCATCATCGCTGCGCCAGTTCCCACACCTCATTTCGAAAGCCTCACCTACGCAAAGTGGGGAAATTAGCGCTTCTTCCGCCAACCCTCACCTGCTCCCGCACTCGGCATACCTGGCTCTCGACCATCTCTTTTTACCTCGAGTTTCAAGCGTCGTCCACTTCTGTGGTCGTCGCTATACTTGAACTTGACTTCCTCCTCCGAGGACATCTCATCCGAAATTCCTTCGCCGCTCATCCTCCGCGCCTCCCCCTTTTGACAGGCTCTCCGTCTGTCTTCATACCCAACCGCCCCGGTCGCCAAAGTGGATCCCACACTCCCCTAGCATTTGACGATGTCGCAAAACAGGCCTGGAGGAGTCTTCTCTGGCTTGCGCATGGGCGGTACGTTTCTTCGGTCTCCTTGACAATACCACAATCCTGGTCATGCACTTTGGGCACGTGCGCTGACACATACTTTTAGAGGTAGTACGGGAAAAGGTGCAGGATGGCCTCACGGGTGAGACACGAGAGATGCAATATACACAATGCAAGATTGTGGGCAATGGTTCCTTCGGTGTGGTCTTCCAGACGAAGCTGTCTCCCAGTGGTGAGGATGCTGCGATCAAGCGAGTGCTCCAGGACAAGCGATTCAAGGTAAGCCAAACCACGATTCTCCAAGCCCTTTCGTCATGCCTGGGGATACTGATTATTTGCAGAATCGTGAGTTGCAGATCATGCGGATTGTCCGGCACCCGAACATCGTCGAACTGAAGGCCTTCTATTATTCAAATGGTGAACGGGTACGAATGGGCCTCTCTTCTCCTTTGCAGAATTCCAAAAAGGCTGTGCTGATTGATTATTTTGTGACACAGAAGGATGAAGTCTACCTCAATTTGGTCCTCGAGTATGTCCCAGAGACGGTTTACCGTGCCTCACGCTATTTCAACAAGATGAAAACCACCATGCCCATTTTGGAGGTCAAACTATACATCTATCAACTTTTCCGATCATTGGCATACATCCACTCACAAGGGATTTGTCATCGGGATATCAAACCGCAGAACCTCTTGCTCGATCCTGCAACGGGGGTGCTGAAGCTGTGCGATTTTGGAAGTGCAAAGATTCTGGTGGAAAATGAACCAAACGTTTCCTACATTTGCTCTCGATACTACCGTGCTCCCGAATTGATTTTCGGTGCCACAAACTACACTACTAAGATCGGTATGGATCTGATTTTCTTCAATTTCCTTCCTTTTATTCGGTCTCGTGTTAATAGTAAGCAGATGTCTGGTCGACTGGTTGTGTCATGGCGGAATTGATGTTGGGTCAACCTCTGTTCCCTGGTGAATCGGGTATCGACCAACTTGTTGAAATTATCAAAGTACTGGGGACCCCGACCCGAGATCAAATTCGCACCATGAATCCGAACTACATGGAACACAAATTTCCCCAGATCAAGCCTCATCCGTTCAATAAAGTGTTCCGGAAGGCATCTCCCGACGCTATCGAGCTAATTTCGGCTCTTTTGGAGTACACACCAACTCAACGACTGTCCGCAATCGACGCGATGTGCCAGCCTTTCTTTGATGAATTGAGAGATCCCAGCACTCGCCTGCCCGACTCACGCCACGCTGGTGGTTCGTCTCGCGAGCTCCCACCTCTCTTTGACTTCTCACGACATGGTTTGTTTGTTCCTCCCCTTGCAGATTATGAAAAGCTAACTTCATGATCAGAGCTTTCAATTGCACCTCACCTCAACAGTAGACTTGTTCCACCGCATGCACGACCGCTTCTAGCATCACGAGGGATTGACCTGGACAATTTCACTCCGCTTTCCAAAGATGAAATGATGGCGAGGCTTGATTGATTCAAGACTGGCCAAATTGTTACGAAGTGACGCCGAGGGAAATTTTGTCCACTGATATGTCCATCATTGCATGCATGTTTCGTTGGGCGTCCACAGGACATGCGTTCAATACTCCTACAGCTTAGCAGCACTCAGTCGTCATGAGTCTAGATGGATACCTTAGCCTTTAAACAAGGTATCCGTCCCGAGAAACATTGACTTTTTTAATTGCAGGTCAGAAAATGGGCTGGATGCTCGTGAGACCCCCCCTTTTTTTTTTTTTTTAACCAAAAAGAAAAAAGGGCTGAGCGGAGCGTTTTACAAAAAATGGGCCAACTGTATGGTCTAGTAGGGATAAGTGCGCTCTGGTCATCAGGTCAGTATGTCTGGGCTATGAACGGAAAGGAAAGAAATTGAAAGGGAGGCTCAGGCTCAGACGAGTGAGGCAATGGCTTGAGCTCACAATATGCAACAACTGTGCGTTATATTGCTACAGCGTAACACCTTACGAGGGACAACGCTTTTAGACAATTTGGATCACAGCAGCTCGAGGGTCCCTACCTTTGAACCCGACCTCATTTAAAATTGTTGTTTCCAACTCACAGAATAGAATTCGTGCTATCGTTTCAGTGTTGCTTGGCTGTATTTATTCGTCAAGGAAAGATTGCCATGAGAGCCACTGTTCATCACCGTAGTACCAATTGCCAAGCTAGTGCGCGTTCTTACTGTCACTGCGGGTCCGAAACTCCAAACGCGTTCTCCAGGCAAGATTGCTTCGCTCGCTTTTGACGCTTTGAGCTTGGAAGACGATCTAAATCTCTCCTTCTTTTTCCCTCTCCTATCACCGATACCCTCATCACTTCCCATGGCTGACTATGACCGGCGACCGCGAAGAGGTGGTGGAGGAGGACACTTAAACAATCGCAAGAGGAGATACAGAGGTGCGCATCTTTGGATTGATAGCGATGGGTCATTCAATTCTAACTGAACGCAGACGATGATTATGATGATCGCCGTTCCCAACGTCGTCGCTATGAAGAACCACTCGCCGTGAGCTTGCGCAAGCAAGTCCTCTCAATTGCAGAAAGTGTAAATTTGCTCTTCCATCGGACCTTGGAAAAAGAAATAAAAAAAAAAAACCCTCAGCGCTGATAGCATATAGCCACATCGAAGAACGGAAGACGATGTTGCCACCATTGCAAAGACCCTCGCGGAGAATTATTTTGACCATGATCTCAGTTCTGGATTTCTGGACCTTGTCGTACAACTGTGAGAGATTTCGATTCGGATGCAAGAGCAGGAGTCTAATTCTCAGCAGGGTTATTGAGCAGCCTCTCAAAATTCCTTTCGTCGCTGCCATTGTCATTCTTGCAAACGCGCAAAAGCCGGAATTGACCGCTGAAGTATTGGTTAAGGTTGGAGAAGCCTTGCAACAGCAATTAAACCTGGGGCAATGGCGAGAGGTTAAGTTGTACCTTCGATTCCTCGGATGCTTACAGGGCATATTTGAAGGCGGTGGTGTCTTCCCAATGCTCGATGAGCTCTTCTCTAGGGCCGCCGACCTCCAAATGAAGTCGTCTGAAGATGTATGCCTTGATTGGCCCCCCACTCCGAGTTTCCGCTAACCTGGCCATAGTCTTTGGGCCTTGAGCTTGTCAAAGTCATCTTGATGACTATTCCATATGCCATGTCATCCTCGGCCACAGCCTTTGAGAGCCAAGCAAGTGCTCTCCTAGAGAAGACCGACATTATTGCTTCAACTGCACATCCGTTGGAGACCTTGGTTGATCCCTTCCCAAGCTCGGACGTTGGTGCACCAACCAGCACAGAAAGTGCCCTCGCTCTTCTTCAGAAACATATGCAAGAGGAGGCCAAGAATTCATGGGAACTGTCCTGCTTACCTCGTCCATGGAAAGGAAATCGATCGTCAGAGGAGGAAGATGCGTTGGCAAGCGCTCAAAAACATTCGTTTCCACAAGTCACCGTTCCCGAAGTTGTCCAAATCGGTCCACGATCGATCTTCCCCGAGATCTATTTCTCTGTCTATGGCGAGCAAGAGATCGAGACGGTCCCTCCAGCCTCTGACCCTGCCGCTCTACTGATTCGGGATGCATTGTCTGACACCATCAACGCCCTTGACTGTAATCGGATGATTGCTGCGAAGTTTCTGATTGATGTCGACTGCTACTTCGCGCCAGACACATTTGTCAAGAGAGCTACGCCATTCGACAAGTTGCGAGATGTGGCCGGAGACAAGGTTACTTGGAAACCGGAAGACGTCATCGTCGATGCTTCCTTTGCTCAATTGATGCAATTACCTGCTCCAGAGCATAAACTTGTGTACTATCACTCTGTGTTGACTGAAGCTTGCAAACTGGCCCCTGCCGCAGTTGCACCCAGCTTGGGAAGAGCAATCCGGTTCCTTTATAGGAATGTGGATAGAATGGACTTTGAACTTTCTCAGCGCTTCTTGGACTGGTTTGCTCATCATCTCAGCAATTTCGGTTTCACATGGAAATGGACTGAATGGTAGGTGGCTTATTCAATATTGCGACTGAGATACTACTAACAACTCCAGGGTCGACGATGTCAACCTACTCGATGTTCATCCGAAAAAAGCTTTCATCGTTGATGCCCTAGATAAAGAAATTCGACTCAGTTTCTCGAAGCGTATTAAGGGAACGTTACCGGAGCCATATCAAGCCCTGATCTCTGAGGCCAAAGAAAAGGATGTGCCCGACTTCAAATACAATGATGATTCTACACCATTTGCTGCCGAAGGCAAAGAAATTGCTCAGTTGATACGCCGAAAAGCTGCCAATGAAGACTTCACTCCTATTCTTGAAAAAATCGAACAGGACGCCACGGTTTCAGGACTTCTGGATCCGCAACTTGCATCCACTGATGCGTTTGTGAGCTCAATATGCTGGGTCGGTTCGAAATCATTGTCGCACGTTCTGGCTTGTATAGAACGTTGCAAAGAGCGTCTATTGGCCATCTCGTCTACAAGTTCCGCATGCCGAAAACAAATCATCACTTCAGTGATGGACTACTGGCAAGACCAGAGAGGAGTTGGGGTGATCATCATCGACAAGCTGCTAAACTATCAAATCCTGACTCCATCTAGTATCGTCGAATGGGCATTAATCGACCACGTTACCAGAGGGACTCTGCTCGCGAATGCATGGTGCTATGAGCTCATCACCAATACCACCAGAAAAGTTGCCGGCCGTGTCAAGAGCATTGTTCACGCCATCAGACAGCCCGGCTTGGAAGAACAACAAAAAGTGGAACTCGAACAGACCCTCGCCCATGAACTAGAGAATGTGAAGTCCCTTTTCGCCATGATTGAAGATGCGGTCGTGAGTATTCGAGACGGTCATCAGGACGGAATGATCGAAAGGAGCGATGTCCTCCGTGCCGAGGAAGAAGTATTACTCAAGTCATGGGGGGCCAAATGGGCGAGAGTTTTTCAGCGAAAATATGCGGTTGAGGAAAGTTGGATTCGGGAAGAGCTGGCAAAGCCGACACCTGAGGTTCAAGTGCAGGCTAGTAACGAAGGGATGAAAATGGACGAGGCGAAGACAAACAGCAACGGTGGAGGAGAGAATGGTGTTGGGATCGATGGGGTTGATGGGATTGAATAGAGACCAGTTCTCTGTGGAGGTTAGTTGGAGACCGGCATACTTGATCATGAATTTGTCTGTCGGATACGTCTTGAGGAACGTCGACGCTGATGCGTCAGTATATTCTCTCTCCTGCTTGTGTGCTTCAGCGCTGATATAACCTTGAGGTCCCAGCGTCACGAAGTGGTCTAATCCTGAAGGCGGGAATATTCAATGCTCTTGTTTATGTCCTGACGGGCACATGGAATGGTCAACCACTTCTGACTGTCTTTTGCCAGTTTCGGTCTCGCACAGTGTCAACATTGGTCTTTGCTCTTCGTCTTCTCTCTTTTCTTGGTGGTCTCATGTTGAGAATTCAACCGCTACTTCAAGCCTTTTCTCTCTTGAAATCTGTGTCCGAGGAGCTTGGTGTATAGACGGCCTCGATCAAGTCGCCGATCAAAAAGGTAAGGGACATGAGATTTACGATGAGGTTCAAGTAGGTAGGAGTCTTGGTGTTGGATGTCATAGACATGAAAATGGCCATGAGATGGAGGCAACATGGCTCTTTATAGTTGCATGTTTGATCAGGGATCGGGATCGCTATGGCTATGGCTATGGCTATGGTTACGGCAAAGGCAGAGCGTGCATTCAGCGGATCTGGTGTGAGGTGATATATTCCTGTAGATCGAGTTGTAGAAAGGACAGAAAGTTGGATCTTCCTTTGAAGTCTGGTTACATATGTTGATGGAGACAGGTATAGATTCGTTTGGGGATGGTGCTGATCCTGATGACAATGGTGGTATCGAGGTAGGATCAGGGTCAAAAGTCTTCAACATCAAGTTTGAATATGCTAGCGTTGTCAATATTTAATTTCGCCTTCAGGTAGAAAGTAGAGCCATACAACTAGATGCTTCTGATCGCCTTGTTGAGAAACATCCGTTGAAATTCTACTGGAAACAGCGTCGCCCTCCTTTCCAGGTCTATCGTCTGATCTCTCGGATCTACATCCTGTATGACTTCCACAAACAAGATATCCTGTCCGCTTGAATCGGACCGTTCGATGAAGCGATGAAGAAGGTGGTCGTGCGAAGGGCATCAAACCAGCCTTGATTCTTTATGGAATTGGGAATGGGACGGTGCGTTTCGTCTTGGTATGATTGGACTCACCTTTGTCGTTACGGGCGATCGTCAGCGAGAAAGTGTAATGGATTATGGCGATATAGATGGAGTAGTGCTTACGATATATGCGACGTCGATCCGGACATACAACATGCAATCTTGTTCACTGTGAAACGTTTCATTCCTATCGTCAACCCACCTTAAGGACTAGCTGTTTTCAATCACGATTTACGCAGTAATGCGCTTCGGAAGAGCAATCCGAGCATTCAGTGTTACGATCTCTGCCTTCTGACCTTCTATGAACTCCTTGATGGCAACTACCTCCTTCTCCTTCTTGAATGGCTCCCCTGGTGCTCGTGGACGTGGAATTGGGATGTTGTCAGCACCGATAAGCGCGAAGAGCTCCTGATATTTGGTCTTTTCCTTCCTTCGGAACTCGCGGTTCTCCTTTGCGCGAGCCCTATTGTATTCCTTGATATTAGTGGTGGCAGAAGCTGCTTGACGGCGAGGAGGCCGAGGATTTTGTGCCGGAGCAGTGATTCGGGCCAAGCCGGATATGGAGTCATGGGTGATAGCGACAGGGTGGTGGTTGTAGCAACAGGAGCTCTAGAAGCCCGGTACGGTAGTGTGGGTGAAGTCCGCGGTAGTGTAGTGGACGAAGTTTCCGAAGGGAGGATTTGCTGTTCTTTGAGTTAATGTTTGTCATGTGGTGGATGAGGTTGATCAGTGGCTCACCTATGCCTCTTCCGATGCCAGCCAATGTTGCAGCCGTGTTGGACATGTTCATTATGTGATTTAACTAATAATGTGGATTGTGTGAAGAGTCTGAGAGTGTCCACTGGTAACCGGGAAGTGGTGACAGCAAGAGTGTGGATATGAGCAAGACTGATTGTCGGTTGTCGATGGAGAATGAATAAAGCGTAAGAAAGCAAAGATGACTGATTTTATAGTTCTTCCCAACGGAGGTCGAAGACAGTAACAACTCTCAGCATCGCTGTGCAGATGGTGCCGCCGCGGCAAAGTTGATTGATGTTGTCGCACGATACTTATCGTGTTGAACGGATCTGGCGAGGCTGAATGAAGGGAATAGTCTCGGCGAGAGACACCAGTGTAGAGGAGAACAGCATTGTTACTCCATCAAGTGGATCAATCGTCTGGCTGATCATGCCCATCATAACTAGCCCTGATTGCTCTCTAGCTCCTAAGTCTTTCATGACCTATTTACGAATACCATATCCTGAAAATCCTTGTGGCGGCATTGTAGGTTGAGCTGGAGGCATAACACCCGCTTGAGGACCACCAAACCCTGGAGGAGGAGCAAAACCGGCAGGCATAACATTTGGTTGTGGAAATCCAGTAGGCATTTGGTTGAAACCTGGCGGCATAAAGCCTTGTGGTCCACCATATCCTGCCTGACTGGGAGGAGGTCTTGCTGGAAGACCACTTGGTGGAGCCGCCAGCGGTGCTGTTGGTGGAGGAGGCGGCGGTCTTGCTTGCGTTGGTGGAGGTACAGCTTGATAATTTCCGTTTGATTGTCCAAAGCCAGCTGGAGTTACCGGAGTCTGAGGCATACCACTAAACATCGGACCACCGACAGGAATAGTGGCAGGGGTAGGTTGGACACCATGAGCTTTTGCTTGAGCGGCAAGCATTCTTTCAGCTTGATCACCATGTCTCTCCCCCTTTCCATCCTTCTTGTAGGCGTATTGGACGGAGACCTCTTTGTTCATGAGGTACTGACCATTCATGTTTGCAATCGCATCATCAGAAGCTTCAAAGTTGGAGAAAGAAACGAATCCATAACCTTTGGATAGGTTGTTCTCATCACGAGCAATCTATGTCATATCAGCAAAGCAAGAAAGAAAGGTGATGGAGGAGAATTAAACACACCTTTGGAGCAGCCACCAGAGTACCGAATCTTCCGAATGTATCATATAGCATTCTTTCATCCACCATCGGATCCAGGTTTCCGACAAACAATTCCGCGCCGACTTCAACGGACTTCTGTTTATCGGCACTGGCTTTGTTCACTCGAATCGGTTTGCCAAAAAGTCTGACTTGGTTCATGATTCTGGCTGCGTACTCTGCATCTTCTTCCGAGTTGAATTCAACGAAGCCATAGCCTTGATGGGATTGTGTGACCCGATCTTTGGGCAAATGAACATTACCAATACGGCCCGCTTGCAGGAAGAGTTCCCAGACCAGAGAATCTGTGACACGTTCGTCAAGATTGCCAATGTATATGGTGGAGTCTTTGTCTTGCTCCCAGTGTCTTGCGCCAGACATATTGTTGGAGAGGTTTCTCTTCTAGAGAGACACCTATGAAAGGATTCCCAATTCCAAATCTTGAGTTTACAAGGACAAGGTGCGACGAGAAGTCGCTTGAAGTGTGGTTTTCTCCTTCTCGAAAACACGCTTTTCTTCTTCGAGACTGGCGTGGTTAAATATCACGTGATTTGATTTGCCCAAATTTATTCTGGCAAATCTTCAGTTCACCAGCTTCCCCTGGAATGGCTTGCATTTCGTCAGGATACCTGACAATTTTCGCTCCTTCAGTATCCTTTACCATTGTTGAAACAATCTGGTGGTCCCTAACCCCAAACAACCGGCAAAATGATCCAATTCTCGGAAGAGACCAAAGTATGTTCAGCTGGAGAGAATTTTGGAATTTCTTCTAACTTTTGAATTACAAGGAGCGCATCTCGAAGATCATCGACATCACCCGGGAAGTTGTTCATTATGGCTATCTACCTTTGATTCTTTATTTGGGTACGAGGAAAAAATTCGGCGAATTGAATATAGTTCTCATACTTGTCAGGTTATACCCGAAGTGAACCCAAACCGGCCTTGATCAAGTGCGATTCTTCCGTCTCCTGACTCTTGCTGTCGGCTATTGACCTGCTTCCAGCTTAATATCACCGTTTGCAAACTGAAGCTTTTCAGAACACCTTTCTGTACGACACAATCACAAGCATTGGGCGCAGCTGGGCCGCAGGGGACAGTTCTCAAAACATATAAGACGAGGAACATATTGAATCTACTAGAGTCTATCCAGCAACGGGAGGACCTGGGAAAGAGAGGCACAAAAATGCTGCGACTCTGATAAAAGGAGTTCAAGATGAGACTCTTACACCACTCTTATGCCAACATGTCCGAAACGACATTGTACAATCACCATATGCTGTCAACCATAGCAACTCCTACTCTTAACTCTCCAATAATGTTCAATAGCAACGATCCGATCTGAAAATATTCTTCAATCCGTCCTCTGAATTGTTATCCGAGTGCCCGCGCTATTGATTTTCACGATTTCCTGACCGGACGCAAGTCTCATTGATGAAAGAGTTGGACCCAGATGCGTCGGTTTTCCTATGGCCTCCAAACCATTTCCACCCATTTGCAAGCTTTGAGGACTTGATGACTACTGACATGCTGGGCCTGACGGTCCATTCGACATTTGAAATCAAAGTTTACAAAGCTGCTGGCTGTGACTTTGGATTACCGTGATAAGAATGAACTTATTGCAGCGTAGATCAATCTTGATGACAAGGTGCATGTTCTCGGCCTCGCTCACTACCCAGCACCAAGTATATATGACACAGTAACTCGAGTATGTCCCAAGAAGTACTAGTTGGTCTGCTCTGAACTTCGCGGATCTGGATGCTCGTTTTCCCGGAGCTAGAATGCGCAAGATATGGTTGCTGAACCATGCTTTCGAAAACCCGAATTCAGAGAGTGGATCTGGGGGCCCGCGCTGGGAGTTTGGTGGTTAGCGAAGAGCTCCAGCGATCATCTTCAGCCTGATCGCCAATATGTCGCTAGTCTTGAGCACGCCGAACGAATTTCTCGCTGGGACATCAGTAGGGAGGATGGAGATTGGTATAAGAGGTGCTCGTTCTCCGTTGCAGAATCTTGGTAGGCGCAGAGAATTCCCTGTGCTCTAGCTAGGCCTAAGGTCTTTGTTGTTCCAACCTCTCTCAGAGTGTTCCACTCAATTGATCCACAGGTTGAAGTTTTCCTCCTTCCTATACCCCCTCTCGACCATGCAACTTTAGCGTACCGGCAAGGTTGGTTGGCGTAGGGTTAATGACAGGCTCCCGGCTGCCCAGACACCAGAGGCTCTCGGGCCAGTCAATGACCATAGCGGATGCCCTCACCACCCCAGCATGACCTAATGCCCATGCATCGACGCCTCCGGAGTCTGAGCTCCGCTATTTGTCTCCATGCCGGTAACTCCATCCATCTACCCTCTTGTCTGGGGCTTGAATCCGTCACCGAGTCAGCCCACGCGCCTGTTTTTTGGGTGGGCACCTGCATCAGTGCATCAGCGCCGCACTGCGTCGCTGGCCTGCGCTTGGCCGTCGTGAACCTTGTCCTATTCATTAGCCTTCCCAGGGCTCACAGCCTTGATTCGTTTTAACTACGGGGCATCTAAAGTCGCCGATGAGATTCGCTTGACCTGCCTGTTCATCGCTTCCAGTCCCTGCCGGTGGGTAGATTGTCAACTTCCCCCATCTCCCGGCTCTCGTCTCATGCTTCTCCTGTTCCTCCTTGTTTGCTCTCCACCAACAACATCAGATCTTCTCCTTCCTTACCCTACCTCCCTTCCTCGGCGACTCTGCGCGTCCTCTTCCACAAGGCTCTCCATCAATTGCGCCAACCAGGACGTATCGCAAATATTGGTGCTCACCTCATCAAATTGTCCCCGGGGGCTGTCGCCTGGGTGTTACAAACATATTCTCAATTTTCTCCCCTTACCACTAGCGTCTTTCCACCTAACCGCTGCGCGAAGAAGGTACCTGCGCCTATTGCAACCCTCTCCCCCGAAAACTTATTTTGCCCATCAGACTAATCATTTCCCAGTCTTTCTCCATTCTTATTCTCTCCAGGCCCTTTTTCATCATTTCATCAACGCGTTCATCATGTTCAACGCCACTCAGCATCGCGGCAACCCCAATTTGGGACCTGCTCCTCCTGGCCAACCCAATCACCGACTGAACGAGATTATGGACTCTCTTCGAGCCGAATTCGACAATCAAAGCCGCGCCTCGGAGCAGGTGGAAAGCCAGGTTGCTCAACAGATCCAAGAGATGGAGTTGATTCGTAACAAGGTCTATCAGCTCGAACAGAATCAATTGAAGATGAAACAGGACTATGAGGCTGAAATCCGTATGCTGCGACATGAGCTCGAAATGCGTGGAGGTCCTCAAGTGCAGTCCCATCTCAACGCTCCTCCTCAACATGGCGGTCCTGCACAAGCTCCTCCATCCCTAGGCCATGGGCAGGGCGGTCTTTTCAGCGGAATCATGGCAAACCAAGGCCAGGGTGGCCCAGGACTGGCACCACCACCGGAACAACCTCCTCCACAGCAGCATCCTCTACAACCTCCCCCACCAGCTGGTCAACCCCAAGGTCATCCTCAACCACCAAACTCGTTTCCTGGCTATCAACAAGGGCCTGCGTTGAATGGTTATGCGCCACAACCCCAGCCTCCGACCAACTCTCCTGGTCTGGGAAAGACGAGGACCATGACTAGTCGAGGCGGACCTGGACCAGCCACCCCTCAACAACATCCTAATCAACCCCAGCCGATGCCATATCAGAATGACCCAAGAGCATCGCCTCAGATGCCTCGCCCAACTCCTCCGGGGAGTGACTTACAACTTGGACCTCGTCATCAAGTGCCGGGTCAGGGCCAGTACCCGAATGTGGGAAACGTCCTGGCAGATCTCAACCCGGACGATCTGCCCGATCACTTGAAGCGAACTGGAGCCAATGGAGAATGGCACGCTGTGTTCAATCCCAACGTTCCTCGGGTCCTTGATGTCACGCTCTTGCACAACCTCGTCCATGAATCCGTCGTCTGCTGCGTCCGCTTCTCGAATGACGGACAGTTCGTTGCGACCGGATGTAACCGTAGTGCTCAAATCTTCGACGCACGTGATGGTCGCAAGGTCTGTGAGTTGCTAGACGACAATGTCCAAGATAAAGATGGAGATTTGTACATTCGTTCCGTCTGCTTCTCGCCTGACGGCAAACTGTTGGCCACGGGCGCCGAAGACAAGAAGATTCGAGTGTGGGACATTGAGAGCAAGCGCATTCGCACCATTTTTGATGGTCACGAGCAAGATATTTACTCACTCGACTTCTCCCGCACCGGCCGCCTGATTGCGTCGGGCTCAGGTGATAAAACGGTGCGCTTGTGGGACATTGAGTCAAACCAACAGGTTATGGTTCTGTCCATTGAGGACGGCGTTACCACCGTCGCCATGTCTCCCGATGGCCGTTTTGTCGCTGCGGGATCTCTGGACAAGAGTGTTCGAGTGTGGGACTGCTCCAGTGGATATCTCATTGAGCGACTGGAAGGGGCTCAAGGGCATAAGGACAGCGTGTATTCCGTGGCTTTCTCTCCAAGTGGGCGAGAACTGGTCAGCGGTAGTTTGGACAAAACCATCAAGATGTGGGAGCTTACTCAACGAGGACTTATTCCATCGAGTGCCGCCAAGGATGGCAAATGTATTCGCACATTTGAAGGACACAAGGTAAGCTTTGGCCCTTTTAGCGTTGAGTTCGTTATACATTTTGGTGTTTGAGTGGAAGACTAAGCCGGTACCTGCAGGACTATGTTCTTTCGGTTTGCCTGACGCCTGGAGGCGAATGGGTCATGTCAGGGTCGAAAGATCGCGGCGTGCAGTTCTGGGATCCGAATACTGGCAATGCGCAGATGATGCTTCAGGGCCATAAGAATTCTGTGATCTCCGTTGCACCCTGCCCGACAGGACATTTGTTCGCTACTGGATCAGGAGACATGAAAGCTCGGATCTGGCAATACACTACCTGGCGTGGAGCACACCAAGGTCTCTAGGTTTATCTGAGTAGTGGAAGAAATAGTGTTGTTCTAGAAGGTGACGGGGCTAGGACTAGAGGTGCAAGTTAGAGTTTGTGGGCCTTGAAGCTGGTGACAAAGTTGGGAATTGGGTGGACTTGAACTAACATGAGGTGCGTGAGGTGTTTTACCCGCTCAGCTGGAGACTGGAGATTGGACATTGCGTATATTGAGACGGATGTTGAAAGGAGTCTTACCCGGGAGGAACGGCAGAGGACAGCTGGATCAGGGCTATCCATGTACGTGCGAGTACTCTGCATGAGGAAATATGTGGCTGAGGCGGTTTTTTCTTTCTTCCCTGGTAAACAGGATTTTGGGAAAGATTGGGGTTTTTAGGGGCGTGGGAGGTTCGCATTAGTGGGATTCTGGATGAATGAGTTGGTTGGTGGGACACTGGGCGTTCGTTTTCGTCTGATCTGGCGGACAGGGCGAGTCAGGACTGGCAACGAGCGCTGAGATTTTCTCTCACTAGGGTTGAATTCAGTCTGCTCATGTTACACCGCATTGTTTAGGGAAAATGGCCGCAGAGGGGAAAAAAAGGGCGAAACGAAAGAGGAAGAAAATGAGCGAAAAACAGAGAAATCACGAAAGGCCAGTGCCACTTTGGGATTGTGGAGGGAGAGGCAAATTTTCTCATGGTTTTGCGTGGTATGTAGCAGCAATATTGTAGCAATCAAAATGATCATGAGCATGAAACAATGAGGACTGCTACATTGATATTGTGGCGATCTGCGTGGTGGCAGCCGATGCTGGATGAGACCAAGATCGACAGGACAGCATAGGGAAGCTTGACTTGTTTCTCCATATTGACACCTCGCATTCTGGGGGAGATGATTAACAGAGTTTTACATCAAAGATACAAAAAGTATTACATCAAAGGCCTCGGGAGGTTTGTAGGCACCCAGTCGGGGGGGGGGGGAAGGTATTGAATAATGACTCAGGGAGTGTACCGTAACTTGGGTGAACGCCCAGGAGGGAGATGCAAATGCTTGTCAGTCTGACCGTCACTGATAAGTGTTCCTTTCGGAGGATGCCGGGCGGCCGTACCCGGTCCCGAGACCGGTCCCAATAGATAACAATTCGTGCCAGACTTGACACTCGAATACCTCGTACGGAACAATACCACTGGTAGTTACAAGAGCAAATGCCTGGTGACTACCTCCACTTGGAAGGTCCCCTAAGCTTTTGAGCTACCACAGAGGCGGCTAGCACTGGGTTACCGAGTACGGAGTCCGGGTATGCCTTGCCTTTGCAGCCCATTTGCTTTGCTTTCCGGATACGCTCCGGCTGCGTGGGCAGTGACAGCGACGTATTTACTGGGACTTACATTTTCACCAAGTAGTTGTCATTTACAGTGACCAGCTTTGTGGGCATCGTCAGTGACGGTGAAAGGATTGAGCAGAGACAGCACTATTGCAGCGGAGAGCAGTCCGTCACACACCATCATCCAATTGTCAACCATCACTCTCACCTCCTCCAGCATCAGCATTATCATCAACAACATCAATGAACCGTCATCATCATCAGCATCATCTTTATCGGCATCCATCATTTCCTTCACTGAACCATTTGCGTAAACAGACACACAGCCAAACAGCCTGCACCCTGCACCTGCAGCCCACTCACCCTTCGAGAGGGGGCGTGGGATGCTATGGGTCTACTACCACGTCCGCTGTACTGCCAGGTATCATTTGCTCTTCCGAATTCTACGAATGATCTCTTCTCACTTACCATTGGGGAATCAAAGCGCATCACTGCTAAATCCCTTTCCCTGCTTTTCTCATGCCGCATGAAAAAATTTTTTCACAAAGAGTAATGGTGAACATGAGGGGGAGGGGGAGAGAGAGAAAAAATACGCAACTCGGGTTTAGCAGCCCTGTTCTGCAAGATAACAAGGTACAGTGCAAACAACACGCTACACCAACTCTGCTGTCCCCGGCCACTCACCAACAACTACGGTCACCGGCCCCCGACCTCTCTGTTGGTCGTCTCCAGAGTTTCCATGGGACAGCCGGACGCGGGAGCAACGATGGCACCATGCAGGATCCAGGATTAGCCTGAAAGAAAACTTCGCTTAGTCCTGTCCACGCCCTCCACGCCACGAGTTCTTCATGCAAAGACTCTCCTAATGAGGAATAGTCGATCTCCTCCGAAAACCTTCTGTCCAATTCCTCCGTGTTTATCATCCGAACTACTGCGGCTTCTTGCGTCTGTATCGACCGCCTCACCAGCCGCTATCATCATTACGGAGACCTGCTGCAACTAGTCTCTCTATCTTCCTTCTCCAAACGATCCCCTGTTGCTTCTTGCGTCGGCTGGTTTCGTCCCAAATCACACGATCGCTGCCGCTAAATTTTACACCCTGGCTCTTTTCATCTCGACCCATTTCGATACCGACGCCCTGCTTCGACTTCTCCGCTCTGACAACCGCCCCCCCTTCCATACGCCATCCCTCGCAAAGCCCTTGGTGTCCCAGTTCCAAGTCCCTTATGCACCTTCCATGTCCATCCTCGCATCTTGCACCACCCGAAACCGCTGACTGGGCTTCAAGCCTTACCTCTCCCTCAATCGACCACTGAGAGCATCCGCATCCAGCGAAAATTTTTCACCAAGTCACCTGGCCCTGTCCTAACATGGCAAGCACAGGCGCTTTCTGGCCTTGTGGCGCCTGTCTTGTACCCTCGCGAGCAGGCAAGGCTGCATCTTTCTCGTGCCTTAGCCTCGACCATACCACAGTTCGCTTCTTGATGTGGACTGCAATCTCTGCCAACCTGCAGCTCCATCCCCTGGCCCTGCGACTAGTCGCTCGTTCCATCTTGTCCTACCCACGCTTGCTGACTGGTTGATTCGACTCTACGGGGAATCCATCTATTGCGAAGGTATAAACCCGAGTTTGATCTCATCACCCAGGAAGATTGTTTTTGTCTCCCCATCAGTAAAACCTGTTAGACTCGTCCGAACCTGTCGCTCTGTTGCTTTTTTGCTTGACTGCTGTGGTATCGTCCTTTGTCATCCTAGGGACTTCCCCGACACCAGCGATCCTCCAATCCAACTGGGCCAATCAACCATTCCTCCCCCACGCCGCGCTACCGTCTCCCTATCTCATTGAACTCGCCAATTCAAATCCGAGGACAAGGACCAGACTGCGATGTAGCCTTCTTGCTGGCTTTTCCTGCCTTGCAGTATATTGATCAATTATTCTCGAATTTGTCTTGATCGAACACATCGCAACAGATCACACCCTCGATCCCCATTATCTATTCGCATCATTTTTGGAATCCACACCCGGGAGGGGGGGGGGAAGTAAATTAGTTCAAGGATTATCGGTATACTTGCAAGCCAAAGGGACCAAGAATGGCCTTTAACCCCACCGCAGACCAAATTGAGTGGCATATGCATCAGTTGAGGCAGTGGATGGTACCGACGTCGGTGCCAGCTCCGACCAAACCCACCTCGAACATGAATTCTCAATCCTTTCCTCAGGACTTCTATCTCCAGAATGTCCCTTCCAGTGATTTGTACGACTATGACTCGTTCAGCACTCCTGGTCATACGCCAACCGCCATCCAGCGTGCGCATACCTTTGCCGACATGTCCGATTATGATTTCTCTCTGGATTACTTCAATCCTGGCCAGGGTCCAGTGACGCCTGGAAGTTGGGCAGGAGAAGAGAAGGGCAACTTTGATGATGGCCTCTCCATCTACTCGGAGGCACCTTCAAGCTATCTGTCCTCCGACCTATCGGAACAAACCCGGCTTGAATCCATCATCTCATCTAACCGCAATACTCCTCCTACCTTTCCACAGTCGTCTTCTCTACCAGAGCCCGTCTCCGAAGTTGATTCGCTTATGAAGACATTGCAGCCTCCCCAGATGCAACTTCAGGCTAGCAATTCCAATGGCAAGCCCAAGAAGCACCATTGCCCTCACCTAGATTGTGGAAAATCTTTCTCTCAGCCAACACATCTCAAAATTCATCTTCGCTCCCATACTGGTGAGAAACCATACACGTGTTCTGTACCAACTTGCAGGCAATCCTTTTCCCAGCTGGGCAATCTTCGAACTCACGAACGACGACATATTGGTCAACGACCAAATCGAAAGAGATCTTCATCCGATCCGGGTGCTCGAGGTCGAAAATATGAATGCAGATTGGATGGTTGCAAAAGTGTTGAAGATGGTCATGGAGGCAAGGTTTTCACGCAACTTGGAAACCTAAAAGCACATATGAACAAGTTTCATAAGGAGACTCTGGCCAGACTTTCTGAACAATTTGCACATAACGAGGTAGATCCTGAAGAAGCCGAATTGAGAGCTTATTTCCAGGACCTCTACAAACACAGCAACAAGGGGATCAAGGGACGGGGTAAGGGACGAAAAGTGGAGGTCATCATTACACCTGATCAGGCTTGAATGAATAAAAGGACAACAGATAATATCAAGCTGAATCCGAACCGAAAGAAAGGAGTACGAGTTCACTTCCATGAGCCTCGACAGAGATACAGCCCAGTCGGTCTCTCGTTCAATCCAGCTCGGAATGGCCGTAAAGCGATCGTCCATCCAAATCACTCCGAACCAGCCGAATCCGATCGATCCTACCATACAGTGAATCCTCAGCGTCAACCCCGAAGAGGACCTGCAGGAAAAAAGAAAATTAGAGCAAACATCAGAAAGGAGCCAAAACTCGACCGTCCAACCTTGCTAGCTCAACACCCACCAACTGTCACAAACCCAGTCGCTTCCGTCTTTTTCCCTTTTGTTTTTCTATTCAGATCTAATTGCCGTCTTGATTCGAGGAGGAATACCCACTATCGTACAGTTTGGTCCCGAGCGCGAAGCAACTTTATTGGAAACGGATTTATTTGGAGGAGGGGGGGTTCGGGATTGTAAGAGTATCACCCAAGGGGAAATAAATATTCCAGGAGGAATGAGGAAATATCATGAATTGGAAAAATATCAGGTCAAACTTGGGTGTCAAATGATTTGTTTTGGGTTATGAAACCAAAAAAAACACAAGGGGTGCATGGGATTGTTCGTCATCGGTCGAGCGTGGTAGTCTCGTATGTATGTGTATGTACTATTTTCCAAGTCTATGCTTTTGCTTTTTGAGTTTTGAATTTGTTTCCCGAAGTTTGATGTTGATTCAAATCAACGAAAGTAAAGGAAACACCGAAACCAAAAACAAGAAAGAAAAAGAAGCTGGTTGGGCCTGTCCTATGGAGAGGAAGAGCTGGGAAGATGGATTGCAAGCGAGTTTACAATGGATTTAGATCCTTGACACGAGGCGACGTGATGATGATGATGATGATGATAATGATTGATGATGAGCATCCCCAACAAAGACAGCAAACCCAAAAAAAAAAAAAGATAATTCTCAAAATTGTTTGTTCCACCTTTCCTTCCTCCTGCTCTTCCGTTCTGTCCATTTGCGGAGCGAGGTTCAGGTTGCCGATTTTTCTGTTCGCACACAACAACGAATCTCGAGGCAAGACAAGGCGACCCGTGCGGTGCGTGGCAAATTGATCTTGAAACAAACCCGGAGGAAGCCACGATGAGAAAGAAAAAAAAAGGGTTGCGGTGAAACAAGCAAGGCTGACTCTACCACCTTCGAGCATTTTCCTCTCTCGTCCACAGCCTCTCCTCGCGCAAGACCCCGGACGTCCCATCGATTACGGGGGAAATACTACTTTTGCCATCTACGTAGCGATCAAGGTTGGTACGTGCATTTCCCTAACATTAAACTCTGAGTTCTTGAAGATGATACAAGTGGCTGGCTCCAGACGATCATCGTTTGTGTTTCATTCCGGAACAACATTTCGAAAGCTCTCCTCCACCTCGAGGCGAGACGAGACAAGACGAGATTGAATTCATGCGGATCCTTGCCTGTTCAAACCAAAATCGGAATCGGAATGTGCATGAGACTGTTTCCCTGAAGTTTCATTGTGAGGAGAGAGGAACGGTATAAGTGATACTCCACTGGTCATATCTCGACCATCTTTCTCACCGTCCTATCCAGTCACCAACAAGATGAAATCTCCTTCACCCTCTCCTTTTCGCCTCACCTCGCCTCCTCATCTCATCTCGGATCCCCGACGGAGCGCGCCGTGCACCAGGAGGCAAAAAAGACGCAAGGCACGGCTCGAGTATTCAGGTACGAGCCTTGTGGATTTCCTTTAGGTAGAGAGACTTCTTTATCGTGGGCGGTGGCAAAAGCTCTTTCTCAAGGGAGGGAGTGGATTGGGCCGTGGGCACGTCGTGTCGGGGTTGTTGCTTTTTTCTTCTGAAGACAACACATGACAGCATAGCACGGTAGGTGATGGCGGTGGAGGAGAAGGCAAATCGAATCTCACTGGAACCTGCGATATCGGTCGATGAACCGGTGAGTCATTCTCGTTGCCATTATTATTATCATGACCAATCTACATCTCGAGGATTTTCTTTTCTTTTTCATAGACATTGATTTGTTCACAAATGACTGGCAGGCAGAACGAACATCGTACTTATAGCTGCGGTTCGAGATTATGGTATGGAATCATGTTGAATCCCTCCAGAGGCTGCGGATTCAGCAGTGTGATTCAACCCGAACCTGCCATCTTGTACTAAGCCACGCTGTGCAATAATATATACAGACTGCGGAGCCCTAGAAAAAACGAGAGACTCTAGCACAGTACATAGTTGTAGAGAGAGGTAGAACTTCAAATATCCGGACCATGTTTCGAGGTCAATCGTCTACATCTCCGATTTGAAACCTCGGTTGAGCATGTGAATAACTGAAAGGGCCACGGAAAGGAAAGAATCTTATAAATTCGCGACACTTTCATTCAAGGAAAAAGCGGTGTCAATAGAGATGAAGACTCGACAACTGCCTTGAACTGTGTGATGAACGAAGATAACAAGTGAGAGGCAGATTTATCTTGAGTTTGATATCGGCCTCTGCGTGAAATTATGTCCTCCTTTCCCTCCATTTCTTTTTGCCAATTATCCTCATAGGAGCAGATTGGGTGCCTGGGAGTTCTCTTTTCGTGTGTACCAAATTCTGATTGCAAGTTGAACGACCTACCTCAGCCCAAGGAACACGAGGCCATAGGATACAATATCCCTGGAGGCCCGAGTCTTTCTCATGAGCGGACGTTAGAACTTGGGACTTTTGAACACCGGGTATGCAGGTGGTCCTGATCGTTGGTGGGATTGCAGAATGTGATGACAAATTGCACAGGTCAACTCGGCACATCGATTCTTGCATGAATGGGCAGATCCTATTCCTCTCGGTGTCGAATCACCAACCCTCCAATGGTCGGACACTGCCTGAATTCCCCAGTCAAAGGAGCAGCCGTTTGGGCGTCTGCAACCCCCAAACCAATTTTCGACACGAGACAAGGGCATTGAACAGGGGGGTTTTCAAATTGAAGGCTGGCAAAGAATTGCGAAAACCATCTAACCACTTGTCAGAGACAAGGGCTGCTTCTTGTCGACTTCTCTTGTGCTTCTTCGCCCCCGATGAAGACGCCGATGATGGGATGGCAGGAGGGTTGTGATTGTCACGCTTCCTGCCTGGCGCATTATCCTACCTTGGTCCAGCGTCCCGCACCTAAGCCTCTGCAAATCATATCCAGCTCCAGTTTTCAGTCATTGCCAAACCCCAGGGCGCAACCCATGCACAAATGGTCACTTCTGTTTGGTGAAGGTTTGGAAGACATCCGGTCAAAAAGGTATCATCGTGCTTAAAAAGCGGGAATTGGGCCTTTGTGGCTTTCGGAGGTGTTGGCGCGAAGGCTTGGACTTAGTCTTCATTACTTCATCTTACGATCCTACTCGGGTTCCGATACTATGCAACTGGTTCTTTTCAGATCCGGCATAGTGCCACATTTCATGACTCGTCGACTAATCTGGGGCTTGGCTCACTTGCATTTGCATGGAAGCGTTCATACTCGGGGCCGTCAACGACGGAGGACTATAGGAAACCTGGCTCGGAATAGAATACGAGTGGAGTAGATTGGTGTCGTCTTCCTGACCAGAAGTTAATCGGCGGTTCAAACATGCAAGGTGCAGATACAGATGCGTGTACGTGTGCATACAGAGATTGTGGGGTGTGGCAAACGCACGTAAATGGGCGTACAGATGTCAGATGCTGGAAACAAGAGTCTCTCGTGCATGACAGACGCCATATGTCAAAGACAGGAAGAGAGCACCAGGTATACTGGTCTGAATGGAGCTGTGTAGCACCAGCCGGGCATAGAGTTGTAAGCTTGGGAGTGGGTTGCGCGGGTGGAGATTCCTGCTTTTCTGGGTTGATCTTTGCCGCACTAGACCATTCACTGCACTAACGCCTAGCGCAATCCACCTGATGGGCCGCCGCTGGGGCCCACCACACTGGGGCCCACCCTATTAGTGGGTGGATTCGTCGCTAGAAGCGATAGAAGATTTCTAGAAGGTCGGCTGGAAGGTCGGAGGATATGGAAAGAAACTCTGACAGACCGCCACCAACAGGGATCCAAAGGGCCAATCAGCAGGCCGCACGCCAGCAGGCACTCCGGCCACGCATGCCCTTACGGTCTTTGGACATCAACTGCTAGTCTACAGTGTCGCTTTGGGTGGAAAGCTTATTCACGAATCTCACACGGCCGGGCCCAGCAGCACACATCACCGCTGTGAAGTTGCTTTTTCTGCCTCTTCGAGAGAAACAGCATTCTCGCAAATCAAGCCCGATGCAGGAGAAACACATCTTTCTCCATCTCGCAACGAACCATTTCCATCCGATCCTCAATCCACCGAACCGTTGCTCTGGCCCCATCCCACTCGTTCTTGCTGTTAGTCGGCAACATTGTCCCGCAACGAAGAATTCGTCTTCTTTTTTAAGGAAGAGAGGGCTTGGCAAGACCACGACAAGGCTTTCTGCCGTCATGCTACGCAGGTACAACGCCCGCAGCATTTGATACTCCTAGTCTTGCAAATCAAGTGGAGATCATTTTGTGTTCACAACTCCAAAAGTGGAGAGAAGGACTAGTGATGTGCTGGGGGCCGCTTCAGACTTCGCTGATGAGGTTAGACGAGGGTTGGAAGCCGTAATTCGCCTTTTCGTTTCCATCTTGTCATGTCCCAGGAAGCGAGTTGTGATTGACATTGCGAGGCCTACCCAAAGGGGTTCGATTGTTTTCCATAGACTCGAACGCTTCGGAGGCCGCCGACAACCATCAATTACCCCGTCTATTGTGTTTGATCGACCGAAACGATATCTTGTCGTGGATTAGAACTGCATTGGAACTTTTGGAAGAAAGACAAACACTGAAATCACGCATATTATTACCCAACTCCCTCCCCCTGGTGCCTGCCCGCTGGACTGCTGATCATGGAAACCCCAAAGCGGGATGATAGGACGCTAATTTCATGTACGACAACCCAGTCTCTGATGACTCAATTCCAGACGATCTGACCGCCTGGTCTCCTTTTACAAGGGTCCCTTCCTGTCCACCTGCCGCGCCACCTCCGTGCCAACAGCGCTAGAATCATCCTTCTCCCGGGTCCCAAGCATCCTTGGGAAACTCCAGCGAGCGTTTTCATACACCAGGAACGTAACACAGGTGCTCGGGACGACACGGAGGAGGTTGGGAAAAAGACCTTTGTAATAACCTATAATACCTTCGTTACGCCAGACTTGTTTCATCAAGCCAATGACGCCGGGTCCTCGGACATGCGTGGTAGCCCTTGGGTCATAAGTTTGCAGTCTAGCCCGAATCAGCTGGTGGGGATACGTCAAGACTCCAGCGAATATTTTGGAAAGCGATGAAGTGATCAGCGTGTCGAGGTTGGAGAGTTCTTGACCTTTCTTGAAGTCGTTGCACCATATCTTGAGCTTTTCATAGGCCAGGAAATACAGTGAGCCATGACTGACCCCAACAAATGCGGGCGTCAGACCGTGAAAAAAGCCCCGTACACCTTCAGTTCGATATATGGAACGCAGACCAGAAACCATGCTCGGATATGCGCCGGCCTGAGTCGCCGAGGTCGAGAGCATGCGGGTTTTGACCACCCAGACAGGATTTGTAAGTATTGCTGACAGAAGACCGGACAGGGCTGACGCAGAAAGATAGTCGACCGAGGTGAGTTGATGGCCTGGTTCATAGCCTCGAATACTGCGGATCAGATCTTGAGCTTCGTGATACCACAAGAAATATAAACCCCAACCCAACGAGTTTCCGACGAGATTCGGAGTCAAACCGCGATATAGGGCTGCAATTCGGGTAGGACCCTCATTGCGCAAGATATCCCGAAGAACCGAACGAGAGGAATTGAGGAGAGGATGGGAGGAAGAGTCCACTGGTGGAGAAATTAATGAGTCTGGGTCTCCGGAAGGGAGGAGGGGAGAATCCAGAGTGTTAATACTCTACCTTGCAGTCTTGTCTTTATAATATCCAGAGGATGGACAATGACAGTGGAAGTGAGCCCTGCTGTCAGACCAGCAATAGCCTCTATTGTGGCGGGAGGAAGACCATGAGGACTTTGAGACGTCATGGGCAAGAGATTGCTGATGTATGAATCACCGCGGGGACCGAGAAACGACTGTAGGTGGAGGCGCCGAGGTCGAGGATCATATCGAGGCTAAAATGAGGAAAGAGAGGTGCGAGAAAGTAGGGAGATGAATGAATGATCAAGGAGACATGCTGTTGAGGAAGCCATCACTGCTGTTTGCATGCGAACAAAATTCTGGATGGACTCGATGAAATCAGATGCGAGGGGAGCAGTCACGTGCAACTCAATACGGAGGAGGACATAGGCCAAAGGCGCCTCTTGCTTGCTTTATTGTACGGCGTGCGGGGTCTCTCTCCTGGCCACAAGCTTCTCGGGGATTGGAGCGAGCTCAGGCCTGTTTATGGAGATACCACTCAACTTCGGCCACTCAGAAGTCTCTATCGCGGCTCGGATGTGCCAGAATCCATTTCACGCCACTCCTACTCACCGTTGATTTTATCGTACTTCTACGAATTCTTCCGCCAAATCCTGCAAGAAAGCTATTTGATCCTTTACCAATTGCCTGCGTTTCTGCTTTTCATTCTCGCAGGACCCGAGTCCTTGCGCCTCCAATACCCCAAGTAGCTTCTCCAACTCGGCCAAAAAGCCCCCGAAACAGCACAGCGAGACCGCCATGGACATCGTCCTCGAAATCGTCGACACTCTCGTCTTGGATCGCGTCTATGCGACATTGCTTCCCGCAAGTCCATCCTCATACGTCTCACAAAAGAGTAACAATGCGACCTCAACGGCCCAGTACACATACATTTATGAGCCTGCTTCCCAATTCATCAGTTTGGAACCTACACATTGGACTTATAGTAGCTCATGGCCTCGCGACAACATATACCGACAAGCCATTAGCCTGTTCGCCATAGTGTGGTATGTGGCCAATTCTTTTGGTGCCCCAATTCAATCTGGCCAAAGTCTGACAAAGTCTTCAGGTTCTTTGGGCTGATTCTTTATTTCGTTTGCTCCTCGCTCTCCTACTTCTTCGTTTTCGATAAGAATAACTTTGATCACCCGAAATATCTCAAAAATCAAGTTCGCATGGAGATCATCCAAGCAAGCAAAGCAATGCCAGGCATGGCAGTCCTGACCGCTGCCTGCATGTTGGGGGAAGTGCGCGGGTACGCCAAATTATACGACACCCTCTCGGAAGCACCGTTCCCGCTGTACAATCTCCTCCAGTTCCCTTTCTTTATCCTCTTCACCGATTTCCTCATCTACTGGATTCACCGTGGCTTACACCATCCTCTTGTTTACAAGAAATTGCACAAACCACATCACAAATGGATCATGCCTACCCCATATGCCTCGCATGCTTTCCACCCTCTTGATGGCTTTGCTCAATCTATCCCCTACCATCTTTTCCCTTTCCTCTTTCCCCTCCAAAAATTCGCGTACATCGCGCTCTTTGTATTCATCAACGTCTGGACCATCTTCATCCATGACGGCGAATACTACTCGAACTCGCCCGTCATCAATGGCGCCGCCTGCCATACCATGCACCATTTGTACTTCAACTACAATTATGGCCAATTCACCACACTGTGGGATAGACTAGGCGGGAGCTATCGCAAACCAAATGATGAACTTTTCCGTAAGGAGACCAAGATGGGCAAAGAAGAATGGGAGAGGCAGAAGAGGGAAATGGAGAAGATTGTCAAGGAGGTCGAGGGTGATGATGATCGGGGGTACCTCGCTGATGGTGTCGCTGAGACTAAGAAGGTCCAGTGAATCCGTTGCCGTGTCATTTTCTACGCGAATGGATCGGTATCAATCGGGCAGATCAATAACAACTCCGAAATGAGGGAATAGGATTCTTGGATTGTTTCAAATTCAAACGGACCATCCTTGGAGATCGTCTAGCTATGGAAGGAGAGGTAAAGGAAAGGCAAGCGGATCAGTCTTTACCCAATGAAAATGTACATAGACTTTTATCATGCGACGACGGACAAATTACTGCCATGTCCGTTCTGGGTTGTGATGGACGATAGTCCGACCACAAACGCAGAAGCGATTTCTGTGGATGAGTGCAGAGGGACTCAATTGTAATAACATCAGCATCGATGAATATCTCATCTCCTATACCAAGCCACGAATGTCCTATATATATATATAACTCGATTGATAACAAAGGGAGATGCGGTCCGTTCTGTCTTGAAGCCTCCATGATCTGTTGAAAAGTGAAAGCTTGAAAATTTCGGATCAAACTTTCAAGTTGTGTGATGTATGTTGTGCGGGCGGTGTTCTTGAGCAGGTCACTCTTCATTTCCGAGCGAAGAGACGGTCATAGAGCGTCTCGAAAACAGAAAGGTGAGCAGAAGTGTTCGTCTCCTTTCTCACTTCTCTTCGCTTGATATGGGCGCAATGTATAGAAATCCCGCGTGATCCAACTAGATTCAAAATCCCAACCGATGGAGAGGACTCAAGTCACCAAATGATTCTACGAATTAAGAGAGGCCTCTTGGAACAAAATTCTTCCCACATCAGTTCTGCACAAAGACTTGCACCCGGAAGTCTGTCTTCATATATCCATCCCGTCGAAACTTGTAGCCCTACACGACAGAACTTAATCCGATCCCATTCGCAAATGTCCCGCAACAAACGCCACGCACAACTTTGGATCACGAAAACGAGACAAACTTCGGATCCCGAGGTATTCCGTCCTCGCCGATTCCATTCTTCTTGAACCGCCGCTCCATGTAGACACGCCTTGCCTCGTCGAAATTAATACCCCGGATCTTCATGAGTCTTTGGATCTCCCGCTTGGCCTTTTGGTCGAGGCCACCGCGCGAATCACCTTCCATGACGTTGGTGGACAGGTCAAAGTCGGCGGACGTGAAGCCCGACTCGACGTCGCCCATGAATGTGTTTGGAACTCGCGTGTAGCTGAATGCCGACATGGCATCTTGGAGGCGGGTGGGGAGGTACGGTGTCCAGCGGGCTCGGGTTAGGTAGAGCGCTAAGATTGATGAATGTTAGAGTCCGGCAAAGGAGATGAAGCGGCAAGGGAAACGTACCTGATACGAAGACAACGGAGACGAAGAGAATCGAGTAGAGGAGATAGCCCATGGTTGCTGTTCGGTTCGTTTCAACGGATATGGGCTGATGAGCTGAATCAAGTTGAGTTGCGCGAAGGCTAGATTGTCGGAGTTCAGACAATTGCAGATCTAATTCCTCCGGCGCATGGCCTGTAAAAACCAGTATAGACTAAGGGTCAGGTGAAGCCTGCACTTGAAGGTGAACTGGGGCACTTTCCGTTCTTTGAAACATGGAGGTTGAGGTTGAAGTTTGTTTGGTTGGCCCCAAAGCACATCCGTCGTCAGCCTGGCTGGCGGGATGCCTGGAACTGCCGAGGGGTCTCTGCGGAAAGGGTTCGTGGACAAATCACATGATTTATCGCCAATTTGCCAAGATCGGAGCATCGGCCAATCTCTGGTCGCACTTTGAAAGTTGGAGGCACGATTGAATCGAAATTCCCACCAGAAGTTCCAGACAGCGATCATTTTGCAGCCGTCAGACAATACATCCCTAGCCACCATGTCGGAACGTCCCAACGTCTCCAGCGATCTCATCTGGGAGATTGTCCGTATGCTTTGACTCCTGACTCCCCCATCTCTGGAGAACAACGTACTGATCTAAAATCTAGGAAACAACAATGCCTACCTGGTCAAGCGAAATACCGCCGGTGGTGTCCAATTCTCTCGAGACCCCTTCAACCTGACCAACAAACACTCCCGAACACATGCTGGATTCGTGAACGACAAGGCTGTCTCCGTCCAGCTCAATGACAAGGGTGGCATCACTTTGATGACCAAGAAGTCTGGAAAATCAAACAAACCTGCGTCGCACTACAACACACACGCGTATGGCAAGGCAACGTCGAACCGAAAGTGAGCGTTTTCCTACCGTCGTGGAGGAGAGGACAGAAAGAGGCCAAGGGAACAAAGATTTGCTGATGAAGTGCTTACAACAGGATCTACAAGAACGTGGCAGACGCAGTGGGCAAGAATTCATACCGGGGCGATTTGAACAGGGATGCTGTTGCTCGCGCCAGTGCCATCAAGGATTCCCAGCGGGCAAAGAAGGATCTTCCCGAGAAGAAGCCTCGCGGATTGAAGGGGACTAAGACACAGGCATAGGAGCCTCGGAAAATGACCACCGAGGGACACCCAGGGAGATGTGAAGAATGTACAGTTTCCGAACGAAACGAACGATGGAGCTATGCGTGGAGGTCCAAGGCGTTCCGAGAGATAAAAATCCTCCGTGAATCGGGACCGGGGAAAGTCAATTAGACCAGATGCCGGAAAATGACATCCTCGCAAAGAGAGTTGTGGCGCTGTCTGCCTTCGAATCGTTGGGGCGCTCTCTCTGAACTGGAGAGTTTCTATTCGGCGAATGTTGCTGGCGTGGCTAAGGTGTGGGCACGGGTTCACACAAAATAGCTGGGGGGAATCGGATTACCATTGACGTAGATTCAAACAAAATAGGTCAAACCAAGGCCAACGATTTGTTCAGCCTTACCCGAGCAATTCTCGTGGTGTACGAAAAATAGTAGCCTGGTCACGGAAGTAGATGAGATGTGAGATATTTACCCGCACCGACAACAGCAGTGAGTAGGACCGTGAGTTGGCGACAACGCGAATTATCGGGGAGCCGGATGCAACGCGGGGTTTTGGCGTATGCGCTTGGCCGGGGGAATTTTAACCCTGCTGCTCGCTTTTACCACATCCTTTCCGCGGCTATCACTAAGAGGCCAGACCGCTTCCTTTTTTTGTTGGCTCTTCTATCTTCACTTCTCTCGTGCAGAACGCTCCTTTACTCTTCTAGCAGTCCAGAGACCTCTTTTCAGGCAGTAAAAAGGATAGACAAACCTGAGAAAGGACTACACCACCTAACTCGGCATTCAAACAGTTCTAGCTACCCCTCATAGTCCGTCGAACATTCAACATGGTGAAAGCCGTCGTCCTCGGTGCCGCTGGTGGCATTGGCCAGGTGAATGCTATACAAGACTAAAGAGATAGATCAGATCCATTAACTGACTCCCCTATTCAATAGCCATTGTCACTTTTGTGCAAGATCTCCTCTCTCATCGACGAGCTTTCTCTGTTCGATGTTGTCAATACCCCCGGCGTCGCGGCCGATTTGTCTCACATCTCCTCAATCGCTGTATGACCAATTCCTCTTGACCGATCAGCAACCATCTCAGGTCTAACAATGTATAGAATGTCGGTGGCTTTGTCGCGGCCAAGGGTGATTTCAAGGGAGAAAAGCCCGAAACGGAAGAGGCAAAGAAGGAGGCTTTGACAGGCGCGGATATTGTCATCATTCCAGCCGGTGTTCCACGTACGTCCTGGCATGCGGATGAATCGATTCTGAGCCTTTGAGACTGACGAATGTGTCAAGGCAAGCCTGGTATGACTAGAGACGATCTCTTCAAGACCAACGCTGGTATCGTCAAGGATCTCGTTGTCGCCTGCTCCAAATACTGCCCCAAGGCATACATCTGTGTCATCTCCAACCCAGTCAACTCTACTGTCCCTATTGCCGCTGAGGTATTGAAGGAGGCTGGTGTCTTCGACCCCAAGAAACTCTTTGGTGTCACAACCCTTGATGTTGTCCGTGCTCAGACCTTTGTTGGAGAGATCATTGGCGAGTCTGATCCTCGCAAATTGATAATTCCTGTTGTTGGTGGTCACTCGGGCAACACCATTGTGCCTATGTTTAGCCAGACTAAGCCTTCCGTCAGCATCCCAGCTGACAAACTTGATGCCCTGGTCAACCGTGTTCAATTCGGTGGTGATGAGGTGGTCAAGGCCAAGGACGGTCTTGGTTCCGCAACCTTGTCCATGGCGTATGCTGGGTTCAGATTCGCAGAATCTGTGCTGAAGGCTGCCAAGGGCGAGAAGGGTATTGTCGAACCAACATTCGTCTATCTCCCAGGTGTTGAGGGCGGTGATGCTATTGTAAAGGCTACCGGATGTGAATACTTCTCCGTCCCTGTTGAACTTGGAGTAAGTTTCTCTTTGCCGATCCCAACTTTCCTTGTTTCAATTTTTCCCATTTTCAATACTGACCTCTGAGTAGCCCAATGGAGCTGAAAAGGTTATTGACATCCTCAACGGTGCCAATGACTATGAGAAGAAGCTCTTGGATGAAGCCATCAAGGGTCTCAAGACCAACATCGAAGCCGGTATTAGCTTCATCAGGAACCCACCTAAGTAGGTCTGACCGTAATTCCTTTCTTGTCACCTGCCTGATAATCAATTCGCAGGTAGGATGTGAGCGACTTCTGAACCAGAATGAGCCCGCCCCTGCCCACGGTTGTTTTGCAAGATTTTGACAATAGCCAAAAAAAAAAAAAAAAAAAGAAAAGAAAAGAAAAGAAACAAAAATGAAAGCAAAGCAGCCATGGAAACTGACGTGAGGTTCGGAGCAGGTTATGAACAGAACTCTTGATGAAAAAGCCAGAGAGGTTTTTCCTTTTCCATTCGGACAAGAGAGAGAACCCATAGCTTTTCAGACTTGCTTTTCTCTGCTAGAGACGCGTAGACAAAACAAGAATTTTTTTCCACGCTTTTCTTGCGAATCACTCAGCGGGTTTACTAGATAGCAGGCTTCCTAATTGACAGTTATGCTGCAATCCTGACCCCTGTGTATGAGTGAGTGTGAGTGTGAGTGTGTGTTGTATGCTTGCTCTGCTCTTCGATCTTGATCTTGTTTTTGGTTCATTATTATGTCTTTGCTTGGATCGTTTTAATTTGAAAAGTCGCCGCTGGAAGTTCGGTCGTCTCTGCTTGAACGGTAGCCTTGATACCCAAACTCGATAGAACGCCCCTGATAATACCACAAGGAAAGTAAAGATGTGGTTGGGCTCTGTCGAGCGCTTCGGCATTGTTCGCCATACTCATTCGTGAAAAAGGCCGGAATTTGTTATCTGTGAGAACGAAGACACCCTGGAAACAAAATGGTAACCCGTCAGTATCAATGTTAATATTTTGGCCGCAATGTGTTATATAGCTTTTGCCTCCAAATGAACAAAAGTTGGGGAGAGTAAATGACATACTCGATGATTCGTCTTCAAATTGTCAATCTGCTTCTTGAACACCACAGTCCACATGTCCTTGCATAGAAACTTGATCACGTCCAACTGGTCCGTAAACCGGGGTCTGTCGCGGGAAAACCGTTCGCTGAGCCCTTCACCAACGCGGAACCCCAGCCGCTCAAGCCGCACGTACATGCTATCTCGGAAGATGTTTGTCTCTGGCAGGCCATCGCCTGCGAGGATCGTACCGGATGATCCTGTACCGCCTCCGGTGGGCGGTGCGATGGTGACAGCGTTGATATTCATAGGAGTAGCAGTGCCGGGAGGAAGAGGAGGGTTAGGTTTCGCAGTTGTCGAAGAGTTGGTATTGCGCTTCGTGCCGGGTGAGTGCGGCGCAGGTCCGTCAAGGGATGCTTCGTATGCCCGCGCCATGCGCTCCGCAAGTGGCACAAGTTCGATCAAGAGCAGATCAAAGCACGAGACATTGACGAGGGGTGAGCCCTGCTCCAAAAGCACGTCAGAACCGGTCGTGGCCATGCTGTTTGCCAAAGGTCACCGCGAAGAAGGATGGAGGTTGATTGGCCTTGGTGGAATCGTTGGGTCCGAGATGTGTGAAGCTCTCATATTGTAATATTCGAGGAGTCGGATTGTTTATCGTCGCCCATTTTGAATGACTAATTGGGCGACTCGGCTCATTCTGTATACGCAGTCCTGGTTTTGAGAAATGAACGGATATCGAGGTGTGCGCGAGATGCTGAACGCTGGCTGCCGACCCTTAGTTCAGTGTGGCTCGAGATCACGTGTCTACAACGACACAAGGCTGAGATCGGTCGATTCTCCCTTTCCACAAGAATGCTGAAGCGTACCCTGAACTCTCGGACGCGAGACTATATTATTAGGCTATTTGAGGCACACCCTGAATTCCAGAGTCAAATCTTACAACCTTATCGCCTGCGACGCTATGCAGTTGGACTGCATCTCTGTGGATTTTCATCTCACATATACACGTTGGTCACCCATTACTATTATACAATCAATCAACAATGAGAACAGCATCACCCTTGTCCACGATTCCGAATTTCTTTTCACTTTCTTCGTCTTGGTTGTAGGTATTCATTTGGTCATGACGTCGACGTAGCGGCCAGATTTCGCTCCCTTCTTTCCTCCCTTTGGACCTTTCCGTCCAGTCGCTGGCCCGATGAGATCGTCAATGCTGCTGGAATTGCTCATCGCCGTACCCGGCCGAGAGACCAGTCCAGGCGGTGGAACAAGACCAGGAGCTGAAGTTGGGGCTGGTGGGGGGGTACCAGAGCCACTTGGCGGGCCAGAGACGCCTGGAAGGGGTGATGGCACAGGAGGTAGGCCAGAACCGCTAGCCGGTGTTCCTGCTCGGCTGGACGGTGCAGATGGAGGGCCCGTACTAAAGTTTGGTAGACTTGGGTGGGAGGTCGGGCCAGAGTTAGGAGCTCTAGGAGGTCCACCAGAACTCACCTGAGGAGCAGGAGTGCTGCCCATTCTTGGTGGTGGAGGGGTTGCAGTCTTCTTTGCTGCGTCTGGGTTGTCCGGGTTTACCCATTTACCCAACTCCTTATCGTAATACAGCTTCATTTTTGATTCGCCAAGGTTGGCCCGGTAAACCTTTGGCTCGGACCCTTTGCCTGAACCCGCATCGAGGCCATCTGCTGCTTTTTTGCCTCCTAACCATCCACTAAACCATGATGAAGATCTCTTGGATTGAGCCTTTTCCTTATCCCTCGCGGCATCTGCTTCTGCCGCTGCACGGAAGGCAGCGTCCGCAACCGCATCGTTTGCACGTCTACGTGCAGCTTCGTCTTCATCAACCGAGCGTTTGGATTCGGATGGTGGAGCCTGAGACGAGGTTCGAGGGAAATCGTCATCATCGTCATCTATGAATGATTTCTTTTTAGGTTTCTCTTCATTCGGGCCATCTTCGGGCGATTCGGGCTCAGGGACGTAAGGGACATAGCCGGTGCTAATGGGGGGCTCATAGCCATAAGATTGAGAAGAAGGTTCATATCCTACATCACGATCGTCATTCTGCTCAGGCGGTGTCGGATCCTGCCGTGGTGGTTCGTAGCCACCATATGCTACCGATTGCTCCTGGCTTTGGGAGTCCGGCATCTGCGCAGGGGTACCGCCATCGGATTGTTGGGGTTGTCCAAACGATGAGCTCGGTGCATAAGTTTCGTGATTCGTTGGGGACGTATTTGGCGGTGTGGATTGGATAGCATTTTTTGGCATGTACGTTGACCTCGGGGGACTTTGAGGGTAAGAGGTCGACGGTGAAGGTGTAGCGAATGACCGATAAGGATTCGGTAGCGGAGCTACTTGCCCCGGCTGAAACATGTTCACTGGGCCATATTGACGACTGCCTTGGGAGTAAGAGGTTGATGGTGGTGATCTCTGAAAATCAAGGGAGGACTGTCCCCGGACTAGCTCAGAGGAGGACCGAGAGGACTGCACTCCATTGGGAGCATATCTGGATCCCGCGACAGTCACAGGGGCACTTTGCGGGTATGATCCATACAGGTCAGACTGGGAACCTGATCTGCTGATCGAAGGAGTGCCGGCGACATTAGCAAACGGAACTGGTTCGGCCACATCTTTCCCTGAGGCTTTTGATTCTGCATCGCTGTCTTCACCCACGACAAAGCTGCTAAATTTAGTCCACATCGAACCGGACACTTTCTCAAGGCTCGGCTTTCCAATCCAAGATGAGCTTCCCTGAATCGGTACTTGTTTTAGTCGGTTTGATAGATCATCCAGTCCGGATAGGAATAGAGGATGATAGTATGGTGACATCTTCGTGCTAGACTTGAATGTTGCTGTAATTGCATCACAATAAGATTGTGCCTCCAATTTCAGGCCCCTTTCTGCCAAATCTGTTGCTCGTTGCAATTTGTACACAGAAAGATGCGGCATATAGGCAATTGGAGATCCCGCTGCAAGAATACTGGATGCAAATTCATAGATCTCGGTAAGCAAAATAGCCTCTTGGTCGCGACCAAAATCAAACGGTTGGGATCTGTGATTAGCGCCGAGTAGAACAATGGGTGTCTGTTCATCGTCAACCCCACCAAAGATGATTGGTCTCGCCGGGTTTCTCGAGAAAAGGTAACAGATATGGGCCGCTTCGATGCGGTCGTAATCTTCAAGCAATTTGCCCAGTATTGCCAAAGCTTGATGGTCGCCTTGACAACGATTGTTCAAGACAAGGCTTAGTGTCTCCTTCCACCGATTGAGACCATCGAGAGCATTCTTGGTCGGTTCGCCAACGTCGACCTTGCTTACCATTTGCAATCCCGCACGGGCAGAAGGCGGAACTAGTTCATCGACACTTTCTTCGAGATTGCCACCAAAGATCTCGTACAACGCTGACAAAGGTTCGGCGTTGGCTCCAACAGTCTTGACTTCTTGACGAACAAACTCCCGTACTACTTGGTTCCACACCGGCAAGTCCATAGTCGAAGAGATAATCAAGGCGTGAGACCATAGTCGGTTGTCCATGGCATGAATCACTGCTGCTTGTCGGTCTCCGCTGAGAAGACGCTTTCGGAGCATTTCAATTGCCATCGGATCTATAGAGTCCGGTTGTGCATTAGCACCCGACGGACGATAGATGCCTGAGAATTGCTCGTCTACGCGATATTGGGTTGCAGTCGATTCATCCAAGGCATGAATTTCGGGCGAAAGGATCACATTCATAGCTTTCAAGGCGGGACCATCAATGACACCATCATGTTCCACCATGCAGCGAACAATCCTCCAGAGTAATATCTTCTCATGGTGACGTCTTCCTGGATCTGAAAGAGTCTGGGTTGGCATAGCGTTGGGCATGTATGACTCAAGTTCAGATATATAGGTCGACATCCAAGATAGCACTTCTTTCTTCTTTGATTTTGATCGCAATGGGCCAGGGAAACTGTTTAGCGTCTCGGACTGAGGAAGAACGTCTTTCACGCTTCGGATCGACACTTCGCCTGCCGCGGATTTAATTTGGGGTCTTGCTGCGCCTGCAGCGTACCTCGGCACATGTTTAGGAAAGGTGCTCAGTATAGAGCCGCCGAAACCAAAGGTGAATATTGGAGCGCCTTTCCAGCGTTCCAACGGGTCAAATTGAGTATCATCAACAGGACGCACAAAATCAAGTTCAGGCGCCAGTCCTCTGGCATGAACGTTTAACCTTGTAGGTGGCACAGTCTCCAACTGCGAAAAGTTTCTGTTTGTTGCTGGTTGACCATACACAGAAGTAGACCGATTCATAACATCGTTGGGATAGGTGGTGAAGGCCGGCTGAGGACGCTGTTTGGAAGGAGACTGCGTTTGGGATCGGCGTGGACCTGGTAGTCGTTCTGTGCCTGGACGTTTGGGAGGTGAAGTATGAATGTCCGGATCTGCAAAACTTTGACCTTCAGGAGTAATCACTGATTGGGAGGATACAAGCCCAGCGGATGACGCTTGGCGAGGCGGTGCACCAGTTCTGGGGGCTTGTGCCATCGAAAGTGTAACATCACTTGCACTTTTGTCAATCGAGCTTTTGTGGAGTGCAAGAGGACTTGATGTGCGAGGCTGAAAGGGGAGAATGCTTGCAGCTGGTGGGGCATTAGACGGGGGCTGTGCTGCGTATCTGTTGGGCATCGGTGGTGTAGCTTGAGATGGACCAGCAGGTGATGTTGACTGCGACGCATATCGGTCTGAAGATACAGGCTGGGGTGGTGGTGCTGGCGAATATCGCGGAGATGGTCCTGTTCTTGCGCCGAGCGTTGATGTGGCAGGTGCCGGTGAGTATCTCGTGGTCGAAGCTGCTGGTACGGTAGGGGGCGGTTGAAGTGGCACATTTGCATATGGATCTAGTCGCTCGGGTGCTCTCAATTGATATTGAGCGAACGGATCTGATGCCTGAGGAGCAGACGGTCGCTCTCGTGGGGGGGAAGGTGTGACGCTGGGAGGACTTAGGTGTAGCGGCTGGGGTGGTGAGACGGTGGTTTGTTGTGGGGTATAGCGACCGTGACCAGGAGGTGGCCGCGGTCTTGAGCTCACAGGCAATTCTTCAAAGAAACTTGAGGATCCGAACTTCGGCACGTCAGCTTTTGTGGCCGGTGCGAAAGCCGATGCGCTCCGAGATTGAATGGCTGGCAACGGCGCGGGAGGTGGCATGAGCCCTGATCCTGATGATGGTCGAACGTTTGGGGTGAAAGGGGACTGGAGTGGTTTTTCAGACAAACTGCTACTTCTTGGTGGAGGCGCGACCGTTTTCGTAGTCTGGACAGGTTGAGGGACGTGGGCTCTCTTCCTTGGTTTCGCGATGTCCACAGGTAAATCATAAGGGGATTTGTAACCGTCTTTTGCCTGGTCCACAAAGCTTTGAACTGGTTGAGGAGGTGGTGGTCTCTGCTGTATATGTGCTTGAAATGAGCTCATAGGGGCCAGTCCAGGTCGTGAGATACCAACATTGTTGTGCGTGGTAAGACCCGTTGGAGACAATTGGACCATGTCCGAAGTAGATGGTTGATGTGGTGCGTATGGATTGCCTGTATTTTGTGTTTGACCTTGGTTCTGTTGGCTGGTAGTGCCCGACGACACTTGTGTGCTTGATCCATCGAGTTTGTCATCCGGTAATGTTGATGTTTCTTTCAGAGAAGCAAGGAAAGAGGAGGGAGAGCTAGGCTCCGAGTCCGGAAGAAGGTCATCGGCGTCCTCGACGAGGAATTCGTCGTCACCAAGTGCAGCAGCCCACATTGAGTCCACATCCTCCTTCTCCGGCCCTTTTGACGCTTCATTGTCAGGCACGTGTGCATTAGCCAACTCATCATAAAATGAAGGCTCAGTCGGGGCCGTCACGGCTGGGGACTCTGGCGCATCCTTGGCCGAGAAGTCCAATGACCTTAGGACCTGAGCAGTAGACTTTCTCCCCAGAGACGGGCTCTCGGGACCTTCACCAGTGGCACCGTTCATCTTCGAGAAGAAGCTAGTTTCTTCATCATCCGGTTCTGTTTCGAAGGGATTGACTGAGGACTGCACATTGGCATCGTCATGGTCTTGCGGAACTTTTCCTTCAGCCTGAATTAGAGGTACACCTTCATCGAATCGTTGAGCCTCGTCGTCAATTATATCTGCTTGTTCTGGTATTGTCCATGAGGGAGGATCTCGGGTTCCATCATGGTCATCATCCATCCAGTTCAAAGTTTTAGGCTCTGCTGCAATGCTTTCATGCTCTGTGGCAGCGGCGGATTCTGTTGTGCCATTCGCCATTTGTATATCATGCTCCCTTTTAGGCGCATCGACATTAGGAGGAGGGTTCAAAGGTTCTGGTGCAGAAAATTCTGGGAAGGTTGTCGAACGGTGGACCTGGGCTAAGATATGGGCGGAATCCAGGCGCTTGATTCCCCAAGCAGGATCCAGGCGCTCATCGTCATTATCTGAGGGCAGCTCATCGGTCCTAGAAGTTGTGTCGGCAGGTTGTGAGGGCCACTGCCGGCCTGTATCTGCGGAATCACTCGCGTTACGTTTCAACGCCGATATGTGATCTTCCTGCATCGCTGATGTTGCGGATGTATCTTTCATCGAGGTCCCCTCCGTAGTATTGTTTGCTGAGTCTGATGTTGGAAGTCCCATGTGATTCTCTCCATTGCCCAGTGCTCTTGACTCCGACTCTGCCATAGCCGCAGGATGGGAATCATCGCGAGATTTGTCAAGGAAATCCGGTCGCAAGGCGGGCAGCCAGTGGCCTGATCGCACAGCATCAGACGTTTCTGAGGAGGCATTATTCATATGACTGGCGGTCTCCATTTTGACTTCGAGGGGGGGAGGTACAACTAATCGAAGTCAGCATGAAGGACGGAGGATGGCAGGAGCCCTTTCATACAGCTAGAAAGAGGGAAAAAAAAAAACGTCACAAACACTTCGGATGCATCTCGATTATCAGCAGGCTGTCCACGGACGAGGCGAAAGAGTCAATGCCGCGAATGGATTGTTGATGAATTGACAGATGTTGGAGGCCAAGTTGTTCTCGAGAACTCTCAGTTCGACGCGGAGAACGGCTGCGGATCAGCCGACGCGGCTGGGCGTGGCACGAGGCCACAAGGCACCACCACCGAGCATTGCGCGTTGGTCAGATTTGACCAACTCTGTGAGCAAGGCACCCATAATATTGCTATATTCCTCGAATATCAACTCCTCATGATTTCCAACCTTTTCAGCTCATACGGTCCACTTAGACAACTAAATAGGCCATTAACAGTGTTATCACCGCAGACTCACATGATTCATCTCATCCGCGTTGCGAGATGACTCTAAATTGAAACATTGTCAAAAGGGAGACGTTGCATCTCACACACCCGATGATGATCAGAAGCGAGCATGCCTCCTCCAAAACCAGCACCACTTCCCAAGGCAGGAGACCCAGATTCAGCATCCGAAGATGACCTTGACCTTGATGAACTCGACCCGATAGTGGACTCCTCGAATGGGCCCAGGGAGAACGCGGGCCCCGAAGCCAGCCGCCGCTTTAGAGACAGTTCCTCCAATATCCCGCTTCAGAGATTACAGGGATTTAGCAGCAGTCGTTTATGGCGGTATAAACGCAGGCCACACGAACCTGACAACGGCGATGAAGATACGGAAGGGTTGTTAGGGAGCTGGCCAGGACAATCTCGGAGCAATGGGCACTTGAGGCGTTGGTCGGAAGATCAAGTGGGCTGGAATGTTAAACAGACAAATTACCGGAATGGTAATCGACCAAGTGATGCCCAAGGCCGGGATGCGCCCTCTCGTCGACCCAGTCTCCGTCAGAGCATTCAGTTTCCAGACTTCGTTAGGCAAGAGTTCGCGGACATGAGGGAGAATCAAGCCGTCAATGACAAGGAATCTCGCGAGATTCATGTTGGACAATCTCAAAAGAAACGATTCCCCACGAATGTGGTCTCTAACGCTAAATACACCGCTTGGTCTTTCCTCCCGCGAACACTGTACAACGAATTTTCTTTCTTTCTGAACATCTACTTTCTTCTGGTTGCATTGTCACAAATAATACCCTACCTGCGGATTGGTTACATGTCAACATACATTGTCCCTTTGGCGTGTGTTCTTACGATTACGATTGGGAAAGAGGCGGTTGATGATATTGCGCGACGACGACGAGACGCTGAAGCAAACTCAGAACCTTTCACGGTCTTGTCTTTTCCGGATTCAGCTCGGAACAGTGTGGTCGAAGTACGGAAACGTTCGCGAGACATCAAGGTTGGAGATGTTTTAAAGCTAGAGAAGAACCAAAGATTTCCCGCGGACGTCGTAATACTCCGCAGTCGTCTCAGCGAACTTCTTGGAGAGCTGACAACAAATGAGGCCGGAGATGCTTCAACTGCTCCTTCAGCTCAGGCTACCGGAGAAACATTCATTCGAACAGACCAACTGGATGGTGAGACTGACTGGAAATTACGGCTTCCAAGTCCATTGAGCCAGAGTCTAAGTTTAGGAGACTTTCGGAGACTTCGAATTACGGCCGGTGCACCTGACAAAAAGGTCAACGAGTTTGTCGGAACTCTGGAGCTTCTGTCAGGCCAAAGTTCTGCCTATGATCCTCATGTGGTTGAGGAAGATCCAGCAGAGGATATTCCCGACTCGGGCCATCTAAGTCGGTCTACACCAAGTAGACCCAACTCGGTCCCTCTGACTATTGACAATACTGCTTGGGCCAACACTGTATTAGCTTCGAGCACAACGACTTACTGTGCAGTCATCTATACTGGACGACAAACTCGCTCAGCGTTATCAACTTCCCCGTCGAGGTCGAAAACCGGACTCCTGGAGCTTGAAATTAATAACTTGACCAAGATTCTGTGTATCATGACCTTAACACTCTCAATAATACTTGTGGCCCTTGAAGGATTCGAACCGTCAAACAAAAAGCCATGGTATGTGGCCATTATGATCTACCTGATCTTATTCTCGACCATCATTCCTATCAGCCTGCGTGTCAATCTCGACCTCGGCAAGACTGTCTACGCTTATTTCATTGAGAGAGACAAAGGCATTCCAGAGACAGTGGTCCGTACCAGCACCATTCCGGAAGACCTTGGTCGAATTGAATATTTACTCTCAGACAAGACGGGCACTCTGACCCAAAATGAGATGCGCCTGCGGAAAATTCACGTCGGAACAGTTGCTTATGCCGGCGAGGCAATGGAAGAAGTCGCCGCCTACATTGATCAGGCTTTCGCGGCGGGCGACGGTAATCGGGACTCACAAACTACAGAACCAGGGTCTACCACGAAGACTCGGCGAGAAATTGGTGTTCGAGTTCGCGATCTTGTGCTTGCTCTCGCACTCTGCCATAATGTCACGCCTACGACAGATGAAATCGACGGCGAGAAAGTGGTATCCTATCAAGCATCGTCTCCCGACGAAATTGCAATTGTGGAGTTTACCGAAAGCGTTGGTCTCCGCCTGCTTCAGCGGGATAGGGAAACCATTGTCCTTCAGTCTGTCCGTACGAACAAAATTGTCATCAGAGCTGAGATCAAAGATATTTTCCCGTTCACATCGGACAGTAAGCGTATGGGCATTATTGTTCAAATCTCATCAGACATTGCCGGCCTTTCCAATGCTGATGAGTTGTGGTTTTTCCAGAAAGGCGCCGATACTGTGATGACCTCTATCGTAGCAGCAAATGATTGGCTCGACGAGGAAACGGCTAATATGGCTCGCGAAGGTCTTCGCACCCTTGTGGTGGGTCGAAAGAGACTGTCCCACTCACAATACGCCAACTTCTCCTCCGAATACACGGAGGCGTCACTTGCCCTCCACGAGCGCGACGCGGGTATGGCCGCTGTGGTCAAATCCCACCTCGAGCGCGACTTGGAGCTGCTCGGCGTTACGGGTGTCGAAGACCGACTTCAAAAGGACGTCAAGCCATCCCTCGAACTCCTTCGCAACGCTGGGGTGAAGATTTGGATGCTGACAGGCGACAAGATCGAAACAGCTCGTTGCGTCGCGGTGTCCGCCCGACTCGTGGCGCGCGGTCAGCACATCCAGACAATGGCGAAATTGAAAACAAAAGCCCAGGGCAAAGACGCCCTGGATGTGATGCGCAATCAGACCGAGTCCTGTTTGCTCATTGACGGCGAGTCACTTGCGCTTATGCTCAGCCAGTTCCGGCAAGAGTTTATCACGGTCGCAGTGCTGCTGCCCGCGGTGATTGCATGCCGATGCTCGCCGACGCAGAAAGCCGAGGTCGCACAATTGATCCGCAAACATACGAAAAAACGCGTGTGTTGTATTGGCGACGGCGGCAATGATGTGAGTATGATCCAGGCGGCGGATGTGGGTATTGGAATCGTCGGCAAGGAAGGGCGGCAAGCATCACTGGCTGCAGATTTCAGCATCACTCAATTCTGCCATCTGACAAAACTTTTAGTCTGGCACGGCCGGAACAGCTACAAGAGATCAGCCAAGTTGGCGCAGTTTATCATCCACCGTGGTCTGATCATCAGTGTATGCCAGACGATGTACAACATTGCTGGGCATTTCGACCCCAAAGGTCTCTTCAAAGACTGGCTTTTGGTTGGTTATGCTACCATCTACACTATGTTGCCCGTGTTCTCTTTGGTGCTCGACCGTGATGTGGACGAGCAGCTGGCCAACTTGTACCCCGAGCTGTACAAGGAGCTTAAGTCCGGCAAGAGCTTGAGCTATCAGACATTCTTCACATGGGTCCTGGTGTCAGTATACCAGGGAGTCATCATCCAAGGTTTGACCCAGCTTCTGGTCGGCCGAGTCGACGGCCCACGGATGTTAAGTGTCAGCTTCACGGTGTTGGTATTGAATGAGCTTATCATGGTGGCTGTGGCAGTTACCACATGGCATCCCATCATGATCGCGTGCATTCTAGGCACTGCGGCGCTGTATGCTGCCAGTGTGCCTTTTTTGGGTGGCTATTTCGATCTCGCATATGTTACTAGCTGGAGTTGGGTTTGGAGAGTCGTTGCGGTTGGAGCCATTAGTCTTGTTCCCGTTTGGGGAGGCAAGGTGATCCGGCGCATGTGGAAGCCGCCCAACTACCGCAAAGTGCAAGGTATATAGCTAGAAGGAATATTGTTTTGCGCCCTCTGCCGGGCATGTACAACACTTGGGTATTTGATGGCTATCCCGTATTGTAACTGTTAGACGAGGAAATGAAATGGTTTCCTAGGACAAGCAAATCCTGAGGAGAATTTGTGCCAGATGTGTGGGAACCATTTCGGTTTTGGTAAATTCGATTTGATACCAGAATGCAGGTGCGGCGTTCTTGTACCACCACCCGTGGTCGTCCATCATAGCCGCTTCACAGACTGAGAGTGCATGTCAACATGTTGGTCCATTCCAACCCAGAACACAGCTTACCTTTGGTTGTGGAATGTCCTGCGTAACTCGAGCTCGACCGTCAAATCTTGACTCGCACACGAGAGTCTTCAAATCAAGCAACGAGGAGTAAATGTCCATCGGTCATCTTAGTACTATCCGCAGAAATTTGAATGTGCATTTGGACTGGGAAGGCCAGTCCCAGCAGCGTGGATCGTGAGCAGGTGTCTGTTTCGGCTTGTCCTAGGCCCAAAGTGATGTGCCGTGAGTGTTTTTGGCAGTTTGCTTTCTTACAGTTTTCCTTTTCGTAACAGTCAGGATCGTGTTGGCGGACCGAGATTGATTGATTGTTGTGCTCATGTGGATCATGTCGGAGAGGTCTCCATCAAAGGAGCGCATGGACGCAGTAGAAGTCCCTGCAAGCAACCGAGAGAAGAAGGACGCGAAGAAACAGAACACGTAAAGGAAGGTTTTGGGATTCGAGCTGTGGTGGCATGGTCGGGGGAGGAGTTGCGAAAAGTTGTCCAGCGAATATCCCTGCAGCCCATGCGTTAGCCTACAGAAACGACATCCTGTGTGAGACCGTTTGGGCTGGTTGAGATGTTGATAAAATTGTCGACCAGTCAAGATCATTCGGTGAGCGCCAGTTGCAATTGGTGCTAAAGTACTCTGTAACAACGTCGTAGAAAGGGAGAACGAAGTGGCCCACGAGGAAAAGCGGGACAGGCCGAGTAAATGCCCAGGCTGCTCCATCTAGACTAGCAAGGGTTGTCAATGAGAGGAGAGATGAGGTTGGAACATCTTGTCCTTTTGCTGGCGTCCGCGCCGTCAATTCATAAACTTTGTATTATTTCCATTCCGAATCAACCACTGTCCGCACCACATCTTTCGCACTCTAGCTCTGCATGCCTCTGCGTCGAGGGGATGCAACACTGCATAAAAGTAACTTCTCGTGCGATCCGCTTCCATGGAGGATATCGCTCCCCATGCATCCCCCACTCAACCATCTGGCCTGTTGACTTGCTGGCCTTGTCTTCCTCTCTTCTACTTCCTCAGACCTCCAAGATGTCCGGTGGCTTTCCATGATCACTCCTAGGGGGCTTGATTCTAGGTGAGTGCCAGGCCCAAGCTATCCTGCACCAACCTATTCTCCATTCACTCAATATCTTGGAATGACATATGTTTGTCACCTCTGATTGCTATCATTCAAGTATTCACTCTCGAAACTTGATCGCCGTCTGTTTGCAGAACGACCCTGTGACCTCGTTCAACCGCAACTGCCTTCCTGAACTCTACCTGACCTTGACTTGACCTGACCACTTGTCCTCCCTGTCCTACCCCCGACAAGTCGAACATATTAGGCTTGGGGCTACATTTCCTTGATAACACATCCCATATTGAGCTTTCTTCCTCTCTGTCCATCATGGATCCTTCACCGGAAGAGATCACAGCACTTGCAGCCCAGCTGAATGAACTCGCAAAGAGCGTGGCCTCAGCTCAAGATCCCATGTCCCGAAAACATCGCACGGCGGCATTGGTGATGCAAGCGAAACAGTTGATCTGGCAGGCTCAGGATCCTTTCGATGCAATTATGGACCACGTGGTCAATGTGAGTTTTCCTCCTTACATGCACTAGCAACTCGCTGTCCATCGTTGGCAAGACCATTCACCACTAAAACCATGAACATCAGGGATACACAATCTCAGCATGTCTTGCCTCTTCAAAACTCGGAATCTTCGAAGCTGTTCCTCCGTCTGGCACAGCCACTGCGAAAGAAATCGCCCAAAAATGCGATGCTGCTGAAGAGTTGATAAGTATGTCGCCTACTCCTGCCCACCAATGCAGATCCTCCAAGCTGATCAGACCCAGCTCGTCTTATGCGCCAACTGACCTGTGTCAACATATTCAACGAAGTCCGCCTCGGGGAGTGGGCACACAACAGACTTTCTGTCATGCACAGTGAACATGTGGGGGCAATGAGCGGCAAATGGCTTTACAACGTCTCGTAAGTTTCCTTCGCTCTCGTGCGTTTGAGCCAATAAGCTAGCCCAAGAATATTGTTGGAACAATGCTAACTGATTCGAGACTTGACGAAATGATGCCGGCAATGTATCGATTGAACCATTACCTCGAGTGCTATGGCAACTACTCCCTCCTGAACACCTACACTGAAACTCCGCATTCATGGTATTACGATATGGTCGGCAAGAACTTTTGGGAAGTTCTCAATTCTTCTCACGACCGTATCGAAAACTTTATCCGAGGCCTTGCTCTATTCGACGCCCTCCATCCTGTGGTAGCTATGTTTCCATTTGAGGAGACCTTGCAGAAAGGAAATTCGCCTGACCGTCCATTGATGGTCGATGTCGGCGGTGGAAGAGGTCTTGCGTTGCTAGAAATGAGAAAGGGATGTCCCAGTCTTCAAGGCGAACTGATTCTTCAAGACCGTCCATATGTACTGGATGATATCACGCCTGAGGATCTACCTGGAGTAACCAAGATGGCACACGACTTCTTCGAGGAGCAGCCCGTCAAGAATGCACAAATGTACTATATTCGACGTGTCATGCACGACTGGCAGGATAAAGATGCGGCACGAATCATGAAGGCCATCGTTCCGGCCATGGCACAAGACAGCCGTATCATCATTTCCGACATGGCGATACCCGAGCCAGTCACGTCGAGAGATGCTGGGGCAATCTGGCTGGATCTCATGATGATGAGTATTGGTGGGAAAGAGCGAACTGCTCGTGATTGGAAGAAACTGGCAGATTTGAGCGGATTGAAACTCATGCGAGTCTGGCAGGAACCCGAGAAGTTTGGTCCACTTTGTGTGGTCGAGTACATGCTTCCAGAGGCCCATGAAGCCCAGACTGTCGATGCTGAGATGGCTAACGAGACGAACGAGAACGAGGTGGCCACGCCGAAAATGACTCCTGTCGATGAAACAACAATAGGGGCCACTGGTTCTGAGCCTATGGAACCCAAAGACGTCGATTGGGAGGAACGTACTGTCGTTGGCGATCGTGAACAGAGCTTAGAGCCGGGGCAAACCTGATAACGTACGAATCAGGAGGAATTTTGGCATAAAGCCTCTCCTGGTGCAGCAACTAGAGGCAACACAAGGCCGGCTTCTATCAAGGGGGATTAAATTGAGCGGCTGGGACTGTGATATTTGCAGAAGAGCGGATATACATAGAGAAGAGGTTTCTCAGGAGGGACTATCGTTACTCGACAATTGCCTAAACATGATTCTTGATAAATGCGAAATTTTGTGCATCTCGTCAAGCTAGGCGATGAGCTCGAAGGACAATGAGGGCATATGAATAATTATCTGTACAAAAGAGAGATCATGTTAAGGCAGCACGCTGAAGAGACGAGTGATATTTCACGTGACCAGAGTCGCCAAGTGCGTGGGGTAAGAATCTCAGACTCTGAGTGTCTGGCTTTAAACTCTGCAAGTAGCAGCACTCCGTCTTTGTGTGCGAGCTACAAGTGTGAGGACTTGTCGAGTTGAACATCCCTAATCGACTGTCAATTCCATCTAATCTCCCCCCCGGCTGACCGATATGGCTGCTTACCTCTCTTACTTCTCCGGCAGCAGTAACATCTCGAACGTCACGCCTTCCTCTCAGGGTTCAAGCACCCCCGGTGCGGCCTCGACATGGTCAAGCACTCTTTCTTCTCGACTCGCCTCTTTACGAAAGGCTTTGACAAAGGATTCGGAAGAAGATGATCCAGACAATGAAGATTGCTCACACATCTCCAATGTGCTGCGAGCCTACTACGCAGAAAAGGGAAGGGCGTTTCCTGAGTGGCTTCCACCTGATCCTAAAAAGCCTGTTGCACCTCCTTCTCAGCCTCAGGGCTCTTATGGTCAGTATGGTGCTGTCTACGGCTCCGGTAGCACCTACAGTTCTCAATATGGTGGTCAACCAATTCACGCGAGGGGCCCTTCTGGAGGAAGAGGGGGCGGCCTCTCGGATCTCTGGGATTCAGCTCCTGCCCAACCCGCCCCTCCTGCTCAAAGCCTTCGTGCAGCTCGACCGACACCACAATCTTTGCGCTCCAGTGATTCAGGAAAGTCACAATCGAGCGGTCCAACCACACCTTTCGGAGGCCCGACCGCGGGTGCCCGACCTCTCCCAAGTCAAAGAGCTGGAAGTTATCAGACAAATCCCACTGCGAATGCGCAATCTCTAGGGTCGCGTGACCGACTCCGAGCTCGTTTGCAAGGTGGTGGAAGCGGAAGAAGTAGTCCTTCCGCAGGGTTAAACAGTGGAGGAAACAATGGTCAGGCGGCTTATGGCCCGCCGGGCGGAAATTTCAGTAGCCAGAATCGGGGCGGGTCCTCTCAGCCCTACATTTCAGCCTCAGAGCCCTGGTCAACGGGCGGAGATCCCTACGGTTACGATGCTGGCGGCTACTCCAGTGGTGGTCTTTCGTCCAATCAATATGGCAATCAAGGCTATCGACAGCGACCCGGAGGACCAAGATGAAGAAGCCACAATTCGGCCAACAAGTCCCCCGATATCATGAGCACAAGCCACGATTGATGATGCGACAATGGCCGCAAGCGCAACGTTTGTTGTGGAAGAGACTCAACCCAGACGTTCGATGAGAACAAGTCAAGAAAGAGATGGCTGAGAGTCAGTCCAAGCCTTGTGCAATCTCCTAGCTATGGTCCGGAATTGCGAGGTCGACGTTTCAGATTGTGCTGACCTGAGAGTAGCAACCGAAGATCCTTCTTTGAAGGACCTGAAGCTGAATCCTCTTCGGGCCGTGCCAGCCTCGATCGACGGGGCAATCTCCTATTGGGCCCGCACTGAGCAAACGCTGATGATCTGGTAGTCGGCAATCTGATATTTACGAACCCAAAAGAGGAAAAGGTGGCTGATCGTAAGCTCTTGGCCATTTAGGCTCTAATGGGAAATGCTTTCTCGAGGCATTGGAGCTAGATATAGGGCAGCGGCGCGGAATAGGGCAGAATGCAATCGACAAGAACAGAATGGGTGGGAAGACAAGCAATGTTCTCAGCAAACACAGCCTCAAGGCCAGTGAGGCTGAGGCAGGAACCAAGTCTAACAAGGCTAGCCTCGGCATAATCGGCAGCACCACTTACTAAGCCTGGCCTTCATACCTCAAACCAAACGAACAAACTCGGTCGGACCTGACATGCCTCGTCCGGAACCAGCTAGCAGGTTGCCAGGACTTAGGAACGTTGTCCTCACACCGTTCCACTCGACCGTTTTGAGTTCATGCTTCCGACGTTCGATCTGTCGACATGATTTTGGTCAAGCTCTTTGGACCCAAACGTCCCGACGTATGAGTTAGCGTTACTCTCGTTCCCAGTACCACTTCGCCCGCCTTCCCGCGCTTAGTGACGTCCAGCATTTGTTTCCTACGCTGATGCCACTAGCTTCGGTTCAATCATTTCTCAACCTTCTGCCCTCCGTGTTGTGCGCACTTCTCTTTTAGATCAGTCGGCCCCCAATCCCCCACTGCGCCGTCCTGTCTTCGCCAACGCCCTACCTCTTCAGACGCATTCATCATCAGATATCGGCGAGCGGCACGTGGTCATCATCCCCAGAACCTCGCCCATGACACCACCGAACTCTGTCGCCGAGGGCCTGAGGCTGAGATCTCGGTGTTACCATGTATCTTTTTTTTCACCACCTTAGACGCCTCTGGAGCTGTAGCAGCTGTTGCCTTCCGGATGATGACTGTCCCGCGCCTCGTGATGGCGTGGATGGGGGAAGCGATGGCCGCAAATGTGCATACTGGTAATCATTCCTATAGCGGTCGATGTGCGGGTCAGTCACCATGGAGAAGATTATCGGAAGCGCAAGTTTTGCTCGGCACATCACGCTTCTGGCAGAAATTCATAATACCTCTGTGGGAGCACATGTGTCATCCTGCTCCTCTGCCTTGGTTTCTGTCATTCATTCGAATTCAACTACTACACTGCTTCCCTCCACGGCCCTCTACTCATCATCATTTTGTCTGCGCTCTTACTAATTTTGCATTCCCCTTTTTAGCCTGGCGAGTCGTGTCCGTCTTTCATTGCTGTTTTATTCATATAGCGCCTTATATCATCACGATTACTCAAGTTCACGAAAAGCTCTTCTACCGGCCCTCCAACTCTGCTACTTGAGGTTGGTGTCTATGGACGATTCGCCCAGCGAGGCCACCACGAGCGACTGGAATACGAAAGGATCCAGAAGATCTGAATCTCATCAAGAAGAAGAATCAGGTCACCATACATTGCCAACTCATCCTGCTAGACGGACTTCAAATACTCCTTCTTTCCCATCACCCGCGGAGCAATCAGGTTCACGGCATCCACCGGGAGAACAATCGACCTCACGACGAGAAGCATCTCTGTTCCAAATCCCGACATCACCGTTTGAAGACCCAATGTCTCGATACGCGACACCGGGACCGACCACCCTCACCACCTCTCGACCACAGCAATATCAGCTTGTTTCTCCTGGCACACCAGCTGATCCCCGAGCTATGAGCCAAGTTAGTCCAGGCTTTATTTTTGTAATATTTCCTATGTTTGCGAGTTTTTTTTGGTGTTGATTTCCTTGACTTCTTTTCCTCTTGTCCCACTTTATCTCTCTCCTTTTCCATTCCTTTTTTTTTTCCCCCTCTTGTCTCCTTTCTTCTCTTTCTGACTTATTCGCGCACTCCGAAATAGAACCGTACGGGAAAGCTAACAAGAGGATGCAGAACAACAAAGATCAGCTGATCCGGTCTCTTCGAACTCACAGAGTGAATACGATCACCGAGCTACGTCGTATCGAAAAGATTTTCGCGTATCTAGATTCCGCCGAGGTTACAGAGCCAATGACAACTGCATGGGCTCATTACGTCAATTCGAACAACCTTCTGAATGAACTCCGGGGCTTGACTCGGACCTACCCGTTTAGTTCTGAGTGCCTGGATGAAGCCAAAGCCTTGGTGGTTCGTGACCCAAATAGCATCCGGAGTTGGAACTACTGTTGGCTAGTGCTGGTCAAGATGGAGAAAGAGTAAGCACGATATTTGAACTTCTTCAACCCCCCAAATACTGCAGATGAATCCGCTGATCTTGAGACCAGAAATCTTGTTACCAAACATGCCCGCGCTCTTGCCTCGAAGGCGAGTACTTGGGGTGGACGGAGACCAACAACAGCAGAGTTTGATCGACTTGTCAATGCCTGCGTGGCGGAATGGACCGGAGCACTCAAGCAGATGCTCAAACACTGGGATAAGCCTCCCAGCACAACTGGCAACTAAGGTGTCCCCTTTAGAGGGTGGGAGAGTTGAAGGCGGTCTGGACCGAGAGGCAAAGAAACGACAAGTATCCAGGACAATCTTGCATATTTTGCCACTCGACAGGCATCTGTACAAGACATTCCCATTTCTTTTCGGCCCCTAAAATTTGAATTAGGAGCAGCAGGGGTTTGCAAACAAGACAGCGAATGTTCGGGATCCATCAGAGGATTTTAAGAGAGGGAAGTCTGAAGCGGAGGAGGCCGGAGACAGGTTCTCGGCTTTTTGGGCACATTTAGGAATTGTGGGGACACAGGACCGAGGAGGTTTTTGGTCTCTTTGTTTTTTCTCTCTTTTATTACTTTCTTTTTATTTTGGAAAAAAAAAAAAAAGCCTTTAGAGTCATCCTTCACTTTCTGCCTGAAGCATGTCTGATTCATATCTAATTACACGGGTCAATGGGGGCAACATGAGAAGAGGCTACCGCAAGAGGCGTGTGGGAAACATTACGGTGTGTATGATTACGAGCGAGGTCGTGCCTTGATTTCGGATAGACTTCTGAATACTACTTAATATTTCTGGCCAGGCTTTTGGTGTCGGGTGCCTCGCGTGGCCACGATTTTGGACTGCTTCTATGCTGAGGAATAGTCATGAGCTGCCAAAGTGGGTATGGGAGCCATGCAACGGGGCAGCTCCGTGGAAGGGTGGCGAGGGAATGTGTCAGGGAGTTGGACAACACGGTCATGCTTGAGGCCGGAGGGTGGAGTAGGAGAGAGGAGCAGGGAGGAGGCGGGACCGAAGGATATACGAAAAGCTGTCCGTTTACGGCGGGTGGACCATAGACTACACCCCAAGAAACATCGAGATATTGCCTCTTCCTTGATCACGAATGCGGTTTTCCTGACTGATACCCGCCAAGTCGCCTCGAGTATCCAAACAACACCTTCTGCAGCCACACTGCATACTGTACACTGCGCACTGGACACTCGATGGCAATTCACGACCGTTGAAGACGAGTCTTTGATGACATCACGTTCCGGGTAAAATATCTTGGATCTCTTATATCTAGCCCGCTTTATTCGTAGTCGAGATGATTGCGAGGCCATGTACCATGACCAACGACTCGCAACTCAACCGCAGACGAACATAGGTGACCCTTTTCTGCACCAATCTGACAAACTTTTGGTGAGAAAGAATCCCTCGATCCAGGAGCCCAGGACTTCTCCGTCGGCAAAAGTCACATCACAATGTGCTTTTAACTACGAACGAAGCAAAACGATCGAAGGTCAAGAACGAGAATGCTGCAAAAAAGGAGTAGTCAGCAGGTAAGATGTAGATGACCACTACACAAGACGGGGGAGGACTTGATCGCAGACGAACGATTTGGAGAGACCTCGCAAATTACGGGCTCTTGGCAGCAGCTGCGCCTAGCCCTTACAAACTCGAGGGTCTACCTTGAGCCCTAAACTGAATGAAGAACACACTCTACTACACTACAGTGCTAGGTGGATGTTGGATTCAGGTGGAGTAATGCAAGAGTCAGGATGATACCGTGCGTCTCAATGGCTGACTCCCCGCCAATGACTCCCAATGGCTTCCAATGGTGCCTGGAGTGCCATCAAAGGTGAAAATCTGCCATCTACCATGCCGGGCAGGAGCATGGCACATGATGCTGACCGTACCTGCTTCACACGGGAACCGAAAATCCCTAACCTATGGTTACTTGGTCATGGGAGGTGCGTGGTGGGTGAGTTTTGTTCCTGGACGATGAGAGAAGAGGCGCTACTAATACAGAGCCGAAAGTTAAAAACAAAATTTGAGCTTTACTACCAGTTCACCTGAAATTGTACCCCGGCCCACCTCACAGATGATTGATTATCTAACACAATTTTATTGGTCAGAAGTCGGCAGCCCAGGGCAATGGGAGACAGCTGATCAGGCTCGACAAAGACAGAAATCGATCAGATTCCCGCCAGTTTGGGAGGTGATGTTTGGCTGCAGTGCAGCCGACGGAGGCGGACCCGTGCCGACTTGCAAATCGGACTGGACGCTGGAGAGGTTGGCTGGGTGGGTGCGGAGGATAGGAGGAAAACGGAAAAGATTTGCAGTGAGAAGGAAAACTAAGACTCTAGAAGAAGCCATGGAAGTTGGAAGAGCAGAGGGGGGCAAGGGAGAGAGGGGGACGTGAATGGAGGACGAGGGCAGGATGGTTGATTGATGTCGACAAAAAGCTGAATAATTTGGATTTCCAAATCAGGATACAAGGCTGGGGCGGTGATTCGCCAGACGGACCCCTACCTTTTGCCCATTTGAGCAAATGTGGCTCCACAAGCAGGAGAAGATGCCTCATTTACTAACGGGAGGTACATCCAGTGGCACTACACCTTGAAGGGTACCTGGACGAGTATTGATCTTGTCAAGATGAATTTCAGCAACAAGAAGATGGCATCAGCAACAGCCACACCTTGCGGGTCTGAGTCGCGCGTTATTCCCATCCGCAAAGCTAACGCGATGCCATGATTCAGGTTTCCTCGGAATCCCGGTCATCTAGCTGCTATGGATGGGCATTGAGTAGTCACGGACATTGAGGAGAATCATCAGATGACAACCTATGAATACAGAGGAGGCGGACGGAGGACGTAGCGACGGGGGATGATGGCGCAGCCCCCAAAAATTGGTACGAGGCTGACAGCCAAAGAAAATTCGCCACATTGAGGTTGGGCTTGGGAGCACGTGACCAGTCCCGCCTCCAACCTCGTCTCTACAGAACAACGCAGGTCAGCCACCCTACTAACTTTTCTACCCAAGTCCCTTCAATCATGCCGATTTGCATCCTCATTTGGGCTGGCGGAAATCATAGCCTATGCGGTTCGACCATTCTATTCTATTCCATTACACGTGAACCACTCACCCCGGGGGTTGTTTCAAAAGGGAGATCCCAGAGTCCATACGGAGTACTATCACAGGACAAGGAGGTGCCTTAATGCATATCCTGAGCGCTATGACGTAAACGACTGACCTTATCGAGGCTTTGCACCGACCATCGACTATGGTATATCAGGCCCGTGCCTTTGCATTTTTCCCTGTCAACCGGTCAAATTTTGGGCAGAAAGCAGGACTTAGCCTTTTTCACAGTACCCACACAGGATGCTCTACCGTTCTTCCGCATTTTTTTTGGAGCCAACCGACATCAATTGACTTTCCACCTCTTCTTAGGTCAGCATCATGGACGGAACTAGCCACACTCCTTTCGGTTGTCGCCTAGCTCGTGCAAGAACAATCCTGCAATTGATTAAACACCCGCTCGTCACTCGACCATTGGACAATAGTGGACCTGAAATCTTTCGAATCTGAACCTTGGAAAAGAGGCCTCGCCTTCTGCGCTCCGTTTCTGGACAGCCTGATTATTGCAAAGTAACCAGGCAATCATCTCCCTTGACCTAGCACACGCAACCTGGCCTGCAAATGCAGACGTGGTGTGTTCAACAGAATCCTTTTCGACCAACGTCTGCATGCTGCCAACGTACTTCCCCTGGCTGGTACTCCTGCTACTGATCACTTGTGATGCACTACGCGTAGATCCCCACCCACGGTAAACAGGTATTAACGCATATGCATCACACCGGAGTTGCGCCGACCTACCAGCATCAAGTATCAGCTTACATATGCACGAAAATTTGTTAAGGGAATGCTGAGGTAAGACTCCCCACCGACACGAGGACAAGGGATTTCTATCGAATGCCAACTACAGTCACTATCGTTGGCTGAGGCCCGACATAACTCGTTATCTCGTGGGGTTGTCCCATTTTCAAGAAAGTTGTTGTCGGCTTGAGCAGATTTCCTCGATCAAATGCCGGGAAAGTGATCTTTCAGACGATCAATGTATCGGTTGCATTTTGTATTGATTGGACACAATGGGATCAGACTTCCTTCCGTCATGCTGACTGTATGACCGAAAAAATTCGAGACGGCCTGACGCAGGTTGCAAAGAATTGCTGCGAATTTGTATTTTTCCAAGAGCCGAAGGACATTTGAGGTAAGCATCGGTAAGTTGAAATTGTTCCTGGCCCTTTTTGTCTCGGCTTCTAGGTACTTTGCTTAATGACAGCCAGTAATGAGAAAACTTTCTCTCCTTCCTTCTTTCGACATCCCCCCGACGCGTCCCCACCAGACGGAACCCTATGATTCACGGATGTTGAAGGTATTGTGACTACCGAAGTCCTACTGAAGATGAGGAGTGTTTTGTTCCTGCCGACACAGCATTCGATTTCAGTCTTGAACTCTCCTTCCATTCAGATGCATGAACTATCGACACAGATAGCTCTCATCCTTTTTTTTTTTTTTTTTTTTCCAATCCATCCATTGGATATCACCGAAAGAGTCCCAAACTTTATCCTTGCTGGCCTTGGAAAATTTTTTCCTCCATCAACCAAAAGTGGGTCTGAGAGTCTTCAAACGTTTCGTTTGATCGATCCAAAATTGCGGTGATGATCAGGAACCCCACGAGCAGGTCGGTCCACAGGAAAGAGGCAACTATGAACTTCTGAAAGTGAGCACATTAAGCACCGATCCAAATACTAGCAACATTGCTGGACGATCGAGATTCCTGATAGATAGTTTCAAATCCTAAAACTAGCCATCATTGAAAGCCAGTGTCGTGTCGACCCGAGATCCATTTAACGTTTGCATCATGGCATATTTCATGTTCGTGGGAAAGGTACAGGGCCAAGATTTCCATTTTTCGAATCATCTGGATTAGCTCATTGACATGATAATGTGGATTACAGTAGATTGCGGGCAGCCGACCGTGGTAGTCGTCAACAGGTCGGCGTCGCTTGCATCATCGCATATACATGAACACCCATCTCCTATTTTGTGACGGTTCCGTCTGGTGATCTCTTGTTCGTGGCTTGGAGCTTTGCTTTCGTTTTCTCTGGCCCTACGAATATGAGTTCATTCAAATGTCGAAAGCTTCTTTCGAAGAGGCAGAACTTGTGTCTTTGAGGACTTGATTTCTGATCGATGGCCTGAAGAGCCAGGTTTGCTCATTACCTAATTGTCCATTAAACACTCTGCATTGATGATAACGACAGACCACTCAACCTCCATATACCCATGGAATATTCAGTCTAGAATGCCAGTAATGTCACTTGAGAAGCGTCTGTGTTTGCTTGGAGAGACTGGATGCATGTAAATGAGTCAGTCAAGTCGTTCTCATGGCCCAAGCCACGAGTCGGGTTCTCTTGATATTCCAGCCGCCTGCCAACTTGCTCAGTGCCTTGGAAGACGGGGCTTCGAAAGTGGTGGTTATTATGTGGAATGAACGGATCCGAAGTTGGATCTGGTGCGCTGCAGTACCATCAAAGAGCATCGTACTTGAAGTCGCTATCAGTATCGATGACATCAAGAAGGCATTGGATCTCATCATCCCAAATAACCTTTTATCAGTCTCGCCACTCACATCTGCTGGCCACTGTGCCTTATCAGAAAGACCGCTTGACGAATTGCGTCGTTTGCGAGATACGGGGTGTCCATAGTGACTAGTATGAGGTTGCAAGGAGAAATACTGAGGGAGGGGGGGAAAAAAAAGGAGGCTGGAACCAAGTCTGAGGCTGAGAAAGAACTCAGCCTCGTTGAATGACGGCACAAGCTGCGCATATCGCACATGTACTAAACCGTACTCATATTCGAATGTACTTGACTGTCAATCCCCTCCCGACTTGTAGGCTTCAAGTGCCTATGAATATGCTGAACTTGTTGCTGGTGTAGCACGTTCATCCAAGGTATTAGCATGCCCAATGAGCATTTGAGCATATTGAAGTCCAATATGAGCTGATTATGGCCTTCTGGTAATGTCTTCCTCAACTTCGTCGGTCAGTGTCCGCCAGTTGACACCAGAGAAACCGTCCAGATAATACGCAAGCAGGCGAAGAAAGAGATTGGAAAATTCAGAAGACGGAAAAAAAGCCGCTTTGCAATATCCCCTCGTTGTCCCACCAACCTCAAATCCACAGACAGACACGTCCCCTGGTCACTAACCTGGAGGATCAATCGATGCGGAACCACCGAACAGAACCACAGTAGAATCAGCTGAAGATTCGATATTCAAACACCTTCTCACGAGATGTCCATGACCTGCTTTTTGGAGACAGCCACCGGCAAGGGCTTAATACTCCCAGCCTTGGAGACTGCAGCTCGTCACCTCAACAGGAGCTGGTGCCCTCTCGAATTTCGGCTTAAGCTCCCAGTCATATGACTATGCATGAAGCAGGACGTGTCGACCCTTTCGTTAAGGCCGAACTCTTTGCTTTCAATCCACATCCACTCACAATATCATCTTCGATCTAGTTCACAACGAGACGATAGCTCCTGACTTCTGCCGGTTCCGTACTATCTGGTACTCTCTGGCTCTTGCTGACGATGCAGTCTTTCATCAAGTACTCACCGGAGCATCAACACATCTTGGAATGGTTAGCCAATCCGCCGGAACCGACAGTATGCAGGCCGTAATCCACGACGCGGCAGCAGTCAGGTCCGTTCATCAGCGGCCTGTGGACCCCGTCTTGGACATCAGTGCTGGTGTCATGGGGACTGTAATTGCTTTCGCTTGCCGTGATGTGAATCCTTTTTATTCCAACCCCGGAGACAGCAAGATGTTTGTGTTTTTCCAAGCTGTGGCTAACGAGTGAGAAGAAGCATCTTGCTGAGAATTTCGAACGATGGAAAGTACACCTCAGTGGATTGGAGGAGACAGTGGCTTTGAGAAGAGGGATCGAAGCGTTTCGAGACGAGACGCTATCGGGGATGATGACGTTTTGGTGAGTGATTGGCCTTAGTGACATAGAGAGGATCTTGTGGTCTTGATTTCTTCCCTCGACAGTCTACCACACTTTTCCCATGTTCTTCTACCGCCTGGGAGACCAGCAACATGGCCTGTTGCTTGTCCAGACATGATGCAACATCTTTCTTTCCCACCAAGAGCTGATCACTGCTTAACTGATCTCTATACCTTGTCCATCACTGCTCAACATAGTCTCGCGGCCCCGCAAACTCTGAAGCAACGTATTCCCGATCCGCTCTTTGGTGGAACCCATGTCAATCCCATCATCCAGACATTTCTCAACCTCCGTCGATTTGTGGATTCCCCAGGTCGGGGGTTAATGATTAACAAGACTGCTCGCCTTGGGCCACTGCTCTACCCCGGTGCCCATTCAACGCAAGTTCTTGTGCCAGCCTCATATAAACCAGTCTGCTTTGGGATGATTGCATATGGTGCTCAGATTTTGGAATGGAGACTGGGGTCCGCTGTCAACTTTGTTCATTTGGACGATGATGGTACGGGGATTGAGGAGACGGAAAAATCAATTCTCGATCGAGCCCGGAGCAGAGAGCTCGTTTCTAGACACGGATTGTGATGCAAATGAGGAAACTCGGAATCAAGACTTGGTTCGAGCTGACGCAGGGTATGGTGGCCGAGACGTGGGATTTTCCGAAGTCATTTCCGCTTGGATTGTGAGAGGTTAGGCGAGCAACTCGACAAGGCCATGGCGTGGGCCCAGGGTGTATTGCACGGCACAAGGCATGACGGACAGGAGAATATGCAGCACTTTTCGTCGATTAATATCTTGTTTCCCCCTCATTGTGCGATCTAAATGGCCGGTTCAATTGGTGGACTTTGGATTGTCATTATTTTATCCTGGGAGGAATTTTTACTCTCGGCTCCAGCAACCCCCAAAAAGAAGGTCGCGTCGATAGCGTGCAGATTGAGATGAAAACCGACAAGACAAAGCTCAAATCAATCTACGCTTTGGGTCCGGTAAGTTTGCTGGCGACGGTTTTAGCGGCCGCCTCTTCTCTGCTGAGAATCCACATGAACAGCATCTGGATCAGGAAAGCATAGAGAGCGAGAAAATACGTGCGGCGGTTCTTTTGAGCTCGTGCCGCCACATATGAACTGCCGCCACGCATGGCTGTTGGGTCACCTGAATTGTCCGGGAGGAGGACGTACTTCAAGGATCGAAGCTGGCGAAGGATTAGTCGGACTCCAGGAAAGAGAGAATACTTGTACACTTACCAGGAAAAATGCATTTGCGTACCATGTATACAAGAATAAGATCCAGCCTACCCAGTTGTTTGTTCCATTCCCTCCAGTAAGGATTTCACTGAGAAATAGCGTAACTATCACACCCACGAACTTGTAGCCAGAATAGGCAACCAGATCAAGTAGTTGTGAGTCGTTGGTAATGCTGAGCATGTACATGGCGAGCTTGAGGACGATGATCTCGAAAATAATCACCGCTAAAGCAGTGCTGGTTATGCTGCCTAGCAGTTCTGGATGGAATGACCCTCTAATTCCCGCCAGCACAGTCGAAAGAAGGATATACGTTATCAGGGCCATGATGGGTATGTACATGTCTGGAGAGTTCAAGTCGTCACGAGGTGGGAGGTAGTTGAAAGTGTAGGATTGTTGGGTCATGGTTCCGTCAGCGGTCGTGGAGGAGGTGGTCATTCGTGCTTGTTGTCGTGTCCACGGTTTATGCCGCCAGGGGAATAGGACTATCAGCAGTTTCCGTACCACGTAGGAGTTGGAAACATTGAAGTAGTGTTTTAAAGCGGAGACAGAAATGTAGCGGTTCAACTAATTTGGCAGCGGCGGTCAGCAGCGTGTCCTATCCTCGCGGGAGATTCCTTGTGTCCTTCCTACTCCTCAAGGGGGTATCAGAGATATATTCAAAACATACATTCTGCTCCATATACTCCTGCCCGGCCTTCATAGCCGTCTGTCCTACTTGAAATCCCATCTGCGCGGTCGGATCATTCATGAAGTTGAAGCCAGGTCCAAACCCGCCGCCTCCTCCACCGCCTCCTCCCCCTCCCGGCGGAGACTGGTACGGATTTCCATAGCCATTGGCCTGTGATGGTTGCGAAGATTGCTGTGAGACTGGCGGAGGAGGTGATCGCATCATAGGGACTTGTGAGATGTGCTGAGGGCGAGGATGGAATAGTTCGGGGGACTTTTGAGGCGGAGAGAAAGGTGTGCGCTGCATTTTGAGAGGATAGACAGTGTTGCCGTGTCTTGTTTGTGTATATGGAGTTATGGGGAAATGGTCAGGCCTTAAAGGGAAGAGAGATGACTTGACTGACTTCAATGACAATCTGTCATAATGGAATAATTTACGAGGTCTTCAAAAGTGGCCGCTCTACGATCCTCCGTAGTTCGTTAGACTAAGAATAATCGATCCATCATCACGTGACCTTGGTCTTGACCGCGGTTGACATCGTAGACTCAAGTCTCGATGATGCGAATCAGTGCTCTGCCTCTCGAGTGGGCAGCCACAATGCCGATGTTCAAAAACATCCCATTCACCGCCCAGAACCGATCTTGCCGCCTCCGTTGTTCGCTACATCAGGTACAATTTCCAATCAACGCGCTATTGATAGGAGGAATTATCGGCGGTACTACAAGCCAATTATGACATGCTGCTAAGTGACGTCGCTGTTGCAAAGCCCCAGAATGAGTATGGAGAAATCATAGATTATGACAGAAGCAGATCGGACTGTTCTCTCTCTTCACACCGCCTGAGTCGTCCGCCGCAAAAAGTCCTCATTCTTTTGCCAGCTCATATGGTGTTTTCCAAGGATTTGTCTGATACATACATACCTTTGCCTTCTAGACTTGGCTGACTAGGCTGTGAAGGAAGACACAAATTCCCATCAGTTCTTTATCTACGTTTCCCAAATTCCGACTCGCTTCGGTTGAGAGGTTCATTGATGAATGATTACCTCCTAGGACGAGTGGCGTGGATTCGTCGCAACTGCGATGAATGACAGGAATACGAGTGCTAGGCAACCGTGTGCAAGTCCTCGGAAACCTGAAGCTGATTGACCAGAATCTGACCCGCAAAACTCGATGGCAGTCGAGCCAAACACTGAAGTTGAAACTTGTTGTCATGGACAAACAGGTGCTAGTTTTCCAGAGACAGCAAGTCCATCAACAACCTCGCTGTCAGGCCTCCAGCATCATCTAACTTCGATCCTTTCTATTTAGGAAGCCTCCAATTCAGTGCCGACCCCGTTTTCACTTCTGCAATGTAATTTCAACCCATCTATGCCAGAGATGGCTACTATGGACCGGGGTAATGGGGTTCTCAAAACTCTCTTCGTGTCCGATTGAGACAAACGCCGTGCCTCCCTTTGCTGATAACCCGCCTGCGTGGCGAGAACGGAGAACGAGGTACGAATTTAGGAGTGCTTGATACGGAGACAAGAGACCCGATAAGCCTCAATCAGCTCGCGCTCGGACCGCGTTCGGGGGTTAATTTCGGGGATTTCGACATCTGCCTATTCAAGTCTTTAAAGGGTTTCTTGTACTCTTCCAAAATTCCGAGGAATTGTTCAGCTCAATACACAAGTTTCAAATGCAAGTCAAGGTTGGAGAACTCCTATCCAGCCTCCTATTTCCGATGCTGTCCAAAGCTAACAACCACTTCACATATCCTGGCCTCTGAAAAACTTCTGTCCTTCCAAAATCAGCCAGGGAATTAGATCACCATTATCCTTCCTCGAATTATCCCCATTACATTTATGGATCATCGTGCTTGGCTTAACGGCCGAAGTGTCTACAAGCACCAGACCCTCAGCATCCACCGCCTGAGCCTGAACGGTCTTCACGCCTACTCGATCAATAGTGAGGACAGTCTCGAAGGTCTCGCGCTTCGCCTCGCCGAGGAACGATCTCCGGCCCCTCAGAATCTCATAGAACCTCCACGCTTTGGTTCGCGTGTCCCCGTTCCATGAGACATATATGCTGGTGGTACCCTCATCTTCGAGGGCAACAATGGCAGGCGCCTCGTTCGGAATTCCGGTCCAATTGTACCGGAAGCCACGGTAGTTCTCGACGCCGATGCCCAGATATCCTGAGTCCATGTATGTGTGGAAGATGGGTGTGCCGTCGGACTTGAATTCGGTCATGGCGCCCTCAGACCCCCAGTTCACTACGACGTTGCCATTGGGGAGAAGCTGAGTTGAGCCCTGGGACTTCGATAGCAGGTTGTCGGGCGGGTGGAAAGCCTGCACGATCTTCGCTTCCCATGTTTCTGTGTCAACTTCGATGATTTTGCCTCTGGAGATCTTGTAGAAGTGGACTTCATGACCATGTCCGTTCTCCGTGCCATGAGCCGAGTTGTCGTACAAGCTGATGATCTCTTTGGTACCGTTCTCGTTCCTACCCTGGAATCGCGCGTGGTGTTGGAAAGCAAACTCGACATCGTCGCCCATTTTGAAGCTGGACGACTTTCCTGAGAGTTGCCACATGATTTCGCCGGTCTCACCGTTGATTTTGTACACGGCGTTTGCGTCGCGGGCGGAGATCAAGTAGTTGCCTTGGTCGTCTTTGTCCACAGAGTTGATATGAAAGTAGTCCCAGGCGTCGGAGCTGTTGTAGCCTGCGCCGGCCTGACCGGGGTTCAGGGGCAGATAGCCCTCTGTTGGTTTATTAGTGCCGTTATTCTCTGGAATGGCGAGCGAGAATTACCTGAGGGGTCTACATGGTCAAGACTACTCCACTCGAAGAGAACATTGCCCGTTTCGATATCGAGTTCTGGTACGGGTAGTTCGGCGTGGGAACAAATAAGATCCAAAGGGCACATATGTACATACCTTGGAATTTAGCATCGACGATCCACTGCTGTTCCTCACTTCCTCCATAAGCAGTCAAATTGTACGGGACAGGATGATAGATCTGAATCAGCGCCGTCTCTTCATTGATGATGTGGAACTCATGCTTATCGGTTAGACGATGATTTCCAGCACGGAGTTCTCGAATTGTCTCATAATTCTGATCCAGAAAAGTCGTGTGGCCATGTCCATGACCATAGGCAGCGTTGTGACTCCCTTCGAAACAGAAGAGAATATCCTTGCCCTTGTAGCGTGCGGCCTGGAAGTTTGTGGCCCAGATCGAGAAGTAAGTGAATCCAGACCAGACGAGATCACCGGTATCCGTGAAGATGTAGGGCGCCGCTTGGGCTGGTCCGTGGTGAGTGCCTTCGGGATATCCAGCAAAGGGGGCCATAAAGAGGTAGCCTTTCTCAACCTCCTTGGTCGCTGGGATGGTGATGTTCAATGTTGGTGGTGCTAGATCGGGCCGGGATTTGTATCGCCAATTGGCAGAAGCTGTGGGAACGAGTGAGAGGCCCATTATAAGGGCAATTAGAGAGATCCAAAGACATGGTTTTGCTGCTGTTGAACTCATCCTGAGACAAGGATGATAAGTTGTATCGCGCGAGCCCTGTTCAGTTATGTAGTGAAATCCCTGGTGTCAAGAAATGGACAATGGAATATGAGATGATAATTGAAGTATGAAGAAAGAAAGACCCTTCGTGGAAAAAGCGAAATTATCAAGAGGCTTCAGTCCTAAAGTAATAGTTGGGATGCAGTGTCGTGCATTTCCCTTCAAGGGCATACCTGAGATTTTTGAAGCTCACCAATATTGTAATAAGAAGCTGAAAGATCATTATTCAACCATGACAGACACCTTTTTGGCGAGGATGAACTCTATCGGTGAAAGCGTAGACGTACAGTATCCCGACGGACTTCAACTCCGTCTCCATTGTCCAACCTTTTACTTACACAGCTCGCTCTTTGACCACGGACATCGACCCCGAGAACGATGCAATCCAATGCATAGGAGAGTTAGCGTTCTCGGATAGGGTTCCTTTGACCCACTTGCTGTTTCAATTGATGTCTTTGGATCTGGTTGCTGCGGTAGGTTCTCCATCTCCAATGCCATGTCGTCAAATAGACGGTGCAAAAATTTCGATTCAACGCATTCGATGACACACAGAATTCTCTAAGGTGTCAACCTGTGTCCTTGAAGTGCAGATTTGAAAGCTGCTCAGGCGAAGGCCCAATATGGCCATTCCTCGCGAGGCATGATCTTTTCATTCTTTCTGTTTTTTGATCCAGGTCTGATTGATTGAAACCTCTGCGGCCAATATCACACTACATCTCGCGCAGCCATAGAGGTCAAGTAATTGTCTTGATTTTCTCACTTGTTCAATCACGCAATAATGGACTCCTTTCCGTCTCTAGGTCTAGCAGCAGAGGAGACTCTACTCGGATCTGGGGAAAATGTTGGAAAACGAGACGAAACAACACCACTTCTCGTCCATTGCACAGATATGACGAAACCCGAGACGAAATGGGAACCTGGTCCTGGATTTATTGGGATAGAGATCGGTACAAAATCAGGGACACTGGCATTCTTGAATTAGGTTGACCTTGACATAGCCATCTTCGCGAATGTATTCCTCTCTGGCTTTGATGGAACGATCACCGCCTCAACCTACGCCGTAATCGGGTCCGAATTCAACGCTGTAAACACGATATCATGGCTAACGACATCATACCTGATCACCAGCACCGCATTTCAACCCCTCTACGGTCGATTCTCCGATATATTAGGCCGTCGGACATGCTTCTTCACAGCGACAGTGACGTTTCTGCTGGGATGCTTGGGATGCGCCTTTGCACCAGATATAATCACATTGAACTTGATGAGAGCTCTTACGGGACTTGGGGGAGGCGGACTTATGACGATGGCTACAATCATCAACTCCGACATGATCCCATTCCAGGAACGAGGAATGTATCAGGCATGTCAGAATGTGTTGCACGGGTTTGGTTCGATCTGTGGAGCATCGCTTGGAGGACTGATTGCGGACCACATCGGCTGGCGTTGGTGTTTTCTGTGTCAGGTGCCTATTTCGCTATTCGCGTTCGGTGTTGGGCATTTTGTCATCAAGAATGACGAGACCAAGATCACGACTGATGAGGAAGACCCGGATTTTGTAAAACCGGCGTCGAAATGGGAACAGATCGATCTGATCGGAGCAATCTTGCTAGTCCTTGGTCTATCTGCTCAACTAGCGGCCATGAGTATGGGCGGAAACAACTATCCGTGGAGCGATATCCGAGTCATCGTGGCCATGATCTTGAGTCTGGCCTTACTTGTGGTCTTTGTGCTAGTTGAGATAAGGACAAAAGCCGTCCCAGTAATGCCAATGTCAATGTTACGAGGGACACTGGTCGTCTCCAATCTGATCAGCAACGTGAGTGTCGGAATGGCAGCGTATTCGGTAAGTCCATAAACCCAGTTCTGCAAAGCAGAGCTCATGAGTTGCGCAGTTTTTATTCATTATCCCTCTTTTCTTCCAAGTCGTACTTCAGGACAATCCCTCTGAAGCCGGTATGCGTCTTGTGATACCCTCTCTCGCCACTCCAGCGGGTGGTCTTGTCTCCGGTATCATCATGTCGAGATGGGGCCGTCTCAGTGAACTTGTCCGAACCGGCTGCCTCTTAATGACGGTTGGCAATGGTCTTGTGGCGTCACTGAAGAATCAAGATGCGTCTTGGAAATACCTTGTCTATCTTTTTCCAGCAAATTTTGGTCAAGGCATGTCGTATCCAGCTATTCTCTTTACATTTTTGGCGGCTTTCGACCACAGCCGTAAGTGCACTCTGGGCCAGAAATTGGTAATCTGCTGACCATTCTTAGAGCAAGCTGTCTCTACATCAATGGTCTACCTGTTCCGATCTATGGGGACAGTTTGGGGAGTTGCCGCATCTTCGACTCTGCTACAAAACATTCTTGCAAAGCAACTTCCATCAGCATTGTCAGGGACTCCAAACAAAGATCAAGTATTGTTCTCTTTCCACGGCCTTCTAAATGGCTGCTGACCGGTCACAGCTCATCGATAAGATTCGTCACTCTGTCACAGTCCTCCAGACTCTACCACCAGAAGTCCAGTCGGCAGCACGACATGTTTACTATGACGCCCTACAATATGCTTTCATTGCCAATACTGTTGTTGCAGCGATTGGATTGGGATCAGCATTCTTTGCTCGCGGGAAGAGTTTGAATCGTGGCTCAACTTCTCCTTGATTCAAAACCCCACTGGCCTATATCAGCTAACTGAAAGATAGTTCACTGATAGAAAGACTCACATAGTAATAAGCCAGTGCTAGTTTTAGAACCTTCTTTCACCATTTCTGCTCAATCTTGTTCTTGGAGACTCAATTGCCATGAAACGGCCAATTTTGTCACTTGTATGTAATGTTCTGGGGCTGATGGAATGAATAATCTGGACGGACCGGAAATGGAGAGACTACGAGAAAGCTGTTCGGATTCCGTGTCCGATGAATTTCTGGGTTTACAAGGCTACAAGGACCGGACCTGGGAATTAGACTTTGTTTGGTCAAACTATTAGCTTCATCCCCCCTAGGAGCCACATGGAGTCCAAGTCCGCTCGGCATCATGGTCCAACCATCGCGGAGAGCAACTCCGACATACCTTCATTCTGCTTTCCGGCAGCGTATTGGGCGTTGATGACGCCTTCAGACACGATTCTGTCATGTATACGGTTCTTGATGCCTGAGGCTGTATCGAATTAGTCCCAATATGGCAATATCGCTGAAGTGGAGCCTCGCCAAAGACTCATCTTGGCGGGATATTGCCTCCTTTCCTCGCTGTGTCCGATATCTGTCATGCTTACCCTGGCTTCAGTAGCCTCCCTCCACTTCCCACGTTCCAGCTATAGCATAAGATTGTCCGGTATTTCCAGAGCCCGTCCTTGACACCATGGACTGTAAGTCGAACCATCTGACCCACCCTCATTGCGTGATATGTGGGAGATAGCACGTCCTGGATAGTCGTTCAACTGATAAGCTCATCTTCCTCTTTCTAGGATATACGAAGTTTTTCTTGTCCAGTGTCTGCCTCTCACCGTCGCAGATCTATAGTTATTTAAACCACTCAGCATTCTCTTTTGGCCAGAATGGCTTGTCTGCACTCTTGAAGAATATACGGCCTTCATACAACCCGTGCCCTTGATGTCATTTCCATATAAGATGTCTAATACAACGTCTGAAAGGCTGGAGACTAGATGTCCTCGAGACGAGAAGACTGCTATTTCATCCAAGCTTCCTGACGAAAAGAATGCCACCTCGATCAGAGATGGCACTATAACACCCTTAGAAGCAGACGAAACCGAAGATAACGTGAATGACTCTTACCTTGGCTCGACTCAACAGCATCCATTCACCAACCCTAGCGATGCAGAGCATTGGGCAACTGTCTACGAAAAAGCCAAATATGAAGGCCGACACCGTTTTGATCCTTCCACCCAGTGGGACGCAAGCACGGAAAAGAAACTCGTCCGCAAAGTAATACAAAACTCCTCTCTTCTGCTACCTTCTTGACAATATTCTGACATAGGATATCCAGCTCGACATTCGTATCATGGTCTGGGTTTGGATCATGTTCTCGTCCCTCGACTTGATCCGCCGAAATATCAATCGTGCAGTCTCGGACAACATGGTGAGATCTACTGGACCAAGCCGCTGAATGGAGACTAACTTTGTCAGCTTGATGAACTGAATATGAACACCAACGATTTCAACAATGGGCAGACAATCTACTTATTCTCCTTTCTCGCTGCTGAACTTCCAGGAGGTTTGCTCAGTAAGAAGATCGGACCCGATGTTCTGACGCCAATCTCCATTTGCCTCTGGGGGACGATCTGCGCTTGCCAAAGTCTCGTTAAGAATCGTACTGGCTTCTATTTGACTCGTGCTTTCCTAGGCTTCTCTCAGGGTGGCTTTATCCCAGACATGGTGCTTTACATGTCTTACTTCTGGAAAAGCAATGAGCTCCCAATCAGACTCTCAGTGTTCTGGACCGCCATTCCACTGACCCAAATCATCGGAGCACTCCTAGCGGCCGGCTTCCTCAAGATGCGAGGCTTATACGATTGGTCAGGATGGCAGTGGCTGTAAGTATGCCCTCTCCAGCTACATTGCGAAGTTAATACCGCATAGTTTCTTGATCGAGGGTCTGATGAGCATTGTCATTGGATTACTCACCTTCCTCCTCATGCCTCCCTCCATTGCCGAGACTCATAAAATTTTTGGGGGCAGGGCCACTTGGCTTCACGGCAAGACCGGATGGTTTACGGAGCGAGAAGAAAAGATCCTGGTGAATCGCATCCTTCGTGATGATCCATCAAAGGGAGACATGAATAACAGACAACATGTCAACCTGAAGGGCATTTGGGCAGCGGTGAAAGATGTGGATCTCTGGCCAACATATATTGTGAGTTCCTTTAACATTGATCATCTGTCGCCATAAAGCATCTAACGTGAACTAGCTCGGTATACTGGCGTATATTCCCTTCCAGCCTGCTGCCAACTATTTATCTCTTACTCTTAGGAACCTGGGTTATACTGTCTTTGAAGCAAATATGCTGGCCGTCCCAGGCTACTTTCTATTCTTTGTCAATGTAAGCCTTCACTTCTGCCCTGGATTCTCTCCTGATATGTTTCCAGATTCTCGTTGTTACATGGCTAAGCGAGAAGTATCGTGAACGACTTATCTTTTCATCTCTGAGCAACTTCTGGGTTTTACCTTTCATTATCGGGTTACTTGCAATCGCTCCCAGTACAAGTCCGTGGGTACGATATGCCTTGCTTACAGGAGTAAATGGAGAACCATATAGTAAGTTCAGTTTCTCTCTGCGTTTTCGGGATTTTGCCAACGCCAATCTACAGCCCATGCCATTTTAGTTGGCATGATATCTCGCAATTCCAACAATGTGGGAACTCGCGCCGTTTCGGCGGCAGTATACAACATGTGCTATCAATTTGGGTCAATCATAGCTGTGAACGTCTACCGTGACAGCGACAAACCGTATTGTAAGTTGAGGGTCTTCCTACCATCATTCACGAAGCGCTAACAGGTGGATTCTAGACTACCGAGGCAACAAAATACTAGTTGGGATCACTTCAGCCAACATCATCCTCTTCTTTCTAGCCAAGTTATACTACATCAGACGTAACCGGCAGAAAGAAAGGAAGTGGAATGGCTTGAGTCAGTCTGAGAGGGAACAATATCTATCTGCTACTACAGATACCGGACTGAAGAAGCTGAATATTCGGTTTGCTCATTAGACTATGCATTCGGCAATCTGCGGTCTTGGACATTTTGGAAAGACACCCTCGAAGTCTCTGGGTAAGACAAGGCTGGCACACATTTACCGGTCACTTGGACCTTTCTCGCCATGTGGCAGAGGTTGGGGTTGAGATGAGATGAAAAGATGAGAATCTAGAAAGGATATAACACATTCAGTAGACTGATGTACAACTAGATAGAACAATCGCTCGCGTGCACTCTCTCGCTAACGCTTGATGGTTGTTACTTTCTTCGTCCGTCCAGCCCCTAGACGCTCACGCAATGACATGCTATCATCAAATCTTCTCCAAGTTCGGGCCATTTCCCATCCCTCAACCCGTTGTCCTTCCAATCAAATGACAGAAAATAATATAGAGTTTCGGGGTTGCTCTCCGTCGAGGGACGATGGCGTGCTTTGGCGTGCTTCCCTTATCAGCGTGGAGATGATCACGTGCAACGGACGTAAAAGTTCGTGGACTTCCACATTCTCTTACAACAAAATTCCTTATCTCTTGAATTCGACATTTGCGCTCCGTTGTGAAGCTGACGACGGATATCTTTCAGGATGTATCGACCCGTTGAAAAACGTATATCGTAAGTACTTCCTGCACTCCTTCTAGACGAATCCGCATTGCTAAACACCACACAATGCAGTTGCAAGCGATGTCAGACTCGTAAGGTACGTCCAGTCGATTTCCCATCCTTTCATTCTCCTTCGAGAGTGGTAGATAACGCTGACGCCGACGCACAACTAGATAAAATGCTCTCGAACGACACCCTGCCGTAGCTGTTCCATCGCCGGAGTCCAATGTGAATTCCGCGCCGATGACTGGAAACGGGCGCCAATCTCACACGAGTACGTGGCTGCTCTTGAGGGTAGGATAGCTGCATTGGAATCATTGCTTTCGAGCATCAAGACTTCGACTGGTCATGAGCGAGACTCTATTATTGACGGCATTGATCTCGTCGATCATCTGCCTTCAGCTGCAAACACGTCTCGTTCGACCAGCGGATTCAATGATCCTGCGGGTGATAGACCGAAGGGTTATTGGAATCTTGGCGAAAATGGTTGGATGCTTGATAACCCTCCAGCCAACTCTCGCTGACCCGAATCATAGGAACGCCCATTTTTCATGGCCCCGGTAGTGTGTACATCACAGGTCTCCTTCGATCCTACAAGTCGTCAAGTAGACTGTCACCTCGATCGCCTTCTCTCGAGAAAATTACCAGTATTCCTGGGACTGTGGTCAAAGAATGTGTCGCTCTTTTCTTCCGATGGCAGCACCCTTATTGCACAATCATCGATCGACATGCATTTTTGTCGGAATTTTCAAGCAGTCCAAGAACTGGTGAATATTGTTCACCGGCTCTTTTGTACGCTGTCTGCGCTTTGGGAGCGGGAATGTCTCAGGATCAGAACATTAAAGAGCTCGCAGAACCATTCTCAGAGTCGGCCGAAGAAGCCGTCTTGGCGAAATCCTTCTGGCTCTCTCATATCGCAACATCTCAAGCGTTGTTGCTCTGCTCAATTTTCGAAACTGGAAGAGGTAATGTATCAAAAGCCTGGATGTACTCAGGTGCGAAGGATCCTTCTTGCAAGTTATGGCAGACAGACCTAACTCTCCTAGGAATGGCATTTCGAATGGCACAAGACCTAGGTATCCACGAAGATGATCAACCGCCCTTTTGGCAAGGCGCTCAGAGTACGCCGTTCGATGACTTAGAGTCGCGGCGGCGTATGTCTCTCACATATGCTATTTCCGATAAGTTCCCACTTATCTTTTGGAGGAAAGTAGACCGCACTAACTCAATTACCAGAATGTTAAGCTTATTCTTCGGGCGATCGCCCATGATGGATGAATGTGAACCCCACTCGCACACCACATGCCCCGTATCTTCAGTATCGAGCTCCGCAAAAGTAACAGGACCCGATGAATTACTCTCATTCCATCTCTGGGAAAGGTGGGTCAGCCAACAAAGCGCAAATAACTTGGAAGACCTAGATGTATCCCCGGTCTCGACACTCCTGTTGACCAAACAAGCTGAACTGGGAAGCATCATTAAGGAAATCCAGTTACGGGTACATTCCGCTAACCGAAAGTCGCACCGTGGATCCGAATTTTGGCTTGAAGCGTTATACAACAAGATGAATGCTCGGCTCTGGAGCTGGCATAACTCTTTGCCCGGAGAGATGCGATGGAGTAGATGGGGCTCCAACCTCGAGGAAGTGAACCCTAGTATCGCCACCCTTCAGTGAGATTATCCCCCGGTTTGGGGAAATCCTTAATTGTACTAATACACTTCAGCATGCTATATCATACTGCACGGATTAGTCTGAACCGGCCGCTTATATGCAAAAATAGGCTGAAAGCCTCATCAGAGACGTCAAAGCTTACCTCTGATGCTTTTGAGATTTGCGACACTTCTGTCTGGACAATCGTCGGGATTCTGCGCCGCTTCAGCACCCAATATACGCTGAAGAATGCACCCTTGATTTTTGTTCATGGTGCTGTCACGGCAATCGACGTGGCCCTGGCGATGGGTTCGTGTTCACAGAAGGATCCTGAAGGCCGTCCGAATATGAAAGACACGATATTACCTGCCATCGATGCGGCGCTCGGTGAATTGTCTCATGCCTGGACGATTGCCAATGATGCGAGAAACAACTTGCAAAATCTCCTACGCAATTTGCAACTTGAAAAGCAAACAAAAAGTGAGAAATACACAAATACCTCCCCAAGTTATACCGGCTTTTGTCCTGATTTCTTCGACCTCCATATTACAGACCTTGGAGCAGCAGTTACACCGGGTGTGCATTGCATGCAGCAGAAGCCAGCAACCGTACAAGCCCCTGATTCCCTCTACCTAAACATGTTAGGGAACAATAATCTTAGTGTCGATTACTCAACTGTGTTTCAATATGGGGATGATTCCGACAGCAACTTCTGGAGCTCGTTGGCTACCAGCGAGGATGGAACACCGTCATCGTGGACTGGTTCTCAGGACTCAATGTCATATTTGTACGGCGCTTGATTGCGTTTCAGGATGATTTTCGTGGGACAAAAAAGAAATGAGGATCGCAGCTAGAGAGTCTATGTGCTCAAGATATGGGAGCTAGAAGAATGACAGATCTTGGGTGATCCGGTCAAGTTAACCCGGGAAAAGGTGCTGAAATCCAATCGTACTGTTCGCCCCCCTTCTTGCCTCTTCTTAGGAGTTTCTTCCTCATACCAGTGCTCTGGTCGCCGCCCAGATTTCAACGAGCCTTGGGCCGTGTACAGGAAGACACGCAGAGAAGGAGTACGATTTTTCCAAAGTGTCTGAATTCAATCAAAGAAACTGGATTCCATTTCGTGTACCAATACTGAAGATCAAATGCAAGTTTCATCCTTCTGACCATTCAATCTCTACGTAGGCAACTCACCCTTTGGACTTGTTGATGAGGCAACTCCGGGTACCTCGCCTCATATCTTGTGTCCTCATAGACGGACCGAACCGAACTGTTGGCCTGTTCAGGCATAGACTAAGCGAGAGCCTCGCGATCTGCAGGGCTAGAGTAGGCGAAAATTAGTATAGGAGGCTTTTAGCCTTGAGAAAAAGGGGGTGGGGTTCTGGACTTAGCAAAGAGACGGGTGATTCTTGCTTCAACCAATATGGCTATTCAGTGAAATATATACTCATTTTCAAGAGAGACACGCGTTGTCTGTTCAGCCACTCCAAGATTAGTAGCAAGTGTGATTTCCTGGGCTATAGATGCAGTATCACGTGCCAAAAAGTCCTGGCATGACTCGAATTCGTCGAGCCAAGCCACTGCCACTTATATCGTTTGATAATTGACCCCAATTATCACACCAGCCAGAGGCAATCAGAGCATCTACAAAAGTCAATTTGCCCAAAGTTCAAACACGAGTACGAAGTATGGAACTACACCACGCCACCAAGGCTCACCCAGTTACCGAGAAGCCAATGGTTTCAATCTCGAATTGCCAGCAAATCTCCCTATTCCTTCTCCAAGCAAGTGATCTGCATCCAAGTACCACAACGTGCTCTCGGATGTCAATCGTGTCGATCAAGCAAAGCCAAGTCGACAAAGGAGCGTCTGTTGGAAGACAAAAAGGGACGTTGTTGGTTTGGACGCCATCTTGGCCCCCAGATTTCACGACCCTTTAACTAGCGCAGCTAAAGATCCGTCCCTGAAGCCGCCAACGCATTTTCTCCCGGCATATTCCGTAAGGAGTCTCCAGGGCAGCTGTTGATCTATCCAGTAGGGACAAGCAAGAGTAGGAGTGGTAGGGCTGGACCGGCAGGCCAGGCAAGGATAAAAAGAGATTTGCACATGCCTTCCTCGCGTCTTGAATCTTGACTTCGGTACTAACTAGCTCTCTAACTAGGGCGTTTCTTGCCCATGCAAATGGACATGATGGATCCCTACAAAAGTGAGTAACTCGTTTCCTCCTGGGGCCAAAACTGGTCTAGTCTGCCACATCTTACATCTGTGTATCGTACCGTATTCATCGATGTGAGTCCAACGGGCTTTAAGAGCAGAAATAAGGATTGAAAACTATACCGAGTATGGTCGTGTATCGCAAGGCTAACGTGTTGTACAGTAAATGAGCAAGTGCGCCTCAACCAGAAGTCCGCTGCAAGGGGTTTTGAACACGTTGAAAGTCAAATGAACTTGTGTGCTAGTTGCTTGAACTTGGGAATACAAAATTTATATATACCTCTGCCTGTACTTCTGCTTTGACCATCTCTCGCTCTGGCGATTACTTCATATCCCAGTCATTCTTTAGAAATCCGTTTGTTTTATTCCACTTCTTGTACCCCAAGTCACTCCTTCCATCTTTGTCAAATATCATACCATACTCTATCAAACCAACGCAAGAAGCAATGGCAGCACCCAACGGAAACGGCTCTGCCCACGGCGGCATGATCGACCAGGACGATGTGCAAGATTGGGTGAAACGCTTCAACGAGGCATTGGCCGACTCAACCGTCGTTACAGCTCCCGCCGGCCCAGATGCTCGTCCATGGCACGAGTCTTTCTTCGGCTGCTTTATGCCCATTGATACTTGTACGTTCTCCCAATTCCTTCATATAGAGGCGTCGGGCAGAAGAAATATCGCACAAAATGTGGAAACCCCTGACAGTATTATTCTGAAGGCCTCATCACCTGCTGTGTTCCGTGCATTACTTTCGGCAAAACCCACCATCGCAGCCGTAAGCATGGACACATGGACGGATACAACTGTGTCAATGCTTCCGTAAGTGTTCCCCATTTTCCTTCCAAGATATCTATCCTCGTCAAAAGATGCCCGAACCATTCTTTCGAGGCAAAAGACTGGCTAAAAACTATGATATAGTGCCTCATGTTCACAGGATTCTCATGCTTCGGCCTCCACTGGATTCCCATGATGTTCCAACGCGCCGACATCCGCAAGAAGTACAATCTCCAAGGTGACTGTGTGACGGATCTGTTCACCTCGTGCTGCTGTGCCTGCTGCTCTCTTGTCCAACAGGATAAGGAGGCCGAGTTCCGTGAGAAAGAGATGGCGGAGAAAGTCAATGGTGCTGGATATGCGAAGCCTCAGGGTATGGCGTATCCTGCTTAGAGAACACACAAATAGTTAGTCCATTATCGAATTGAGGAAGTCAGGGCCTTGCTTGGGTCAGTTGAGTCTGTCGAGCAGGAAGCTCGATACCTTGGATGGAATATAATGTATTTGCGTAGTGTTGTTTCTGTAACATAATGATCGTATGGAAGTATTTGCATTAATTCCATCTTCTAACAGCGGCCTTGTTCTGAACTTCCTACCTAGCAGAAAGGGTGAACTTTCGTCCTTTGTTCTGTAAGAAACCAGAGTCAGGCCGTGGTAAAAATCCCAATTATGAAAAGAAAGGGAAGCCTTGATGACGGGGCCACGAGTCAGAAGCGAATCTTGAAGTGTACAAGAAGTTGCTGTTGAACTGTCGAGATAACCGTTTGCGTCCAGGCATTGGAAATGACACACACAGAGTTGGCCGGTTAAACAGCACGAGCTAATGCTGGAAGATGCATCACAGGATATGGCGGGTCACCTGCGCCCTGATTAGGAGCCAGAGAGCCGTTTGACCAGAAACAATAGGCTTGGGTCTTGTAATGTTGTCATTCGGCATTTCCTCAGTATTAGATAGATTGAGACGAAAGGAGTCGAAAAGAGAAATCAAGAGATTTAATGATATCTGCGACTTTCGTACTGCGGAAATCCATACAGGTACCAGTTGGAAGCAATTGCTTCGAACGTAATTGATTTACTCAGGGCGTGTATCTCTTTTCTCTGCTCGTCACAGTCATTTGCGACCACTCGCTGTAATGCCGTCCTGTACTTCCCACTTACCAGGAGGTCTGACAAAGTGCCTCGGAGTGGAGTATCCTCATCCGTCCTCGCCTAAATCCTCTGGCAGTGGCTTTTTCGGACGCCATAATTTCGGAATACGGTATTAAAATCAAGCTTTACACCAAGTTTCTTATGATCCTCAGATCAAAAATTCCGAGACGAGACGGAGGAAGAGATGTTGGAGGCGGCACATGTGGACGCGAACTGCACCGAAAAATCCACAATTCCGTACAAGAAGTAAAGCTTCAAATTGGACTGGTGAGGCTGCATGCAGGCTTTCCAGCACCTGCGAAATGCCGCTTTAGTTGTTGTCACGTGAGAGACAGGGCTGGCTATTTTTTGCCCCTTTTCCTGTTCTTCAACTAGCGGCCGTGGAGACTATCTCAAACCTTTTGACCTGGCCTCAATCGTTTGTGCAACAAAGTGCTTCCCTTCCGATTTCGGCCAAATCAGGAGGAAGCGATTATGGGCAAACACCTCAACGCAGGTAACTGTTGGGACTCCAGGTGGCCTGTCTCCTTACCAGTCTGCAAGATATCTTGACACTTTCAAGAGCCTCCTTTCTGCCACTTGAGAACTCCGCGTGTCTTGCTACCGTCCTGATTGCATCATCAGCGCAAAGTTGCCATACCTCCGTCGTCACCATATCATCGAAGACAGACCTTGTGATAATACCACTTGACAGGTTCGAGAGTCATATAAGCTATCCCATTTTCCTCCGAATAGACTGCTTTTCTCGTCTGCAGTTTCCCAACCCAGTTCGGATTATTCGCTATCTCGACCGCGGTGTGCCACAGGAAACTGCCATCACCATTTTCGCTTTCAAGTAGAGTCATGGGCCCTGCGTATGCGGTCAAATTCCTTGAAACGCGCAAAACTTCTTCGTCCGAGGCATGGCCCCATTCATCAGACAGGAACGGTGTCATACACGCTCGCGGCACAAGGATTGCTGACAGGTATCCGGATGGACTGATCACCGCTTTACCTAGAGGATCGTCACCGTGTGGTTTGGAGACCAGCTTCTTGTCAGGCCCATCAGAGTCGTACATTTCCCACGAGATCAGGTTCCATACTCCTGAAAACTTGTCGCTGTATTTTTCAAATACGTTCGTCATGGTTCTTTTCTCTAGCACCGCCAGGGTTGCTTATGAATGTGAATTTGATCCCCAGATATATTTGGCAGTTAAGTCATATTGTTGGAGAAGCCGATAGCCGACAGCCGAAGAGCATTATACTTTACACCTCCTTTTGGATATCATCCGATTGCCGACAAAAGAATACCAATTGGACGTTTTCAAAATTTCGTGTGGACACGTTTACCTTGGGTATGTCTTGCTGCAGAAGCTATTTCGGGCCAGTTGAGTTCCTGATCTCGGAGCAATGGAGACTTCTCTTCGTCTACTCTGATCCTCTGCTATCTGCCACTTGATCCGTGCGAGTAATGCTTCACGGCTTTGGGGAGGTTGCGGGGGAGGTGATACGGAGAGTCCCCGCTCAGGCAATCCCCAGACCTGTCTCTGCATTCAATATCGGCCTTCTCCAACGGAGACTCTTGATATTCGTCTCCCATGATTCATCCATCGGATGCTCAATTGCCGACGACGCTATGGAGGATTTGCCGGTCCCAATAAGGACGAACCTGCTCAGCCTTGATCAAATGTTTTGAAAATATAGTGCCAGGCCATTCCTTCAACATTCTGCTTTCTCCCCGAAAAAAATTTCAATGCAATGAAAATGACTCTACCTACAAGCTGCGAGATTCTGGTCGCTGGAAGCGGCAATGCAGGGTTTTCTGCTGCTGTTGCGGCCAAACAAGCAGGCGCACAGCGGGTTGTTCTCATTGACAAATGTCCCGAAGACTGGGCTGGAGGGAATTCTTACTTTTCAGCCGGAGCATATCGCACCGTTCATAACGGCATCGCGGATTTACTCCCTTTGGTGAATAACGCGGACGAAGACACGGCAAAGAAGACTGATATAGAACCGTACACGATTGAGGACTTTTCCAACGACGTGAAGAGAGTCTGCAGTAGCAGATCAGACCCTCATCTGTCGAGAATTCTCATTGAAGACTCAAATTCAACGACACGGTGGTTGAAAAGCAATGGTATTCGATTTCAATTGTCTTTTAATCGACAAGCCTACGAGGTAGATGGACGTTTAAAATTTTGGGGTGGGCTCGCATTAAAGACACAGGATGGAGGAAAAGGCCTAATCGAGGACCATACGGCCGCCGCGAAAAGACTTGGAGTTGACATCTTTTACTCGACCTCTTTGAAGCAGTTGAACACGGATCCCAAAACCGGGGCAGTTACCTCGGTCCTGGTACAGCGCGAGGAAGAGCATCACGTAGTTCAAACTGGCGCTGTTATCCTAGCTGCCGGAGGATTCGAGAGCAACCCTCGTCTTCGTTCCCAGTACTTAGGTCCTGGCTGGGACCTGGCCAAGGTGAGAGGCACGCCCTATAACACGGGCGATTGCTTGGAGATTGCCATTCGAGACGTATCAGCAGGACAAACCGGGAACTGGTCAGGCTGTCATTCTGTCGCCTGGGATAAGAATGCACCGAGCGACACAGGAGACAGAGAAGCATCCAACGAATTTACCAAGTCCGGTTACCCGCTAGGGTTGATGTTCAATATCCAAGGCCAACGCTTCGTCGACGAGGGCATCGATCTCCGTAATTACACGTACGCCAAGTTTGGACGAGCAATCCTGTCCCAGCCTAGCCATATGGCCTTTCAAATCTGGGACTCTCGAACGATCCCCTGGTTGAGGTCAGAGGAATATCGACCCGAAAGAGTCGAGAGGATCACCGCAAGTTCGATTGCGGAACTAGCTGAAAAGTTGAAACCGCTTGGTCTCGAGGACCCAGAAGCATTTGTCCACCGGGTCCAAGAATACAACGAGGCCGTCTATGCATTTCAATCGGAGAATCCTGATAAGAAATGGGACCCAGCAGTCAAGGATGGCCTGTCTACTCAATCCAATGTCAAGAAACTCTCGCCCGGGAAGACGAATTGGGCCTTGCCTATTGACCAAGCACCCTTCATGGCTGTGGTCGTTACTTGTGGCATTACATTTACATTTGGAGGGCTCTCAGTCACACCGGAGTCTGCTCAGGTCATCAGCTCTGCGACAGGCAAGGAAATCCCGGGGCTTTATTGCGTAGGAGAGATGATGGGAGGACTGTTCTATGAGAATTATCCGGGTGGAAGCGGACTGACTGCTGGCGCTGTCTTTGGACGAAGAGCAGGGACTGCTGCTACTAAGGCTGTGAGATCGGGGTCCGCATCAAGCGCATCTCTGGTACGTGGCGAGAAATGAAAAATGTTCATGAGCGGTAGCACGGGAGAGGAGCTGTCCCAAGGCCAACTCTCGTCGAGCAGGGAATGGAGGAGTCCAAATTTGGTCATTGCGTATCGTACAATATACCTTGCCGTGTTCGCTCAGTAAGAGTAGGGTGGAACATGACGACCGGCTGGGTCTTTATCAACGTCACAGCACCCAGCACCGCTACCAGACACTGTGATGACCGAGTGTGTGCAGCCTCACACTGCGTCGGCCTACTATCTGTTCTCTGAGACTATAGCTCGGGATCTTGTCCAAGATGTTGGACGCTTTCGAAATCCTCACTACTTCTGGCGTGGTGTTGTGGTCAAGGTCTTCTTCCAACATCGGTGCAAGCGCAGTCAACAGTTTGATCAACGATGTCTTTATCGAGGAAAAAGTCCGACCGAATGTAGCCCGCTCGAGCAATCCTACCTACAAACATGACAAATACACCTTGAAATATACTTTGGTGAAGGATCTGGGTCTGATATTTGTGGCCGTCTACCAATCCCTTCTCCACCTGACATGGGTGGACAAATTGCTCGACGATATTCGAACCATCTTTGTGGAAGTCTACAGAGGACAGTTGGAAGAACTTGATTACGCCGCCCTGAAATATCCCTTTGATAAGTACTTTGATGAAGAGCTGCGCAGACTGGATCAAAGTACAGGCGGAGCAGTCACACAAATTCCTCGAGTCGAACTGCAGGAAGAAAAGAAAATTATCGCAGAAGAAGGAGACACGGGAGGCCCTCCACCGCCGGAGTTACCTCAATTTCTCAAGGCACAGCCACGTGCTGTGCCGGCGGTGAATGGAGACTCGACACAGAGTACTCCCGTCCATTCACCTGAAACGTCCCGTCCCACCACTCCTCTTTCCGGAATTGCGGGACATCTGTTGACCGAAAAAGGAAGGCCAGGTAGTCGTGGGTCTCGAAGAGCAAGAAAAGCAGCCCACGCTGCGACATCCGCCAATATTTCTTCTGGAGACGAGTCGAGAAAACCCAGAACAGTCAAAACAACGACTAAGAAAGGACGAGTTTGGGGACCAGATGGAATGGCTGATGAAGCCGAGGACGTGACTCTTGACTATTCGATCGTTGACTCTGATGCGAACGGAGGGACAGGGAGGAGATCATCGCCGCCAGAGACGATCAGTCAAGAAAGTTGGGGCACGAAGAACAAACAAGGTCAATTTATCCTGAAAGATCTTGGCGATGAAGTTACGAATATTCTCAAGTCAGCGGATTCGAACAAAGCGGAGACGAATGGAACGGGAACCTCGAAATTTGGAGCCATATCCGGTTACTTTAGAAATATTGTTGGAGGCAAAACCTTGACCAAACAAGATTTGGACAAACCACTGAAATCGATGGAAGAGCATTTGATCAACAAGAACGTGGCACGCGATGCTGCAATCCGACTTTGCCAGGGAGTAGAGGCGGAAATGGTTGGGAAGAAGACTGGAGCATTTGAATCCATCGACACGGCCTTGAGACCAGCATTGGAGAACTCCCTCAAAAGAATCCTCACCCCCCGGTCCTCCTTAGATCTTCTCCAACAAATCAACACCGTTGTGAATCCATCAGGAGCTAAAGCCCAACCTCGTCCATTCGTCATGACAATCCTCGGAGTCAACGGTGTCGGAAAATCAACGAACTTGTCCAAGCTATGCTATTTCCTTCTCCAAAACAACTACCGCGTCCTTATCGCTGCTGGGGACACCTTTCGGTCCGGTGCCGTCGAACAATTGAACGTCCATGTTCGAAACCTGAAAGAACTCACTGCCCGAGAAAACCTGGGCGCAGTCGATATTTACGAACGAGGATACGGCAAGGACGCAGCCAACGTGGCTAAGGATGCCGTCACGTTTGCCGCGGCGAACCACTACCAAGTCGTCCTGATCGATACGGCCGGTCGAGCGCATACAAACACCCAACTGATGGCGTCGTTGGAGAAGTTGGTCGATTTGGCCAATCCGGATTTAATCTTGCAAGTCGCAGAGGCACTTGTGGGCAATGATTCAGTGGGCCAAGCGCAGAATTTCACCAAGGCTCTGGGTAAGAATCGCAGACTGGACGGATTCATTGTCTCTAAGGTCGATACCGTTGGTTCCGGCATCGGGACCATGATCAGTTTGGTCCATGCAACTTCGGTGCCTGTCCAATTCATTGGCGTGGGCCAACATTATGGAGATCTCAGGCAGTTGTCTGTTCCTTGGGCCGTGAATATGTTGATGAACTGACGAAGTAATTCTATTTCGGCGTCATTGGACCAATTGGACTTTGAGTTGAGGTGTGTGTATTACAGTTGAGGGTCTGAACCCGGATTGAAAAGTTCGATCACCCACGCTGCGTGCCTGATTGCTTGGTATCTGACGAGTCTCATGCCTGCCAGACTGCCAGACTCCTTGAATGAAATGCCCTTGTGATGAAACCACTGAATTTGTTTCTCCACCCAAGATTTTTTTTTAGAATTCCGTTCCCCTTTCTCATCATTCATCTCTCATTGCACCATCCCTTTCCTCCCTGCCGGGGGGAATGTTCAGTCTCAATTACCAAACTTTCTTAAAACAAACACTCGCGACTCCTTGCCCTTTGTGCCCCCCGAACTCAAAGACGGGGTACTTGATGCGATCATATACTTCGAATCTACCTTTCCCTCTACTCTTCCCCTTAATCTCTATCCCTTCGGCATTCTCGCTCTCACTCTCACTCGCATTCGCACTTGCGCCGGCACCAACAGCATGGTCTGCCACTGTACTTATACCAGTGAACCAGGTCACCACCTCTTCCTCAGTCCAATTACAGCTGGTCACAAGGAAGAAGCCGCCTGGCTTGACCATAGCGAGGACCTTGGCTGGGTACAGTTCACAGATCCGCTGTGTGCGATCCGTAGTTGCGTCTGTCACGATGGATGACGAAAGCGAGATGGCGTCGAATGTGCCTTTGTCCAGGACGAGGTCGAAGCCTGCGCATGGCCCTTCCTCTGACCCTGCGGCGATGGAGGCAGTTGTCTTAGGCCACCACGCTTGAACCGTTGGATCGTCGTGTATGATATCAAGAACTTCGAATGTGATTTCACTGGACGACGCGTTTGAGTCTGTCATAGAATTTGAATTCGACGTTGATATCGATGCTGAAGGCAGATATTGCCTTGCCAATTTCCTCGCCAATTCGATGCTCTGACTTGAATAATCTACGCCCACCATGCGGCCCGTATATTGGCCTTCAATTCTTAAAGCGAAAAGAACGCTACCATTTCCGGTGCCGAGATCAAGAACGGTAGGCCGTTCTTCTATGATCCTTAAATCATGTCCCAACTCCGACGACGTAGATTTGCCACCTTCGTCCTTGGTAGAAACGTAGTTTGGGGACAAAGGGAAAGACGTCGAAGTTAAGAACTCGGACGTCTTTGTTGGGGCGCCAACGTCGTCGAACCACGACTCCAGCTGCAATAGGTGGGGAGGTAAGTCCTCGTCGTCGTCGTCGTCGTCGTCCTCCGCGCCATTAGAGTCCTCCTCGTTGTCGAGGCCATTCTGGTAGTAATTGTCCCAGCTTCACCGCATGTGTGTTAGACCTTTGTAGGGGGATTTGGATAGGACGTAGGCAGACAACGCACTCACTACTCTTTTGTCCCGAGCTCACTGGGTTCAAGATGTGCTGGGTGAGAAACTTCCTGTTCCTGTGACATTCTCTTTCTTGATAAACTTCTTCCCCCTCCCTCTTTCTTTTGCAATTATGCGACAGAGAAGAATTATTGAAGAACGGAAGGTTGAAAGTGCATTGAAGGGAGGGGGGAAGGAAAAAAAAATTGATCCGATCTTCTTATCTTATCGCAACTTTGATTTCAACCCCGCATTGAAGGGTACTATAACAATTTATCGTGTTCATAAACTTTTGACGTGTGTATTTCAATCGCCGGTGCTGGATGCCTATGTCCTCATGGGCTCGTTTACGGGCCCAAAATTCTATAAAATCGCGCTTTCTAGACGCCATCTGTGTCAAGCATCCCAGATGCTCATCGACTGGCCTGAAAAATGTTCTCCTCGCGCATCTTAGAGGCTGTACCCACCGCGCCAGAATCAGAAGATATCTTCTCTTCCGCTCTCTCGATCCTATTCACAGATGATACGCAAAACAGCCACGGCATCCCCGGATCGAGCGTGACATATCACTCGCCGCGGTTTGGGAATATGACGCTCCGCATCCCTGCGCACCCTGACCGGGAAGAGGACAGAAAACTGTTTGCGCATTACTTGTGGAATGCGGGTGTGATTGCGGCAGATGCCATTGAGGCGGGTAGCACGAGCAAACAACAAAATGTGACAGTTTCAGAAGGAGAGCACGATCGGGGTCGGGAGCAGGGACAGTGGGATAGACGATACTGGGATGTGCGAGGCAAGCGAGTTCTCGAGTTGGGCGCTGGTACGTGAGAACCACGACGTATGTCATAGAGCCACAACTCTATCGATATATACCTTAACACGATGGCTAGGAACGGCTCTTCCATCTTTGATATCCGCACTCTCTGGTGCCGAGTCAACCACTATTACCGATCATCCATCGTCTCCTGCTCTGACCACGAATGCGATTGAGCAGAATGTCAGAGACAATGTTCTTGAGAGACCCAGACCGGACACTAAGTCCAAGCCAGTTGTCAACGTGTTCGGATACACATGGGGGACCAACATGATGTATCTGCCAGAACAATACGGCAAACCGGCACCACGACAGCCGGGGTCGTTTGATCGTATCATCCTAGCAGATTGTCTGTGGATGCCGTCACAGCATGTGAACTTGGTCAAGACCACGTTGCGATATCTTGATTCCTCGCAATCAAACGCTAGTTGTGCCTATGCCTGTGCCTGTGCTTTGGTGGTGGCGGGTTTCCATACAGGCCGAGGCATAGTAAGGCATTTCTTTGAAGTGGCCACTGGAGAATGGAAGGATGAGGAAAAGACCAGTTCGGAAGCCGACAACGAAGATCAAGAGCTCGCAGAAGTGCAAGGCAAGTTGAAAGCTGTAGAAATCTTTGAGATCGATGTCAATGGGTCTCGCCGACCGTGGGAAGCTGTTCGAAGAGGGGAGAACAAAGAGCAGGCTAAGAGATGGTGTGTAAGCGCCGTACTTGTGAAAAGGTGACGTTTACGATGTTAGTTCTTTCGGCATGTTTTTGCATAAAGCAGGCGCTGTGACAGATACTCTATCGTCGTTGAAAATGATGACCATGCTGAAGACTTGAATGAATCTAGGTGGGCGAGTCAATGCTTTGATCAATCGTTCCAGCACGAGTGCTAGTCCCCATAAATCTTGGTGTCAATGTTTGGTCGTTATCTACACATAAGCCTAGCCCTTCTCGCGCTCTAGGCATGATCAAGCCTCCATATCATGGTGGTGAATCCATTGACAAAATCGAATCCATGACGCCCTTCGTAAACCTATGAATCCCATCACAGCGTTCCTGGCCCTATCTTGGAAATCGTGGTTGCTTGCCTAGTCAAAATGCTTCCATGAACCAAACAAAAGGATTCCACCTCCATTGTGGCTTTCCCAACGCCGTGCTAAATGATTGAAATCATGATTGCAAAGGAATCAAGTGTATCTGCCAAGGTTGTAAGACGGTGGGCCGGAAGGAGATAACTGAAAGTGATACCGGTCGGAATGGGGTCGTATCCTAGAAGGATCGGATGAAGACTCTGTTCTGCGTTGTTTTGAAGGTGGCGCATCATCGCCATCATCATCATCACTGAGCGTTAAGTCAATAACATCGCGTGGTCTCTTGTTCGACCTCGACGCTGGTGCCGTGGAGTCTTCGCGTGAAGAAAGTGGCGGTGTCCGGACACTATGCGGAGTGAGTGTTTCTACCTTTGGTCGAGGTTCAACCCTGTCCCGAATCTCGACAATTTCATCTTCATCATCTTCATCGTCACTTGGTGTAGGATTGGATTTCCGATTAGAGCCATCGGTGTCTCTCTGAATGTGCCATCGCCCATCCGGTTCGACCACAACAACTTCGGTGTCTCTTGGTGTGGAATTCAGGATATCATTAACATATTGGTCCAAGGCCAGATTTTCCCACGCGGCAGCTTTGTTACAGATCGGACAGGTCCATGTAGGCGCTTGTTCCTGTAGTTGAAGATATGATGCAGCGTCGAAGCATTGATTGTGAGCGCAACCGATTGAACGACAAGGTGTGACGATTCGGGTGTACGCCACGGGATCTTTCAACGAGAGGACGCTTGAGGTTGCCACAATCTCATCCGGATCCTCGTTTTTGGCGCGCACTGATTTTGTTAGGGCTGAAACAAGCGGATTGATGAAGAACTCACTTTCACGCAAGACTTGTTCCTTGGTTATCACCCTTCCTCGCCTCAGCTCGGAAACCATGGCTTCAATCGGTCTCTTTTGTACCAGATTAACGACCAAGTAATACTTCTGTAGCTCAGATTTGTCCTATTTAGCATGATAATTCAAGGTTGGGAAATCGGATACAAAACATAGGAATAAGAGAACAGAGCTTTCCAGCGCACCTTGGTGGTAAGAGCATAAACCATCTCCACAGTGTTGGGGTAACTAGCCTTCTTCCGCACAAGATGGGTAATGTCGGCCGGTCTGGTTGAACCAGGCCGATTTTTCAATCCTCTGAGATTGGCTTTGACCTCATCCGAGTTGCATTTGAGTTCGACATTGTGCGGAAATGCGATGTCGGAGTCTCTGGAAAGAGGTTGAAACCCTTCGGCAGCGCAGAATACCATAACACGACAGGACGAGTCTCGGGTGAGTTGTTCCGCAATCAGCGGGGAGAGGGAAACGGTGAGTCGAGCAGTGTCTCTGGTGGTCTCTCGAGCTGGATACGGTCAGACGATGGGGTGGTCGCGGTCAGAGATGGTCGAATCACCTTTACACTCCAGAGTTTGGGTCAAGGGCTTTAAGATGGTGTAAAAGGGAGAATTTTTGAATCCAATTTTACCTATTCCTCGTCAGAGACTCTCTTCAACAGGAGAACTTTGTTCCTTACTCGGCGGAATAGAAGAAGTCGACGACATGTCATACGGGGCATGAGGATTTGGTGAGGAAAATTGAGGCGACGCGGAAGAGGGAGAAGTATGGGTAGAATATGGTGAAGGATAGTTGTTGGTGTTGAATGACGGAGGAAGGCCTCTGATATTCCCTCTCACTCGGTTCAGACGCATCTGATCATGGTTTTCATGCAGTTTTTGAATGTCTGTATTCGAGGTCAGGCTGCGAAGTCGGCCATATGTTGCTGGGCAGTGGCATACACTGAATTGTCCGGTGCTGCAATTCACTTTTGATTCCAGACACCTGTAAACCTTCAGTTCGAAGTAGATTCTTCAATTTTTCCACCGTCATGGTCTTTACTTGAGCCACCATGGCCTGCACCTGATCCTGCGCTTGCATGTAGCCCGCCATAGTTGAAGATGCGGCTGTGACTCGGAAAGGGTGTGGAAGTGCGGATATCGACACAGAAGGTCAACTATTGTTGATAGACAGACATGATTAGAAGAGAGAGCAAGGAATGGCGCGGCGACGACAACCCGAGTGGCCTTAATTGTCGGAGAAAAGAGTTGAGGCAGAGGTCGAGATCGAGGTCGGGGTTGAGGTTGAATGATGGTTGTACGGCTCAAAAAGTGCCGCGCAAAGATCTGGAGTCAATGATATTCGGCGTGGTATAGGCCACAGCCTAAGGGCAGAATGCAGAACACAGGAATGCGGAAATTTTTTGGCGCATTTGACCTGCACCCCACGAAATTTCCACTGCGCACGGTCACTATTCACTAAAGACCTTTTACATTCTTCCTCTCCTTGGAAGCTCAAATCATAATTCATTGATCCAGTTCATTGGGAAAATGGCAAAATCAGCTCGAGCCTCCGTCACCAAACGCAATCACCGCAACCTCCGGGCCAAGGTTTTTGGTCCAGCCCATGATGCCCGAACTGAGAGATTGTCAGCAAAACTTCAAGAGCTGGCAACAAAACCTCGACCAAATGAGGACAAAGCAATGGACGTCGATGTATCAGCTGAACAGGAGAGAGAACAGCCCACATCTGACAACGCTGAAGGTAATTTCACCATCCCACAAACTTTAACGTTTGGCTGATTAAATTTTCAGCCATGGAAGTTGACGGCCAAGGCGTCAACATGAAGCCAGTCAAATCCCGATCAGAAAAGACTCGATCCAGCCGAAAAGTGCACAAAGTCTCAAAGAGGAAGGCCAAAAATCATATCAGTTTCCCATCTGAACGAGCGAGAAGGAACAAAATCATATCCAAAAAGAGCAAACGATGAAGAGAAATTCTTTTTCCTCGGCTGAGAGTTAAAAATTTTCTCTGGGATAATGATGCTACAAGATTGTATCAAAGCAGACGCACCTATCAAGAGGTACGGTCGCTGCAGAAAGCCATTGATCCGACCTTAAACGACGAATCGGACATAATAGATAGATTGAGAATTCCCTCTTCTCAAACCATCTACAAGAGGTCCTACCAACACCCCATGGGTGACTTGAGCTATCCGCCGGAAATTCTCAACATGATCTATCACAAGTTATTCGTCGACGACAGTGAAAACCTCCTGTTTCCATGCTCCACAGACCCAACCCTTCGCACCATCAACCCTCAATCAATGCACTCACCCAGACCTAGCCGATTCCCCCGAGTGATGCCAGTCTCATTTATACGGCTGTCGGTATTACAGGGACAGCACCTGGCGATCTGCGCAGTTCCTCCGAGCCTGCAAGAAGATATGCACTGAAGTGACTCCCATTTTTGTACGGGAATCTCAACACCGCCATGCTGAGAACTCTCCAAAATTGGTCCATGCATCAGCGACTTTTTCGCGAACAATACGTTCTCGCCCATGCGAGACTCACATTCCCAAAAAGTTACCCTGGGATACCCCAAGAAATGGGAGCGTGAACTACGTTTCAAAATGTTCCATTGCGGTGCCGCAAACCCCAGGTGATTCCTTGTCCTGTGGTATCCATACAGGAGAAGGTGGATGTTTTCAGGGTATGCCATGGACAAAAAGATCCTCCTCGCTCTGACTGACTGCCATTATTTTTGTGTTGGGAGGGGATGAGATGCTATCTGTTGCTCATTGGACCTGCATCTTTGAAAATTGCAGTCGCTTGCAAAACCTGCCTCCCCTTCCCGAACATTTCTCTGCAATTGTCGGCGCCCCACCCGTGGACGACTCTGACTTGTTATGAGACTTCATTAGCAGAGTTAACGAATCGAGAAGATCGATGAGATACCGCAAATACTCCGCTGATAAGTTAGAGACCTTTTGGACACAATAGCGACAGACTCATCCACTCATCCGCTCATCAAATCTCAGGAACATCTAGTGGAGTATAGCATTAGGAAAAAGCCACACGTATACAGGAGATCGGCTGATGGCGCACCCGACGCACCCATCCAACAACACCGTCCACGGCTACCTGCTTGCCTCACCTTCCGCGCCAGCTCCCACCCCGCAATCGAACCGACTGGGGACGCTAGCGCCTCATACCAGAGCGACCGCCGAGAACGAGCTCGACTCTACGACAATTCAAAATGGCATGCAGGGTAGGGCATACCCAAATGGACAAAGCCTAACTGGGGAAAGAGAAAGCACGGGAAACCAACTAGACATGTATATCACAATGATATCGAGCGTGCTGGACCCAGTAGTAAGAAATCTAGAGACACTACCAGAGGCCAGCAAACAAAGCGAGACGAACCCGGCGAAGTAGGGGCAAGAATAACAAACTTGGAAACACAGAACAACACTCTTTTCGCTCCGAGCGCTGGCGAGACCATGATAACAAAGTGGACAGCCGATTTTGCGTCACATTTCACAGCGGTTTCGGCGATTTTCCCAGTGGTGGCCGCCACGAATCATGTTTCAGTGGGTCCCGGGATATGCAGATAATTGGGCACATGAACACGCCCCTACACGCCAAAACTTCTGCAGCAGCCATCTGTATACAATTGGCTAAATCAACGACATTAAACGCTCAGCCGTATGTGCGTCTCTCTTACCATTTACCTGAATCTACGCTTTCCCAGCCTAATTTCCTTTTTCACCATGTCATCGAGGCAGTTATGTATAGTCACCGACGATGCAAAAGCACTTCGTGAGAGTGACTTTGCACCACGTCTGAGTCACTTATCTACCCTGCAGACCTCAACCCACGCCCTCAGTGCCTCCGAAGCCCTACTTCAAAACCCGAACTTCAGCCTGATCACGAAAACTGCTGGGATGCAGTTACTTTATTGGCCCATTCTGTCCTGACTCGATCTATGACCTACGTTATTTCGAAATATTCCTACTTCATGGCCGGTGTCTCCGCTCCTCTTGATCGCCAAGGCTTCGAAACCGCACTCATTTGCGCTCTACCTCTAGAAGCCAGCTGTGTACAAGCAGTGTTTGATGAATTCTGGAAAGATTACGGGAAGGCACCTGGGGATCCCAATACCTACACGACAGGCGCAATCGGAAAACGCCATGTAGTGCTAGCCTACATGCCAAATATGGGGACAACCAGCGCCGCTGCAGTGGCAGTGGGCCTGCGATTGAGCTTTCCAAAAATCAAGTTGGCTCTAGTGGTCGGTATATGTGGGGGTGTGCCACACGGGACCGACGGTGAAGAGATTGTGCTCGGCGATGTCATCATCAGTCAAGGACTCATACAGTATGACTTTGGCGGGCAATACCCGGAAGCATTTAAACGCAAAAACACCATACGAGACAGCCTAGGGAGGCCTCCCCCAGAAATTCGAGCTATCCAGGCCAAGCTGGAAACATATCACTATGTGCAGAAGATGCAGAGCAATATCGCCATGTTCCTCGACGAGATACTACCGAAGTTGCCCAACACGAAGCATCCAGGTCGAGAGAATGATGTACTCTACCGGCCCTCCTATGTTCACAAACACCGCGCACCCGTGGCATGCGATGAGTGTCGTGAAGGTGACCGGATATGTGATGTAGCCCTTAAAATGGAGTGTGAAGATCTGGGGTGTGGGACTGTCATGCGTGTGACTCGAAAACGCTTGATGGATACGCCGACGGGAGGACCGAGAATTCACTTTGGCATAATGGGTTCGGCGAACACAGTAGTGAAATCAGGAGCACACCGTGATCAGATTGCCAAAGCCGATGGTATCATTGCTTTTGAGATGGAAGGAGCAGGAGTTTGGGACTATTTCCCTAGCATCGTCATCAAGGGCGTTTGTGACTATGCTGACAGCCATAAAAGGAAAGGGTGGCAGCGATATGCGGCGGCAACGGCAGCAGCATGCATGAAGGCTTTTTTAGGAGAGTGGAGTTCGAACGACGCACCCACTGGTTCAGGTTAGCTTCCACATTCCATTCAGGCAGTCTTTTGATTTCTTACCCGTGCTAACCACTTTTCCAGTTGATGTGGCAAGGGCTAGGACGTATTTTCTTGCCCCGAGACGGCGTGTGAAGGATTTCTTCGGTCGTGGGGAAGAGCTTGATAAGATCAGCTCTTACTTTAATGATGAAGTTGAACGGCCACGAATCCTGGTTCTTCATGCGCTGGGAGGGCAGGGTAAGAGTCAAATTGCCCTTGAATACTGTCAGAAATTGCGCAAAACATACCAAGGTGTTTTTTGGATCAACAGCAGCACCAAATCCACTACTGTCCAATCCTTCGCCACTATCGCGCATGAACTCGATAGTTCGATGGCAGAAGTGTCCAACGACGACGACGCAAAAGTAAAGTTCGTCTTGCGCATGCTCGAACAGTGGGAAGATCGTTGGTTAGTGGTGTTTGACAATTATGATGATCCTGCATCTTTCTCAGATGTTGAGCAGTTTATCCCTCAAGGTAATTTCATTTACCAAGATAATGTCTAGAGGCCCTAACTTTCCAAGGAAGAAAAGGAGATATTCTCTTTACCAGTCGCCATCGAGGTCTGGAGGAACTGGGCACTATCCTCGACATCCCGCCTATGCAAGAAGATGCAGGAGTTGCACTTCTCCTGCATCGATATTCCAGTATCAATGTTGACGATTACATGTCAGAAGGCTCTAAAATTGTGGATCGATTGGGCGGCCTGGCCTTAGCTATTGATCAAGCGTCGGCCTATATGAAGCACAAGCGGTTACCAATCGACAAATTGGGCGACTTCCTGTCACAGTATGAGGCCCAGCGCAAGAAAGTCCTTCAGCACACTGCAGACCATTTCTGGAAATATACGAGGATCAGCGACCAAAATGAACGAGAGACCGCCATCAACGCTTTTACTACGTGGGAGATGACGTTTCAACAGCTTCAAAATGGCCGAGATTCAGGAGGCGCTGTTACTCATTTTCTGACTCTTACTGCTTTCCTCGCCCCCATTCGTGTTAGTGAATCTCTGTTCAAGCATCACTGGGAATCCAGCAAACCTCCACCTGACTGGCTCAAGATCTTTGTCACATCATCCGATGTCGACGAAGAAGGTCCCTCAAGCAACGCAGAGGAGGATGCGAACGGCCAAGAGCACTTAACACCTGAAGCCACTGACAATGCTGGTACAGAAAGCTCGAATGAGACTTGGGATACCGAGCTCTTTTGGGATCATATCTGCCTGGCGTACCAGATGTCGCTTCTACAAAGTATATCACCGGCGGAGGGACCTGAGGGAGCAGCCTTTCTGCTACATCCCCTTATCCGTGACTGGCTACAGCTTCGTGAGCACTCCAAAGAGCGTCAAGTTTATACACATGAAGCTATAGACTTGATAGTCAGTTCTATTCAAACTTACAATACCCGAGACAGCGATGTCATGATCAAACAGTCGATTCTCTTGCACATGGATGCCCTACTCTTGGCTGTGAAAGAATACTTGAAGGATGGACATCGCCTGGGCCAAGATATTAAGAGTTGTGGCAATGCCGGTTGGTTTGCATCGTTCTATCGCGACCATGGCCGGTTCGATACAAGTTTGTATCTCTTTCGTACGGAGATGGAAACAAGAGTACGGGTGCTAGGCAAGGAGCATCCTGATACACTGATGAGTGTGAACAACCTCGCCTTAGTGCTGAGCCATCAAGGCAAATATCCCGAGGCAGAGCAGATGCATCGGGAAGCATTGCAAGTGACGGAGAGGGTGCTGGGCTACGAGCGTCCTTCTACACTGAGGAGCATGAACAACCTCGCCGGTGTGCTGAGCCATCAGGGCAAATATCCCGAGGCAGAGCAGATGCATCGGGAAGTATTGCAAGTGACGGAGAGGGTGCTAGGCAAGAAGCATCCTGATACACTGACAAGTGTGAACAACCTCGCCTTAGTGCTGAGCCATCAAGGCAAATATCCCGAGGCAGAGCAGATGCATCGGGAAGCATTGCAAGTGACGGAGAGGGTGCTGGGCTACGAGCGTCCTTCTACACTGAGGAGCATGA